ATGCAGCTTGGCCGGACGGAAACCCCATTCTTTCTAGCACGAGCAACCCCAGCCATGCACGAACGGGTATTGGCGGCGCCCGCCCGCTGCTAGCGTCACCTAGCTCACCACCTCGACCCTACTAGCACCAGCACCACGGAGCAAGGCGGACGAGCTCCATGCCAACAGTAGCCATGTAGGGGGCGCGTACGAGACAAAGGTCCGTATGCAAGATCTCCCAGGCGGCTACACTCCAGTCCTGTCTTCGCCCTGGTACTCGCTGCCGCCCTGGCAGCCTAGACCAAACCAGCCCGGGTCCATAGTCCGGCGAGCCCCGGGCACCGGGCCGTAGGTATGGTACGTGCGTCCCTTCAACAGGGCAGCCCGACAGCTGTATTGACCCCTGGCAGGATCGTCTCCACCCTGTTGCTTTTCCTGTTCTTGGTGATTCATGACTTCCGTGGCATCTCGGACTTGTTTCCGAGACTCGCTGCCCAAATCAGCGTGTGTACTCGAGTCATGAACTACGTGTCAGACTGGGCCAGACCGCGTGGCTGCAAATGTCAAAGACATCCACTGTCCTTGCAGTTAGCGCATCTGACGGCATTACCGTGTTCTGGCGGCTCCTCCTAGGACCAACTGTCCATCGCTAGTGGATATCGGACCGAGAAAGACCGATCATGATATGCCACCCTCTGCTCTTTGTCTTTTGCAACCCAGAGCGGAGCCGAAGTGCCAATATTGTTTGTCCCGACACAGCTCCCCACAAAGACCTTCCGGCATGACGTTTCCGAGTAGGTGGTGGAGCTTTACCTCGGCGGAGCGTTTGATGCGGGTGAAGTATTTTGCGGATCAACAGCCAGGGTCAGGTCATTTGCTGAATCTCGTATTAGTCCCGAATTGGCCCAACATAAGTCACTTCGATGGCGAAGGACTCCATACTATAGCACCTTGCGTGGCTGAGCCGACTTGCAGCTTAATCAATGTAGTTGGCAACGCCCTTCAGCTAGGCTGGGTAAATGCCTATCCGTGACCTCGGAGATGGGGGGGGGGGGGGGGGGGGGGGGGAGTCCGAGGGGCGAGCATCCACTGGAACGGGACAAAAGCCCAGGCACTGTTGGGCATCTCATTTTGGCAGTCACTTGAGCACGCGTCCTGCCCTGATTCTGCCAGGCGTCTGCGAAATTCTCACTAAACTACCTGTGCCGATAAGCGCTCGCATGCTCAGTCGACGGATTTTTCACCGAAACAGAAACGATCGACTCTGGGGTTTGTGCCGCTAGAGGCCCTGTGATTCGCTTGTTCGTATTGTCCCATTGTCAAGTTGTCAAAAATTCCCACACGGGCCCATCTCCACGTGGAGAGGCGGCTCGCTCGGTGGAAGGCACAAAGCGGCAAGTGGAGGATGACAGATGAGGCTGCATGGTTGAGTGATCAAGGCGATTTCTTTCCGGCTCCGACCTTCAAACATCAGCCGGACCATCCCGATGTCCACAATGTACCCGCAGCGGCAGGGCAATCTCGCCACCGGGTAGTAGTCTAGAGCACAAGGTTCCCCCGCTAGTTGAATATTTGCTGGTGGCATCCTAACCCAGGGCGGCATGCAGTAAGTCGATGGAACGGGCTGCGAGGCGGCTACGAGGCGGCTATGACGTGGCCTGGGCTCTAGAGAAAACAACTACTTTGCCGGAATGTGCAAGTCCTGGGGCCGGGTGGCTGGCCGGCGCCTCGCTGACTGCATTGTTGGCGCAGAGGCTGGCAATTGCCGCCCTGGACAGCCCGACATGGGGAGCAAAGTACGCTACTGAAACTCTATCCCGTCCCATCATCAGCAGTTTGTAGATTGAGATGGTGGCCCGGAATGGCAGGCAAGTGGAGAGGACGCTTTTCCGTTGCGGGTAGTCCCGCGTTGGGGAAAGCAAGGGGAAAGTATAATTCATCCCCCCCTGTCCTTGGGATTCTCTAGGATAACGCCACCTTGCATCAGTCCTACGTAAGCACTGACTAAGTTGCATTGCGCATTTGGGAGTTTCAAATGATGCCAGTCCGCCTGGAGGACTATTACGTACTAAAATATCGGCCGATGTCCGATTGGTGTTAGTTGCGCTGGCGGGCTTGAAAGGGTAATACACTCGAAAGAGTACCACGGTTCACGCCAGCCGTGGCGACAGCGACTGGAGAATACGAGCGAGAAGATCCGTGAGACGACAACCAACAGCCACTGCGGGTCTCCTACATGACCATGCCCTTGACCTCCTCAGGCTGCAGACTAGGACAAGCCTCCTGCCGTCATTCACCTCGGGGATCGTCTCTTGTGGGTCAAAATTAATATCCAGCCACGTGCCTACCACATGGACAATAGGTAATGCATTCCACTAGCTCATGCAACAAAGTACAGTCCATCACTTTGGATCTACAATCGTTTCCGTGACATCGGCAAGTGGGCCGTCGTTGCAGGACGGACATTTATTCCACGGATGCTACCAGAGCGCGGCACAAAAGCAGTGCTGGTTTGCGAGACCGCGGGATAATCATGCGCTGAGCGTATTGTTCCCAACAAGTCCACCACGTGAACGACGAGGAGTGGTGTGGACGTGCTCAGCAGCAACCACCCACGGCGAGTATGTTTTTGCTGGAGCCCCTCCCATGCTATATGCTTTTTTATCCACATTGAGCAACGTTTCTAACGACTTGCCAGGGCATGGTTGGACGGTTGGACGCGGCGGCAGCTGTGAAATTCAATTCACAATACACGATATCTCCACATCGTCGGGTTCGATACCCACTTCGGATCCGAGGAGCAAGGAAACTGCAAGTACAATAAAAGCTATTTATTGAACGCCACAAGCGAGAGTGATACGACATCGCCAGAGTAGCCTGTGATTGCAGACTCGAGTGGAAACGCCGAACGATCACAATTCTGGACACCGAGGGCCAGGCCGCAACAGGGGCACGATGCTTGTCTGCTTGTATGTCTGTGCTCGTCGCGAAGTCTTGGGTTTCCGTGGCCATGGAGAGTTCCGGTGTTGGGTATCGAAACTTCACCAGGGGACACGGCCGGCGCTGTAGCGTTGCAACGCAAAACAAGGATACTGTGGAGCGTCCGCTGTCCGCAAATCAGGGGCATGTTTGCTCGAGCAGGAAGAACTTCCGAGAGCCCTATGTTTGTGCTGCATGCAGGGATGTCAATCTCGTGATGGGCCCAGGATACTCTCCGGTGGCTCGAAGTTCCTGGTCGTCACATGGGAACTCCTTGCCGGGAACTAGGCTTTGACAGTGGACCGATCCTTGTGCATAACCTGAGCAGGGACATCACGGTGGAGACATAGGTGAGACGAGTGGATTGCTGTCTCAAGATGACCGCGGATATGGCTTCATGGAGAGGAACTTTGAGAAACTAATGGTCTTCTACCCATACGAGCAATATCCATGGCCACCAAGAAAAAATCGATGCAAGTCTCATAGGGGGTCAAACCCATTGCTCCCACAGCACTGTCCTGACAAAAAGATTCTGACAGGAGTAGAGCACTGCCATATCTCCATAGCCACTGAATGCTTGCACAATCTTGATGGCTGCTCTAGGGCTTTCAATGCCGAAGGCTCATTCTGGATAAGATTCATCTGCATGGCGCATGGTGCATGGTTGCTGGGTCCTGTAAAGACTCCCTATCAGCTGCTACGTAGTAGAGCTTGGTCATTGGTGCATATGATGCTGTCGGAAGCCTCAAGCCGATGCGATCGAGGCGCACGAAATCATTTTGTTGATCGGCATCTCTTGCCGCTTTTTTCCCGTTGCCCGGGGATGTCTGGCCCCTGTCCCGTCCTTTGAGAGAAGGGTTGGTCCGTAAAAGGCATGCAAAAAGCAATTGGCAAAGGCAGACTCCCCACAGACCATTCGACGCTTTTGATGTGCCGCTGAGCATGTCATAAATCAAGTTTATTCTTGGGCAGTGTGGCGCAAGTACTGTTCAAGATACGTATGGAGTTAACAAGAATATGTGCATGAAAAAAGCGTACACTCTGCCTTGGACTGCTGACTTTTGAACCTGGTCACCGTGAACCTTTGAGAGCATGTGGTTTCTGATATTTCTAGACCCAGTGTTGGTGATGTGACCGAGAATTTGAAATGGTGACTGGTGAGCAATTCCAAGATTCTCCTTGGAAAACACAAGTCCTATGTAAATTGAGACTCAAGAATAATTTGGAAGGCAGCTGGAAACACTTGCAATGGTGACTGAACTGTGTTTTAATCCGTCAAATTCTGGATATGGCAGACTGCCAACTTTGATTGCTCTGATTCGGCTCTTCGGGTATACATCAAATAGACGAGAACAGAACCACGCAAGGTCTAAATGATAATGACCCGACAAGTATCGGAAAAGAGAAGTTATAGCATCACGACGGGTGAAATGCTCTATATGAATTTTCTCAATATTCTACTACTCGTTGAGATGATGAAGAGCACTTGTATGAATTCAGCATTAACCTTGATCTCAAGTCACGTCGCCAATCGGAACGGTGCAGCGATTGAAGAAATCGTACATGATATTGTCTTCAGATCGTAATCACGCCCAGCGCCGGAAACCCCGAATGGCTCGTCAATTGAGCGCATTGTATGAACTTCGACTTGGAAGACAAGCGTGGTATTATTCTCGCTTTCGCTGTCCTATCGCGCATTTCTCTCAGTAGCGTCAACTCTCGGGCTCGCGCTACAGGTTTCTTATCCTGGCTCATTGAGGAAAACTCGAGGCGATGAATGTACATCGCCATGAGCAGAATATTGCAAGTAATAGGTTCTCAGTAACGCACATCAGGCACAGCTGATGAATAATGCCCTATCGTCCGGCTGATTTCTGTGATTGAAAGCCTAAATGCTTAGAGCGAGACCTAGATACAGATTCTAAAAAGGCAACTATTGCCATTGCGCCTGTATTCCGCGTAATGTGCGCATGCTGGGATATTGTTGCTGTTGGCATTTCCACCCACGCCGTGGAGGCTGACATCGAGCTGGGTCGCGTAGGCTACAAGTCGGAAGTGGTATTTTCTTGTTCTCCGTCCTCGGCGTCTTGTTCTGCCATCGAAGCCTCGATCTCCTGCTCGCTGGCCTCTAGGCCGGATGAGCTCATGAACTTCATGTCCTTGTCCTCGGCTGCTATTCGTGAGCTTTCCTGATTTGTTTTCGGAAGGGGTGGGAAACAACTTACTCTTTGCCTCAACGAGGAGGTTCTCCTGAACCTCACACTCTGTCAACGTCGACCCTTCGCCAATCTCACTTCTCTTGCCCAGAATGCAGCGTGTCAGTTTGCAGCCTTTTCCAACGGTAACGCCATCCATCAAAACACATTGGAATAACTTTGCGCCTTCTTTGATCTGGCAGTTGGCTCCAATGACACACTCCTTGATGGACGTCTTTTCTTCCACCATGACGTTGTCGGCAACCAACGAGTCTTGCCTAGTTATCGTTGTACGAGGCTTCACGCCTTCTGGATAGGCCACCTTCTTAGCATGAGCAAATGGCGAAGCGTTGTCCGGCCCGGTCTCCTCTAGGGACGGCAGCTTCGCAATCTGCAAGGAGACGGACAGCAAGAGTTGTGCTGTGTCCACGCGCCGGATGAGGGGCCCCGAGGCACTACTTGGATGGACGTAAGCCAGCATCTTGGGGATCTCGACCTGCCTATCGCTGGGGCCTATGTCGGGAGACTGCTCCATAGACTCGTTCATCCGCGACGGAGAGGCGGGACTTCGAACACCGGTAGTTGCGTGACCTCCAAGCACACTTGCCAACCCAAGCTTCTTGGACAGGCCGTCCTGCCACGTTGCTTTGGCCCACCAGCCGATGACATCCTCGCCGATGCTCTCCAGCCGTTCGTTCTGCTGGACGAAGTCCATGATCCATCTTGGTAGGATATAGATATGGGCATCGCGGTAAGAGGTCAGCATCTGCAACTTGGGATGCTTGCGCAGAAGCCCATGGCGAATTGGCAGGCCAGTCTTTTCCTCCATCAGATCTTTCAAGGAGTCCGTTGGCATAGACAGCGCAACACTCGAGAGATGAGAGAGGAATGAGTCTTTCGGGACAGGTGTTGTCCGCTTCGGAAGTGGCGTGGTTGCTACGAAATCCGTCTCTTCGCCCTTGACGGGTGTCCCAGCTTTTGTGTCGTACCATACTCCCAAGCCCCCACTGCGAGTCGAAGACGGGTCATCGGAAAGAGGATCCGAGAGCGAGGACGCCTGCACCATCCAAGCTTGCAGTAGTTTGTCGCCTCCGAGCTCACAAACAAGGTCACAAGGGAGAATGACAAAGTCTGATGTGATGAGCTCTCTGACCTCTGGGAGCCTCAAAATCTCGGCTGTGCCAGTGTTCTGGTCCAGTTCCTTGGGTGCCAAAAGATCAGGACGCGGATGTGGCAGGCTTGTGAGGAAGGGATTGGTGTTCAGAGCCGTGGAGATGGCTTTCTCCGCAGAGGGAGGACATATTATTGTGGTATCTAGCATGACAGTCAGAGGAGCGCTTTCTAGTCACCCCGAGCAAATGTCCGGTGGGTTAGGGTCTTCTCACTGGTGATGCCCATCCGGTAGCAGAAATCGATGGGATACCAGACCATGGGCCGGTTGGCGACCGGAAGAAGAGCTTTGGGGTGCTCATCAGGGTTTGCTGTGAACGTTGGGAAGGACGATCCAGGCCCGCAGAGGATGATGGCCTGCAGGCCCGTCGCAGGCATGGACACGGCATGTGGCATTGTGCAGACTGCTGGGACCTTGCCCCGTTGACTGGCTTCTGGTAAACGACCCGAATGTCTGACTGGTGATGTGTCTGTATGGCCACGGCAAGAAGCCAACGACAGGGCTCGAGGGTGCCGAGTTAAAAGAGGTGCCTGTGATTTCTGAGACTACAGAACATCAAAATTTAATGGGTCACGAACCGCGAGGAGTCACACCTACGACTGCCCATTCAGTCCCGCGTCACAATGCATCCCACGCAAATGGTCATGGAGGGGCACAATCTCAGGCTTGCAATCGATAAGTCTCTCTTACATAAGCACGGTCGCATTTCGTGAATTCACCTGCAATTGCAAACGTTGCCTGGACGCGTTGGCGCTAGCCATTGCGGGGCAAGGCCCGCTCTCCCAGCCAACCAATCGTGCCTCGGCTGGCGGGCTAACGACGACTGGGCAGGGGGGGCTTTGTTGATTGACTGCCCAGGTCAAGGGGCTCCACGTTCACCCAGCCCCCGAGGACCCCACAGCCGCATCTTGGGCCGGCCGGCCAACCGCGCTGCCCGCAGCAGGGTGTTTACTACAGAGGTGAGCTACGCTCCCCAGCCTCCAATTTCAGCAGACCTGCGACAGCATCTTGCGACACATCCTCTCCTGTTCTAGACACTCGCGGAAAGGTCCTTGCTGTCAACGAGAACGAATCCCACACGCCATCCATCCGCATCAACGGCCAGCACTTGGGCATTCCCACGCGAACTGCCTTCTCGCCCGCCCACCCAGCGCGCATTCCTGCCATGGTCTCACCCGCCTAAATGTCATCGGACTCAAGATCCCGCCGACGGGGCGTCTGGACCCATTGGGTCCCGCTCGTCGCGACTGTCACAATCGCGACCGTCGGTCTCGCCGCCTGGGCCTGGAGTCAGCGCAATGAAGATGATGAAGAGGAAGAGCACGCAGCCAATGCTGCCGACTTTGACTACAACACTGCCGACTATGGCGACAACCCGGCCTATGGCGCAAACCGAGAGAAGGCTGCTGCAGGTGCGCGCGCTGCAACCCGAGACGGTAACCCGACGTATGGGGTGACTGAAGCCCACGCCGAGTCCGCTGCTGTTGCTACCGGATGGGGTGCGCAGATGTCGGGCGCCCTCCGCCGTACCCCAAGCCCGCAACAATTCCTGTCCAATGCCAGCAGGACAGTCGCGGCTGGTATGGCGGGTGTGGGCGCAGCCGTCGGAAGCGCCCTTGCCTCTATCAGAGAGGACGACAAGAACGCATATGCGGACCACGAGACGTGGTCGGAGGAGGTGGAGAACCAGAAGACCAAGTCTTCCACCTCCAAGGATCCAAGCAAGCGTCGCAAGACAGTCGCAATCATTGTTTCTGCCGATGCCAACCTGGATGACCTCGACACGGATGGCTTCCACGAGCATGCCGTAAGTGCAAGACGACGTCACGAATCCGTGTAGTTCGCCATATGAATCATGCTGACATGGTATCCGTAGTCGGTGCTCTCTCACATTCCCACAAACACAGACTTTACAAAGATCAAGCTTTTCGTATTGATCTACTCGCCGAGTCTGAAGGAGAACGAGCTTTCTGGTCCGGCAGGCACCCTCCCCCCGCCCTCACTGAGCTCGTCTTTCTCCAACATTGGCGCCGACCAGGTCAAGACCCCTGCGAGCGAGGGCAAGAGCCCACTGTAAGTTGTCCTGGCGGCGTTGCAAGATTGCTACATTGTACTGACTCTTCCCAGCCTCTCTTCCACAAACGTCGATCCTTCATTCAATGCTGTCTACGCACAAGCTTTGGCACTCGTTGAGAAGGAGTCGATGGTACTGCCTTTCACCACAGCGAATGGCTATACTCACATCCTCCGGCACCTCCAGCCATCGGTAGTCTACCTCCAGGAATCTCTTTCTGGGCCCGACGGCGGCCTGATTACGCAGTTGCAGACGTGGCTCAGACATGATGTGATTCTGGTAGTAGGCGCTGATGGTGGTCACGGCGGGCTTGCGGACAGTGAATCGGAGGCAGAACGCCCCGAGAAGAAGAAGAAAGAAGTGTGGTGGCACCGCGAGGATAGGGTTGGACGCGGTCGTGGTGTGGTGGTAGTGGACAGCCTGCGCGTCGGCGACGACTGGGCTCGCCGGGTCCAGGGCAAGGAATAGGCAGGACGCGGAATGATGAATGCTTGTAGCAGGCGCAGGGGCAATCTTGGGCGGGTTCGTAGTGATGACTGCTTTGGTATATAGCGTACGTACATAGGCCCCTTGTTTATAGGCAGTGCCTCAATGCAACATGGTCTTGTTGCCTGTCTTCCGATACTCAATGTCTTCAGGCCGTGTCTTGTTCAGCGAGCGTATCATGCGATGCACATCAGGGACCATCTAGAGTGGGAATGTTTCATCAAGTAAAGGGCGATTGAGCACATCTCCAATGGCACAGGGCTCTATGCAGGCTCGAAAGACCTGTCGTGATTCCCACGAAGCATTGCTAAGCAGAAGGTTTGAAAGCCATCGTCGACCTTCTCCTCCAACATGTGGATGCATTTCTGTCAATCGCCCAACTCTGGAGCGCGTGCAGCGCGTGGATGCGCGGGGGTCCATGGAGGATGTGGCGGTGCACCCACAGCCTTGGGCTGTTGACGCCACAAATCCCCAGACCCACCTGCGTCTCCTTGCCGCGCACTGAGGCTCAGCTCTGACCGATCCTTGCCCAGTTGGCGCAACCCCGTGCGTGATCTCGAACGACAACCGACTGCACGCGCGCCGAACAGGGTCATCCCCCACGCGAAGACCGCACGACCAAGGCCCCGATATCATTCATCGACACCTCATATTCGCATCGCATAGGTCGCGCGAATCCGGCACTCGCTCCGCTATCCCACTGGATGGGTCACCAACCTGATTGTTCACGGTAGCGCGCCACGGTGCGCCAAGCTCGCTGTGCGCGATTGCGCCAGCCGACGTCACTCAAGCCATCCATCTCGACAACATCAACATCCTATCCACCCCGCGACCATCGCATACTTATATTTCGCTCTCGAGTCGACCTCTTTTCAATGTCACGAAGCCCACAATAGTTGCTCAATCCTCTGCATTTCGCCAGCGTAGCCTAGTGGCGACTCGATACCTGGCTTGCCATCACCCTTTACCGGGGCCATGGCTCCAGTCGTCGCATCCGCTGCTCCTGCAGCAACGCCGACCGCTGCTTCGAAGGCGAAGAGGCCAACGCCTGCAGGCATCCAGACCAATGGAGGGGCGAATGCAGTCAAGTCATCTCCGTCACCCCTCATGTCCTCCAAGAAGCCGCCGAGTGCGACCGTCAAGGCACAGCAACAAGCCGCCAACGGGACAACGACAAATGGCTCAATCAACGCGAGTCGCCCGAGCATATCAAAAGCTCGCCGCGACACCTCACAGAGCGTAACGCGCGGCCCGAAAGCCGCAGCCGCGAAAGGCGGCCAGGGCGTAGACAAAACGATATCTACGCCATTGTCGCCACGAGTTAACCGTGAGCATCGCCCGAGTGTGTCACAGGGTTCAAGTTCTCAATGCTGACTCTTCCATCCCAGACCTGACCCAAGCGTACATCCTCAAGAAATATAGAGGCAGCCCGCCGTCTCTGGTTGTCCATCTTCACGACCGGCACTTCAAGTTCGAAAACCAGGAAGGTGTTTTCGGCTACAAGACACCGATGAAGATCTTCCTGGAACATGTCAGATCCAAGACCGTTCCACACGACCTACTACCATATTTCAACGACTGGGGCGTCACATTTTACGAAGCATGTTTGATTGTCCAAATCCATGACCATAAATCAGCAGCCCAACCCAAGGACGCTGCAAGACCAGCCCCGAAGCCAGAAACTACGGCGTCCTGCTCAATACATAATCATAATCCGTATATTACACCTTCTCCATGGGTGCCGTATCCAAAGGATAGCTCCAGCTCGGCAGACGCTGCCGCGCCGAACAAGGATGATCCCGTGACATCAGGGGATGCAGCTGCCGACAAGAGCTCCGGAAGCTCAAGCAATGATGATCAGAAGAGCAAGCAGCCTGCAAAGTCGAGAGTATTCACCGTCGTGCTCTTCCCTACACCTCAGACCGTGCATGCCGACCTCATGATCACTGCCTCAATGCCACGGGGAGCTGATGGCAAGGCAAATGGTGATTCTTCCGCACTCGCACCTCAGACCCCTATCAATGCCGTTCCGCCGACTCCTACAGCGAGTTCCATGCCGCCTCCAAACAAGAAACAGAAGCGCGGGAAGGTGGATCTGGATGGCCGGAACATTTATGCTGCGGAGGGACAAATCTTGCTCGCGACGGCCGCGCCACTCGATCTGGAGCCAACGAAGAGTAAGGAGGAGCTCATCTCCCTTCTTGACAAGATGGCGAGGCAGTCACAGTTTGAGCAACAACCCCAGCCTAAAGCTCGGAAGAGGACGGTGGCAGAGCGTGCCGCCGACGAGGCATTGGCAGCCGATCAGGAGAAGTACATGCTTACTTACGACGAGCGCTTGTCCTCCACAGCCAGTGGATCTCAAGGAGCCGCGGATGGTGCCGATGTCGGTGGGCAGTCGGGTGCCGCCGGCTTCGACCCATCATTCGCACGCTTCAAGGTTATCAATGATATTAAGAGGGATCTTGCCGAGAAGAGAGAGCAGGAGAAAGTACGGCAAGCAGAGAATGAGCGGAAATTGCAACAGGCCAAAGCCGCGCAACAACAGCAGGAGGCGGCGGCACTGCTGCAACAGCAACAACAACGTCTCGCCGAGGAGAAGGCACAGCGGGAGCAGCAACTGGCACTGCAACAACAGAGACAGAACCAGCTACTGGCCCAGCAAGCTGCACAACGTCGCGCGGCCGCTGCAGCCGTGGCACAAAATGCTCAAGCACAGGCCCAAGCCGCCCACTCGCCACCAAATGCGAACCAGATGGCCGTCCAGCACGGTCACCCTGCTCAGAACGGGGTGCCCAATGGTGCGATGGCAGGACAAGCCGCCGCGCATCGGTTCAACCAGCAGGTATCGCAGCCTCCCGTTTCCTCTCCTGTTGTACGACAAGGCACACCACAAAACATGTCGTCCCCCATGGTGGGCAATGTGCCGATGCAGCAGACCAATTCTGCCATGGGAGGTAGCCCTGCTCGACCACCCTCTGTCGTCCAAGCACACCCTATGGGTGTCGCGATGGCGCCGAGTATGTCAGCACGAGGCAGCCAGCAGAGCCACCCGTCAGGCACGCCGCGCATGCCAAATGCCACTCCGCAAATGGCTCACGGCACGCCCATCAACCGGCCAATGCCAACTCCGCGCATGTCACAGGCAAGCCCGCCTCCTGGTATGATGGCTGCAGGTTCTCAGATGGGCCACAATATGATGAACATGCAGAACATGGGCCAGGGAATGCCACAGCACATGTACGCCGCCCAGATGGCGGCTCAGCAGCAGCGAGCCCGCATCCAAGCACAGCAACAACAGCTCGCTCTTGCGAATGCCGGGATGATGAACGGTCAGAACCCACAGATGCAGAATCAGCAGCAAATGCTGCAGCTTTTGCAGCGACAGCAGATGCTCAGCAATATGCAAAACGGCAATGTGGGCAACAACATGAATCTGCTCGCAGCGCAACAGGCGCAGCAGCAACAGATGGCGGCACGATACCAGCAGCAGATGAACAACATGCAGGCGCAGCAGCAAGCACATGCGATGCAGCAAGCTCAGATGTCGCAAGCTGGCGGTCAGCAGATGGCGGGCCAGAACATGATGGCAATGAATGGGGGCATGAATCAGCAGCAAATGGCAGCACTGCAGCAGTTGCAACTTCAGCAGCAGCAGCAGCAGCAGCAACAACAGCAACAACAACAACAACAACAGCAGCAGCAGCAGCAGCCACCGAATGCTCTCCAGATCCAGGTTCAGCAAAAATCACAGGCCCTATATCGGCAGAACATCCCCAATCTTGCCCAGAAGTACGGCGGGCTGCAGGGAATTCCTGCCGAAGTGCACGAAAACTTTAAGAGACAGTGTTCGCAGAAGGCTAAGGAAATGCTGCAACAACAGATCTTCCAGCGGCAGATGATGATTCAACAGCAGCAGGCTCAGCAGCAGCAACAGCAACAGAACCAGATGCAGAACATGGGCGGCATGATGCAGCAGGGCATGTAGAGTGAGGCTCGGCTGTGGCGGGGTACGAGGCAGAGGGTCGCCTGGGTGACTGCTGCTACGGACCTGACGGGGAGGCTAATGAGAGGGCACGATGCAAGGCGTTCAAGGCAATCACTGCACGAGTATACGGGGTCACAGACTGCTGGGTTTCGTTTTCACGTATTAGCATTCATGTAAGGTTCTCGGTGGCATTTTTCTTTTTCTTGGCCTGCAGTTTTGCCGTCTTTCCGGGGTGTTGCTTCTTATTGCTGGCGGTAGTATACCCATTTATCTTTGCGCTCACTTTTATGAATCGAGAACAATTGCAGAAGGAGTTTGAATGCAATGTCTGGCATGCATCGTGAGCGCGCTCCCAGACTGAACTAGGCTAGATGATCTCGAGCGCACCCGCAGCTGACCCCTTGTCGCATGAGGATGCCCCACATGTGCGATGACGGCACCCACGCGACCCACCCGTCTTGACAGGCTTCCGCTTCAGGCACATGAGCTTCATCTCTGCAGTCGAGTTCTCCTTTGACGAGTCTGCCCCTAGCCCGCAACCAACCCGCTGAGCGCATCATCTCGGCTGCTTCATCATTTCATCACCCTCTTTCACGCTTCTTTCATTCGGCGAGCCCACTATATTTCTCCGAGTGCCCGTAGACATTCTGCACGGCAGCCGAGACTCCGATCACGCGTCGTCTTTCTAAGCAGCCGTGCCTCCTTTCCACCCGAACTACCAGCCGACTCACGCAATCACAACAAGTCGCCATCCATCCCCATCGTATCGTCCACGTCGCTCAGCTTCCCGGTTTTCCGAAACTCGGGCAGGGGTTAACCAGAATTGAATCAACGACGTTCTCAACCCACGACAAACCCCTGGACTTTTCCATCTGTGATGAAGCCACACGCTCTCACGTCACCCGAGACGATGATTCTGCCGTTACTCTCCTTCCTCCTGGCGACGCCAGCTGCGGCTGCCGCCTCAACGTCATGGTGCAATCGCGTCCTCGTCGACGGGCGCCAGTACAACCTTGAGAAGCTGGGCGGGCCGCACTCCGTGGTCGTCAGCAACCCAACCGGGGCGACCCTCCATAACACGACATACACGCTCGACCTATGCAAGCCGCTGGTCAAGTCGGGTGATGGACCCAAGGAGGAGAGATGCCCTGATGGCACGAGAGGTACGTTCTCCCAGGGGAATCCAGGAGGGATGTGCCTGTAAAGAGCATGACAGCTCAGCACGACGACTTGTATTCTGACCTTTCTTCTACCGTTTTTGTAGTCTGCGCCATCTCGAGATTGATCGGCAAGGTAGACAACAAGGTCGACGTCATCTCCGCAGTCATTCCCATCGCGGGCGACCTCGCCGAAGTCGGCGGCCACAAGTTTGAGCCCAAGACTAAGCTTCTTGTCCCCGAGGCAGAGGAAGGCGCCGAGGGCCTGCACGTCACGTTGAGCGGCGGCACCTACACTTTTGAGGATGGCAGGAAACACGACCAGAGGGCTGTCGTTAGGTTCGTGTGCGACGAGAAGCGCGAGGGCACCGAGGGCGAGTACGAGTCGGAAGACAAGTACGACACAAAGATGGCGGACATTATGCACTCGCGGAGACGGGACGACGACAGCGACGACGATGGCAAGAAGAAGGAATTTCAGCTCGGTGATCTCGAAGCTGCGAGCCTTCTCTACGATAGCTACGGACCTTCTCAGAGCGACTCGGATGTTGACGTGTTGAGGCTGACCTGGAAGACCAAGTATGCCTGCGCCAGCCGCTCCACAGACCCGTTGGATCCGGAGAGTCCAGGTGAGGGTAATGGCGACGAGGGCGGCGCACCTCCTAACAACAGCTGGGGATTCTTCACATGGTTTATTATCTTGTAAGTTACATGGTTGATACCGCGCCTGGAAGCGCATGGGACAACTGCTGACATCTTTCCCAACCATCCAGGGTCTTTTTTGGCACGGCCGCTTATCTCATCTTTGGCTCGTGGCTCAACTACACGCGCTACGGTGCAAGGGGCTGGGACCTGCTCCCCCACGGCGACAGCATTCGCGACGTTCCTTACTTACTCAAGGACTGGCTGCGGCGAGCACTCAACACCGTGCAGGGCAGCGGAAGCCGTGGCGGATATAGTGCTGTGTAAGGCGGGACGTGGGGCGCGATGCTGTGCATGAAGCATGCACAGGCTTTATTTCCTATGTATAAGTGTCAATTGGCCCAAGGAGTCTTGGTTGCAGACCAATCTGCCCATCCTAGGGGCGACCCGACTGTGACACACAGGCATTCTGTCTGTAAATATAGAATTCAATTCAGTCTTTTAATCTGTGGCTGCAAGCCCACATGAAACCTCAACTATGGCTACTGCAGGCCAGACACGGTGCACAATTGGCTGTGGTGCTTGGTGACAGCCTTTGTCCATGTGCAGCGCAAAGTCCGCGGAGGCAGACATGTCTTGAGAGCGGATGCTCTGCACAGTTTCCAGATAATACGGCCACTGGTTGCCGCTCGTGTCGCGCGCTACAACAGGCCACCCCGGTAAACGGTATCCAGGCCAGCCTCTCTATACGTCCCTGAGCCTCTCAGGGCTGATCTCCAAGCTGATAGCACGGGAGCTAAGGTATTCCTAGTCCCAGTGCAGGCCCCTAGTGACTTTGTGTGGAGTCTCTTGCCCACACTGCCAGCCTCTCAGCTTCGGTGGCCATCCGTGGGGAACCCACGGAGCTTCCGCGGCTTCTGCGCTACGGGTTGCGGGCATGCAGGCATGCAAGCATGCAAGCAGGCGCGTTTATATATCGGGTTTCTCTCCTTTTGAGAGGGATGGATAAGTGAAAGGAGTGCTTACTTAGGTAGCTCGATTCGCTGGCATAGAATTGTCCCCCTTGTTGTCGTTCCTTACTTTTCTTTTTGGTCTCCCGCAAAGAGTTCAGGAAATCAATAACTTCTTGAGGATTTCCGAACTACTTGATCATTGTGTCATTCCCAATCGGATACCGTTTACCTCGACAGTCTCGCCACGCAAAGGCTTCCTGACGAGCACATCAGTCCTGAAAACAACATTTATCGTCTTTTCCTCCCCATCGGATATCTGTGGTGGCTTTAAACGGAAAGGAAAGCTGTCCATTTCGTAAGTTGACGGCTCTGGTCAACAGACTTCTCGCAAAAACGCGGACGTGGACGTCTAGGCTAAGTGCAAATTGTTCTGCCCTCCATGCAGCGAAGCGAGGACGCAAATATGCCCAGCGGCAACGACGATCAACACGACGTCGAATCGCAGCAGCACCAGCAGCAGCATTCCGACAGCGGCTCGGAAACGGCCCATGCTCCTCACGAAGATGAAGTGCCGGAGAAGCAGCCCGAACCGGAAGACCAGCTCCGCACTAGTCCCAAAGGACCAGGTGAAGATAGCAACAATGCTCAAGACCCGAACCTGGTTACGTGGGACGGCCCAGACGACCCAGAGAACCCGCTCAACTGGTCATCGTCCAAGCGGTGGACTACAGTGGCGGTTGTAAGCTACTTGACATTCTTGGCGTAGGTTTTGGTACTCCTTACTCATGGTCATGCGTAGAGACCACAATCTTGATTTAACTCATTTCTGTGCTCGCAGGCCCTTGAGCTCGACCGTGCCAGCACCAACGGTCCCTTATATCATCAAGGACTTTGCCGTGGCCGACCCAAAGACCGAAGGCACACTCGTCACGACGATTTACATTCTCGCCTACGTCTTTGGCCCGTTACTCATCGCACCTTTGTCAGAGCTCTACGGGCGCCTGCCACTATACCATGCTTGCAATACCCTGTATCTTGTCTTCAGCATCGCTTGCGCAGTTGCTGGCAACATGAGCTCGCTCATTGCGTTTCGTTTCCTGGCCGGTCTTGCATCGTCTTGCCCTCTGACGATCGGGGCTGGTTCGATTGCCGACATTGTCCCTCTCCGGCGGCGCGGACTGGCCATGACATTCTGGGTAATGGGGCCCCTTGTTGGCCCGACCATTGGCCCTCTTGGTGAGTTTGTTTCCGCGTGACTCTGGCGAAGAGAGTTGTAGTAACGAAAAGGATGACAAAACAGCTGGTGGCTATCTGGCCGAGTCGCGGGGATGGCGATGGGTGTTCTGGTTAATATCGATCTTGGTAAGTTTAGGTCTTGTCTTGGAACATCGCATCCCGCTTACAGCTTGATGTCACGTACAGGCGGCTCTAGGCTGGATCCTGGGATTCATCTTTCTCCGAGAGTCATACGCGACGGTCATCCTGAAGCGCAAGGCAGCTCGACTTCGCAAAGAAACTGGAAACATGGACCTGGTCTCAGCCCTCGATACTGGCCGCAGCCCGCGCCAGCTCTTCGCCTTCTCCATTGTCCGACCGCTCAAGATGCTCTTGTTCCAGCCCATAGTCCTCATGACATCTGCAAACATGGCCATGATCTACGGCTACCTTTACCTCTTGTTCACGACCTTTCCTCGTGTTTTTGGTGGGCAGTATGGCTTCTCGACAGGCTCCGTGGGACTTGCATATCTCGGTGTGGGCTTGGGTTCGTTCCTGGGCTTGATATTGACGGGCGCCTTCTCGGACCGGACAGTCGCAGCGCTCACCAAGCGCAACGGTGGCGTCCACAAGGCGGAATTCAGGCTACCGCCCATGTTTGTCGGTGCATTCTTGGTTCCGGCCGGGCTCTTCGTGTATGGATGGACTGCAGAAGCCCACGCTCATTGGATCTTGCCCATTATCGGCAGTGCGATTCTCGGATTCGGGATGATGACCATTTTTGTAAGTGATCCTGCGCGCTGGCATGACGCTGCACCCCAGTGTTTTTTTGAACGACCGGCGGCCCAAGGGACTCTGTGGGTGTTTGTGTGGCTGACCAAAAGCAGACACCGTCAACCACATACATCATTGACGCCTTCACCGTGTATGCAGCCTCTGGCACAGCGGCGGCAACGGTACTGCGTTCCATCCTGGGCGCCGTCCTGCCGCTGGCTGGCGAGCCGATGTACGATGCTCTGGGGCTGGGCTGGGGCACCTCGGTGCTCGCTTTTATCGCCGTCGCGTTCACCCCCGTCCCGTTTGTATTCTGGATTTATGGCGAGAGGATTCGCAAGAGTGAGCGGTTCCGCATGGATCTATAGGAGCTGATGAAAGACACATCCATTCGGGCGTCTTGAGCATGTGGCATGGGTATTAGGAACAAGCAATTCTTTGGACTTGCTGTTGCTGGTGGAGCCAAAGATGGTGTGCATTTTGGAGGACCAGGAATGCATGACTGGTAGAAGTGCAGAATGACAGGCAAAGGGTTCACGCCTTGAGGAAGACATAATACTAGATAGAATTAATGCAAGCCGCTTCTGGCGATCTCAAGCAGTGCAATGGTGCTTCTTTGGTAGCTGCCACGTGCGAGTGAGGTGACTGCTCAAGTGGTGTTTGGGGTGCAGCGCATGCAAGGATCTGCTGCAAGGCAGCTGCGCCCTGTGCCTGATTCGTGGTCCGCGGAAAGCCCGCGGGGCTGCAGCTGTAAGTCAAGGCACCCTGGTCACGGCACACCACCACCATCTGGCATTGCCCATCACTTCAACCTTCTTTTGCAAAACTGACATTTCCATTCCCTCTTCTTCGCCATGAGCTACTAGACTCGAGTGCTGCCGGAGAGCATTTAGCACGTGCCTCCAGCCGAGACGCGCCATGCCAAAATCGCCCACGTCCGCGCGTTTGCACCCGCGGCAGCGTCCAGTGTCGTGTCGCTTCTGCCGCACGCGGAAGCTGCGATGCAGCAGGGAGGCACCGTGCTCAAACTGTGTATCCCGCGACATTCACTGCGACCTCGTCCAGCCAGCTCCTCAGCCAGTCGCAGCAGACTGCACTCCATCTTGCCATGCGACTAGCAGCACTGAAGCTCGGCTGCTCGAGCGCATCCAGATCCTCGAGCAACAGCTCTCTGACTGCAAGACCACCATCTCCAAGGGCAAGCTCGATGCGACCATAACCCCTGTTGTAACAACTGCGGCGGCTGCTGCGCATTTCTCCACGCCCGAGAGCCTTGATGAGGTCTCTCAGGCGCCCTGGCCTCCGCCAGCAGCCGCCACGCTCGACAACCTCGACAGTGATGAGGCGTGGCTCGAAACTCTGTACAGTGGGCAAGAATGCGCCGTTGGTGTCCCTTTCTAAGCTCCTAAATCGGAGAGATTCTGGCTAATTGGAGACACAGGTACCTCGGCCTCTCGACCGAATTTCCTTTCGAATGTGCCCTCTTGGGCACATCGGCACAGCTGATTCCTCTGGGCATCCTGGTCCTAGAAGAGTTCATTTCCCTACTCCAGCAGAGGCCGATGTCCTTGTCGAAAGATACATCCAGCACATTAACCACATTCATCACACCATACACGTACCTTCTCTCCGCAACGTCGTACGCAGTGTGTATGCTTGCCTCGAACGCCAAGCAACTATCCAACCGGGACCGGCTGCTCTTGTCCTGGCTGTATTGGCAAGTGGTGCCTACTGCTTCAATATCGCCGAGGACATTTGTACTGTGGGTTTCCATGACCCTCAAAGTGCACGGCAGCAGGCCATGAGTTGGGTGCGAGACGTGGAGGACATCATCGACATTGCTCATCGCGTCACCAAGGTCTCAATCGAAGGCTGCCAAGCGCTCATTGTCGCTTTCTTTGTCCTCGCCGATACCGAAGGCCTGTCCTTGCGTTGCCGTTCAAACGTGAATTTGGCAATGCTACTTGCCCGGCAACTTGGGCTCCACCAAATAGACGGTGTTGACGCTGGCAAATGCAAGGATCCAGTACTTGAGGAGACTGGCCGATGTGTGTGGTGGTACATTGTTGCCACTGACTGGTTTGTACCCCGTTTGGACACGAAACTGCGGTTGACTTGTTGCTGACATTCCTTGGGACCCCCGAAGGATCATGTCCCAGAGACTCACCGGCGTCGATAGAAACGTATACCTTTGCAATCCGCGGCATATGGCTGTAAAGAAGCCCATGAACATCGATGATGATGATCTTGCTACAAGAGGACCTGCCGCCGCCAAGTCTCTCTCATGGCCAACTTGTAAAGCCTACACACTGCAGAGAATTCGCCTTGCCGAAATCACACGGAAGATATCGGATCGTGCAGCAATAATCGGCAATGACTTACAAGAAGCGGCCTACGAAGCAGTTCTCGAGCTCGACCTTGAAATGCAGCAAATGCTTGACGAGCTGCCTGCTTATTTCAGACAAGCTGTGCCTGCTCTGATGGAAACATACAACCTCGATAGAACGCAAGCATCGAAGCTCCGTCAACAGGGTCACCTGATCTACAATCACATAATCTCCCAAAGAGCCGCACTCCATTTCCCTTGGTTCCTTCGCGCCAACAAAGACAAGCGATACGCCCCTTCCAGAGATATCTGCTTACTCTGTGCACGACAGACGGTCTTGATGGAAGCGGAGGTGGAAGTTGCTGGTCTCTCCGCAACTGCACAGTACAAGTTTGTCTGTGTGCTTATGGCCCTCTTCCGCGCAGCAGTCGTGCTCGTTGTGCAATTTTGTCGGTCCAAGACGAGTGACGGGTCTTCGAGCCGCGCTCGCCTGCGGCAAGAGATTATGGAAGCTTTGACTATACTTGAGACTGCGAAGGAACACTCGGAAACGGCATGTCGATCCTTCGAGTCGCTTTGCGCGGTAATGCGGAAGCACCGCATCTCAGCAAGGGACACGAGGGTGGATGCCAGCATAAATGATAAGACTTTAGGTGCTTGCGATCCTGATATGACACAAACCGAGGATTACAGAAGGTGTCCCACGCCTAAAGTAGCACGTGGAAGAACCCTGGAAGGAACAGACAGCTCGACCACAATATTTCACGGGGCCTTCAACAGCGAGCCAACAACGACTGCCCTGGATGGGACTGATGCCACGGAAGCCAGTACATATCGCCATGATGTCAATGTTGACGCTAGCGACATATTCGGCGACGCCGGCACCTCGATCCCTGCCTCTTTCGAGATAGACTTCCCGCCAGACTCTTTCTCTTATCAACTCAATAAGTTTGCGGAGAGCCTTGAGGCCGACCCTATGGGTCTGGCAGAGCTGACTTGGAGCAATGTCTTTGCTGGGTGGGGCGGAGCTTGAGGGTGTGCTGTTAGAACATTCAAGATGTGTTCGGAGAATCCTGTCTTCCGGCCAGGGAAGCAGTATCGCTGTGAGAGCATAGTCAATCGCGTGCCTTCGGCTATACCTGCCTCGACGCAGAAAATGTTGTGATGGACAAGCACCTCGCAGTGACACGGAGTCGACTTCTGCATCTGGAAACATGTACGTGGCTCGGTGTCGGACGCGTGAGAAGGGACAAGGATTTTGTTTACGGTGTCGAACCGAAGAGGTCGCTTGCCGTCGGAAGAGGCGAAGTGCGGCAGCATTGCATGTCAGAACAGGGCTCGACAGCTGCAATTTGTCTCCAATCCGATCTCAAGCCTGCAGCGATGGCTGGCCGTGGGGCTAGGTGTTGGGGGCCGCTGTGAGATTCGCAAGGGTGCTTGCAGGGCTCGATGCGTGCATCGCCCTTTACCGTCAGCACTAGGGACGAAGTCCGACAGGGTCGAGCCTGAGGCCTCATATACAAAGTCCTTTTGCCATTTTGTGTTTACCGACAAGCTCGACCCTGTTCGTAGTGAGAGTGGTGTTCAGGCCTTGTCGAAGAGGAAGCAGACACCACCATGGCAGGATGCGCGCGGGGAACCGAAGATTGAAGCACAATCCGCCTGCTCGGGTTCCAATGGCGATTCGCATTGTTCTGGCCCACAGGAGATAGTTCCGGTGTGACAGAGCGGCGAGCTGTTTCATTGGCATGGTTGTGGCAGTTGCGCTGGGCTGTGATACCGGGGGGCTGGCACCAACGGTGCGACCAAGGATCAGGGATCTCGTCACCAACCATGTGGAAAAGTGTCTGGAAACGGCAATGTGGAGACAGAGAGTCCCCACTCGGATCCGCACGGCAACAGAGCCAGGCTGAAACCTCGCCGGGAGGGGGCTGCCTCAGCAATGTCAAAGTTGTTCATCCCTTGGTATCAACTCCAGCGCCTTCCTCGTGCAGAGCATGGATATCATGAGCGCAGCGGTATTTGTGGAACCTCGTTTGGGGGCCGGACTGCGACGCTGTGGCGGGAGGGCGATTCTGCCTCGCGGGCTCAGGCACCGCTGACTACTTGGCAAGCCCTGCCAAGTTTGAAGAATCTCACCACCCTCTCGTTCGCATGCCCGGATGCTGGGCACGTTTCGGTAGCTGGCTTGCTTCGAAAGTGCATTGCTGTTGCATGCAGGGGTACTTTCGGACATTTGTCCAAGGCTAGAAAATAGTACTTTGTACGTTGAGGCCTACTAATGTAAGTGAGCGAGCTCATGGACGAGCAATGCCTCGAGCCTGCTTTCCAGTCAGCCCTCGTAGTGTCTGGGTATCTCGAAAGGCCAAGGTCCAATCCTTGGTAGCATATTCAGCATGGTTACACGAACACGTGCGGCAGATTCAGATAGACTATATTAGGACGAATCTGATAGGTCCGAATTACGACGGTGCCAAGTCAACCAGGTTCTAAGTCATCCATCCGCCCGCAACCTTCCTATCTTCTTGATATGCTTTCCAGGTTTCATTTCCGTGAGTCACGTTCCTATCCACCAAGTAGACTCCATGGGGGAATCATAAGACTTGCAAAATCCCTATCTTGCCGCAGGGCCCTCCCCGTCCCGTCTCGTATTTTGGATTTTTGGACTTTTGCGGACCGCCGACGACGGAGATTCGCACCACATGCTTGCATTAAACATCGTCATTGCTTGATTCTTTCGCCTTCCCGTGATGGTGAATATTGATAATGATTAAAATAAAATAAAAAGGAATTCCCTTGTTTTTTTGGTTAAATTTCTGTTTTCATGTTGTAATTCTAGCACTTGCTCTTCTTTTTTTTTCTTCTCTTTTTTCCCCTTTCTTTTTTGGGCTGCTATGCCGCCATCATAGATTGGTATATACTCTCTTTCATTCTCACAACTCCCAGTGGAACATCCTCAACGCTCATTCTGACAAAAAAAATGTAAAACTCTGTAATGAAAAACCGCGTTTGACCCCCCCTCGCCGTCTGAGGTCTTTCACCCTCCTCGCCTCCCCCATTCCAACAGGCAATCACATGGCAAGTTACATGCCGTGAAGGGGGACCCGAAGCTTCTTTCTCTTCACACAAAATAATTGGGTTACGCATATCTGTCTAAGGCATCTAAGGCGCCTCCACAACCCCAACCCAACAATAAGCCGACATGACTCGACCTGGCGCGCGCCCGTGCACTCTTATCATGAATAATTGCACAAAGATTGGGGGGGGAAGTTGGGCACATGACATGGCCCGTTGACTCCCAGTATAAGTAACGGCGGCCAGGCTACAGCCTCGCAGCCTCGCGCGCGTGCTGGTAGTGAGTAACAAGAGTCCAGTCATCCACTCAGCCACCTGCAACCTCACGGCGCCCTCCTTGTCGTGTGCACGTGCGCACAGCCTTGCAGCCTTGACCAGGGGGCGGGATCTCTGTCATTCGCACAGGGGCAATATCACCTAGTAGATAGCAATCACGCCGGTTCAAACTTCCCAGCGGGAAAAGAGTCATACGGAACCCAACGCGCGTCACCAACAAACACCATCTGAGCTTCAGTCTGATCCTCCCCTAGGCAGAAGGGCTAGGCAGATAACGCCTTCTCGGCCACTGCGTAGGATGCAAAACATTCACATAAATAGACCGCCACGGCTCGCATTCTGTTTCTGGTGGGAGAAAAAGTATATAATGTAATGATGATGACGAAAGCCTGATACATTATGGAGTATTTAACAAGTCGAAAAAAAAAACGGCAAGCCGCCAGTTGCCCCGCCCGCGAAAAAGACCAGCAAAAGACCCGCCAACCACCCGCAAGGAAAAACGGTGCATCGCTACACCATGCATGCTGGTCTAGAACAGAATTCGAAGAGAAGAAAAGGCCGGCGGAGTATATACTCGACGTCGACACCAAAAAGAACGGAAACACGCCCGCATCCTCCCGCTCTCGCTCGTTTGCGCCACATCAACCATGCTATGCATCAAAACAACAACAAACAGCAACCATCCCAGGGTGCCAGGGCCAGAGGAGCATTGAAGCCTCTGCCAAAGAATGAGTTTGTGAGGAGATTGTTGAAACAGAGAGAGAAAAGGAAACGTGAGTGGCCACTTGTCCACCAAGCAACTTTAAAGTCGACTTATTAATGATGCCTCCATGGGCATCGACTCGGGAAGGAATTGACGGAAACTCGTCGAGTTGGATGTGAGGAGATCAAAGAAGACTCCAAAGTCCAGGTTGCCGACTGGCGGGTAGATCTGCGCACAAGGCGGTCGTTCGCCACTCAGCAGATCTTCCTGGTCCTCCATGAACTTGGCAAGCTCGGCGCGAAGAGCCTTCGGGGTCAATGGCGAGTGGTACAAGACATTCAGGCCCTGCATCTGCATCCTCCTGACATGGCCTTCGCCCTTGCTGCTGTCGTGGAAGTGTGGATTTCGCGTCTCGATCTGCAGGACCTGGACAATGCCTGAATCAGAGCGCGCGAGCGATGGGACAGGGGGCCCGACCGGGGTGGCCTGGGCAGTCATTGGCACTCCGGCTTTTGCTGGGAGCATGGTTGCCGCCGGGGAGGGTTTTGATGTCGACTTGCCATATTGCTCGAGGATGTTGAGAAGCTCATAGGGCTCAATGGCGAAGCCACCAGCGAGACGAAGCTTCAGGCCAAGCTCAAGCGTCATGGCGTGTTCACCAGCATTGCCGGTGACGATGAGCTCAGAGTTGGGATCGTCTGTGTATTCGTTGAGGAGTTTGTTGAACCACTCATTGACGACTATTGAGCTGCGGCCGCGCTTGTCGAAGCACAGCCGGCCATCTCGCACCTTTGGCTTTGAGTTCCAAGAAATGCGCACCATGGCGCGGGGGGATTTGGCTGCGTAAAGACCGGCCGCAAAGACTCTGCAGTACTCGTTGACGGAACCGGGAACAAAGTTGTCGGCATCAACATAACCGATATACTTGCGTTTCGTCAGGGCCGCCAGAGCCATGCCGATGATCATCGCTTCACCCTTGCCGGGATGGATGGTGCCAGAGCTTGACACCAGCTCAGGCATCCCCGCCTGACGGAATGCCTCGGCGGCCTCAGGGTCTTTCTGGTGGATGATCATGGCAGCTCTTTGTGTCACGGCGCAAAACTCTTCAAGGAGTGCGACCTCTGCGCCATAATTGTCGACAGGAGATCTGGAGCTGTTGGAGACAATGATGACGAGGCAGTCATGAGGGATCCCAGACAAGACACCTTCGATGACTTGGACATCCTCGTCCATGCACGCAATGACGATGACCATCTGCGACTGTATTGTCGCCAAGGCGTCCGCAGAGATGATGACATCCCCGCTGGCCGTCACAGGGACGGGGCGGCGGGTGTTTGAAGCACTGTCGATCTCAATGACACGTTGTACAGGACTGATCTGCACACGGCCAAAGAGCTCGCAAGGTATAAGCGGGCCTAGCCTCATGGCGATGTTGCCGTTGGGCAAGTTGATTCGGAGACGACTGGCGGTCCTCGTGAGGTTGAGACGATGGTGTTGGCAGCTATGCCGGTTGCCTCTCGGCGGATTCGAGTTCGGTAGTGGTTGGCAATATGAATGAAGAATGTGGCAGGCTGGATGGGCAATCAAAGGGTTTCAACTAGGCAGAAGCGCCAGGAGGGAGGCCAATATACGACGACGACGGACAACGAGGGAAGGCTAGAGCTAGGTCGATGGCCAGGACTGTATAGCAGGGAGATATCTGGTGGGTGGTGTTGGTCGAGGTCCAAGGATATTTCTGCCTGACATGAGGGTGAGGCCGTCCTTATACTCCTTTACCCGTGGCGGCGTATACGGCTCGCCAGGGCAGCCTAGGCGGCCCTGGAATAGCGCCGGGCCGCACAGCACAGAGGACGTCGGATTCATGTCTCGGGAGGTGACACAACGGGGAGAGCGCACCTGTGCCGTGGGCAAGCTCGAAGCTAGGGGTGGAGGCTCTGAGAACCAATCGGCCGGGCAGGCATTCTGCGTGGGGCGTGCGAGTGCTGGCAGGCGGCGGCGGAAGCTCAGTCTCGTGATTGCGGGCAAGGTACACTCCCCAGGGGAGCAAGTAAGCCTCAGCGTGGGTTGAGCATCATGGCCCATGGGATGGCATACCTGGGTCGAGGGCGCCGCGGCGCTGGGGTGGGCAAAGGGCCGGGGGTCCTGGTCTGCGGTCGGTGAGAGGGCGTGCGGACGAGCAGTGCCTCGCTGCTGGCTGGCTGGCAGAGTGCCGAGTCCTGTCCCAAAGGTCCTGAGCCAGCCTGGAAAACTGGGGACGCGCGATTGAGTCACCTGCCTGCCGGCGCACCACGACGTCGAGATGCACGCCGGCACCGGCGACGGCAGCAAAGGCTCGGTGGGATGCAGAGGCTGCGATGTGAGCTGTTGCGGGACGGTGATGGTGGCCGGCAGAGGTCTAAGACTGAGACGGCGATGCCAGCGTTGGCTTGGCCAGGTTGTTGCTTGCTCGACTGATAGACTGCTGGGTGGTGGATGGAAGGATATTCCCAGGCCTGAGAGCGTTTGCTCATTGCTAATCATACCCCCACCACCCCACTCTATCTACAGGAACTGGAAATCGCTAGTTGCCCACTGCCAAACAAGCCACTCCAGACCAGGCGGCGGCAGCTCCCGACCAGGACGGCACACCCCCGTCACTAGATTGTCAAGTTGCGATTCACGCCCAGCCCCTCCGCGCCTCGGGACTGAGTAGGAACCCCGTTCCTTGCTACTTGAGGGCACGGCCGGGCAGGCGGCAACGGCTCCCGTGCCGTGGCTTGGCCATGGGTGACTCCCAAACAAGGTAAGACATTTGCGACCAAGCCTGGATCAAGCCCAGATGGACCATCGTGCCTTTCTTTCTGGCGGCAGAGGCTATTGCCTGCTGAAAGGATTCCTGCCAGTGGCCGATGGAAACCGTGGAATTTGTGTGACCGTGGACAACAAACACAGGAAGAGAGTTGGGAGGGGGTGCTTGGCGCGAGTTGGCGGAATCAGCCCTATGGGTTGCGCTAGAGCCGTCATTCTGCGGCGGCCACTGAACCATAGGGCCCCTCCCCCTCGGCCAGGCAAGACATAGTTGGCCGGCGAGTGGTGGTGGTGCACAAAGTCTGGCCTCCAAGTCGGCCAGGGCGCTGATTGTGCACAAACAACATCTCTAGGCAATCTGCATCTCGGAATTGTCCCGCGTAAAATCTCCTTGACGTGGCCCGACCCAGCGCTCCGTCCGGTGGGCCTTCCACAGGGCTGAATGTGTGCCTTGGCGTCGGCGCAATCCGTTCCTTCCTCACGGCGCAGGCAGGCGCCAGGGGCCATGTCATGGTCATGCCTTCCTTCCTTGCTACATACCAGGGAGTGACCTGGTCAGCGTAGCGCCCTCCCAGCTGCCTCTCACGGGCATCGTCATCAGCGCCCTCTCTGCTGCAAGTCAACAACCACCACCAGGCATGGCATCCAGCGTCGCTCTCAGGTGTCCATACCATGGCCTCTCCACATCATTCCCACGAACTACGGGGCTGGCGATTCACCGACAGTGGCATCGTCACCAGCACATCCCGCCACGAGGGTGCGCCTGCACAGCCACCAATGTCCACCGAAACCACGGCGTGCTCGTCAAGGGCCACGACTTGCGTCACCGCTGTAGCCCCGAGAAGCGGAATTGAGCCACTACGTCCTCAGTAGGACCCCACGTGCCCTGGGCCGCAGCTCGAGGCCAGTCAGTCCAAGCATCTCCTCAATTCCTACAACGAGCCCTACCGAGTATCAAAGCGGAACCAGACGTCTGCGCCCCGCCACCGCGGCCGCCCCCGCCCGGAGACTCGCTGTCCACCTAGGTTGCCGCTCGGCAGAGATGTCAATTGTTTGCGTCTTGCCTGGGATCGGGGAGCCCCTTGCACGGCCGCCTTGCAAGGATATATTCAATGAGTGCTAGATAAGGACACTCTGGGGGAAGAGAAGGAGGGGGCATCATCCCTGCCTGCCCATGGTCTGGATCGGATTGTGTGAAGTGCCGAAGTCTCGGAGGACTTGGACCCGCCCAGCGTTGTGATTTTGACTCCTTCGGTCATGAATTGCAGGCCAATCAGAAATCCAGCGTAAAGCCTGGCGAATCACAATGGGTAGAACTATGGCCCTTTGGCCATGTGGCCCACCATCAGGCAGCAGGGCCATTGTCCATTTCCAGCACAGCAACATGCCTGGTCGGCGAGATGTCGACGCGGCACTACCCTTTACGGTACCAGCCGACAGGAACAATACTAGGCATATCATTACATGGCCATCCTGTTGGCTAGCCGCGCAGAGTCATGAAACTAGGGCTGACCCTGGCTGCCTGACGGTATCACTCAGAATGACTCTAGTCAGGAGCATGATACATTCGGCTGAACGCGGCATACACAATAATCGAGCTCGGCTACTGCATCCGTGATCGCAGCGTGCGAGACACAGGTAGCTTCCCAGGGGATCAGTACGGGGCTGCCTGGCGACATCTGCAGCGGGATGGAGCAAAGATGCAAAGCACGACAGACAAGAGACATTCCACAAGGCATGCCCCGAGAAAAGCAGGACCATCTGGGTGTCTTGTTAGATGTCATTGACAGGGCACATGCCAGAGTCCCGACACGGAGGAACCTCCACACCAACTTGTCTCGGCTACGCCTGCCCCTGTTCGAGACATCCCAAACTCTCATCTGCGAGGTTGCAGAGCAGCCAGACCCCACCAACACCAGTCCCGAACTACAACTGACCTAACTCCGGCACCCCGGTGATTGAGAAACGTGCGCCTTTACAGTCACTGCCTGCCTGGCTGAGTTCGCACGTCTGCCTGCCCAGGCACTTGTCTGTCTGCCGGCCTGTTGACCAATGAACTCAAATCACATCAACCTTTAGCTCTCTAGCAAGCTGCGCTGCGCCGGCGGGGCTGGCCATGGCTCGATTCTTGCACTTTCATTGTTGACTCAGTATGTTGACTTTCTCTCTGCAGCCTGCAGTCACAAGGACACCGCGGCGCCTCTGACCTTGAACGCCATCGTGGCCTGCCCAGCCAAAACCTTGTGCAGGCGCCGGGGAGGTGCTGACTTGGCTCTATGTTTATTGTTGCAAGGCAAACGCCCTAGAATTGCGACCCAGAAAGCATCAACCAGGACGTGGGCAGCAACCATGTCGAGTGTGCCTTGTTGCGGCTTTATGACGATCCGCCAATCAGATGAGCTGACACAGTATCCAATCAAGGTCGGGGAGATGTCATCTTGGCCCCCAGCATGGGTTGCTCGAGTCCATGCTCATAACCACATGTAATTTTCCATGAATCACTCTGATTCGTCACGGACGCTCTGATTGACACAATCTTTGCTCATTTCCAGAACTTCCATGCATGAGCAGGGGCACAACACCCACAAGCGGCCCTTGACCACCACCACCAAGAACTATTACCTGAAACCGTCGAGATGCAAGTGTTTTAAGCCTCGATGCTGATGGGTGTCACACACCAGGTGGAAAGCGCCCACGATAGTGTGGGTGTGTCCGGATCGAGACGCAGTGTGTCTACACACCGGGTGCCTGAATTCTCCCGATATGGCAGCTGCGGAAACATTCTGTCACGACAATGACACTGGCAGTACGAGCAAGCATCGTAAGTGGCCAGAGAAGCCCATCGTCTCTTTTGTGACACCAGACTTCTGTCATGTGCTCGCTCTATTCTAAAGTGTTTAACATGCAACGCAAATCTCATTACGATGGTTGGTAATGTCCGATCGCATGGACCAATTCAACTAAACGGCCAATGATGCATTGCCACCGGGGATACCACAAGCAATAGAAACCTGTTGTTGTGCTAAAGGGAAGATGGTGACACACCAGACGAGCCAGTGGCCGCGCATCGAGCCAGAAAACTGACTTGAAGGATGCAGCAGGCGGCTCATCGCTATAGCGAGATGCGATCACTGATCACAAGCACAAGTGAGAAACAGCTACCCAGACGAGCGGATTCCAATCTCCGGCTTCAAGGATGACGCGGCCACCGTCGCCGACGCTGGCGTTTGTAATAATATGTGATGCATTATCGCCATCGGATTCCGTCACGAGTATCCTTGTCACGTCCAGTTCCAGCCCCCAACCACCCTGCAGCTGCTCTGCGGATAGATGGGACAGAGCCTGATGAAGAGGTCCATCCTTGCACCGGATATTCCTGGGGCTCTGGATGGCTCGCCACATATGGATAAAGGTTTAGTCGGTCAACGCGGATTCCCCTACAGCCTCGGAGAAATTGCTTGCATGGAAAGCCCACGGGCGGAGTCCCCGGTGTGATAGTCGGGTCAAATCATGCCCCGAGCCTGGAGATGTGTGTTTCAGAAAAGGCTACCTCGGCTGTATAGATGGCGATGGCTGAATTGAGAAGGAGGTTTGTGACACACCGGTCGCCCGCTACCCGAGCAGAGCGAGACGGCGTTGCATCCGCCTCGTCTGTCTGTCTGTCTGTCTGTGACGCATTCAGTGGCTTGACAATTACTCTGGCAACTCTACAAAAGCCGCGTAAAAGACATCCCGAGAAATTCTCTGCTGGACAAGCCATTGGTTTTGGTCGGATTCACAGCCAACGACGAAAACTGCTCCGCAGAAGTAGGGCAACGCGTAAAAGCTGCCGGCCACACAACAACAACATCTGGCCACTTCCTGAGGACGACGACCCAAGAAACGAGACTAACAGCCTCACATGGCTTCCAGCAGCCAGGCCAGCAGCAGGCGGCCTTGCCAGAGAAGGAAAACCAACGACGGGAGGGGAGGGATCAAAGTTGAAGCCTTGGACAGACAAGCTGGCCAATTCAATAGCAGACTACCCATACACACAGTTTCGCAAGTGTCCACCTAGGGTTTCGTGCCAGAAGAGAGTCCGCTTCGGGGTAATTAGGATGTCGTGCTCCCAACAAGAGTCCTCCTTAATCTTGAGGATTTGATAATTATGTCATTTCGTTTTGGTTTTTGTTCTTGTTTTGCGTGTGGGTATATACCACGCGTTGTGTCCGCTAGGAGCACTTTGCGTCGTGGATACCCTATCTTCAATAAGCCGAGAAATGACCAGTTCAAGAATGGCTTCATAGAAGTTTCGGCCTTTCTCCCAGCTGAGTACCAGCAATCAGTGATCTAACGAGAAGAAGACGGAAGAGGAACGACATCATGTGATATTGTGTTTAAAGCAAGGGTATCTAAAAAATGGAATCACGCTCAATTTCCCAAGGCAAAACCCATGACGGACCGGCAGGTCAAGAAAATCACGTACTCCCACTTCGCATGAAATGTGCCTCATTAATGAAAAAGAAAGGCCACCACAACCGGGGAAAACATCATGCCATTTCTCCCTCGCTCACGATCAATGGGGCCTAGCTGGCGGTGACGCCATCCTCCAAGGCAAGTACGATAGGCGAGGAGGCTCAACCGAGGTTCATACCAGGACTGAAACTCAGGACATCATTCGGATAGTAGTCCCCAAGCCAGCTCATCATCTCATTCTGCTCAAAGCTTGTGAGGTGCTGCCCAAAGTCGGCCTCGTTGTAGAATGTGACAAAGTGGAGATCGGACGCTCCACCGTTGACCGTGGTCCCAGCAGTGCTCGTGGTTGTGGACGTGATCATGCCAGATTCGGTCCCGCCGCCGGCGCCACCGATCGGGTACGAGTATCCCCCCGAAGCCATGCCGCTGCCGCTCGAGGCGAAGTTCGACGGCTCATTCGTATCTTGTGCTGTGTTGGAGAATAAGACGGCGCTCATAGCTGAGGCCGGCTCCTGGCGAGTCTGGGAGCTGAGGTATCCCCTGTGTTGCTCGCCGGCGCCAATGTTCGCCGATGTGGTGTCGGCCTGGAAGTTGAAATGACCATTCACGTCATGCGATGAAGCTGGCGGCAGCACCATAGCCATGCTGCTATTACTGCCGTTACGTGCAGCGCTTGGACCACTCATTCGCATTTCAGGACTTGAGGCCAATCCTGTCGTGTCTGCCCCGGACGCCACCTCATACTGCTGGCCTGTCTTTCCAGTAGCCGACACGGTCGAAACACGTCGAGGTCGGCCAGCAGAATGCCGCAGATTTGACGTGTTGGGCTGTACAAATGGAGAAGCGGGAGGGAACATTGCTGCAGTCTCTGGACGACTTTGTCGGATAGGGTCGTAGATCATGTTCCCTGGTGGCGTTGGCGCCGACTGCGGGGACGAGTGGCTGGCAGCCGCGCCACTGAAGGCATGCGCCGTGGCGGAACGGCCAATGGCGGCTCCATTGGCAGCAGGCGTCTGGAAAAGGAGAGTCAAGCTCGAGTTGGGTGAGTCGGTCGTACCAGTTAGCGACCAGGCCAGTGGTGGGCCGGCTTCTGTTGTTGGTGCTGTGCGTAGATGTTCCATCATCTTAGGACCGAGTCGTTCAGCAGCACTGGGTAGCCGAGATCGCTTTGTGCTCTCATACTCCTCGACCGTGTACGTTTCACAGTCCCATTTGCCTTCCGACTTTTGGTCCAGTGCTGTCAGGATATAGCGGACGCCTCCCCAGTACGCATGCATCTGTTTCAGAGCCTTGTAGCAACCCTGGTAGTTCTGGTTCGCGGCAGACGCCAAAAGTGAATGCCTCATGATGTGCTTGTCGTTGCTGTTCGCTAGTCCACCTCTGTTCTGCTGCGTTGCAGTCGGCGTGGAGGCTTCGGGCGAGCCCGGGTTTGAGCCAGCTACGCGTGATTCCATGAGAAATGCATTCGCTGCGATATATATTGGTTGCGACGTGAAGGGATTTGCGATCGAGCAGAGCGGATCCAACAACTCGGCAAAGGCGAGAATATCAGCAATTGTCTTGGCACTTGACATGGACAACTCCCTGCTGTGCGGCTTGAGTTGGCCAATGCGACTGACTGCGCCCTTTCCGGTCAGCAGCGTAGGCTGGTGCAGGACTATAATGAGAGCATGAAACCAGACGTGCAGCAGAATGAATGTTGTCGCGTGGCCATTCTTGATGTACGCCTGGAAGTTGTTGGCGTCAAAGCGCAACCGCCTGTCCATCTTCTGATGAAGCTTAGTCAACTCGTGTTCCATCTGGCCAAGTCTCTGCAACTTGTCATGTGTCAGGTCATGCGCATGCCGGATCTTGTTCAACACATCCGACACTCGTCCGTACAAGTGTATGATTTGTATCAGGATAGGGAGCGGCAGGGGCCAACCGGACTGGGGATCTAGCGTCGACTTTGGCATGCAATGCTCAAAATCCTCGTCCTTGAGAGTGACAGAACGGCCAGTGCCCGTGGAAATCACTCGGTCCAGGAAGAAGACAGCCCAGAAGGTGTCAAGTCGCTCCTGTTCCACCTGCTTTTGCTCTTCCAGACTCAAGGCGTGATCAGGAGGGTCCTCAGCCTTCGAGGTATGCGAGGCCTCCCCATGGCTTCCCTTGCGAGTCATCGGCCGAGTGTACCATGGGTCGTTCTCGCCGCGGAACCGGACTCCATCCTCGGTCGTCAAGCCCAAGTCCACTGCCATGCGAATAGCAATACCGAGATACATCCAGAGCGCGCTATCCTGGTCGGCGCCGAAACTGTCATACGCCATGAGCAAGCACGCTTGAACTGCAGCTACAGACGGACACGGGAAGGTGTCCACAATCGCCAGCTTCGCCCGCTGTGCATAGACGTGGCCATATTCGGACCTGGCCACCTTTGCGTCGCCACCTTTCTTGAAGATAGGTAGGTCGGAGAAACGAGCCCCGAGCGCACAGACAACGTCAACCAATATGGGCTCCACGCGTTTCTCCACGACCATTTGGGTGAATTGATTGCGTCTCAAAAAGGCGTGGGTGCTCCCAAGATGGACAAAGAATAGTTCGACAAGACTGAGAATGACTGGCGACACCGGTTCATGATCATTGATGTCGTAGAACGGGGCCTCTTCGGCTTGCATTGTGTCATGATCCGACATGATGGAGCTCAAAAACCCCGTGTAGACGGAGCTCGTGCTGGGCGATGTTGCCGACATGGAGCTGCGCCTATCCTGGACGCGGACAACCATCTGCTTGAAGCCAGGCACGATGGCGGTGGGTCCAAAGTAGCGAAAGTATGGGACAACGCTCTGACTGTCGCTACCGTGAAGCTGTAAAGGTGACCGGTCGATGGAGCTGCCGCCGTCTTCTGTCGAAAACGAGTTCTGTCGGACCTCTGCACCTGATGGGCGTCGCCTTGCGGGCTTCTGTGCTGGCCCCTGACCGTGGTCTGCTGCTTCAGTAATTTCCGACTTGACTCGGAAGGCCGGTCGTGCGTGCTCTGTTCCATCAGATATCCTGTGGTTGTTGGCGACTGACATGGTAGATATGTCCGACCGCCCGCTGCCTCTCCTGCCTGTGCTGGCCACCGTCTTGTCGAATGCGTATTCCGGTCCATTGTCCAGAACTTGGACATGTTCGTCCACGGCATCGAGCTCGCCTTTCTTCTTCTCGTCCGGATGGTCGGTGTACCCCTGGCATTCGTGCCCATTCTTGGTGCAGGTCGAGCAGACGGGATGTTCGCCGGCGCAGCGAGTCTTGCGCTTGCGGCATGTCAGGCAGGCAGCATTGATCCTCCTGCGCTTGGCGGGTGGCTGACCCTGGTTGTTGACGAAGCGGATCTGTTTCGGGGCGGGCATCGCCTCGGAGTGGCTGGTCACCTCGGGTGCCGCCATTGCTGGCCGCCTTCGCGACGAAGGAGGACTGGGATGGAGGCTTGGTCGAGTGAGTATGCTCTAACTCGTACTTTTATGCTCATGCCTCCCCCCAAGTTGAGGATTCTTGTTTATGGCAGACTTTCCCGGGGTCTCGTGGTCGGGCGTGTGTTTCGAGGAGACTCTCGAGAGCTTCTCCTACGGGAGGAGCTGGGCTAAAGCATTGTCGCCAGCGATTTGCATGTTCGCCTGGCACGCAAAGTCGCGCAGCAAAGACGTCGCGTTTGTCGTGAGGCAGACGCGAATGGGCAGGCCCTTGTGTCGCAGTGTGCACAGCTCAAGTCGCTTCCATGGCGCAGTCCAGCGGGAGTCGCAGGATGGAGAGAGATGCGTCGAGGGATTGCGCAGTGCGTGGCGGAGCTGGTGGATCTGCAAGAAGTTGCGGAGGGACTGGAATGGGGGCAAATGCTTAATTGGGACAGCTCCTGGAGGGCAGGGACCGAGACTGGAGACTGGGGAAGGCGCACGGCGGCGGCGGCGGCGAGTGGGCAGCAGGCGGGGGGAAGGGAGCACGCGGAAGGAAACGAGCGGGCACTTCAGGCGGGGGGCCATGGCGATCTGCAACCATGTCCTACTGTATTTCCCCATACCGTGCGGGTGCAGCCAGCAGGTATAAATCGCCGTCAGCTCTGTCTGCAGAGCAGGGCGAGCTCTAGACCACAGCGGCTGCGGCCCGCCGGCAGCACGCCCGCCGCTGGGCCACTGGCATTGCTGCCCGCATCGCCGCATGCACGCCAATCGATCTCTACCATGGTATACCCTCCACTGGGCAGGCGCCATGGCGCACACCATCTGTTCACCTTGTACTACACGCACAGCCCTGAGATCGTGCCATGCCTCCGCCTTTCTTTGGCTCGCTCTTCGTCATATCATAGCCGTCTTTGTGGATATCTTGGTCTGTTGTGGTCATGCTTCCGCAATGATGGGAAGCTCGCCGACTCGGCGGATTAATGAATACATAACGCCCCCCTTGATCCCCTTTTTGCCAAATCCAAAGTGCTCGCCTGCTCCCAGGCCATGCCTGCTTCATATAACTCCTCACTATGTGCATCGTCCGTATAAGCCCAGTCGGAAAAGTCACCCACACCGTCCCCTTTTTTGATTATATTCCATCATCCATCACCCTCTCCCATGCGCAGTCGGCCACACAATGTGGTGATGTCGATGCGACCCCTGACGATGACCACAGCCCCGCGCTTCCCACGGATCGAGCCGAAGCGATGAAGCCTCAACCAAAGACAATGTTGACACCCATCTCTGCGCTGATCTTCCTCCACAGCTGCCCAGCATCGAGGTAGTTGTCCATACCGCCGTCGGCGGCACTTAGACCACACGCCGCCATGGCCGCCGACCCGGCCACCGCCGCCTCCTTTGCGATATGCTCGCTGCTGCTGCTGCTGCTGCCGTCGTCGTCTGCACCGCTGCTGTGGCTCTTGGCGTCGGACCGCGCCCACACCTCAGCGACGACCCTCCACGCCTGCTCAATGTTCGTCATGCCCTGCCGGAGCTCAATCTCCGTGAAAGCCCTCCTGGCAAGAGCCCGATCCGCCTCGCTCCGCGCTTCACAGGCCGAGACGAACAAGGGCCACAGCAGCGCACCCATGGGGCCCTTGTGGCTGACCGTCTCGACGCAGTGCCGGAGGGCCTTGTGCGCGTGCTCCTGCACGAGAGGGTGGTCTGGCTGGTACTCGTAGATCGTCCTGTAGAGGTACACAAAGGCGCTGTGGCGATATGCCATGGCGTTGTGCAATATCGACTGCAGCCGGGCCAGCTCCTGCTGCGAAGGAGAGCCTGAACCTACTGCTCCCGCGCCCGCGCCCGAGCCGCCGGCGCCGGCGCCATCGGCGGAGCTTTTGGCGTTGGCCTGCTTTGCAGGCGTGGCCAGGGCCAGGCTCGCGAGCTGCTCCTCCCCGTCGCCGCTGGTCCCGACGGTAAGAACGACCTTTGGCGGCAGGCAGGGCTGCCACTGCGTCAAGGCCACCTCGATCGCTTGCGATGTCTCGTCGTACTCGCTGCGCAGCACCGCTGCTTTTGATGTCTGGTTGGTCTGCTTGGCGTTCTCGAGCTCGGCGCGGAGTGAGAGCAGGCTGGACAGGCGATGCATGACGGGCCACAGTGTCGTCGCCATGCCGAGAAGTGTGTCCACGTTGTGGAGCGGAGATGCAGGAGCAGCATTCATCGGCGGGAAAGGGAGCAGGCAACCGGCGGCGGGCGCGGTAGAAAGAGGAGCTGTTCCGAGCGACAAGGCTGTGATTACATCGTAGAACCGGAATGCCTGTTGTTATTCTTTAGCATGGAAAATTGTTCTCCGTCTCTTTTGGCAGTCTAGTGGTTAACACATACCCGTTCAAGGAACAAGCCAGTAGCATCGTTCTGATCCGTCGCAGTGGACATGATGGTCAACGCGCCCCTCAGGTGCCCATCGACTATGCTCGAACGTCCACGTTGGACAAGCTGAGACCATGTTGTTAGTGTCCGTAGTACCTATCACAGAGATGCTTGTGAAACCCATGACCCACCACTTCATAGTATACAAGCAGCATGATAGCAGCGAGAATATGATTTTTGTCGACCGACGTCCCAACCTCGATGAGTTGAGCCAGCCCCTGAATCGCCTTGTTGTGGAAGTAGATGGACTTTTCGTCGTTTTGGACGCCTCGGTATTCCAGATGCGCACTGGCGAGTGCAAAGATGGCATTTTGCACTGGTCCGCTGTTATAGGATAATGGCAGGACTAGCTGCTGGAATGGATTTCCAGACTCCTCCCGGAACACAATCAAGTGGGAGAGAACGTTGCAAAAGTGATCGACAAGTTGGCGGCGGTTTCGCTTGTCGGAGAATTCCTGGAACGCGGGCATGCAGAACTCGAGCCTTGGCGACCCTGCCGGACATGGCGCTATCATCGCCAGGTCTGGCTGTTTGGATCTGGGGATGGACATGACACTGGCCGTGGATTCTCGGCGCATTTTGAATGGGACAAGGCTGTGATTATCTGTCCACACGCCGTCGAAACCCAGCGGGCTTGTGGGCGAGAGGAGCATATCATCGGTCGTGTAGATGTCGTCGATGCTGATATCCTCCACGTCCTCGTCTGCCACGGACAGGTCGTGGTAGCCGTCATCGTAACGTTCGCTGTCTGCGTGTTCGAGGAGGTCGGACGTCCGATACGACCTTCTGTATTCAGCAGCATGGACGAAATCCGCCAGGCTCCCAATCGAGTCGCGCTGCTTCCGCTGCCGTGGCTTGACTGCTTCATAGGCACAGTCGAGTCCTCGCTCTGCGCATCTCGCGCACTGTGGCCGCGTCTCGTCGCACTTCTTCTTCTGCGATTTGTGCTTGCGGGTTAGGATTGTGCCCTTGCAAATGGTCGAACAACAAATATCTCGAAATTCTGGCCATACGTACTTTCTCCTTGCTGCAGATTGTCATCAAAGAGCTGAGATTAGCCAAGACCTCATGACGCATGATTGGTGGGAAATTGAGAAACTAACCATGATGTACAGCCTAATAGCAAATAAATTAGCAATCCCATTTGGACCAATTTAATAGTGATGCGGTGCTCTAGGTGAAGGGAGAGAGCTGTAGCACACTCACCGGCCCTGGAGCGGCGTTTGGGCACCTTTGGTGGTGCCAGCTTGGTGTAGAGAAGCATTGTCGAGACTCGCAAGCTGTTTGCTATGACCGTCTAGTGGTTATGGCTGGTCAGATGTTGCCATTCATCGTCGTGGGTGCACCCAGAGTTGTGGAGGCGGGTTGCCGCGGGGCCGCGGCACATGCAATTCGTCGAAAGAGTGGTCCTGTCACATGTACGAGGTTGACTTGTACGGTTTGTGATTCTGACAGGTTGGTTGCGGCGCGAAGCGGTTGCTCGTGGGGACAGTGGGTGTTTCGGTGGGAGCGCGGTAGAGGGTCCGAATAATGGTGAGCAAGGCAGCGGCCGAGGGGAAAACAGGATGAGGGCGTTGACGGCGGTGGGCGACGCTAGGTTTTTGGGGCGAGGTGCAAGTGAGGGCGGGCTTGGGGAAGCGCCAGAAGTTGTGGAGCAAGCATCGTGACCAGTTTTAGCGGTGCCGTTGGAGGGAGCCGGGGCGGGCTCCCCCAGAGCTAAGGGCAAGCCCGGCCAAAGAGCCGTACTGTACGTGGGCCCATCATCACAGGAACCGGCCGGTACCCCATCCATCTGCGACTAGGGTCCTGGAGGGGGCGCCGATGAACCATGATTGACGAGCCGTCGCTGCTGCAGCGTGGTAGCCGAACACGGGCTCAATGCGCATGAGCACACCTGACCTCTCGCATGCCTCGTCTCCCTGGACCGCCATCGCCGCTGATGTTACTCTCTGTTGCCCTCGCCCCTTGAGCTAGTCCCAGACCGCAGCACCGGAGACCCTCTCCGCCCGCAAGAGCCACCATCAGACGAATCATACCCAGGCCCGTCCTCGCCTGTATCAACCCCAGACACCGCTGGGACTGGATGCGGGGGGCCGATCCTGAGAGCTTATGGGCGGTGGCACTTGCCCTTGGAAAATCATTGCAAAGACCCCAGCCTCTTACGAGTTACCTGGTCCTACCTGCCTCAAGGTAGCTACCTTTAGCTAGCCTGCCGAGCAAGCCCCCCCAGGATCAGCAGGTTCCAGGGTTGTACTGTGCTGGACAGGGCCAAAGTGTGTCGACGTGACCAAACAAGATTTGCGCCGAGCGGGACATGCTCTGCCTTGCCCCCGCATCTCATCTTGCTGATGCGGAACACTGCCAACGCTGCAGGCAGATGGATCGCCACACCGGCTCCCCGTTAGTCTGTCCAGGAGCATGGCATTGGCCCCTGGCCGGGTTTCTTGGGACGACGGCGTGGACTAACGAAACCATGCTGCTACCCCGGATGACGATCTAGCAGCGTCGAAGACGCCAAGGGCGTTCTCCGCGGAATATGAAATCATCCCGCTGAGCCCTTCCCTTGGCACCACGCAAGTCCCGTAAGTCCTGGTCTCACGTGTGCCCAAAGGTTCAACGGGCCATGGCCGCCCTCCAAGCATCAAAAGCGAACGAACTGTCCCGTGCCTCTCAAGTGCCACTGTGGCAAGTGGCTGATGAGTGACGTCGAAGACGGATTGCACCGTGGACAAAGACGCATCATGGAAGTCATGGCACCAACCGGCTGTTCAACCCCCCTTGCCTTTGCCCCATGACACCTCTTTTTGTCACCTTGTCTACCCCACAGATGATCTAGCCTCGTTGGTATCCAGCTGCTTCTTTGGGCCTGGGGGGCCCCCGGGGTGGTGTCTGTACTGCATGCCCAGTCATGTCCAAGTGGCATCAATCCGCTGAGGTGAGGAGCAGCTGCCCAGTCAAAGTCGGCAGAATCTGGTCCAAGCCACCTGGACGACTGAGGGGAAATCGGACCGTTCCGGGCCAACTGCTGTGGTGTGCCCGTTGATTATATGTGATCAGCCGCCAAGGCTTGACATACACGTCCCAGTCCCGTAATGCCGATACGCAAGCCGTGGTGCGGATGGATCCGAGAGGCTGATTAGTCGCTGTCGCTCATTGGGCGGAGGACGACCTTGTCGAGATCAGTCTGCGCAGTTCGAGTGAATGCTTCCACACAGGACGCCATAGTAGCTTCAGGTACGCAAACGCTCGGCTGCAACGCTGGCTCCGGCGGGCAGCCGTGCCGATCGAGCTAGAAGCAGTCAGTTATTGCAACACATCGTGTGGTGTTGTAAAGTTGGGTATCTGTCTGCCCAGCCTTTACTCGAAGGATGAGTTTCTCCTCGTCGCTTCGAGCATGGACCTCCGGGGCTGGTTCTGCTAAAAGATTGCGTTGCTTGCGGTTGATTCCATGATTTCGGGAGCAAACAGAAGATTCATGCTTGGCTTGTGTCAATTACCCCGTCTTGTCCGAAAGGAGCCCTGCCTAGCGAAATTGCGGTTGTCGTGCAGCTCGACAAAGTGCGCGGCCGGCTGCTCCAACGTGATTGACTTCAGGAGTCCATGTGGACCATTTGCGCTGTCAGAAGAGATCGACCGGTGTCGCCCAAAGCGAGACTATAGCCATGGCAATCGCGATTTGCAGCGCGGAGAAGGAGTAGCCTCTCCGCCCACATGCAGTGCAGTGTAGGAGACTGTGCGCATGTGAAGGCCAGCAATGCATTGATTGTTGGTGCAACATCATCCCTGGCTGCCGAGGCCTTTGTGCATTCTACAGGGCCAGAATTTCCTTGCCCAGCAGGGGGGTCTGAGTGGTCGGTGGTTCCAGTGTCAGAATCTGCATGCGAAGTCGTGGTGCTGGAGGTGGGGTTTCGGACATGTCAGCAGCAACTGGGCTCAGCCCTCCTCCAGGGCTCCTTGTTGCCTTGTTGCGGTGAAAGTGGTGTGTCGGGCTGTCATCGCTGAGCCCAGGTGTGCCCATGATTGGCCGATGGGAACGTGAATCCGTACGGGGGGACTTCTTATCACACCACGCAAGTTGTTGCATGCGCACGCAGACGACAAGGCTGCCACATGCGCACCTTTGCCAAAGGGCATTCACCTACATATCCATGTTGCGGGGGGATGCGCATGCCTTCTCGCATGGGTGCCAGTCCGCTCGCTTGGTGACCTCGAGCGTGGTGGTGCTTTGCTATCATTATTTCCAGTATGAGGCGGCGCTCCGTAAACATCACCGTGGCCTGACCTGAATCGCGCTCGCAAGGGACTGCCCCATCACCCTCGTCGTAAAGCTCAGCTGCTCGGCACCTCTGACACAGGATCCAAGCCCAGGCGGCCTCGGTGCTGCGCCCACGTCAGCAACGGGACCTCTTATCTGTAGTCAGCTGCGCTCACAACACCGTCCGCCTCGCTCTTGCGCAATGCTCAACCAAATCATCGTCCTTTGGAGCGTGCAGCAACTTTGATTTCCTTTCGATAATTTGGGCGCCAGCTCCGTCGCATTTCTTCTGCCGGGCGAATCTCCTTAGGTTGGATGCCTCTTTGGCTGACGCCAGCCCTCGAAACCATCGCGCCGTGGGTCCGACCATCGCAAAAAGCTCGCGAAGATCCTCGAGAAGCGTTCAGCCGCATCAGCCTTGAAAGAAGGATAATTCTTTGCTACAAATCGCAAACTGGTCGAAACAGGCGGGCCGAGCATCGCGATCGCTTTAGGTCCTCACTCGCCCGACATGCGTCGAGGTTGGGGTCTTCCAGGTCGCAGAACCTGGCTTGTCGGCACAGCTTGGAGCCTCAACATCCACGCCCAGTTGCTCGAGCCACACCGGGTTCACGAAGTTGAGAAGGCCACAATCACCCAGGCACACCCACGACGCGACGCCACTTGTGAAGTTCAAGGATGGGCTCTTTGTCCGGCGGAGGTGGGAGGAGGTTGTTGTCCGAACAACTATAAGTGCGACGTGTCATCCTGCTATGCCACGACGGCAGGGCCGACCACAGCTTGCGGTAGAGAGGGATACTACAACTGTCCCATTGACGCAGGCCCAGGTAGGATGCTCGCGCGCCAGTGTCCTTGTCCGGTGGGAAGTATGTTGTCGCTAACCTTGCATGCGTGAATTCTAGGAAGCTGCTGTCCCGTGGGGCTTATATGTGCCAAATTTGGCGGTGCTTGCGTTGCGCCCGAGGGTGTCTCCATGTCGATATGTCCAGCAAATTACAACGCTTGTCCAGCGTCCCTTGGTAGCGGATGCTGCAGGTCCGGGATGGCGTGCGGAAACGGCTTTTGTTATTCGACAGCCCTGCAGACCTACACCGTGAGCGTACCTCTGACCACGACGGATTCAAGTGGGAGTACAACCACCCGAGTGGTAACCACTACGACTGTCGTGACGCCAAAGCCTGGAGCGACGAACCTCGGTGGAGACGCGACCGAGAACGTGATGCAATTACGTCCAAGCACTATCGCGAAGCTGCCGGCGGTGGAGACGGGCAACAGCGGTGGCGGTGGTGGCGGTGGCGGACTCTCGCAGGCGGCCCTCGGCGGAATCATCGGAGGAAGCGTTGGTCTTCTGGCCGTCATCCTGATCGCAACATGGATGATTCTACGGAGGCTGAAGAAGACACAAAAAGCAGCTGAAGAAGCAGCAGCGGCGAGGCGAGAGCCGTCGAAGGGGACCGGAAGGGAAAAGACGTTGAGCTTTGGACAGCCGACCGTTACCGAAATATACGCGCAAGATGGGACGGATCCGTTGCAGTCTCCCAGTCTGCGCCCTTCATATTTCAGGACTACCTCGGAGGCCACTGCGGGGGATTCCTCCCCTGCGCCTACATCGCAGATGCGTACCTCGGGCAGGTCAACTCCGTATGGAGCCTGGCCCGGCCAGTACAACCCAGTCCCGACGTCGGAGGCTCCCGACAGCCGGCGGCAGAGCGTCGAGACATTCCAGGCATATGATGTGAGGTACGCTCAGCACGTCATGCAGCAGCAGCCACGACAAGAGACACCACCACTGCACCAGAGAGCAGGCTCACACGACTCCCAGATGACCAGCGCCTACCCGGGTCGGCATATGAGCTATTCGAGCGAGCTGGAGGGCATGCATGGATGGTCGGAGCTCGAAACAGAGAGCACCGGGGGTGGTCGGCACCGGTCGTCCTCAGCAGCACGAGCCATCTCGCCGTCACACTCCCACCGGGGAAGTGTAGAGCTTCCGGGCTCTCCACGGATGCGCAGCGACAGTGGCACTGCTGTAGGGGGCAACATAGCGGGCAGTGTCGGCACCGGCCTCGTGACTGTCAACGAGATCAGTGAGCTGCACGGCTATTACGGACCGCAATCGCACGCAGCGGGACAGACGGCTGCCAGGCTGGATACATATCCGTCAATCGCGCCGACGGCGGCCGACGCTTCCCAAGCACCGCCTTCGGGGAATCCGCATCCGGGAGGTGGTCCCTCATATTGAGAGCATTGCAGCGTGATAGGGATTATGTTAAGTTCCTTTAGCATACGAAACTGCGACGGGAGACGGGAGATTTGAAGCGATTGCGCAAAGGTAGAATCGTGGCTGGCCGTGCGGGCTCATACTTTGGGAAGGAGCGACATCAAAATCGGAAGTGGTGTCGAGGTGCAGTTCAGTGCCTCAGGCAGCCACAACGAACACTGATGCTTGCTTGGGTGCGCATCTCAGCGGAAGACATCATACATTTGGAGCATCGGCGTATGCATCTTGTTACTCGATTTCGCACATGCTCTTGTCCTTTGCGTTTACATAGTACGGTGTTCATACCCATATTGTTTTGTATACCCCTTCAACAAGTCCGCCTTTGTGTGGCTTTCATCCTGGAGGCTCATAACTTGCTTGTTGTCTTTTCAGTCTCAAACATACACCCCCTGAGATATTATTAAAAGTCCGGGATTCCTTCTTGAGCTCTATCATATTCTACGCCTTCGCTCCAGCCCACCATTTCCCCCTTCGACATCTCCCATTCAACAAGGAAGGGGGGCTTTCCACCAAAAGCTCCGAGTACGTATGTATCCCTACCCTCTCACGCCTATCTCATCGGGTACGAGGTCTCCAGAGTGTCGACCTCGACCGCTCCGCCAGGCGTGACGCGCTCATAGTCCGAGGAGTCCATGTCGCTGACAAGAGCGCGCTTCTGCTGCTGCTTCGTCTGCTTCCGCGTCATGGGCTTGGCCTCTGCCCAGCGGCCCGCAAAGCAGATGCCCGGGTGGAAGACGGTCAGGGCGAGCGTGGCGAGCATGATCATGGGTCCCTCGAAGATCATGAACGTGACCTCGTTGTTGGCGAGGGGGCCGTTGAAGCCCTCAGACAGCTCGGCGACGCGGAAGGCGCAGCGGATAAAGATGAGAATGGTGGCGGCGGCGAGTGCTGTAGGTAGTAAATTGATTAGTCACCCTTTCTCGTGCGTTTTATGATTGTTTTTTTTGTTGTTGTTGTTGTTTCTTTTCATTACATCACGCAACTCACCATACAGAAAACCCTTGAAGCGGAAAGTGCTTCTCGTCTGTTCGAAGCCGTAGTCCAGAAGCTCGCGGCGGCGTCTGATCCTGAAGGCGTACTCGGCGCAGATGGCCATGAACGCGGCAAGTGAGACGACCTGAAAGGTCATGCCGGCAATCATGATGTTGACACCCATGTCATTCGTGGCCTTTGTATTGGCCGTGGCGGTAATCCCACCTCCGCCGCCCTGCAGCACGAGCGAGATGAAATCGCACGTGACGAAAATATAGGTGTACGTGCGAGGCTTGAGGCGGGAAGTCTCTGGTCCGTACGCCACGACGATGCGGGCGAGGCAGAGGTAGATTGAAGCGCTGAGAAACGCTGGCGCTATGGTGAGGCAGATGAGTTGCCTATGACAGGAGCGCTGTGTAAGCTTCTGCCAGGTGGTGCAATGGGCGACCAGCTCGGGTGACCTGGCGTTCCAAACTTACTGGAGAAAAGGGTCGAATTTGAAAGGGTTGTAATGTAGGGGAATGCGACCGGCGTAGCCGACGACCTCCAAGGCAAGACCTCCCACCATGCCAACCATGAAGCCCCATGTCTTGTAGCGGATGCCTAGGCCGAGCTGCGCGACCAGGATGAGGCCGAGTATGACGGCGTAGGCAATATTGCCGCCCAGGGACGGGGTGTAGGTGATCTGGGCATACTCGATCGGGCACGTTTCGAGGGTGCAAGTCTCTGGGTCGAAAGGGAGTGTCGTGTTGTCGGCCATGGTGTACCTAGGCAGCAAGAGTGTTGTGCTGAGCGGGATAGTGATTGCGCGCCGGATAAATGTGCTTTGTTGGATGAGTGTTGCAAGGTGAGGACTCAGTTGCTCGATAGTGAGGCAGTGTTCGAGCTGTAGTCTGAAAACGGGAGGATGAACTGAAATCTTTATACAACCGCTACCTACTCCTTCTGACCTGTTGCTCTTCTCACAGCCTCCTTCGAAGATACCGCAGCAGAACACAATGCACTGGCGTAAACTAGAAATCTATTGGCAGGGACACCACAGCCACAAACAAGTGAATTGAGCACGAGTGCGAGGTCGTCCCCACCTGTACGAGAGAAAAGCTCCCGGTTCGCCAATCTGTACCTGTTCCCCGGCGATCTCTTGGCGGGAGCATATATCCATGGGGCAGCTCCCCTGCCTGGCTCAGCCCGCTTTCTGTGGAGATCTCGCCCTGATGTGCAGCAGATGAATTCAAAAGTCCGACAACAGGTTGCGGGAAGTGAAGCACCAGCTCGGATTCAGTGAGAGAATACCGCCCAGTTCCACCCAATCAGAGCCTGAGAAACTTGCAGAGTGATCCAAAGGCGCACTAGAATGAGCCAGGGGCTAGCGAAACGCTTGTCCAGAGGGTCTCAGTACAAACGAGCCAATCAGACAACTCAGACTACCAGGGTTTCTCCCGTTTTGGGCCGTCCGGCGCTGACGGTCCTGTTGCTATTCTTGGCACAGCCACTTCTGCACTCTTCATTCTTTCCTCTTTCGGCTAGATATTTATCTGTGTTTGAGCCGCAGCCGTGGCATCTCAGATTATGGGCTTGGTTTCAGGCAGCAAGGTATGCAGGCCAGCTCTGGCATGTCAGCTTGTCTTTGTCCCGCATTTTCAGCGCGGGATTGTGCCCCATTGTCAAACGTAGCGTAAGGCAACGAGATACTTTAAGTGGCTGTGCCAGGCTGCCACAAAACGACTACCCGCAGCACGGAAGTACCCGACAACTGTTATCATGATACCTCAATAAACCATGCCCGTTAGGGGAATTGGGAAAGCAGGGACTGTATCAGCATCGCAGCGACAAAAGAATCTTAAGTCTGCCATTGGCGCAGTCTGCAGCCCAAAGCGCCCTTTATCACATCGCATACTCTCCACAGACTCGGATTCAGCGGGGAATACGTTATTAGCTCCTGCGTGAGCGCGTTCGCGGCGCCCATGGTATCTGATCCTTGCTCTTCTCTTTAAACACGGGAGCTCGAGCGGGTTCTAGTTGCCAGCTTGAGCGAGACTTTGGGTGAAGGCATCCACATTATTTTCACACACGCAGAGAGACGCAGAGGGACGCGCGTCGGCTTTTGGCATATTCGACAATATTCTCAGTCCAGTCCTACATTGACGACCAGGTAATATAAAGATACGGCCGGAGCCACCTTGTTGTCACATCACAATTGCGATGAGCATAAGTAGATAGTACGGCACCGAGGCTGGGCATTTCGGAATGGAAGAATATCATGTTTGTTGCGCTGTGTGGTTTCCGACAACAACACTGCCACCTTCAGCAGATACATCATTCATGTATTCGCCTGGCTGTATCTAGCATCACAGGAGCAGCGTGTGCTATTGAGAAGTGTTTATTAAATTGACCACCAAACTCCGCCATAATTTCACCGCCGGACCTAATTACCAGTGGCTATGCTATTCCTCACACCCAATGTCCCGTTCGTCATATGCCGCCTCAAATCCCCGGTCCCATTGACCGCAGGCTCCAGGGCTGCCGCCTTTGACGAGCCCCAGCCACCACCGCCAGGCGTCCTGATGATGATGCGATCGCCAGCCTGGAAGTGGCTGGTCTTCCTCGGGCCTAGCGAGGTCATCCTCGTGGCTCCCGTTACAGGGTCGCGCCGAACCCAGATGTTCTCGCCTCTCTGACCGTCTTCGCCGCCCTCGAGTCCATACGGCGCCGTGACTCTCCTGTCCGTCAGAACTGAGACCTGCAATGGGCTGCGGAACTCAATATCCCTGATGCACCCATCGCCGCCGCGGTACTGACCGGCACCGCCGCTACCTTTCCGGATTGAGAACTCGTGAAGGATCACGGGGTAGCGCTTCTCGAATATCTCTGGATCGGTGATGCGTGTGTTTGTCAGATGTGTGTGTACTCCGCTGGCTCCGTGCCAGCCAGGGCCGGCGCCAGCGCCACCCGCGATAGTCTCATAGTAGCCAAAGCCCTTGGTCACTAGGCCAGTGACAGGATCAGTGCCGCCACAACCAAAGGTCAAGTTGTTCATGGTGCCTTGTGATGCTGCTGCTGCGTTGAAGGCGCGGAAAATGAGGTCTGCAAGTTTCTGCGATGTTTCGGTGGTGCAGCCAACAGTTGCGGCCGTTGGTGATGGGGACAGGATAGTGTTCTCTGGGCAGACCACCTTGATAGGTTCTAGACAACCCTGGTTCAGAGGAATATCTGCTGATATCATGGAGCGGAGACAGTACTATCCACGGAGAACAATAGGTTAGCAAATTTGCTCAGAAACCAAAGATCTGGTGTGAAAAGCTTACCATAATCACAGAGTAAGAGCACGTCGGTGGCGCATTCAGATTGCCAGAATGCTCAGGTCCGGTGCCAGTGAAATCAAAGACTGCCTCGCCTGAATCCTTGTCGATAATGACCTTGAGCTGAAAGCGGATGCCATCGTCATTGTACTCGGTAGCCTCGAGGACACCACCCTCGTACTTTGTGGCAAAAGACTTGAGTAGCTCGCGGACAGCCTGGGCAGCATTCTCCTGGATGGCTTTCATGTACAGCTGCACGACCGGCCAAGTGAATTCTTTGATCAGATCCCGGATGAGCTCGATGCCCTTCTGGTTGGACGCAACGGCAGCCTTGAGATCTGCAAGATTATCGCTCAAGGTGCGCGTGCCGCTGCAACCTGGATATGACGCCGGGTCGTCGTAAAGATGCTTCACCAGGCCCTCCTCATCAAAGACACCCTCTTTGATCATCTTGAACGACTCAATTGCGGCGCCTTCCTGCCACAATTCAGTCGAGTTAGGTGGCATCGACCCAGGGGCTATACCACCAACATCGGCATGGTGACCCCGGTTCGCAACGAAGAAGATGATCTCCTTGGGATCTTCCTCGTTGTCAAAAACGGGGGTGATTGTTGTGATATCCGGCAAGTGCGTACCCCCAGCTTGAGGGTGGTTGCTAATGATGACGTCGCCAGGCTTAAGCTCCCCGGGCTTGTAACGTTGAGCTTGGTAAGCGATCGCTGTGCTCATAGAGCCAAGGTGACTTGGAATGTGGGGGGCGTTGGCAACAAGGCCACCATCCGCTGAGAAAACTGCGCATGAGTAGTCGAGTCTCTCCTTGATATTCACTGAAATAGATGTCTTCTCCATGGTGTGACCCATCTGCTCGGCGACAGTCATGAAACGGTGACCGAAGACACTAAGCTGGACAGGGTCGACGACGTCCGTTGAGACGGTCTGCTGCTCAGACTTGCTGACCTCAAGGATAACGTGCTCCGGCAAAATGAAAGCCTTGCTAAGGTGATCCACAACGATCGTTTGCGTCTTGTCGATGATCATGGCCGGGCCATTGATCTGTACGCCTGGACTGATTGCATCAAGGCGGAAGACGCTGACCTCGGTCCAACCGTGCTTCTCGAAGAAGACCTTGCGGGAGAAGACTGGTGTAGGAACTGGGGTGAGTCCGTCAGACTTATATCGCTGAAGATCCTTGAAAGGACTTGCTATGTTCAGGCTGCGGGTGGTGCCGATACTGCGTACGCGGATGTCATCCACGAGAATATCTCTTGATTGTGAGAAGCCAAATTCTTGAGAGTGGCGAGCTGTGAAGGCATCCGCGAATTCAGAGAGGTTTGCCGGTTGGGGAATCATGAGGGAAGTGTCGCTGCCCTTGTATCTCATATTGAGGAAGCACTGGTGCTCAATTGCAGATGTCTCGAAGCCTTGTGCAGCGAGGCCCTGGCTTCCTTTGGCAGACAAGGTCTCAAGCCGCCTGGTCAGTTCTGGAAGCACCTGCTCTGAGAATGTCAAAGCCGTGGGCTCCTGGTTCTCAATGACGACATCCGCAAGAGCCATGCCATATGCGGAAAGAATACTGGAGTACCTCGGGATGATAGCTTTCTTGATGCCCAGATCGCGAGCGATGAAGACAGCATGCTGACCACCAGCTCCGCCGAAACTGCCAAGATTATGACTCGAAGCCCCATAGCCACGCCCTTCGCTGAGCGTCCTGATCGGACGTGTCATTGTCGCATTGGCGATAGACAAGAACCCCAGCGCCAGACTTTCCGGAGTGAAAGGCTCGCCGCCTTCCTCCTTCTCACTGTTGACAACTTCAGTGAGCGCCTTGAACTTCGCCACGACAACATCGTGGTCGAGCGTACGCGGGAAAAAGTCCGGAATTATCCTGCCGAGGAGGAAGTTGGCATCCGTGACCGTCAAAGGTCCTCCCTTGCCATAACACGCTGGACCAGGGTTGGCACCAGCGCTGCTGGGACCGACTTTGAGCAGCCCGTTCTCCCACGACAGGATGGAGCCTCCGCCAGCCGCAACTGTGTTGATGTCGAGTTGGGGTGTCTGTATTGTGACCTCGGCAAGCGTGCTCTCGAAAATGTGTTCAAAGGCGCCCGCGTAACGAGCAACGTCCGTGCTGGTGCCGCCCTATTAAAAAATCGTTAGCTTCTTCCTTTCGCTTACTCGCTGTCACGCGTGGACGAACCATATCAAAGCCAAGCACGGGAGTGCCATCCTCATCGTCATAACACGTCTTGGCCAGGCCGACGACGCCGCCTGCTGGTCCGCTCAATACGCCTTTAAGACCAGTGAACTTGGTCCAGCTTGTCAGCCCACCATCGGACTGCGAAATCAGAAGCTTGTTGGCGCTCTCGTCCTCCAGGCGGCCCTTGAAGCCTTTCCGGAAGCTCTCCAGATATGTATAAGTCATCGGGGTCAGGTATGCGTCAGCAACTGCCGACTGGCTGCGAGGCACGAACTTGGCCATGCTCTGCAGCTCGGAAGACGCCGAGACCTTGAAGCCCATCTCCTCGGCTACCCGCGCGACCTGGACTTCGTGGTCCGGAAATGTGTACGAGTGCATAAAGCCAATTGCAACATTCGCAATGCCTTTGGTCTTGAGAAGTTCGAGGTCACGCCGCACACTATCAAGGTCTGGCCTCTTGATGATGCGGACCAGCTCGCCTGTCTGGCCCATGACAAGGTCTGGATCTGATGTGTAGTCGATGGGCTGAGGATCTGGATTTTCGCTGAAGCCCTCAATGGTCACGCGCTCGTCAACCTCGACGACCGCTTCGTAGAGCTGACTCAGCCGCCGTACGGACAGGTCAAACAGGTCCGGCCTGGTCTGGTTGCCGATGAGGAGGCCATCGCGGAGGCCTTTAGTGGTAAGGAATGCGACACGGTCTCCCTTCCTCTCGAGAAGAGCATTTGTGGCGACAGTGGTGCCCATGCGGATGGACTCGACAGGCTCGAGGTCGAGCAGGGTGCCTCGCCGTATTGTGGTACAAGTAGCAATCTCGAGGATCTGCCGGATGCATTCTGTGGGGGCGTCATCGTACTCTTCGGGGCATACAGAGAGCACCTTGAAGACAATGTGCTCTGACCGTCCTGGCACTTCGGCCCAGGCGTCTGTGAAGGTGCCACCACGGTCGATGGCGATCCGGATGCCACGCTGTGCCATGACGAAGGAGACTGTGTATGTGATGCCGGCTCAACTGGAGGCAGTAAAAGAGAGACAGGCCAAGGCAAGAAGCAGAGAGGTGTTTTCGACAGCCCTTCAAAATATCTGAGACACGGGATGCGCAAGGCGCAATGATATACCATCCATCACTCGAAGTCTGACAAGCCGGGTATCAATCCGTTCCAGATGCCGGCTGCCCATGACGAGATCTGCACGCCCCATGGCGGAGCCCGGCCTGTCTGGCTTCCCAAGCCGATCATTTGCGCGACGTCGGCGTCGGCTGCATCCCGGCAGATGGCCAGCTCGCCGAGATGGCGTTGCTCATGACCTTGGATAAGGTGTGGCAGCCCTGCAGGGCGAGCTGAGCAGCGGCCGGCAGTTGGTGAGATGCCGTGCTGGAAGGGATCCACCGCCAGGCGGCAAGTTTTGGCTTGCCGTCCCGGCAAACGGTATCTCGAACGACGGGCGCCCCCACCCCCAGCCGCCGGCTCACCAGCTCTTGCCGGCGGCTTCGACCTCGTCCGTCCCACCTTCACCCCCGGCCGTCGCACATCGATAACACACCAACGTGACACCAACCTGGGAAAGCGGAGGAGCTGTTCACCCTTTCGACACCCTGCTCATATCTTCCCAGTCCAAGTGGCCGATTGCGGTCTTGTTACATAAGGTCAGGATCCACTCTCGTCCCCGCGAGCCGGTAATTACGGATCATCTCTGGACAATCCAGCACTGCCTGAGTTGACACCAGCAGCCCGGTATTGTGCGCCTCCCCGCATCCGACCCCAGTGCTTGGTCGATGGCTGACTAGCTTGGGTGGATGGTAGACATTCAGACTGCGGGCAGAGCTTGATTCGGCTCACAGGAGCCACGAGTGGATAGCCAGAATCAATAGTCTCATTCCTGCCACTGCGGTTACAACAGCCCACGGGGTATCCTTCGTATCTTCGAGCGACTTGATTTCGATGTCGCAGGGCCTCGTGTGGCCGCGTAGGCGAGCAAACGCCATCGATACATGGCCGTGGACAACAAGTTGTTATGGCTAGTCCACAGAAACCGCGGCGGCTGTTGGCAGCGTAAGTACTCATGAACTGTCGAGTGCTTGCGTCTTTCTCTGAGTGCTGCTTGTGTGACCCGGGACTGACCTTGCGCATCAACTGTTGCAGCTGCCATCCATGCCACAAGCACAAGACTCGATGCTCTGGAGACCAGCCTTGTCAGGCATGTGTCTCGAGCGGTCGTGCGATGGAATGCGAGTATCCGCGCAAAGAGCGCAAGGTGCCCATTTCAGAGGCATACCTGCGCAGGCTCGAAGCCGACAGCAAACGGTTCCGCGAGTATGCCAGCGCGCAGAAGAACCTACAGTCCTCCGCCACGCAGCTCCCTACGCCAGACCCCGCCCAGCAGGCGGGAGGCAGCGGCAACACGGACGACGAGCTGCCTCTCTCCCATGAGGAGTCCAATATGCTCAATCCTCTCTTTGATCCTCAGGGAAGGGAGCCTGCCGACCGCCGGGCCCTCTCCGCGGTTGACTCTGACTTCATCGGGGAAGCATCGTGCTCTGCCTTCAGCGACCGCCTGCTGCAGTGCTTTGATGACACCTACACGCCAGCAAAGGCGGGATTCTCAAGCTTCCTACGGCTTGACCCCCCAAATCATGCTCCGAGCAATGAGTCCTTCCCCGAGCGAATGCACGCCAAACTTCTATTGAATGTCGCAAGGCGCTTCATCGGCAACTATCATCCTTTGTTTCTCGAAGTCACCTTCATGAAGGAAATGGACGCTGTCTATCGGCGGGAGATAAATCCTCCCAGTCTATGGCTTTGCAAATTCTACGCTCTGATGGCCCTCGGAGAGATCTATTCGAACCGCAGAGGCGTCGACAATAACGGTCTCGTCCCAGGCGCAAGGTACTACGAACGTGCTGTCGACATGTTTCAAGACAAGGACATCTACGAGGAACCTCTCTTGATTCATGTCGAGATATTGACCTTACTGGTAAGAGTTTAGGACTGTGCTTGAATCCATCAGTGTAGAGGCTAACCCTCATAACAAAGGGTTGGGCATCCAATATCTTTGGCCGTGTGCGGACAGCATATCATTACAGCGGCGTGGCTATGCGGCTTGCCATGAGTATGGGAATGCATCGTGCCGCAACAAGCAGCAGCACTCTGACCCCAGTGGAGAGAGAGAGTAGAAGACGAGCGTGGTGGGTGCTCTACTTCTTCGATCGCTTCTCTGCTTCCAAACTCGGTCAGCCTGTCAGTGTTCGTGACGAGGACATTGATGTCGAGATGCCTAGCATGGACGGATTGACCGAGGAGGAGAGGGCAGAGTTTCTGGATCCTGAGCCCCTGGTGATCAACACCAAACTGGGGCGCATCATAGGGAACATTTGTAAGGGCAACCCCGTTGCCCCGTGACGATACGTATTTAGGCTGACTCTCTCCCAGTGACGGACGTATACGGCGTGCCCAACAGTCGTAGAGGGCTTTGCATCCGCGGGGTGCACAGAATCCTCAAGCAACTCCGGTCTTGGTATGATGAGCTACCACGAGACCTGCGATTGAAGGAGAGAGGCACACCTCGACCTGTGGCAAGCCTTCACCTCGCATATAACCAGTGCATTATTCAGACTACTCGGCCTGTCTTGTTACACTTGTTCAAATCCCAGTTCCAGTTGGGAAAGTCAGGCCGTGACCAGCAGCGAGAAGCCGCAGCTGAACAGCAACAGCCACCTGCTCTGCGCCAGCAATCCAAATTCTCTCCTATAACCCTTGCTCTCGCGGAAAGCTGCGTCAACGCCGCCCGGTCGTCCAGCCGCATTGTCGAAGGCCTCTTTCTTGATGGCGCCATCGCGAGCTATGGCTACTGGGACGCACACCACATCTCTTCAGCTGCCCTGATTCTCGTGATCTCGGCCGTCATGAAGCCTGCCGCAGTGACTTCAGAAGCTTTGGAGACGCTCCTGAGCATACTTCGATCTATCAAGAAAGACGGAAACATACCAGCTGTGGACTTTTGTGACAGGCTCTCGCAAGTCCAGGCTCGGGTTTTCAGCTTGAGATGCAAGATACAGGGGCAGGCAGGGCACGAGCATGATTTGCACAGCCCAAGGCGACAGCAGGAGCAACAAGATCAGCCGTCGACCCCACATGTGGAGGGGATTAATCGCCAGAAATCAGGGCAAATGCTAGCAGACCACATGGCAGCGGCAACCTCTCTGTCATCTTTGTCCTCTGCCTCCTTCGCAAACACTCCTCCACAAGACCGGCCACAGTCGGATCATGCCCAAAATCTTGGCGGTACTAACGGCGACAGAAGTCACAATAACGGAAGCACGCCCCTTGATTGGTTTAGCACGGCGAACAACGTCCTGGCAGATCCGCTTATTGGCAGTTTTCTCAATGAGGCGCCGCAGATGGTGTGGACAGGGCCTGAGGGCAATGATATTTTCTTCACGGATAACAGTGGCGGTGGGGTGCTCGGGCCGTTTGCGTCTGAGACGGGCACGCACTTTCCGTTCTGATTTCTACTCCTTGGCGACATGATGATCTTGGCTTTCCGGTTGGTATGTAGCGTCGGCTACGGAGGTCTTTTTTCTCTCTTTTTTTCTCTCTCGGGATTCGAGCGAGCAACGTGTTGTTTTTCGGAGTTCTGGCAGCGATGGGGTTTGGGAAAGGGAGGGCCGGTATAGGGTTTTTTCTTGTCATAAGCAGGTTACGATGTGACGACTACTTTCAAGGTGTCCCACTTTCTCACGAACAGGCGCCTTGCTCAGTTGATCTTATGGTTGTGGGTTCGGCAATACCTTGTCTCATTCTCTGTGACCAACACAGAAGAGGCTGCCGAGTACCTAGATAGGCATGGGGTTTCTCAAGCATGTCAGTGTTTGGTATTTGTTGAAATTCGACCTCGCCTTCACATTGTGGATCATATCAATATCTTGCGGTATGACCAATTCTCATTTGCGTCTCGGGATATACGAGCATCACACTGCTGGAGAGTCTCAAGGGCAATAAAAAGTGATTGAGATGTCATCCCGTCCTTTTAGTCCTCTCTCACTAGAGAATGCTTAACAAGCAGGTGCCCTTGCACCTGCGCCTTAGAGACCAAACCATGACTATGCGAGACATAGCACAATGAAAGCACGACTGACATACTACCAATGATCTTGCTTCACAAGAATCGATTACATGTGACGTGTCTGCCTTCCTGCTCGCGGTCTGTCCTATCTCCAAATCCAGCACCCACGGACGCTAGACTCCCCTCGTAGCATTCAACATGCTCCTCAAGACACCCCTGTGCAGACAACCCCCAAGAGAAAAGCACAAAGACACTCAATAAGTATACCGGAAGCGCGGGTTGTACTCGCCAAGCTCCTCAACCTCGGCCTCGGACAGGCCCAGCACGCGCTTATCGACCTTGCCCGCGTCGCGCTGCGCGTTCTGGCGCTTAAAATACAGCCAGAAGGCGATGTAGATGAGGGTCGAGGTCGCGACAAATGCCATGGACACGGCGTGGCCCTTGATGAACTGAGGCGCGTCGATGGTCTGATAGAGCTGTTGTGAGGTCATGTCAGCTGCTGCTGGGCTCGGAAGGAAACCGAACAAGGGGGGTATTCGGGGAGAACTTGGGCGAAAAGCAACCGAGAATAGTTTGGGCACACAAAGACTTACGAATGGAGCAGGCACGCCGGCCGAGTTGCCAATTGTCAGCTGCAGCCCTGTGGCGACGGTGCGCTTGCCGTAGCGCGGGTTGTTGCTCGGCAGCCAGGCAAGGGGAATGCCCACGACCACGTACAAGCCCATGGCGGCGAGGAAGCAGCCAAAGTACTTGACGTTGCCCGGAGCGGGGCTGACGAGGATGGCGTAGCCGAGGGTGCACACGAGGCCGAAGGTGATGACGAAGACGGCGCGCTTCTGGGTGCGGTCCGACAGCCAGGCGACGACGAGGTAGGTGACGGCGCCGAGGGCGTAGCAGGGGATGGTGAGGGCCTGGACCTGCGCGTTGGACCAATTGCCGAGGCCGCGGATGATGGTGGGCAGGAAGGTCGAGTAGCCGTACAGGATGATGTCGCCGCCAAACTGGCCCACGCAGAAGAGCCAGATCTTGATGTCCTTGAGCCCCGCGTACACGTCGGCCTTGTGCATCAGGTCGCCGTTCTTGGTGCGGCCAATCTGCCGGAGCATGCGCGCTTCAATCAGCAGCCGCTCCTCGGGGGTCAGGTAGTGTGCCGAGTCCGGGTCGTCGGCCAGCCACCACCAGATAGCCACGCCGAGGAAGACGGTCGGGATGCCCTCAATGATCATGATCCAGCGCCAGCCATTCATGCCGGCCACACCTTCCATGAAGCCGATCGCGTAGGCCAGCAGGCCGCCCATGGAGCCGGCGATGGCCGCCGACACGAAGAGATAGCCGATTCGCAGTCCGTATTCGCGTTTTGTGTAGAACATGGTCAGGTAGATGGCAAGGCCGGGAAACAGGCCTCCTTCGAGTGCGCCAAGGATGATTCGGCATGCCACCAGACCAGCGAAATTCTGCACGAGACCGGTCATGGTAGCTACCAGCCCCCAGGCTACGGTGATGAAGGCGAGCCAACGCGACGGAGTAAACTTCTTGATTACGAGATTACTCGGAAGCTCCGACAAGATGTAAGTCACAAACAGGACGGAAACGGCGAGCTGATATTGGTTGCCTTCGAGGCCGAGATCCGACTCCATGTGGTAGATGCGCGCATTGCCGATATTGACGCGGTCAAGGAAGGAGAAGAGATACAGTAGCATGACAGGAGGGATGATCCAACGATCGAGCTTGCGAATGAGTGCCTTTTCCGCGGCCTCGTCGATGATTATGTCGGTGTTGTCGCCGGTGGCTGCCGTGGGACCTTGCTCGGCCTTCTTGAGGTCGTCGGTGGTGCCATTGGCAAAGTCGACGTCATCGTTCTTCGCGATAGCCATATTGGAGCGATGCCGTCAATTCTCTGAGCGACGGAAAGGGCAGTGGCAACCACGAGCTAATCCAAGAGGTCTGGGTTCAAGAGGCGGTGTTGTGTGTGGTCACAGAAGCGCGCCGTGTCGGTGGAGACACAACGTGGGGACCTTGAGGCTGTCTTAAGTAGCCGGAGGAGTGGTCTGCGGTCGAGCAATGGCAGCAATGGGCGCCATGTTGGAGTAGAAGAGCAGAAGTGCAAGGCTGCGGCGATTGTGGTGGTGCCCGGCAGGCAGGCCAAGCCGTGACGGTTTGTGTGTTATCGACGGCGCCGCGTGGAGGGCCAGCGGGTGTGGAGTAATTAGTGTTGATGCTGCGTAGGGACGTCACCGCCGGCCGGTGGACCCCCGGACTTCCTGGGCTCGCCGGCCCAGCGCTGCTCAGCTACCTAGGTACTGCAGGTGTAGCTGCACGCGCTATCCGGCAAGTCGTGGAGTTGCCGGAGCTGGTGCGCGGGCACGGCCCTCCTGGTGATCAGTCCCCAGCCCAAGATCAGCAGCCGATAAGCAGATACGCGATATCTTGCACGCCCGTGGGCGAGTCAGCATCCCGGCCACAGCACCCTTGAACGGCCAGACAGCACTCTCCCGGCAGGTAGGTGCCGCAAGCACAAAGGAGTCTGTCAAGCAAGGAAGGCTGGCAACCGAGACTGGAAAACTTGTCACATTGCCGGCCGACATCTCCATGGACACGACGAGATCATCCCAACTGGACACACGCCAGTCTCAAATGGTTTACTGCATGCACGCCGCGATGCTGCCCACGTGCTGGCCCCAGGACAGACCCTGCCACATTCCCCATGGGGTGCGGCAAGCATAAAAGTTGCCGAACGCGCTGTCCGCTGCTCGCCCGGGGAGAGCCCCAGGTATCAATCTTCAACGGCAGAAAGTGACAGTTTATGGGGCCACGAGTGGTCTTGATAGAACGGCGCACAATCAATGAGCCCCCGCCCGGTTTGTTGAGCCGTCCGTGCTGTGCTGTCGTCCTGAGAAAGCCTCTGCGTCCGCGGGGCATTTCATGATCGTGCCGACGGTGGTGTTGTGGCTTCTCGGCAAACTGTCCTCTGACTTAATGGGTCTCCATCAGCCGGCTGGCCCAATGCCTTCGTGCAAGCGCACGGAAGGCACAGATGTCCAGACAGCCCAGGCAGGCGCCTTCCTTGCCTGCACAGACAAGCGCCTAACATCCTCGCATCCGCACTCCATCCAGGCAGCCCCGATCTGTATCCTCACCCAGCCATCGTCAAGTTCCAGGCCGGCCCAAGCACTTGTTGGTCAATCCTGACGCGCACCGCCATTCTCATCCACGCCACACTTGCACCATTTTGCGAGACATCAGGAGCGCCGCCGGCTTGCAGTGTTGTCGCCATGCTTGGCAACATCCCTCAAAAGACAATCGGAACGCTTTCCGATGCATCATCCTTGTTCAAAGCCGCCTCTTTCCATCCTACCTATTGTCCCGTGCTCGATATCGTTGCCGACGGCTGAATCCTGCAGCGCAGGTGGCTTGTCTCAATATTGTCCGATGGTGTAGATGCTCATTCTCCGTGGCTGAACGCTGACAGACCGCCATCGGAAATCTCATCTTGTGCACCAATTGCCCCCAAGCGCCAATGCCTCCGCGATCCATTGGCCATGAGCAACTTGCCGCAATCGACGACGTCTGAAATGAGCCCTCTCGGAAGATTCGACTTCCGTGCTAGGCGTGCGTCGTCTAGACCTGGCCATTCGCCGAATGTCTCAATTCCGCCGCGCAGCGTGTCTGCCTGCTTCAGCTACTATGCTCTCCAGCATCGCCAGGCTTCCGCCCACTGGAAAGACTAGCTCAATGGCACCTTGTGACTCATTGCCGATGTTGTGCTGGAACTCCGATGGTAACGACAAGCACAGGACTGGCCCGACTGGGCAGCCTGGAGCTCGATGTATACCGAATACGACACCTCACAATGAAGTGCACGCCCAAGGGAGACGTTGCCATGCTTGCTTTTCAGCTTCAGCAACCTTGAGCAGGGGCGTCCCTCGCTTCAGCGCAACAGAGCAACCCATTTCTGATGTTGCCCGAGTCGGGCTGCGTTCGACCATAGCATGTCATCATCATGATTGCACGGAGAAGATGAGTCAGGCCATTGACAGGGACAGTTGAACGCAAGCACCCGTTTAGGACGGGCTAACCGTCCCACCGGTAAGCCAACAAACCCCTGCAAGCAGAGCCATTCGCGAGTGTTGATGTCTGTAGGCATGTTTCAGCGCTGAACATGACGACAACACGGTAGCTGCCGCGGCCAAGGGTCAGCAGGCGAGGGTTGTTACGGGGTACAGCCCAACCAGGACCCGAACTCATAGGGCAAGCAAGAAAAGCAATAGGCAGCCAAGAATCCACAGCAAATCGGAAAGCACGGACGACTTCCGGATGAGGAGAATGACCCTGGCTTCCTGCGATCGAGCATGTACAGAATCGGCCTCATGCAGATGCACATCAGCCGTTGCATCCACAAAAGACCCTACTCGCCGAGCTCGCTGATGGTTACAGCTCGTCCAGCATCAAGTTGTTCTCCTGTCCATGCATTGTCATTACATGCTGGGATCATCAATATGTCCCTGGGTGGAGGGCGGCACCTGCAGTTGCTGACAAAGTGCTGGGTCTCGCCAATGGGCAATGTCTGACCTGGCGTGACCGAGGGGTGATTAGAAGTATTTGTCGTATGATGAAAAATGGTCTTGTCTGCCAAACCTGATTACCTGCAGGCTGCGTCGCATTCACCGCAACTCGACAAAGAACAGCGGGCCGTTGCCTCGGGCATGCAGGCAGGGAGGCAGCACTTTTCGGCTCATTTCCACACAAAATGTCAGCCGAAGTCACATCGGCAACCGTACCCTTGCACGGCTCGGGTTGATATTGTATTTTGGCTGAAGTCTGGCCCATTCGGCCATTAAATTCTTCCTGTCCTCTGAGACAATGTATATGACAACAAATCAACGAACCTAACTATTCACTATTCTGAGCTCCGATTGTGTACCCTTACTCGACTGGCACTGCCCATAACGCAGACCTACAAAGCAATGGCTACAACCGGCCTTGTCCTTAGCCCTGCCATCGGGCGTCCTCGCGGTCACTATTCCGATGCATATGGCAAGCATGCGATGCTGCATAGCTCCCAGCCCACAAACCCAGAGATGATGGAGACCGGTCACATTGCCCCCGCGCCATTGCATTCATTTCAGTTCCCATTTCCGTCGCACATGGAACAGTATTTGGTGTCACCAGCAGACTTCATCCGGCAAAGTCATGGCAGGGTTCACAGAGTAGTCGCCGGCACCATCGTCATGCACAACATATCTGGAACCACAAAAGTGCTGCTCATGCAACGCAGCAGCCATGACTACATGGGCTCGCGATGGGAGGTGCCCGGAGGGTCGTGCGACGAGGACGACCAGAGCATCGTCGGCGCAGCCGCTCGCGAGCTACAAGAGGAGGCAGGGCTACAGATTGCGAAGGTGCTTGACATCGTCGAGGATGATCACGAATGGATCGACCATGACAAGGTCTGGCGCAAAATGACGTTTCTGGTTGAAGCTGTTGCGTCGGTCGCGGCTGTGGATTCTACTGGCACAGCCAAGTTGGACTACAATATTACAACCCTCGAACGTGGCGATGAAGAGCACTCCCTAACAGGTGCGAATGACGAGACGCACATTCTCGACAACAACCACAGTCCCTCCGATCCGATCCACAGAACGAACGGCACCAGGGAGGCGCCCACAAACGATCGGCCTCAGGTCACGCTTGACCCGAATGAGCATGAGGATTACGTCTGGGCATCCGAGGCCGAAGTCCAAGCGGGAACATGTGAAGGAAGATCTCTGGATTGGACAACGCCGGAGCAGAAGGCAGCAGTACTGCGGGCATTCACGATGGTGAATGCTTGTGCCGAGAAGCATGCCCAGGCATGAAGGATGAGGATGAACGTATATTCCCTTCCGGCAATTTCCTTCACCCAGTGGCTCCCCGCCCACCTCCCCTCAGCTCCGTTTCGCTTTGGCTCAACTTACTCGATCGAGATAGACCAACCAGGCGTGCTGCTTGCTGCCAACTCTTCAGCAAACCCTCTCCGGTGTATCGAGAGGGGCAAAAATATATTCTTGCATAGAGTGAGTCATAAGATCGCTTCGCAGCGACCATGTTAGCCCAGCATATACTAGACTTGCATATAACCTTGTCTCCACACATCGAGGCAAGAGGGGAAGCTCGAACAATCACTAAACCTTCATTGTTGCATTCACAAAGCGCGTAAGATTATTCATGTCTCGTGAATTTCGATATATGCTATTTCGTCTATAGCTCATGCCATGACGCCTCCGGACGGTGAATCTTCTGCATGCCACTGAATGCAACTGCAACGTTGTCATTGCAGCAAGGTTGTTGATGCCGATGTTCAATACACAATGATGCCTACAACCAACATGCTTCCCACCAAAAAGGCCCCCACCAATTATTCATATATCTCTTTCAGTCTCTACTGGTAGTGCTTGGCCTCGTGGTGCGAGTCGGTGCCCACGGCGGCGACCTCGCCCTTCTCGATCTCGACGACCGCGGCGTCGGCCGACGCGCCAATGCCAATCTCGGTCTCGGTGAAGGCGTCGGTGTTATTGCGGTAGGCGGGGACAAAGTTGACGGCGAACGAGTAGGTCGAGGCCATGACGAAGAAGATGAGGGGGATGACCATGGCCATACCCGTGCCCTTGTGGTCGGCGACGACACCGGTCAAGGGAGGGACGACGGCGCCGCCGAGGACACCGCCGACGATGAAGCCGGAGCCGCGCTTCGAGTGGCGGCCGAGGCCGCGCATGCCGAGGGCAACAATGGTGGGGAAGCAGATGGACTCGAAGAAGAGGACAATGTAGAGCATCGAGATGCCGACGTTGTGGCCCTGGGTGATGGCCGGGGCGAGGAAGATGACGCAGCTGGAGAGGAAGACGAGGAAGACGATGCGGGGCTTGACAAACTTCATGAGGATCACACCGACGAACCGGCCCAGCGCGAAGGCGCCCTGCGCGCCGGCGAACAGCTGCGAGGCCATGACGTCTCCAGACTCCGGGCGCGTCGAGTCGACGTAGTTGATGAAGAAGGAGGCGATGGCGACCTGCGCGCCCGTGTAGCAGAACTGGGCGAACGCGGCGTGGAACAGGCGGTACTGCTTGCGGAAGGGCTTGTCGCCGGACCCGGCGTGCGTCTCGGCGGCCTGGTACGCCATGTCGGCGTCGGTGATCTCGGGGATGTCGCTGAGGAAGAAGAGCACGGCGAGCATCAGGACGAAGGCCGCAATGGCAATGTACACCCACTTGACGTTGGCCATGGCCGCGTTCTCGTCCTCGAGGCCGAAGAAGGCGTACGAGCCAATCAGGGGGGCCAGGATCGTGCCGATGCCGTTGAACGCCTGGGACAGGTTGATGCGCATCTCGGAGTAGCGGGGAGGACCACAGACTGTGTTAAGGGAAAATGGTCAGCTTTCCTGATGGTTGTTTGGAGGTTTTTGTTTTTTTCCTGCGTGGGGAAGGCCTTACCGGTGATGTATGGGTTGGCAGCGGTCTCAAGCGAACCCAGACCGTTACCAATGATGAAGATGGCAACACAGAACCCAGCGAAGGAGTGAGCCTCAATGCAGGGCCAGGCGACGAGGGCACCAACACCTATTAGGACAAAAACTTGTCAGTACCAGAAACAAAATCGCCATTTGTGGAGGGTCGTTCGAATCCCGACGGAAACGTACAGTAAAGGAAGAGACCCCAGATGAAGGTGGCACGGTAGCCATAGTGACGCAGGATCCAGTTGGCGTGTCCGAGAGAGGCGAGAGGGTAGGCGCTAGACGGAGCACATGATTGTTAGCTTGCTGCGTGGACGAAATGACACCAATCGATCAATTCTTTGTTGTGTGCGGTTTCAACTCACCCAAAGTAGGCGGCCTGGAGACCAGCGGAACGCGACTTCTCGATGCCGAGAGCGTTCTGGAAGTGCTTGTTGAGGGTGTCGAGCAGGCCGTATGAGAAACCCCAGAGGAAGAAGAGGACGGTGACGAGAGCGATGGGATAGACGGACTGGCGGAGGGTGAGCTCGGCAGCCTTGGTCCGCTGGTCGTCTCGGGCCTTTAGCGACCGCCGCTTGACAAACTCCTTGAAACCCATGGTGGCAGATCTGGGAAAGAGAGAGAGGGGGGGGGGAGAGAGAAGTGGACTCTGAAGATGCGTCGAGGCCCAAGGAAGTCTTCTCGCAACGATGAGATGTCGTGCAAGGCGCGGGTGGCACGGAGAGGCTTGTGAGCACGAGGAGGAGGCGGGGGGGATGACCAAAGACTTATATACACCTCTAGCTGGCGGGCATGAGATCGGCGTAGTCGATGGTGGTGTGGCCTGGCACGTGTGGTGGTACTCGCGTGCCTCGAGCGCATACACAAACCTTGTACTAACTAACCCGCCTTGACAGTCCAGTGTGATTTGCTCGGGGCCAGTCTACTCCGACATAAGCTCTGACCGAGGGAAAGAAAAGACCCGCCGCGAATCGAAACCCAGACCAAGGCCCCGTTTCGGTGCAGGGCATGGCCCCCCCTCCATGTTTTCTCCATGATGCCATCTCCATGGGGAATTCCTGGGAGCCCCACTGCGGCGCCACTTGGTCAAGTGCCGGGACCACCACCACCACCACCACCACCACTACCCAACCAAGGTCGCCAGCCATTCATTCATTCTGCCCTGATTCCCCTCGCGCTGGCCCATTCGCCCGCCGGGTGATTTCCCCTTCAAGAAATCACCCGACGGTTCCCCTCAGTGCCACGGGCGTAAATACCCAAGGTGAGGAGATGCCATGAGGAGAAAAAGACCACTACTTGGGGATTTTTTGGTATGGTTTGGTGAGACCAGCTGAGGAGGCTGTTGGAGATGGGAGGAGCCTTTCGCAGAAACACCCGCTGGTTCCATACATGCCATACCTGCTGCAGTCTACTGATCCATGCCATGCCATGCCATGTTGTCCACCACCACCACCCTCATCTCATCCACCCGTCCGCATCGCGCCATTGTGATGAGTGAGGCCCGCACAGCGGTCGAGGCCGTCATGCTGGAGTGATTCCTACCCCAACACTTGCAGTGTGGGAACGGCCCACCCGAGACGATGCGGGGATGGCGAATCAGCAGCTGGCGGAGGATGGGTCGCTGCTCCCACAATTGCACCGAGCCCGCCCGCCTTGGCGTGCCTTCCCCCATTCCCCAAGGGGCCCCGTCCCTTCTAGCTCCTGCTTCCTCCACTGCTGCCCACCGTGTCCCTGTCCGTCCTCGTCCTCCTGCTAGTCTTCCAAGGTTCTTCTCTGCCTCCTTCTCTCGCCACCAAATGGCCTTGGCAGCCGATTCGCTCCAACACCACCTCTGCTCCTCGTTCTAGCCTGTTCCCCGCCGGCTCCTTTGGTGGCTTCTTGTCTTTGTTTCCCCTCCAATGAAGCCGCTGCCCTTCCCTCTCCTCGGGGCGGCCGCCGCTCTTCTGGGGTCATTCGCAAGCGAACGCGGAACTTACCCCAGCCCAGCCTCATCAGAGCTGGAAAACAACTACTGAATTCATGGCATTGCTGCTTTCCCATCCGTTCTAGACTTCAGCCTTGCCTGCACCGCATATCCACCGCGGCACATACACCAATGCTCAAGGTCCATGCCACAGTGGATTTCGCCGAGTGGCTTGCAAGAGGCGTTTTTCAAAAGCACCACCACCAACAAACATCTCGCCGGCCGCTGAATTGCTCGGGCCCTGCGTTTGAGCCTCCTCCTCATGACTCCTGACCCCTGCTCGCCCACCTGGCTGAGCGCCCCCATGCTTGTCCCTCCGCCGCGTCAGCCAAGCCTCGAGCACCGAAAGGGAATGAATGGCTCTGGGCACAGATGCAAGGAATATGGCACTAAAGAGCTGTCGGTCGAAACGCCCAGGGCAATCTGCTCCTTTACTCCTCAAAGTGGAAACAAGCTATTCCTCGCGCTAACTCGATCTAAACTCTACTTTGAGCAGCCTCGAGGCTACTGCCCATCCAGCTAGAGGCACAGATCACGCGTGTGCTCGTTACGGCGTTTCTCTTCCATGATGGCTTGCCATTCCTTGATCGAAAATTAACCCAGATATGCCATTGCCGACATCTCACAGGGAAGCACGCTGGTGCAGATGTCCATGTCTCACCACAGCAACGCCGCATTGGCTTTCAGCCCCCCCCAACCGGGAAAATAAGCTCTCAATAGATCGGACAGATGCTCGGTGACATTGACGATACCAAGCCGCCGTTGAAACGACTTATGTTGTGCTCCTGCCATGGCAGTCTTTTCGGCTGCGTCGTTTAGAGAGGTGTATGTGTGTGTGTGTGTGTGTGTGTGTGTTGCCGCATTCCTAGTGACGGGTAGCTCCGGTTCTTGATGTCTGGGTTCAGGGGCCCCTTGCTTGGCCCCAAGACTTGTCGGAGCGACAGGCTGACTGCCGCTCTGTCAGCTTGTCATGGCACATCTTGGGGTGGGAAGAAATCGCAAGCCCGATCGCTCGTCACTGGCATTGTTTTGGGAAAGTCCCTCCTGTCCCCGGGCAGAGCAGGGGAGTATTCATGATTCGTTCCGTCTCCATCGCCCAGGTGGACCAATAATTCCAACGACTGTAATCTCTGTCAGAATGGTGCCAAGCCACCAGACACGTCGACCGTGATCTACGTAGCGTATGTCAGGGTCTTCGAGAGTAGCGTCTCAGTTCGCCGGCGTGGATGGCTCACGCCAAGCTCGCTATGTCCTGGCTCGGAGCGATAGCATGCTGAATGCCGCCGAAAAGACGCCTAGCACACCTCGGCCCTACCCGCAACTTTCCATGGATGCGTGTCAAAGCTCCGAGCTCAACGAAAGCGACCGTCCTGAATGAAGCAGTCATACGCGAGATTCTTATCCCAACTGCAGCCGCCAGGCCAGTTTGGAGACACGGCATGATTTGGGCTTGAGCATCATTTTTCAGCATGCTCATGACTGGCCTAGCTGAGGCCTTGGATCACCTGCCCTGGCACGAGCATCAAGGTTACCTTGTCCCAAAATGTTGATATCAAACGCGAGGGCAAAGGTGGCTGGCATCTAATCACAACGCCACTACTGCAGCTCGGCACGCTTTAAATGTTGGGGGGGTCCTACATTCACATTCTGCGTCCTCTTTGCCCTCGTATGTCCAGCTCGCGGTTGTCCACCGCCTCAACATCGCAAACTCTCCATTACTGCTCCCTGCTAGAGCGTTCTGGGTAGGCAGGGCTCCATTTGCCACTTCAGGCAATGTCGCACGCAAATGATGCCTTGATATACTCGGCGCGGCTCCTCGACAGGTCTACTGGAAAGCCCCCCCTTACCTGGGTGAGAGATACGACCACGCGTTTCCTTTGACCCCAGCTGTGCTTTCCCACGCGGATTCTGCACGGTCCTAGCCCCATCCGCGCTGCGCAGTGAAAACCATGATTGAAGACGGTAAGTCGGCCGATAGGCGGGGCCTCGAAGGCTCGAGCCCAAGACAGCAGATATAATGACACGGACAGTCCCCAAGGAAGGAATATTCAAGCACTTGGGTGTTAGCCGATGTCAATAAGGTCACGAGATGCGTTCGAACAAGCCACAGCGATCAAAACTAGGAGATCTGCCGATCTCCAGTAAGATACCGCGACTGGTGAGGTTGATCAAGACTTTTGTTGGTACTGTATATGCCGAGCGTAATGTATCTAGGTGGCCTGGTCTCGCGCGACTTGCTTGTGCAGACAGTCCAGGTTTTGATTTCCATTACCTTTGAAGGCGTCGGCGCGATTCGAAAATCAACTGCGACCCGGGCAACGAAGGCGCCGCTCCTCTGCCTAACCCCCAAAGCACCCCCCTTCCCCCTTTTCCCCCTCCTTTCCCCCACAAAGAGGCCACCTCAGCCTCCTCAGTAAATCCCCGGGATGATGATCCACTTCTTGTTGACCTTTTCCGCGCCAAACTTCTGGCGATACCACTCCCCGCCCTTGACCGCGCGGGGCAGCATCGAGAAGATCTCGTTGAGCAGGAAGGCCCTGGCCGGGGCGAACGCGAACCCGCCCGCGACCCAGTAGCCGAGCCACTCGACCCACTCGAAGAAGTAGTGCGGGTAGAGGATGTAGCGGAACAGGCCGTTGTTGGGGAGCTCGTAGTGGCGGTGGATGGTGCCGCCGCCCTTGCCGCCCTGGCTCTTCTTGAGGCGCTCCTGGCGGCGCTGCTCGGAGCGGCGGATCTCGCGGAGCTCCTCGTCGGAGAAGTAGTTTGCGGCGAGGCCCGCCGAGAAGAGGAGCAGGCCGGCGGCGAAGCGGGCCGTGGAGAAGCCCGAGGCGGCCCACTCGGCCTGCGTGGTCGGGCCGTAGGCGGCGAGCCAGGCGCCGATGCAGGTGCCGTTGCAGACCTGGAAGGAGGCGGCGCTCAGCCAGACAAAGACGTGGATGTCGGACATGCTGGGCGCGACGAGCGGGTAGATGATGGCGCGGTACGCGTAGTGCGTGACAAAGAGCCCCGCGAGGACCTTGTTCTGCCAGGGCAGGTCCTCGGGGCTGGCGCCGCGGGCGGCGGTGAGCGCCCTGATGGTGTAGAGCAGAACCGTGGCGCCCGGGACCTCCATCGTCAGCCACGCGAGCTTGCCGGGGATGTTGAACATGCTCTTGGCGATCGAGCCCTTGCCCATGCCGTCAAAGGAGACGACCCATTGGAGGGAGCCAAACTGGCGGCGCGTGACGAGAAAAGTCAGTAACAGGGAACAGGTTAAGTCAAGTCGAGTCCAGGGGGAGCAGGCTCACCAGCGGGAAGAGGCTCCACCAGAACATGATAAAGTTGTAGTTATCCTCGCTGGGAGGAAGCCAGTTCTGCACGATCGCCATGGCGGGCAGCGAGTGGGCTCACAAGCTGAAGCAAGGGGTGGGTGAGTTTTCGCGTGTTTGGGCGTTTTGAAGCTGGGCGACACAGCTAATGTCGTGCGCTGGAGACGCTTCCAACAATGGGCAAGATGCAAAAACACAACAATGAGTGTAATCAGTGGCAGCCGAAGACAGACAATGCAGCAGTCAGACAAAGACACGTAGAGGAGAGGGCGTCATCCTGCTTATGACGTTGGAGCCGGGAGCGGGTCTGTGCTCGCTCGCTCTAATTTGTGGGGAGTGGAGATCTCACGCAATGTCCCGGAAGGAAGGCGCTCGGACGACAACCACCAACTTCCCAGGACGGCGGTCCGCTCAGCACCAGATATGCATGTCCAGCCATGCTCAAAAAATGCCCCCGACAATCAGTATCGAGTTCAAGGCTGTGCACTAGGTACATGGAATCTGGGCAATCATTTCTGCATCGGACTGTCGGCCGTATTATTCTGGAATTACGGCATGACCTGGGACTGTGACGCACATCCCTCCGTTGGCAGACAACGGGACGGACGAGGCAGCTCCAAGACGCACTCCCATTAGAAACTGACCACGTGACATCACGTAGCTGCTCTGTGAGCCATTGGATCTTCAAAACCTTGCGAAGGACGTCTTGGCCGCCCGGCTGTCCCTTTGGATCCATCCGTTACAGTGACTGAGTTGGGCATGCCACATCACACCAGCCATACCCATGGCACAGATACAACAGCAGCGGGTGCGAAGAAACACATAGCAGTTCGATAGACCGACTTGTGGGTTACTGGATGTCAACTGCGAGGGCCCGCTTTATAGACTCTTCTTTGTCGGGGAGTTTCGCAGCATAGCGCTAACATGAGCTGGCCAGGCCGGTCCGCTCCTCCAAGCCATCCCGGAAGCCCGCCTCTCAAGACCGAGAGAATGCAGGGTTGTGAGAAGGATGCTGTTACTTGGACCGTGAATGCCGTTGGGTGGAGAGCTTCCCAAGGGCTGCCTTGAGCCCTCGGCCCCACTCGAGATCTTCGGAGCATCATACCGGTCCCTCGCGGCGTGGAACGTGGTGGTGCGTTGTGCCGAAGTACTCGCTCGATGGGGCTCAGAAAGGACGCCCTTGAGAACGGAAACCGCTTGGGTGTAACTTGGTCACAGTGGCGTACTTACGTCATGAGTGGCTGAGGCTGGTGGCCAAGCAAGTGCGGGCCCGAGCCGTGTTGCATTTCTCTGTCTTTGCACATCTAGTAACTCGCCTTCCTTGATAGTCAAATCCCACTGATTCCTGCAGAAGGAATGGTAACTCTGGATGTGCTCGAGACGAGCCCTGTCGGATACCGGCGATCTGGCAACATTCATTCATCTCTCGCCTGCATCCCAAAGTCGGTGACCTGCTGAGCGGCGGGTCCATCCCTGGCTCTTGCATGCAGGAGTGCTAGGCCAGTAATTCTGCTGCCTGATGGCGTTCAGCACTTTGCTGAGCTTCTTGCACGCGTGGACACCCGCCACATTGACAAGTAGCTTTACCTACGTACTTAGTAGGTACATGTTCGCCGGCGTCGACTTGCCGGGAGAGGGCAAATCACCCTTCTGGGGCAGGCCTTGCGTGGGGTGCACCGCCACAGCCAATGTCGCCTCCATGGGTGCAGGTGGATGGGCTCCCTCCAGGCACCCAGTTTTGTGCTGCAGCGGCTCCGCTCCACGGCCGCCAAGCCGCATGTCGGGTGCGGTGCGGCAAGCAACAAGACCAACCAACCATCCAGCTCTGCATTATTACCTGCCGTTCCCGCGGTTCCGGCATCTCAATCCCCTTGACAATTGCCTTGCCTCCGCCTGTACTGACAGCTGTCTTTGACCTCCTCTTTATCCGCCAGTCCTCGACCTGTGTGTTGTACCTGTTGGATTCTGGTCCTGTCTCCAGGGTTCCCCACGAGCCCACTTCTTATCTGAGCTACCCCGACTGCTGGCCCGCTGCATGACGCAGCCTCCCAGACCTCGCCAGGTGCCTCCAGCTTGCTCAACCCAAACGGACTGCATCTTGGCAACGGGCAGACACTACACAACAACCTCGAATCACACCCACGCCCACCCTCGAACATAACCCCCAGGCGCCCTCTCCCTCGACATATTCCCAGCCAGCTTCCGCGTTTCCCATTGTTGAGATTGCGACAGGATTCCAGAATCGCCTGCCATGGTTCGGCGAGAGAACCCCACTGGTGACGCGGAGAGCTCACAGCCATGGCCAGGCTCAGGTCCCGATTCCGACTCTACCGTCTGGGACAGCCAGGCGCGAGCTGACAGTACATCGACAATAGCAAGCCCTGTGCCGGATCCCTTGCGGCCTGGTGTGGTACCCGTAACTACCCCGGGCTTCGCCCAAGACGACATCAATCCGTGGGGAGATCCGGACCAGAGCGACGGCACCTCCCAGAGCAAACCAAAGCAATCCGCTGACACAACCTCTCAAGTACCTCGAGCTTTGCAGCCCGGCGTGGCGAGGAAGGAGACCAATCCATTCAAGAGGAAGCCTGCCCCCAATCGCGCGGCGCCCCAGGACGTCCCGGCGTCGCTGTCAGTTCCAACGAGACCTCCGCCATCAACCACCCCTCCAACGGCGGCACTCTCGCAGATGCGTCTCGAAGAGCCCGAAAACAGCTCCAACCCATGGCAGCCAGCCAAATTGGACGATCGAATCGCATCGAATCATGCGACCGCTCCTCCACCTACACTCGATCAAGAGCCCGCGAACAATGTCTGGGGAGCTGGTCCAGCCTCTGGGCAGCCCACTAGGTCGACAACGCCTACTGTCATCCCCATGCAAAAGACCGGTGACTCCGCTCCATGGGCCGATGAAGTTCTTCCCAAGGCTTCACTCCCGCCACTCCCCGCCAAAACGACCGCGGAGCAAAACGAGCTTTCGGACGATCAACATGCCTGGGATGACGTGCCGTCCGGTAACAAGGGCAAGCAGGCTGTGGCAGCAGGCCAACCTGGTGGAGAAAGCTGGAACCTGATAGATCATGAGGCAATGCCCCAGAGAGAGCCAGTCTCGATTTCGCGGCAAAGCTCCTGGGAGAACTTTATGGATGCCGACGACGCACAAGAAGAGCCCGCCAAGCCCGTGCCGAAATCACCATCACAGCTTCCCGCCGCTGCTCCCGTGGCGGAAGAGCCTGCACCGCCGGTTCTCCCCCCTCGCACGAACACTGCGCCGCAAGTACAACCACCGTCGCAAACGCGATCATCGCGACCTCCTCCAAAATCGGAGACGTACCAGATCAAGAACATCAACTGGTACGATGCCAAGATCCAGAACACCCGCAAATCGCCAATCCTTGTGCAGAACGTTAATGGCCCATGTCCGCTGGTGGCTTTGGTGAATGCTCTGACCCTGACAACACCACCCTCGACGACGTCAAACCTCGTGGAGACGCTACGGTCCCGCGAGCAAGTCAGCATCGCGTTTCTCCTCGAGGCCGTCATTGACGAGCTCATGTCCTCTGGCAGGCGAGATCCTGATGCAGATCTGCCCGACATGACAGAATTGTACGATTTCCTCACCGGTCTCCAGACCGGCATGAACGTCAACCCGAGATTTCTGCCCTCGCCTGAAGCCGCAAAGCAATACAAGAGAACGTCATTATCTCATGTGCATCCACATGAGCGCGACGTGTCGATTCCAGGCACGTTTGAGGAAACCAAGGACATGACGCTGTATGCGACGTTCTCGATTCCGCTGCTGCACGGATGGCTACCGCCACGCGACGATCCCGTGTACGACGCTTTCGAGCGCCAGACTGCGTCGTACGACGACGTCCAGAATCTTCTGTTTCGCGAGGAAGAGCTCGAATTCAAGCTCAGCACAACCGCGGAGGGCTTGACCGAGCCGGAGCAGCAACTATATCAGGATGTCCTAACAATAAAGGCGTGGCTGTCCAGTACGGCGACGCAGCTTACACCATGGGGCTTGGATGTTGTCACCAAGTCCATTGAGCCCGGCGGTGTGGCCATTCTCTTCCGGAACGACCACTTTGCTACTCTGTACCGACATCCGCAGACGCAGGAGCTGCTGACGCTGGTGACGGACGCTGGCTATCACAAGCACGATGAAGTCATATGGGAGTCTCTCGTAGATGTACGGGGAGAGAACTCGGACTTTTACTCAGGAGACTTCCGTGTCGTGGGCGGCTCACAGCAACAATCAGGCAGTGGCGCTAGCAGCCAGGGCGGGGAGTGGCAGACCGTGCAGGGCCGACGCGGCGGCAACAGCCAGCGAAGCGGAAGCGAGGCCTCTGCGCAGCAACCATCACAGACCGAGCAAGAAGACCGCGACTTGGCGCTTGCTTTACAATTACAAGAGGAGGAAGACGAGCGGCACCGCAACGAGCAAGCCAGCCGGCGCCGACAGAGCGAGTTGTCAGAACAATTCATAGAGCAGCAAGGTCGGGCACCACCACAGCCGCCGAGACCAGGACAGCAGTCCAACGGCACCCGTCAGCGAGGCAACAGCCGCGTCAACATACCCGTCCGTGGCCCCGGCTCGGCTGCTGGCACCACCGCCTCATCCAACGGCCGCAACTCGCGGACAACGCCACAGCCCCAGGCGCCAGTTAGAAGCCTCGTCCCGCCGCGCACGCATCGACCAGCTGACTCGGCCGAGGACGAAGCCCCGCCGACGTACGAGCAGGCCTCGCAATCGACACCCTACACGCCACCAGCAGGTCACCCCAGCCACCCGGGGGCCACGCCACGCAGGGTTTCTGGGCAAGTGCCGGTGGCGGCGGCGGCCGGGCCGTCAAGCCCAGGCGCCGCTGGCAGGGGCAGACATCCGGCCATGGTACCTGTCGGGGGACAACAGCCTGGTGGGAAGGAAGAAAAGTGCGTCGTCATGTAATTTTACAACGTTGCCGGTATGCGGAACTAGCACGTATGGGTTGAGACAGTGTTCTCTTTTTTCTTTCACTGTTTTCTTTTTGGAGCGTAGCATATCAGTACTCTGCGCTTTTCTGGGTTTGAAGGAATTGGAGCTATCCAGCTCTCGAACAATCAAATGGATAGTCTATGCATCTTAATCTTATGATGCATGTCTTGTTTGCACACGGCCTTTGTTTGTAAATGAATCAACCTTGACGGTTCCATTGATTCGGAAATAAACAAAAACGGAGACGAAGAAGACGAAGAGGCAAATTAGCTGGGTCATACTGCCACGGTGAATCATCCATGTCCTAGTCAGTGTTTTGGGTGGAGACAGGGTCGTCCCATGTTTCTACTGATTCCGCGAACGGAAGGGGGGGGGGGGGTAAGGGTTCGCATACAAGAATTAAATTAAAAGGCATTAGTTCTCTGCGATAAAGGCGTGTGAAGAGGAGGAGAGGGAGCAGCCCAGGACGGGAGGGGAGGTTTCTCGCTTCAGCTTGGTTTGTATTTTTTGGCTGAGCATTGCTGGAGCCAGCTTCTCTCGGCCTTGTTCGCTGTGTGGAGTAGAAAAGGGCCCGGGGGTTGTTACTGGAAACGAAGAGCCATGGACTTCCTTCGGCAGAGGAATTCCGATGCTCCAGAAGACAATGCCATCCACTGATGACAATAACTAAGTAGTTCGCGCGGATTAGAGTTGGCACTGGTCCTGGAGTACATAAGCCTGGGCTAGGCGTAGTGGGGGCTTCCAACCACCACCACCACCAGGGCTGCAGCCGATGCTGAGGCGTTCGCGTTCAGCCGAACTTTGAGCCAAGCCATTGTACAGAGCATGCACGGATGTGGTTAAACATTGGGCTCGTGGGATATTTGGCCAATGGGGGAAATGTTTGAATGTGTGTGATGCAATAGCTGGTTCAATCAACATGGTTATTGTCGCGGTGCTGGGTGTCAGCTCCGAGACTCTTGGGCGGACCCAGAACCAGATTCGGGATAGCCGCGCATATTCAGCTGCCAAAGCCATGCATTCTCCACGAGGAGCTGAAATTCCAGCCGACAGGTAAAGTTCCGGCCAGGCTGCTGCTCGGGAGCAATGGGTGCATATCTCCGGCAAAAGGGTGTGAGACATACGGGTTGTTTTCAGGGACCAGGCGTTTAAGGAGAGGTGCCCCGAGGGTACCGGGACTTGGCCCTGACTGGCCCTCGGTGATGTAGACTCGTGAGATTGTGACAGTCTGGAAAGCAGGACGTTGACAAGCACATGTGATTTATCCTCAACGAGAGAGACCTTGACAGCCGCAAGCAGCCCAGACAGTTCAGTGCAGTATGACATTCCTCCACAGCGGGAGAACCCCCCACACGGAGCCGGCAAGGGTTCCCCATTCCCGCCAGGGTCCCTGGAGAACTGGATTGCGGAGTGCGAATAACAAGAGAAAGGCACTGGCGATGCATTTCAAAGGTAGTAGGTAGCTCCTCGCACTTGGGGTTCTAGCCCCTGCGCGCATGGCTAGTAGATGAATCGTCTTGCGTCTGTATTGTCTTGCTCGCGGGGCCGCCACAGCACCGGGAACAGAGCTGAGAAACCTCTACGGTTGGATCGGGCATGCGTGGACAAGACAACAATGGGCGTGGCGTTGCCGATGCGAGCTGAGAGGCGCTGGCCCAAGGCCGTGTTGGGAAAGGTGCGTCGCGGCTGCCGTCGCGGGCCGCGCTGCGATCCGCCTACCAGTAAGTAGCCATCAACGAGCAAGTCATGGCATGCTCTGGGCCCGGCCACGCATTCTCCTCCCACATCAAGCAAACACCAACAACCACTTCGTCTCTCACGGGCAGTCACAACAGCAGCCACGCACTCCAGGCCTCTAATCAATAGTCCCCCCCCTAGCCCGGGCCAACCCCACCCCTTCAAGGGGCCCGTCCCGCGCCATGGCGGCCACCAGCGTGTGATCGCTTGGGGTATGCTCCTTTGTGATACTGATACGCCTGCATTCGCTGCTTGCTGGCTTGGGTGGGTAGTCCTGGTTCCAGAGCGGCCGGCTGCGTCTCACTCGCCCTTGACTCGCAAGCTGAATGCACCACCACGGCTGCAGGCATGGCTGGCCATTGTGGCCCCCGTTGCGGGCTATCCTCAAAGTCATCGCAGCTGTTGGGAAACATCTATATCTACCTTCTCATGGCTCCCACAGAACTACCACCTTCAATAGACTCCTCGAGCTCAGTCGCCCCCTCATCTCTCCACAGGGGCTCTCTTCGCTTTCTCACTTTTGAGTCTCGGGGTCTTCTGGTAACGTCCCATTGACGGCACCCTTCATCAAGATGGTGTTCGGCTCCAAGAAACCAGAGTACAAGTACAACTTTCACGACGATGAGCTCCTTCACGATTCTACGCCTCAGCCAGGCGCCTGGAATTCCAACTTGGCTGGCGATGCTGTTGCTGCCTTGAAGGGCGCCAGGACTCTGGTCACCGATGGCTTCCCTGCTGCCGCAAAGGATGTCGCCAGCACACTCGACGTCAACGACCCCCTGAGCCGGCTCATCTCAAAGCAGATGGTCAGCATGCTCTGGGGATCTATGCTTCATCCGCCTCCCAGCTACCTGGGATCCGAGTTCCAGTATCGTGCTCCCGATGGGGGCAACAACAACATCCTCTTTCCCAGACTTGGTGCGGCCGATGCCCGCTATGCCAAGACTGTGCAGGGCGTCCGTCCTACGTATGGTGCCAAACCGGACGCCGGAGACCTGTTCGATCTTCTGATGGCTAGAAACGAAAACACCAAAGACAGCCCGTCTGGTCTGTCTAGCATGCTCCTCTGCCACGCCACCCTCATCATTCATGACATCTTCAGGACACACGATGAAGACCCAAACAAGTCGGCCACATCGTCCTACCTCGATCTGGCCCCGCTCTATGGTAATGATGAGGCGAGCCAGATGGAGGTCCGGCAGGGCAAACTCGGCCTGCTGAAACCGGACACCTTCTCAGAGACGAGGCTGCTGCGTCAGCCTCCTGGAGTCTGTATCTACCTGATCCTCTACAACCGCTTCCACAACTATGTTGCCAAGCAGCTGCTGGAGATCAACGAGAACGGCCGCTTTTCGCGGCCCGCGGACTACGACGACATGCACCAGGAAGCCAAGCAGGCGGCTGATGACAAGCTGGACCATGACCTCTTCAACACTGCCCGCCTCATCACCTGCGGCATGTATATCCAGATCGCCATTCATGATTACCTGCGTTGCTTGATGCTCATGCACGCCAAGGATACGGCGTTTACCCTAGACCCCCGAGTGTCCTTCCCTGAGCACAACAACAAGACTGGTCTCCAGCGTGGCGAGGGCAACATGGTGTCTGTCGAGTTCAACCTTCTCTATCGGTTCCATAGCCCCATCTCAAAGCGCGAGGCATGGTGGACTGAAGACATGTTTGTGCAATTACTGCAAGATCGCAACATGGTCGTGGAAACAAAGGCGGAAGAGAACATGAAGACCAAGTTCACAAAGGAGACAATTGTCGATGGGGAGATCCCTTTCCCAATCTTCCGTCACATGATTGATGGCATGAAGAATGCATCCAAGGTTCGTCGGGACCGCCTTGCCTACTTCCCAGCTGGCCTCGATCCCGTGGGTGGGTGGAAAGAGAAGGACGACCAAGGCCGGAGAGTCGATGGGCCCGAAACCTTCCGCTTTAAGCGCGGCAAGGACGGCAAGTTTGACGACGCTCAATTAGCAGCTGAGCTCATGAGGGTCATGGAAGACCCCATCTCCTCGTTCGGAGCCAACAATGTCCCTCGCGTGCTAAAGGGAATCGAGATTATGGGTATGCTGCAAGCTCGTCAGTGGGAAGTTGCCACTTTGAACGAGTTCAGGCAATTCTTCAACATGTCGCGCCACACTCACTTCGAAGATATCAACAGCGACCCGAAGATTCAGGAGAAGCTCCGCGACCTCTACAAAGATCCTGATCTCGTCGAGCTGTACCCCGGCCTCTTCTGCGAGGGTGAATCCCAATGCTTGGATCCCGGTACTTCATGCCCTAACAAGCAGTCGACGGCTTTGTGGCGTGCGGTCTTCAGCGACGCTGTAACGCTTGTGCGGTCGGATCGTTTCTACACTCTAGATTGGAATGTAGGGTCTCTGACTGCCTGGGGCATGAAGGAGGTCACTTCGGACCCCAACGTGAACAAGGGCTCCGTGATGCACCGCCTTTTCCAAAGGGCGCTGCCGGGCTTTTTCAACTACAACTCGCTGCACATGTGGCAGCCTTTCTATACTCCAACCATGAACGTCCAGCTGGCGCAGGAACAGGGATATCTTTCGTTCCTCGACCTGAATGGGTTGGAAGATGAAAATGGAGCGCCTTGGGATATCAAGATGAAGAATGGCAAGGTCCTGACGGATTTCAAGCGCCTGTGCCAGGTTGACAAGAATGGCAAGGGCAGGCAGGTCCGGAAATGCCTGAAGCTCGACTTGCCCACCCGATGGCTGGACAAGAACTGGGTCATGCAGACGACCAAGGCGACCAGGATCGGTTGCGGCAAGCACGAGTACCCGTGGCGCGGTGGTGAGAAGGCCTACATGGCCAATGTGCTGATCGAGATCAATGATTATGAGGTCATTCGGGACAGCCTCTTCGCCGAGGGCGAGAGCATCAACTTTGCCAACCCATCCATTCTGAGCGCAGACGACATCCCGGGACAAGTCCTTTCTGCCATCATGACGAAACAGTGGAACAAGTGGGAGTCGGCTTTCCGGATTGTCTGGGGTGGCCTTGGCCCGGACTGGGAGGAGACATTCATGAACTACTTTGTCGAAGTGAGCCAGGAGATCCGGCTGCGTGAGCAGCGCACTTTCCAGAAGTGCCCCAACGGTGATCAAGTGTTCCAGATCGACATTGTCTCCGAGTAAGTTGACTGGCACGCAGTGTTTTTTTGCGACTTTGCAACTAACTCGTCTCTTAGCTATGCCATCCCTGTGGTTACACGTTTCATTGCCGACTTCCTCGGCTTCTGGACGGAGGTCAAGACGCCGCAGTTCCTTGACAGGCCGTACTCTGAGAATCAGATATACCGCCTTCTGGAGAACTGCCAGAACTACGACTCGTACGATGCTGACCCCACCAAGACCTGGGCTCGTCGCATGGCCTACCGTGAGTCCATCAAGACCCTCAAGGGCCTCACCGAGCTGGGTATCAGGAAATACGAACCTTATTTGTTCGAGCACGGGTTCCTCGGCATTGGATCTCGCTCTTACGGCTTTGATGGCGACTCGAAACAGGTTCGGACCATTCGCAAGATCGCCGTTGGGATCGTGCGTGGCCTGACGACCGCCAACTTCACTCATGAGGAGATCGTGGCGGTCATGCTGTCGACCGCCCTTGATGCTGCTCAGAAGACAGTCGTCACCTTCACTGAGGCAATGGCCTATTTCATCGATCCCAGGCAAGATCTGGGGGGTGAGGAACATGTCATTGATGCACACGACGAGCGTACAAAGCTCTGGGGTCAGCTCCAGGCTCTTGCCTGGCAAGACGCCAAGAAGTTGCCAAATGGCAGCCTGCAGTTCAAGAACGACCCAGAAATCGATGAGAAGATTCTGGGTTACGTTCTCGAAGCCCAACGATTCAACCCTTACATGAGGGTCCCACGTGTCTGCAACCCAGTCGGCAATGGCAACGACCTTGTCTTGGCCAATGGACTGACGGTCAAACGGGGAAAGACGCTCCTTGTCAACATGGTATGTCCCTGAATCCTGCATAGCATCTCAGCTCGGTATCGCAGCCTAACACCAAACACAGTATGCCGCCTATAAGAATCTGCCTCAAGACTACGAAGACTTCCCCCACTCCCACAAGTTCGATCCGACTCGGGAGACCGCATCATACCTGATCTACGGTGGTGACGGCAAGATCTTCACTCGGCGTCTTGCCCTCATCGCCATTACCGGCATGGTCAAGCACACGGCCCATCTCAAGGAGCTCCGCGTTGCCCACGACAAGATTGGACGGCTCAAGCGCGTACAGACTCCCAGAGGCAATTGGTACTACGCCACAGTGCAGTGGGACAACCTTGTTTCGTCGCCAATTACGTGGAATCTCCGATTCAATGGTGTTGGCAAGGGCGTCTGGGAGCAGGGCGACAACGCCGACCAGGGCCACGGGCAGAACCAAGTTGTCATTGTCCCGAAGGCGCCAGCCAAAGCGGGCCAGGACTTCGGGACGAATGGCTATGCGTCTGCAAACGGCAGGCGTGAGGCGAAGCCCGGTGACTACGTAAAGACCTCGGCTAGAGAGCTGTCTCAAGTGTCTCTGTGAGGGGGTTGGCGGTAGGAGTTTACTCTTCAGTGTCTGAGTAGGTGATTGTATCTAGGGATTTCTCTAGCTTGTGTACTGTTTCAGTCTATCACATTATTTAACATATCACTCGTCGCTCAAGGGATCGCTATGAAACGTACTCTCGGTGACAGCTACATAGATGGATGCAGTCAATAATCCTCAACCAATCACCACCGGATAGTGCTGTAGCCATGGCCCCATGCTCCTCCACCACCATCACCACCTCCTCTCGGAATCCCACTCCAACCGAGCCCGATGTCACGGAACTCCCAACTTCCCGGTCCATGCCCTCTCTCACGACCGCCCTGCGGGGTCCAGCCCCAACCAAACCTCCCATTCCCACGGACTTCACCATCAGCATGTGAGCCATTGGCTTCCGAGTGCTCGCGGCACAAACCCCCATGCCTCGCCCGCTTGCCGCACTTCCACCAGCGGCCGCGGCCCGCTCGTCCCGCGGCGGGTCGATAGTCCTGGATCATCTCGTCGTACACGAGCCGCTGCCGACGCGCAGAGTATTGGCACCGATGTGCCTCGCAGTAGATGACCTCCTCCTCGGCGATACTGTCGTCGCTGGCACTGTCACTACCGCTCCGGGTCCCGGCCTGGTGGTGGTGGCAGTCGTCATCATCACTTCCGCTACCACTACCGCGGTCATCACCCCCACGATCACGACGAGGACGACGCTGATGATGATGGTGATGAGAGTCCCGCCGCCACCCAACCCGCCGCGCGGAACAGCCCTGCACAAAGCATCTATGTGAATCGCAGTACACACTCGTCGGGATCCGGCTCACACGTCCACCACCATGATCATCACCATCATCATTCTGGGATGACAAGACCCCGGCGTCGTGCAGCGCCGAGGCCACAGAGTCCAAAACATCCTGCTGCCGCTGCTCCCGCTCCTGCTGCTGCTGCTCCTGTTGATCCTGGTAGTCCTGCTCAGAGTCGCTAAAGTCAGACTCGTCGCTATCTGGAGGATACGGCGGTCTTCGTCGTCGCGACCGCGACGGCGGGTGTGGTGACGGGTGTTGGCGGTCCTGGTTGTTTGGGCGGAAATGTACTTGCCTCCGGTGGTGCTGCTGTCCGCGGGATGCCCGGCGGCGAGGCTGGGATGAAGGAGCGAGGTTGGAGGTGTCTGCGGCGGCAGCGGCAGCGGACAGCAAGTCCCCGAGCCACGGGAAGGAGTTGCTGCTTGTTCTGCGGCCTTCGCCGCGGCCGCCACGTCGTCCGTTGTTGTTATCCATCAAGCCCGTGAATAAGGCTTCGACCGTAGCTGGAGAGATAGTCCCATTTCCACTCCCGCCATGTCGCGAGGGGGGATGTGGTGTCGTCCTCGTAGAGCGCCTTTTCACGCATCCTGGTTCCAGACAGGTGTGCTCCGGACAGTGCGTGCTCCCCGTCGCGAGGCCGCGGAGGCGCGGGCAGGCGGGAAAGGTGCAGCGGTGCAGGTGGCACCCGCGCGAGGAGGGCGTGGGTGTGCGTTTGCAGCCGGGGGGCCAGTCACATGTTCTTCTTGAGTCTGGTTGGTGGTGATGGTGATGGTGATGGTATATGTTAGTGATATATTCATAGACATCTTGATCAGGATGTGTTTTATTTGCGTAGACCCATCCGCACTTTCTTGAAAGTTTGTTGAAAAATTGCCGTTTCATGAAGAACAAACGAGAGAAAGAAAAGACACTCACGCTCGGCACAAGTATCAGCGATCCAGTCGCCAAACACCTCGCGAAACCGGCCGCAGCCCTCCACCGGGCACTGGTGATGCTCCTTGCACCACGGCGACCCGGACGCCACCTCTGGCTCCTTGTTGCATGTCCGCACCGGTGCTGCCCGGGCACCGCCAGCCGCCAGCGTCTGGAACACCGAGTTCATCTGACACATGTGCTCGGCACAGTAGTCGACGCCGATGGTGTGTTTCTGCTGGCTGCAGCCGTCGCGCTTGCACTCGTGGTCGACACAGAAGAGGCATCCGGCTCCTCCTCCTCCTCCTGAAGAAGAAGAAGTGCGATCCCGTCTGGGTTTGGGACAGTTGATGTGCAACACCTGACACTTGTGGGCGAGACATGCTCTCGCCCCTGTGCCGCCGCTGGTGGTCGCAGATACAAGAGGATCATCGCATACCTCGGCTATAAAGGGCACGTCGTTCTCCGTCCGGACCGCATAGCACGTATGCCGCTGGCAGAACTTTGAAGAGCGCACACCATCGGCGGCGGCGGCGCCGGACCCGAGCCCGAGCCCGAAAGGCCAGGGCCATGGCCCCGGGTGATATCGCCATATCACATCCCGACACTGCACGCCGCGCTCGCCCGATAACGCGCACAGCCGGTGCTGCTCGCACCAGTTGTCCTGGTGCTCAGGCTTGTCGGCGTTTCCCGGCACCTCGGCGCCGCAGTGTGGGTGGCTGCAGGTGTGCTTGGCGCACAGGTTGGGATTCCCCCGCGGGGAGCCCTTGAGCTCGAGGCACTTTGCACTGCCGGGGATGCCGTTGCCGCTTCCGCCGCTGCTTCCGGTGAGGGTGCCTGCCTCGCACGCGTGGGCAGGGCAGGTGGCGCCGTACTGTCCGAAGGCTGTGCCTGGCTGTCGCGGGCTTTTGCAGTCCGGGTGTGTGCACTCATCTGTTCAGCCAGAGGAAGCGAGCGCGAAAGGCCATGCCGTGGTTAGTCAAAGTGCAAGTGAGATGGATCATCCGTTCTTCCAAAAAGGTCGGGCGTTGGTGGGAAGAACTCACGAGAAGCTGTGCAGAAGTTGTGCCCGTTGGCCTGGTCAACAAGCTCATTGCATGTGGGCGTCGAGCATACCCCATCTACATTCTCTCATCACCACAGTCCAGCGTCAGCAACACAGAGAGTCATAACCTCCCGTATACGCACACAAAGAGCACCCCCCCCCCCCCTTTGGGAACTACACGTACGTTCGCTACAATACCGTGCCCCGCCTCTCGTCCGTCTACGGCACCGCGCCCCGTTCTCGGCCACGGGGTTGAAGTACACGAGACATGTGTGCTGCTCGCAGAACGGGCTCTGGACCGCCCGGCACAGAGACAAAGTCCCCGTGCCGTTGTTGCTGTTGCCGACTTTTGCAGGCCGCGACGCCACCAGCCGCTTGCACTTCGAGTAGCCGCACTTTGGCTGGCTCATGCACCACAGCGGCATTGCTCAATGCCACTTCATCGAAGGCTCGCGCGAATGGTCGTGGTGATATCGGCTATGGGATCGTCGAGTTTCGAAGCTGCAAATGGTAGAGTGGTCTGTGAGGTCGAAAGAAGCAGATGATGAAGTCGTTGTCTGCAGCTGGCTTTTGGACGTTTCTGTCAGCTGATGAAGGAGTTGGCATGCGAGGAACATATGCGCGGCACCCCTCTCTATCTGGAAGTCATAGTGACCCAAGAACGCAAAAGCGCCTGGCTGCGTCCGGTGAACGGCAATCATCTGTGGGAATATCGAAACACGAGCGACCTGTTTGGGCTATCGTTTTGAGATCTTGCCGTGGGAATATCATCCGGGGGTCCATGCTCCAAGGGAAAACAGAAAAACGAATCGATGTGCGACTTTAGCTGCTACAGCCAAGCTCTTTCGTCGTCACGCCATGCTGTTCTGAAGAAAGTACAGTGTTCCTCAATCAGAAGAGGCTGCCCGTCAAGCAAGCCTCGTGACGTGGTAAGGCGCGTGTGCTACGCGAGAGACTGTGTGACATTGGCATAGACGCCACTGCGTTTGTCAGCTAGGGGACGTCCCTTGATTCAGGTTTCCGCATCTGCAATATGCTAGCAGCATACACAGAGCAAGAGGTTTCATAATGCCCCGACGCAAACCCTTCAGGGTCCTTAGTGGCACAAACGCCTGTTGTTATGATCCATGTCAGTCACCAAATGGTTTGCCAGGGCGGTCGTTGCAAGATCTGCGAAAGGAGACAGGTTACGTAAGTGGTAATGTAATTTCCATTTCGCTGGTGGCACAATGTGCCAGACTGTGCTGTCCCAGGGGTATCATCGCCAGTGCTAAGTATCTACGTAAAACTCCAATATATAGTTTGATCAAGTATATAAGTTGAAATGTCCGCCACCAATAATTCGAGCATTCATGGCCTGCTTGACGTTATCTTCTGAGGGCTGAAGCGTGCCGCTCAGGGCTACCATCTAGGCTGTTGTGCTGCTTGTCGCACGATACGGGGTCACATTTGCCGGGGGGTCCCGTTCCATGGTCATCTGGAAATCCATTAAGGGGTCATCAGCTCGCGAGTGGGAGGTTTCCTCGGCGGCCGCCGCTTGTGCTGCCTCCCGCTCAATCGCAGCCTGGATGTCAAAAAGATCCGTCTCGCTCTCGACAGACTCGGTGATAGGAGCATGATGCTCTCCATTCGCTGCATCGGCTTCCTTGGCCTCTTTGTCAATGGCGGCCTGAAGATCAAGCAAGAAATCGTCCTCTTCCTTTTCGAGAAATCCAGACTGTAGAGGTTCAGAGGCCAATGGGGCAGGGTGTCCTTCAGGAGCGGACATCTGACTGGGCTCTTCCTTGACCGCAGATTCAGGCTTTTCAGTGTTGATGATTGTTTGCGCCTCTTGGGTTGGGTTGCCAGAGGTGGTGTCCGTTGCTGCATCGCCATTGAGGGCTGCAGCAAGCTCTCCATGAACATCCCCTGCCAGATCATCCGGAATGTCACCATCAAGGAGCGCCTGCAGGTCAAGTAGTGCGGCATCCTCGATGCTGAGATCTTCTTGTGGTGTTCCGTCGACCGATGTACCAGAGAACGCCGCCTCTGACACGTCCGGCGTGGCTTGGGGAGTAGACCGCGCGGTCGCTGGCGGTGCTGGCACCGATGACGATGCCGCAGTCGGCCTTGGCTGCTGCGGCGATTGCAGCATCTTCACCGGCAGGTGCACTGGCTGCGCGGCGAGGAATGGAGGTCGCGGCGCGCCGGAGGACATGGAGACAGGTGGCCGTATCGAGTGATGAGCGCCTGCTTGCAGATGAGGATGGGTAAATCTTTGCACAGGAGTTGTGCTGTGGGAAGGGGCCATGGCAGTAGATGGCCTCGTGGGCGTTTGCGGATTGTGAGGTGTATGAACATGGCCGCCACCGGCATGAGGATGCACGCCATTGACATGAGCCTGCTGCTCCTCCTTTGCCTTCTCTTCAGCTTCCTTGCGCGCGGCTTGGGTTGGAGCGCGGGTCTTTAGCTCGCCAGTGACACATTGTAAGTAGTAAGGCATTTCGGTGTTCGCCTTGAGAAAGAAGAGCTTCAGATTCCGTGCTTTGTCTTTCAATTGCACTTGTGTTCGGTCCGCCAAGATCTGACTGATCGACCCATTGGGCCCGAAAAGTCCCAGGATTTGTGACCAGTGTGGGCCTTTGACCATATCTAGGCCCATCATCAGGGCCTTTTCCTCTTCTGGACTCCAAGGCCGCCTCGTGGAATGCGTGCCCTCTCTCCGAGCCTGGGTGGAAGATCTTGCAGCAGCAGCCTGCCGTGCTCTTTCGTATAGCGCAGGTGTAGAATCGCTTTGGTTCGGCGGGAGATGATCACCCGGGGCCCTATATGCCGGGTGTGGATGGTGGTTGTGCTGTGGATACGGATAGTATGGCTGTGGTTGACGTTGTTGATATGCACCTTGTGCTGATGAGTTTTGTTGCGCTGCTTGCTTCTTAGCATAAAAGATCTGTGCACTCGTCTGGTGAATTCAACTTACCACTTGACTGGGGCCCTTGATTCGGCGCCTGTGGATCGTCATGTCCGTGTGACATACGCTGGAGTGCCATCATTGTCGCCTTAGAGGCGCTTTCAGCCGCCGAGGCAACTTCTCCCGTAGGAGCACCGTCCCTTTCAGGCCCATTTGCTTGCTCAGCTGCCTTTGAGATACTCTCCGTTAGGAATGCAGTGAGGTCCTCGTCCTTTCTTGATGCGTCCACATTTGGATCTGAGTCAGTTTCGGCAGCTCTCGACGCCTCTGCAATGGCAGCGTCCAGATCAAAGTCGAAATCCAGCTCGTGTCCAGCGCCATCACTGGGACCTTCGTGCTCGAAACCGGGCCGCAAGTCTATGATGCCGGCGCCTTGCATCTTGATGCTCTCAATGTTGTCGTTAAGGTAGCTGTTGAGAGTTTCGAGGAATGTTTCGTAGCTGAATTGTTTGCTGAGCGACTCTGTCCATACTTTATTAGCAAAAGAAAGAGACCCATTTGGTCTATCTTGCGTATATTCAGAAGTCCACGTACGTATGCTGTCCGCATCATTTGACTCATTCCTCAACATCGTTTTCCGCTCTTCGGCATCTGCCAAGAACTGGGTCTCGATGTTGTTCAGAGGCCAGCCAATATGATGCGCCTCTAGTACCGACCTCAGTGTGGTGGGGAAGACCTCTTCCAGAATCTCATCTCGCGTTCGTTCCTGTTGACCATCAAGCATGGCGAGAAAGATCTGTGTCTTCAGCGCGAGGAATATGTCGGCTGCATCCTGCGAGAGATCATGACCCTGCGGGATGAAGATCATCAGAAACTGATCATTCACCTCTTCGAGACCAATGTCGAGCGTGCTGAAGAGGCTGGCGCAGGACGCCGCAAGATTCGCGACCCTGACAATCTCCCGGTCTCCATCATATACACCGAGGCTGTATGGGTCCAACAGGAGGCTGTCCTCGGATAGGCACCGGCGTTGCGCATCGAATGCAGTCTTAAGGCATACGTATTCTCGGGCCACGTCGGAGTCGCGATTATGGCACAGCGTGCGAATGGTGTCCTCGAGGGACTGCTCGGACCAGGCTACTAGCACATCCACAGCCTGTTTCGGTACAATCAGCCCCGTGATCTAGCTTGAGCGGTTCGGGCTCATTCGAACAAGGTCACACTTGGACACTTACCAGGCTACCCAGCGCAGGAAGTACGTGTTTCCTGCGGGTAAAGTGATGTGTGCCATTCCATATCGACTCTGTCCGCGTGGGCGGCATGCTCAAGAGGGCCTCCTCGAGATCGATTATGCTGACCGCGGCGGAATCGAGGAAGTCGCCCGTGGCACTCGACATTGGGTCGCCTTCCAGCTGGATATAATCGTCTTGCATGACCGAGTCCTGCGCCTGCTGCACGAGCCGAGCAAACTCGTCCATGTCCTCCGCCTCCACCCCAGCTCCTCCTGTGCTATCATCACGGGCGACGGGTTCTGTCTTGAGTCGCTTGTCTGTAGGAAATTCGGTGTCTTGGTGCTCAAATGGGGACCGTGATCTCTTGAGCGGTGATGCGGGGATTTGTTCTTCAACGCCGGCCATGGGAATGTCCTCGATGTTCGGTTCGGGCTTTACAGAAGGGCCTGAGGCAACACAGTCAGTCTCTGTCGAGGCATGTATCTAGAGCTGCCTGGCTAACAGGGGCAAAGGGCAGGAGGGATTGGAGGACCACGCACTTGGAGGGGCGCCAAATGTATCTTGGCCAGCAGATTGATGTGACGGATTGGGGGCTGGGTCGGCCTCGGCGGCCTTTTCCGCAGCGGCAATGGCATCTGCGAGGTCTGCCATGGCGGACGGTTCTGGGCACTACATCCGGGACAATTGCGAGCAAGCTCAATCGTTTTCTGGGGATGGCCGCTCGGCAGTATGACGATGGTCCTGGGAAAAATACCAGGCCCAGCTGCGATCTGACTATTTTCTGCCGTCTTCTTATCTTATCGGTCGATACACAGACGCAGAAATGTGTGGTGGCCAGGGACTTGCAAAAAGTTTAAGTGGAGACAAGACAAAGGCGGAGTGCCTCAGGTGCGCCGACCCCAACCAAGCCTCCCCTCTTTGAACCCGTGGACCTCTTGGACCTGAAATGAAAGGCATGCACAAATACAGCTGTGGATATTCCCTCCGGCACACCCTCGCCACGCCAGGTGAGCCGTGTAGAAGCCATGGAGATGTCTTGTTCATCAAGGGATGAATGGGCAGTCCATGATCCTTGATGTACAGCTCTCCAGGGCGAAGTTGGATGCGAAAATCAGCAAGCAAAATATTTTCCCTGGGGCTTTTTGATTAATCAGTCCATTTCGACGCATAAATGTTGTCAGATGCTGTGAAAATAATATTTTCCAAGGGTCATGTCCGGCAATAGCATTGGAACGTGCCGAACGTCGCCGCCACGCTTGCATGAACAGTCCTATATTGCAACCACACAGGCTTGATCTGGGAGATATAAGCTGTGAGGCAAAAGTCAGTAGAACAGTGCCAGTATGCAACCTCCACCTTCAACGTGGAAATATCATCAGGGTCCCCATGCAGGAATCGGCGGGTTAGTAGGTAGATAGGAGTGGCCCGCTGACAACACACACAAAACGTGGATAGGTATTGACGTGGTTCAATTGATCATGGATGCTGTTGACCTGCCAATGATTCTATTGGTCTATTTTGACGCCATCAGAGTCAGCTTAGTCCAAGTTGTTCGACCAATGGGACGGATGCCCGGGGTGGCTCGTATCTAGCACCCTGACCTGAGTGCGAAGGAGGTCTTGTCTTCCGAGGCTCGTCCTGACCTCCCCCGAAATACCGGAGCGGAGCGGGGGCCCTCGGGGCATTCAGAGAGATTGCGAGCTGGTGGTGGCTCGTTCCTTCATGGAGCATTTGACCACGTCCGCGTCCCATTAGACCGAGGCCAAAGGCGTCCCCTCCATTCTGTGGAAGGCATTCAAGAATATGTTGAAGCCCATGGTTGCCCCAGTCGCTCCCTTGCACAGCAATTGTACAGTGCTTGTTGCCAGCAAAGATTGTCGGCGGTATACAAGGGTGCAGGTGGATATGCCCCCGCCACGTGTTTTCCGCTTGCCTGCGGAAGTCCAACAAAGATTCAAGACGACATCGCCATCCCTGGATTCTTCGAGTCGACGCGCAGTCCATGTGAGGTGCACCGAAGCATGATTAGAGCCGGCTTATTTCCAAGGCAGAACAGCTAACCTGGTAGTGCCGAGTCACTTGCGATGAAGTGGCTGCTCACCAGTTGTGACCCCGAAAGCTCTACGTAAGTGAAAGCGGGGAAGACTAACATAGACTAAGCGCAGACAACCCAGTCCTGGGGTGTGGAGACTTTACCTACTTTAAGTGCTTAGTGTAGGCATGCCATTGGAGAAGCTGCAGTTCCGGCCCTGTTTTGAAAGCAACGTCGACAGATTAGTAGCTCCCAAGGACTTTTCCGTTGGCATTGAGCATTCATGTCCCTGTGCGGCCGACGTTGCAGCTCCCCTGCCGGATCCTCTTGGGCCCGCGTACGTCAAGCATTACCAATCGGCAGCTGGCTTGCCCGGCAACCAGGCATGGTTCTATTTCTGTGGAAAAGGCTCGGCTAGGGACTCCTGCTGATCTATCAACCAGGGGTCCCAGAATCGTGGCAACCTTGATGTAAAGTCTTCGCGTCAGTAACACGGTAAGCCACCGGAGGAACGGGGCGTGCCGGACATCTGGAACTTTGGATTGAAGGCAGGTGTTGTGATTTGCTGTGCTTTGCTGTGCTTTGCTGTTTTGGGCCGAGGGGGAAGCAGGGTGTCAGTCGAGACTGAGGCTGCAGCAGATGTGGTTCGTTGGCGTTTAGGAGGCGTCGACGCCTCAAAACGCGATGGAGGACATCAGAGAGGTGTGTTGCAACGTGTGGGGATGCACGCGCAGCAGAGCCCAAACGAGACTCGGCAAAGATGACAGGAGAGATCCTGGGGCGACGACACGATCTTGGATCAGAATCTGGGGTGCCAGCCACCTCTGCAGCATGTTGGGGACACAGTGGGTTGCGGGTGGCGAATTGCGGCACCGATCCTGGATAGCCGATGAAGCCTGCATGCAAGGGCGGGAAGTTCCTGCTCGGGGGTCCGGGACGTGATCAGGTGGGCGCCGCTGGCGCTAGGCTGAAGGGCTGTATCGAAAGAAAGATCCGTAGGCGGCGGCGTGTCTCTCGTGTTTTGGTTCCTCGGGACAGAGCAGATGAAGGTTGCGAAGCGGACGTTGGTGGTGCGGGGTAGACCGGGCGGATGGATCCTCCGCATAGGCTGGGTGGGGCCCTGTGTGCACTGCACGCACTGCTCTGCGCTGCTATGCGCTGCTCCCCGCCCGCCGGCGCTGCACAGTGCCGGCAGGGTGCACAATGCCGTCACAACCCACAGGGCCCGAGTCACCCCGCAGCCAGGACCGCACTCCTCCCGCTGGGCCTCCACCCACGATGCCCATGGCTGCAGGCTAGTCTCGTCGTTCATCACCGCCGTGCTGTGGCGACCCCTCCACGTCGCCTCCATGGCCAGCCAGATTCCCCATCCAGGCTCGCCGCCTTTGTCTCACCCGGCCAGCGAACCTTGCCGCACTTATAGATAGTCCGCCGCCGCCGCCTACCTTTTCTACACGCCCGTCTCTTTTCTCCTCACCCGCTCATCTCGTTTTCGTCATTTTATATACCCCATTCCAGATATACCACCACACACCATGCCTCTCTCTGCCGAGCTCAAGACTCCTCTCACTGGTGCCTACCAGCAGCCCACTGGCCTGTAAGTGAACCCATGCGCATCCCAGGTCTACTCTGTCACAAAGCCCGTCCTGGGAGCTAACCACGAGGCTTCTCTGTCATCCAGGTTCATCGACAACGAATGGGTTGACGGTGTGGACAAGAAGACCTTCGAGGTCATCAACCCCAGCACAGAGGAGGTCATCTGCTCCGTAGCAGAGGCGACCGAGAAGGATGTCGACATTGCCGTCGCCTCGGCCCGGAAGGCCTTCGAGGGTGTCTGGCGCCAGACCACTCCTGCCCAGCGTGGCCAATACCTCCTCAAGCTCGCCGATCTGACCGAGAAGAACCTCGAGCTCCTCGCTGCGGTCGAGTCCCTCGACAACGGCAAGTCCATCATGATGGCCAAGGGCGACATCGCTGCCGTCGCCGGCTGCATCCGCTACTACGGTGGATACGCCGACAAGATCCACGGCAAGACTATCGATACCAACACGGATACTTTCACATACACCAGACCTGAGCCCGTAAGTCTAATCTCTTCAGCTGCGATCAAAACCGGGCCATCATCTCTTCCCTTTTGGACGCCAATGCTAACATCTCATTTAAGCTCGGCGTCTGCGGTCAAATTATCCCGTGGAACTTCCCCCTCCTCATGTTTGCCTGGAAGATCGGCCCGGCGCTCGCCACCGGCAACACGGTTGTCATGAAGACCGCTGAGCAGACCCCCCTCTCTGCTCTCGTCTTCTGCAACCTTGTCAAGGAGGCCGGCTTCCCTCCCGGAGTTCTCAACGTGCTCTCAGGCTTCGGCAAGGTCGCCGGCGCCGCCCTTTCTTCCCACATGGACGTCGACAAGATCGCCTTCACCGGCTCCACCCTGGTCGGCCGCACCATCATGAAGGCTGCCGCCTCCTCCAACCTCAAGAAGGTCACTCTCGAGCTTGGTGGCAAGTCGCCCAACATTGTCTTCAACGACGCCGACATTGAGCAGGCCATCTCATGGGTCAACTTTGGCATCTACTTCAACCACGGCCAGTGCTGCTGTGCCGGTTCCCGTGTCTACGTCCAAGAAGGTATCTACGACAAGTTCATTGAGGCGTTCAAGAAGCGCGCCCAGGCCAACGCCGTTGGTGACCCTTTCAACGAGTCGACCTTCCAGGGCCCCCAGGTCAGCCAGCTCCAGTACGACCGCATCATGGGCTACATCAAGGACGGCAAGGCCGAGGGCGCGACCGTCGAGGTTGGTGGCGAGCGCCACGGCGACAAGGGCTACTTCATCCAGCCCACCATCTTCTCCAACGTCAAGCCCGACATGAAGATCATGCGCGAGGAGATCTTCGGCCCCGTCGCCGCGATCGCCAAGTTCTCGACCGAGGAAGAGGTCATCAAGCTCGGCAACGACAGCAACTACGGCCTGGCCGCCGCCGTGCACACCAAGGACCTCAACACGGCCGTCCGCGTCAGCAACGCGCTCCGCGCCGGCACCGTCTGGGTCAACTGCTACAACATGATTCACCACCAGATCCCCTTCGGTGGCTTCAAGGAGTCTGGTATCGGCCGCGAGCTCGGCGAGGCTGCCCTCGCCAACTACACGCAGAACAAGTCGGTATCCATTCGCCTGGGTGGGGCCATCTTCTAATAGTGATGTATTAATTTTCGGGGAGATGAGCAAATAAAATCGTGCACAGGTTGGGTAGAGTTTTCGATTTAACACGTGAAATGAAATTGAATAAGCTGTTCCACCAACAAACAAATGTTCTGATATGGTAGTTCATGTGTCGCAGTGATAATGTGGAAGTTCTATGATCCTTGTGTCCTTACGAGATGCGGTTGTGTTGACACACAAAATCCATCCTGCACAATGTTGTACTGTAAGCCCATGACCGCAGCCTCCACTTTTGTCAAAGAGAGCGTTCTTGGTGGTATGTAGATATCCATGTTGGTATAAGCTTTTCCAACGACGGTGGTCTGATCATGTTAGATGCGATAGGACGACGCGCAGCCAGGGGGGACCCAGCATGATGGAGCCGGATGATGTTTGACTCCGTGTTTCGCAGTTCTGAGGTGCACCAAACAGCGGCACCCGCGGGCAGGGTCCCCAGGGGGTTGCAACGTCGGCTCCCCCGGTTCTGAAACGCCAGGGCTGAGCGGGAAGGCTTTTTTGGATCGGCGCGTCCACTTGCCAGCAGTCTTCTGAGGCGGCCCCCTATAACATGGAAGCGACACATTTTCGACGTTGTAAAATTAATGACGCCTCGATGGCTTCACTCCGTCGCGCTGCTCTCTCTGCCCGGCGGCGAGTGAGGAGGGGTGTTGGTTGCAAGTCGTGGTGGTGCAGCCACACTTTACGCGGGCGTTCTTCCTTAGCGCTCACCATGCCACGAGACAACCAATGAGTAACCCCTGTCACACGCAGGAACGGCAGTTAGCTGTGCGGCCGTCAGATGCTTCGCCGAATGGGGAAATGCTGAAGATGCAGTGGTGCTTCTTAGCCAGACAGACGAGTCCTTGGACGTGCTCAGCTTGATGCGCGTCCTTTCTGTGCAGTCTCTCGATGGCCGCCCTCTGCTCGAGTCAACCCGAGGAAGATGCCGTGACGCAACTCCCGTGAAGAAGCACTCGCGATTCAAGCCTGAGGCATCGTTGCGTAGCAAAACAGGCAAACAGATAGGAATGTTCAGACGAAATGATGAGACTGCCGGGACGTGATTGTCCCTGGCCTATACGCCCACAACGTTAATGATAGAAAGGTGTCTTAAGAGTCCTGGACATGGTAAGCAAGACCCAGATTTTAGGAAACAGCGTGGTATTAGAGCCTGAGGATCTATGCACTGCCCATGATCGAATAAGCTTGTCCGTGACACACTGGCACCAAAGGTCTAGCAGGAGCACAAATGGGAGCTGTTCTCGCAGTGGATCTTGCTGCAGGAAACTGCCAAACCCTACGGCAACGGTCCTTTGGGGATACTCATAGACTCGGGCTCAGAAAAGTCCATCTATCAACGAAAATCCCGTTGCTTTCGTCAATCATGAACACATGCTCGGTCAGTGCGTGCTTTTCGGGCTCCTCAGGCCCCCCGCCCCTGGAGCCTCGATCTCTGACGTTTCAGGCTGGGCTACACAATCCACGGCCAGGGTAGGAGGGCCACACCCCTGTAGTAAGTCGCTGACTCCAACAGGATGAAAGCAGTCGCCAAGGGATCTGCAATCAGACCACTTATACTCGATTTGGGGCACATATAGGCCATGGTTGCGGACCCGAGTACGCCGCGTGCGTCGACGAATCGTTTAGGACAGCTCCGGGCCTGCCTCCTATGCCAGGCCAGCTTTTCCACCAAGCGACGGACGGTCTCTCTTGAATCTACTCCGCGCCTGTGGCGTTGGTGTTGTCGCTGTGCCACCTTCAGCACGGAGCGGGCGCCGGCGATAATGGCCACGAAGTAATGGCCATGACCCGGTCTCAGCTGCAGAGCCCGGCTGATTGGCTGATATGCTGACCGTCTGCCTCGAGATTTGTAGCAGATAGACGAACACGTCAGAAGGATGATATCAGTGACTGGAGTGTGGGGGCGCTTCCCGTCTGCCCTTGGTCTAGTCAGGAAGGCCGTGGCGCTTCGCTGACCGGTGGTCGCTGCGATGCTGCGCTCACCCGCCCAACAGTGGAGAGATGTCGTCAGAGACTGACTGGCAGAAGCTCAGTGGGACTTTCTTGTTGTCTTTTGCTGAAACCGTTGAAATCAAAGGCCCGGACCAGCACTGCTCTGGGCTTCTTGTTCAGGAAGCTGTGGCGACAAGGTTTGCTCGCTTTGCTTCTCCAGTCCGTATCTCCAAGTTGCCGGAACGAGCATTGCCTTTAGCCCTTGGAAATTGCAGGAACTGCTTGAGCAGCACCAGACTCGGTGAGAGTTGCTTGACTTCCGAGCTGGATAAAATCGCATCACCAGCCTGTGGCCTGGGACGTGCCTGCATTTGGGTGGCCTGTCCAGTGGACCGGTCCTGCCCCATGTCCTCTTTCCATATCGAGACGGCTTGTTCATGCATGCAGTTCTGTCAAGGCCCCCCCCTGTCCCGCCTCCCCTGCCATACTGCCACGACAGCAGGGCACCCTTTCTCGTTGCTCCTCCACATGCAGTGAGTGCAGTTGCCGCCAGAATTACGCCTCTGGCCCGTCACGGTAAAAGCCGCGAATCCCACACTGAGGGACCTAGTTTCGAGTGGTGGCCAAGTCATCACCGGCCTGCCTCAAGATATCTCTCTAGACGCTTCGATACCGGCACCTGTCGACGGTAGTGGACAGGGGATCCATCCCTCCATGTCACAGTCCAAGAGCTTAACTTCTCTTCCCCAGCCTTGAGCCTGAGGAATCCCGGTCCATCGGCGTTGGCTGGCCCGGCCTGCCCATCCTGACTGACCGGCTCGGTGACCCCACGCCCAAGTTGTGTACATACTTGGTGCCGCCCAGCACACCTGACACCAAAAGAACCACCTCTTGTCCTCCCTTCTCCCCCCTCATCGCCTGTCTCGTGTGAGTGGGTGTCTTTCGTTGTTGCAGCTCTTGTTTGTCGGCACTTGATTCAGGTCTTTCGTTTCTCTTCCTTTCCAAGAGCTAGCCTCTTGCTTTCCCTTCGTGGGAGGTCTCCTCTTTTGGATCCCCGCGCGATTTCGCAACGCCAGCGTTCCCGTTCGTCTCCGGATCTTCTCCTCAGCTGGGCTGCTGCTACCTTTCTCTTCTCTTCTTCTTCTTCCCCCCACCCCCACCCGTCATGCCCTCGTTGCGGTGGCGTGGCTCAGCGAGACTAGACTTCTGCGTTCCCAGGCATCAACTCGGTAATGGCAATTGATTATTGCACTGCCCAGCTCGTTCGACCTGCAGATCTCTTCCGCCGGCTAGTCGACATCTAGACATCTAGCCCGCCTTCAGGAAGCGACTCATACTCGACGCCTCATAGTTTCACGTCGACAGAGCAGTAGTACAACGGCTTCTCCTTACAGATAGAACAACGCCACAGATTGGACACAACTTTTGCTATGGCTCTTGCCAGTATTACAGCCCCGCTGGCTGCCCTGACGACGATCTTCCAGCCTCCATGCGAGACTTCCTGGTTCATCACAACGACAAAAGTTCCCTCGCAGGATCCGCCGTTCCCGACCGCTGGGCCCGTCACGTGCGATCCTCCGCAGTGGGCCGCCAACCTCGAAGACCCGGGATTTCAGTATTACTCCCCAGCAATATGTCCCAGTGGGTTTGCCGTCGGGCCGAAATGTGAGGTCCGGAATCCCCGGACAAACGAAGGCTTTCCGCCTATTGCTGCAGGAGAGACTGCCGTCTACTGCGTGCCAAGGTAAGCTGCTGCGTCATGTTGGGCGTGAGATTCGACGTCATTGGAGTGTGAACCGAGTATCTGCGTGTGATCGCTCAAGCTCTGATTATAATTGCTAATTCTTTCTACCCTTTTGCAGTGGGTTTACGTGCACGTCAGACACCACCGACTTTCGCGGTGGTGTATGGGGCGTCGCGGGGAACACTAATGGACCACCCAACCGGATTCTTGTCACAGTGGCACCAGCCATGCAGATTCGCTGGCGAGATGTCGATCTTGATTTCCTTCAAACTCACCCGCTCACGCCAGGCTTGTTGCCGTTGACCCCAGCAGAGCCTGAGCCAACGAGTACCATTGCAGAGCCAACCACGGCAGCCCAAGTGACGCCGCCGCCGCCGCCTCCCCCAACGCCACCAGGGCAGGTGCCAACCATCACACTCGGTTCGACACAGCTTGAGAGGACAGATAGTGTGATAATCCTGACTTCAACAGCAGCACCCGAAAACCCGCCTGTGTCGTCACCACAGCCGCAGCCATCGACAGTCTTGCAGCCCTCCTCTCGATCAACAACGAATCAAGGCGTAACTCAGTCCACGTCGACTAAACCCCAGATCAGCAACGGCGGTACGGCATTGACGTCCAACTCGCAAGCAACCAGCATCTCCACAGGCTCATCATTGCCCGACGGCGGCAGCATGCCGGCAGGAGAGGGAGGAGGGAGATGGGACTGGCGCACGGGCATTATCGCCATGGTGCTGTCTGCGTTGCTTGTGACTATTGGAGTTGTTGCGTTCGGCTGCATCTTGCTGCGCCGCAATAAACCCAACGATCCATGGAGCAAATTCCTCAGAAGTCCTCCTGGGATCCTACTGGCGAAATGGTGGGACTTGCTTGCCGCCAGCACATTGGGTATGTGGGTAAAGGCTCGTGCAGCCCAGGCTGGCAAGTCCCGGGCTGGAGTATGGGTCAGGCAGCGTTGGGATGCTGTTCGACCAGCTCGGCCGTCGCCAACGAAGAGCCCTTCAAAGAAAGAGATGGACCTAGAGCTCGGAATGTCTATGACACCAACGGTGGCAGAGCTTGATGCCAATCAACGACTCGGCTCGCCGGGAAATCCTGCCGAGCTTGATGGCGGTTCTCGATGGTCATCTTTGGGATGGAGCCGGAGCTCGGGATCCTCTGCTTCATTCGGCGTGGTGAATAGAGTCAAGACGTGGCTCATCACAACGGCACAACCAGCGGCTCGATGGACTCGATCGGGGACACCATTCAGAATAGACAACACCGCTGGGGGTGACCGCCCTTATTCGTTCAGGAGCAGCAGGCCAACGTCGGAGAAGAGCGGCTTCGACCTACGCGCGTCAGCAGATTGGGACAATTTCTCGCCCGCTACCCTCAAAGTCCCCACAGCAGCTCACATCACCCGAGCTCATGAGCGCAACAACTCGCTGGCAGATGTGCTGGACTCCAACGCCAAGGCTAGAGCTACCAATGATGCACATATTCCCGAGAGTGGCCGCTTGGCAGTGCCAGGAACCGCTCAAACAACCGGGGAGGACCACGAGAGCACCATCGAGGCCATGAATCGATTGAGTGCAGGCACATTCGGCGCGGGCCGCGCTAGCCAGATAATCGAATCGCAGTCGATGGGTAGAGAGCCGGTGCCAGCTCTGCCGCCAAAGACAGATAGCTAGCCTCCGGGGCTCTAGAATTGCAAGATGCAAAGCCATATAGATACCCAAGCATTTTGCGTTTCCGCATCGTCCCACTGATCGTTGTCTCTCTCGCCTGTGTGATGTGGTCTCGGCTGGAGCCTGGAGCCTTCGTGAAGATGTAAACCGTGAAAATCACGATCACTGCTAGAGGCCAGATAGACTAGAAGGTGTCACATATCTGGCGTTGATGCCTCGTAGATGAGACTTTCTAAGCTCGTGCCCCTCCCCATCCACGCGGCCGGGATTGACGTGGCAGTGGCGTGGTGTGGTGTGGCGCTCTTGCGCACGACTTCCATGCACGCTTCGTGCAGCGCCGCTGCCTGACCGAGGCCCTTCACCTCGTGACAGTACCGTAGCATACGGAGGAGATATTCGCGTTCAGCACCGGTGGTCTGTGGCGCCATGACGCCGGCGGCCATTGCCCAGGTCGAGAAAGAGATTGCCTGCGCATCGCGAATGCCTGCCACGTCAAACAAGTGGCGAGATGAGGAATTGCGATTGCCAGTCATGGATGCCGGAAGGAGACCGCAGAAATAGGGCACGCTGCCGACAATCTCGGCGATTGCACGTCTGCCGCCTGCTTCAAGTTCTTGATATTCGTTCGTCTCGCGTAGGTAATCCAGTCCTGGCGCCGTCATTGCAATGACAGTAGCCTTTGAACAAGGCTCAAGATATGCGAGAGCCATAGCAAGCCGGAAGCCTGCGTGCAGCATGTTGTGGTAGATGTGAATCGGCCCCTCCATGAATACATCCCAGCCGTCGACCTTGTGAGGCAGATCATCCGGGAGCGATTGTGACGGAGTCGGCCCGACGTTGTACAGTTCTGACATGACGCGGTCGATATTAGCAAACCGGCGATACATGGCCATAAGCGCCGTGATCAAGCCCGGCAAATAATCAGGATTGATCCTTGGCGGAGACTGGCCTGGTGATTGACCATCAGACACAATTGAACCGTCGTCGTCAGACATTGGTGAGGCACCATCACGAGGTGAAAGGGACGAAATCTTGCCAGATGGTGTGGTCAAGGTCAATGAGCTTTCTTCCATGGCCTGGTACATCATCGCCTTGAAGTGCATTATTGGTCCACTCATGACCGATGCTGGGAGATGACGGTAAGCACTTGTGGTCCACGTGTCGAGGCCCAAGGCGTGCACCCAGCGCAGCCAAGGATTGATATCGCTTTCAATACTAGACAGCGGGGTGAGAATTGAGGATTTCATCTGGACAGGTCAGTTCTCGCACACAATTTAGCGGTATCGCAACGGAGTTCTGGGAGCGCGGCAACCTCACTATTTCGTTCCTTGTCAGGATGAAAGCCATCGCAGCTACCGCGCTGCCTAAAGCTCCGGTCTGCCTGCCCTGCCTGTGTTTAAGGATGACTGCAGCACCGAGAATGTGGTTGTAATAGCCTGTGAAACGATCGGACATGAAAACCTACAAGGGGGTTAGTGGTTCTATACCTCGACATTCTCATGTTGTAAACGTTGGCAAGAAGATCAACACGCACCTCGTAAAGCGCCAGAAGTAGAATGGCAGCGAGAAGATCGTCATCATCAATAGATCCAGGTCTGGCCAGAGCTGAGTTGACCTCGTTGAGTGCTGTTGAGTACACTTTTTCCGCTCGCACCGCGAGGAATCGGGCATTTGGCCGTCTCGAGAACGCTGCAATGCTAGTTGCCGAAATGGCAGCAGAGAGATACCTCGGTGGCTTGCCCTTCTGCACCACGGTCTCGAGCACGCCGGAGAAGCCGCTGTCCAGGTAATGATTCGCAGCTCCAAGGTAGGCAGTGAAGAGATATGAAATGGAGTGCTGGTTGATCGAGGTAGGAGGAGCGATAGACATGGAAGTCCCCCCCCTCAGAAACGCGGATTTTTCGTCTGGCGGTCCATTTCTCGCCCCTTTGCGAACTTTGGCAGGTTGACCAGCGATTAATTTTGTCAAAGAGTCACCTTGTAGTGGCAATCTACCACGATAAGGCGTGCCCTCTGATGAGGTCGACGAAATGGACCCGCGCTCATGCAGAGAATCGTCGGCGGATTGCGACTCCGGAGATCCAAGAACACTACTCTCCGAGCCTGACTGGTAGCGCCGAATGGTCGTTGCAGTCATGTCTCTAAATTTGACCTGGGAAGGGTCCTTGTAGCCAAGACATTGCCGGTTGGAGCCGCGGCATTTGAGGCAGAACGGCTTCGTCTCATCGCACTGAGAATACACAATCTCGATCAGCTCAGTAGTCACTCCGTGCAATGGCACCCGATGACAAAGACGCCCTGGCACGACGAAGTTCTGGGTGCGGTTGCAGGAGTCGTACCTTGATTCTTCTGTTTCGGCAGGTCAGACAAGCACCTGACGGCTTGCCGGTGTAGGGCATCGCTGAAACAACCTCGGACAGGGCACCCGCTCGTCACGCATTGAGATGACCTGTATGTCATGTGTGTTGAGGGTCCGGGGCAGAGACCACCGTGGACGTTGCGATGTGGCTGGACGTGTGTTGGCCCTGTCGCCGGATTATGTATCTGATGGAGGCGCCAAGACCTGGTCACCGAGAGCGCCTGGATTCAGACGTGATCGGATGACGAAAACCACGGCAGCACGAGCGAGATGCTCGCTTTAAGCGACTCGAGGAGGCCAAAGACGCAGAGTATGCACAGGATGAGGTGTGTCGTGAAGACAGCCCAGAGTGGCAACCTTGGAAGCGCGTAGGACCGACCCACTGGATTTGGTTCGTGGCCTGGGGCGGCGGGGCAGGCGGCTTGGGGCAGATCAAGCAGGGGAGATTCGCGAATGCAAGGGGCAATCACCGAACCGGCCCGTAAACAACTCTGCTCGGCACTGCAGGCTTGCGTTGGCGTCGGCTGCGTGGAGTCTCGTTGCGACGCTCCCGCAACTGGGCTTCTCTCCTACGTCACTCTGGCACCATCGGGCTCAGATGCGCGGCTTGGAGTGTGGCCTTGTCCTTGCAGACAACAAGCTGCTCCAGCTGATTGGGGTGACTTTTTCTGGCCGTGAGAGAGAGGAGTTGAGAGCCGAAGAGGGGGCAGGCGCATAAGTAGGCATCTGAAACCTTGTTCAGGTTGAAGAGATGTGCCTCAGGACGTGACGTCCCAGTATTGTATGCTTGGCGGGGTGGTGTCATTTCCACGAGACTGAACAACTTCAGTACGTAAACGTACTTGACGAACGTACAGTCGTGTGGGGAGCGGAACAAAGCACGCCTGGCAAGTGGTGACTGTGCCAGATTTGGGCATGCCATCCACTCGGGTGGGTTCACGGCCTGTCTCTGGTTAGCACAAACCTTGAGAGCATGGAGAGGCGAGTCTGGTGCGGACACACCGGACAGCTCGACGTTTCGTGGTGCGTTCTTCCTGCCACCGCCCACCCGCAAACAGACACCCGGTTCAATGTACGAGCCTTGAGCTGAGCATTGGTCATGAAAGCCCACGGCGATTATGACGTAGGAGCCTGTGTAGTCTAGCGGCCCTGGTGACATATCAGGAGCTGCTCCTCAGCCGCAGCCCGGGGAAGGCGGCAAGCTGGCATTGCCCCTTGTTCTGGGCCCACGCACGGAGCACTGTAAAACCCCATCTCGGCCCTCTGTCAGGCTTTGATCGGCAGGGTCCGGAAGGCTGGTGTCTTGGCTGAGCAGCCGCCGTGAGAGATACGGGAGGCCCCGATATTGCCCGCGAAGGCTGACTCCATGAGCCCCGTGGGAGCGTCATGTCCGACAACATGACCTATCTCTCCCCCAGGCTGCTTCTTTAGCCTGGTCGAACCACAAAGGACTAGACTCCCGAGGCCATCTCGTCGAGTGTTCCTCTCACAACGAAACCGCCGTGTGGATGTGGGTCTGCCGACGCTGTCAGGCAAGCCTTACCCATGCCCAGGTGGGGCTGAGCTTGTGCGGCACTTGCCGAGCTGGGCTGCCTCGGTCGCTTACGTACACTAGGTATTCGTGGTATGTAGGGACATCCTCCCCTGTTCTCAGCCGTGTTGATTTGCGTGCACCCAGCTGGATCAGATGCAGCCGTCCCATGGCAGCAGCCTTGCATCGAGGCAGGGTTCAGGGACCCAGCAGGAATCACACAATGGCGCGCCTCCATCGCGAACAGCCGTCATGTGCGGCGCGGCGCATGGTGGGCCCATGGCCATCATCACTGGACCGTTTGTGGTGCGGCACGCGACCTCTCCGGGACTCCTGACGCCGAGTGCAAATGCGCCAGCATCTTTCCTTGTGCACCTACACCAACCCAACACCATTTCCATCTGCTTCCTGCTCGTCAGCAACCTGGTCTGCCCCGTCCTGTTGACGCGGTTATCAAGCATTCCGGAGCGATTTCAACACATTTTCAACGTCGCTCAATGTCTTTTCCTCGTCACAGCATCACCTGGGCATTCAACAGGGCCGCTCCATCTGTCGTACCATGACGGCAACTTACCATACTGCCCTGTTCCTAGTGGTCAGATGACCAGATGCTCAAGAGGACTCGAGAGATCCACATGGAAGCCTCTTCAAGTGTAAAATCCACAAGTTTTCCGCGCGCGCTCAAGGGGACAACCCTGGCAGCCTCATCCCGAGACCACGGTCAAGTGCCGCCACTAGTAACCCTAAGTACAGCATCGTCACCCTCCACGCAAGGCACCCGTCGCCCTGCAGACAGGAAGACATCCGGCTGGCTCCTGCAGTACTTCCCGCCCTGTGGTGGTCCGCATAGCTCGCGGCAACGATTGGCACAAGCTTAGACCCTAATTTGCAAGCAGCACGATCCGACAGGCTGGCAACGCCCAGAACAACAGACAACCTCTCCATCACCGCCCTTTCATGTCCAGGGTCCTGCGCAACGGCCCGTTCTCAATAGCTTCTCCAACCTGTCCTAGCGTTCCGAGCCCACAGGTTGATGTGAACAGACTGCCCCGAGTCTTAAAAAACCACGACGCGAAACATGATGCCCATGTGCATGACAGATCAGGTTGCGCTGGTCGAGCACCCCAGCACCCTGGTCGCGGGCACAAGTGACCACGCGCAACCAACATTTCCGGAGCCAGCTTGTTCTCGTGCCATGGCCATATGATTCAGCCTTGTTTGTACCATCTGTGCTATTCATAAACTCTGGCATTACCATCGATTCCTTACGGGCATCTTGTGGAGGTGAAAATGCGGCGGCAGGCTGTGTGCCTCGAGAGCCACTCCGTCTTTACTTTTGTCCTACAATGCCACTTGATCAAGCATATTGAACGCGGTGACCTCCCTGATGGTTGCCGCGTGCCAGCCACGGAGTCAGGATCCGTGTCTTGTGATACTGCCTCCCAAGGTAGTCCCGGTATTCTGCGTGCAAGACTGTTGTTGTCGTTTCCCTGGCTCTGCCATCCTCGCTGTTTGCGGTGCACGTTATAACTCCCTGTCACCAGCGCCAGAACCATTTGACTCGACCCCTTTCTCCCTTCTAAACACTTATTCTTGAGAGCCATTAAACTCCGCCACAAGTATATATCGTCCTGACGTCAGTACATTGCTTCGCATAACGGAGGCCCATTTGAAACTCAACGAGTGCTGTCACAACGACCCTGGCACCGCATAATCACCAGAACTCAGCACGAACTCAATGCATATCTCGACCGAGTCTCCAACATGACCGAATACAGAATCAAGACAACGGCGTCTGGCCGACCCCGATTCGTCCGATCGCAATCATACTCCCATCCGCGCCATCATCATCTACGCCACCACCTACCACACCTCCACCACGACCACAGCGACGGGCTGGATCATCATCATCTTGTCGACCATCTCTTTCCTCATGACCACTACTATCATGTGGAATATCGTCGTGGCCAGCACCACCACCAACAGCGTCCAAAGTGCCCGACAGACTGCGCCTGCATCACCCGGGACGAATGGGCCAACCTCCTAAAGCAAAACCGCCACTACGTCGTCCTGGCCGGCAGCTTACAGGAGGAAATTTCCAAGCTCAAGAAGAAGGTCGAGGCTGCGGCAGACGCCAAAGCTGCCGCAGACAAGGAAAACCAAAAGCTTCTCGGCAGTAATGCAGAGCTCGCAGCGGCGGTGAGGAAGCTTCAGGAGGAGAACGCGGAGCTTCGCCGATGCCTCGCCGCACACAAGGAAGGCGACAGCAGCCTTATCGAGAGTCTGCGCCGTCGGATCCGGGACCAGCTGATCGAGCTCGACGGCAAGAATGCCTTTATCCGCAACCTGGAAAGCAGAATCGATGATCTCAAAAAGGAGATATTCGGCATGAAACACCGCTACAAACACCGACACGACTACCACCAGCATCATCATCACAGCTCCTGTCGCTGCCGCAGCTGCCGCAAGAAGGAGGACAAGAAAGCCGGCACGGACGGTGGCGGCGGCGACAGCAGCTCAGACGACCAGTCCGGCGGCGACCGCAAGCCGAGCAGGAGCTATCTCAAGAGGAAGATTGGCGAGCTCGAGGTCTCTGTGGGCCTGTGGCAGCACAAGGCCGAGTTCGCGGAGAAGCGCTCGCGCGAGCTGCAGGCCAGGTACGACCTCGCGCGGGCCGAGGTCGTGCGGCAGACGGAGATCGCGGATCGTTTTCGTCACCGCGTACACCGGCTTGAAGATCGGCTCGGCTGTCGCGAGAGGGGTGTTTGGTTTACTTGATTTCGGCTGGGAGGTGTACTGCAAGCTCAAGGAGCTTGAGGAGGAGGTGGGCGAGCGCGAGCGCGAGCACGCCGACAGTTCGGTCGACGCGGACGCCGACACCGATAATGGTCCCGCTCATGCCGTTGAGGATGATGGAAGTGTGGTCTGGAGCGACACTGATGACGCCGGCGCCGACGACTAAAGTCATAGCTCTGACCCGACTCACCATCTCACCACAATCATCATCAACCATGCTCTATTCATACGCAAGGCACGCTGTCGGCATTGAGCCAATCTACAATACGTTTTCCCTCAGATATTGCAACCACGGTAGTTGACACTGCCTTGTCAACACCGGTCTCGAGGTTGGGCGCAGCGGAAGTCTGAAATTACATGGTAATCTCAACGTTGGCTTCGTTCACATCACTCATAGGCCTTTCACCTGCTGCATTTTCGATTTTGGCGTTCATTTCTTTTGGTTTTCCTTTTCTTTTTTGCGCCCGATCAGCATGCACTCGTGCCTCATTTATCTATCTATCCAGCTACGAGTTAGCAATCATGTATCCAGTCTGTCATATTTCCAACAAGATACCCCATATTTTCAAACGCATAATGTTATCATTTCTATCCGACGTACTGTTGTGGGAGAAAGTCTTTCGGGCTTCTGCGGAGACCCTGCGTATGACTACAACGTTTTAAATCAACTCGTCTCCTTGCAATGTACTGTGAAATTGCTTATCATCTGTCACTCGGATCTCGTCCTGGGGTTCATCCCACCGCCAGGCGCAACTAGTCGATTTGATTTGGTCCGCGCTACCTGTACCTGCAGATCAAAGAGTCTGGAGTTCACTAGCCAAGCAGCATCTACGAGCGAAACCCAATGCAAGTGTGTGCCCTCGCTGGTCTGGAGCGGGGAGCAGGGTCACAAGCAGCGCCCACGGGGTTATTGGTCGACGGCCGGCGGCGCAAGGTGGATGGGTCTCGTGCAGCTTGCCTGCCCGTGCTCCGTGATGAACCTGGCTGGCTGGGAGGAGGAGCACTGGACCTGCGCCGGTAGCGCCCCGTTTTAGGCTCGCGGATGGCGGAGCGGCACGCGCACATCATCATCTCTGTCGCCATCATGCTCACCACCCACTTCTGCGGGAAAGGTGGAATCCCCTCCCAATCGGCTTCGTGATCGTCCGGAAGCTAGGTTGTGACTGGGCCTGGCTCCACGTGCGTGGTGCATGTGGTGGTCCAGGGGGCCCGTCCTGTGTGTGGAAGCACGAAACGTGTTCAGATGCAAGTCAGGCCGCACCAGAGCGTCGCAACCAAGTCCGGCAGGAGCTGCTCAGCTTCCGTCGCGGGTGTGCCGCCGGCCTCTCGACAAGCTGTGCCGATCCAGGGATGCCGTCGTCTTGATGACGAGTCAGCGCCTGTGCTTCGTCAGGGTTAGATTACAACCTGGGATGCTCTGGAAGCCATGTCCCCAAGGAGTGTCCAAGACGGCGCAATCAAACCATGGAAGCCATCCCGTGTTCTGGAAGTGAAGCACGGACGTCTTGGACGGGCCGTCGTGGCCACGGTTCCGCCTCCACAGCCCCCTTTTGGCCATGCTGTCACCTTCTGGAAATTGCTGCAGTATGCGCAACTTGTGTGCTCAGCGTCCTGGGTTCGGGTAGTATCCAGGGAGGTCCCGGCCGGGAGCACGGTACAATGGCGGTCGTGGTCCACCTTGGAGCACACCTTGCCGTTGGGTTGGGTGCGAGCCTAGACAGGGGTTGGGCGACGTGCGTTGATGCCCAACGAGCCCAGGGCCGGAAGAAGGAAGCGGCATGGTTTCAGAATATTTCGCTCACCAGTGACCGGCGAAGTCATTGGCGAGAGCGAGCCATTTCTGGAAGCAGGGCTGACACAGCTTACATATAACCAAAGTCGCTCTATTGGCGCCTGCTTCAAGCAAAGCACTTGGGACTGCGGACTAAGGGGCACGGGCCTGAATGAGTCTTCCAGCACCGACCGGTCAGCAAGGTCGTCGAAATTGCAAGCGAGGACCGAAAAACGAGCAAGACATGCGCCCACTGCATAAAGAGTAAGGAGTTGACTCCTTTGGGGGGGGGGGGTATTTTTGGACCTTGCCCGCCAGCAATGCGTGACTGGGGCGCGTGATCTCTTCAGTCAAGTGCGCAACGGTGCCTGCTACCAACGACACATGGGAGGGACGAGCTCGCTCGCGAACACCTTGCCGGTGACTGAGGGAGCTGAACATGGCTAGATATGAGAAGCTTCCAAGATCAAAATCGGCCTTGCCCTATCGTGGGACTTGGGGTGTGGTAAGCAGGACCAGGCTGTGAAGCTGGTCGAGAGCGAGGCTGTGCGCGCAGTCAAAGTGTGATATTCTGGGCTGGACTGCGCTAGGCTAGGCAGCGGGTCGTGCCTTCCCTGGGGGATTCGCTGACAAGTGGCGGCGGGCGGGAAGGACCGCCTGGCTCGGAGCCAGTCCAGTGGGCTTGCCGCCCCAGCCTTCCTGGGGTGTTTTTCCACTTGGCTTCCTCTTCCAGCAGCCGGCCAGTGATCCGCCCACACCCCCTCCTCCATCGGCCCACGATTCCACCCCTTGGGCAACAGCATAAACGCCATTTGATGCGTGGGTGGACTCTTTGGCCCATGCCCAACAGCCTCCGCGAGAATAAAGGAACTAAGAATGCGAGGCTGTTCTTACTGTAGAGCTGCTTCCCAGGCGCTGGCTCATCCTGAGCTGGCAGCAGGAGCTCGAGAGACAACACATCGACATGTAAATTTAGTAAGGCCAGGATGGGATTCTCGACATCCTATCGCTCGGTCTGGAGCTGCATCGACTGAAAATACTTGGGGTGACTCATTGTGGCATCCGGAGAGCAATGGCTTACTGCACGCTCACCTATTCGCTCAACCCCTTTCCCGACTTGTCAGCGGCATAGCAATGCTTGGTAGGTGCCTCCAGACGGACCACTCTGGGCGAGTCCTGACCCTCCAAGGCACCCGTCCTGCAGCAGCCGACGGGCGAGTGATATCTCGAGGTTACCACTCGCCGACACCCTGAGTGATGCTGCCAGTTGCGAACCACTCTTGAAAGCCGCAAACGAACAGGCAGCCAAGGCAACTGATGACGACGGCTAATGGATCCCTGTCCACGGTGAGGCTCTCGTCGCCCGCTGCAGGCTCGTTCGCATTCCCGCACTTGCGTATGTTCCTGCACCTGCGTTACTGCCCGCAGGAAGCGGGCGCACGCTAACCTGGAGAAAGTGTACAGGAGTCTTGCCCTCTTTATTTCCTGGCCGTCTGCGCCGGCACGTCTGCCCTCTGTCCCGATCTGCGGCACAAGCAATTTCCATGATTGTTGTGTGATCAAGAAGCTGGACGCTTCGTGCAAAAAGGAAAATCGCTACTGGGGTTTGAGGTTGGGCTTCAAGCCGCTAAGCATTTGCTCGGCGCTAGACCAGGCCCTGACCGGTTCCTTCGAGACACGCCCACGGCCAGCTACCTGCACGGCCCCAACGACACAGCCGGTTGTGAATGAAACGGGTGCTCAGGACGCTTGGGTACCGTAGCCCTGCACATGCGAAATTATTTTCCATGGAGCGCAGACACAGAGGCCTGTCGCTGCGCTAGAGAGCCAGGGAGTCTTCCCTTGTGCCCACAAACCCTGTCGACCGCCTTCTTGCCTTATATAGATCCTGGAGGTAGCCTGCCACACCCTCTTCCTCGCTGGACAGCCTTCCTCTACCCACCGCGCCACGACCTACAGATAATGTTGCCAGCAAGAATCACTCAGTATACACTCCCGCCACTGCCTACCAGACGTCTGAAGGCAGCAGTGCCTCCCAGAGACGGACCTTGCCCCCCACGACAGCCCTCCCAAGCTTATACTCCGCAACAAGGCTCTCACCAGCGCCTGGCGCCCTCCTACTGGCCAGGCTGACTTCACAGTCGCTGCATATAAAGACGACTTGATCGGCCGATCCTCGTCTGAAGGATACTCATTGGCTCGTCACCTCCGCGAAGCTCCCCATTTCAGCCCTACGACATTGTGACGAGAACCTCACTTTTCCGACCGATCTCGTCTTGGTTGGTGGAGCACTGCTCACTTCGGGTGTGACCTCGGTGGGCAAAGGAAGATCACCTTGAAAAATTAGCCTGCCGGCCAGCTTTCTGAGAAAGCAACCTCCCTTCTTTCCCTACCCCGCTGCCTTCCTCGAGTAACAACTCAACAACCAAGTCGCCATGTCTGACCGCTCTGACCGCTCCGAGCGGAAGCGCGTCAACTTCCAAACTTCGCCCACGCCCAAGGCCTCCTCGCGCTCCTCAGTTCGCAGCCGGGACTCGGCTATCGGTTCGTCGTCAAGTGACCAGGCTAGTTCATCTTCTGGGGGCAGACCTGATCACGTATTCACAATCGCAGACTACAATGAGCAGCGGTCCAACGTTCGCGCTCTTCAGGAAGCACTCCAATCTGCAAACGAAGAGGTCGAGGAGCTCAAGAAGAAGCTTGCGAGCGTAGAGCTAGTCCTGGACCAGTCCCACAAGGCCAACCGAGAGATGAAAGCCCGCTGTACTGCTTTGGACAACCTAGGTGAGACTATGGAGCAGGACAAAAAGGAGCTCCAAGTCAAGATCACAGAGCTCAAGGAGCAGGTTTCCGACCTTCAAAACGAGAACGCTGCTCAGAGGGACCAGATCGACGAGTTCAAAGAGACGATCGATGATCTCCGCATCGAGAAAGCCGACCTTCAGCAACACCTCGACAGCCTCGTCGATCCCGTACGTGACCCAGTCATGTCTGGCGCTGGCAAGTCATCGTCCAGCAAGGCCTTGGCCCGAACCGCCAGCAAAGGCAAACGCGACAAGCCAGAACACAGAAGCGAGCGACCAGAGCCCAGAGGCGAGCACCGAAGTGAGCGCAGGGGCGAACACAGAAGCGAGCGAGACGAGCGGATAGAGAGATCTGAAAGGCCGAGCGGAAGTCGCGCTCAGAAAGAGAGCCAAGAGAAGGACATGAAGGACCGCCTCAAGGATCGCCTGAACCGCGACTCGAGGCCACCAGTTACCGAAACCCGCCGGCCCACAGGCCGGCGTATGAGCATCGCCGGAAACAGTGGCAGGCCGTACATCGAGGAGCCGCCAACCAGTCCTTCGTCCTCGAACGGATCTGGCCATTACATCCTGGCCCATCCCGACAGTGTGCGCTCTCCTGGCGCTTACGGGGCGACTCCCCGATCACGCACATCAAACACATCGTCGGGTTACGCTTCGAATGATCGCCACGAGTCAGGCAACTACGTCTTCCACCCATTGCCAGACCAGCGCGGAGGTCGCTAGACGGTTGTGCGAGACCCCGACGCTTATCAAAAGTCGGTAAAGAACTCCGACCAATAGCTGGGGCAACCCAGCTCATGCATGCGCAGCGGATGCTCACATGCGGCACAGTCGGGTTTCATTTTAGGCCCTTGACATATATTCCGGCCATTCTTACATTCAATCTTGTTACGACCGCACTTTGATTTTCGTGACAACAACACATCTTACGTTTTCGCAGTCTGCTTTTCAAACTGCTTTACACTGTCCCAATACCCTCGGGTTGACCCCACGGCCACCCCGCACACACCATTTCAAGCATCACCCTCCTCCACTTTATCATGGTTGCCTATTTCCCCTCACTTTCCGACGGCCTTCGGGCCTGGGCCCAAGCCCAGCCCGTGTTCTTCATTGCCTCAGCTCCCAGGCATGGCAAGCACATCAACGTGTCTCCCAAAGGTTACACCGATGGCACATTCAAAATCCTCGGGCCAAACCTCTGTGCCTATGTTGACCGCACGGGTTCTGGGAATGAGTCCATCTCGCACATCTACGAGAATGGCCGCGCAACCTTGATGTTCTGTTCCTTTGGCTCTCAGCCTCGGATCATGCGACTGTTCTGTCGAGGTCGCGTGATTGAGTGGGATAGCCCCGAGTTCGGATCGTTTCTGTCAGACACGATGAAGCTTGACAAAGTTGACGCTGCGCGAGCAATCATTGTGCTTGATATTTTCAAGGTCCAGACTAGCTGCGGCTATGCTGTTCCACGGATTCGCCGTGCACTTGGCAACCTCGAGGATGAGCACGATTCACCTGCGGAAGATGGGACTGTGGATGAATCATCACTCAATGACCGTCTCAGAAAGGAAAAGGCAGATATCGGCGTGGCTGGCTTCGAGGAGCGGCCTACACTCAAGTTCTTCAACAGCAAGCGCGAGCGCGAGGGCACCGCTCACGACTATCAGAACGAGATGAACACATCCAGTCTCGATGGGCTCCCTGGTCTTCGCGCTGCCAGGCGGGACACCGGTGAGAATCTGCCCATCGCAGATGCCCTGAATATTATTCGAGGCGTGTTTGTCGGGCAAAAGGCTGGAATTGTATTTGGTTTTTTGTTGGCTGTTCTGTTGCAATTTCTCGTTACTGTATTCATGTACAGCCGTGCTGAAACCGGCGGTGGTTCTTTCATGTTTCTTCATATACCTAGGTAGATTTCTCTGACTGGCTCGGGCTGGGATCAATGTACTCATTACGTGTTTTTGTCGCTTCGGCTCTATCAGAGTTGTAGATGGATGGAGGTGGTTGGATTGGTTTTATCTGGCGAATACCCACATCAATAGACTTGTCAACAGCGCGAAATTCTGGACACAATTTCGACTTCATTCAAGCACTTGAAATATCTGATGTGATGCTCTCGCTTCTCAATCACCAGGCAAGCAACTGTGCAGCGACCAGCTTTCCATTTCAAGTTCTATTCTTCCACCAGCCAGATCAAGGAAGAGGAAGCACCTCGGTCAGGCGAACCGAGAACTGTCTAGATAGGCTAGTGCTGACAGATCCTTCCTCCCCGAAACCCTGACTCTCAGGGCTCATGCTGCTTGAGCCTCACGATCCTTCGACTCTACCTCCCCCATAAAATCAAATGTAACTTACCGGGGGGGGGGGGGGAGGGATCCCGGCTCGGATCCTTTGATACTTGGTGCAGAAGGGCTTGCTGATGGCGTTTCTGTCCTATCAAGCGGATGCAACTGAGTTGGATCCTTCTGGACTGGACTGATGCGGGTGATGCTTGGCCGAGCTGTCAACGGCGACAGCAGCAATGGAGCCCCCGGATTGTGTTTGCGGACTTTCTGGTTGTGCGATCTCACCGCGTCCTCTACCACGGGTTTTCCGCGTGTCCTGGTTATCCTGGTAACCGCTCGAAATTAACGATCTCCCTGCACGCATGGATTGGCAGCCGAAATTGCAAGATAATCTTGGACGAGATTCTGCTCCATGGCGCAGCTCTTCGTGATGGAAGACCTGTTGTCCATTTTTATGTGTGGTGTCTGCGCCGCTCAGACCATCGTGTTGCTTGATACGGGTTGCACGTCACTCTGACTCTGCAGCTTAGGGTATCCACAGGCGGGCCGCCCTGTCCTCCTCGGGGCAGGATGGAGAGTGTCTGCAGACGAGTGGACCATATGGTGCAAGAAGGAGCAAGGGCAATTGAATGCCAGCACAATCCATACAGTACAGAGGGTACAGGACCTTTCCTTGTGCGACTCACCCGCAGGGAAGGGGAGTGTGGGACACGAAAAGCAATCCGGGGGGGGGGGGGGTACTCTGTCGTGCAAATCCTGACGATCATCTGGCGACGATCCTTGTTCTTTGGACCAGCGTAGAGACCATGACCCAATATTGGAGGCAGGGCATGCGGGAGAGGGAGGGACTCGCAGGGTCGGGGTCTTGATTTCCGCTGGAGAATACCGTCATTTGGCTAGGGATGCGAGACCGGAGGACTGACATGGCTGGTTTGAGGGTATCGTATCGTGTACTCGCATCTTACATCATGCATGCCGCGATGATGGGGACACGAGATGCATGCAAGGAGTTGAATCCGCCAAGCGTTTTTGTAATATGTGATGAGCGCATGCGAAGGATTCAACGGCGTACGCTATTGTACTTATATAAGTCCGGCCTCGCAGGTTCTCCGTCGCAACCCAGCTGGAGCACGACGCATTCACACATATTCTCATCATCTCTGGGATAATACCCGAGACTATTCATTCTCCTCACCCGTCTCAACAGTCGTCTTCAAAATCCAGTGCCTGCCAAGACATAAAATACAAGACCACAAAACCGCAACCATGCACTACCCCAGCGCTGCCGCGGCCATCCTCGCCGTCCTCGGCGGCGTAGCGCAGGCCGCACCCGCCGCCCGCACCTCCTCCTCGCTGTTGCGATCCACGTCCTCGACGACGACCTCGCGGGGCGTCAGGCTCCGCGTCCAAGACGGCAGCTCCACAACAACACCACTATATCTCGGCTTCCAGCGCATCGCGCAGGGCGTCAACATTGCCATCGCGCGGCCCAGCAGCACCAGCGGCGACACCAGCGCGGCGGCGGCGCCCGTGTTCTACCAGGACGGCGCAGACCCCGCCAGCTCCACGGTCAAGACCGACATCCCCGGCGTCTACCCGCTGGGCATCGCCGTCCAAGGGCCCGATGAGTTTGACTCACAGTTCCCCGCGGAGCACAATGTCGGTGTCAACGTCAACGGCGCCACCGAGGGCTTGTCCATTACCGCTTCGGCGCTCAGCGGGCCCAGCGGTAGTGCTGCTGCTGCTGGGGGGTCGTACCTCGTCTGTGAGAGGAGGGTGTTTGTAGGCGGGCCTGTGCCTTCGACGCTGCAGGTCGTCCGGTTTCGGTACGAGGGCGAGGCGGTGCCGGCGGGCTGTGTCGAGGTCAAGCTGGTTCCGGAGTGTGCCGTGCTTGCGGCGCTGCCGGAAGGGAGCAGCTGGGACCACGACGAGGCCGTCGAGTTGCAGTGTGCTTAATTAGGGCTTGATACAACAGCAAGACGGAGATCTGAAGTCAGGTTTACGGGCGGGAGGAGGCAGTATAATAATTAGTACACGATAGAGCATCTGGGAGATCGCTAATGCGGTTGAAAAGCCGTCTAGAAATTGGTTTTCTTCGCCATGTACAAGAACGCGTCCTGCTCGCAATGCTTTTTCTAGTGTTTTGCATTGTGTGTGAGGTCTCGCGAGTCCGTTTTTGTGGGTGTGAAGTCGGCCGTAATACTGTTCGTCCAGTTAACTCCGTCTATGTCCTTCGTTTGAGGTGTGTCCGATCTTATAGAAGTTACCCTCACGCGGGGATTTCGCTATGACCAAGCATTTCTTTAACAGTCTTTCACGAGGGTGGAGGAGAAGCTAGTTTCCTTCGGAGGTAGCGGTGATAGCCACATACCATTCTTAGACCTTGGGGCAGCCACCTATGTTTCCCACCCTTGCCAGCTTGATAACGTCACCATATAAAATATGGACTCCACGACGATGCTCAAGGTCAAGATTCGTGGATACAAAGGAGAACGACTCCCAAGGGGATTCCTCCAACCTTGACTCAGGACGCGTGCAGCTCGAGCGTGCACATAGACTGATTGACTAGTTACGTTTTGCCTTACCTATCTCAGTCTTTTGTCCCCCAACGAGCATCAAACATCAGAAACAAAACCACCGCAATGGCCAAGATCTTCATCACAGGGTCCGCGGAGGGGCTTGGCTCGCTATCTGCCCAAGCCCTCGTCAAACGTGGGCATTCCGTGGTTCTACATGCACGCAACGCCCAGCGGGCCGAGGACGCACGCAAAGCATGCCCCGGAGCCAAGGACGTATACATCGCGGACCTTTCGTCGATGGAGCAGACGCGGCGCCTGGCCTCGCAGCTCAACGACAACGGTCCCTGGGACGCCATCGTGCACAACGCAGGCATCATGCGGACGTCTGGCTCCTCCGGCTCAGGCTCAGGCTCAGGCTCAGGCGAAGACAGCCTTCCGCCGCTGTTTGCGAGTAACACGATGGCGCCATACCTGCTCACCTCGCTGGTCGACCCGCCGCCCAAGCGATACGTGTTTGTGTCGAGCGGGATGCACTTTGGTGGCAACGCGGCCGACTCGGCGCTGGAGAGGCCCGAGAAGGGGTGCAGCTACAGCGACAGCAAGCTCCACGATGCGATGCTGTCGTCCTGGTTCTCCCGCAGCCTCGCGGCAAAGGGGGTGACGTGCAACGTGCTGGACCCAGGCTGGGTCCCAACCAAGATGGGCGGCAGCGGCGCGCCGGAGGACATCAACGCCAGCGTCGCGACATATGTGCTGCTCGCCGAGGGAGGCGGTGCTGCCGAGGGACAGAGTGGAAAGTATTGGAAGTCTAGTCAGCCAAAGAAGTGCAAGCCCGAGGTTGAAGACGAGGCAAAGCAGCAGAAGCTCATTGCGAGCTTGACGAGGATTACGGGTGTTAGTCCGCCGAGCTGAATGGACATGTCCTGGGAGCGGGGAGATCTAAAGAATTGCCCGTTAATGTACATAGCGGTCATATTGGGATGCAGTAAAGATGGACAACAAACTCGGGAATTCTGTGTCAGCAATCTTGTCTGAGCAATATAAGGAAGCATGACCGCATCTCTACACTCCAGGGTCGCCTGTGCACTAACTAGCGCTCTTGCGATAGCGGGGCAGCACCCATCGCCCCTTCCCCAACTCTAAGGCAAGTTTGGCGCCGCGACGCCCCAGCTCAACCACTTCCACGCTCAACGCCCACCGCATTCAACCGTGGCCAGGCCACACACATAGTTTGCAACTCATAAGGCTTCAGCCTCGCGGCTCATATTAGCAAGCACTTCACAACTCCGAATCCTGTTCGAGGCGCGCAGGCGCGGACTGTGTCAGTTGCAGGCTTCGCTCCCGCAACGTCATGTTTGGGCACGATCCGCCTTCCGCACAACAACGACAACATCCTCGCGATCGATGAGGACCCTAGGCGACTGAAATCTGCCGTACTCGCTATTCGAACCCTTGCCACCTAGCAGCCGGCCAGTCTCCCGATCAATATGCCCCCGACGGCCGTTGCGCCGACCAAGACCAATGGGGTCCTAGCCGTGAACCCAGCCCAGGCGACCGCCGGCGGTGGCGGAAAGTCGGGCAGGAGGAAGGCTGCCGTTGTCGGGAAGAAGGTTGTCGTGCGGCGGCTTGCACCTGGAATGACTGAGGAGGAGTTCTGGACAGCGCTTGGGGACGAATGGAAAAGCGGCCAAGGCAAGGTGGACTGGGTCCGGTGGGAGAACGGCAAGATCTCGAAAGAGTAGGTCTCTCATGTCTTTGATGTCAGCGTCTTGGGCTGCATTTGCTAATCTTCGATCTTTGCAGCCCGTACAAGCCCTCGAAGCCATCCCGATGCTACCTCCGCGTGCTCAAGCTCGAAGACGTGCCCGTGCTTTCCGAAGTCGTCCGAAGCAAATCGTGGGAAGACTCGAAGAACACCTGGAACGATGCTTGCCTCGTAGGGCCGGCCTACGTAGAGATTGCCCAGATACAGAAGGTTGCCACGACCAAGAGACGGACTGATCCCCGTCAGGGCACCATCGACCAAGATCCTGATTTCATTGCGTTCTTGGAGTCACTCACCAATGCACAGAACCCCACCAAGGACCCCAAAGAATCTGAGGAGCAAGCTGTCGACGATGCGCCAAAGGAGCCCAAGGTCATGATCACGCCACTTGTCCAGTATCTCAAGGATAAGAAAGCAAACAAAGCCAAGGAGGCTGCGGCCGCTAAGAGCGCGAAGCATGGCCGGCAAGAGTCTGCAGGCACAAAATCCAAAGGACAGGAAGAAGCACCGAAGAAGAAAGGCAGGGATGGCAAGACCGACAAGACTGAGGGCAAGGAGAAGGAGAAGCCCAAGGAGCCAGTCAAGCTGCTCACTAAGAGGGCAGCACAGCAGGAGGCTGCAGAGGCCGCTAAGTCGGTGGCGGCTGCCAAAACCGCTGGAGACGGTAAGGCAGCTGAGGCAAAGGAGGAGGCGACGCCGAAGAGCCGACGTGCTGGCATTGCTGCGGCTGCAAAGATTCTTCAACGCGACCTTGGCCTCAGTCCTGGCAGTGCGCATAGAAGGGCCCGACAGGATGCTGCGAAAGCGGAGGTATCGACCAAAACCGAGCCGGCCAAGCCCGTCAAGGAGTCCAAAGAAGCCCCGGCAGCAAGCACTTCGACCTCTGCCAAGTCGCCCGCCACGCCTGCCGCTACTGCAGCATCTGGCCGAAGCTCAGACACGCAGCCATCAGCATCGAAAACGCAGCCTACGGAGAACAACCGCCGTGCGAGGGGCAAGGGCGGAAAGCAAAACTCTACTGCTGCGGAGAGTGGGAAAGGCAAAGAGGTTGTTGGCAACAGCACCAAGGCTGCCGCGGCACCCCCAACCCCGGTCATACTCAAGCGCGAAGATAACACAAAACGGGCTGCACCATCGACTCCTCCTGCAACAACGACTCCTTCTGCCGGTCCGCCGTCAGCCCAGTCTCCGTCTACAGCTCCGAAAGGCGGAACCGCGAAGGCGACAAAGGGAAGTAACCAGGGATCGCAAAAGAAGAATAACTCACATACCGTGGCTGGAGCAGTTGGCAGCAGGGCTTTCGTCAAGCACGCCAACCCATCTCAGGGTGTCACAGAAGCGTCGCTCAAGTCAGCCATGGAGGCTTTTGGACCAGTCTCCTTTGTCGAGATGGACAAGCGCAAAGGTTTTGCATTCGTCGATTTTGCCGCACAGGACAGCCTCGCCAAAGCAATCGCCGCGAGTCCTATCACTGTTGCACAGGGGGCAGTGCAGGTATTGGAGCGCAAGGATAATAAGAAGGCAGCTAATTCAGCCAATACTTCCAGTCCAGCGGCGAGCTCGGCTGCCCCTAACTCAACTCAGCCTGCCCAACAGGCTGGATCTGACAAGGCTTCTTCAGCGGACAAGGCTGCCTCCGAAAAGCCTACTACTGATGGCCAGACAGACCGTCCTAAGCGCGGCGGTCGCGGTCGCGGACGGAAGGGTGGTGGCAACAATAACAGTGGCAATGCGAATGGTGGTGCGAACTCGAACACGAAGTCAGAATCGTCCGAGAGCAAAGGACCGCCAGCTTCTACCTCAGGCAGTGCCCAGCCCGCTGGCTGAGCGGCCATTACTGGCAGACGGACTAGAGCCTATATAGGTGTTTCATGGCCTGAGAATGACTGGCGAGACCGCTCAATGATATTGATCACTGGGTTGTTTCGCTGGTGCTCGGCTTCGAGCAGTCTCCACCACCACCAGTTCAGAATCCCGAGCAGGTCAACCGAGGCTTTCACGCCCCGGCGGAAGAGATTTCGGGCTGGCTCCTATGATATCCTTATGCACCCTAGGGTGAACGAGGCCCGTACGTCATGGCACTTCCATGCAACGTCTAGTATCCGGACCTCCGGGGTTGCCCTCTGGTAGTCTCTCAGAAGATGTTGATGGGTGTTGCAACATTATCAATCGCAAGCCCCAGACCATGGACAACGACAAAAGATCTCTCTGCCAACCATGCTCGGACCATCTGGAGGGTGGCTCATTGCCACGATCAGAGCCGTACCATCATCTCGTACTTTTCTGACATGGTGCGCAGCGGTCTGTCTTGAGATAGACGCGGTAAGGCCCCTAGGACCTTGAACCCCAGAAAATCGTTCGGGCGCATACATACGTCTACATGTAGCCAGGTTGCAGTTTTTTATGTGTTGGTCTTCCGAACCAGGGTTGCGTAGAATGATTATACTGTTCGTAGCTGAATCCGTTCAATCCGGGCTTTGACGAGACTATTCCGGTGAGAATTAGAGGTGTCTCAGGTCGGGCACGTGGTGAACGATGCAAGTACCATAGTATGGCCTTGGGATATGATTCTGGGTGCACGGGCCATCCTGGCTGGGCTGGCGGATGTTGCAGCTCGCTTTGGGGGCGCCTCAGTGGTTGGGTTTCAGCGACATGTGCCTCGAGGCGGCGGCGGCTCTGGTCTTACCGAAAGGAGGACAAGGGTCGAGTCTAGGCGGATCTCCGTCATCCAGAACGCTCGGGCGGCTCCTTGATTGATCCGACTCGCAAAGCACCACCAGCATCTGACAGCCCACGATCTGAAGCTCACGGCGCCGCAGCGACCCCGTCTTGCGTGTTTGTGTCTCCTTGCAAAAGCGCTGCGACTTGTCTGCCCCCCGGCTGCAATTGCCGAGTGCATGAGCATCCCACGTTCCGACGCCTCTTGACCCGACCCGCATCTGCATCCTTGGGCACCCCGCGCTGCTTCGGCTCAGGACTGTGTTCCTGTCAACGCCTGAACACGGCCGCCCTTGGTGCCTCGCTGCGGCCTCTTCCAACCCGCGGATCCGCGACCTTGCAACGACCTCATCAGCACCTAGCAATACTGCATCATGCGGCCCACGACCCGCGCCGGCGTGCCCAAGCCCGGGCCTGCCACCCTGAGCGCAAATGCCCATCTCGACGAGTGGCTCGAGGAGGCCAAGCAGTGCCACTACCTGCCCGAGTCCGTCATGAAGGAGCTCTGCGAGATGGTGAAAGAGGTCTTGATGGAGGGTACGTATGACCACGTTTACAGGCTACATGCCCGATGATGATGACGATGATGATGATGGCTGCTGCCGCGGTCTCAATCTCTGTCTTCGAGAAGGAGGGACCCCCACGCTAACTATGTGGCTCGCCAGAGAGCAATATACAACCTGTCTCGACGCCCGTCACGATCTGCGGCGACATCCACGGCCAGTTCTACGATCTCCTCGAGCTCTTCCGCGTCGCTGGCGGCATGCCGGGCCAGGTGGTCACCGAGCCCCCGGCGGCCTCGACATTTTCAATCAACCCGGCCGACATTGAGCCGCCAACGTCCATCACAAAACCCAAGCTGCTCAAGAGGCTGAAGAAGGCGCAGCGCGCCGCTGGCGGCGAGCTCAGCAGCAGCCCCGGCCACGACTCAGTCCTGAGCGAGAACTCGGATGATGAGGGCCACGAGGAGAAGCAGGCCTCGGCCTCGCGGCCGACATCCTCGGACGAGACACCGAGTACCCCCGCTGCGAACGCGGCGCAGAAGTTCATCTTCCTGGGAGATTTTGTGGACCGGGGATACTTCAGTCTCGAGACATTTACGCTGTTGATGTGTCTTAAGGCCAGGTGAGTCGGAGCCGGCAGAGCCAATCGTCTTACGAGAGAGGGCACGTGCTAACCATGACGTGGCTGTCATTGTACAGATATCCAGAGCAAATCATCCTCGTTCGTGGCAACCACGAGTCGAGGCAGATCACCCAGGTCTATGGCTTTTATGAGGAGTGCCAACAGAAGTACGGCAACGCCTCGGTCTGGAAGGCGTGCTGCCAGGTATTCGACTTCCTGGTCCTAGCCGCCATCGTCGACGGCGAGATCCTGTGTGTCCACGGCGGTTTGAGCCCCGAGATTCGCACCATCGACCAGATTCGTGTCGTCGCACGTGCCCAAGAGATTCCGCACGAGGGAGCCTTTTGTGACCTGGTGTGGTCAGACCCAGAAGACGTGGAGACGTGGGCTATCAGTCCCCGTGGCGCCGGCTGGCTGTTTGGCGACAAGGTGGCCACGGAATTCAACCATGTCAACGGACTCAAGCTCATTGCTCGTGCCCATCAGCTCGTCAATGAAGGTTACAAGGTAAGTCCGCGGCATCCTAGTCACGCTTCGCCGCTGGTCAACACCTGCTGATGAACCTCGCCCATAGTATCATTTCCCACAAAACTCAGTCGTCACGGTGTGGTCAGCACCCAACTATTGCTACCGGTGTGGTAACGTGGCGTCCATCATGACTGTGGACAAGAACCTCGATCCCAAGTTCTCAATCTTCTCGGCCGTGCCTGACGACATGAGGCACGTGCCTGCTGGCAGGAGGGGGCCTTCGGATTATTTCCTGTAGAATATACAACATATATAGTCTCGTGCGCCGATCATCAGGGTGGCGAAGGAGGGGAGGTGAAGCAGTACGAGAGAGAGTTCCAGCTTGTGAGTGTCCACAGACACATGTTCCTAGATGATACCAATTTTCTCATTGATCTTGCATGACAACCTGTTCCTTGCTTGGTCTGATTTGTTCGCATTGCCTGCTGGTAGCTGTCAATTTATCCGACCTTGCTTGACTTGTTTGATCAAATTCCCGTCATTCATTCCAGCAAATTGTTCGGCATCATGTTCGTTCACAGCGTTTCTGCCCGGGCTTGGGGCCTCTATGCCGTTGTCACAAGCCAGGAGCTAGATCTAGGCTGGAGCCGGTCCTAATCCACAGCGCCCCCCCACATCCTCGTGCTGTGCCTGCCCAGGACAACCCCGCATGTCTAAGCTGCCCGACTGCGAGCTTCTGCGTCCTACGAAAGTTGGTCGCGTCACCCAGGGACGCGACCCACCACCACCCATCACTCTAACCACCTGACCTACGCCAAAATCGGCACTGCTCACGCCGGACGAAAACGATATCCTAGAGACCGCGATTCCGAAGCAATCCATTCACCTGAGCCAGAGGCGCAGCACTTCCACGGACGGACAGACAGACAAAGCTCACGCTCTTTATCTAAAGGCAACAATGGCGCATTACAACCGCCCAACATCCTCCATGTCCGCGTCCGGTGGTGGGACGGGATCCCACAACATATTCGCCGCCAGCGGAGGAGGGACAACGAGGGAAAAGACATACTTTGAGCAGCAGCGGGAGGCTTTGATTGGGGACATTGCTATGGTATGTGTGTTTTCTTTTCTTTTTTTTTGGTCCCTGGCAGGAGGGACAAACATGAGGACCACCCGGACCGGACCGTGGAGGGTGGGAGATAACAATCGGTGTGGCTGACTTTTTCTGTTGTAATGACAAGAGCTTCGAGCACGTCCTCGCCAACATCAACAAGCTGAACCGATCTCTCGAGGCTGTCATTGCCGTAAGTATCTCCCTCATTGCGCGCGTGCTGCATGTTTTGTTCCTACTTCGCAAAAAGCCATTGCAGCCAACTCTGGTAGAAATGTATACTCATTTGTTGGATTGGTGTGTCTTCACCAGGTTGGCAACGAATTCTCCTCGGTCGAAGCCCTCTGGTCGCAGTTTGAAAACGTCATGGCCAAAGAGCCCGAGGATGCTGCGGGGAGCTCGCCGCAGAACCCACAACAGATCAAAGCCGAGGACGCGGAACAACACGACGATGACGACGATGAACATGCACATGAGGCCGACGGCCGCCGGGGTCGCGGACGCAGCGGGAGTCGGCATGGAGAGTGAAATACTTTCAAGTAAACACATGAGACTGGCTGACCGACCTACGAAAACGAAGTCGCTATAACTACAGGCTGAGGCGGATCATGGACACTAGCTGTTGCAACCAGGAGTTCAGATCGAAATTACCTCGCCAAGCGACATGCATGCATGGGCTAAAGACAACTATCTGGCCCCATTGACAGATCGACAGACGACCGTGTGCTAGGCTGGACGCAGCTCGAAGATGCGGTTTCGCTATGGTCACCCCAGATCCCCGTCGCGTTCCTTGGTCATGTCCTCATACCAAGTGGCGAAGACGAGCGGGAAGGGCGGGGATTATGCCGCTGAAAGTAAACCTTGGCGATCTCCCCCTAAGCGCGACCAGTGCCTCGTCCGGGATGACGCCCCGGAAACAGGAACAGCCGTCGACTGGTGGTCAAGCAATCGCACGCCGCACGTCTGCGGCTGCGGACGTCTGCATGTCACGAATCGCACGAAGGAATGAGCAATGAGGTGACAGCAGGCTGGATGAATGCAATTCATTACCAGCCAGAGCAGAAGATACATCTGCCCCTGTTTATAAATGAGGTTGTCACAACGGGGAGAGGGACACAATTCACGCTTGAGGAGACTGCCTGCGCAGTAATTTTATCGAGTTGCTGTTTTGATTTCTAGTCTGACTAGGTATACAAGATTCGTTTGCCGGATATTCTCGACAACAAAAGTGTTGCTGCTCTTCGTGGATGACGTCAAAAGAAAGAAAAGGATACCTGCAGGCACATCAGTCTGCATCGTCTCGCCCGAACCCAGCCTCGGGCACTTCCACACCACGTTGCACACTGCATGCAGGACGTTCATGTTGTAGAAGCAGTGGAAATTCAATAACAATAACGCCGACATGCGGTGGGAATCCGGGCGTCGAGGACCTTGTTAAGTCCCTACCTTCGTACACCAATCCCTCCGTCCCATTTGTGCCCATGCTGCCCATTAAATAGAATTTCCGTCGTCGACGCCTTGAAAAAAAGACTCTGGCGGCGTGTGAACAATGTGCTTTCTAGAGCTCCTCACATGAGACCCTGCTCAATAGAGCGAAGGAGGTAAAAGACAATTGAGAAAAAGTAGAAGATGTCGTGGAATGCGTATATGCAGAAAATAGTCGTTACCATGGTAGTCTCAAGACACATTCGGCTTCAGCCTGAACGCACTGTTTGTTGAGACCCCGTGCGAATCGTCTTCCAGGCGGACCTGGCGTAAGGAATACTCATCTTTCCAGAGAGCCGCTCACAAGATTGTGCACCTAGACTTCTTCTTAAAAGCGCGGACGCCGGGCAGATGGGCGATTTCCTTGGGCGGCCCGCCAGACGATGTTGGCGCGGCAGCCATGGCGGCCTCGATGTTGCGGCGATCGTTTGCGACTACAGTGTTGATGGCACGCTCAAAGATTTCGTCGACGCCAGTCATTTCCTTGCTGCTGCATTCCATGTATTGCGCACCCATCTTCTTGGCAACTGCCTGGCCTTGCACGTCGGTGACAGGGGTGAGTCCTTGTGTCTTGAGCATCTCAATACATGATTTCTTGAAGCGGAGATCCGACTTGAGACCGACAAGGATCAAGGGCGTGTATGGGCAGAAGTGGAGGACTTCCGGGTACCACTGGTAAAGATGTCAGTATATTTGCATCATCAAAATGACGGGCGCCTGTTGTGGACCTACCTTGTCGAGGACGTTCTCGAGCGAGTTGGGGCAATCAATGGCGAAGCAGACGAATATGAGATCAGTCTCTGGGTAAGACAGTGGCCGCAGTCTGTCGTACTCCTCCTGGCCGGCTGTGTCCCACAACGCAAGCTCGACAGTCTTGCCAGTGGGCATATGTGTTGGGTAGGTGATGTAGTTCTCGAAGACGGTGGGCACATATTTCTTCACACATCCAGTCAGTTAGTGTTTGTCGGGCACTGCACAAGTGCTTGGCTTGAGCATGAACATACCTCTGGAAAGTAGCCCTGACTGTAGCTGATCAACAAACAAGTCTTGCCGCAGCCACCGTCTCCGACCACGACGATCTTCTTCGAGTATGAGGGGGCCTCCGTTGTCGTCGTGCCTGATGACTCGCGGCCGGTTGAGGCGCTCATGGTTGTGCTGACGGTGCCCTCGCTGGAGCGAGTGCTACGGTGGGTGGTTCTGCGATCGCTGTTGGTTGGCCGCCTCTGGATGCCATGGTCCTCTGAATTGCCGTAGTAGGAGGTGCGGTTGTAGGGCGCCATGAGGGGTGACCCACTGGAAGGGAGTGGTGCGCGAAGTTAGGATGTAAAGTTTGCCTCGAGGCAAGCAGGCGTGGCTGCGCGGTGCAGAAACGAGAGGCGACTGGAATGCGGGTGAGACTTGTCTCTCGAGACCCTTTCTGCGAAGTGGTCAGCCAGTGTCTACGTCGCGCGAGTCGAACTCCACTTGGCCGGCGGCATGCGGATGAGGTGGCGGCGCGTACAGTTGATTCGTCCTCGAGGGTGAATGCGATGCTCGTGAGCGGAGGAACAATGTTGTGGTTTGACGCGGTATGTATGGCAGGAGGAGCAGTGAGTTGGGTGTTGCATGCAGATGGGTGGGAGGTACTAATGGGGGAAACAAGCAGGGCGGCAAGACATCATGCAGGAGGCGCTGCAGGCTGTTGGCATCGCAACTGGGCGGCGCACCGCATGCATGGCACACCAGCGCACGCTGTGCCAGGCGCTTCCAAGGCACTGCCGCGCATGCTGGGCCTGGCCGGGGTGCGAGGTCAGTCAACAAACCGCCCTGTTGACGCGGCAACAAGCAGCAGCAGCTGCAACCCTGCCTCAAGGTGTGCTTGGTGCCCACCCCCACCTTCCTTGTGGGACACTGGCCTGTGCTCGCCACCCTGCCTTGGGACACGCATACATCTGCCACGCAAGACCGCTTTTTTCTCGTGTCGTGGACCCAGCCTGCAACACGGAACCCGCGGTTGATTACTTCACGACACTATTTGAACAGACTCCCTCTCCCGAGCAATCTTCCTTCTTCTTCTTTCGCAGGACGAGAGGACGACGCTGCAGCCATGGACATCTACGAGTCTCCCCCCAGCAGGTACATCACACTTGTGTCGAGCGATGGCTTTGAGTTTGTCGTCATGCGGGAGGCTGCCTACATCAGCCCAGCCATCAAAAGCATGCTCGACCCAAAGAGCCAGTTCTCGGAGGCGCGCACCGGCCGTTGCGTCTTTGAGGAGATCAAGTAAGTTTACAGTCCCGTCTGTTCTCAGTGTCGGTGTCGCAGCTCCTTTTCCCCCGCTCAAGGTCCTTGATGAGTTCAAATTATTTCGCTGTGTTCTTACTGACAGACCAAATGCCATGGTCTGCATGACACTCATCTACACTTGATCTGAGACCTTACCTCCACATCCCCGTCCTCACTAGCCTCCTTTGCTCCGGCGCGCCCCAAAAGCATGAGTCCCAAGCTAACTCGTTTCAAAGTGGCATGGTGCTTGAAAAGGTAGTCGAGTACTTCCATTACTGGTACAGGAACAGAGATCGTGAGGACGTCCCTGATATGGATATCCCCGTCGAGCTGTGCTTGGAGCTACTGCTCGCTGCGGATTATCTCGGTCTTGACAGTAAGTCACCAGCACTCATCGCTTTTCACCTTTTCTCCGCACACCACCGCTGACTTCTTCTCACCACAGAACCAACATGAAGAACTGCCCTTGCATATGATCGAACCATGTCAGATGTGTTGGAGCACCTAGGAGGCATGCGCACACTCTCGCAGCCGGTACCTTTGCGAGCCGTGGCTCACTGTCCGTGCGAGTAAACGGTGTGGTTACCAGAGTGTCCTCTTGACACAACAACGAAAGACGATCTAGATTGTCTGCATACTGGATAGTTGCACGCCATGTTTGCTTCCGGTACCGGCCCAGCGCAGTTTGCCTGTGGTAATAGTGCCTTATTCTGGCCAGGTGTTGACCAACGTCCCTCTGCCATGAACACGAACAGATGGATATACTCGTCGAAAGCGAGGGCCATGTTGTACATATGGTAAGCGAGCAGAGAAATTGACAAAGTTGTCGTCGTCGTGGCCGATCGCGGCTGTCAAGACTCGAAATCTCCCCTTTTGCATCACAATCTGCATCTATGCATCACCATTTTAGCATATGCGGCCAACCCTTCATCTCTCCCGTGGGTTGTTCGTCTATAACGGATGGAAGAATGATTGGCAGGCTGTCCTCGGACGGCTTGTCCTCTTGTCCCCCACACTCTGCGTATCTCGTTATTCTTCTGTCGAGAATGAGCTTTTTCGGAGGGGATACAATTTCGTGTTTGCCACACTCGGGCCCTTGCCCGGGCTGAAGTTCATATAGCTAGTGAGGTTGAGCACCATGCTCAAGCCAGCCAACTACTTTTGGATTCCAGCTAGTCACTAATAGACACGTCTGCAAAGTAAAACATGTCTTGTCTATCTCGTGAACCATGTGTGCATGGTGAGGAGCATCGACCATGCTCCAGGCGCCTGATCGAGTCATCACATCAGCGTGGTGTTTGGATATTTCCTCGTACTCCGTCCGATAATAGTCAAGGTTATGACAATGCTTAAAATGCTGTCCGTGCTCCTCTTATCTTCCTCGGCCACGCCCTCCTCGGCCTCGGCCCCTTCCACGCCCACCGCCACCATAACCACCACGACCACCGCCTCCGCCAAAACCTCCCCGACCACGCCCGCCGCGTCCGCCTCCTCCACCGAAGCCTCCTCGGTGTTCACTGGGTGGCGGACCTTGGGCCATCCGTTCCGCACGTTCCGCCTCGCTCGCGTCCCAGAGGTTCTCGATCCCTAGCAGCTCGCAGAACGCGGCGGTCTGGTTGTTCGTATACTCCTGCGGCTGGTAGTCGACGGTCTCCGGGTCCCCGTCCTGATGCGGCGGGGCCGTGATCTGAAAGTTGCGCGGGACGTCGAGCTTCTGTTGCGCCACGATGTTGGCATCGACCCACGCGCGTTCGGCGTCAATCTGTGCAGAGTAGGCCGCTTCGCCGAGGTCAGGCGGTGGCATCGCGCTGCGGTCGCCGAACACGAGTGAGGGGTGGAAGACGCGGGTGATGGCGAGCCATTCTGGGTCGTACTGGAGCTTGAAGCGGGTGTGGGTTTGAGCTGGTGTCGCGGTGTCCGTGTCTGTATACGAAGGTTCCGGCTGGTCGACGGGAGGGTAGGTGGCGAGGGCGGTGGAATCTAATGGCATCAAGCCTGCGAGCTGGATGCATTTGCGCCCGGGCAGACACTTGTCAAGGGCGACGAACCGGGTCGTAGTGTTTGTTATCGTTGGAGGGACTGGCTGTCCAGGTGGTAATTTTGGAGCCTGCGGCGCAGGTTTGGAAAACGACGCAGGTAGTTGGGCTCTGAGTGCATCAGGCACGGTAGAAGGGCCCGGGTCGGCAGCCACAACTACGGGTGGTTCCGTGGACTGTTCATTTGCAACACTGTCCTTGATCTCTGTGGTGGGAGCTCCTTCCTCCTCCTCATCGTCCATGTCCAGGTCTATCTCGTCCGGATTTGCGGAAGCCTCGACGTTGACATTGCTTGGTATCGCAGCCGATGCCTGCGCAGGCTCAGCAGACGTAGGGGCCCCGGCTGTATCTGCATTTGTGCTGTCTTGTACTGGGGCAGGGTCGTAGGTTTTGACGGCGGAAAACTTGCAGTGCATGTGAGCGGAGAACCAGTACGCAGGCCGTAGGCGGTCCATGACATAGGCCGCAGCCGGATTTCCCAGGCTGCCATCGTGGCTCTCCCGCTCAAAGTCTGGCTTCATGTTCCACAATGCTCTCGCATTACCATGGTTCTCGATCGCTCTCGGCCAGTCATGGCTCAGACCGACGTCAACCTGCTCCCTGATCTGGAGGAGCTTACGCACGTCCATCTCCCGGACGTGGTAGAAGCTCTTGATGTCGTCTTGACTGAACGGGAGCCTCTCATGGTGAGTCTTCCTGTAGTCAAAGCCTTTCCAAATCCCACTCATCCCTGCGATACGCAGGGGACCGAACCGCACGACGTTGGCAGCACCGAGGTAGTAGATGTTGGGGGCGACCCAGCCGCCATAATACAACTCCCAGAGGTAGCTGCTGGCCTCATGGTTGCCAGCTATGAAGATGGTGAGGAACGGCGCGACCTTGGTGCCATTGTAATAGGCCGGGAAGTCTCCGAGCTCGCGATACTTGGCCGGTACCGACATGACTGAGAGGTCAGCAGCATTGCGCACAGCCTTGGCGGAGGAGTCAGCACGGCACGTGCCTTGGGGCCAATAAGGAGTGCAATTACCTCGAAGTCACCGCCGATAATGAGTAGATCGACGCCATCCCATCCTCGAGCCTTGGCAGAGTTGGCGACGGAGGCATAGATGGCATCCAGAGTGCCGTGCCCCTACAATAGTCGACGGTGTGGGTTAGTCTCGGCCCAAACTGGCTTCTTGGACGATGGTGGGATGGTACTCACGCAGCCCTCGACTGCGACCCGGACGCCTTCGGTTTCAAATGTCCCGCTGTCCATGACGCTGGCAATATTGCTCGGTTGCGGCCGTCTTTGCGGCGCTGTGCTGTCTTGAGTCTTGGGAGAGGCCTTGCCGGCAGCGGTCTGTCATTGGTGTGTCGACGAGCCGTCGTTGAAAATTTTGTGGGGCGCTGCAAGGCTGCTCCTGCCACTTGGGCGCACGAAACACTCGGTGAGCATGGTGATAGGTTGGAGCAGGGCCGGCTCGCTGCCCCGTCTCTCACTGGAGCACAACCTCAGGCAGCCAATGCGTTCAACTGCAAAGGTCAGAAATTCCTTCTTCTAGGCACCCTCATGTCCGGACCAAGGGTGTGTATGAAGAGTGGTGGTTTTGGTGGAAGGTTGATTCGCCGCCGTGCCTGGTACGTTTTACGCCGTTTCTGCGCCAAAGATCGTCACAATTCCCAAGGGCCACCACGATGAGGCAACAAGACTGCTGAACAGATCCCTTGTTGAATGATAAACACCTCCCTATCCTTTACAAGACCGGCTGCACATCCTCGTCTCCGCAAGCTGCAGCACCGCAGAGTCTCACTTGGCTCGACGCTCGAACACTGACAATTCCTTGCAAAGGTGAAGAATCTGCGGCCCGACGTGACAAGAATCCAGCCTCGTAGGCACAAGCAGTTGCGGAGCACCAGCAGCCACATGTCGGCTGGCGAGCCGCTTGCACGAACCACCTCGCTAGCTGGGCCGCCCGAACCGGCGCGATGCTAAACTAGACATCGCCTGAATCGGCAGAGCTCCAGCCTGGGCTGCCCATGTGTATCTTAGTGCAATTTAGCGGCATGACAGGTCCACTGCGGGCTCCACGCCTTGCCCCTGTCACCTGCAGCAGGTGCACGTATATGGCCCTGTCCCTGCTCCAGCAACTCTCCGCGCGGGCCTCAGCAGGCATCCGACTGGGTCTTCCATCGGCTGTGTCGGCTCTCGAAGCTCCGTATGCCAAGGCGACGTGCAGGCGCGGTGGTTTCGAGTGAGCAAGCGGTCTATCATATCCCGGTGCTGCCCTTTTGCAGCGCAGACAGCCCTCGACGACTGCGCAGTCAGCTCTTGAAAGAACTGTCTGCACATCAGGCTGCGGTAAGGTCCGCCTGCAATGCAATTTTAGGTCGCGACCCGATTTGAGGGTATCAGTTCCGAGCCGCCGGGTGCCTGCGCCACGCTTGCGGGATTGCGCTAGATAGCGAGCGGCTGACTTGGGATTACCTTGGCAGGGGCAGGGGCGTCGGAGGGAGAATAGCCATTCGGATGCTGTGGGAATTAGAGTTCCAGTGGGCGGCCAGTCACTCGTTAAGCATAACGGTTACAGGCTGGCAGTTCCCACCAAAACGGATATCCCAGGTATCGCTCTGGCAGGCGTTGTTTCCTCGCGACAGCAAGGCCGGACCTGGACAGCCCATGTGTCTAAAGATGCTGGGTTGACAGCATGCGCAAACCGCCAAGCATGCTTGCAAGTGCTGACGGCGAGCAAGATTGTCGAGGCTGACGACAGCCCACACGCAAAAAGCTGGAGGTGGGGGAGAGCAGACATGAACTGTGGGCTCATCCACTGAGCGACAGGGATGGAATCCTAGCTGGGTCAGAGCCATGCTATGATTCCTTGGAGGCGCCACTGCTGCACGTCGTAAAAACGCTGCTCATTTTGCATACTTTATAGGTACTCCAGATAGCAGCCCCCTGCCTGGTATTTCTAGGACGCTGCTGGGCATGGTCGTGCTCGTAAGGCACGAGAGGCGAGACGCTCTGTCCCAAGGCCCACGACGACGCTTGTCTGCATGTAAGAAAGCAAGCAAGCAAGCGTGAACAGAACCTGGACGGCGCGCTTTGGAAATCATGTCAACTCCTTTTTGCAGATCAAGCATCGACTGGACACTTGCTGACCCCGTCGCCCCTCCCTCCATTTCCAGCCATGTGTCTCTGACGGAGCTGTCAAGCCACTAGAGTGGCCCATGGCTGCCAAGGCTCGCGAAGCAGGGGCGTCACAGCGAGGGCTGCTCCAGTCAGCTCGGGGTCAGGTCTTGGCGATGCGGCAGAAGTGGCCATTTCCGCAACAAATCTCACACTTTCAGCCATGGGCAAGAGGGCCCCCTCTTGGGTCCTTCCAGGTGCGCTGGGCTGTCCTGCTGTTGCCCATAGTTAATATACCTCTCCGGTTCTCGATTTCGTCTCACGCTTGGTCTTGCGTGATCGCTGGGGCTTCATCGCGTCTTTCTTCTTTGTTCTTTTACCAGCTGCACCATCAAACATCGCCATCTGCATGATCGGCGCCAGCCCTACGAGCACGCCATTTGACGCCTTCGGTCCCCTGGTTGTTGGTTGGTTCGGTTTCGCTGGACGTGCCCGCCCCGCCGTTGGCTGCCACCAAAAGCCTGGTGCGACTGATGACCTAGTACACGATGGTCGCCATGCCACTCCCCACGCTCCCTTCTTCGCTATTGTTTCAAGTGTCACTCCTTCTCGCCCAGATCACACACGTCGCCGCCGACGCGGCCGTGATAACTGATGCCGAGGCCTACAACCGCGGCGACTATGGCCAGTGGCCCACCCAGGCCTACCACACCTTGAAGATCAAGACCCCTCGGTGGTTTGTCCACCATTTTGACCGCGATCATGTCAGCCCAGAGACACACCTCTTCATGGCTCCCATCATCCCAGGGCAGAGCCGGACGCCCATGATCTTCGATGCGTCCGATCTCAGTCTTGTCTACGCCGACCCCAGCTGGGATGGCGGCAACGATGCCAAGATACAGTGGTACCAGGACAAGCCGTACTTGACTTTCTTCTCCGGCCAGGATTTCACCACCCATGCCAGCGGCGGTGGCGTCATGATTGACAACTCGTACAAGTCGGCCTTCAACATCACAACCGTGGGACTGCCCACAGGCGCGGACAACCACGAATTCCAGCTCACGCCAGACGGCGGGGCGCTCGTAAACAACTATCACAATATCGAGATGAACACCACCTCAATGGGAGGCCCCGAAAATGGACTGGTCAAGACATGTGCCTTCCAAGAGGTCGATATCTACACCAATGAGCTGCGTTTCTCGTGGAAAGCTCTGGATCACTTCAAAATCACGGAGAGCCTGGGCGATAAATACTACGACGACGTCGGTGGTTGGGACTGGTTCCATATGAACGCAATCTCAAAGACGCCCAAGGGTGATTATCTCATCTCCGTCCGCCATTTGAAGATGATTGCTTTGATCAGCGGCAAGGATGGGCACGTCATGTGGCAAATTGGTGGTGTCAACAACAGCTTCAAGGATCTCAGTGAGGGCCGTGCGACCAACTTCGGCTTCCAGCACAATGCACGATTCGTGGACGAGACCATGACCGAACTTACATTGTTCGACAACCAAGCCATGCACCCCAATTCGGAGTCGCCCGGTTGCAAGGAGAGATGCTCGCGTGGACTCCGCATCAGACTCGATTACGTCAACATGACCGCACAAGTGGTCTCGGAGCTGTGGCATCCTCATAGTGTGCAAGCTTGGGCCGAAGGAGGTTACCACCTCTTGCCCAATGGTCATGCTATGCTGGCATGGGGTGTTGTGCCGTCCTTTACAGAGCACGGGCCTCGGGGGGAGGTCTTGATGAACATCCAGAGCGCGGCGTGGAGCACCATTAAGGACGGTGGCGACCATATGTACAGGGTGTACAAGGCCAATTGGACAGGGACGCCAGAATGGGGCCCTAGCATTGCTGTCGCAGACTCGCTCGTGTGTGTCAGCTGGAATGGTGCCACCGAGGTCAAGCTGTGGGCGTTGGTCAGTCTTAATCGGCGCATGCCATGCTGTGGTTGATCAACTATACTAACGAAAATGTAGTACTCCGGCAACAAACGCACCGACGTCAATGTGCCAGCGACGATAGTCCACAAGAAGGGTTTTGAGACTTGTATTACGCGGCCTGCCAATGCCCCATTCCTCCGTGCCGAGGCTCTGGACAAAGACGGGAAGTCACTTCGCGAGACTCAGGTTGTCGAGGTTCCTGAAGGTCGGCTAAGGCCCGTCGGCCTGGGACCCCGGCACCACCACCACCACCATAACCATGCTCACGCACGTGGTTTTACCCCATGATTTTTGTTTTTGATGATCCAGCGGACAACTTGTTGTCATTGCTACGGGAAAGGGAAAAAAGTTATCTCATCTCACTTGGACGGACGGTTCACTTCTCGAGGCATTTCCGGAGCGCTGCGGGCGAACCAGGTGTCGACTTGCCACTTCGCCAAGTCATGGCATGCACCAGATGGGCTATTTTTCATTTGCACATACTGTTTTCTCGGGCCTTACTGCGGATACCCTTCCATTTCTGTGCCGAGTTTGAGCACCTTGCTATTTTCGGGCGTCGGGACATTGTTGTCAAGCATTTGCAGGATTGAAATATGAAAACCACAGATGAAATAAAACTGATGGCCAATCTGCCGACGACTGAATTTGTACAGCTGATGAAAGAAATGTGCTTCTGAAAGCAAGTTAGCGGCACGGACGCAGCACTCAACGTCTGGGTGCCACTCTTTGGCACCCTGCCATGACATAATGATCAGCACAGCGTGCGTCCTTAGCGCACATGTTGAGTGGTTGTCAGACAACCACCACGTTTTATAATCCTGCTTGTCGGAGGGTGTCATGTCTGCTGTCAGCCTGCCCCGCCGGAGGATGTCCTCCTGTTTTATATTTCGTTCTTGCTGTCTTGTGGATTACAAAGTATGCAACGCAGTCTCTATCCGTGTGCACGCCTTTTGTCTGACGAACGTGGACGTCGCAACACCATTTTCTCATTCACTTTCAACACATTACCCTCGAACGCTCTGCAGGACTCCGAGGTTTCTCCGAGGCCCTGATGAGACTGCTACTTCCTCTGATTAACGACGAGTTCCAGACAAATCACATTCGAAGAGTTGAACTGCATCAATCCAAACGAGCAGATCGGGAAAACCTGTTCTGAAAGGATCGCGAACGAGGCGTGCTTGAAACGTTGCAATGGAGCCTATCACTATTCGCGGGCGGTACATGTACCGCGGGGACACAAGGGTACGTCTAAGTCTACGCTTTGGCTCTCCAGAGTACAGCCAGGCAACGCTGCCTCCGGGAAAGGACCGCGCAATCACGAGATTGGCGACTCTATCGCCGTCGTCCTCTACTAGCTTTCTCACCAGCATTGATTCATCGTTCAGTCTCTTCCCATGGAAACCTCGAATATGTGCTGACATTTCCCAACCGAAGTTCCTCATCAATGGCGTCGTCTATCAGCTTTATAATCAAAATGGCAGCAGCAACAGCCCGGCGAAAGCGTCATCGGGATCGTTGCCCCCGCGGTCGCGTGACCCGCTGGCAGACGAGAACTTGGCGCAGCTAGAACGTTATTTGCCGCTCTTCAAGGAGCTGGACCTCAACGTGCTGTTCATTTGTAAGTCCCCCTGCACACCTCTGACTACTGAACGGGTTTCGTCGGTGGCGGACATCGCGACTAGCTCAGTTGCTGTCTTTTGCATAAGGGTGGGTGGTGGCTGGCGTGTGTGTTAGATCTGTGACGTGTGGACGTGCAGCGAAATAGCTGGGCTGGGCTGACTCTGTCTTTCACGGCGGTGGAAAGACTGGATCGATCCGAGCAAGAATCACAATGCTGCGATGAAGCTGCTCGCTGATGCAGGAATCTACGTTCTCGTTGTAAGCCATACTCCTTGTCGTTTGCCCTGCACCCAAACCCCCGAAAACAATCTGGGAACGAATACTAAAGCGCCCAAAACCACCAGGCCATCGCCGACCCGAGCCACGCGATTAATCGTGCCTCACCAGTCGCATCATACACGGTAACCAACCTACAGCACTACTTCCGCGTCGTGGACGACATGGCACGCTACAGCAACACGCTGGGACTCGTCGTCGCGAACGAGGTCGTCAACGATCACCGGTCCACGGCGGCCGTGCCGCAGGTCCTGCGGGCCGTGACGCGGGATCTGAAGCGCTACATGCGTCTCCATGCCGAGCTTGACGGTGAGGATGCCGTGCGGGACAATCAGCGCGGAGACGAGGCAGGCAACAGTGCCCTCGCGGGCGAGGCGCGGCAATGGACAAGACAGAAAATATCAAGTCCGGGGATGGGGAGGAGGAGGCGCGTCTTGCCGCTGGGGTACTCGGCGCCTGATGTGGCCATGCTGCGCGTGCCGATGTTTGAGTACTGCATCGCCGGCCCGGAGGAGGAGGCTATGGACTTTTACGCGGTGAGCAACACAAGAGAGTCTTTTTTCGGCTCGATCATCTTGCTCCCCAAACGGGGTCATGCTGTTATTGTCCGGATTGCTGATCCGGTGCATGCGGCGGGCAGTTTAATAACTTCTCGTGGATGGGCGAATCCTCGATCGAGATATCCGGCTGGAATCACCTCGTAAGTCATCCTCCTTCTCACAGTCGCCATACCAGTCATGCGTTTAAACACCTTCTACCTTCTCTACTTTGACTAGTCCTCCTTTCAGTTCTATTCTAACCACCTCCTGCTTCGCTTTGTGTCCAGGAACGAGCGTTTTCTAGGACACCGGTGCCGGTTTTCTTCTCAGAGTATGGCGCCCAATGCGGCAAACCCCGTATATTCCGGGAGACTGCCACCGCGCTGTACACTCCCGCCATGACTCGCACGTTCTCGGGAGGGATAGTGTATGAGTTCCTGATGGGCAAGAATTTGTACGGGCTGGTGAAGTTGCGGCGGCTGCGGCCCCGTGCTATTAGTGAGGGCCACGCAGAACGACTAGACTCGGAAAGAGAGGAGGCGAAGAATACGCAACAGAGCACAGAAGCCAGCCAGCCAGGTCTGGGCAGCATCCAAACCCACGTGAGCGACCAGAAGGGCGAGAGCAGCGAGAACGTTCCTGTCGCCGAGGACGACAAGGGCTCGGTCCCCAGGACCGGACTTGGCGGCTACGTGGAAGCCGACAGGAATTCAGACGATGCGGGCGTCATCGAAGTCCTTCAGAAATTTCCCGATTTCGAAAACCTCCGGAAGGCCCTCATCGCGTGTCGGCAACTCCGGAACCCGCCACCCGCGCTCCCTTCACCAAAACTGGAACGCCCTATTATCGACAGCGATTCTGGTGACTCTGCTGTGGACAACTCCGCGGCAGGAAACCGCGAGACGACTGGAGGCCAGCCGACAGCTACAGAAATGCCTGCAGTGCTCACGAGGCCGGCTTTCCCACCGATGAGCCGCTCATGGCTCGCGAACTCGGAAATCCCGCCCAGTCCGCTGGACTGGACCGAGGTGAAGGCGCAGATCATGGCTGATGGGGAATGGGTTGATGTGGCCGAGCTTGTGGCTGGGATGAGTCTCGGTGGGAATAGTGATGATTGAGGAGGAGGCTGGGGTTCGCGATAGGCACGGCAACCACGGGATGGGAACATGAAGTGATCAGATAATTGTGGACGAGGTTGATTTGGAAAATGCTATGATGGCGGTGCTACACGACCATAGCGTGACCTCTAGCTCTGGACGTCGGAATGATGCTCAGGAGTACTATACAAGTCTATGCGAAATAGATGAGTGGAAATACGAAAAAGAAACACATCTCATCCAGAACAAGCTAATACAAGTCGCCAACGCCACAAAATGCCCGCTCATGATTATCTTACACGACAGCGCTAACAATCCTCCGTTCTTTCTTCTCCCAGCGGTTGTCCCTCAGAGCTGCTCCAAGAATCTGAACAGCTTCTCGGCGCCAATCTCCCACATCGTATCGTTCTGCAAGTGGTGCCCAGCACCAGGGACATAAGCCAGCTGAACGCCATGGCCTATGTTGTCCAGCTCTGACCCAGTAGAAGCCGCCACCGTGGAGCCAGAAGAACTCAAGGGCACGACCGACTCCGAATCCGTGCCCTTGATCTCTCCCTTGGCCACGAGCTCTGAGTACGCGGCGCGGAACGTGCTGGCCGAGTTCTCCTGCACCTCGCGCGTCATCATCTTGTCTCCCGTGCCCGCCATGATGAGCACCCTCTCAGCACTGCTGCTGCTGGTGCTTGACTGGCCCCAGCCGGTGATGCTGCGCAGGATCTTGCGCGGGTCGGTGAAGGGCAGGAGCATGCCGAGCGGCCAGAGGAAGGACTCGTAGCGGTTCAGGTGCCGCGTGAACTCCTGGAGGTCGGCGTCCGGGTAGTCGTCGCTGAAGAAGGCCCGCCTGACGAGGAACGGGTGGGAGAGGGGCGAGTTTGAGTGCCACCCGTGGATGAGCATGCGGATCGAGAACCAAGGGTCGAAGCGCGCCCAGTTCAGATAGACCTTGTAGCTGTGCACGGGGTGAGATTTGTGTAAGCTCTTGTACTGAAGAATTTCCCTCTGTGCTCGGGGAAGAATTCGGACGCGTGACAAAATGGAGGGGAAAAAAAAAGCCGACTTACGACCCAGTGCCAGGCACAGCACCCAGCAGAGCGAGCCCTTTGACTTTGACGTCGCCCTCGTTGAGCAGGAACTGGCTCAGACCGCCACCGCTCGAATGGCCCACGAGCACGACCTGCGAGTTCTCCTTTTGCTCGACAGCCTTGATGCCCGCGAGAAGATCGTCCCCGAGGTCCCGCTTGGTCACGGTGTAGAGCATCCGCAGGAACGACGGATGCCAGGAGTTGCCGTGGCCCCTGGTGGAGATGGCATAACTGGTGATGCCCCTCGCGGCAAGATAGCGCATGTAAGGAGTCCACATCCAGGCGCAGCCCATGCCGCCGTGGGCGAAAACCACAGGTGGGAAGCTGGGGTTCCGGTCGGAGGGTATGGAGGAGAGAATCTCGATGTCGCCGTCGGGGGTCTTGATGAACTCCCGCTCGAGACCCTTTGGCGGGGGCGGGACCGGACCGGATGGCCTAGTCCAGTGGATGTAGTCCCAGCTCAGGTAGAAGTTGAACATTGTGGACTGCTTAATGGGTGTGAATGCAGTGATATTGATATCTGGCTGGTCTTTAAAGGTGCTCTTCAATGTTTGGTTGGGCGTGTGTATGCCGGTGTGTATGCGTGATATCTGCACCAAACCACATGTGCATCGTGGTGGTTCTTCTTATAATCCCAGTCAGAAGCCGGGACGGAATAAGGCGGGAGAGAACCGGAGCAGGCTATGGCACGAGGGTGCCCGGAAGAGTCACCACCGGAGCTGGCCGCGACCAAGGGCAGCACAGCTGAAGACGAGGCGTGCTTGGCAGAGAGGTGCCAGCCTTTGGGAAAGCAGGTCTCCGGGCCTAAGCTTCGAGAAGGCATCACCCAGGAAGCCAGTGGCTGGACAAGGCTGAGACCTGATTTGACCCTTTGCTCTGGTGCTGGAACGTAGCATTTGCGGCTGAAGGGGCATTCTTGGGAGAACCGGCCGCTTCAAGTCCCACCAGCTCATGACACCACATGCACGGTCTCGGCACGGGTGGCTTTTGGCTGGCAGTTGGCAGGTGGGTAAGGACAGGCAATCTATTTTAGGACAAGAGATCAAGGTCGCCGACAAGCTCAACCATAATGCCCATCTGTGGAAGGCGTCGTCGGGAGTTGCACACTGAACCAAGACCCTGGAGCAACGTTTCTGCAGCCCTGCTGACCCTGCTGATCCCTAGGATCCCCTTGGCAGGCGTGGTGGGGCGCCTGCAATTGGAGATCCCCAGCCAGCCGCCCTCAAGGTTTTCTGCCATCGCCAAACCAAGCAGGCACAACGCGTCTGCTTGCATCTCATCCCAAGGCGCAACTTGACTCTATCTCGCATCCATCAATACGATTTCCCGCTAGCCCGACCTTTCCCGCGCAGGACGTCTTCGCTCGCCATGGCCGCCGCCACAGAAAACCTGCCGGCCAGCCTGGTCTTCCTCACCGACGCCGCACACCTGCTCGCGTCCTCCAGCCCACAGATTTCCGCCCATCTCATGAGCCAGCGCAACAGCCTCATGACCAGCACCGGCCTCGTCGTCTCGGATGCCCAGCGCCAGCACGCTTGCACCGCCTGCGGCCACATCATGGTGCCCGGCCGCGCCGACGTCCTCAGGCTCGATGCCCACAAGGCTGCTCTCCGCAAGCGTACAAAGCCGCGCCTGGGGCCTGCCTCCAGGAAGCCGGCCCAGTCCAGCTCTTCCTCGTCCCATGGTGCTGGTGGTCGGAAACGGCTGGACTGTGCCATGTGCACGAGCTACACAGACATCGCAGTCCCTCCAGCCCCCAAGATCAGCAGGCGCCGGCCTGCCACGGCTTCTCATGCCAGCAGGGCTGCCGCCTCTGCTGCGAGCGCTTTAGCGCCTAACGCCACGACCACATCTGCTGCTACTGCCCGCGCGCCATCCCCTGTCATGGCATCGGAACCTGCAAAGTCGTCGGTCAACGCCAGCAGCAAGAAGCGCGCCAAGAGCCGGAAGCAGGGCCTCCAGGCTCTTCTGCAGCAGTCTCGCTCGTCGACACCCCAGTCCGGCCTGGGGTTGAGCTTAGCTGACTTCATGAAAAAGTGAAGCTGCGTCACCGGCCAACAATGGCATTCATCTCCAAGCCCACCGACAGGGAATATTCTCGAAGGCTGCGGCGCCTTCCCCAACTGTGGATCCCCGGTCTAGGCGCTGAACCCTGCCGATGACATACCATCGCGCGACCCCGCGGCGCTACCCAAAATTGCCCCTCCAAAGTTTTTTTCTCGCCATGTCGCCTAGTTGATAAGCATTGCACCGTCGACAGTCCCGCCAGCACGTTGAGCTTGCGATCGCATACCCTCATCGACAGTCCCTTGCTTGACTTTCTTGAACATTATCGCAAGGTATTCGACATTCAGCGACGGACATACAGTATATCCCTGCCTCGCTCTCCACGATGTCCGCGTCCGAAGACAAGGCCACCTTGGCGCCCGATTTCTTTCAGAAGATTGGCGATAAGGCTAGCCAGCTGAACGGCACTCCTGCCGTGAATGGTGATGCGCCGAACCCTGAAGGCGAAGACGATGACGGGAGAATCGTCGAGCAGATTGAGTCTCTGTGCATGAACTGCCACGAAAATGTGAGCTACTCCTGTCACCAGACTCGATCATCATTCGCAAGGAAATCGAAACTAACAGTTCACCTCGTCGGCTAAGGGCACAACCCGCATGCTTCTGACCGCCATCCCATACTTCCGCGAAGTCATCGTCATGTCCTTCTCCTGCGACCACTGCGGCTTCAGCAACAACGAGATCCAGGCCGCCGGCACGATCCAGCCCAAGGGCTCGAGCTACCTTCTGCGGTTGACCGCCATGCCTGACTTTGAGCGCACAGTCGTCAAGTCCGACACCGCGATCGTCAAATTCATCGAGCTGGATATCGAGGTCCCCCCCGGCCGTGGCCAACTCTCCAACGTCGAGGGTCTCCTTTCTAGCATTGTTGATGATCTCGAGCTGGGACAAGAGGCGCGCAAGGAGCAGGCTCCTGAAGTGTACGAGAAGATTGCCGAGGTCATCGCCAAAGGCCGTTCTATGCTCGCTGGCGAGTCGTTCCCTTTCCGTCTGTCAGTCGACGATCCGGCTGGTAACTCTTGGATTGCGCCCAACATGAGAGACGGTGTCGGCAAGTGGGAGAAGCGCGACTACCTGCGCACGCCAGAACAGAATGAGGCTCTTGGTCTGGGCGCCACAGAATCTGCAGAACCTACTGGCCCCAGCAACGAGCTTGGTGCTGATGGAGAGATCATCCCCGACCAGGTCTATGCCTTCCCCGCGACCTGCCCTGGCTGCATGCACCCGTGCACGACGAACATGAAGATGGTCGACATCCCGCACTTCAAGGCGGTCATCCTTATGTCCACAGTCTGCCACGACTGTGGCTATCGATCCAACGACGTCAAGACGGGCGGCGAGATCCCTGCGTTGGGCAAGAAGATCACCCTGCGAGTTGAGAGCGAGGAGGATCTAGCACGCGACATTCTCAAGAGCGAGAGCTGCGCGCTTGAGTGCCCCGAGCTGAGCCTTCAGGTCAACCCGGGCACACTGGGTGGCCGCTTTACCACGGTTGAGGGCCTGCTTACCCAGGTGCGCAACGACCTGCACAACCAGATCTTTGAGGGTGGCGAGGGTGGTGATTCGCTCGAGAGGCAGGAGCGCACACGGTGGACCGAGTTCTTCGACACTCTGGACGAGGCGATTCGTGGCGAGAGGAAGTTTACCGTCATCCTGACGGACCCGCTGGCGTCGAGCTATGTTCAGAAGGCCGTCGACCCGGATCAGGTTGACCCGCAGATGACGGAGGAGGACTACGAGCGGACAGAGGAGGAGGAGGAGGACCTGGGTCTGCTCGACATGAAGACCGAGGGTTATGAGAAGGGGCATGCGGAGGAGCAGGCTGCTCTCGCCGCGGCAGCGACGGCTGAGAAGGAGGATACCCCTGCGCCGAGCTCATGATAGATACCCCACTGGACTGAACAGAAATTAGTCGTGAGGAAGATGGGACATGTTTGGAATGGTTCAAGAGTTGGGGTATAGACCAGAATTGCATAGAGATGGCGATGGGAGAAAAAAGAGTAGCATGAATTGATACCACAAGTTTAAAGGATACTACTCTCTCTCTGGTTTGGCCGTTGAACTTGTGAGTACTTTTGTCGAGGCTGAGCATTCACGAGTACCATGAGCAAGCATGCACATCAACACAATTCATATCACAGGTGCAAATGGGAAATAGGATTCAGAACATTGGTATCTTTCTTTTTATAACTCCCACACGCCCAAGCCATCCTCCTCCTCCTGCCCCTGCCCCTGCTCCTTGACAATTCGCCGCAGTGTGGCCCAATCACATTTCCAGCGTGAAGTTGCTGGTAGGCCGCAGCGGCAAGCCGGCGGTGACGTACGCCATGTCGAGCATGCGCATGACCTCGAGCGAGTCCTGCGCGCTGAACCACTGGCCCGGCCTGCGGCCCCGGACCTTGTTGACAAACTGCTCGAGCTGGTACCGGTACGTGGTCCAGCTCGCGTCGCCCCTCTGGCCTCTGCCGGCGTCCTCGAACGTGTACGCGCGCACCGTCTGGCTCTTCTTCCACCGCTTGACTACCCCGCCGTCTCTGCCGCTACTCCCACTGCTGCCGAGTCGGACGGTGGTGGTGCTGCTGCTGCTCGCCGCGCTGCTGCGCGTGCTGGTGGACGCGAGCCGGGCGTGCGTCGCGGCCGCGCTGGCCCTCCTGCTGCTACCGCTGCCGCCGCTGCCGCTGACCTGTTGTTGTTGCTGCAAGGTGTACTCGTCGTGAACCTCGATGGAGTGGTAGAAGGTGGGCATGAGGAAGCGGTTGAACTTGACGGTGCGGACACGGACAATCTCGTGGCCCGCGGCGATGGGGTACTCGACGCCCGAGGCGGCGGCGGCGGCGGCATTGTTTGCCGGGACGACGACGGGCCGGTGGGTGACGGTGACGACGGGCTTGATCTTGTCGATGGAGGCGCGCAGGTGGCCCTCCATCTCGCCGAGGCCGCCGTTGGGGAAGCGGTACTGGGCGCGGAAGTGCTTGTCGCAGCGGGGGTCGAGCAGGGCCGGCTCCGTGTCGCACCGGAGGCAGTCGAGGGGCGGGCGGCCGCCAAAGACGCGGAGCAGCGCGCTCGCCGTGTAGCCGCCAATGTCCATGAGGGCCCCCCCGCCGAGCTCGAACCGGAAGCGGTTGCTGTCGTTGCCGAAGACGACGCTGGGGATGTAGGCCGTGACCCGGGCGCTGGCGACGCTCTGCGGGTCGACGTAGTCCATGAACGCCGCCCACGCCGGGTGGAACAGCGTGTGCATGGCCTCGAGCAGCACGGGCGGCACGCTCAGGGCCCCTCCACCGCCCGTCAGCATATCGCCGCGGCTGTCCCTCTTCTGCGTGGAGACCTGCGCCGCGCCGGCCGGGCCGACGTGCAGCGCGTAGGGCGTCAGGAGAGGGTGCCGGAACACAATCTCTGCCTCGGACGAGTTGCTGACGCCGGGCTTCTCGAGCAGGGTGTGCTTGCCGGCCTTGAGGGCGCGGAGTGCCCACTCGTAGTGAAGCGAGTTTGGCAGGCTGATGTACACGCAGTCGATCTCGGGGTCGTCCAACAGGTCTGTGCGGGCTGTCAGGTTAGTTCATGGGTCTGTCTCTCTTGCTATGCTTCTGAGCCTGGGACACGGGGGGAGAGAGCGCGAGTAGTCTGGAACTGGCAGATTGTCCGCCTTGGCATGGAGTGAGTGAGCCGATGATGCTGGTTGCTGCGAGCTGGGTGGTCTTCGGGAGCTGCCGCGCGCGACTCTTTCATCTTCCTTGCTTACCTTGATATGAGTTCTTGACTACGGGGATGTCATGCTTCGCAGCGAAAGCCTTCGCCCTCTCGACGTCGCGGGCGGCGACGGCATGGACGACAATGTCGGCGTGAGTGCGGACCGGGTTGATGATTGAGTGAGGCGCGATGCTGCTGGCGCCAATGAGGCCGAGCCTGAGGGGGGCTTCTGTCTTCTGGACGGGCTCGGCATTGACCATGTGCCAGTTGCGACGGACGGCATCCAAGAGCCCAGACATTGGAGGCCCTCGTGGTTCTGTCGCAGAGCCGCCCGTAGAGGCCCGGACAGAGCGCTCCAGAGGTTGAACTCAGCCCAGCAGCTGAGGTTGAAGAGAGGTCCCGAGCGGCGGCGCGTCAGAGGCTTGGAAAGCAAACAAGACTCTAGACGATGTGCTCAAGTTGGTTCCTGGGGGCAATGGACATGGCTGACTCGGCCAAAGGGGCCCGGCCATTGGGCCACAGGGAGCTCATGGCGTCGTGCGAGGATCAAGATCAGGTCGGAAACAAGCTTGGCTTGGGCGGGGTGCAGAACAAAACACTCAGCCCTGGGCCACGCAGGACCGGACCGGCCAGAGAGAGGGCCAGAGCAAGCAAGGGGTGGCAACTTTGCCCAGGGATGAGACTCTGCGAGGAGGCAGGCTGGCAGCCAAGATGAGTGAGGGAGACACTGCCGTCGTGTTGGCACCCATCTCGTAGGTGTGGGTTGCGTTGCGCTCAGACCTGTTGTATGTACCAACCTCTGGGTTGCCTGTCCAGGAAGTACTCGAGGCGTGTTGGGCCATACAGCTACCCCTGACCGTTCAGGGGCCCTGCGGATCGTGGGGCATCCGTGCGCCATGTCTTGGCCCTACCAACGGGTTGTAGTCTTGGTGTGGTGTAGATCGTGGGTAATCGCAGGGTACGGTAGTCGTCGTTGTTGTTCTTCGACTTGTTGCGACCAAGTAGCGGCTTGTTGGCAATAATAGCAAGCTCCACTGATACATACGCTATTCTCATAACTCGGCCCCTGGGAAACACATGAACTCTCTGCCCGTTTTGTTTTGGGCAGTCATTCGTCCGGGTGCCGAGTCTGCAAGCGGTACCAGACTAGCACAGAAAAAAAAGCACGCCTCTATTTCCTTCACAACTGCCGTCGAGCCAGCCGCGGATGTTAGCCTGATTTGTCTCCCCCATTCATTGTAACGAGTCGTGCCAAGGACAGCCAATGAGAGTCTCTCGTCATCTCAGCTGGGCCATCACAGAGACTAGCACAGTCAAAGCCTCCACTTTGGACCTGTCTTGCCCAATATCAAGTGCCTCTCTGGTCCACTACGCTACTGTCAGGGACCCAGAGCCAGCGTTGCGCTTGGGGGGCGGCTTCCGATGGTATATGGGGCGAGCATAGAGCGGACCGCCGTCAATCTCGTCTCTTTGTCATGTCCAGGGTCGTATCACACGGCTGCAACGTTGATGACCGTTTCTGTGTACTTGATGAATTCGGACAGACAGACAAGCAGTGGAAGGATCTCACACGAGAGGCCCATAAGTTGGCGCAAGAGCGCAATGGCAGCCACGTACCGCCAAGGACCATGTGTTTTCTACGAGTTTGTGTAAAGAGAGTCGCTAGGGAATTCAGGTAGCATCAACAATGACTTCCTCACAATACTCCGCGCCTGACATGGAGCATCCCAGCTTCACCTTCCATCCGCCGCTTTGCTTCAACTAGCACCAACGAGCTATACTGTTCCTTACTTACCTAGCCTTCGTGCCCTGCCGATCAGTTGGGGCGTGAACGACTTTTCTCGATCTTTAAAGTCACTAGCCGAACCAGGATCCCCACCCAGTCATGTCGCGTGCCCTCCTCGAGAAGAACCAGGGCAACTTGGTGCCACTATGCTCCTCTGATCTCTGACACGGAAGGGTTCACCATGAGGCAGGGAGCCGCACTCAACCATGCTACAGACGGGCGTGCGAGACACCAAGCAGCAAACACCTCTCCTGGAGCGAACGCTCCTTCCAGTTACCAAGGACAGCAGCACAGGCTCGCCACGCCAATGCACTGCACGAATATCTCTTATTCTCCAAAGGTCCAAACGCAGAGAAACCTTTCGCTTGAGGATCACGAAAAGAGTCATTGCATCTCTAGTCTTCTCACTCTCGTTCTGCACGGCCTGCCAAGTCGACTAGAGGTGCATGGCCTGGTATATCGTCATCTTAGGCGACAAGATCGGCACAAACCACTCGGGCGATTTCTTGGATCACAAAACTCTTTTTTCCCATCCGTGCGCTCGCGTGTCTCGTAGTATACTGCCCGACGATCCCCAAACGGAGCGCGACAAAAGTGCCCCGTCCACGCGATGGGATGATCGGCAGTTTCAAGAGCTTGGCTTCGTTTTTTTTTTTTTTTTTTTGTGTCACGACACGATAAACATCTGTGAATGTATACTTAAGGAGTCTCCTCGCCACCATGCTTCTCTTCCCTGTTGTCAAGTTCCATTGCCCTTGGCTATTTCGACACTGGCACCTTCGCCCTTCATGACGGCGATGCTTGGTCGACTCATCTGCATTTGGCGAACTCGGGCACACACACCCAACCCAGTAACCCGAATCGGCAAACACCAACCTACTGGAGGGTTTGTTACTAGAAAAGAAGCCGGCACGATCAGAAGAGGTTTGTGTTTGCGGGAGGCGTCACTCTTCCCTTGCTAGGTAATTCACAGTCTGGGCGACTCCTCAGACTGAATCTCTCTGGGTTCCGAACAGCGGCGGGAGCAAGAAACGAAGCACGCCAAAGGCCAAAGGAGGCAAAGGACGCTAAACCGCTCTGTCAAGCAGAAAGCGCCGCAAGCACCACGTTACTACAAGCCGCTGCAGCTCAGACAGTTACACATTGGTCGAAAGACGCGGAACAGTCCAAATGCATCACATGAAACGTGCAGGTCAAGGTTTAAGGCTTTTTTTCAAAACACCGCTCGTGAATTGTTGCTGTCGTGATATGCATTGCAGTAAAAGCTTGTACACAGAATGATAACAACACCCGGTCTCTAACAACCATGATCCCCTCCCCTTAATGTGGAAAAGTGGTGGCGACCATTGAAACACAACCGAAACCACCACCTCCCACACCTTCTGACGTCACATTCTCAACCCCCAGCTTCTCTCATCTCTGTGCTAGAGAATCAAGAAAAGGGAGAGAAAGAGTGACGCGGAAGCGGGAGCCGTACTTCTTCCATGCCCTTTCCCAAAGCCATTGACCCAAGAATGGGTCAAATTTAGAGGTTGGCAATGGTGGCCTGGAGAGGAGCGACGACGCTGGTGGGGACAGCCTCGAGCTTGACGATGAGGTCCTTGAGCTCATCGACGACGGGGCCGACAGTGTTGCCAACAACGCCAAGGGCGACGGTGAGGATGGGCTTGACGAGGGGCTCGATGAGCTCGAGAACAGCCTTGAGCTCGTCAACGACGAGGCCGACGACGCCTGCAAAAAGGGGGATAAAAGGTTAGCACAACTGTTTTTCTTCGTGGGCATAGTATCACGGTTGTTTGGTAGAGGTAGAGAGAGAGGGAGACATACTGCCGACAAGGTTCTGGACGACACCAACGACAATGGCCTCGATGTTGCCAACAAGGCTGAGGACGGTGTTGACGAGGTCGATGACGACCTTGAGCTCGGCGCCGACGAGGGGGACGACCTCCTCGGTGACGAGGGGCAGGACGATGTCGAGGACGCTCTTGACCTGGGCGACGACGTTGCCAAGGGTGACCTTGACGAGAGGGACGACCTGCTCGCCGACAACGTTGTTGACGACGACGCCAGCAAGGCCCTGGACGAGGGTGACCTCGGCGTCGACGAGGGGCAGGACGCCGCCGGCGACGGTCAGGGTCTTCTGGATGGTCTTGAGCTGAGTCACGGTGACGGTGACGCTGGTGACGGCGCCGCCGACGGCGGGGACGGCGCTGCCGGCAGTCGAGACGACACTGCCAACGACGGGGGCGGCCGGGACGGCGAGGGCGGTGGCGACCGGGAGGGCGGCGAGAGCGTACTTGAAGAACTGCATCTTGACGGTGGGTGGGAGGGAAGAATTAAGTTGGGAGACTGATAAGTCGTTTTAGTGTAAAGAGTGACGAGAGGGTCGGATGGGTGGGCTTCCAAAGGAGTGACTTGATGGTTCTGAGCAAGAGCTTGACTGGAGAAGAGAAGTGAGGTCCATGAACCAGCGGGCGTCCTCGAGATATTATACCTCCAGCATGGCTCCCCAGGTGCCTACTCCGTCCGGGAGATGCTAGACGGGACGATCAGTCTGGGCACAAGTCCGGATGGGTCGGCGCCAGTCCACAGGGCAGCCCCCTTTCTGGTGGTGGTGGAGGGACACCAGCATGGGCTGGACTGACGAGGATCGCCCGCCTCGAGGGAGTCCACTCTGAGGAATGGCGATGGACATTGCAGTCCAGGAAGCCAGGATGTTGGGAGAGGGCGATGGAGTCGCGTGGAGGCCAGTGCCGGTGCCTGTGTCGACGCCTTGACAGCGTCCGGCCAAGACTAGCCTGGCACGCTAGAGGCTGCTGCCCAGGGACCGCCCCCGTCGTCGTCCAGGGCTTAAGTGCAACCCGCAGAGTGCTATCAGCAACCGCTGCTCGCGGGGTCTGAGCCCCAGGCAACGTGGGTGGCTCGTCTGGTCACCTATGCAGCAAAAGCCATGCTTCTGGAGTGGAGTCTGACAGCGTTGCAGATCGCAATCTCGAGATGCCGCGGACTGAAAAGGACCCCTGTGCTAACGTCAGTCCGCCTGGGTACGGTCCCCACTGAACAGACTTGTCTTTCGCGGCCTCCAGCGAATCACGGGGCACGTGGTAAGCCCTCTGGCACCCCACATGGCATTGTCGTAGCCGGCTTTTGCGTGCCCCCCTTGACACTGACAGCTCTGGTGACTTTGCCCATCCAGGGAGTCCCCTGTCCCAGTGCTGCAGGAACGGGTCATGTCATGTCCCAGGCCCACGGTTGTGGTTGCAATAGTTATTGCCGGCATCGTGTTGCAGTCGCACCAGATGTTGCTCAGTCGATAGTCTCGACGCGAATGCCAAGTAGCTCAGTTCAGGCACAGGGTCACGGACAAGATCCATTCATGCCAACTCCCTGAGAGTTCAATTGGTGAGTGCCACTGCGCACCGGGCGGCCAACTTATTGCCTGCCGACAGCCCCTGTACGTTCTGTGACAACCTGGCCAGGCTGTACCTGGACGACCAGGATCTCTCAAGTGCTGGGGTCCTTTGTTTCTGTTGGCCAGGCGAAATTGCGCGTTCGGTAGCAGCATCATTATGTAGTTTCCAAAGCTTGGAGCATCGGTGATCTGGGAGATCTTGCTCGAAAGGAAACGCATGTCAACGTTTGGGCCAACGTACCGATGACGGCATCCCTAGTGCGCACAGGACACGAGAGAAACTTCACGCAATACCACCACCTGACCACATCATCATGCACAATTCCCAAGAGCGCGTTGCTGCACGCAGAATCGCTACGGACTCTGTAAGCCCAGCTCAGTTGCGGTCGTGGTATTTGCGCGCGCGCCCAGAGCACAGGCGCCATCTACGCTGGTGGCGCTTGTCATCGTTGCCCTATGCCCACGGATCCAGCATCTGCCGATGAGCGGCTTACTGATGGATCGCGGGTGGCGCTGGGCTGGTGTCTCCCTGCTATGACGGTGGCGGCCCAGGGATTCCCTCCTGACGCATCCGGTGGGAATCGCGGAGGAGCGGCAGGCCAGTGGGCGCGCCCTGGCCGCCTGGGGCGCTCTGACAAGCTCCAGGGGCGTTCCGGGGTAATAACGTGAGGGAGCTCGCTTCTGTGGTTGGGCTTCTCGCGTCTTGCTCGAATGCCAAGATGACAGCATCGCCCAGTGGATGTTTTGCAAGGGTTGGTTTACTCGATCGTGAGATCGCGGCTGGCAGCGTTATTTTCGCTCCCGTGTCTTCTAGAATGCTTGTTTCTGTCGTAGCATCATCGTCTTCGTGCGGCCGGCTGGTGGTGAACTGTGTGATGGTCCACGTCTAGGACAGGCCGGACACCGGTATAGTCCAACGCTGGACCGACTTCTAGCGCCCATAGCACTGCCGATCCCCCCCAACGCCACGAGACACGGTATTCGGAGGTATTCTGCAAGCCAAAAGGGGGCGGCCCTAAGTGCTGATGGGTCTGTGCTGGTGCAGACGCAAGAAGCTACTAGGTCCGTGTCACTTATCATTGCTGTGCTCCTCCTGCTGTAGTGCTGCGCTCGGGCGGCGTGAGCTCGTTGCTAGCGCTGGAGCTAGTGAGTTATCTGGCTGTGCTAAGGGGTGGAGGCGATTTTCTTCTCTCATCGCGGAACTGACCACCGCCGCGTGGAGTCTAAGGAATGGAGATATTGACTGCCTGCTGAGGCGGAATCAGAGGGCCATCCATGCTTTTGTCTGACCGTGCGGACGTACTTCCGAGGACTGTTATCTGCAGTTGGGAGGGCAGGCAGGCACGCAAGCTGCTTTCTCCGTCCCTTTAGTCATTTGTCGGAAGCATTTGCTTACTTCCCTATCGGCCAGCAAGTAACCCACACCACACCAGAGACTTGGGCTGTAAATGCATGAAAGAGCAATGGACTGCTGAGTCCATGACTCAAGGGATCAACCTGAGGTGAACTCCGTGCGACCTCCGTGCAACCTTGTTCTCTGGCCAGAATGGCTTGGAGATTCAATCAGTCTCATGCCTACCAGTACAATCGCAAAGCACGTACACTGGTTGCCAAAGTTGCATGACAAGCCTGTAGTCCCGACTGCAGCTCGGCAGAGTATTCTGATGGCCTTGTTCTTGCAGCACTTTGACAGCTGTAAGAAGATCCAGCCTGGGTACTAAAGCCGACTACACTTGAACACGTACATCTGTTCATCCCGCGATTCACATCGGAAAGAGAGGAAAAGAGCTCATGGACGATGGGCGGCTAACTCAATGGGAAAAGCCTTGCCGCCAGGGCAATTTGCACCAATCGCCGTTGCTTGAAGGAGGATCTTCATCTGGACTCAGATGACTCTGATGGTATTGGTGCTAAGTGCAAGTGCAAGTGCTACGGCAGCCACTGTCAAAGCCTTTCCCTACGTAAATGTCTATGTGACTTGGACACGAGGGTCTAAAAATGACCCACTACTGTTGACAATGTCGAGGTATTTCGATCCGATGGAGTGGTCGCCTGAGATTCAGAACTCTCGCATTCTGGGTCAAACGAGACCACAATATCAAAATTGTCCGACTATCCGTTGCCCTCGTCTCTGTCGCCCGGTTCTAAATATCACTGCTTCAAACCCTCTTCTCTCTCCCAGTATTTCTCCCAGCATCTGTACGGTTGTGTGTTGTGCCCAACATGTCCAAAGAATCTGATCAGCAATGACACTTGGTGTACCTGGATGTCCTTGAGACTCGAATGGCGACCTGGGCATGCATTTACAATGACAAGAGTCATATGTACGGGACTCTAAAGTGTCACAAAGCATGGCCATGGCCACAGTGTGTTGGACGGGCTCGTGACTCGTGACAAACCTGGCACCAGCTGGGAAAGGGTGCAGGGAAGCACGCCGCCAGTGCTGTTTGGAAGCCAGTGGTCTATCGCCATAAGTCTGATCAATACAAAGCAAAAGAAAATAGCGTTGATGGGGCCCTCTAAAAGATACAGAAGTAAGTTCTGGGGTTGCTCTGCCTAGCCGTGAACAGCGACATGAGGCCTGAAATAAGCTACTGGCGTGGGCTGCCTCGTCAGTCAGTCAATTTTGTCTACCATTAGCATGCCCGTCATGCCGCGCGGCAGTGGTATCACTGTAATTCTCATGATATGTCTCAGGCTCGTCGTCTGCTAAAAATTAACATCACAATGTACGACGTTGGCGTCAACGTTTATGGTAGGGATCGATTAGTAAGATATGACATTCATAACGTGTGTGTAAGCAAGAGTTCACGGAGTATCTGGGTGGATCGGTTTGATTTTTGGGATCACCTTTGGTGCTAATATACAGACCATGCTGGTCAAGTCATGAGTTTTCTCGTGAAGCCTATTAGTGTATTTTGCGTTGCCGATCTCGAAGTGCACTTCCTGAGAATCTACGTAGGAAGGGCATTTAGGATCACCATACATGTTTGCCCAGACAATCGTGACTTGACCGACAACTGAGTACAAAATTTACCAGATGGCCAGATCAACACAATCAGATCAGAGCATATTAAAATCACAACTCGCGTGACAAAGAAATGGTTTGAGAAGAAAAACGAAAAACCAAGAGTGGATCAGAAGTCCCAAGAAACATTGCGACTGGACGTGTCACCGAGGTCAAGCCCCGAAAACATAATGTCGACGTCAAGGTTTGTCATATAAGCCAGCTCTTCACCCAGTCAATGAATAAATAGAACGTGAACGTTGCCGTCTTGAAGCAACGGCGGAATACACAATACACCGTGTGCTTGGTCCGAAGCAAAAAAGGACATGCAGGGACTGGCGTATGTGAAGGACATGAAGAGTCATCAACACAACGATATAAAGGCTCTTTGTGTTATGCGATCGCGCTGATCAACACGCGTCTATACGAGTACTCTGCAGCCAGCCATGAGAAAATATGAACTGATGCACCAATATATCAACAATTTTCCTCCTCACTGAAGTGAATAGAGACATCCATAACATGCTATCCAATATCTCTCCATGTTACATTAAGATAAACGCCAGTACCACAGCAAGTTCAACATATGTACCCGCGGCCTGCGTGTTAGACCGTCAAGAGAGCGCGACAAGGGTTCATGGAGGGGCGCAGAAGTTCTGGCCGAAAGCGATACCCTCGGCAGGAGACTGGCCCAGGCCCGGGCAATAGCCGTTAGAGCAGCCCTCGACACCATTGAGGAAGTCGTTGGTTCCGTAGGCACAGAGGCACGATGCGTCGTTGGCCGCGCAGCCCCACTCGGTGTTCTTGTCGAGCATATTGCCGACACAGGTCTGGCCGCAATCGTTGAGGTCCTCGAATCCGGCGGGTCTCTGCGGCGTGGGCGGCGGAGTGATTCCGCAGAGGGTGTTGGCGAATGCAATGCCCGCGGCTGGGGACTGGCCAAGCACCGGGCAGTAGCCGGTCGAGCAAGCATTGACGCCGTTGAGGAAGTCGTTGGTCCCGTAGGCGCAGAGGCATGACAGGTCACCCTCGGTGCAGCCCCACTCTGAATACTTGTCGAGCATGTTGCCGACACACGTCTGGCCACAGGTAGGCAGGTCCTCGAAGCCATCGGGCCTGTCAGGTGTAGGCGGCGGAGTGATTCCACAAAAGCTCTTGGCGAAGGCGATGCCCTCGGCTGGAGACTGACCAACGGACGGGCAGTAGGCATTCGAGCAAGCCTCGACGCCATTGAGGAAGTCCCTGGATCCGTAAGTGCAGAGGCACGATGCATCGCCTGCGGTACAACCCCATTCGGAGTACTTGTCCAGCATGTTGCCGACGCAGGTCTGGCCACAACCGGGCAGGTCTTCGAACCCCGGGGGCTTCGGGTTCGGAGTCGGAGTGGGCGTCGTGGTTACCGAGATGGATGAGCTCGAGATGGTTGAGCTGGAGCTGCCAGTGGTTGTAGCCGAGCTGGTGGTCAGGCTTGAGCTTGAGCTTGTGATGACGCTGCTAGTTGTCGATACGGAGCTCGCGCTCGAGATGAGACTGGACGTCGTCAAGCTGGCTGTCGAGGTGCCATTGGCAATGGGGTAGATGGTTGGATAGCCAGCATATGAGTTGGGCGGCTTGCACGGAGGAGCCGCCATGGCCAGCGGCAGGCCAAGGAGGAGAACTGCGGAGAAGTGCATGATGAAGAAGGATGTATATGAACGAGTGACTGTGTCAAGCGAATGACGAAAACGAGTGACTATCCGTGCTTCGTGGCTACCGGGATGGAACCCTCGAGGGCTACGATGACGGAGGTGATACGCTGACCTACACATCTTTATAGGTCGCTATATGTAGGGCTCTTTGGATCTGGGGAGGCACTCCCGCAGAACGTTTGGCTTGGTTCCTGCAGTGTAGCTCCCCATCGTGAGGATGTTAGTCTCAGGTACTCTTGACTATTGGCGCCACGGCCTTGTCTTCAATTTCCGGGAGCTGGCAGTCTTGCACCAGCACGGCGGGCAGTCGCGACTCCAAGACCGCCACTGGAGCGGCCGCCCCCACTTGGAGCCGCCCACGCGTGCTCTCAGCTGAGTCGAGGCACGCCACCGCGAGGGTTCAGCAGCCTTGTTTTACAGCTGCTGAGATTGCCCCTGCTTTCTTTTCGGCGCCGAATGGCCATGCACAGGAGCCATGGGACGACATCCATTTCCTCACGCTTGGCACGACTACGCCCGTCCCGTTCCCAATCCGCTGGGCTTCAGCCGTGTCGCCTAGCTCCGAAGAGGGACAGCACCTCGGTCTTTTCCGCGCCGACAGCTGTCGGGAAACATGGTCGACAACCCGGGCACGAGATGGTCTTCGCTCACTCAAGTGCACTTCACAAGTGGGCTCGTCGTCTTCGAGTGGTTGTTTCTCGTTCTTGTCTCATGTACACGATCTCGATATCATGCCTCCTCGATCAAGATATCCCAGCTATGCTTTTGTTCTTGCATGACAATCAACTGCGCATTGGTCCCTAGATAGGCGAAGGAACAAGCAAACATGATCCGGAGGATTCTTCCGCCCCCTGGCTGGCCATAAACCTTAAAACTTGCAGGGGGTGCGGCTGGTTCTGAGACTAGCCGTAGCTGGTTTGCCCGACCAAATCGTTGGAATCTTCTCGGGACAGCGCATTCGATCATATACAAATGTAGCACCAATATTTCTTTATCGATACGGCAAGATGGCCGAGCGGTCTAAGGCGCCAGACTCAAGTCAAACTTGTCTCTCCACCAGGAGAGGTCTATTCTGGTCACGAAAGTGGCAGGGGTTCGAATCCCCTTCTTGTCAACGATTACACGATTTCTTTTTTGCTTTTCTTCCCTGGGTGGCTTAGTACTCTTGGTCTTTTTATTATTGCTGCACTAGGTGCTTCGCCTGCATTGCGTGGAATGCAACTTGGCAGCATAGAGGTCCGCGAGACAGAAGAAGACAGCAATCCAGAATATCACTATCGAGACCAAAATCACTATTGCATGGGAGTACTGCAAATCACTAGAACTGCGATGTCGCGTCGTTGACCACAATTTGCCAGGAGCACTTGGATTTCGGAACTCGACTTTGCTTCCGCAAGTGTTGTTCCCCGCAAAGTCCCCAACTCCGGAGTGGTTGTCCCCTCAACTCGACAACTCGTGAGTGGCCAGCTCGAGTCGGAGTTGTTTCCGGAATATTTCCAAAATAGGAAGGCAGATATACCAGACCCGCGGTCGGCCCCACCGGAGGTGGGAGTTGACGAGTTATCGTCATCTTTTGACCTCTTCTTTAATGTTGTAAACATAACTTCCCTTCAACCTTTCCCCGCGAACAAGCGCCAATTGCTTGTCAACCTCATTTCCAGGAACCCCAGACACCATGGTCAGACGCGCAGTGGCGTGTCCCGAGCGGCAGCCTGCCGAGCAGCCGGCAGAGTCGTCGACCTATGAGCTGCCGGCGCGCATCACCTCGCGCAGTCTAGGCCTGACGATTCGCACCAGGGAAACGAAACCCGCCTCCGCAGACAACGGCTACTCGTCGAGCGAGGAAGATGGGGACAACGACAACACCCACCTTACAGACCACAAGTCCAGCAAGGACAAGAAGAAGAAGACAACCATCATCAAAGCAGACATCCTGATCCCCGGCGCCGGCGAGCCCCAACACAACGCCGCCCTCGTCATCCAGGACAAGACCATCGCCTGGGTCGGCCCCAGCACGGCCATCCCCGCGGCCTACACCTCGCAGACCCCGTCCTCGCGCGTGCACCACGTGCCCGTGGCCATACCGGGCCTGTGGGACGTGCACGTGCACGTCGAAGCGGAGCCCCCCGAGGACGAGCAGGACAACCCGGCCGACCGGATCGTCACGCACCCGGCCACCGCGGGCGCGCAGATCGCCAGGGGCTGCTGGGAGGCCCTGCAGCGCGGGTACACCTCCCTGCGCGACCTGGCCGGCTACGGCTGCGAGATTGCCCGCGCCATCGACTCGGGAGCCGCCGTCGGCCCGCACATCTACGCCGCGGGCGCGTGCCTCAGCCAGACCGGCGGGCACGGGGACATCTTTCAGATCCCCGCGGGCACCGCGCTCCTGCACCTCGGCGTGGGTGCCACGTCCCTGATCCCCGGGACGCAGTATGCGGGTGGAAGCTCGGTGCTGGTCGACGGCGTGGACGAGTGCCGCCGGGCCGTGAGGCTCCAGATCCGGCGCGGGGCGCGGTGCATCAAGATCATGGCCTCCGGAGGGGTCGGGTCCCGCGACGACGACGTGTACTGCGCGCAGTTCAGCAGGGAGGAGCTCGAGTGCATCGTCTCCGAGGCCGCCAGGCAGAAGGTCAGCTGCGCGGCGCACGTGCACAGCAAGGAAGGGATCATGGCCGCCTTGCAGGCCGGGGTGCGGTCGGTCGAGCATGTCAGCTTCGCGGACCGCGAGTGCGTGGACCTGATCAGGGAGAAGAAGGTCGTCTGGGTGGCCACGCGGACGGTGAATGAGATACTGAAGCAGACAAAGGGAAGAGGCCTGCCCAGGAACGTGTGGGAGAAGGCCAAAAAGGTCAGCGGCGCCAGCCTCGAGGCGTACAAGATGGCCATTGCGGACGGGGAAATCGCGTTTGCCCTGGGTACCGACACTGCGCCTGGGTTCAACATGGCCATGGAACTGGACTATGCAGTGCAGGCAGGCATGACGAACCTCGAAGCCATCAAGGCCGCCACCGCGAACGGCCCTCTCACTCTGGGCGAGAAAGCGCCGCTGTCGGGTCAGCTCAAAGTAGGTTACGATGCGGATGTGCTCGGCGTACTGGCGAACCCTGCCGACGACGTCAAAGTGCTAATGGACAAACATAACATCGGCTGGGTCTGGAAGGGCGGCAGGCTGTTCAAGGGGCCAGGTGTCGGTCCTTGGGGTGAAGAGGAGTGAGTTTGCCGTGAGACCATGGTGAGCTTGTGTATACAACTATGGCGATGCATCACAGAACGGCCAGAATGGAGCACATGCTGTTTGGCATGATCGTATTGAAGCTTCACCTGCAGCTGCGCACTGATACAAGTTGCCATGTTCGTCTCCAATATCGCAAGATCCAGGGAACCAAGCTATATATGACTCGTGTTGCTATTCGTTTCCTGCATGATGGGCAGAACGCCGTGTTATCGCGGACGCATGATGCAAAAAAGGGGCAAAAAAAAAGGGTGCAGAACCTAGTGAGGGTATTGCCACACACACTTGGCGATTCGAAATGCCGGACTCGGTCCTCCGACTAGATCAGCGTGCCGTGACTTAATTCCAACCACTAGGCCAGACGAGGGTTGCAACATGGCTTTGCACCCCCTTGCCTTGGCTTGGCTTGTCTGTACGAGACCGGACGCTTATTGGGGACCATAAGGCCTTTGACCGAGGGCTGGTTACCGTGGTTTCCGCGGAGAGGAGGGTAGAGGGGATGGATGATTGATATTCCTTTGCCGGCTCATGCCTGGGGCGGCCACGGCCAGGCTGCTTGCTTGGACACTGCTGCGTCATGTGAAGCAGTCAGAACTTCCGCACAGATCCTACGAAGGGTCCTATCGTTTCCAGGCACGTACTTACGGGCGGGCGTTTTGCTGGCGTGTCTTCCTCGGCCGCAAATGCAGATATGTCTCATGGTTGGCATTTCCACGCCATCCTCTTGTAAGCCTGGAAGCCAGAGCAGCAGCAGTACACATCCTGTTTCCTGGGACATCTGCCCACCCAGGCCATCTCTTTCTGCCAAATCAGCCATTGAAAGACTCGGCACGCCATTGGGTCAGAATGACCATCTGCACCCGACATATGGCAACCAGTCATGCTCGCAGGCTTAGGAACCACGATATGTAGTATTCTGCTCATGATAAAGACCCAGGCACAAGAGACCAGTGTGTTAAAGGTCCATCCCGGAACTGCGACTGTGAACTTATCAACCACAACTGCTAACCCATTGTATGGGTATTCGGCGGCAGCGCGGGGCGTTAAGTATCAAGAACCACCGCCACGCGCCCCGAGGACTCTGCAGGCATCGAGACCCTTGGCCACGCGCCAGAGGAGGAGCTGTAGATGCCCCCCAGGTCCTCCTTCCACGTTGCTTGGGGATTCCCAAGCCTATGTCTGTCAGACCGTTACCTGGGGCAGCAGGGTTCCGGTTCCAGAGGAAAGGTTTGAAATATACCACACAATCTGCGATTGTCAGCCAGCATCTCAAAGACTTCCATGCCCAAGGAAATGCCAGGGGAAGCCATGAGAACGTGCCCCATCCAGTACTTACATTCACGAAGGCGGCATTGCGTGTCAAGGCATTTTGTAGATCAAAATTTTGGAGACATAAAAAAAAGAAATATCATTGTGACGTTTGATGCTTGAGACTTCGCTCCTTCTCAAAAAGTTTCCCCATTGAAACGAAATGCGGTCGAGCCAGCCGCGTGGTTATAATGTGGCACCAACCATGCATGGTGCAGCAGAACTCTTCTCTCCAGAATCTTTCTTATTCAGACCTTTTCCTCGGCTTGAACTTCATAGGCGTCAGTCATCGACAGCGGCGGCGACGGCCGACTGGTACGCGACCAGACCCCGTTGCGTTGCCCGTGGTGTGTGATTTGGAATTTCTGAAAACCCCCTGCCCATCTCGATGCTTCTCGGCAGAGAGAAATCCCCGAATGCAAGGATATCTCTCCAATGTCGACCTTTCTCGCATAGTCGTCGTCGTTGGCGTACTTGTGTTATTGTGTGCGCCGAGTCATGGTTTTAACAGAAGTCGCAGCACTCGAGGCAGTCCAAGCAGCACTCGCAGGTCTCACCGCATAGCCAACAGCAGCAGAGGGTGGCAAGACTTGAGGGTTGTCCCTTGTTAGTGAAAGCTCCCTTTTTGTGAAGACTCCTCGAACCATTTGACACCCAATGAGGCCCCCACGGTTGGAGACAATGATAACATGGCCAGGAGAGTCTTAAATTCCCCCCTTGTGACCAGCTCGCATTGTGCCCGCTACATGATGCGCTCGTTGTGCGTGTGTGTGTGTTGCGATGGAGTCGCAAGGATTTTGGAGGGGGTTTGGCTTACCAGGTGTACAAGCAGCCGTGGCTCTTCTCTTCGCGCTGCTGAGGGGGAGGCCCTTGCTGGTATTGCATCTATAGAACAAGTAGGGCATTGTTTAGTTGATTTTGCAGCTCGGGCAAAAAGACATGCGAAGCAAGCTCATCGGGGGGATTTCCCCGCGTCTACCAGTAAAAGTGAAGACGAAGAGTTCGTGATCGCGTACCTGCTGCTGGGGAGGAGGGCCCTGATAATAGCCTCTGGAAAACGGCAAAAGAAACCACAGGTTAGCTTGCGTGTAAAAGGCCTCACAAGAGCGGCTGGGCAGAAGCGACATACTGCTGGGGCGGGTAGCCCTGCTGCTCGTAGCCCTGGGGAGGGTAGCCTTGTTGCTGATACGACATGATGTTGGTGTTTGTGTTGCTGCACGAAGCTAAGGGAGGAGGATGAGATGACGACTTGTTGCGACGACGGCGATGTTGACGGTGAGGAGATGGGACTGTAGAAATAAAGGGCAGCAAAAAGTACAGATGGGACGGCGACTGACAGGAGCCAAGCTGTCGAACAAAGTTGCGACGGACTGAGGGCCAAAGTAAAAGTAAAAGAATGGGCCCCGTTCAGGGTCTCGGAGCGGCAGCGGCAGGGATCCCGCGAAATGGGGCCACTTGAGACGGCAGAGCAGAGTGAGATGACTGAGGAGGGTGGTAATAATGCGGCCCCCAGGCTAGACTGTGTGCTTTGTTGTCCACGCATGGTACCCGGCTGCACTATGCGTATGGTTATTTGCACCGTTCCTCGTGGTGGCTAGCACCCGGGGAGAGAACAATGGGCGCCCGTATTGATCCGCCTTGCCAGTAATCCGTTCATTAGCGCGTGACCAGCCCGCCCAGCACGTTGCGTGCACCGCGCACCGGGTTCGTCCGTGACCGGCCCCCAGCCCAGCGCTGGCCAAGAGAGCTTGTTCCTGGGGGCCCGGGCTGCTCCTGACGCGCGGCCCTCCACGTCAGGGAGAGCAAGGGCGGGTTCAACCTCGACAGGCGCGCCAGCCAATCGTCCCCCACGATGGCCTTGCCTGGCTTCAAAACGCCTCGTTCCGTGCGTCGCTCTGGCCTCGGCTTCTCAAACCTACGCTTAATTAAAGGCCGCGTCCTGTTGAAGTTTCTTGCCGCACCATTCTCGCAATTTTGCGCACTCGCTCCCGTCACTTACCTACCGCGACACAGCGCAGGTCAACTCCCAGGGCGACAAGCATAATAATAGGCGACACGATAGACCTGTGTGTGGACCCTGTCGAGCTGAGGATCCCTGGCCCGCCTAGGCTGGCACCCTGCTAGCGTGCCGAGTCCCGGCATGGCATTGCCGGCCCCATCGTCACACGTCACAACCCTTGGTTGGGAAAGCACACTTTTGCAGCGTGCCACTGCCGGCCCAAGACCGTCTCCCGCCAAGGTGGTATACAGGATACAACACGCGATACATAATTCGCCTCTTCAGCAGATGCTTCGTCTACCAGACAAACAGGCGTCAATCTAGGCCAAAGATGGTCCAGTCCCAGTTCGAACATGAGACTAATTGGCCGTGAAGTGCGCAGCCAAGGCAGCCGAAAGCAGCGTTGTAAAGCAGCCAGCATCGACCACAGCATACCTATCAGCAGAGACATTCACGCGCAACAACAATTAGACATCAGTCACAAATGTGCGCACCTGGTTGATTAAGGGACGTTCAGAATAACTCAAAATGGTATTCATTATCCTGCCATGCAACAAAAAAAACTATCTGGGTATCTTCGGGAAAGGGCAAAACTGTTGTGGTGAAGGTGGCAAGTCGGGTATTAGGCCGCGTACGCAGACTTCTCGTTGAATTCTTCGTCTGGTCTGAGTGTGTTTGCCGGAACCACCTGCGGCGGGCTCAGGGCTTTGCCGTCGACACTTTCATGTCGTCGAGCCTGTTGCACTCTGCTGTTGCCGCCGCCGCGCCGCCTTCTGTAGGCCGCCTTGCCCGAGGTCAGTGCGGGCACGTTGGCGGCGTGCTTGAGTGTCCTGTTGGCCACCAGGAGCACGCACCCGACCATGAACGCAAAGCCAAACTCGATCATCCTTAAGACACACCCTTGGCTCAAGCGTCCCTCGGAACAGGGGAGCGTTTAATGTGCAACTTCGGCAAGTGTCGGGATAGAAGAGGAGTCTTTCTGACTAATGTAGGCGGGCTCTTTCGCTAAGAAGTCACAAAGATCAAAGGCTTAGCCTACGACCTTGCGCTTGATCTTCTTGAAGGCGCCGCCGACGGTGTCACGGACGCTGAAGCCGCCAAAGAGCCACTTGTTGGAGTGACGGCCGTAGTAGTAGCCGCGGGCTTCGTCGTGAGAAGACGTCGACGAGCGGTGCCTGTGGTGAGAAGGGCGAGGATGGCCTCTCGTGGGGTCGGTCGAGCTCAGTGACGACGAGGTGCGGCCGGGGGCGTCAAAGGTTAACTCGCGCGGCGACAGCACGGGTGACGAGACCGACGAGCTGCTGCCCAAGGAGGTGCGCTGGTGGGGGTGAGACACGGTCATCCGCAAGGTGAGGAGAGGGTGGCCGGGTAAGGCTGTGTCGTGGGTTGGCTTGATATATGCCGTGCTTGTACTGGCCCAGTTATGTGTTGACTGGGTTTGTGTGTGGTTTTTGAGTTGTGGGGGAGGCGCAGCTGGATGTTCTGATCTGAGATGTTCTTCTGATGAGGAGAGAAAGCAGGACAAATGGCATCTACCGAGACTGGGGGGCGGACGACGTTTTGTATTCCTGGCCAGACGAGCAAGACCACGCCGAAGGAAGCGGCTGGCAGCAGTGCTCGGCACCGGCACGGGTACCCAGCAAAGGGGGGGTGGTGGTGCCACATGCAGACCTTGGGATCGCATTCCGTCGCATCACCGGCTTGCTAGTTGGCACTCTGCACGATGCCAAGACCATGGGATATCGACCGGGTGGAGACTAGCCCAGCCCACCTGGACACTCACTCTTTGCAGGTCTGGGTGCGTGCGTGTGTGTGTGTGTGCGGGCTAGGCACGACCTGCGTGCCGGAAGTCAAATCTTCGGCCGGCGGGGAGTTGCCGTTCAGCCCTACTGGCAATGCTGCTGTGATTCGACCGCGCGCCAGTGGCACCCATACCTTAGGATAGGATGGTGGAAACGGCTGGAAAGCCACGCCGGGAGCGCCTCGTACTCCCTATCGTGCAGACATCGTTGCGGCAGACTCCGTACAGTCAACGGCAAAGCAGTGCCACTTCGCATCGGAGCGTCAGCACTAAGTCGTGGAGGCCCGGGGAGACAGGGCAACGCCCTGGGGAGGCAGGGATGCCGGCACGCCAAGTCCCGGAGGCAGAGAAGCTTGTTGGCCGCCCACGGATCAGGAAAAGGTTTCCAGCGCGGATATTTGCAGTGCAATGGCCAAGCAGAGCCCGTGCAAGACCAACCTACCACCTTGAAGATCGGCACAGGCGCCACGACGAATCGTAGCAGAGCGGCGTCCCAGGTATGACTAGGGGATCGCCGAGAGGTGGCAGCAGCTGCGAGACACGAATGACGAACTCGCCAGCCCTACGGCGCTAGGGACCTCATTGGCCGTGTGAGTACAGACAGTGCACGTCTTGCTGCTTGCTCGAACCTCTGGCGAGGGAACTTGGGCTATTCTCGGCGTCTCGTAGAGTTCCGCATGGTTCACGCCGGCAGACTCGTATGAAGACAGCATTGCAAGTGGATGGTTGAATGGACAGTGATGGCTTCAAGGTTTCGCCCACTGGCAGCCAGGTCCAAGAATAGCGCACGCCAGATGGATGACCACGAGCATGCCGGGCCCCGCCTGTTTCCTCTGGCCTGGCACCTTCCAGCCCGGCGGCCACTAGCCATTAGTAACCCGGGGCTCCACTGCTCGAAGTGCAAACGGACCCCACCCGCCGCGTCATCCGCCTGTGCCGGTTTCCCGCAAGTCAGCGCGTGACGTGGTGGCAGCTGTTGGTTCCAGAGCCAAGGCTGCTTCCAGTTGTTTGCCTGTCTGTCATAACCGCAATATCTCGAGGCATGGAAGTGCTCCAGGCTGTTTCTGGTCACCGACGGCGATCACAAAGGTGCAGAAGCAGAGTCACTCAGTTGGGCGCTGTCTCGTCTCATGTGACCTCGAGACCCGGCCCACCTGGTGATGCGTGCGTGCTCCGTTACACAGCACCGTTGTGGCCTGAGCCATTCTCCAGCTGGCCACCTGCAGCAGCCAACGGGGCCGACAGCCATCTTCTGCCGAGCCTCTTCATCCTCACAAGTGCTCATCAATCCGGCAAAATGGTCGACTTGCCGCAACGTCACTGCTCCCAGGAGCCGGCCGAGGATCCTTCCTCCTTCTCAGTGATCCCTGATCATCGTCGCCGACCACAGACCCCTACTCTAGGTCCCCCCACACATCCCCGGCTTCACGGCGCTGTGGGCTGCCCTCCGCCACCCCACGACACCATGCCAAGCGCTGCCCAGCAGCGGATTGGGCCACGGCCTGGCCGCACTGCTTTCCCCAGTAAAGCAGTGCCGCAAAGACGGAACCCGGCACGGCGTGTCCGACATCTTCGGCTCGGAGCGCCGTGAGATCGGCAGCAGTCGTGTCGACTCTCGCACCGCGAACAAGATGCCGAGACACGGCGATCTCAGCTTGACTAGAGGCAAAGGAATGCTTGTGCGACCACCTAGGTAGCGTACTGACGCTGACCTCACGTGCTGCGTTGTTGTAATTTGGCTTACTCAGAGCTGCATTTTGCACACCCGCAGTATCTCAAGGCATGAGGCACCACCATCTTCCTTAGCATGCCACTTCTGCATTGTATGTTGAGGAGCCAGATTTCTTCCTCCTGACGTGCATGCTCCAACGTGCTTTGTTCTCCTGCAGGTAGCGAGTCGAGCTCGTCTGGTCCTTTCGACCACCTTCGTCTTGAAAAGCGAGACAAGAGTGCTGAGCACCACAACACAAACTGCACTCCACCCACCCACAGTGAGTGAGTCACTTTGGTCCAAAGAAACACTCCAAGGAAGGCACATGACAACGCTCTCTGGCCTCACCTGACGATAACACACTTCGCCAACAATCCGCATCCACTTCTGATGATATACCAAGCCAAATGATGTGCATTACCCCCCACTCAGAGTCGCTGGAATGCTTCCAAACCTTCTAGAAGAAAGGGGCTGTGCTCGGTATTGCAGCTGCAGATTCCGCCCTGAACCCTGCTTGCGCGCCCGTTCACCACGGGCGCTAGAGTTGGCGCGCATGTGGAGGTGGCTGTGCCCTCCATCGCTTGTTTCCCGCTCCCGTCCCACCGAGTATCCATATCGACGGGCATCCTGCATGTCTGCCTTGCCAGTCTGCCTAGGCAGCGAGTCGTCGGAAAGAATGGGACGCTGGGTGGCCCCCAAATCCGCTCTGTGCCGACAACTTTTCCCAGCTAACCAGGGAAATCCAATCAAAGGTGTTTTGAGCCCAAGTATAACCACCCGACCAGCAGATGGCAGGATCAGGCCATAGATAAGGGCAGGGCATGCATGCCGGAACGTCAATCTATGGGCTACGCCTTCGTTGGGTAGTGTGGGCGATAACATAAGGGCTATGGATCACAAAGGCCACGGCGATCCAGGATCGGGAGGATCACTGTGATCCAGGAATTCTGACGCCGAAAAGAAGGTGTCTTGAGTTAGGAACATTTCCTAGACAGATAATAATTTCGGTTCATCCTCAGCAATCAATTCAAGTACCACTTCCACCGCACATTTTGACCTAATCACTCAGAGGTCATCTGGAAGTAGTAACTCGTCCCACAGACACAACAACCCCAGAGAGACCCGACAGTTACGGAGTAAGCATTCCTTCGGCTTTACCTAAGTACGTACCTATCAAAACATTATCCCGCAACGACCCCGCTGGGTACGATTGCCCCCGGAGGCCGGACCGTGACACTTCCCTTTACTTAAGTATCCAATATAGACGACCTTAGAAATAAAGCCCTCAGCTGTTACTTTGTGTAGACTCGGGGTACCATATTTAGGGTAACCAGAAACAACCTTGAAGCGCCTTCGCGCCTTGAGAAAACGAACAAATTAATAAGTAGCTACGGACTTTACCATGGTAGTAGTAGCCTTAGCTCTGGGGCGAACAAGTGATCTTTTGTTACCAGGCCACGCCTAGCTATCAATTGCGGTGGGAAGCAGGCACAGATCGGTGGTTATAGCGACTGCTATCAGCTCGGACTCTCCACTGTGCATAGCGAGTTTGTTCAAGGGAACCGGATTGCACTTATCCAGATCCGACGCTGAAGCGCAATACCGTTCTATGGCTTGTTCTGCAACTTAGTCCGAGTAAGAGCTTGTAACAAGGAAGAATCTCAGTTTTCATATCAAGAACTCGCTGTGGAAAATTAGCGGACTGTGGCTCCAGTCGATAACGCCTGCGCGAACACGAAGCGCCTAAACGTCCACGGCCTTACAATTTGCATAAGCAACACTATTTACACATTCAGCGTCTAAACCGCCAACCAGTCTCCTGGGTGATAAAGGCACTGAAACTCCAGTCTTCTCTCCTACCACATCATTTTCTGAAACAGCTGAGAGTTCTCGTACCTACTGAGCCGCCGCCGCCGCCGCGGCAGCAGCAGCATCAGTAGTAGCCGAAGCAGTGGTAGTAGCCGTGGCCTCCGTCTTCCCCCCCTCGTCACCTTCTTCCCCTTTACAGATCTCGCAAATCAGGATGGGCTTGCACCTGCAATTGACGCCGCAGAGCGGGTAATAGCTGGTGCGGAGCCGCTCTCCCTCACAGCGCGTGTCAAAGTCGCGGACGCACCCGATTGTGCTGACGTTGTTGTTGCACACGACCTCCCACCCGCCGACGGTGAACTGACGCTCCTCGTGCCGGTGGTCGATCGCAGTGTCGGAGGCCACTGGGGCGGCGAGGATGGAGGACCCGAAAAGAGCCAAAATGGTGAGGGCCAGGCTCGCGGGAGAAGTGTGAGCCTGTGGTGTCAAGAAGGTGTAAGCTGAAGAGCTTTGTGTACTTGAAGGGAAGAGGGCGGATCTGACCATCATTTTTACTAGTTGAGGTCCGAGATTTTATGTGTTGTGGAAGGCTGGGAATGCTACAAGGACAGCTATTCGAGCTCAGTTTCGTCCTGGGAATGGAGATGTTGATGACGAAGATGTTGATGAAGAAGAAGAGGGTGTCGAAAGATTCAGACTAGTCGCTTCTTATATAGACACAGCCGTGTTCCCCCGGTTCCCCATGCAACACCGTACCATCTCGTACACATTAGATGCCGGAGAGAGTCTGAATAGATCCAACCCTCGAGCCAGCCTCTACCTGGCTGCCACAGAAAAGCCACAATCGTCAAGGAGGAGGGGCCGAAGACTTCAAGATTTCCCGCCAACATACAATGCATTTGGAAGCACCTGCCAATATCGGCGCCGTTGGCTGTCGCTTATGTGTGACGAACAGTGCGTCTGCATACTTCATATCAGGTCGACATCACTCTTTCCTGGAGATAAGGGTCGTCCCATACTCGCTGGGTCCCATTTTCCGAAGTCTCATTGGTTTTGCTTAACGTTGTTGGTCGCTGCAAGGGACCTTTTGTTCTTTTTGGTGGTGGCTGTACAGGAACTTCTATGCCAAGTCTGTTGGTCCAAGGCCATGCAGGCATCCGCAACCCTGCCCATACCCATGCTCTGGACACGTGAACGGTTCGCATGATAGGGCAGAGTTGCTGTGAGCGAAGTCCAGACTTTTCACGAGAGGAGGACCACAGGAAACTATCCTGTTTCCTTTCCTATCACCTGTATACCCGCGGATCTTATTCAAACACGGGACACTTTGCACGCAGAATTGCCTGTCCGCGTCTTAATCACAGTTCGTGCCGTGTACCGTCGTTCGCGCATACCATGTCCACGAGACCCTCGGACTGGGAAATTCGCCGATGCAACCCGTTCGATATCCCGGACCAGCTGCCAGAGGAGCTGAAGCAAGAGATCCGAGACAACAAGAGCTTCCATGCTGGCCACGCGTGGTATGTTCCCCTTTTGCCTCTTCTAGAGCTACTCTAAACGACACAACCCTACACTACACAGTCCAATATTTGGACGCGCTGACATGCCAACTTCATATCAAGGACGACCACTGGCTCTCCTATCGTCGAGGGGAGGTACTACGACTACGCGTCCCGCACAGTCAAGTCCCTCCAACCCGGAGATTCTTTGCAAGATGGTCCTCCGACAGTCTCTGTGTACTGGCACAATGTGGCCCCCAAACCTGGCGACAGGAAATGCTTCTACGGTTTCAGCGGCGGTTACAATCAAGGGGACATTGCGTCATACGTGGTGAAGCTGGGCAAGTTCTTCAGCGAGAGCTCCAGCGGTGACGACGGTGGCCGGAGCAGCTGCACGCTGAAATCACTGACCATGACGACGTATTCCGTTGTTGTCCTTGTCCAGACGGACTGTTCTGACGCCGATATTTGGCAGCGGCTCGCGGCCTGCGGGCTGGGTTTGGGGTATCGCGGTGATGGAGTCGGGTCTCGGGTATCGGATGTTGAGCACGATGGCGGACAAAGTTGACGCGGCTCAGTTGCTCAGAATAATCACCACAGCTCTCTGCTTCTCTCCCCGCGGTCAATAAAATCAAAAAGCCGGCCGGGACTTGAGCATGCCATGTAAATCTGTGTCTCGGGCTAGATCTTTTCGAAAAAGACACGGGTGTCATTGGATTTCGTGCATTCTCAAAAGTTCAACGCAGAGAATAATCTTGGAGTCCATTTTGATATGGCTGGCCTCAATCTGATGGTAAATGCTGTTCCACATTCCCTTCCTGTTCAGCCTATTCTGAACAAGCTGACAGTGAGAATTGACTCTTTCTGATGTTGTACACCACAACAACGAATTACCCATTCAGTTCAAGTGAATATGGCTTGGAATAGGAACTGCCGTCAGTGGTCAGATTTGTTGCCTAACGGCCACAAGCTTTGTGCGGAAGGCAAGCCTGGGACAATGGGATCGTGGCTATCTCGCGACAGGTTCGTGACACTGATCTCGCTCAGTGACAATTTAAGAACAGCACAATTGTGAATATCCTCACGCCAGGTGTGATAAGTCGAAGCCCTATTGATTTCTCATTGTCTCGTAGCTTCGCGCGACTGGACAGCCACGCGTGGGAAATTGCTGAACGTCAATACTGCGACCGTTCAACGGAACCATCGCATCCGAATCAGTAGCGGCTTGCTGACCGTGATATTTCTCCATGAACCAGTTCTAGCTGAGGAGCTGACAGCTCGGCGACGGCAACGCCACAATTGTAGAACGCCTAGCAGTCGAAGCTTGGCGCAAAGCTGGGAAACCAAGCTCCAAAATAGACCATACAGTATGTGAATCTCAATTGGGTATCAAATTTTCCACTGATGAGCACGCCGTACGACATGGAGTCAACCAGCCTCAAGCCTCCATAGCCTGTACAGCACCGGCATGTTCAGCTGCCTCTATCCGTTGCAGCATCTCGTCTCGCCACCGCTCGTAGTCCTTGCGTTTCTTGTCCGTCATCACCCACTTGCTCTGCAGCATCGTGTCGCTCTTCTGCACGTGAAGGGCTTCGGCGAGCTTGCCCTCATCCTGCGGCAGGTCATGCATGTCGACATCTCCATCATCCTCATCTGCACCCGGCACAACGTGATGTGAAGCGGCCGCCGCCGCCGAGTCCGTCTTGCCCGCAACAAGTTGATTGATCCCCGTGAACCACTCCCCATCCTGCCAGCCGCTCTCGACCACTTTGGCCACAGCCGCGTCAATGTCCCTCGAGCCCACATCCGTCCAGCCGATCCACAACTCGTCCTCGTCCATACCCTTGACCGTCACTTCTTCCGGCGCCTTGCTCAGCGCGCCCAGTATAATCTTCCTCGTCTCCCGGTACTCCTTGTCATCCGGGGGTGTCCCGCGCTCCAGGTGCTGGACCTGCAGCGTCACGAGAAAGTACACCGCAGCCAGGAGAGGCGCGAGGTTCTGCGTGATCCAGGGGTCCGTCGACGCCCGGCCCCGCGGCGCCGCAATGGACTGCAATCCCGCGAGCACGGTCTTGCCTATCCGCTCCGAGCCGAGCGTCTTGCACATCAGCTGGATCGACGGGCGGACCCACGCGGGCAGCACACTGTCCTGGCCGCCGGCTTTCCTCTTCGCCGGGAACGAGGAGGCCGAGCCCCTGGGCCGTCCCGGCCGCCGTCCTGGCCCAGCCGGGGTTGTCGGCGTGTCGTCGCCCTTCTTGGCCGTGGCCGGTGATCGGAACTGTGCGAGCGACTGTGCTGCCGTGGGCGTGGGCCGGCTGGGCGTCCTAGGCGAGGACCCGAACACCCCCGAGTCCTTGATCTTCGCGGACGGCGTTCTTATGCGTCCGGAGCGGCCGCTGGGCGTCGCGGGGAGGACATTGTCGAGGTAGGCGTACACGCGCTTGTACACCTTGGGCGCGATCGGCGGGCGAGGTTGGATGTCGGGCAGGTTGAGGGAGATCTTGAGGCGCTCGCAGGCAATGTGGCAACAGGCGTAGGATCGGGCGATCTCCTCGTCCTGCTTGAGAGTGCTGTTGTGTTTGGATTGGGCGAAGAGGGACGAGGCGAGATCAACAAGAGGTTTTGGCAGGTTCTCCGACTGCGTGGGGAGCAGCGACAGGAGGTTGGCCTCCACGGCGCGGCTCATTGTGGATGTAGGTAACCGAGCGTGGTGCTTGCAAGGCGGCCAGAGGGGTGCTGCAGAGTTGGTTTGGTCTGTCGTGGTGGCTGGCTGATGCTGGTTGGGAAATGCTGGATCATGAAATCGTGACCTGGAGCTGTCGATCTTCGGTACGCTTGTCTTCGGTAGCTCTAGGCGACGTGCCCCTGGTCTAGGCGCCCAGACGGCAGTGAGTGACGTGCCTGCATGTCTCCCCTGGCCCACCGTTCCCCGGACAGCCGCTAGCTTATTGCCACTTGCGCCCCTGAACCCCACGTTGGCCACGATATTCCTCGCCCGCAATCAGCTTACTCGACGCCCGTTGCACATGCCACGTGCAATCCTCAATGAGTCTCTCCCCTACCTTGACTATCTAGTCTAGTAGTTTCTTTCTCCCGTGCTTGTCGCGCAAGATATCTGAGACTTGTGCGCACTTGTATCCGCCACCCAATCGGAACCGACTACCACCACCACAGGGCCAATCCTCAACATGCGCGCCTCAATAATAACCACAGCCGGCCTCTTTTCTGTCGCGCTGGCCCACGGCGACCATAGCGGCTCCCAGAAGCCCATGGTCGGCGCCGATGCAGACTGGATGACTGTCCATATGGCTGGTACGTCACCCAGGAACCTGCTGTCCCTGTCCTCAGCCTTTCTTGTCCGCTGACACACCCCGCATGTTACAGAGGAACACCACATGCAGTCCTTCGACCCAGAGTCCTTCTTCATGCTCCACGACTTCGACTCCAACGGGCGGTGGGAGCCCTCCGAGATCCTGCGCACCTACGGCCTCGAGGACGAGTCGAACCGCGACATCACCCAGTCCCGCCGCGACGAGATCCAGGCGCACCTGATGGGCATGCTGGACGCGAACCGGGACGGCACCGTCACGCGCGACGAGTTTGTGCAGTTCATAAAGTCCGGCAAGACGCTGCCCGACATGGCGACGGGGCCGGGCCACCACGGCGACGACGAGTACGAGTACGAGATCCACCACTGGGAAAAGTACCACGGGGACGACACCACGATCGAGGACCTCACGCATCCAGAGGATATTGAGCATTTCAAGAAACACGAGGAGATGGAGGCGGCGGAGGAGCGCCTCGAGAAGCTGAACCGCATGGCTATTGTGGAGGAGAACATCCCGAGCAAGTTCCGGAGGGGTGGCTGAGCATTTCTCGGACGAAACGTTGGAACGTGCATGATGAAATGTCTAGAGGTAATGGCGTACATATTGAGCGTTGTCTTGGATATAGTAATGTCGCAATGATTGGACGATTCGAGCATATGTTGCCTGTCAGAAAGGTGTGAGCTTTGCAATTCAGCAGCCTACAAACACTCTGTCTGTCCTAGGCAGGTCAACGAGGCAGTGAACGACATATCGTCAACTTTCGCCAGTATCGGCCTTTCTGCTCGTCGCATAGACGTCGAACACACAATGCCATACTCCGGGTGCAAACGTCTTGACGAGCTCGACATGCTCGACACGAGCGCTTCGCCGACCTGCACTTCCCACATCTCCACCAGCCTTCTGTTGCTGCTGCTGATCCTGGTAATCCCGGAACCACCGCTCGATCTCGCCCTTCCGCCGCTCAATGTCCGCAACACCGACATTCTCGTGGAGATGCAGCCAAGCGTCTCGGCTTGGACATGTTATGTCCCATGCCCCAGCCCACGAGCCCGTACTTACGGGTAACAGACCGCCGTTGACATGCAGTATCTCAAGGGGGTCGTCTGTGTCATTATCCTGATTCGTCCAGGCGGCTCTGAGCTCCGCGATCCGCCGAGCCGCGTGGATATTGTCCTCCAAGAAGACCACAATCTGCGCTTCTTCCTTACTGCTCACATTCCTCCGACCCTTGGCGGCCGGCACGTGCGTGGCTTGCTGACTTGGAGCTCTGCGATGTACGAGTTCCCCCGTCGGCCGCGCAAGCTCACCCACACTGCGGATAATGCGCACGCTCCAGCCGTTCGCCTCGGCGCCTCGGCGCAAGCCTTCGACGCTCCACGGGTTCAGCTCCCAGCACAGCACGCGCAGGCCGAGTCGTGCATAGGAAAAGACAAAGTAGCCGATGCCGGCGTACATGTCGACCGCGTAGGAATCTTGCAGTTTTTGCTTCGTGATGGTTCTCGCCATGGGCGTGGTGGAGCTCTGCGTAGTTTTGCCCGAAGAGCTGTCCTGCTGTTGTTGAGGTGGTGATATGCCTGTGGCATTGGGATGATCGATCTTCGGCGTATGGAAGTCTAGAAGTCTGGCCTTCTCCTTGATGTTGCCCCTGCTAAACATTGTCCAGCGCGGCGCCCAGGTCTGGCATATCCCGTTCTGCTTGGTGGACACCCAGAAGGCATTCTGGAAGTCCTCGTCGGTAACATTGCCGGATTGCTGGCCATGGCCGCACTCATCATTGTCACCTGCCTGAGTTGATGCTGGGCCAAAGTCCCCATGCAGCATCGCCAACCCGGTAGGGCTGCGGAGTATGTTGTCCTTCGAGTCTTGGTGCTGATGCTCATCCTCGTCACGGACCAAAGGGATGCCCTCGTTGATCGCAAGGTGCGTAAGTGGCTGCTTTGCGCCGGTCTTGCGAGTAATCTCGGCGAGTATGAGGCACCATAGGTCTTGCAGCAATCTCCCCTGTTGCTGCCCGGCGTATTTGAGTAGCTCGGCCCATGCTGCTGACGAAAACGACCCAGTGGGCAGAAGGATCATTGGCTCGTAGACGGTCCATCGCTTAGGAGCCTGAGCTATAAGCGTGGCGGAGGAGATGGGTGCCGCATGCTCTGCGTCATGCACAGCACCCGTGGGCAGCGAGGCCCGCCATGTTAACACCGCCGCTTCGACTGGGTTCTGTGACGCTGGTTTGCGTTTGGAACGATCTTTCTTGTGGTCTCGCAGGACAGTGCCCTCGCCTCTCTGTGTCATGACGGCATGCGACAGAGGTCCAATCTGCCCCGGGTGGACGACATGGTGCTGTGTAGATGGGACATGGTGGAGTGTAGGGATTTGCACTAACCACGATTTCAAGGTGGGGAAGTCCTTCTGCGCTCAAGCTTTGAGGACTCTACCTCCGGCCCAGAAAGCGTATGAAGTCGTGTTAATTGATTGGCTGTTTCTTTGTCTAATGTGGGCCTCCCTGAACTGAAGGTTGGAAGCTTGAGAGGCTCTCCTGCCGTAATTCGACAGCTACCATGGCACGGCATGTCTATTCGACCAACCTGTAGTGGCAGCTGAAGAGTGCGGAAATGACGGGTCCAACCAGACTTACACCTTTAAGCCTGCTGACGTTGAGCGGGAAGTATCGTGTCTTGTTGGGCCTGTGTTATGCGACTACGGTACTGTCAACGTACCTAGGTACTTCCATTGAGCTGGACGCCGCGCCCTTGCGATCCCACCGCGGAAGCTGGAGTGGGCCAACTCCATCGCCGCCGGCCTGTTGTGGAAGCAGCCTCCGAGGCATCATCTCGTCCCCCCACCTGCTGCGTCCACAACTAACTTGCTTGCGCCGTCAGCTCCGCTGACACAACGATACCTCCGGCTGTGCCGGCCCCTCGAGCACGCCATCTCCAGAACACCACCTCCCTTGCGCCGACGAGACAACTCCAGGCCGTCGCCACGGGGGCGTCCAGTTGCACTCTCCGTCCGACAACATGGCTGCGGGGCACAGGCCAACACTGCTCTCGCTCCCGCCCGAGATCCGGGAGCAGGTCTACCGCCTCCTGCTCAACCCGGACGCCAATCGCGTCTACGATCCAAACGACTACAACGACTACAACTACAGCGACTCGCTCGTCCTCTATCGCCTCAACCAGCAGATCTACTATGAGGCCCGGCGCATCTTCCGCGACCTCAACATCTTCGTCCGCATAGAGACTCCCTGGCCCGAGGCGCAGGAGCACGTCGCCATCGAGGGCCATGTTCCCATTCTCATAAAGGGCCAGCAGGCCAAGCGCTTCACCGGCCACAGCCTCAGCGTCCGCATCGAGGCCCCGCCTCAGATGTCCCTCGACGAGACCGAGACCGCGCATTTCGTCATCCTCCTCGACGACCTCGACAAGTTCACTCGCACCTGGTTCTACTCGAACCTCTCAAATCCAGGGCTGAATCATTTCCTCAGCCTCAAGCTGCACCTGCGCGACCCCTATGCGCTTGACTACGAGGAGAAGCTCATGCCCAAGTGGCTGCAGCGGAAGCTCCTCATGCCATTCGCCATGGTCAAGGGATTGAGGCAGCTCACGCTGACGGGTGAGCCGACGCCTTTGGCGTCAATCGACAGCGAGCTGCGTGCGGCGCAAGCTGTGCCTACGCCGCCTCCAGAGCACTGCCTGAGCGAGGCCACGAGGCTCAAGGCGGAGGGCAACGAGGCCCTCAAGCAGGGCAAATACCACGAGGCCCTAAGGATATACAACGAGGCCTGGGAGGCGATACACATAGTCATCAGGGGTCGCCAGCGGCACGTGCACGCCGAGGCGTTCTTTGCACAGCGCATGACGCAGGAGCCCTGGCGTGACAAGGACGGGCGGCTGGAGAGGTTGAACCTGCGGGTGCAGCTCGTGGCGAACACGTGCCTGGTCTTCCTCAAGCTGGAGGACTGGGAGGAGCTTATCTTCTGGGGGATGCGGACCATCATCGCCATTAGGCAGGGCGTGCTGGGACCCCTGGAGGATCAATGGGATGTCCCGCCGCAGGATGAGGCCATGCTTACCTTTCCCGCGGCGGTGCAGATGGGCAAAGTGTACTACCGGACGGCACTCGGGTACAAGGCATTGCAGGATAAGGCGCAAGCGAGGAAGTTGCTGAGGGTCGCGGAGGTATATTTACCTCACGATGAGTCGGTTAAGAAGGAATTAGTAGCATGTGCACTACGGCTAGGGTGAGTGATGTTGGCAGATATAGTCTGAGCATATAATTATATAGCAAGCGATCTTTTGCATTGGGTTCCCAGGTATATAGAGGGTTTTCATGATACCATCACACGACTTCGTCAAACGTCACTCAGGCAGTCACCCATCTTGAATTATTGACAACGGATCATTTAACCGTGGCCGTCTTGGGCAGCTTTACATCTCAGTGTTCGCACCTGTTGAACTGTGACGGGACCTGGTGATTTGATTCGGAAGTAACGCAGAAGCTTGCTTCTCAGATATGTTTTATTCTAGTTGTGTTTCCCAACGATATTTTTCGAGAAACTGCAGTCGAAAACAATTTGATCCCATGGTAACAATCTGTCCTGACACTTTATCCATCCCGCCGCTAACTCCGAATCCCATTGCGCAAGACCTCTCGTATCAAACCTCACAAGGCTCGATGAAGTACATGCCCTCCACAATATCACAGTCCTCCCCGTACGCCGCAACCGCATCCCTGACAGCCTGTTCCACCGAGACGCTCTCCACCCCGACGGCCTCGTTGCTACACAAGTGTGTAAAGTCACCCGCATGGTCGCCCTCGTAGAACTGGTTGCTAATGCCGAGGCCCTTCATCGCTTTCGCGGCCTCCCCGCGCTCCAGGGCGATCCTGGCATTGGCGTTGATCTTTGCGATGTCGACGTGCGTAACCTCGAAGACTTTGCCTCGTGCGGCTTCCGCGTCGTGGCCGCCACTACCGTCTGTGGTGGTGCTGATGGTGGTTGTCGGAGCAAACATGTCCTCCAGCACCGCGAGGATCGCGTTCTGGGAAAGCCCGCGCACGCCGTTGACAAGAATGCCCTTGTTGACGAACCCGCTGGTGTCTCTCTTCCCGCCACTCTCATCGTCATCCCCGTACCACCGCAGCATGTTGGCCACGCCCCGCGCCATCATAGGCAGAGGCGTCCAGCACAGCTTGATCGCGCCGGCGCCGTAGATCCGGGCGCGGCGGTTCTTGATGTCGAACCCCGCAGGTCCTTTCATGAGCCCTGTTGCTCCCCCCTCGTCAGTTATTGTTGTCGTTGTCAAGGCCCAGGTTGTCGAAAACTGGGAAGTTTTGAGCCGTGCAAGGAGAGCTTGACTGATATTGGGGGCCAAAAAAAAAAAACACTTACACATGTCAAAAAACGGCCCACCGCTGATCGCAGACCAGTCGATCTTGCCCTCCGCAGCCAGGCCCTCCAGGTACTTCCGGATCCTCACCTTGCCGCCGACAAACTGCTCCGGCAGGCGGCGGTACTGCTCGGCCTGGATGTTGCCCACAAACTCGTTGGCCAGGAAGAAGCGCACCGACCCCGCGGCGAGCGCCGCGTCGATGATGAGCTTGGAAGGGTCGTACTGGGTCGCCGAGCCCGAGATGCAGTTGACCACCGCGTCCTGGCCTGCGAATGCGGCAGTCAGGGAGTCGAGGGAGGTGAAGTCTGCTTGTTTCGTGGCTATGTTTGTGGCGGCGGCGGTGGTGTCAGGGGCTGTGTATGTGTTGCCCGGGCGAGTAATGGCCGTGATTTCAAAGCGGTCAGGGCCATCTTTGAGAAGCTCTGCTATGACGGCGCGGCCGACGCTACCTCTGGGCTGTGTTTAGGGCAAAGGAAGCAACGTGATATTGTCAGCATGGGGGCGCCTTCTATGATTCCTTTGTGTTGCAAGGGCATGTTTATGGGGTTGTGTTGGCGGCTTACACCCAGGATAGCAATCTTGTAGAGCTTCATCCTTGTGAGATAGATGTCTTTATGACGCGGTTGTTGTTGAAGATATGAAGGGGAATGGCACTTGGGATCCGCAAAGAGAGAGAGAGAGCTCTGAGCTACTTTCGTTCGCTTGCTGCGTTTATTCCCTGCGGTGCTTGTGAGACGCCAAATGGGTCAAGTGGAAGCGCTTTTTGGTCGCCGAAAGCCAGCCCACTTAAAGAATCAAGTTGTAGCAGCGTGAGATTGTATGATTGTCGCAGAGCACCACACACACCCCAATCAGGCACGTTGTCAGCAGATCTACCACGAACAATCACAACTCTTCAAGTCTTTCAATGCAAAAGCAATTGTTCCCTTTATTTATATACACAAAATCGTCGTACTTTGGCATCTGCCTAACAAGCGATGACTCTACAGCTGAGCAATTCTGGGATTCGGGTTTCCCTTTACCGAATTCCGTCTCACTTTACTTCTCCACTGTGGGACGTGGTCGTGCGTCCTTGTACGCAGGTTCCAAGCCTCATGTTCCAGACTTGGCAAACTTACCCATCTTGCCTGCGTACACTAAGGAGAAGTCAGGGTCTAATCCAGGGGTTCGGAAATCCCAATGCTTCCACTGCGAAATGACCAACACGTCGAAACACTTGATTGGCAGGGAAAGATAACGGCCACTGGGGTCACCCAAGTCCAACATTTGTCTGCCCTAACATGAGACTTGAAAGAAAGGCTGTGCACACCAATCGCGTAACAAATCACAGATCAACATTTTTGGGGTATGTCAAAGTCAGTCTATTGCCTCATATCGAGTTCGTGCCTCCGTACAGGTCATGCTACCCACTCATACTGGCCATTATCGTGCCAGCTTCAGACCACCTCGAGAAGGCTGGCGCGTCCTCGAAGAGTATCTACCATCTCAACGTACAATATCTGGGTGGCACTTCCTTTGCTGACCATGCCCTCAAACTTAAAACCTGTCAAACGCCTCGTCATGCCGTCCCAAAAATTACAATCCTTTAGCCAGACCACTCCTGGAGCTTGCTCGCCTCCCACTTGCCGGGGATCAGAGCGAGGGGCACAATTCCAGAGACGTGCATCTCAGGGCCGAAAACCTTGCCCTGGAGGCCGAGCTCCTGGATAGCAGCCCGCATGTTCTTGAGGCCTTCCTGGTAGTTGGGACCAGCACGGCGGACCCAAATCTGGACATTGTGCTCAACGAGCAGAGGGGCGACCTCGCGCAGCGCCCGGATGACACCCTTGAATGTAGACGCAACGTTGGTGAAGTTGGCAATACCGCCGCCAATGAAGAGAACCTTGCCCTTGGGGTGCTGAGGAGCGCGGATCATGAGGTCCAGCACGGTCTTGGCGTAGTAGAAGGTCTGGGACTCCGTAGGGGCACCAGAGTACTCGCCGTAGTTGGCAAGCTCGTCAGCGAAGCCGGCAGAAGCAATGGCATCGGCGTAGACGACCGAGGCACCGCCACCGGCCACGAGAGTCCAGATGCGCCCATTCTGGTTCAGGACGGTCAGCTTGAGCGAAGCACCAGTCTTGGCGTCCAGCTCGGCAATGTAAGCCTCCTCCTTGGACAGCTCACGGCCAAAAGGAGCAGGGAACTCGATCGGCGGGCCAGCGTCGATGCTGATCTTGTCGGAGGCGACAGCAGTGATGCCGAGGTTGGCGGGCGAGCGCGCGATAGCCCACTTGACACCGCACTCGAAGTCGGCAGTCTGATCAAGCTTGGCAGCCAGATCCAGGAAGTAAACCTCGGCCGAGGTGGCATCGGCGTTGGGGATAACAACGAGGGGGTTGATCTCGAGGTATGTGAACTGGCAGTCGACGTAGACGGCGTACAGACGCGAAATGAAGTCGACCAGGACGTTGTGGACGCCCTTGGGGACGTTCTTCAGAAGGGTGGCGGCAATCTCCTCGTTGGAGGGGAACTCGGCCAGGTCCACAGGAATGAGGAGCTTCTCAGCCTTCTCGTCGACATCACCGACATCGACACCACCCTCGTGGGTGAACAGAATCCAGTCGCCCTATGGTGCCGCGAGTCAGCAAGATATTCTCAAGCCATAAACCGAAAGAGAACAGCAGGTCATCGCAGCCAACGCCATGGCGGCCGGTCTGACTTCTCGCTCGGCGCCCCCGTTCGAGACGAGCCAGTTCAAAACTAGCTAGGAGGTGGTAATCGCTCGGACCATGAGGTCCGCAGGAGTAGCAACTTACATCGCGGACAGAGTTGATGTTGATGTAGTACTCAGTGTCTTGAGGGTGGGGAACGAATGGCTCAACCAGGAATTGGCGGAGAACACCCTGGGTGTGCTCGACCTTCTGGACCTTGCCGGCGCGCTCGGCGATCCAGGCCTTGGCCTCGGCCCAGGGCTTGTTCAGGGCGAGGAGGCCGCTCTTGCCACGGCGCTTGATCAGTTGATCGGGCTTGGCGACAAAGCGAGCACCCTCGTGAAGCAGCCACGGGTAGGTAATCTCAGCCTGGTCGAGGACAGCGTTGACGTTGGCATCCTCAGGGAAGCTCAAAGACGCCAACCGGGGAGGGGCATTGTGTGTCGTGGACTTGGGAAGAGGAGTGGGCTTGATCACAGGAGCTCTTGTGAGGTGGTAGTTGATGATGGCCTTGCCGTCGGCCTCGTAGATCGCTTTGGCAGACATTTTGAATTAAGGCCTCTGGGGAATCCTGCGATCGACTTGTAGAAGTGAAGTTTACGCTCTGCTTTTGTTTTTTGAGCTAGAACCTGTAGGAACTGCCCTGTTAGCTCTCCTTCCTTGCTCTTGATTTCAGTCTCCGTCTTGCTCAGAGGCGTCTGCTCCTTGAGGCATGAAGCTTTCTCGCCTTGGAAGCTCTGGGCGCCCAATTGCTAGTCCGCTCGAACTTGGTGCTTTGGCGGCGCTGGCAGTCCAACTGTTGTTGAGCACTCGGCAGTTTGAAGCAGCTGTCGCCCTGAAGAAGCAATGGCTGGCACCGTCTCAAGCAGCAATATCCCACATTCAGGGCGGAGTGATTTGTGAAGACTTACCAGGTGATGTCCTACTCGAATTCGACCTGTGCAATGGAGAAAACAGAACGAACTGCTGCCACGGGCAAGAGAGTATGGAGGTGGTGAGTGTTATGGCGAGATGGAGACTGTGGGAGAGGAGGAGAAGTGAGCACAAAGGGTCCGTCTTCGCTTTGAAGTGGGATGCTGATGGGAAGGATGGGGCTGGCCAGCATTGGGCGGGTGCTGACGAGCGAACAACCAGGCGACAAGCAGGGGCAGACTCACACGGGGCGAGCGCCAGGATGGCTGGGCGTAGCAGACACTCGGCGGACGAGCTCAGCAGCACAACAAGATCTACCAACTTTTTTGGGTTTACTCACTGGAAAAACCGGAGCGAGGGGGTGCGTGTCTTGGGTGTCTATCCTATTGTTTGACGGAGCGATGCAGGAAGGAGGGGTGGCGGTCCCGCACCCCTAGCAGCTACACTCAGCATTGTCTATGCCCTCGACTCCAAGGTACCTCGCTGTGGAGAAGGCGAGGTCCTGAACAGGTACTGTACCTGTGCCGTCCATGGTCGCCAACGTCGGGGCAAGCCATTGTCGTCCCAGGAAACTCAACGAGGCACCAAGCTTGCTCCCGGACCTGGACAAGGGTAGAGGGGCATCCTGCAGGGCTCCCGCAACAGGGCCGACACCGCCTCTGAAAAGCATTGGGGCAGATCCTGGGCGGGGCCGGGATAGAGCGGGCCTCGCAGCCTCCCCACCAAGTACTAGTACCCCAACACCAACACTTGCCCGTCCTAACTCCATCAGAGCGTGTTCAGATGGGCGCTGCAATTTCCCCGACCACGACCTGTCAGCACCCCAGCCAGGTGTGTGGCTACACCACCATCTCCCGCCTGGTGGCCCCCCGTTCGGCGGCCGCGGAACCCTCAGATCCTCGATGACAGGTTGGACTTGATCGCCGGCCCGGCTGCTGCATTGTTCGGGCGCCGACATCGTCAAAAGGGGTCGGGAAAAATGGAAAGGTCGTAGGAGAGGCGCCGCCGCCAAGTGCCTCAAAGCCGAACATTCTCGTCTCGTGCAGACGCCCCAGGACAGCAGTGGTCACGAGAGCTTCATTTCCATGCCCAGACTCCACGAAGATTGAAAAGGCGTCTTCTCTAGAAGAGCCCGTCAGCACAAAACTCAGCTGATGGCTCGGGCCGGGGACTCAAGGTTCGTCTTAGTGTTGCGGGACATGGTTACCCCAAAGTTGTGTCAGCAATGCGTACTCTGCTGGCCCCCATGAATTGAAGTCATCGCTCTTACTATTGCTCGTCACACTGCAGGCAGCACGATAATACTATTTTGAGCCACCCTCGACCATGGAGCGGAACACGGCCTTTTGGAAGTCCTGATTCTCACGGAGTAGCCCCGAGTCATTTCGCCATACCCCTCCGACACAATGCCATTCTAGCCCCAAGGGCATTAGCCTCGAGTATGGCGCTGCGTGCTGAAGCGGGGAATTTGTTATGATTTCTGGTATTGCTACTTGAGCAGCGTGGCGTGGGATGGCAGGCGAGCAGGGGTAGTCGTCACTCCTGCATACAGGGAAGCTCATTGCCATTCGTGGAAGCTTGATCTTTGCCCTGCACTGTTAACCTCACCTGACAAAAGGCACTGCGAGGCGGCACACTTGCGGTCTGGGCAACGACAATGTCGCCGCCTCTTGTCCCAGATCCGGACACCGCCATGTAGCAAGCAGTTATCTCAGGGCATGGCTGGGTTATGACTAGCACCCAGAGAAGAACCAATCCCTGGACGGATTGGTAGGCAGCGTTGGAATAAAGGGAGCAAGACGCAGGCGGCGCAGTCCAGATAATAATGTTGAATTTTGCCAGCCGTCAGGTTCCCCAACTAATATTCTGCCAGCCCCTGACCTGACTGACCTACCCATCCCTGCTTTGGCAGCGCGTCTTGAAGCACAGCACCAGGCCAGGACTGGCTCCAATCAGGACGCACCCCACTGAGGATTTCGGCGGCCTAAGCAACGAAGCCTGACCTATGTGGAAAGTGGCGATCGTCGAATGTTCTGTGGGTGGGCAGGCAGGGTTGCCACGGGGAGCCGCTCGGCGTCGTGCCCTGCGCGGGCGTCTTCTGCAACGCCATATTACTCACCTTGCATGATTACAGGTCTGGGCAAAGCACCTCCGGCTTCACATTCTCACCAGTGGCTTCACTCGTGCTAGACATTGTCTCTGTGTGCTTCATGCTTCAGCGGAAAGCACTCGACCGCCTTCCAGGCCATTGTAGACAAGCGGACAGACTCACCCCCGGCTGGACCCCTCGAACCCCAAATAAGACCGGGGCAGGTCGAATTGGGTTTGGGCTGGGACCAACAATTGCCAGTGTCAGTCTGCAGAGAGCCGATCCTTGTACGGGTACCTCGACGAGGGGCAGTGGCGTACCTGCCAGGTACCTGCCCCCAGCCCCACACACATCCCCAACCCGCCCACCGCCGCGCAACCTGCCTGGCGTGCCCCTCAAGACAGTTCCGGCGAGCTTACGAGAAAAAAAAGGGCCGGGAGTGCTGAGCATTGATGGGACACCGCCCTGTCCTGGATTGCTCGCTGGATCTCCCCGACTTGCTGCGAAACTGCTGGGTTCTGGCACGGCCGATCACCGCAGTCTTAGAACCTGCCGCCGCCAGAAAGTAGCAACCGGCCGCCCCTGCCCGCTTGCACACACACCCCTCACCCTGGCCTCGAGGCGCGACTAAGCACCTTGAAGCTCAACCTCCAGCCCACCACCGGTCATCATCATCCTTTCCCTCTTCACCTCCCTAAAGTCCGGCTGTTACTCTTCAGCGGCGAACTTTCCACTTGTCCATCCATCCTCCACGACTCATCCTTCGTGGTCTTCTGTGCCTTTGTGTGCACATACAAGCTCGAGATTGCGCGCCTCGCCTTGCCGACGACGCTTCCCTCGTCAAGCACACACAAACTTCTGTACGGTATGTCGTCTGCATCTTCATTCTTCAGCTCGGTTCGGTGCCAGTATTGGCTCGCGATCCTAGCCATGCTTTGTGTTGGCCTCAACTTCACAACCTTTGTCTCTCTTGTGGGCCAATGCCCAAGCTCGTTGTCTCTGGCTTTGGACCACGCTCACGCCGACTCCCACGCCTTCCAGCTGTTCGAACTTGTTTCTAACAGCACCCAACGAGGCAGGGTTAGCCTTCCCTACCCGAGGCTCTTTTAGAGTTGTCTTGAGTCCCCTTCTCGAGCTCAATCGTCTCGACGTTGTGGACTGCGGTCCTCCAAACGCAAAATCAGCTGAAGCTTGCACAATTGCAGATTAAGGGACCAAAGCTAACAGATTTGTCACTTGAAATAGCCCATACAGATTGTTCGTATCTAGAATCTCCGTGAGAGAAAACCTCAATTCGCAATGGCTCCCGCCGGTAACCTCGGGGCGAGCGGCTCCTCCACGCCCGCCCCTCACGGTGCCAACGACAACATCACCCGTTTCTCCGCGCCTAGCCGCCCTCTGAGCCCTGGCCCAGAGCATGCTCTGTTCAGCAACAAGACAAGATGCCTGGTTTACGGTCTGCAGAACCGTGCCGTCCAGGGCATGCTTGACTTCGACTTCATCTGCAAGCGGACCACTCCCTCCGTCGCTGGTATCATCTACACCTTTGGCGGCCAGTTCGTCAGCAAGATGTACTGGGGCACCAGCGAGACCCTTCTGCCTGTCTACCAGCAGTCGGCCGCTGCTCTGGCCAAGCACCCCGACGTTGACACCATTGTCAACTTTGCCTCCTCCCGCAGTGTCTACAGCTCTACCATGGAGCTCATGGAGTTCCCCCAGGTCAAGACCATTGCCATCATTGCTGAGGGTGTCCCTGAGCGTGTAAGTCCAATAATCCGTTCTCTAAAAAGCCGAAGCTAGGTGCTAACAACTCCCACGCAGCGCGCGCGTGAGATTGCCCACGTTGCCCGCAAGAAGGGCGTTACCATCATTGGTCCCGCCACCGTTGGTGGCATCAAGCCCGGCGCGTTCAAGATCGGCAACACTGGTGGCATGATGGACAACATTGTTGCTTCCAAGCTCTACCGCAAGGGTTCCGTTGGTTACGTCTCCAAGTCTGGAGGTATGTCCAACGAGCTCAACAACATCATTTCGCAGAACACCGACGGTGTCTACGAGGGTATCGCCATTGGTGGTGACAGATACCCTGGTACCACCTTCATCGACCACATGCTCCGCTACCAGAACGACCCAGGATGCAAGATCCTGGTTCTGCTCGGAGAGGTTGGTGGTGTCGAGGAGTACAAGGTTATCGAGGCTGTCAAGAAAGGCGTCATCACCAAGCCCATTGTCGCGTGGGCTATCGGTACTTGCGCCAGCATGTTCACCACTGAGGTCCAGTTCGGCCACGCTGGTTCTTTCGCCAACTCCCAACTCGAGACTGCCGTCGTCAAGAACAAGATGATGAAGGAGGCCGGCATCCACGTTCCCGACACTTTCGAGGACCTCCCCGCCACCATCAAGACCGTCTACGACAAGCTCGTTGCTGACGGCACCATCGTTCCCGAGCCCGAGCCGGTTGTTCCCAAGATCCCCATGGATTACTCCTGGGCCCAGGAACTCGGTCTTATCCGCAAGCCTGCTGCCTTCATCTCCACCATTTCCGATGACCGTGGCCAGGAGCTTCTGTACGCTGGCATGCCCATCTCGGATGTCTTCCGGGAGGATATTGGCATTGGTGGTGTCATGTCTCTGCTGTGGTTCCGCCGCCGTCTGCCCACCTACGCCTCCAAGTTCTTGGAGATGGTTCTCATGCTTACTGCCGACCACGGTCCTGCTGTGTCTGGTGCCATGAACACCATCATCACCACCCGTGCGGGCAAAGACCTGATCAGCTCCCTTGTTGCTGGTCTCCTGACCATTGGTTCTCGTTTCGGTGGCGCACTCGATGGCGCTGCCGAGGAGTTCACCAAGGCCGCTGACAACGGCCTCACCCCTCGTGACTTTGTCGACACCATGCGCAAGCAGAACAAGCTGATCCCTGGTATTGGCCACCGCATCAAGTCTCGCAACAACCCCGATCTCCGTGTCGAGCTTGTCAAGGAGTACGTTCTCAAGAACTTCCCCAGCCACAAGCTGCTCGACTACGCCCTGGCTGTCGAGACCGTTACCACGTCCAAGAAGGACAACCTCATCCTCAACGTTGACGGCTGTGTCGCTGTCTGCTTCGTCGATTTGATGCGCAGCTGTGGCGCCTTCTCCTTGGAGGAGGCCGAGGACTACATGAAGATGGGTGTTCTCAACGGTCTTTTCGTTCTGGGTCGCAGCATCGGTCTGATTGCCCATTACCTCGACCAGAAGAGACTGCGCACCAGCTTGTACAGACACCCTTGGGACGATATCACTTATCTGCTCCCCACCCTCGGCAAGACCGGCGGCCCTGGCGAGAGCAGAGTCGAGGTGGCCATGAAGTAAGGGGCACTCTAATTTTGGAGTTTTGGAGGGAACGGCAGATGGGTCTGCTTCCAAGGTCAAGGGGACGAGGTCGTCCTGGGCATGTGATATGTAGTTACGAGGCTTTAGACCGCGTGGTAAACACGCAGAGAATGTATGAACGGATTACACTCGACTATGAGCGTTCGCAGTGACGTCGCCTGTACTGGGCAGCTTCAGAGGCTTTGCCTCGCACCCATTCTTCATTGCTGATCATTGCGCGCATCGGTACCGTCACCGTCGGGGCTTTCATGTTATCGACCATTTCACGCAGAATTTGGGAGAGATCGTCCTGGTCCTAGGCCACTCGCACCGAGCTGGACATGGTTCGTCCTGGCGAGAATGTCGTTATCAGGATTTCTGTTGTTTCACAGACTCGGAAAACATAACATGACAACATTGGCTCGTGCGACCAAAGATGGCGCAATACTGCTGAGGACAGATACCTTGCAGCACGTGGTGCTGCTTGTCGCTCCACGAAAACCAAGGTGACTGACTTGGTTGTGCCCTAGAATCTAAAAAGTGGGCGGTACGGCACGGCAGAACTAACCAGGACTGAGATGCTGGGTGAGCCCCACTCAAAATGTCCATCGATCACGACGGACGCAGACGAGGTACTACAGCATCACGCGACAAAACCCCTCCTTCAGTACGGACGACTAGCGGCCCTGACAAAAGGGAGCCCAAACCTAGGACGATTCTTGGGGGTTCAATTGTGTGTGATCTCTCGGACTCTGCGCGGTTTGCGCTGACTGACAACTTTTGCGCAGCAGCAGGGCAGCATTCATTTCCTTGCTATATTCCCCAACAAACCTCGAAAACGACGATCTTTTGGCGAGCACGACTTGCCACGACGACGACTACGACGGTCTCTTCCAAGCTGCTCCGAAAAAGTTCCCTGCTGCGGGGTTGGCCAGCCATCAAAACCATACCACCGGGCCTGGGCTCACCCTTTTAAAAACACCCATCATCATCACGCCCACCAGTACCCAACATCAACAACAAGAACGACGACGACCACCACCACCACCACACATATAGACCATGCCATTCTTCCGCATAACCCTGCACCGCAGCGCCATCGGCCTGCCCGAGCGCACGCGGGGCGTCCTGATGGCCCTCGGCCTGCGGAAGCGCACGCAGACCGTGTACCACCCGGTCAGCCCGCAGTTTGCGGGCATGATCATGAAGGTCAAGGAGCTGGTGCGGGTCGAGGAGGTCGACCGCGCGCTCGACTCGCAGGAGCAGCGCGCGCTGCGGAGGCCGGACCCGGGGTTCTACGTGGAGAAGAAGGCTGGCGGGGGTTCTGCTGCAGTTGCTGCTGCTGCCGCCGCTGAGGGGGAGAGGACGGTCTGATTTGGAAGGGGGGGGAGAGAACCGCCGTAATGCATGTTTCGGTTTTTTTCTTTTGGTAGCGGGAGAGGTCATCAGCCCAAGGTCGAATGAGCCATGATCAAATGTGCCTACGACGTACATTAAACGACAAGGGGGAGTCACTCTCGATGTCCAAATTGGACATGGGAGCTAAGTCGGTAACGAGCCCGCAGTGGAGCGGTATGAGTCCAAATGACATGGAGGATGTCATCCGTTGGCAAGCAACAAGAGCAGGACGATCAGGGGCAAGAACTTGCCCGTGGGGCCGTAGGGCCTTGGTGTTTAGGTCGTGGCCGTCACACAACCTGCACAAGTCCTTTGTGCATGTACGCCAGGTACGGGCCAACAATTGTATCAAAAATGTATATTGAACGAATACCACATCAATAAAGTTGTTGGAATATGATCGATACCAGCGTAAGTAGTGGAACTGCAGGACTATGGCAGACTTTTGAGTGACCCCAACCCACCTGAAAGGCTACTGGTGCGTTGAATGTCACTCAACAAGCCCCGCGGGTCACTGGCTTTAATCTCCCCAAGGTACTGATGATTTTTCGTCACAAGCTGACATGGTCTCTGTCCTAATAGCGACGGCAACTCTCGTCTACTTACTAGCTCCGGGACTAAGTTGTACAAAACCTCGTGAACGTGGCAAAACTGTCATGGCCAAACTCCGTGCGCCAAGCCCTCCCAAGACCAACCCGGTCTATCAGTTCTTTGCCTTCTCAACGTAATCGTTGGGTGGCGTCTCGTACTCTGACACAAAGTAATCGCCAGCATGGCGAGATAGCCAGCTCGTGAATTTGGTCAGCTCCTCACGCAGCCTGTTGACCGATTGTTGATCCATGTTTGTCTGGGCAATGAGCTCGGGGAGGGAAACTATTCGGAGTTAGCCGTGTCATCATTCAGTCGAAAGAGAATCTGGACGAGACAGGTCATGCTTACCGAGCAGCCGCATAAGATGTTCCGGTCCATACGTTTCAACTGCGGTCTTCCGGTTGGCCCAGTCCGGGTCATCGGACAGCCACTTCTCTCGTACTTCAGCGTATTGTGGGCGCTCGAATCTAAACGGATTGTCAGCATTCGTCAAAAGATATTACGAGCAACATGCATGACTGACCTGTACAGCAGAATTCTGCTGAGACATTTGTCAAAGTACTCTTTGAGCCCGGCCAGCGTCTCTTCCAGGATGTCGATTTGGGCGGAGCCCTCTGGCCGCTTCGGTGATTCGTATGCCGAGTAGTCTTGGAGGATCTTGCTGATCGGGCTAGGGTGAGGAAGGGGAACGAGCTGGTTGTTCTTTGTGATATTCTCCCAGTCATCAACCAGTAGTGCTTTGAGCACATCTGGAATGATCAGCTTGATCGAAGGACGGGCATGGAAAGCATCCTCCTACAGTTCAATATGCATTAGTTAGGTCGCCCGGTGCAAAAGCTACAGATGCATGACGAAGAAGTCTAAAGCCATCCAAAGTGCCCGCGTAGTATCCGGTAATATCCGAAGCTGCTACATTCTGGGTCACTTCTTTCGTGGGGAATGCCGAGTGCCTGAGACGCCGGTGGAGCGTTCCGGCGGTGACGACGATCCGGAGGAGGACGGCCCCGGCTTCGCTGTGCCTTTTGGTCTCTTGGGCTTCGCAGGATCTTGGCTGAACCTGCCATCATACAGCACAAATGCGGCCTTCTCCATGATGTCGATGTTCTTGATGTAGAGGTTTTCCGTGTTTGCAGGCGGCAGCCTGAGAAGCCAGTCCCAAGCTTCTGCCTGTCTGACACACAGGCTTTCTCTCTGCCTAAAGGTCGCAGGTTGCCGTTTGCTGCCTTGAGAACGGCTTTTGCCAGCTTTCATAACGCCTCCTGTCCGAGTTGCACCCACTCCTGCAGTTGGGTAGGGAGCTGGCATTGCGGATGAGTGCAAAACTTGCTCTTGTCCGAGGTGGCCTGTATCTTGGGTGCGGATGTTTGAGATGGGACGACGGGCTTGGCTCCAGACGTATGCGGGTTTCAAGTCTTGGCCGGCATGTGTTGACAAGAGCTCAGCCGTGTTGGGAGCGAGGTGAGGCAATTGTGAAGAGGGGCTGGACTGCTCATCGCTGCTGTTCGCGGGTGCGGACGTCTCTGGGCTCGCTCGGGGTGAGAGTAGCCCCATTGCAGCAGTCGTGGTAGCGACAGTGATTGTGGCCGGCTTTGAGGCAGTCGCAGTTTCTGGCTTTGGGGCGGGTGATGTGTTCTGAGCGGCCAAGCGTGATGAGTGTCTCCGAAAGCTCGGTCCACGTTCTCCCAGCCAGAGGGCCATGGCCACAGCAGAAATGTTCGCGCAGAAGGGTCTGGTTCCCTCGATGACTGTGACGAACCAGGATGTCCTGCGTGGCAGGCTGATCCGGAAATGTTGTTGCAGACGAGCCACAGGAGAAACAAAGATTAGGCAGTTGGTGGGGTGAATGATGTACACGTCCGTGGGAGGCTGCACCTCACACAGAAGCGTTTTGTGAGATATCGCCTTCGGGGAGCAGCCGTCGAACAGCAGATGTGCAATGACAAAGGCAGCGAGTGACCCGCAGTGAGTTGGTTGTGACTACTCGTGTTGATACTCCCAACTCTGTGCCGAGTGAAGTGGGTGACTCAACACGAGGTGCAGCCTTGCAAGGCAGCAGGCTCCGAACTCTAGGTCATGTGTAGATAGGTAATGTTTGCCTTGGGGACAAAACGAGCTGGCCGCTGAGGTTGGGAAACAGGGATTGGCGCGGTATCATGGCCGTTCTGTTCATCTCTTTGGAGTTGATTTGGGCCCCAAGTGTGCGATGGTAAAGGGGTTACCGTTCGCTATCGAGGAAGGTGTGCGGGTGTCCAACCAAAAGCAACATAGCAGGGCAGCTACTGCATGTAGTGACAGCTCATAGGCAACCCCCAAGGGTGGAAGCCTGGCTGCTCGGACGTACAGGTTCGCGGTCAGGCTGCCGAGTGCTTCAACAGGGAAGACAGCAAATCCTCGAGACCTCGTAGGTTTCCGCTATGCGGTCCTTGTTCTGAGCTGGAGGCAAGGTCTGTTCCACGTGCAGAGCATGACATTTCGCGTTTGCATCGCGCAGTCTCCACGGGGCAGTATTGCAGGGCATATCCTTGGTAGACAAACGACTCATGACAGGGAGAGAAATCCAACTTACAGTCTCAAGCTCGTAGTCACGACCTCGTCGTGGTCCTCTGCCACCGAAGCTGTTGTTGGCGCCTCGCTCCTCGCTGCCTCGCGCGGAGCTCATCTCGGAGCCGTTGGCGGCGCCGCCGCCGAAACCAAAGCCCTTTGCGTTGGCCTTCTTGGACGACTTGGGTGCCCGCTGGCGGGCCTGGAGCTGGAGCTGGGCGGCGAGCTGCTTGTTGTCGTCGGTGAACTTGCGGATGCGGTCGGCGCTGACCCAGTCGTCCCAACTGGCCTTCCACCCTTTGTAGTGTATGCGGTACTGCGTGTCGTCGACCTTGGCCGCGGGGCGGATGTCAGTCACCTTGGCCTCGTACATGAGGTCGCCATGGAAACAGAGAACCCTCTCGTCCTTTGCGTAGGGCGGGGTCTGGTTCTGCTTGGGCGCCATGCTGTCCGTTCTGGTCTCTGCCGTGGCCTCCCTGCGTTTGCGACCTTCTTCTCGGGATCACTGCAGTAGAGAGCGCTCAGACCAGAGCGTGCCTGACACTCGAGCACGACTCAGCGATTGGGGGGGGTCGGAAAAGGTCCTTGGGCGTAGGAAGTAAAGCCGCAATGAGATGAGTGGTCCAAGGAAGTACAGGAGAATGAGTGCCAAATCTCACGTGCTCTTTTTCGATGAGCTATGTCGAGTTATATGGTGGTGTATGGGGAAATGTTTGCATGAGTGAGACTTGCACCCAGGGCAGCCATCCCAAAGTCCACCGTAGCAAGCGCAATGCCAGGGTCTTCTGCAATTAACGGCGCCAGTCCAGCCCCAGCCAAAACGCGCTCTGGCTGCATCCTCTTTAACCTCGACGCGTCTCGGTCCACCCGCACGCACGCCCCCTTGTTCATCATTAGGTGGTAATTGATTGACTGCCTCGATCTTCACTTCCATTGGAGCGACCCCATTCTTAGGACTGCATTACCAGCGATCCACCAGATGACATCTGCAAAAGCACATGTCCAAACATCTCGTCATTGCGCACATTCAGCAACCAATTCCACACCACACATCATCACGACTGCCCATCTCCACCCAACAGCCACAACGAACCTTCTGGTCGGATCGCAACCATGGCACCGACCGAAGCCTCCATCCTCGAAAACTACCTCCTGCTCCCCGCACGCCTCCCCTCCATCATATCCCTCCAAGAGTTCACCGCCCTGTTCCCCAAGACGCAACAGTCCTCGCCCCACATCCGCTCGCTGTACCGCGACCTGCAGCAGCAGCGCAACGCCGCTGTCGACGAGGTCGCCGACAACATCGACGCCGAGGCGCGCGGGGTCAGCAGGTCGCTGCGCCGGGAGCTCGTGCGTGCACGGCTCGAAGCCGAGCACGAGGAGCGGGACGATGAGATTGAGATTGAGCGTGCGGTATGTTCTAGTCCCCGTTTGCAAAGAGAACCCAATGTCGCAGGTCATTGAAACTGATCTTTGCATTGTCGATCTATAGCTCTTCGGCCCCACGTCAAACCTCGTCTCCGCGAAACCGCATCACCTCATGACAATCTTGCCCGAGATGGAGGCCGCCGTGGCCGACATGGAAGCCGAGATCAAGAAGCTCGAGGAGGACGAAGCCGCGCTGCTCAAGAGCGTCAAGCAGACCGTGGGCAGCCTCAGCGATCTCCGGTACGGCAGGCTGGGCAACACGAAGCTCCGCACAGAGAGCCTCGAAGCGCTACGAACAATGCAGGATGTCTGCACCCGCGGAACTTGAGAGAAAAGCCTGATACACAAACTTGGCACAAGGATGAAGATCAAACGATTACAAGGTATAATTTCGAAGACTATTCGATCAGAATATGTCTGTGGTTCTACAAAGCTTTTCCAGCAAGCGACCATTCATTACGCCGCTCATCATGGCAGCTATACAGATGGCGACCTTCTACAAGCCGGTCTAAAATGTGCTGTGAGGGCACACTCAGAACGTTGTGCAGCCCAGAGAGCTCAACCTAAAGCAGCTCTATCTCCGGTTGGCGGGAGCGGCGCGAGCAGCATCGGCCTGGCGTCCAGAGGTCTCCATGGTCTGGCGGGCGCTTCTGCCACTATATTTTGGTCAAGTCAGCATCTGATCGTCTCCACGCAAGGTTTCGCTGGGGAAGGAGCTGGCGCAGGTGGTACTGCGCTTCTACAGCAACAGAATTGTAGGTCACTTACACAAAGTAGCGGCTGAACATGGAGATGCCGATCATGAAAGCCCAGCTGGGAACCAGGTTCAGGATCCAGATGGCGTAGCCGGCAGGAATGGCGAGGCCGTTGTTGGCAACAAAACCGTGGTAAGGGTGGAAGGCGCCAGTGTGCTCGTACATGGTGCCGTTGTAGCCCTTCTCCTTGATTGTCTTCTGCATCCCGGCAAAGTCATCCGAGGTGGTGGTTGTCAGGTTCATGCCCTTGACCCAGACGTTGACCTTGTTGGGCGCGGGGAGGACTTCAAAGGCCCAGAGCGCGCCGGGAGGAGAGGACCATGAGTGGCAGAGAACTGGCTGGTCCTCGCAGTTGAGGAGCGCGGTGTGAGGCGCGCCCGGGGTAACGGCGAATTTGGCGGCAGTCTCGTTCCACGCGCGCTCGGTGTCTTCGCAGCGGCCTGTTTGGATTGGCACAGTCTGGTTAGCTCAATATGATCATCATCTACCGATAGCAGTATTGCTCTCAATTGGGAAGAGAGCCGTCGTGCGATCTAGCTCATTTCGCGCAGACTTGATAGCCAGGGTCTCAGTGTCACCTACCAAAGCAAGCCTTCTTGCCGCCAGTGATGAACACCCACCACTCATCCGGGGTCGTGGAGGTGGCTTTGGTGTTGCTGAAGAGGGTCTCGTTCCAGTTGCTCAGCGTAAGGGTGTGCATCTTCATCTCTCCGACCTTGGCCTCAGCAGCACCGACAGGGTCATGGCGATTCGGGCTCGGGATGTACTTGTTGAAGAGGGCCTGGGCCTGGCCAAGGTACTGCTGGACAAAGTCGCCCTCGGCGGCGGCGAGGAGGGGGAGGCCGAAAGCGGCGGCGGCGGTCGAGAAGCGCATCTTGGAGGTTGAAGATGAAGAACCGGAGGGAATTATGTACCTGAAGAGTCCCTGGGAACGTCTGCGCTGCGAAGGCTGAAGCCGAGGGGAAAGAGAGAAGGGGGGAAGAAGCAGCGTTGGTGGTGAGAGCGTGGAGGAAGGCCGAAGAGGGTGGTAGAACTTGGAGGGCAAGGGTCCTAGAACAGGAAAGGAGCTTGGGCGCCTGAACCGCTGGCGGACGAACCCCGGTGGGAGACGAAAGTGGGCAATTTGGGGTCCGCTGGCCGCGCTACGGGAACCAGCGATCCGCCCCTCAGTGGAAGGACTGCAGGACTCGGCTCCGGCTGCTTGGTCTGGAACACATGTGAGTGCAGTTTGCGAGTCAATCCCGCGGGAACACACCAATCTCATGACTGGGATTTGAGACATGCAACAGATCGGACTTTTCAAGGATGCAATGGTTTGGCGCTCTCACTCCAAGATCGTCTGTTTGTTTATGGGGTCGGGAGCGCGGGGCCGGCCCCGATGCCCATGCAATTTCGGATGAACTGTGACCCTGGACAGCTGTACTGGCAATGCTGAGGCAGGCCCCAGGGCAATCGAAAAAAATCTATTCCCAATCATCCATAACCTGAAAGTCGTAGCGGAAGCCTGAGGTCAGTGTGCTGTCCCTGGCAGCAGGATGACATATACTGCTGTGATGCCTGCCTACGAGTCTCGCATCTAGTCAAGAAAGCTGGACTTTCGGCGAATCTGTCCTTTCACAAGCCGGTGCCCTCCCACATTAGCCAAGGAACTAACGGGCCGGAAGTGCGGGCTGGTCAAGCCTGCCAGGTCAGCACACCAGGATGGTCTGAGTGGATTGCGATGCGTCGTGAAGTACTTTGAGATGCTTCACTTTCCAAGCGCTGGTGCAAAATGATTGGTAAGAGATATTGCTCTCCATCACCGCACAGGTCTATAACCATGTCTCCGGCTCCCCTCTGCTTTGGAATTGCCTGCCATGGACGTGTGACGTTTGTGTGTTGTGCAGCTTTGGAGCAAAGATGTGGTGCCCCACACCTTCTGGAAATGCGGAGTTGGGGTCGCATCCGCCCTCTGACGCAGTGCGTACTGCGTCGCGACGCGCTGCGCATGGCCGATAAGATAGGTCCCAAATAGTGAGTCCCCACGCCCAGCTCGAAACATTACACCACCAACCACCACCACACGCAGCGATACTCAGCAACGAGACACGATAGGCACGGTCTCTCATTACGACCCTCAATCCCCGGCAGTCGACATTTGAAAGCATCCCGGAAGACGACACGACCACGACTCACATCGGGGCGAAAGCTATAACCCCACGTCGCGTGTTCTCAAGAAATGTTCCCCACGACGCGTCGGGAGTCCATGCAACAATACCTCCTCCGCCGGTACAGATAGACCACGCAATAGGGAAGACCACGCGCACGCCATGGCGCGCTTGTCGTGGCCAGTAGACAACGGCGAAGCTTCGCAGCCAAAACCGAAGGCGAAAGCGGCAAAAGCTGAAGCTAGCACAAAATCCAAAGCGCAGCCAAAAAAGCAGTCGGCGGCGGCAGCAGCGAAAGCGAACATCCCGTCCAGCAGAAGGCCACAGGTCGCCACGGAGACGGCGCAAGATGGAGGGGCGACACCGCAGGAGCGTAGAACGATGTCTGCGAAGAGCTTGCGGAGAGCTTCGACACACGCAGCCAAAACCAGTACTGCCGAGCCACCAGCGACTGCAAAACCCAAGCGAGGGAGGCCATCGATAGACAAGAACAAAGACACGACGAGCTCGGAGGGAAGGAAACGACCGCGCTCATCCCTACCGTCCGATCCGTCGGCAACAACAACGACAAAGAAAAAGCGCGGCCGGCCATCGGCAGCACAAGCACAAGATAGTGCCAAGGAGCCGCAGACGGAACCAGAGCCAACAAGACCGAGGAAGAGGCGGCGGGGGTCTGGCGAGACTGCGGAAGCGCAGCCCGGTTCCGACTCTGAAGGCTCACCACCTCCATACCGACACCTCGAATCCCGCACTCGGCACATCTCTCGCAGCACCATCGAAGACAAGTGGGAGCCGCTCGACAAGCCGTCCATAGCAAATGTCACGGCCCTCCTCGGCTCGGCGGCCCGGCCAGTCCTCCTGCGCCTACGAAACATGCAGAAGCATACGCAGGCTACAGCAATCTTGAACGCGGTGGGCAATAGGCTGCGCAACAAGCTCACGCGCGGGATGCCGTTCCCGCCAGCCGCGACCGCGGGCAAGCGCGAGGACGAGCTCGAGTTCGAGAAGACAATCGCCGGGCTCGAGGCGCTCGAGTATCAGCTCGACCCGTTACTGCACAGCGTGCAGCTGCTCCGGCGGGAAAAAGAGCGCGCCGAGAAGGAGCTTGAGAAGGAGTATAAGGTGCTCAATCGGCTCACTGCGAATGCGCGCACGGCGGCACGAGAGAGGAGGGAGCACATCCGGAAGATGCACGGGCTTGTTCCCGAGCGGCCTTCAGATCGCGCCGACGACGAAACAGCAGGCGAGGAAAGTGCTGTACCCGCTGTGGACACAGCCTCGAGCGGAGGAAATGTCTTTGTCGGACTGGATGAGCAGGATAAAGAACTTGCCAGTCTCGCGACGCAGATTGCGAACCACATGGACAGCCTCAAGGGCAACCTACGCCAGATTGACGGCGTGGTGCCCGCGATCGGACAGAGCCAGGCCGCGCTGAGGGCGCGTTTACTGGAGCACTTTGATACCGATGTAGTCGACAAAGTTGTGCTAGGCTGAATCCTGAGGAAGTATACGCGTTGAAAAAGAGTGGTGGGCTCAAATACTGCCAGGCGCTTACGGGGAATTCCAGGCACACGTTGTGCCACGGATATGCTTTTTGGACGGGTTAGGAAGAGCTGTTTTGCCTTGTACTGGTCGACGTTCTGTCATGTCACGATATACCCTGAAGTATGGCCATTGAATTGAAACTTGGTATTTAGTCGCAGGGCACTCCCAGGCCACGCGATCCTTTTTGACATCTCGAACCACGGAATTGTCGTCACGTTTGGATCCAGTCGACTTCTTGAGTAGCGCGGCGCCACGAACCGCGATCCTCCTCGTCATTGACTTTTCGCTCTGTGCGTTATTCCTTCCCACAGCGTGGAAGTTGCAGGGTCGCCGTAAAGATCGACTGTGGAAGCAGATATACACTCCATGTCCACGTGGACAGCTAGATCAGATATGGCTGACGCTGATATTTGAAGGTTGCCGGCGGACCCTCCTCCCGCAGTGCTTTCCGATTTCACTGTATCCTCCAGTGGTGAAGTGGTTCGTTTTCGCTCCCAGCATTGTTGACCTAACGTGAATGTGTGTTTGGAATTCCAGATGAAAGTACTTGACACTGACAGGAGCGGTCCACTGTCTCGAAATCGCGGTTTAAGTCTACGTGAGAAAGCGTTGGAGGCCATCGAATTCGAGGGTTACACCTTTATTGATCCACGCCCGCAGACTGACGGTAAGATGAAGCATGGGTTCTTCCACACAACCCGAAAAGGGGCGCACTCTCGTCCTAATCCTCAAGGAAGTCAGGGACTCTGACCTTCTGACCCTCTGACCCTCTGGACATCATTATCACTCAAGCTTTGAGCGCTCTGGATGTTTGAAGTTTCAGACAGTCGGAACTCCCTCTGAGACCCTCAATCAATCAAACGTGATTACTGCGGGAGTATCATAGCGGACATTGCCGGGTACTCTCACCGTGGCAAGGGACCTGATGATTTTGAATGTGGCCGAGCCGTCTGGCAACAGAAATCCTTGCTTCCGAACGGAGTGATACAGATTTTCCATTCGCAGATAAGACGCGAGGCGGTCTCAAGGTCACGTCTGTCATAGCAAGCGCAAGTGGCTGAGACTCGCATCCTGGTAGACCCTTCCCAACCCCTCGATTGGCGTTCGAGCATGGGTCGGCGAGTTTCTGTATGCACGGACCCTATAGAGCATACTCGATACGATTTCTGGTGCCCAAGGCCAAGCCCCTCGAGAATTGCGAAGTCACGCAAGATTGCCATGGAGAGCACGAGTTCGCCGTCAAGGGAAGCACGATCCGCACTAGTTGAGAGGGGTGCCTGTGCCTCTTGAGCTCTTGTGCACGGCCAAGAGCACTCACGATTGGCCAATTGAGACCAGCCTCAAGTGACGGTGTGCTTCACATCGTTGACAGCGAGCCTGTCTCACATGTGGTGTTCCTCTCTCATTCGGTAGCACGTCAAGCCTTCTCCATTCTGGTCAGCGGCACGATTGAGACACGCAGGGGATGGCCAATGGCGCGTCGGTGACCAGCCCCTCAAGTCTCACATCCTCAGAACGGCAAGAGTGTCATGATCAGCCAACAAAAGCACTCTCGATGTCAGGGCGGTGAAGCTCATGTGGGGGTGGTGGGACAGGCCTAAAGTCGCCGAACGTCGGACGAGCCGTGCTGGCTGCAAAGTCATCGAGGGGCGAGGGACAGCTAGCCGGCGACTAGGCATGCGAGGGACATGACGAACATGGTTTGGGCGACGGATGTCGGTAGGACCGCTGAGTCAGTCAGCACAATAGATCCACGAGTGGGTAGCCACGGCTGTCACCATATGGAGTTTCGAAGCGGATCGACCAGCGTCCTGGCCATTGATGGGCCTTGCCAGTGGTGCGTTGCTGTGTGTGGCTGCCTCGAGAGCAATGATGATCGATCTGGTGGGTGGGCTGTCATTTCAAAGCCTTTGTCTGCTGGCCGAGCCGCCAACGACGAAGGAACCAATCACGAGCCGTGAGGCCGGCATGATGCCATTTTCTTAGCCTGAACTTTTTTGCTGGGCCAGTGCCAGACGAGCTAGGGTCTGAGCTGGGTCCCCGTTCTCGGACCCTGAACGAGTGGGTTTGGCGTGAGGTGAAAGGGCGACAGCCGCGTACATGCAGCGTAGCGTCGTACGCAGGCAGGGAGGAAAGCACGGGGGCCTGAAGTCGACGCGAGCTAGATTTTCTGAAGTGGCAGACGTGCCAGCAGAACCGAGACGTCGACGAGACGCTACAGAGGGCATCCAGCAAGAGGCGGCTGATCGTCTGGGGGTCGGAGGCATCCGCCAGAGGTCGAGAGGATCCGGACGGCAGCGAGGAAGTCGCGGCGGAAGTGGGTGGGGGCCCTGGAATTGGCAATGGACGGCCAGCCAGCAGTAAGTTAGTGGCACTGTGAGGCGAAAGAGGCCCAGACATTGAGGCAGAACGCATTCCAGTCTTGCCAAGGAGGGGTGCTGCATGGTAGTGTGCCCGCGGGGTGACGGCGGGAGAGTGGGGCCTGTCCGCGTTCTGCCCAGAGCTCCCCTCGCGTACAAAAGTTTCCCACCCCCTCGACGCCGTCCGGAGTCATTCTCTCTTCTCTCGACATTCTCTCTTCATATCTCTTCTCCTGGCTCCTTTCTCAATTACCAGGAGTTTCTCAGAGTTGTGTCGGGTCAAATCCGGAACTCTGTCCCTTTTCAGTACTTTGCTCGCCAGATCATCCTCCAAAATGGTGCAGTCCGCAGTTCTCGGCTTCCCTCGCATGGGTCGCCTCAGAGACTTGAAAAAGGCTACTGAGGCGTACTGGGCGGGCAAGATTTCGCAAGCGGACCTCTTAGCCGAGGCAAAGCGCTTACGTCTTGAGCACTGGAAGATCCAGAAGGATGCTGGCGTTGATGTCATCCCCAGCAACGACTTCGCCCTGTACGATCAGGTCTTGAAACAGTCGCAGGACTTCGGCGTAAGTCCACTGAACCTCGGACTTACTGCTTTAGACTCTTTTTAGAGTAATTTCAGATGTCTAGATCTACTCGTGGCTGCATGACTAATCCGGTCCATTATAGGTTGTTCCTCCGCGGTATGCCACCTCCGGCCTCGACGACATCGACACCTACTTCGCGATGGGTCGTGGACACCAGAAGGGAGGCGTTGACCAGCCGGCCATGGAAATGGTGAAGTGGTTCGATTCGAACTATCACTACGTCAAACCTGCATTCCAAGACAACCAGACCTTCAAGCTCGCCGAAAACCCCAAGGCGGTTGAGGAGTTCCTCGAGGCCAAGGAGGCGGGCATTATCACCCGCCCCGTAGTCCTCGGTCCCGTGTCTTACCTCCACCTTGGCAAGCCTGACCATGACCAGAGCGTCGACCCTATCAGCTTGCTTGAGAAGCTCCTGCCGGTCTATGTCGAGCTCATCACCAAGCTGAAGGAGGCTGGTGCTCAGACCATCCAGATTGACGAGCCTGTCCTGGTTCTCGACCTTCCTGAGAAGGCCAAGGCTGCCTTCAAGCCCGCGTATGAGAAGCTGGCCTCGACGGGCGTTGACCTTGTTTTCTCGACCTACTTCGGTGATATCGTTCACAACATCGAGGTTGTCCCCAAGGACATCTATGCCGTCCACGTCGACCTTGTCCGCAACCCTGAGCAGCTCGAGACTGTCATTGGTGCCCTTGGCCCCAAGACCATCCTCTCTGCTGGTGTTGTCGACGGCCGCAACATCTGGAAGACCAACTTCAAGCGTGCCATCGAGATCGTTGAGTCCGCTATCCAGAAGCTCGGCAAGGAGCGTGTCATTGTTGCCACCTCCAGCTCTCTCCTCCACACCCCTCACACTCTTGCCAGCGAGAAGAAGCTGGATCCTGAGGTTGCCGACTGGTTCTCATTCGCTTCTGAGAAGGTTGTTGAGGTTGCCATCATTGCCAAGGCCGTCACTGAGGGCCCTGCTGCCGTTCGTGATGCTCTGGAGGCCAACGCCAAGTCCATGAACGCCCGCGCCACCTCCAAGCGCACTAACGACCCTGCTGTCAAGGAGAGACAGTCCAAGATCGTCGCCTCTGACTACAACCGCAAGTCTGAGTTCCCCTCTAGAATTGCCCAGCAGCAGAAGAAGCTCAACCTTCCTCTGTTCCCCACCACCACCATCGGCTCTTTCCCCCAGACTAGCGAGATCCGTATCCAGCGTGCCAAGTTCACCAAGGGCGAGATCACCGAGGCTCAGTATGACAAGTTCATCGAGCAGGAGATTGAGATGAACGTCAAGATCCAGGAGGAGCTTGGTCTCGATGTCTTCGTTCACGGCGAGCCCGAGCGTAACGACATGGTCCAGTACTTTGGTGAGCGCCTCAACGGCTATGCTTTCACCACCCACGCCTGGGTCCAGAGTTACGGTTCCCGCTGCGTCCGTCCTCCGATCATTGTCGGTGACATCTCTCGTCCCGCTCCCATGACCGTCAAGGAGTCCAAGTACGCCGTCTCGGTCTCTTCCAAGCCCATGAAGGGTATGTTGACTGGCCCCGTCACTTGCTTGCGGTGGTCTTTCCCCCGTGACGACGTCCACCAGTCTGTCCAGGCCGAGCAGCTTGCTCTTGCTCTCCGTGACGAGGTCGTCGACCTCGAGAAGGCCGGCATCGACGTCATCCAGGTCGACGAGCCTGCCCTCCGTGAGGGTCTCCCTCTCCGCTCCGGCAAGGCCCGTGACGACTACCTCAAGTGGGCCGTCAACGCCTTCAAGCTCGCCACCGTCGGTGTTGAGGATGCTACCCAGATCCACTCCCACTTCTGCTACTCCGAGTTCCAGGACTTCTTCCACGCCATCGCCGCCCTCGACGCCGATGTCCTGTCCATTGAGAACTCCAAGTCAGACGCCAAGCTCCTCAAGGTCTTCGTTGACTCCGAGTACCCTCGCCACATTGGCCCTGGTGTCTACGACATCCACTCCCCCCGTGTTCCCAGCGAGCAGGAGATCAAGGAGCGCATTGAGCAGATGCTTGTCAACATCAAGCCCGAGCAGCTCTGGATCGACCCTGACTGCGGTCTCAAGACCCGCCAGTGGAAGGAGACCAAGGAGGCGCTCACCAACATGGTCAACGCCGCCAAGTACTACCGCCAGAAGTACAGCTCTTAGATGCAGACAGCCACGTCGCATCTGGACACTGTCCAACCACACACAAACACCCCTTGTCTTATTACATCAAATCCTAGCATCGTCTAGGTAAGCTTTGAAGCACAACAACGCATCAAGCTTATTGCCCCTTCAACAAAGGGCAAGTCTGCATTGTCATTTATTTTTTGTCTTTTTATGGGAAGCGGGATGCATGAATTCAACACACTACGAGTAGGCGTTATCTGTTCAACAAACAACGGGCGGGGTAAAATCATGATACCAAAAGGGGACTATTGATGAAATATTTTTCCTTCAACGGGAAAAACACGCCCGGCGCTCGCAGAAAAGGGTTTTCGCGAGCCCGGGCGGGAAATGAAAGCATGGCGTTTTGATACACACAGAGAGAAACCAAAAAATTTGTGACTCTCTCTCACTTGAGGAACATGCCCCGGATCTGACACGAATCGTGTGGTTCGGGCGCGTGTAATGTAGATACCACCTATGGCTTGCGAGCAGGCAGTTGCTCGCAGCCACGGATGCCAATTCAACCAAAGGTTCCGGACACAACAAAATCACACAAGATCGATCTACAATCAAATGATCATTTGCCCACCGTTTTTTCCCCTTGTGCATGTGGTTTGACTTCTATTTCTCTTCTTGTAATGATGACTTTTATCGGGCTTCGCCACCACTTAACCCGCTCTTCCTGAAGTAGGCAATTTGTTTTTTGTGCGCGACCTCTGTGCGAGTTGTCATCAACCAACTTCGACTGTCTTCGTGCCGTGGTCTAGATCGCTCTTGGCGAGGGTGTATGCGAGAATTATTGTTTAGAGATCCAGAGGCCCAGAGGCCCAGAGGTTCAGAGGTTCAGAGGTTCAGAGACCTAGAGGCTCAGAGGCCTAGAGGGTCTGTGGCCTGGTGGTCCCAGAGCCGAGGGCTTCTATCCTTAGCAAGAACGCCCCAATCATTTCTTGGACGCGAATGAGAGTCATTGAAAACTTCCAGTCTGGCAAGAGAAACGGATAGAACCCCAAACCGGAGTAGCTCTGGTGATGTTGCTGCTGCTTTTCGCCATACACCGCGCTGTGGCCAAGCACAACCTGAGTAGGGGAAAGCTATCACCAGACCGGGGAACCCATCATTGTTTTGCACAGCCCATTTGCCCATCTTCATCTGAACTACTGTGGCACTTCATGCAAGACAAACACATCCCCAGGAATAGTTTGTTGCTATTTGGCAAGGATTGAGCAGCTCCAATGTGAATTCGACTACACGGGCAAGTGGGACATGGCCGATGCTGGTGCAACTGAAGTCCCGTCACTGGGTCCGGCTACGCGAGGAAACAAAAGGCACGGACGAAACTCTACCGTGGCCACAGAGAGCACAGGGGAAGTGCAAGCGACTCTATTCGTTGTAGTGTTCTTAAATTACCATCACGACATGGGACGATAACCATGACTTGGAGATCCAATCTATACAGATTGCGGTGGGAGAGTACGAATACTATATCACTTCAAACAGCATGGCTTTATCAGGCCGACATGTCCCCCCAGCGAGGCTAGAAGGACAGGGAGCCATGAACCTCATCCCGACCCACACTACATGGTATGTAGAGGTTCAGTGGGGACAAATCTGGCTTTGCGCCCCCAAAACCCCGGTGTCACAGACAGATTGAGGCGGAAATTTAGAGTTGCGACAATCAGGGGAGACGCACACTTCACCTTGCTCTTCATTTGAGCACCTTTTGGGGCCCACGAGTCCTTTGATTGCCAAAAAAAATTTGACGAATTGATCAGACGGACGACGCGCCCAATCGAGAGCTGGCGGCAGTGATTGAGTGGGCAGAACGCGACTCAGACGTGTGGAACAATTTTTTGCTTCTGATGCGGAAGTCGGGTAAAACCTCAAACGAGGCTCATGCATCCCACATATGCTTATCAGGGCAGGTTCTTTCCGGCTGTGCCTGGTGACAAGGGCTTATTTTGAGAGGGGGAGGGGGCCTGCCAGATCTCTGCCTCAAGTCAGTCGTAAACGACGCCACACTAGACCCCTAACTACCAAGGCAGTGCTGACAAGCTGCCCAAACGGTTGTCTTGAAGCAGTTGAAGGCTGTGTCGTTCCAGAAACTGTAACAAGGACGATTCTGTTGCTGGGTGTCAAGACAAGGCTCCTTGCAAATTCGTGTTGAGCCGCACGATGCATGTTCCCGGGCTTTGTTCGTGGTGGTGGCCAGTGCCCTGCTTTTTCCACGACCTTCTGCAGGTGGTTGGTGTCTTGGACATTGCTAACCGCGCATGACCGGCGGTCTGGCCACTTGCCAGTGGGAAGTGCCAGGAGGACGTCGAGTTCTTGGTTCTTGCAGTGACAGCCGTTCCCTGTCCCGTTAGCCTGGCAGTAGCTTCTTCGCGTGGGTATGGCGTGGCTAGCTCTCACTCGGCCTCCCTTTCGAAACCGCTGGCCCGACGCCGCCCGTCGACGAGCGACTCACGAGGGCAAGGCAGAGTCGTCATGGTGCAACGGTCCGTCGTAGGCCTGGCGCGAGGAGGAGCCCGTGCCTGGCGGGCCACATAAGCAAGGGAGGAGGACAATGGGCACAATGGAAAAGGGGGGCTTGGATCTAAAGAGCGCCCCGCATGGCGTTTCACGATCAGACATCCCCGTGTGATTCGCTCAGGGGTTGGCGCCCAGTTGCGAGGGGCATTACAGGCAGGGCTCGGCACCACAGCCGCATCTCTTTCTCTTTCTCGTCTGGCCCCGCTCCATACCAGGCTTCCATGATTAACACGAATCCCAAACTCCAGAAGATAAACGCCGTGTGAAGACAGGCCAAGCCAGTTCAGATCATGCATTCATGACAAATTCTGCACAAGCCCAGGCTGTGTGAAGAAGAACATGAGGCCTCATGGGCGGTAACAGTCTGGGTCTGCAAGACGTGTTGACTCGCAGCCTCACGTCATCTGATAGTCCGCGGCAAGGAAAGCAAGTCCTCATTAAACCGCAATATCTTCGAGACAGCACCACGAGGTAGCGCCTTGCAGGCCGCATGGCAATCTATTAAACCTCTGCCGTGGGGAACGCGCCGAGAGTGCGCAGCACATTGTGACAGGCAGATACATGCGCCATAATTACGTCGGAGGTCGGATGAAGGCTTTCAGCTGCTTCGCCTCGTCCGGTCTTTGAATCTCGTTTTCGCTGGTCCCCTGCAGCGGCTCGGTGCATATTGCGCTGGAGCTTGGACTACGATGTGGTCAGGAACACGCCCACTCTGCTCAGAGCCTTATTGTTTGGGCAACAGCATCAGCCTGGCCTGGCTGAGTGAGAACGAGTCTCGCCAATGACGATGTAGTTAAAGAACTTGAGGCTCTCAGCTGCTGCGACTCGGGCACGGGCTACCACCACCCACAGTCCAACACGTGCTTCATGCTTGACGGAACACTGCCATGTTCATCATAGGATGCGCTGATGAAGATGCGCCAACAGAGACCCGGCGACTCCTCCCACGTCAGGACGCAGCCATAGTCCCGCCTCTGGAACTGGAGCCAAGCGAGTGCCCCTGAGCAATGTAGGACTGCCATTGGCTCGAGCGCCGTCTCACGATGCTGTTCCTGCATGATGGGCGTTGCAGGGGCCAACGTTAGGGTGAGCCACCCGCCCAGCAGGGGCCTGGGTCCTCGCCAATGGCGGCGCCGCGACTGGGCTTCCACACCACCACCACCCATCGTCGCCTGCTTCGTCTAGCACACAATGTGATCCCTATGGGCCGGCCCCAACGATGAAACCGCAGCCTCTGGGGCCCTGCCATCCGGATGCTGCAGGGGTCCCGCTCGCTGGGGCACGTCCGTCCGGGATGGCAAGCCTGCCTTGCTTTGCCTCGCCGCCGCCCGTCCATCAAAAGGGCCTCATCGCCAGGCCTCTCGGCGGCCCGGTTCTTCCTTTCCCTCTTTCCAACCTCAGTTGTCTACTGTCTTTTTCCGAGTTCAATTCTTGACTCAAGTCTCTCCTTTCGGCTTCGGCTTCGTCGATCTCTCCTTCAATTTCAGCATCAGCAACAACACGTAGTGTTTGATCACACTCGCCCTCATTCTTGCTCATACCTTGGACGCGAAATCGACTTTCGCTCACTTACGAACCCACGCTCTTTGCGCACTCATCGACAAAGTCTAACTTTGCCCTTTTTCCCGAGCTCAGGATCCTCGAAGGACCAGAAAACACAACTGCAGATATCCCTCTTGACAGCGCCCTGTGGGACATCAAGCTCAGCATTTCTCATCACTTCCACGTATCTTGTCAAGGCTACATACACGACCAACCGCCAAAATGAAGTCCACCACCTTTGCCATCGGCCTCCTTGCCGGCGTTGCTTCCGCTGCCGTGCCTCAGCACATGCACCACCCTCACCCGCGCTTCCTTCACCAGCACTGGCGCCGCTCCAACGAGACTTACCCGACCACCGCGGTTGAGTCTTCTGTTGCCGCCGTCACCGAGGGTGCCTCGACTACCCTTACTGTTGCCGTGACTGAGACGCACACGATCACCTCGTGCGCTCCTACCATCACCAACTGCCCCGTCAACGCCAGCAACGGCACTGCCGTTGTCACCCAGGTTGTCGATATCACCACCATTGTGTGCCCCGTCACCGAGGTTCCAGCCATCTCGAGCTCCATCGTCAGCGACTACACCAACGGTGTCATCACTGGTGGCGTCACCTCGACCGTCCAGCCCACTGGATCCCCCAGCTACCCGACTCACCCTGCTCCTCCCCCGCCTGGCGCTACCGTTACCGCCAGCACCATGGTCCACGACCAGACCCTGACCATGACTGTTGGCCCCTCCAGCTCCCGGTCTGTCCTCGTCACCACCATCCGCTCCACTTACACCGAGATGGTCACCGTCAAGGTTCCTGGTGGTGGCCACGGCGGCAACGCGCCCCCTGCTGATGACCAGACCACCACCACCACCATGACCACTACTGGCACTCGTACCGTCACTGTTGAGTCGCCCACGACCTCGACTGAGGCTTCCCCCGAGCAGCCCACTGAGGCTGGCAACGGCACCCCCTACCCTACCAAGCCCATTGAGGGTGCCCACGGCGGCAGCAACGTTGGCACTGGCAACGACGCCGTCTGCGTTCCCGTGACCGTCACTGTCACTCACCAGGTCGCTCCCCAGACCGTCTACGTCACCATGCCTGCTGCTCCTTCGCCCACCAAGCCCACTGCCGTCGAGGTCCCCGAGGACAACACCGGCGATGACACCGAGGAGGGCGATGATGACGAGGAGGTCCCCGACGAGTGCCCTACCCCGTCTGCCACCACCTCTGCCTCCGCCGAGGACGTGACTGTCACCTCGACCGCCACCGTCATTCCTTACCCCACCGGCGCCAGCAACGGCACCCTGCCGGTCTTCCCCACTGGCGGCATGACCAAGCCCGTCGAGAGCTACCCCACCATTGCCGTCAAGCCCCGTGACGTCTTTGGCAGAAACTAAGATGGTTATTGCTCTTTCATGAGTCAAAGCCTCTTTTTGTAACTTTAACTAAGGGGGATAGTATCAGGGGGAGTTCTGAGATTATAGACCATTTCAGAACAGCGTGTTTGGATAAGTTCTAGTATATTCTCCCTGGTTCGCACCGGAAACATATACTGCGGAAGCTTCAATGGGTCCCGGCGCGGACAGGACGGGAAGCAATGTCGTTGGCACGTAAAGCAGAAAGACTTCACTTCGTATATGTAGGGGTTACACCCCGCAACCCCTTTTCTTTCCTTGACAGTTATTTTGAGATGATGAAAAAGACTATACCACAGCTCCCAGTCCTTTGTTTTGAAGTGAATTCCCCTCGTGACAGCGACTGATTGAAGGTAAGACGTTGACGGGGGCAGGTTCCGAAAGTCGAGGAACCCGGCGAATTTGCCTTTTCAGGAAAGTGGGTCCCGGTTGACAACCCCGAGGGCAACGACCCCGCGACTTCAGCCTTCGAAAGTCCAGAGCTGTATTCGGACCTCTAACGTCAGTGCCCATTGTTTCGTTGTTTGAAGTAGTGTCCAATCCCTTCTATGCCAAGCCTTGATCACCTTCGAAGAAGAAGCTTCTCGTTATCCCTCCCCCTGAACCGAGAGTATCTTTTAGTCGGCTGGGACAGACTGTCCCGCGTCTGCTCAAAGACCGCAAATCTACACGGAGTCCCGATATAACGGGCGCAGACGCGAAGACCTTGTCTCATGTTCCATGCAGCGACACGAAGTACTGCGCGATCACACGGCGGCAAACCAATGAGAAGTTCTGGGCCCCGGAAGACGCCGGGTTAACGCCTCCTTCAGGACACCTTTGAAGCCCTTGATCTACGAAAATTCGTCACATAGCGAATCTCCAGCACAATATAAAGTCGGCAAAAACAAGAACGAGACATCATAGTCTAGTGGGAGCTCTACATTTCATGTGTCCTCGTAAAAACTACATCATACACTAACTGAATACCATGCTGCAACCGAGCACTTCAATCTCACATGTCGATACTCGCCATGATCACTCAAGGTCTTTGTCATCCTATTCCTCGTCGCCACCGTTCAGTGCCGCAAGGTCTGCGAGCAGCCTCGACTCAAGTACGGTCTTCCGGCTGTATTGGTGGCCGCTCACATCTCCGGTCACCAGCTTCCAGATGCCCATGCCACGGATGTCATCAGTGCGCTGATCACCTCCACTTTTCAGGAAGATGCATGGTCGACCAAGAGGCGCACATTTCAGACAGGTGCAGACCTCTTCTCCATTGGAAAGCCGCATCAGATATGGCTCATACTGCGGAACTGAACCCAGGTTCCATCTCTGGACATGTTCGCAGCACTTTGACTGGCTGCCGACTTGTGTGCCGACCATGTACTTGGGGTGGTCGCGCAGCAGCTCGACTAGGCGGTTGTAGTTCGCCTCGAAGGTTGCCGTGCTCACCTCTGTGCCTCCACCGACGATCTGAGGTCTGCCGAACGAAGGGCCTCTCACGCGTGTGACGCGCCAAACCCGGTCGTAATAGTCGAAGTTGTATTCATGAACACGCGGGTGGCATGTCGCCTTGAACCAGTCAGGAGCACCATGCTGCCAGTGCCACGACTCAAGCATGGCGAGGTGAGTCAATGGCTGGGCGACGGGCAGGGTGAGACCAGCAATGACCTTGGCTGCATGGGACATGTTTGATGTGACTTCTTTGGCTCTTCCGCCAGGTTGGGTGAGGTATTGGATGTGGTTGAGACCGTCTTTGGCCCCTTTGTACTGGATCTGCACCGCAATGTCTCCAGTCCGGTCCCAGATGTCACCCTCGATCGGGCCCGGAACCGGGACAGATGCGACTCGATAAGGGTGAGGGCCCCGGCCCTTGACGTAGGTTTCCCAGGTGACCGCAACCATCTGGCCTTCTTCCAACTGTGAATGGTCTCCGATATTGTACTGCATGTCGCCTGGTCCAGGGTTGATGCTGTATGTGAGTCCTTCTTCCTTGCTGCCGCTACTCTCACTTTTGTACACCTTGGATAAGGTCGGACGCAAGTACATGTACTTGTAGACCACTCCGTTCTTGTCGCATACCGGAAGGCGGATCCATGACAGGGCCTGGAAGAGCTGGCTGCGCTCCATGGGCATCGACCAGTTCTGACCAATGACAATCTCACCAGCAGTGGCAGCTGCGTGAGTCTTTGTGTCAGACTCCGGAAGGCCGATGGCCTTGCGTGCGATGTGGTGGGAGTCCCGCAGAACCTGAGCGATGGGGAAACAAAACGCAATACAAGCCAGGCGCCCAAGGCTGTCCTGTTCCAGAGTACCATGGGCAAGGGCCTGGCCCATTCTGAGCAGTTCGGGATTGACCGAGTCGTCGTAGGAAACCATGCACTGCTCGGCTACATAACGACCGCTCGTGGTGTTGAGAATAGTCGAGTGCGGAGGCATGGAGAGCAGACGGAACATGCGGAAATCGTGCTTGTTTAGCTGTGTGAGCATGCGGCTGACCTTGTAGTGGGCGTTGATAGTCTGCTGCGAGCCGAAGATGTAGCCACAATGCATCTTGTAGCAATCGGCCATGTTCTTCGTGGCTCCGTCGTAAGCGCCCCAGACCACAATGTCGCGCGCGGAGATGCCGGGGGTGAGGTTCAAGACGGACGTATCCTCGACGACCTTGCCGCTGGGCAGCACGATCGAGTCAGCGCGGATGTCGCTGCCTTTGGGCACGACCGCACGCTCTCGAATGCCATAGATGTGTTCCTCAAACTTGTCGCACTCCTTTGAATCTCGCTGAGGATCAAAGGCCTTGAGCTTTTCGTACATGTCGCGTGGGTGAACAGGACCATCTCCGAGAAGATCCCAGGTGCCGGCATGCTGGGAGGCTGGATGATGGTTAGCAGGATCAGCAGGCGTTGCAAGGTCTAATGCAAACCGCATACCTTCGATGAGCGACGCGATGATCTCGTGCCGTCGCTTTTTGTCGTTCATGGTATGGAGAACAGATTCGTCGAGCTTGAACTTCTCGCCAAAGGTATCGCTGTTTCCAACGATCGTCTGAAACCAGACATCATGGAGCGTGTAGAACGGCCCAGCCTCAGGGATCTCGACCTCAGGCAAGTTGACGTCGGAGACGAGATTCTCCACGCTGGCGGGGATGCGGGCTGGCTTTCCCAGACGGATCTTGCTGGCAAGGGTGATGCCCTCTCCAAGGCATTGCCAGCCGGGCTGCTGAACGCCATCGACAGATACGCCGCGTTGGCCCTGAACAAGTTTGGGTTAGCATCCTCTCCGGGACGAAACACGGAACTAAAGGACAAAGCAGCACGCCAAAAACGTACTGTAAGTCGAATCTTGACACTCTTGTTTGGATTGCCTCCAAGGCGACCACCATACAAGAGTCTGCCATCCTTGCCAACGAGGTTCTTTGTGACCCAGACGTCACCTGTTGTGGTGCTGTCGAGTACAAGGGGCAAGTTGCCATCCTCTTCATCCTTCTGAAAGAGCGTGAGGCCGATGGTGTTCAGAATGTGGGACTTGAATGCATCGACCCATTGCTTTGACGCATCCTCCACGACTTTGAAGGTGTACCACTCGCCATCCGCATCCACCATGGGCTGGAAGCGGTAGGATTGTGCCCAGGACTTTTCCGGTTCGTTCCAGGACGCAGGTACGGCGAAGAGGCTCTTGTGTGTGAAAGCGGGCGCCTGCGGTGCGACGGCGAGGACCTCGGGCTCGACAGCTCCAGCGCTGAGACTGTAGGAGGCGGCGGCGGCTCGGGCCGGCGATGCTGCCGACGGTCCAGCGTTGCTGACAGGCGTTGCGGCGACAGGACCAGCTGGCTGTGTCGCCTTTCTGCCGCCACGACCCTTCTTCTTGCCTTTGCCGCGAGGGGCCATCTTGAGGAGGCACAGATGTTGTGAGATTGGTTGTGTTTTTGAATGTGAAGTGAATGTGAGGTGTGTGTGAAAGAATCCGTCTCGGTGCGTTCGCTGCGTTGTCTGGTTCTGATCGATGAGACAGAGGTTAGCAGACGACGAGCAGAAAGCTTGCTCGAGCTTGTCTAGTAGAGCGGGTGGGTGTCAGTGCCTCCTACCATGAAATCAGACTTTAATAATCCTGTAAAAACTTGGCAAGACCTTGGCCGCCCCAGAGTTGTCTTTTTGTAGTTGTACTGCAGTGCAGGGAGGCCGAGCGTGTAGACCACCTGGGCAATATCAAATGAGGACCCAGCTCGCAACACAGCATTCACAGAGGGAACCGCATTTACACAGCCAAAAGCACGTAGGATGTGTTCTGCAAGGCTCGATTCGAAGCCGGGCCAAAGAGATTCCACCCTTGGCCTGCACAAATGCCTCCTTGTCGGTTTATGATCTTGAGGTTGCCCACTCTAATGCAACGCAAAACACTGTTTTCATCATATACGGACGATTCAAACAACAAACCACACGGTCGGATGTATGGGAATAGGATGCAGCGATTCGGCGATTTCGGAGCAGGGTTTGCCTTATCGACAGTCTTGGATAATTTGATTGTACGCTCTACAAATGCACCATCCGTAACCAGAATCATCAGTAACGCCGTCCGAATCAGTTTGCCACAGTTGGCATGGGAATTGGTCCACCGGGCGAGTCTGGCAGGCGTGCTGTCAGAACCTCGACACCGGTCTCGGTCACCAACATTGTGTGCTCTGCGGTTGGATTGCATTAGCATATCTCGCGAATGGTCCCGCCAGCCATCTATCCAGGTAAACGACCAGGGACACTCACCAAATTGCGCTGTTCTCTTCCCATCCGCTGTCGCATTTGTCCAATTGTCCGGCCATGCCACCTCTCGCGCACTGCCTAGCGTGAGGATGGGCTCGATCGTAAAGGTCATGCCTGGTTTGCACATGCCAACCACTTTGTTCTTGGCGTAGTGCGCAATCCACGGTGGCGGGTGAAACTCAGTGTTGATGCCGTGGCCGCCCCAAGTCGGTATCACTGTGCACTTCTGCGACTTTGCATACTTCTCGACGACCTTGCCAATGTCGCGGAATGGTGTACCGGGCTTGATAATGGCAATCGCTTGGTTCAAGGCCTCGCGGGTGGTCTCGATGATGCGGACCGACTCTGGGTCAGCCTTGGCGCGGTCGCCGATATAATAAGTCTCGTTCACGTCGGCGTGGTAGCCGCCGTGGTAGAGCGAGATGTCGAGGTTGAGAATGTCACCGTCGAGCAGGACCCTCTGGTCAGGGATTCCGTGGCAGACAATCTCGTTGACAGAGGTGCACACAGACTTGGGAAAGTTGTGGTAATTCAAGGGTGACGGGTAAGACTTTTAAGTTGCCATGTCAGAATCGCGCCGGTGGGATACACGTTGATGGTGATGTACAGATCAACCTGCTGCAAAGAAGACTCACCTCGCGCTCGACGCAAGCCTTGTGGCAGATCTCGTCGAGATAATCCGTCGTGACACCTGGCCTGGCCTCCGCGGCAACGATATCGAGCACTTCACGGGCATATCTGCACACCTTGCGCATCGCATCCTGAGCAGCGGCATCAAGAATTTCTATCTTGGTCTTGTGGAGCCGCATCTCTTTTCTGGGGATGCCTGTGACTGCCCAGTCCGGATGCTTAATCGACTTTGGGACTTCCCGTCGTGGAGACAACGGGTAGACGGGCAGCACGGACCCCGAGAAGAAGAACTTGGGAAATGGATTGTAGGGTCCTGCAAGGGATCGTCAGCTTTCGTGAGCCAGGCGCGGGAAAGCATGTGAGGTGAGTTTCATACCATTCTGAGTTTTCGCCTTTACTTGCAGAGCTTTGTGCACGGCTTTGTGCTCAGCCTAAAGTCATTCCTGCATCAGACCTCGATTCAGGAGTTCATGTTTAAGTCGTGCCGGTGTTTGTTGGCTTACCCAGTTCCTCTGGAAGCACTCTTGTGAGCAGAAGAAGCTATCCTTCACCCCCAGCTTGAGGCAGGTTGGGCACTGTAGGGCCCCTGCATCCTTGTCGCAATCTGCGCCGAGACACTTGCGCGGGTCGGCAGCGGGTGCCACCGGTGTCTCGTCCTCGGCTGCCGCGTCCTGCGAACGCGTTTCTGGAAGCATGGCAGAATCGGACGGGCTGATTGTCGTTTGTCGATTTGGGTGTGATGTCGCTGGAAAAGCTCTGCGTGGGCTGCGAGCGGGAGGGGCGGCTGAAGTGGCGCTCGCGCCCTTCCAACGACATTTTGCAACCAAGGACTTTGGAATGTGTTCCAACCACAATGCAACCTCAGTCTTCTCGAGGTGAGATTCAATTCGTTAACACTGTTTGATAACAGTCCCAGGATTTGATCCATATCACAACATCCTTATTTCTCTAGTAAGGCTGATTTTAAGAGATCTCACAATATTCTTGCTCTGAAGCGCTCGCCAGGAATATTGGCTTCTAAACTTGTAGTAACGTCTTTGACCCACAACGAGACTAATTGATTGTGATATCAACCTCTTGGACATTTGGCTCAGAACAGCTGATGACATGGGCACCCCCCAGCCGCCGACGTCAGTGAGCAATCAGTTGTCGCGATGGAAGATTGTCCACCTATCGTCCCGTTTGTCCATTGTCCTCTCGATTTCTGGTCGGTCAACTCGTGACACATCGCAAAACCGGTCAATCTATTCAGTTACAGGTACTGCTGGCCAGGAAACTCGGCCAGAAGGCCGTGGCGTCAGCATGCAAGGTCTGCAACAAGAGTCTCACCAACACTACATTGTTCATCATTCAGTGAAATTTGTTCCATTACTTCGTCAAAGGTCGATACTCCAATGTTTTGGTTCAACGGACGCCTGTCACAACTTGAAGAGCCTCGTTCGAGCAGTGTGCAGCTACCATTACATGGCGCGAATCGCTCCTTCCCGCCCATGCCACAGCCTTGGTCTGCGACTGATGGCAATTATAGCGTGTGGTAGCACTTGCTTTCAGTCCGTCCATCAATTTGCTGCCACATGACGCGCAAGCCGTGCAAGCCGAGGGAGGACCTGTCATCTCTCCCCTGCGCCCCTGTTGTCATCTCGAATCCACCTCCACCTCCAGAGACATCGCTCCAGGATTTGGCAGGAGGACAACACGGATCAGACACGCTGCCATCATGAGTTGCTGTGCCCGCATTGGATGCGGTACGCGCTCAGCTGATGAAGATGTCTTCCCTTTGCCACCGCGACCTCACTCCGTTAGTCGCTCAGTCTCTCCTGCGCCACGCCACGCGCCTCGAAGAGCTCTTTCACCCAACCTCATCATCCCCCCTTCTCCCCAGCTCGACCATCTCGTGACGAACTTCAATCCGCCAGTTTCATTGTTCTTCGACGATTCCGACAATGAAGGTGACGCCAGTCCTGCCGTTCCGTCCAGGAAGACTTACACTCCGAGTCTTGCTGCCCTGCGAACAAAGATCATTAAACGCCTGTCCCAGAAGGCATACTCCAAGAAGGAACCGTATCACAAGGTCGGCGGCAGTGAAGAGGAGATGGCCCGTCGAGCTGAACTCAAACGAGCGAGGCAAAGAAGGATTGAGCAAGAACTTCATAACGATGGCCGCGACAAGATGCCGACAGCACACAACGCAAGACCCCAGCAAGAGGTTGCAGCTACCAAAGAGCCTCTGACTGGCGGCCCACGAGATGCCCTCGAGTTCGACATCTATGCATTGCTCACTGCTACACCAACTGATCATGGCAGAAATGAGAGAGACCTCGCTGACAGTGGTAAAAGTCCAGTTGAAAAGGCCGAAGGCGAACAAACCCACCGTCGTCGAAGCAGCTGCCCAGTCAGCCCACTGCGATTGCCCTCTCCTATGCAGCCTCCGCCGAAGCTGAGAGAATACATCTCGTTGCCTCAAATGCCATCTCAAGGGCCGCCAAAACTCGTGAACGCTGTTGGTATCCACAACACTGAAGGCAGTCTTCAGTACTGGCTGCCAGATCTGGTTCCTGTAGTATTCGAAGATCCTCAGGAGCTCTTTGGCAACACCTTGCGCGAGGAGACCGTGCAGACTTCACCTGAACGGAAGCAGCTCCCACTATTCAACCGTGAGGTAGCTACGACTCAGGTAGCTGTTGAACTCTTGGGTGGCAATCAAGTACTGCCTGAGCTCAGAGTCACTGAACCAGAGAGTTCAGGTGCCAAAGATAACTCATCGGCGGGCTTCGACGACGGCTTCGCATTTGACATTTCACTGAAATCCGATCAGCCGCTAGATTTATGGCTTCGAAGCCAGGGCATTCCACCATTTTCGCTGTGCTCGGGAAAAACAACAGACAGCGTCATGTCAGGCCAGCAAGAAACAGCCCGTTCTGCATCTTCTAACTCATCCATCGACAGCAAATTGCATGCACTACCGCTCAAACAACACCCACAAAATCGACTGAAGCTGTTTCCAACCAGAATGTCTGGGCCAACTAATGGAAGCGAGTCCAGCCATCTGATACTGTCCCCGAATGGCTTGCAGCCTGGCTTGATTGATCACCCTAAGACGGCCATCCAACTATCTGGTCAGTCAAGACCTGGCTCCTCGGATCATATGAGGCCTAAAAACACTGACTTCGGCCTAGGGACAACAACTGATAAGCTAGGTACGACTGCAAAGCAATACAAAAGTTCCATCCCGCTCGTATCTGGTTTGCTAACGTGCCAATAGGAGAGGCTCTACTTACGGAGACCGGCAGAAATAATGAGTCACGATCAAGCTCGTACCAGACAGCTTTCACGCATTTTGACACTCTCAGAATTAAAGACGGCAATCCATCACGACACTGGTGGCAGACTCCGAATGACGACACTCCCATCGAACCAGAATCTGCGAGCTTCAAGCAAAGAGAGTCGGAGCTATTATCAATCGCCACAAGATTTCCAGCTATGAGAAAGCCCCCTTTGATTGGTGCTCCGGTCGTCAGCAAATTCCGCGAAGATTTGGGTTCGAACCAGCGTTTGAGGGAGAATAAGACACCGATGCTGGCAAAGATTCAATCGCTGCTCATGTCAAAATCGCAAAGGAGAAGAGAGTCGTGTGATGACCCGGCGTACAAAGCTCAACGGCTTGTGCGGCCACCGACTCCTGGTTTTGTCCTTAACCGTGAAGGAGACCCAGGTAACCTCAAGAAAGTCCGCCCTTGGAGGAAGTTCGTTGGAGTCAACTACTTAGGTGTAAGACCAGCTTCCGTTCAGCAACAGTCTCTTCCTTGGGGTGTGGAAATCAAGGCGACCGGTGCACAGACACAGCTCTGGGATAAAGATCCTGTCAATTCATCAAGTGAGTCTCACACAGCGGTTGTGGCTGCGCCAAGACGCGTCCCAGATACGACGACGCAGAGATCTCTTCATGTCACATGCCATGAGCTTAGTGCTGAGCAGACCCGTCAAGATGATGAGTTACAGCAAGCCAAGACAAATGATGTGGGATGCCCTCAGAGGTTGAAAGAGATTTTGAGTACTCCGAAGAGAAGCTTTTCTGTCCAGATCGCGAGCGTCCCCGGCGACACGGAGCTTTCACATAGTCTCCAATCGTTTGGAACTGCTCAAGGGTTCGTAACAACGAGAACACAGTCATTGTTGGGAGACAAAATGCCCCGGTTTCCTCCTGGTCAGCAGGAAGAGCCAGCTGGCGGTGGCACTAGCAGTCTGAAAAGGTCGAAGTCTAGCGTCGAGCACAGAGTATCAGTTCGAGAAGCCCGCCCGGACAAATTCATGACTTGGCATAGCGCACCAGCAAGGCAACAGATTCTCTTCGAAAGCACTCTAGAGTTTGGCGTGCAATTGGAAAAGGCCTTGGCAGATGCAAAGCTCATGGTATTGCAATAGATGGTCGAACGGGGGCAGCCGTGATGCTGTATTGAGTCAAGTTTGGACATTAATTTCGTCGTAGTCTGGGCACAGAGTGTTCGCAAGCATGGTTAAAGCCGCGTCTAACGGATTTTGGAAGAAGGAGGCTAGTGCATTATGCCTTTGGCATTTATATAACTATTTGCCTCGCTGGTTTCCTGCAGGGCAAGTCGACGTACAGCTCTTAGATATCTCAATGGCCAAGCTGTATCTTCAAACTGGTTCGTCTTCTAGTTATCTTGTGTCCAATGAGTCTCTTTTTGTATATATATCTCTATGACATACTTCGTGACTTTTCATTCATTTTCTCTCTCGAATTTTCGTTTGTATGCGAGCCGGCAGCGACATGATCACGGCTGACACCAACGTCATCGCGGCCGCCTTGCCCGTCCATGAGCAGCGCTGACTCTCTCCTCTGCCGGATCTGCCTCTGCTCCTCCTCTTTTTTCTCCATCTCCTCCTTCCTCTTCTTGAGCGCGATGCAGAACTTGCTGCGGGCCCGCAGACTCTGGCCCTTCCACACAAAAACGTAAGGGATGACGCACATGAGGGCGCTCAGCCCGCCGAGCATGCTGCAGGCCCCGCTGATGCCCAGCCTGGCGAACATGGGCGTGGTCGCGAGGGGCAGGACGACGGCGAAGATGGAGCGGGCGGACGAGGCGGCGGCGTTGGCGGAGGCGGCGTAGACCTCGTACGCGTCGGTGAGGTAGTTGAGCAGGGCCATGAAGATGAGCATGAAGCCGCACCCGAACGGCAGGCCCGCGAGCATGGGCACCACGAAGGGCACGCCGGCGGTGGTGGTCGGGGTGGGTGGTCTGGCGGACCAGCCGAGCCAGAAGAGCGAGACGACGAAAAGGGGACCGCCCAGGAAGGCTAGGGGTAGGCGCCGGGACTCTTCGCGGTGGGTCCAGCTTGCGTTGCGGGCGCGCGCGCGGGCGAGGTAGCCGTCGTAGAACATGAATATCGGGATCGAGATGAGGGCTCCCGCGCCGATGGGGAGGAAGCACAGGCCGGTCACGCCGGGGGAGAGGTGGTAGACTTGCTGGAAGATTAGAGGGAAGGCTTGGAAGGACATGTAGAATATGGCGCTGCGGGGAGGAAACTTCGGCGTTAGCATTTTTTGGATCTGGCGGTTCTCTGGGTCTTGGGTTACTGCTCGCGCAGGAGAGAAGTGTTGGGATCCCATTGGCACGGAGAAGATGGGACGGAAGGGAGGAATCGTGGGCAAGCTGGCTGAAGAGGAGTGAAGAGTGAAATACTCACTATACCAAGCTCAAGTACAGACAAGTCGCCGTGACAATGGGCTCAGTGACGAGCATCCGCACAGGACGGGTCAGCACGACAGTTATGAGCTCCTTGAAGTCCCGCCGTTCAAGCTCGGCAGCCGAGTACACCTCCGCGGAGGGGTCCGCCTTGCGCAACTTCTTGGCTCGCCTGGTGAGCAAAATCGGTCCGTAGGTCTCGGGGACCAAGTAGATCGGGACCGCCGTCAGGCCAGCATATATCAGCCCGATCCAGAAGACCCAGCGCCAGCCGATGGTCGGGCCGCAGAAGCCAGAGATGATTGGGGCAAATAATGGACCGAAGACGGTGGTCGCCATGAACCACGCCATGGCCCGGCCGCGGGTCAGCGGGTCTCCGTACAAGTCTGCCACGACGCCCGTGACGGCAGGGATCGGGGCGCTGGCGAAGACACCCGTGAAGAAGCGGAAGATGAGGAGAGCCGGCCAGTTCGGGGCCAGGGCGCAGGCCATGGTGGAGACCATGAAGAGAGTAAAGGTGATGCAGAGGACAGGCCGGCGACCGACGTGCTCGCACAGAGGGCCCCCTGGTGTGGCGGCAGTCTCCATATCAGCAAGTGCCGCCTAGGAAAGACAGCCAGTGGCGAGGAAGTGACTTACAGAAGAGAGGCCCGAAGACAAAACCTATGAGGAAGGCCGAGATGGGTAAGACGAGCTGAGGCTGCGAAGTGACACCAAACTCGCTGGCAATGTTAGGGATGGCCAAGCTGGGCAGAGAGGTGCCCATGGTGCTGTTTATGATGCAGGCCATGCACACGATGAGGATGACGACTTTCCTGGCCTGGTCGTGGCACACGAAGTCAGTCTATAGGTCTTGTTTCAGGGTGACCAAGTAAACTGACGTTTGAAAAGTTGTACGGGTTCTCGGGGTCGTCAAGCTCCCAGGCCACGACGAGCTTCTCGTCGCCTGTATCTGTGCCGCTGCTGCCTCCGCCATGGTCACTGGCGCTGTTGTGATTGCTGTCACTGTGGTCATTGCCTAGAGGCAGTCCCCTATCTGCCTCCCTCGTCTCGTATGCCAACTGTGCATCACGCTCGCTGATGCTCCTGGCGAGTTCTGCAAGCCCTGAGGTTGGGGAGCCTTCGCACGACACCCGGGTGGCAGCAGCAGCAGCAGGTGTCGTCACTGGCGGACTCAAGTGGCGTATGGCCTGGCCGTCGTCATCCGGGGCCGGAGGTATGGGCGAAGATGTCGACATTGTGCTCGGTGCGAGGCGACAGTCAATGTCAGGGAATCAACGCGGGACTCCTGAGCCATTATGAGGCTCTGTCCAAGGAAGACGAGGACCAGAAGCTTTAAACAAACAAATTAGACTACGTAGGGGAACATGCTGATTATTAAAGGGCCTGGTGGGCAAGCGGGAGAGGCGCCGAGGGCCGGTGCGGGAGGGTGGAGCGGGCCCATGCCTGGCGGCCGGCGATGGAGGCCCGATGACAGCAACGAGATGGCATTGGAAACAAGAGATGATATGGCGTCGTCTAAGGCCGAAAGGGCGAGAGGCGGCACGCCAGAGCTGTGAAGGCATGCATGCATGGCCTGGAGGAGGGCCTGCGAGGACGGGAGCTGATTGGGCAGGCTGGAGAAGAAGCACGCCTTTTGGGAAGGACAGGCGGAGTCCAATGCAGGGCAGCAGTGGGCACCCCACAGAGCTAGGGCCGCAACCGGGGAAGATGGCGACGCTTGTGGTTGTGGTTATGGTTGTGGTTGTGGGTGAGGGCAGTGGTGTTCCGGGGGTGGGCAGGCGGGCCGGGAATAACCAGGCGCAGATAAGATGCACCCTGAGGCATGCTGCACGGCACCGCCAGTGCTGTAGCGGTATCGGCCTGCGGGCTGGCTGAGGGGATCTGCAATACCGTCACCGCTCGAGGCATGGCCCAGGATAAAGCTTAAGTGCAGCCGCGTGCGTTACGTGATCCAAGTACAAGGCGGCAGCATCGAGCCGGGACGAGAACCCTGTGATGATTAGAGGAAGAAGTCCCGTGCGGTTCGGGCCTCTCTGCGCTGAGACACTGCTGGACAATCCATGGCAGGCACCTGCCGTTACGGGCGTGCATGGTGGAGGGACAACCGTGGAGAAATGAATGAATGCGATGAGCCCGTCTGCTCAAGACGTACACTCAACAACGCCGGCATTGCTTGAGCAGCGCCTTCTTGATGCTGTTGTGTGCAGACAGCACGTACGTGTGTGCCTTCCCACCGACTGGAATTGACGTTCTATCTATCGCACACCACGAGCATGCCTCAAACTTCCTCAGGCTGCCATGCGGTCGCCCATTGACGCCATCACTCGAGGCCCTGCAGATACACTGCAGTCTTTTTGGACCAATCACACACAGCACAGCATCTCTTCGTGGCGGCGTCAAGGGGCTGCCAGTTTGTGTGTGTGGCTGGCCAACTGCACCCTCCTAGAGAGCCGCCTGTGATGTGATGTCACTGCCCCCTTGCAGCCAGAGACACTTGGAATATGCCTCAACACAGCGACAATTGCAACAAGAAAAGTCAATTTTTGTTGTTGCGCAGAGTGACGACGTGATGTGCCATCTTGTACCACGAGAGAGTAGAATTCCCAAGCGGCACAAAGCGCCTGCAGTTGCACAGGCCCCAGTGACAGGCTGTAATTCGCCTCGGACAATAAATATGCCAAACAAACGGCGAGACTTTTGATGCCAATAATGTTAGGACGACTGACGCAAGTTTTCACCGATTGCCTCTAGTTGAGCTGACTGACAGGCGGGATGTCGTCAGCCCAGTTAGTTATCCATCAACGAGGGTGGAGTGTGTGCCTTGGTTTGGCAGCGTGCGCCTCCCATCCGAAGTTCCGCATCCGCACCCACACGCGTTCCGGCGCCGGGAGCCGGGCTCCAGGCTGGAGATCGCACGACACTGCGGCGCCCTCGACTTGTCGCCGCCGGAACGCCTGCGTGCGCATCCGAGTAGACAGAGAATGGCCCGCGACCACCCGCCGCCGCCGCCGGGGCGGGCACCCTTCATCCAGTCGACGATGCCCGCCTCACATGTGCAGACCTCCTTGTCTCTCTTGTTTCCTGCAAGCTTGATACCCCTTTCCAGCCACCAACTGCAACACATCCTGGTATAAGCCGGAACTTTGACAACTGCAACTAAAAGACTTATACGACAACTCCCAAAACGAGTTGACAACAACATTGACAACAACCAAATAGACAGACAGCCACACCAAACAAGGAGGACTCGAGGAGACAGCTCACTTACACACACCACTTACACACACAATGTCGCCACACGCAGTTCCCCCCTCAGAAATGGGATCGCCCTACAGCGACAATGTCGCCTACCTCATGCAGAAGCACGCCGTCACATCCAACGGTTTCCTCCCCGCCAAGGCGCCCCTGTGCCGGCTGCCAGACATGTACTACCTGCCCTGGGAGCGCCTCGCCAACGAGATGCCCGTGCTGCTCGACAACGGCACCCTGCGGTCACGCGTCGACGCCATGGACGTCCTCTCGACAGAGTTCCTCCGCTCAGAGCCCGAGTGGCGGCGCGCCTTTGTCGTCTTGTCGTTCCTCACGCATGCCTATGTCTGGGGTGGCCAGGAGCCCGCAGAGGTAAGCAGGCTACACTCTCTGTCACTCATCATGGATTTGATCAGTCGTACCGTTTGCAATGTAAAAACCACATCAGCTACAACAGACTAACACAATATGCCTCAGATTCTCCCAGCCTCAATATCAGTGCCCTTTCTCGAGGTCGCCAAGGTCCTCGAGCTGCCGCCCGTTCTCGCCTACGCGGGGTCCAACCTGTGGAACTTCACCACCTCGGGGCGGGATTTTACCGACGTCGACAGCCTGCGGTGCCTGCACACTTTTACCGGCACCGAGGACGAGTCATGGTTCTTCGTCATCAGCGTCGCCATGGAGGCGCAGGCCGCCTCCATCATCCCGTCCTCCCTCGCCGCCCTAGAGGCGATCAAGACCCGCGACTACGCCACCATCACCTCTGCCCTCGCCGAGATGGACGCGTGCATCGCCAAGGTGGGCGCGCTGATCGAGCGCATGCACGAGCGTTGCGACCCGGACGTCTTCTACCACAAGATCCGCCCGTTCCTCGCGGGCTCCAAGAACATGGAGGCCGCGGGCCTGCCCCGGGGCGTCTTCTACTCCGAGTCGGCGACGGACCCGGAGAAGGGCGAGTGGCGGCAGCTGCGGGGCGGGAGCAACGGCCAGTCGTCGATGATCCAGTTCTTCGACGTCGTGCTGGGCGTGCAGCACACCAACGAGGGCAACGGCCGCCCTAGTCCGGCCGCCACCCCGGCGTCGTCGTCCCGGTCGTCCCCGGAGCCGATGGCGGCGAGCACCACAGCCCCCAAGCCCAGCTTCCACGAGGAGGTCCGGGACTACATGCCCGGCCCGCACCGGCGGTTCCTCACCGCGGCGTCGCAGATGGGCAGCATCCACGAGCTCGCCGTGTCGGTGGGCCAGCTGGCATCGACGACGACCACCACCACCACGACTACGACGCCAGAGCAGGACGCGTTCCTGGCCGCCTACAAAAAGGCCACGCAGACGCTGACGGCGTTCCGCAACATCCACATCCAGATCGTCACGCGGTACATTATCCTGCCGGCGCGCCGGGCGGGGCAGAAGGGCACCACGGGGGCGAAGAAGGATCTCGCCAGCGCGTCTGCCGGGGAGTCTGACGACAACGGCGCACCAGAGCTCAAAGGCACGGGGGGCACCACGCTCATTCCGTTCCTGAAGCAGGCGAGAGACGAGACTTCGGCGGCCGGTAATGTCTAGTTTTAAGTTTCGTGTGTGTGAGATGTACAAGATTGGGGGGTTACGCTGAGGGATCTGAAAGCACCTACGATCCCATAGAGCTTGCGAATTTCATGTACATAGCGGTGTTGTTGATCACGACATGTTTATACCGACTCCATAGCGTTTGCATGTTTTCCCTTTTCTTTTGTTCAAAATATAGAGTCTAATTAGACGTGATAAATATACTACTGATATTCAGACATTCCGAACCACTGAGAGTGAATTTCAAAGCGGTAATGTGCATAACAGCGGAGACCCGTCTCTGAGGATCTATAGCGAAGGCCTTTTCGACGAAGCGATGCTCGAATGATAGACAAAGGCCCAAACAAAACCGTTGCTCCGGGCACCCCCGCAGATCCTCGGGCCTGCAGGCCCCCCCGAGTTCGGAAGCCAGGCGGCCAACACTTCCATGGCGGCTTCATCCGGAAGTCCGTGACGAAGACTCAACTACTACTACACTTACACTTACGCAGCACCCCCATCAGCCCATAGCGGCTTCATTATTATGTGTCTTCGGATGCCCTCCCCTTTTCTTCCCACGAAAGGCTCGACGGAAAAACTCCCTTGCCCAGGAGCGGGGACACCAGCCGCAGCCCCTTCGCTTCTTCCCGCTCCCGACCCGGCGGTTGCTCAGTTCTCCGTGCGGGAGAGAGAGAAAGAGAGAGAGAGAGAGGGGGGAGGGGAGGGGAGGGCAGAGGGAGAATTGTCCAGCCCGCCCTGGCCGCGACCATCGCTTCGGCTCCGGCTTCGATTCCCCCGTTGTTTGTCTTGTCTTTGGTCATGTTCTTATTCGACCCCCCCCCCCCTTTTGTGTAATTGGCTTGTCCGCTCGCATAAGCAGCAGCAGCACCTGTGTCTCTTGTCTCTTCCTACTTCCGCGCGGACGGACCCGATATGCTTTCCCTTTCCGTGGCTCCGAGACGAAAAGGGCGGGCCGCCCACCCTGACAAACCCATGCGTGCCTGGTTGGCTGTGTGCCTGCTTACATGATATCGAGTATGTAAGCCAGGCATTTGGCTTTATTACGTATTTATTGTCATAAAGTAGGATGGGTGAAGGGGATCTGAAAGTTATCAATCCTTCGAGGGAAGCCCCACCGCTCCGCTTGTGCAAATCCGTGTTACTCTCAGTCACGGGCAAGCAGGGAGGAAAGGAGGGGGAGACGGGAGGCTTTTCCTATCACTTACATCACGCATGCTCCGAGGTTAGCACAAGGCAAAGGGCTGCAATCATGTGTTCAAAGTCAATCAATAATCGGGCACTGGCGGAACTGTTGTCAACAGCCTGCAAGAAAAAAATATTCTGCCTTGAGGCTGGGAGTTCGAGTTGTGAAATCCGATGGCCCTGGTCTATCTGACCCTATTTGACGCACGCGAAATCTGAAGGGCAATCGCCCGCCTAACCCACCCTCTATCAATACCTGTGTACAGTACAAAAAACGCCGCGCGAAGCACCATCCTTTTGCCGCTCCCCGCTCGTCAGGAAAACAAATCTATATCGAGATATCATCCGCGACATGAAAATAAAACCGCAACGCCACCCGCGGATCAAACTACACGCTCAACTAGAAATAGTGGGCGAGATCGATATCTCCGCTGGCCTCCAGCAGTGGGAACAGGTTGAAGCTCTGGTCCCCAGCCTCGCCGCCCCCAATCATGAGGGGGTCAAACGACATCGCATCGGCATCGTTGGACCCGCTGGTAGGCCCGCCAGGGGTCGTGCCCGACACGAGCCCGCTGAGCGAGAGGAATCCGGCTTCGGCATCGATGCCGCCCAGAAGGCTCGACGTGTCGTTCAGACTACTGCTGCTACTGTTGTTGTTGTTCCCGTTGGTGCCGTTGAGGCCCAGACCTCCCCCGCCACCGAACGGCGAGTTCATCGACAGCAGCCGGAGCGCGCCAGGAGTTCCGTTCGGCAGCGCCTGCGACGCCTGATACTTGCCACCAGTACCACCTGCGCCGCCGCTCGCCATGGACATCCCGGACCCAGAGTCCGCAGATCCGCGATGCTGTAACCCAGTAGGCGAGAATGTGCCGCTGCCGCCACTCGTGGGACTCTGACCGGCGGTGGCAGCTTTGTCGCTCGGCATGAGGCCAAATAACTGTGCGCTGCTCTGTGTGCGCTGCAGTCGCTCCGCCATGTCCCGCTTTTCGAGGAACGCAAGGGCCGCGTCGAGGAGGGACTTGGCAATCAGGCTGTACTGCATGGCGTGGGCATCCGTCCTCGCGAAGAACTCGAGCGCGAGGATGGACGTACGGCTGTACCGCTCGAGGATGCGACCAAAATTGCCGACTAGGCCGAGGCCCAAGGTCAAAGAGGCGGCGAAGAGCCATGAGCTGTAGAAAAGTGTCATGTTAGATTCCTAGTGCGCATGAAGATGTTGAAATCGGCAGGCCTGTGGAAAAGGGGGAGAGATAAGAAGACTTACACTACCAACGGCATCTTCACCGGCATGAACCCCCGCTCAATGACATCAGATACAAGCTCCACCATGAGGCATGCCGCGTCGATGCATGCGTCCGCAAGCTTCGATTTGCCCGAGAACGTCTGCTGGCTGCTGGAGCGCGAAGACGGACCACCCCCAAGACGGCGATGCACTTCAAACATGAGGAACGGCCGTGAGACGAGGATCACCGCGTAGTAATAGGACGAAAGTACCTGAGTCGCGGCACAAACTTGAACCTGCTGTATCTGCTGACTGTCGTGTTTGTGACCGAGGCCGTGTCCGCCAGGCGTCGGCGTCGTTGCGCTGCTGCCGCTGCCACCAGTGCCAGTACCCTCGGCGGACGTCATGAGCTCCTTGATCTGCGGCAACCATCTGCCCGACCAGTCCCTGAGCTGTGATGATATGCCCTCGGTCAGCTGCAGGGAGATCTTGCGGCGCGAGTAAACCTCCACGACAAGCGCTTCCATGATGAGGAATATCTGCGCCGAGGCACTGAGCGTGTCGAATGTCTCCTGTCCCGTGGCCCCATCCACTGTCCGATATGGGACCGTACAGTCGATGTCCGAGGTGGCGGGCGGTCTGCCCATGTTGGTTGATAGGAACAAGTCGACCACGCGCAGGCTGATCCACAGCCGATCCCGCTGGCGTTGCATCTGCGGACCAAACCGCTGGTTTACCTCCGTCCGGTGTATGCCGATCGAGTACGCGGACCGCACCGCGATGCCGAAGAACAAAAACGCGCCATTGATCTGACACGCTCGCAGCATGAAGAGCGTGATGAGCACGTAGGCCTGGACCGTGCCGATGCCCAAGTTCTCGCTGAGGTTCTGGAACGCCAAGCTGCGCGCGTACTCGAAATAGTCCTGCGACGGGCTCTCGTCGGTGTCCTGGTGGCCAATGGCGAGCACGAGGTAGTGCACCACGCTCGTGTTGCTGCTCGAACCGCTGCCGTGCTTGGCCCACGACGTGATGGCCTGCGTGAGATCTGTGTTCTCAAACAGATCAACCAGCCCTGCCGTCGCGGCAAAGTACCGGGACACTGCTGCCGGGATTGCATCAATGAGCGGATCTGGGGCGCCGCCTCGGCTGCTGCTCCCGCCGCCGGAGAAGAAGTGCTGTTTTGAGGGCGCATTCTCAAGAACAGAGTACCGACTACTGTTGGGCGAGAGTGCATTCTCGTCGACACGGCTCGTGATCAGCTGCCGCACACTCTGGAAGAAGGACAGAGGCGCACAGTCGCCAATGAAAATGAGCTTGCCCTGCGCATCACACAGCAGCCGGGCCTCTCGCGGCACCTCGGCCTCCTCGTCGCCGTCGGTGTCGTGAGTGGTGGAGGCAGCATGGTGTTGTTGTTGTTGCTGTTGCTGCGCGGCTGGTCCGTCACTCCAGTCCCTGGAGCTTGAATTTGTGTCCCTGGGCGTCTGAGATTGCGGCCGCGAGCCTCGCCGCGGAGGAGAATGCTGTTGCCGCGACGTCCGCTCACTTCCGGGCTCCTGGGCAGGATTCCGTGGGGAGCGCGGAAGTTGCTGCGAGTCGCTGCGGCGGGCATGTCGCCGTTTGAGCTGAGGCGAATAGTGGCAAGTGTCTGCCCTGTGCCGCCGGGTGCAGTAGCTACATGGCAGCTTGCCGTCGCACTTGACCTTGCGCGCCTTGCAGCTGGAAGTGAAGTTGTCGTGTTAGTCACGATTTGTGTGCCACGGCGGTCGAACTGCGTTTCCGTGCTGGGGGTTTGCGGATCTTCGGATGAGCTGGAGCAGTTTATTTTGCACCTGGCCCCTCCCCCGTTTGCACGCACTCACCTGTCACAGGCATTGGACACCCGGGATCGTATGAAATGATGGTCGGATGACTCCATGGTCATCGGCCCACGAGACGTGCAGATGCAGCGGTCCTCACGGGAAAACTGCAGCAGGCATGTCGTCGCGCGGTGACGGAGGTGCTCCGGCGCATGGCAGGCACGTCGCGGCGGGCGGCGGATCGAGGTGACATCCGCGCCCAGCTTCCGAACACCACTGGGCCGCTGCACCCTCTCGGAGGTGGTGTGGGCCGCACCATGCTCTCCCACTTCTTGTCATGTGTGACTAAGCATCCGGCCTCGCCAATGCGCCGAGCTCTTTCTTTGTGGTTGATTCCGGGAGTTCTCTTATTCCCGGTCATTGCAAATCGCAGACAGAACAGCCCTCTCCCGGCGTCCAGGAGAGGTGTGTTACTCGGGAGGCCAATGCCCACGACCTCACGGGCCATTGTCGAATCATGTAAAGGCGGGTTGCTGAGATGAAGGAAAGGGACACGCGCGTCCTCGCCTTGAAAGCCAGACGCTGGCCGATATAAAGTTGAAAAGGAGCCGGCGGCACATTTAGGACGTCCAATCGACCCGCGTTGATCCGTGGGCGTGGCTCGCAAAGAGGCAGAGGGCAAGCTACTACCACAAGGTAATTAGAGCGAACAGCGGCGAGCCAGGCGGGAGCTGCTGCAGGGCCCCACAAAAAGCACGCCGAAAGGTCTATGCAGTCGAACCACAATCATGGGATGTCCTCACCGTTCATCAAGTAGCCGGGCTATCGACGGAGCTGTCCTTCCCTCCCTCTGCCTCCTCGGAGGACCCTTTCCTTTATCTGTCTCCTCTGCCGCGCCCCGTGTGGGGCCCACGGGCTCTCGGGGCTCTCGCCGGGTCTGCCAGCCAGTCAAGCATCATTCCATTCGCGTATGCTTTCCCACCACATGTGTGCCATTGTCCAACCCAGACTGGAATGGCCACTTCCCACATCCCGGACCTCACCCCAGGGTTCGAGTGGTGCGGATCCCCTTGCCGGGAGCGCGACTGCTCACTGCGAAACCTGTGCGTCCACTCTCGGTTTTATCTGCTTCGCAGGGTCCTATCATGAGAACCGGCCCTGCTGCGTGGCTGCGGCCAAGCACGGCTGTTGAGCAACCCGGTTGGCATGGAAGGCTCGCTCTTGCAGCGCGCTGGGCCAGTAGAAAGTCGCATCGCCATTGGCAAAGCTGCTCGAGGGCGGCACAGTCGTGACAGCTGCCACATTCGGAGCCGCCTCGAGGTGTGGCTAGGACGACAAGGGCTGGCTTCAAGTGCATGGGCTTGCTTGCTGCTTTCGACAAGCATAAGTGAAGACGATGCAGGCATAATTCCAAGTCTCGGTGGTGGAATCCCAACACGTCGCCCGACGGAGCCATGCGGCAGGTGTAGTTTTCTCGAGGCGTCGCCAAGACTTGCCTCGTGACGGGTAGTCTGAGAAGTATCGACATAAGGATCGCCCAGCCAGCGCACGCACAGATCTGCTAGAAATTTGGCTCCGAATGGACAGCCCCCCCCCGGCGAGACGGACTTCCCCGCGCGCATAACGCCAGGCGGCACCCCCTCACCTCTGGCGAGCGCTCGGCAGTTGCACCAGGTTGTTGCCGCTTGAACAAAAATTCCCGAGACCCGATGCTTGCTTGTACTGTCCAGGACCCCCCCCCCCCCTCGTTGGGCACGCAGCAGAACGCCAAGGCTGCGAGCATCGGCATCGGAGAGGTGTTCAATCGATCGACCACCAGTTCGCTCAATGGCAACAGAATGTTGTCATCACGGCGATTCAGCTGCGCTCGCCCGACTCGGCACGGTACGGTGCGCAATCCACGTGCAGACGCATTCGCCCATCCGACGGATGTGGCTTTATCCGTGGTGCAGCAGCCATCGTTCATCATGATGTAAAAGGACATCTGGATACCTACTATGGTACACAACCACCCCAGCCCAGCTTCGTGGGGTCCCGACTCTAGACAATGATGATTACGCGATCAAATGGTGTCCACCTCCAGGGTTGTTGTTCCATAAGAACCCTGCAAAGTGGTTGGGCTCCCGACATGGCAGATGCGGCACCTCGGACAACAGTCCTGGCGAATCGTGAGTGCATCGTTGGCTCTGGCACAACCGTCCTTCGTGTCAGCGAGGCAGATAGCCTGCTGGAGAGCGTGGGCTGTAGCGCCTCGCAAAAAGCCCTTGATATTGTCTTTTCCGGTGTGATGAATCTGGCCTGTTTCCAGCCAAAGACGACGCCATCTCACTCTGCCAGGTGTGATTGCGAGAGAGCTGTGATAACGCCAACAGCCGCGGGGCAGGGGCCAGGACTGGGTCCTCCTTCATGACCCTTCGAATGCGCAAGACATCACAATCCTTGCATGATCCCTCGCCCTGTAAGCCAAGCCGTGTCGTGTAACCCCAGCACTTTTCGGACAATCACGGCGCCAGACGTCGGTCGTCGTTGCTACAACCAGTCACAGATACCGAATGTTCTCTTGGATGGTTCACGATGGGCATGCGCTGGTGATTTGCTGTAATGATAGTTCGCAAACATGGCGTTAGTAACCTTGGCTACGCGCTTGCTCGTGCTGTAGTCGCATTCGCGTAAATTCAGCTTAGAGTCTTCTTGAGAGAATATCCGGTGCTGTGCATGAGCATGGAAACCAGTCAGCAGCCGACCGCCAGCTTATTGAAATAGCAATAATGAAAAGGCCTGCTCGAGAAAGTGCTATCTCGTGTCGTTCCTGTAGCTATACATCAGGAACTTTACCTGGCGGGCTGGCATCGGCCCTGTTACCGTTTGCGGCGACTTGTTCCCCTGTCGGGGCATGGGCGAGGAGTTCAGTCTGCGGTTGACCGCCCCTTAAGTGAGCCCGTGAGTTCAGGGGTCTTGTGTCGTGTCGGAATTAATCATCAAGAGGTCATGAAGCAGAGGAGGCATGAGAGACCCAAAATGAAGGTTTACTCGGCGGCAGTACCGCGGGTCAATACAGATGTGATGGCCTCCACACTGGACTTGGCGCAAGCAGTATCCGAAGTCGACCCACTGTGGTGTCAAGGGCTGTTCTCCACACAGCACACAAGCAACGCGTGATTCAGTTGCCAGCGACCATGGGTGGTTGAAAGCCTTGTGCACGGTGTGTCCATACGAGACTGGAGGCCTGGTAAGCGATAGGAAGGCTACTGTAACAAGCGCGATTGCTTCCAGCATCGAAAGCCGCTTGTGCAATTGAGCTAGTCGAGCTGGGGCGGTGGTGGAGGCATGTGTCGCACTGCGGAATCCGGGGCGCCATCCTTCCGCCCTACGTTTGGTTTGTTTGTGGGCGGTCCCTGTCCGTCAGAGGGACACAAGGCCGCAAACGCTTTGTTGGATCGGCAATGTGTGAGCTGCGCGTCATCTCCTCAGAACAAGCCGGTGGGAGGCGAAACATTAGGTAAAAGTAGGTCATGCGATGCCAGTGGGATTAAAGGTTAATTTAGCGCATAAGCCATGAATGAGCCTTCGTTCGGCCTTTGCGCGGCCCCTCACACTTCTGAGACCGGCAGAGGCGACTGCGCTTAAAGAGCCTGGGACACATCGCCGGGCCAGATTGCCTCGAGCGTTCGAGTATGGCCTATACTCTTGGATTGGCTGCGCGTACAAGTGCCAGCAACACACTTGGGTCGAGAACCAGAAGACCGTCCCCGTGGGGAAATGGTTCGTGCAGGACAGCCAGTGAGGGTGTGCTTCACATCCGATGCACGTCTGGTTAGTGCCATTGCTAGGTACCGCTTACTTTTCGACCTTGAGGTGTGCTACAAGGTTGGATGGGGAGGGTCTTCGAATGCATCGAGATATGTACCGTCGAATGTGTGCAAAAAGCATTGCAACAGGTTGCGCACTACTTGCCAGGAACGTAAGCCTGTTTGGCACACACGGACTTGTCGCAAGTGGCTATCATCGTCATTATTAGGCGCCGAGACCTGGTGACGACAGCGCTACAGGCTGGCGCGGCCACAACACATGATACACAGAAACTGTATGCGACTCAGACCGCAGGTGGTACAGGAGCCAGCGTCGGAACAGGCTCCCAAAGTGCTGAATATGATGCTTGCTCCACATCCCAAGAGTCCAGGTCATTCCGCAAAGGATCGTCAATCCGGTTGGGCGCTTGGGTGCTTCTAAGGCTGACCACCTTGTCGCTGTTAGCAGTGGTATGGTAATGCTCCATAGTTGGTCCTGGCTGAGTGCGAGGTGAGTGTATCGCGTGTGTTTGAAGAAGCTTGGTCCTCTTTCGTGGATTCGGGCTGGCAGAGTGAACGCGAAGTGGAGCCGCGCCGATTCGCAGGCGAATGCGGGGAAGGCGCATGGTCCGCAGGAGGACCCACAAAGGGAGCGAGGTACTGGGCACGTGCACAACGGCCTGGTGGACCCCCATTTGATGGGGTTGTTCGCAAGCCACGGGCAGGTTGTGGTGGTCCGCCGATGGATGGGCTCAAGGAGGTGGCAGGCATGCAAGCGAAAGCACGTTGACGAACGCAACGCACCGCACCGCAGTCGGGCTCCTCGCCTCTGCTGGGGGGGGCGCAGGGACAAGGGTGCTTGCGAGGGGGTGGGCCCATGCACAAGGTACTGGAGCGCAGCGTCGTCTCGCGCTGCGTGTACTATGGTATGTAGGTGCAGGAGAGGATGCAGGTTGGGATTGGAATTGTAATAGGATAAGGGAGGGCCGGCTAGGCAGGGGTCCCGCATGGACTGGCTGCACGAACAACAAGAACATCCTCGTCGATGAACGCAATGGCTGCACTGCTGGGGGCCCCGGGCGCGGGACGGGCATGGAGATGGCTGTGGGATGATGAGATGTCCTCATTCCAGCCAGCCCGCCAGCCCGCCAGCGGATGCAATCAACAGGACTCTGGCTGCATGCCTTCGCGGTGATTACGAAGGTCTTGCCAATCCGGCACAAGCTCAGACCGCCCACGCCGGGCACGGCAGTCGCGACCCAGACCACGGGGGAGGAGCCAGTCACAGCGGCCGAGGGGGACGGGTAGTTCTCCGGGAGGGCGAATCAGAGCGGGCAGGGAAAGGTGGCTCCTGCCGCCCACCTGGCTGGCTCTCGTCTCCCACGGTTGGCTGTGACGCTGCACCGGCCTGGGCCTGGGCTAGCTCCCTCCAGTGGTCTGTCTGCCCGGCGTTGTTGTGCTCGAGTGGTAGTGTAGCGTAGGCTCGCGCCAGGCCAGAGGGCCCTTCCCTGTCCCTGCCCGCTCGCGCGCACCGCCGTCTGCATTCGGCCCTGCGTTTGCCGGCCGGCCTGGCTGGCCTGCAAGTGCGGAGGCGGAGACGAGCGAGAGGAGAAGCTGCCCGGGCGGGCGCGAGAGGAGAGGAGGAGAAAGAGGAGAAGTCCCAGCCAGCGAACGGCAGTCGACCTGGCCACGGCGCCGGCGGCGAGGGTGAGGGCGAGGGCGAGGGCGAGGGCGAGGGCGGCGGCTGCCCACAAGAGAACAAAAGCAGAGTTTCGAGTAGATCGCGGGAGGCAAACGCCCTCCATCTCCCCATCTTTACCTAGGTAGCCCGGCCGCAACCTTCCATCACCATCCCTCCTCCGTCTGCCATCTCCGCGCTCAGTCACTCGCCTGCTGCCCGTGACTTGCTGTGCTCGTTGAATCCTCCTCCTCCTACTACTACTACTTACCCCAAGGCAGAGCCTGATAAGCACAAACATCCACCCACAAACATTGCCTGGCCTGCTTTTCAACATACACCTTAGCTCTCCTCGCGCCGTCTGCCGCCTCTACCCCAACTCCAAGAGATTGCTTTTTGTGTGGCTGGCTCTCGCGTCTCCAAGCCTAGACGAGCAAGCGGGCGCACCCAAGTCTACAGTCCAGCCACTGAGCTATCACAGTCTCCAACTACCGGCGAGCAGGGCCCTCGGAAGCATCCAGATACGGATCATCACCTACCTCGGGCTGTTTCTACGTATCAATGGATCCAAATCAGGCTCGTCGACGCCGCAGAGTCGGTTCTACAGACTCGCAAAAGCGCGAGTGTCCGCATTGCGGTCGCGAGTTCAAGCGTTCTGAACATTTGGAGCGGCACGTCCGTACTCGTGAGTCTGCTCTTTTGTACTTTTCATTGCTTTTCTTCCCCTCTATGGAAACTCTTTCGCACATAGCAGTACCACGGGGTTACGGCACCACCACCAACCCAATGACACATCTTTCGAGTTTATCTATGTACTGCCCCTGCCTTCTTGGCGAGCACGAACTCGCTTTGTGCACGGCTAGATGAATTCGCATGTTGCGGCTCCCGTTGCTCCAGATTCGACTAACTCCCTTCGCTAGACACCAAGGAGAAGCCATACATCTGTCACTGTGGCTCGGCATTTTCTCGCCGGGACCTACTTACACGGCACGCCCGCATTGTGCATCAGAATGCTTCACAGTCGCCAGAAGATGCCAACAATGCCGACGAGGCGCAATCACAGTCTTCCTCGGACCACCCTCTGATGCCTGCCGGGAACTTTATACCACACGCCGACCACAGCGGCACGCAATGGCCCCAGTCTCCGCAATATGCAGACCACACAACAGCACATCCCCAAGACATGCATATGGCACCGGGATCGATGGCATACACGTATCCGCAGCACATGCAAGCTTCTGAATATGACACCGGTACGCGACTGCCTCTTCTACCACGATTCGCATTAGCATTGGACATTCCTGCTAACCAGACATGCCATCACCAGGTTCACACGTCGGGGGCTTTGAACAATTCAGAGACTTTGTGACGACAGTGGACTCGGGAAATGTCCACGCACCCTGGTATCCAGATTTCTACGATCCTGGGACTATGGTCGACCCAGCGTTACAAGGTCCTCACATCCCAGAGGTTAGCTCGCCATACGTACAGACTGGAACAGTGTATCATGGCTTGCAATACTCTTGACATGCGACGCGAAGGTTCGCATCACTAGCGTGGTGCCAGAGCGAGCAACTTGCCGGCTTTCGGGGTTGTGCCTCTCGTCTGTGGCCTAAGCACTTGGCCTGGCTGCTTCAACTGGGTCGGTGACTTGGAGGACCTCTGCCCATGGGCACTAACAGGAAGCATGACGCCCATCCGCGATTGCAGAGCGCTCATCGAGAGCACGTGGCACCATAGCCACAACCGGAGAGAAGGAAATTTTGGCTCATTGACGAGTACAAAGGAAAATCCCGCTCTCGCATATTTCACTTCGAACGACATATAACGACACGACTATATCAAATGACAACCCAATGATACCCTTTACGACTTGGGCTCCAGGCCGCCACTCGCAGTCACTGGCTGCAATCTGTATGGACCACGGAATACAGGTGCGGGAGAGCGCCCGCCGTACCGGCACAGGCCAGTCTATGCATCTGGCCGAAACTGATGAGGCTTCGATCAACCTACACAAATACTGTAGATAATGATAATCAAGTGGCAGGCTTATCTGTGCTGGATAAGTTTGCTGAAGCTTCGAACACAATAGCCCATAACCGTCACGTGCTGCTGGTTGTGATGTATTCAAGCTGCACTTTGTGATCCAGGTGCGAGTCGGCTGTGCGTGCAAAGAGCAGGCGAACGACATGCGCATGAAGAGATTGTGGTTGTCCTAGAACCCCTTCTCAATGACATGGAGTCATGACCACGGGGATCGCCTAACATAGAGCGGTGAAGCCTATATAGCACAGAAAGCAAGTAAGCAAAATGGTAAATCGCAAACGCACGCACGGACGGCAGGTGCCACAAAGCAATGGTCCATGGAGGTCGGATGTCAACGAATCAAGTAGCTTGGCGTGAGGTATACTCTACGGCGCGGGTGTGTCATGGCACACGGGGGATAAGGTCTCCTGGCTCCGCCGAGAACCGCAAGATTATTGGCATCATGGTTTAGGAATAAGCCATCTGCCCTTTGTTGGCTCGCGAGTCTGGGCAAAGACGCAGGGGCATTAGGCAAGAAATATTTTATTTTCGGACTCATGTTCGATACAGGCCTCGGGAACCTGAATTTTCGTCGTAGCGTATGGCCATGTCAGTTTCTTGGCCACGTAGGGAATCCATTGCCATAACGCGCTTGTAGTTATTTTCACTTCTTGTTTCAAGATAGCCACCTGTGCCATTATGTTCATGCGCTTCAAACTGAGCGTCCATTTCCGCCATCGAGGATCTTCCCTACTCGCCCAGCTGACTTTTCCTGTTATGATGTATCTCTATTCCCTCCGAGGCTGCATGTATACATGTCGCCCTTGCATAAGAATCATCCTCAAGCACCTGTAGCCTCGCGATAGAATGTCAGACTCCGGTTCGCCCCCGCTGTGCAGAACATCTCGTTTCTGCCCGGCCGCGGCAGCCACTTGACGCTCCAGATGGCCTTGTCCGTCTCGCTGTGCGTCGCGACACAGGTGGCCCGCTCAATTGACCACACCTTGGCCTTGCCGTCGAACGCGCCACTGAGCAGGTACTCGCCCGTGTCGTTCCAGTCGAGCGCGGTGATCCACGCGCCGTGGCCCGTGAGGTTGCCAATGTGCTCGCCGTGCTTGGTGTCGTAGATGGCAATCATGCCCGCGTCCCCCGCGGCCGCGAGGCGGGTCGAGAGCGGCGAGAAGGCGACGGCGCGGACGGGCTTGACCAGCCCCGGGAGCGAGTACTGCAGCCGGCCCGTGTCGTTGTTGAACACGTACACCGACCCGTTCTGGTGTCCGCTTGCCGTGTAGCGTCCGTCCTGGCTCAGGTCCACGCACAGGCCGAAGCTGCCGGAGCCGCCGCTGCCGGTCTCGTACTCGCGAATCTTGCTCGGTGCCTTCTTCTGCTCGCCGCCAGCCAGGAGATCCCAGACGTTGATCCGACCGTCGTATGTCGTGGTGGCGAGAAACTGGCCGTTCTCGCTAAGCGCGATGGCCCATGCCTCTCCGGCGTTCTTCTTCTTCTTCGTCTTTGATGAGCTACCATTACCGTTCGCCGCAGAAGCGTCGTCCTCCGCTACTAATGCCGATGCCGTCGCGTTACCAGAGTCGACCTCACCCGCCGCGATCCAGTCTCCCGTGCCGGACTCGGCGACCCTCCAGATCTTGACCTCGCCCCCGAACCCCGCGGACGCGGCCACCTTGCCGTCCCGCGACACGGCGACATGGTGCGCTCCGAGCTTGTGTGCGCCCGAGAGGGACAGCACGAGCAAGAACGCGGGTGACGAGGTGTCGTGCACGTGAAGTGTCGATGAGCCGCTCGCGGACAGCAGGATGCCTGGGGCTGCCGCCAGGGAGAAGATATCCGTTATGTGGGCTGTGAGAGATGGTCAGAATTGTATGGAAATTACAACATGAATAGCTGGAGAGAATTGCAATGTATCGAATGCACAGTGTCATGAGATTCTCATTGTCGCAGTCGACGTTTGGCGGGGTCGATGTGCCTGGTTCTGCGACTCACCATTATCGATCGTATGCGTGGTCAGATATTGTTTTGACTGCGCAGTTGTCAGAGAGTGGGCTTTAACAATGGCACGGTAAGGATCACACGGCTCACCATGGTGACTGGGTTCGGCAGATGTGAAGTTGATAAAGTGACTGTCACGAACTGAAGTGGTTGAGGAGCTGATTGAGCGATGACGCTGCAAGCCGTCCGGGTGGGGCATTTCGCAAACAGTCAAAAGTTGAGCACATCAACAGCACTGCCAGTCTGACACCACGCAGACTTTCACTCAGTCGAGTAGCTCAGCAAGCCCAGTAGAAACCTGTCACAAAAGGACGATTCATTGCTGTCTTCTCACCCATGGCAGGGGCAGCTCTTCTTTATAGAGCTGCGCAAATACGATCAAGCTGGAGGCAGGCTAAATGGACACTTTTTGTCGATTGGACATATCCGTCTTGTCGTGAAGACGACCTGCAGTCATGATATTGATATGGTATGATACAAAATGTAGCTCGATGATGACTTGATGCCGTCAAGCTGTCCCCTAGAACGCCGCCAAATGCATAAATGACAGCTTCGTACGCTCGCCGGCACCACGCGAGAGCCGCCAACGGCCCAATGCAGCAGCGAGCGCTTCAGGATATTGTTACAACTGTCTATTTCCCATCTCTTTCCTCCAACACTATTTCTTCGCAAGCTCGGTTTGGATGCCTGAGCTTGAGTGTCAGCTGAGCGTCTACGAACGGGCATGCGCAGGTATGAGAACTTACGGCTCAGACATGTCGGGCACAGGGTGTGCATCTTCTTGATGCCGCCACAGGCTGGGCACTTGTTGAGGTTGGTCACGTCCTTGAGGGCCTTGCCCGCCATCTGCCTGTGTCTCTTCTTCATGTGCGACGTCTTGGACTTTGGGACAGCCTTTAGGATGCCCTCCCAGATGTCGCCGAGGATCGATGGTATCGTCTGGATCGCTGATGGGATGGCGATAGCTAGCGCTGGAATCACAGGGAGGGGTCCCGATCCTAATCTGATTGCGGACAGAGATGTCTGGAGAGGAGAGCTGAATGTGGCAGGGAGGGCGAACCGGGTCAACATGCCGGCGAAGGCAGAGGTCGCCCGGAGTGGCTGCGTGGCTGCCATTTTGTGATTTCGAAGCTGGGTATCTATTGCAATCGAGACTGTATCAGGTGACTGTGGCCCTGCGAGTGTCGCTTCGTTGGCGTCGTCCCTCGAGGGGCGTCGTGTAGGGTTACCCGGTTTGGCTTCCAAGGATGGATGCGCTTGAGGCGAGATAGGGCGTCGATTGTCCAGTCGGGCAATCGCGGGGGCGGCTGTGTAACAAGCGCAGCGGAGCCACGGCGACTGTAATGCGGTGCGGGATGGTGGGCAGATTCGTGAATCCTTTGCAATGCCGTGAAGTTGTCTTGGGAAGATGCAAAATCGCGGGCGGCAGTCTTCTTTGGCAGGAGAGACTAGTCCAGATGAGGCTTAGCAGGGTTTAGTACTGGGGTTGGCCTTTCTGTCTCGATCATGTATTGACATAAGCCTCTGAACTTTCACCAATCAGCGGTGAGGTGGCCGAGTTGGTTATGGCGTCAGGTTAAGGTTACCTTAGCAGTTACTTCCTGATGGGGCAACCCGCGCGAGTTCGAGTCTCGTCCTCATCAGCTCCTTTCTTTTTGACATTTTTGGCATTTTTCGAGGTTATTGAATCCCAGGCCTGGTTGTTGATATTATTGTTTTTGGTGGATTACTGGGAGGCATCAGGACCATCATTGTTGGCTGTGTGGTAGGCATAGTAATGGGCATGGATCGTGCAGAAGATCCGTCCCGATGCTGAAGAGCTGCCCACTGACAATTGTGAGCATGCGCCAACCAATCACAGCTTGCTGCTCCACCAGTGTTGCCCCTGTAGCTCCTTCCCCCTTTCTCTCCACGGCAGTCGGGCCTCTCCCAGGGCTCCTCGAAACTTTTGGACCCTGTTGAGATTCTGTGCCATTGACAAGTCGGAAGAAGTCGAGACCTGTCCAGCAGCATTCTCTGCCATCACAGCCAACCTGACCTTTGCTGAAGGTGAGTGAATTCCTCTCGCGACGGTCGTGCCTGGCCGTCATTGCGCAGCGCAGCCAGTGCAAGGAACGCGTGGCGGGTTCTCGCAGGCTCGCAGCTATCTGGCCATCCCTTTGCCCAGCCGCCCGCATCGCAATTCCACGCCCAGCAGTGGCACTTGCCAGGCAGGCAGGGTCCCGCACCGCCAGCCAGTCCTCATTTCCTGCCCGTGGCCTCCCTTTCCCCTTGCCAGAGCCTGCCAGCCAGTCGGCCAGCAACCACTCGCGCCGCGTCCCCTCTGCACCAAGAGCTTAGCACCACCACACCGCCCGGGCCCGTCCAGCCAGCTTTCTTGGACCTTGCAGCAACGACCCCGTGTCGACTAACCTCTAGTCTCCATAGCCTCCTCTTTGGACCTCAACTGCCTCTCAACCACTTTCCCAAGAGCATTCATCCAGGCAAAGGCCACCCCGACGACGCCATGGCAGCCCAGACCGTCTACCCCGAAAGCCATGTTGGTTTCGACAGCATCACCTCCCAGATCGAGCGCAAGCTCCTCAAGAGAGGGTTCCAGTTCAATGTCATCTGCGTTGGTGAGTCTACAGTTTGCCGCGCCCATCGTCGCGCTCGCCTCCTCTCAATATCCTACGCTTGACACGATTGCTGACGACTCTCTTCACGATTCTAGGCCAAACCGGTCTCGGCAAGTCGACTCTGATCAACACCATCTTCGCCTCCCACCTGATCGATTCCAAGGGTCGCATGCTCCCCGACGAGCAGATCCGCAGCACCACCGAGATCCACCCCGTCTCCCACATCATCGAGGAGAACGGCGTCCGGCTGCGGCTCAACATTGTCGACACGCCCGGCTACGGAGACCTCGTCAACAACGACCGCTGCTGGGACCCCATTGTCAAGTACATCAAGGATCAGCACTCTGCCTACCTACGCAAGGAGCTTACTGCGCAGCGTGAGCGCTACATCCAGGACACCCGCATCCACTGCTGCTTGTTCTTCATCCAGCCCTCTGGTCACTCCCTGAAGCCCATCGACATTGTCGTCCTCAAGAAGCTCTCTGACGTCGTCAACGTCGTCCCCGTCATTGCCAAGGCCGACACCCTTACTCTTGAGGAGAGACTCGCCTTCAAGGAGCGCATCAAGGAGGAGTTTGCCTTCCACAACCTCAAGATGTATCCCTACGACAACGATGAGCTCGATGACGAGGAGCGCAACATCAACACACAAATCAAGGTAGGTCAAATTCTCCACCAATGCTGCCGCAAAACTCGTGACTAGACACTGACAGTCTGGAACAGGGCCTCGTCCCATTTGCCGTCGTCGGCTCCGAGAAGTCCATGGTTGTCAACGGCAAGCAGGTTCGCGCTCGTGCCAACAGATGGGGCATCATCAATGTCGAGGACGAGCAGCACTGCGAGTTTGTTTACCTCCGGAACTTCCTGCTCCGCACACACCTGCAGGACCTCATCGAGACCACCTCGCAAATCCACTACGAGACCTTCCGTGCCAAGCAGCTCTTGGCACTGAAGGAGAGCAGCGCCCAGGGCCACGGCAGCCGGCCCATCAGCCCTGCTGCCGACCGGGAGATGAGCAGGAGCTCCCAGCGCATGACCATGAACGGCTACTAAGCCAACATCTCTACGATTGTACTTCGAGACGAGGCGTACCGTGTTTCGTGGATGGTTGGCACATTCTAGACAAGGGCATCTCAGCATGTGGCTTTGGCGGCTTTGGCGAATTGGTTTGTAACCACTAGACATGGGCGTGGGTAACGTCGAAATGTACACCAAAAGTCAGCGTCGGGCATAGTCGTCGATGCTGTGAGGCTTGCTGGCTGAGATCTGCAGTTTACCTGCTTGCAGCACCAGCTCTCGGGCATCAGGAGCGGTGTTCGAGTGGTCTGTTGTGGTTTTGTTTTTGGGAGAGCAAGCAGAAGTCCCAAAACTCGGAAAAGACCCTTTCGGGGGAGATTTGACATTTTCTTATTTCCTCTTTAGTATTCCCCCTTTTTGATGCCTAATTCATCTTCTAAAGTTAATTCCAAGATCGGGTCTGCGTCCATATGTTTTGAGCAGTGTCCTCCCCGCCCCTGTGAAGCGCCAAAATCGTGATGTAGTGCCAGACTGCGCATGCCTGAAATGTACACCAGCGCATTTCTGAAGATTGACCACAAGCATATGTATGTGCACGTCAAGTTTCCTTTCTCTCGAAAGCAAATGTTGAAAGGCAATATAATATGTCTATATTTATTTTGTCCCTATGTTCATCCTTTCCATCATCCCAAGCGCACATTTACGCGACAGGCGCATACACGTAGTCCTCGAGCTCTTGGTACGCCTTGGCGAGGTCGTCGTTGACAATGACGCGGTCGTGCACGCCGGGAGTCTGGGCATACTCGAGCTCGAGCTTGGCCTGGGCGAGGCGCTTCTCTATGCTCTCGTCTGTCTCGGTGCCGCGGCCGCGGAGGCGCTTCTCGAGGTCCTCGAACGCGGGCGGGGCGACAAAGACGAAGCGGCAGTCCATGCCGCTGTTCTTGATCTGCTTGACGCCCTCCATCTCAATGTCGAGGACCACGACGCGGCCCTTTGCCGTCTGGTCGGCAATGGTCTGCTTCGAGGTGCCGTAGCGGTTGGACCCGAATTTGGCGTGCTCGACAAAGGCGTCCTGCTCGATCAGGGACTCGAAGTCGGCCATGCTGACAAAGTGGTAGTCTACGCCGTCGGCCTCGCCGCCGCGCGGGGAGCGGGTCGTGTGGGAGACGGACAGGGTGAAGACGTCTGGGTGCGCGGCGAAGAGCATCTTGAAGAGCGTGCCCTTGCCGACACCGCTGGGGCCCGAGATGACGACGGGTCGGGTGTCCGGAGGGACGCCGGAGTGGGTAGTGGGCGGCACGAGAGGCATTGTGTTGGCGGGAGAGGATCGAAAGGTCCTGGGCGTTGTCGTGGTGTAGAAGCGGGAAGTTGCTGCTGCTGTTGATGTTGTTCTTGGGAGAGGAGAGGTGCTGGCAACAACAAAGTCGTTCCAGCTGATGAGGGTGACCGAGCTCGATTTTAGGGATGTAGACTTGGTGGCGATACGCTGGGACGAACGAATCGCGGTTGACAACATGTATAAGTCGAATTGCGGAGGGAAGGCCTGGGTAAGTGGGGGAAAGCGCTCAAGATTGTTGGATTTAGAGGACGGAGGTGACGATGCGCAGTGGTGGTGGAGGTGGGGTTTGCATGACTCTGCCGGGGCCCCCTTCTGGACCGCGTGCAGCAGTGGTTAGAGTGCACAATGCTTGAGTGGCGGCATCGAGTCATCTAGTACTCTGACTGTGCTTTCAGTCATTTCGACATTGGTGAATGGGCAGATTGGTTTTCGCTATATCGTTTAAATTGAGCAGATATTACTGGCCGGCTGAACCTCATTGCGCGTTTCTTGAACACTGAAGACTTCCAGGCTCTGAAGTGTGTTTCCTGCAACGCGCGCGCCAGTCTGATCGAGGACTTGTGTTGCAGCCCAATAAGAACCGCTTTATGCGAGCTGTGGGATCCAGGCCCAAAGAACTTTATCAAGCATAGAATTGCTGCATATGCGACCTTAATAACGATGCAAGCTGCAGCTGCAGTTGTGAAAATATTATGGGACGAACGTCTTGACCGCGGCTAATTACTGACTTCCGGTCAGAAGTGGCTGTTGCGTGATCAGCCAGAGTGAGATGGGCGGGCTCATCAAAGCACTAGCATTCCAAGGATCTCGGCAGTAATCTAAAGTCGCCGGGGTCGCGGTTGGCCGTCTTGTCGTCCAGGACGTCAAAGATCCCTGCCTCTTGCGGGACTGTCCTTTTGTTTGAACAGTCAGTGGAAAAGGGACCTTGCAGGATGCCATCTGTGTCGCCCGAGAAAGCGGCCATCAAAAGCCGTCTCACGGCCAGTGCTCCTGCAGACCGCCTGCGAATGGATATTCACACAGACCTCGACAGCAAGCTGATCAACTGTTTTGATCTGCACTGGAGCATAGCGACCGCCTGCCGAGATAGCAGACATCACAGAAAGTCGTCCGTTACATTGGGTGCTCGTCCCCCATGAGGTATCGGCCAAGCCCGTATGCCACGGCGGCGCGCCTCGTATTGCAGGTTCTGTCAGTGTTGATCTCTGATGGGTCGTCCCGTGTGCAAGTGGACGAAACATGGTGCATCTGGGTCGGGGGGCCGTGTGTTCGCTCGGCGGGTCACACGATGCCCTCGAGTCCACAATGGGCATTGTCCCAAGGGAGAGAACACAAGCAGTGAGACGCGACTGCACTCCAGAACGACTTGAGACACATTGCTTTGCTTCCACCAGCACGGGTGTCAATTAAGACTGCCAATGGCAGACGCGCCACAGGCTGCAGCGCAGGGAGGGGGGCACACTGCTTGACCGAGGTCGTAGAGCAAAAAGGGCGACGGAATCTGCATCGTATCAAAATTCTGTGCCATGCAACACAACCCACCCAAGAGGTCCTACCATAGTAGAGGAGCATATGCATGGACCTGGGCCTGGGGGCGGATGTTTTTGATTGCGGCGTGGGAGGCCAAGCCGGCGGCAGCCATTGGCGGGCGCAGGCACCGCTGCCGAGCGTCTGCCCAGGAACAGGAAGGCGATTGGCAGCGCTAGGCACCTCCTATCTCGTACTAGCGGCCCCCTGCCCGGTGGGTGCGCCTCGCGACTCCCCCGTGGCGCCTCCGGGTACATGACTGGCCCGGCGGATCTCGACTGCCTCGTTTCCTGCTCCCGTCCCCTCCTGCTCTTTCTTCCCCCCAAGAACGAGTCTCGTATCCCACCACCAAAGGCGCATAGTCGTCGCTGTCACTCCTTTGCTCCGGCTGCCTCGTCGCTCCCGGCCCTTTCCAGTCACTCATTTTCGCCACTGCTGCGTGCTCATTCCTTCGCGCCTGCTTGGTCAAATCAATTCTCCGTTAGCCTCTGCTCGTAGCTTGTAGCCATTGTCTTCACGGTCATCATCGACGCCGCCAGATAACCCACCAACTTCTACATCCAACCGTCCATCAACCACCGAAAAGAACGCCGACATGCTGGTGAGTCAAGGATAGGCGCCTCCATGGCCGTCCACCTCAACCAGCCATGCTGACTTTGCTATGCCCCCAGTTGAACGCCGCTCTCGCCGTCCTCGGCGCGACCGCCGTCGCCGCTGTGCCCAGCCTCGAGATCCGCGGCTCTCAGTTCGTCAACCCCAAGACTGGCAAGGCCTTCCAGATTGCGGGTATGGCCTACCAGCCCGGTGGAAGCTCCGGCTACGATCCGTCCCACGGCAGAGACCCTCTGTCTGACGGCAAGGTCTGCATGCGCGATGCCGCCCTCATGCAGTCTCTGGGTGTCAACACCATCCGTGTCTACAACCTGGACCCCAACTTGAACCACGACGAGTGCGCCAGTATCTTCAACGCGGCCGGCATGTACATGCTGCTTGATGTCAACTCGCCCCTTGCCGGAGAGTCGCTCACCAACGTCAACCCCTGGGAGTCGTACTATATGGAGTACCTCAACCGTACCTTTGCCGTTGTCGAGGCTTTCAAGAACTACCCCAACACGCTCGCCTTCTTCTCTGGAAACGAGGTCATCTACACCGAGGAGAACGCCGAGACTGTTCCCCCCTACATGCGCGCTGTCACCCGTGACCTCAAGAACTACATCAAGAACAACTCCCCCCGGAAGATCCCCGTCGGCTACTCGGCTGCTGATGTCCGTGTTGTTCTCGAGGACAGCTGGAACTACTTCCAGTGCCACATTGACACTGAGCAGAACGACGAGTCTCGCGCCGATCTCTTCGCCCTGAACAGCTACTCGTGGTGCGGTGATGCCACCTTCCAGTCCTCCGGTTATGTCGACCTTGTCAACATGTTCAAGACCACCTCTGTGCCTGTTTTTTTCTCCGAGTTTGGCTGCAACACGCCATCCCCTCGCATCTTCACTGAGATTGGCAGCATCTACGGCCCTGACATGACGGGTACCTTTGCCGGTGGTGTCGTTTACGAGTACACCCAGGAGAAGAACAACTACGGCCTGGCCGACATCAACGCGGACAACACTATCAATCTCCGTGCCGACTTCCACACTCTGCAGAAGCAGTACGCTGGCGTCGACTTCACCAGCGTCCAGGGTGTCACCGCTTCTGGCAACAAGGGTGTCATTCCGAAGTGCAGCAAGACCCTCATCAAGCAGGCCAAGTTCAACAAGAACTTCACGCTCCCCGCTGTTCCCCCCAAGACCCAGCCTCTTATCAACAACGGCATCAAGCCTGCGCCTGTTGGCAAGATCATCCCCATCTCCAGCTGGGACGTCACCTACCAGGTCAAGGACGCCGATGGCAAGGTCATCAACAACCTCAAGGTCGTCCCCGTCAAGGATGACGCCTTCAACATGCCCGGCTCTAACGCTGCCGTCAGTGGCGATGTTTCGGGCTCGTCCAACAGCACCTCGTCTGGCAATAATGAGAACGCCGCCGGCCGCCTCGCTCCCCTGGGCGTTGCCTCTTCCGCCATTGCCATTCCCATGGCCATCATGGCTGCTTTCATGGCGGGTGCTCAGCTGATCTAGAGATTTCTGCCCCTACTTGTAAGCAGTCTCAGGACTCGCTGCTTTGGCTGTCCTAAGCCGCCTGCGTTCTGATACCGGTCACTTGGAGATGATGAGCTTGGCTGGGAAGCCTACATAGCAGCGATGATGGTGTCGGTTGTGTGGTCAGGCCGGATGACTTCTTTGGTTCTTCGATATCCCCATTTGGCTTCCGAGTTTTTGATACTTTGCATGCATTTCCAGAGTGGCAAGTCTGCCTCATGCCTGCGCCGTGCTATTGCGTACCTTGTACATAGGGAAGTTGAATTGTATAGACCAATGCATCATGACTCAGTGGTTCGATAATATTGCATGGTTACTGCCATTTGGTCAAATGCGATTGTTGCAGCGTGACTTGTGGACGGAGTGTTTATTCGCAAGCGTGGCTGAAATGCAACAAGGTGAACAGCGCTAGCTAGCGTACTGCGAGACCCACGTGACAGCGCATGGATCTCGTGTTGCCCCGCCAATGATCCCCAACGTCATGCATGCATGGTTAATTGGCGACCTCCAAGCTCTCCAACCTCCATTGTCACCCTTACGCAAAGAGCCAAGCCAGGAGCGAAACCACCTCACAATCTAGGCATTCCGATACAGCATTCACAATCCCAGAAGATCAACGGCGTACGCAATCATCATTGAAAGCAGGAAGCACATCATTGGTAGCAACCTGTCCACAACCAGGACACACTTTCACTTCGCATATACACCTGCCGTGAACAACATTTGCCAAATCTTCCACAAAGCTATCCTGTCACCTGTGGTGAACTCGGCATAGAAAGCTACGCCACACGAAAGCTTTCTCGAGAGAGAGAGCAAAGTTTGGACAGCGCCTTTCTAGAGAGAGAGAGAAAGTCCCAAAAGGCGGGAAAACACATCTCCAGCGGGATATAAAAAGAAAACCGGCACACAAACAAATTCACGTCGCATCCCAACCATGCCTACGACACGGCGATCCAGCGGTACAGCGGCGGCTGCTGCTTCGGGGAAGCAGTCGACTCTGTCGTTCAACCACCGCGTGACCAAGGCCAGCGCGCCGCCCAAGCAGCCGGGCAAGTCTGCCCTCGTCACAGCGGCGTCCGCCACCGCGCCGACCAAGCAGAGCCCGTTGGCGAAGCATGTCGCTTCGGTCGTCGATGATGAGTCAGTTCCCGAGGAAGAGGAGGAGGAGGTCGTCGGTGGCGATGAGGATGCCAAGGTTGAGGTCGCCGAGATCAGCACGGCCGAGGCCGAGACAGAGCCCCTCAAGGACAAGGAGGTGCCGGCGCCGTCAGAGGCCGAGGTCAAGGCGCTCAAGATGACGGATCGGCAGATTGAGACATACTGGCGCGGCGTCGAGGCCGAGCGCATCGCGAAGCGCGTGCACCAGGAGGACCTGGGCACGCCGGAAAAGGTGCTCAGATACTTTGACGTGAGCTCGCAGTATGGGGTATGTCTGGTTCTTCTTTTTTCCTATCCCCTGGCTTTGCCGTTGATATAAAGAAAAAGTTTTTTTTGGCTAACCAAGGTCGAACTCAACAGCCGTGTATCGGAATCACCCGTCTCAAGCGGTGGCAGCGCGCCGAGCGGCTCGGGCTGAAGCCGCCCGTCGAGGTCCTGGCCGTGCTGCTCAAGGAGGAGAAGAAGATCAAGAGCAAGAGCGGCGGCGCCAGCAGCAAGAGCGGCAGCACGAGTGTTTCCGCCGCCACCACCGCACGGGACAGCACGCGGCTGCAGACGGCGCATATGGACGAGATCCTCAACTCGACTGCCATTGGTGCTTCTTGAGAGCGCGGGGGAAGTTGCGTGCATGAATGAGGGCTGCGAGGTTTCGAGATTTATTTTTGCCACCGAGGGTGAGGGATGGTCACTATGCTTCGGGCTTTGCTACTGGACGGATTACGTTCATGAGTTGGCGGTTATGGCGTTACGGAGCTTCTGAAGGGTGTTGTCATCACGTTATTTCACAATCGGTATCACCAAAAAAACACTCTCTACTTGCTTGGAACTCGTGGCTTGAACCAAAGAGCAGTATCCTATTTGCTAGTACCATATACTCCTCGTCCTATGATGAGGCATCGTCTCTTTACCTTCGGCCTCTAGCTGCTTCATCGTGTCGTACAGGAAGAAATCGATAAGAATCGCGTTGACGTGCGTCTCGGGATGTTCCCGCTTGATCTCTCGCCTGATGGCCTCGACACTCCATATACTTGCAGCTATTACATAAATTTGAGTTAGTAAAGGCAGTCGATAGGCATGAAATGGAATACCAGCATGTGTCCCCAAGACCAGGTACGGCTGGACTGACTGACCTCGGATCTGCATCTCGAAATGACTGCCACTCTCAATGACCTCTTTCCTCGCGATCTTACCCAGCAACGGAGGACTGTATTCTATGCACCCTAGGCTCGATAACGACTGCGGGATCCGGTAGTCGGCGAACATGGTGATCTTGTCAATGTCACGGAACTCGCCCGGGCCCTCGCCGTCGAAACACGCCCACAGGTCGGCCACCAGGATCTGCGCCCGCTTGAGGAAGCGTATGGGTTTGCTGCGGCCGGCGGCCGGGAACTCGTCCCTGAAGCACGAAAAGTCCCGCGCGAGGGTGTTTACGAGTCCTGCTGCCGATCCCCTGGCCGACTCGATGAGGGTTGTGAAGCTGCAGTTGTATTTCTGCACAGGAGACAAGTCAGCGTCATGGCATTTTATTACGAAAAGACAATGCACCATGTTGAGAAGATGCACGGCAATTCCGGCTGGAGCCTACTTGCCTCGTACAGAACCTGCCCGGCCTCTCTCAGGCACTCCAGTCGCTCCTTGAGCAAGGGCATCTCCTCGTCCGTACACGACCTGAACACGTGGCCCAGCGACTCGAGCGTGCACTCGTGCTCGTTCTGCCAGTAGTGCGGGTCCGTGATGGGCACGCCCTCGTCCAGGGCCCTCTGCATGCCCGCCAGCAGGCTCGCGTAGCCTGTCCACCTCCTGCCCTGGTACTCGATGGCGAACCGCTCGTCCTGGTCCTCGGCGGCGGACCAGAAGGAGAAGTTGAGGAGGTCCATGGTGAAGATGAAGGCGATGGCGGCGTCGTCCTGGGTCTTGGGGTGCATGGGGTGGTCGGCCCAGTTGTGCGTCGAGTAGGCCTTTTGCTGCATCTGGTCCCAGATCATGGCTGCCGCGTTCTTGGTGGCGCGCATGTTGAGGGAGACGTCGATCGAGTTGTCGTAGAGCCACTCTACGTCCTCGAGGACCCCGGTCTCCGGATCTGCGTCGTCCATGGTGAGTTTGCCCTGCAGGTGCTGCCGGAGGAGCTCGAGGAGCTCCGGGTCGGCCTCGTCGTCTGACATTGTGACTGGGTGGCTTTGGGGCTGAGGTTATTGAGAGAGGCGAATTGTGCGTGCCGGAATGTCCTTTAAGGCAGGATACTTGAGATAGCAGCCAGAGATCTTGTGCAGGCAGCTGGGTGTGTGCTGAGGGTATGGATCGATGTGGCCGTGACGAGCGATTGCACGTGGGGTGTATTTTGACACAGGTCGGTGTGCCAAGTTGAAGTTCCCAACCGTATGCTGGAGTCCCGACAACCTCGAGCTGAACACCTTTCCTGCCTGGCGAATGTGTATGGCAGCAGCTGTGGTGACTCTCGAGCTGTTGCAGAACGAACGCCAAGGTTGTGGCGGAGGACTTGAGCAATCGAGGTCGAATTGCATGATTCGCCCAGCTCTGAGGCGAGATGCAGGGTCTACCAAATTCGGATCACGAAGTGGGACCCCCCGAAGGACAACGGAGCTCTGGATCTGACTGCCGGCCCTTTACGGCCCAGCAAGATCAGACGGAACATTTCTGGCTGTAGACGAAACCGAAGCAGGATCTCTCCTGATACCTGCGTGTAGGTAACCCCTTGATCCGTGCATAGGTGACAGATCCTGCCTTGCTGGGCACCTAAGTGCGCTGTGGGCTACAACAATCCAGAACAAGAACGTTGAGCAGTGTTGTTGCATGGGAAAACCCTTGCTGGACCTCTTGCTGTTTCTTGTGCTTTATTGCCCAACAATCTCCAGTAGGCTTATGGTCCACTGGATCCTCAGAAATCAGACACTCGACTTGCATGCGAATGTCACATCCAAAGGTTGGCTCATTAGCGCATGCAGGCGTGTCCCGTTGCAGCTCGCGCCGTGAGAGGGCATCGCAGCCTTCCTAGTCCACCTGCAAGTCCTGTTGGCACCCCTGTCGTGCCTGGCCACAGGGAAACAGGGCCCGCTCTAGCGCGGCCCACCTGCCGTCAGCCCGCAGGTCCGCGGCACACTCGCGCATGCCGTCACTGTCTGTTGTCCCGGCACAAGAAGCAACCTCGAGATGTTGGCACTTCTCGTCCCTCGAGCTTGTTCTTCAGCGCCTCGTCCCCCAGCCCTCCTCCAGCCACACCTCCGCCGCTTCCGACTGCCCTCTTGTCCCGGCCTGCGATTGCGCCCACCACCCTCGTTTAATTGTTGTCTTCACCTTTGCGCGCGCGCGCTCTCACATAGAGACACACCCTCCACAACCCAGCACGGCTGGGCCTGTCGCCATGGCGCTCACGCGGGACGCTTGCAACACCCGCTCTCTCGGCCCGTCCCTCTTCGCCGCCGTCAAAGAGGTCTGTCATGCGCCCTCCTCCGCTCCGAATCGCACACGAGCCAAACCACCCTCTCTTCTCACGTCCCTCTCACGCTCGTGCTAGCCTTGTCGCATACCACCTCACTGTCCGCACCGAGGAACAGAGCGGCTCGCAGAGCTCAATCGCGGCCACTCGTCATGCTAACCTTTCCGTGTCAATCCAGGCTCGCGTCTTGATGGTTGGCGCTGGCGGCATCGGCTGCGAACTCCTCAAGAACCTTGCCCTTACCGGCTACCACGAGATCCACGTAGTCGACCTTGACACTATCGACCTCAGCAACCTCAATCGCCAGTTCCTCTTCAGACACGAGCACATCAAGAAGTCAAAAGCGCTGGTATGACGGTCCTTCTTCTCTCGCCATGTCCCGCTGCGCGACAAAGTACTGACCAGGCGCATCTACAGGTCGCGACCGAAGTCGCCAAGAAGTTCAACCCCAACGTCAAGATCGTCGCACACCATGCCAACATCAAAGACTCAACCTTCAACGTCGAGTGGTTCCGAGGCTTCAAGATCGTCTTCAACGCGCTCGACAACCTCGATGCGCGGAGGCATGTCAACCGCCTGTGCCTCGCCGCCGACGTCCCCTTGATCGAGAGCGGAACCACGGGCTTCAACGGTCAAGTCCAGGTCATCAAGAAGGGCGTCACCGCCTGCTACGACTGCACAGCTAAAGAGACACCCAAGTCGTTTCCGGTCTGCACAATTCGCAGCACTCCCAGCCAGCCGATACACTGTATAGTCTGGGGCAAGAGCTATCTGCTCAACGAGATTTTCGGCACGAGCGAGGACCAAGGCGCGCTGGATGTAACAGAGGACGCCGACAACGCCGCCGAGATTGCCGAGCTGAAGAAGGAAGCAGAGGCCCTGAGAAAGATCCGCGACTCGGTCGGCAAGCCAGAGTTCCCGCAAATGCTCTTTGACAAGGTCTTCAACTCGGATATCGAGAGATTACGCTCCATGGACGACATGTGGAAGTCGCGTTCACCACCTACTGCCCTCAAGTATGAAGATCTGCTCGTCAAATCATCAGACGCGATTGCAAACAAGACTGCAGTGCTCGAGGATGGCCAGAAGATTTGGTCGCTAGAGGAGAACTTGGCCGTCTTCAACGACAGTCTGGATCGGCTGAGCAAGAGAATGCTCGAGCTGAAGAAGGCCCATGAAACAGCGTCCAAATCGCCTGAGCCCACGATATCTTTTGACAAGGACGATCAGGACACCCTCGAGTTTGTCGCGGCGAGCGCCAACATTAGATCGCACATCTTCGGTATCGACAAGAAGTCGTGCTTCGACATCAAGCAGATGGCTGGCAACATCATTCCCGCCATTGCCACAACAAATGCGATCGTGGCAGGTCTGTGCGTGCTGGAGTCTTTCAAGGTTATGAAGGGAGAGTACGACAAGGCAGGAGAGGTATGCTGCGCCCTCACCATCCGAATTTATGCCTGGCTGTAGCCTGCTAACATGATACTAGGTCTTCTTATCGCCATTCAACAACCAAAGACTGCTGGCGCCGGATCGGCCCCGTCCGCCGAACCCGGACTGCCCGATCTGCAGCCCCTTCCAGACAAGCATATACGTTGACCTGTCCAAGGCCACGCTCAAGGACCTGGTTGAGGACTTCATACAAGTTCAGCTGGGCTTTGGCGACCGGGAGTTTGCCGTCAATACAGAGGCTGGCCTCGTCTATGACCCCGATGAGACAGATAATCTTGAGAAGAGACTCTCCGATCTGAGTATGTTCTTGCATCTCGTCTTCATCTTAGTTCTCTCCTTTTCCTTTATGCTAATGTTTGTCTTATAGGTATCAAGCAAGATAGCTTCATTACTGTGGTGGACGACTCGGATGACGACACGTTTGTGAATATCGTTCTCAATGTGCTGGAAGCGTAAGTCTTGACCGTCCGCTCTCGCCAGCCTACAGTGACTTTACTGACGGACCGTGCCTGTCCTACAGCAAGGAGCCTCTTGGTGACAAGACCATCAAGGGCATCCTCGAAGGAGCGCCTGAAATACCACGGAAACCCAAGAAGGAATCCGCGCCCGAAGCTGGCGCGACCAATGGCACCAATGGCGAAAAGTGTGCCGCGGATGCTGACGCGACGAGTAACGATCTCAAGCGAGCACGCACCGATGATGGCGAGGCGCCTCAGGCCAAGAAGGCCAAGACCGGAGCTGCTCCGAGTGAAGGCGACGACGTTGTAGTGGTTGACGAAGGCGCCAACGGTGGCGCGATCGTCATCGATGATGACTAGATGTGCGCTGCTTTAAGATGAACACAATGACAGAGCTCATACGCCACTGAGCCCACCGTCGATATTCAGGACGCAGTTATGCGCATAAGGATTCTTGGCCAGAAAGGCCGCGGCGTCTGCAACTTCCTCGACACGACCTAGCCGCCCTAGAGGGATTTGGCTACTGATTTGGTCTCCCTTGTCCATGCCTATGATATACAGCAGTCGAGATGTACATTAGCACTTTCCATCCTGGGATTTTATGATTGAGCCGATCTTTAATGGCGGGGTCCAACTCTGGCTTGACGCCCTCTTCTGGGAAGAGTGAACGATGACCCGAGCGAGCATGGAGCGGAGAGGATAACTAAGAGAGCTCGCGTTGGTGGTCGCAGAGTTTCCCTTTCGGGAAGCCGAGGATCTGGGATTTTGATTTCTCTCACCTTTGGTCATTTCGGTGTTGATATATCCTGGGAGCAGAACGTTGACGCGGATGCCGAACCTGCCCACCTCGGCAGTCAGACTGCGCGTGAGACCTGCACAAAGCGAGCAGATAAAATATCAGAATCAAAGGGCTCTTCCTCGATTAACAAACTTTGCGATTTCAAGAGCGTGCGAGGTCGACATGAAAATTGAGCCTTGAAGCCCGTGGCAGATGTAGAGAGTCTAGGAAGCAGAAAACAAGCCACGAAACGACGGCTTTTCTGTCTGCGTGAGGTAAGCACTTACCGATGATGCCGGCTTTGCTCGCGGCATACACGCTCGCGCCCTTCCCTCCCTTGGTGGCCAGGAGACTGGACACGTTGACGATGACGCCAGACTTGCGCCTCGTCATGCGCGGCAGGACGGCCTGGCACCCGAGGATCGTGCCGCGGAGGTTAATGTCCAGCAGGGCCTGCACGTCGTCGGCCGAGGTGCTGGACAGAAGCGAGTTCTGCGAGACGCCCGCGGCGTTGACGAGGATGTCGTAGCCGTACGGGGCTGGGGTCTTTTTGAATGATGGTGCTGATGATGGTGTTGATGACGATGACGTTGACGATGATGCTGGATCACGGACCTTGCGGAGCCACGATTCTGCGGAAGAGACGTCGAAGTCGAGAAAAGAGTGTTTGGCTTCCTGGGAATCAGCGGCGCTGCCAACGTGCTGCGCCGGGGACAAGGTGCCGAGGGCGTCGGTGAGGGTGTCCGTATTGCGGCCGACGAGGGTGAGGATGGCACCCTCGCGGGCAAAGTGCTGCGCGATGGCGAGGCCGATGCCCCTGCTGCCGCCGGTGACGAGGCACCGCTTGCCGGCAAGCGAGTACATTTTTCTTTTCTTTTCAACTGGTCGAGACCTAGATTCTATACGTCGAGTGCTTGCGCGATCATTGTCCCGGATGTCATAGTCTTTGTTGATGTCGTGGCTGGGGTGTAGCAGACTTGTGTGGGCCCGCGATCTGTGGACGTCAACGGAAGGTCCGGATCCTAACTAAGATATATTTGGAGAACACGGGTTGAGCACATTTGCACGTTTTGAAGAAGGGTTCTACAACATCTGAAGCGCAACAGACTCTTTGACGAGAAGGGAATAAATTCATAGAGCCTGGCTGCTCACAAGGCCGGCTGCAGAACCTCCATTAGGCCGTGATAGCAACCTTGGAACTGTGGGAGTAGCTACTTGTCACCTGCTGACCCGTCGTCAAGAGTACATTGGATTCCTCCTCGTCGAACCAGGCAGTTACAAGCCAGATTGGCGTGTCGGATCTCCAGCCGTGTCTTCCGCAGACACGATGCCCGGCCGGCCCCGCGGATCCCGTGTTCGAGAAGCAAAGAAGGCGCAGTGGCCGATGATGCATCGCAGGGGTCATGGGCTCGGGACAAAGTGTCACTGCCCGCTAAGCTGCTGCTAGCCCTCGGTCTGACAACGTCGTGGGGTGGGGCCGCTCTCCTGCCGATGCCTTGGTGAAAGGCGCGGTGGTTGTCCTCGAGGATGACATTTATAACGAGGATGGCGCCGCCAGTCTTTGTAGATTGTGGCCTGAGATTCTGTCTCGTCCAGCCGGGGAGCTGACGGCCAGCGCGGCAATGGGAGGGAATGGAGATCGCCGCAAGCGCTGGAGCAGGCTTGCGAATGCGACTGGCGAGGGCAACAGCGGCGGCCCGTGGAGGGACCCCTGCCGCTAAGTGAACACTTGGATGGACCCCCTCGAGCAAACTGCAACTCGTCCTGTCGGCCACCACCACCACAACTCCCGCAAGCACCTCGCCGCCCCTTTGCGCCTTGCGCCCTCGCACTGTTCCTCGTAAGGCACGAGAGAACCTGCCAAGGCGCAGCAATTGTCTGCCGTCTTCTGCTGCTTCTCCCAGCACGCGACCGCAACCTGTCCAGCTGTCCTGGCATCGACAGCCACCCCTCACCACCAAGCGCCTGGTGCCGCGACACTCTACCGCCGACCCTCTCGCGAGCTCTCGTCCTCCACAACTCTCGATCACGACGACAGACGAATGCGCCCTCCTCAGCCGTTCAACACCTCGACTCCCCACGTCAACCGGCACAGATGAGCGCCTATCCGCCGAGGGCTGCTAACGGCACCGCCACAGGCGGCCCTGCTGTACCCCGCCAGGCCAAGACTGCCCTGACGACTGTCGACGAGTCGGTGATAGATGCTGGCACTCAAGGCCATGATCACTGTACGTCGTACCATACTCTGTGAGAGCCATTGGCCAGGCGGCCATGGCCATGGTCTACCGCCTCTTGCCCGCCGTGGATACTTGGCAGTTTTACCTACCATATCCCCTCACTTGCGCCAAGAACTTTGGAGCAATGCCAGAAACACACCAGGACTGTGATTGACGCTGTGCGAAACAGACAAACATGCGCTTCCGCCCTGGAGATACCGCCTCCGCCAGCTTGCGCTGCCCCTGATCCGGTGGGAGACTCCCTATCTCGCCTTGCTTCAGACTACTCTACGGACACCGGCTCTTGACAGCTACTTCGCAATCACTGCCAATCTTGGCACGCACACTTTCTTCATGATCGGACTCCCAATCCTTTTCTGGTGCGGCTATCCGGGTTTTGGTCAAGGGTAGGTCAAGAGCTTTTCCTGACATGTCGCAATCGATCGAGACGACACGCGACTTACTCGTTCCCTGTAGGCTCGTTCACATCCTCTGCTTCGGCGTTTATTGGTCAGGCTTCGTCAAGGATTTCTTCTCGTTGCCGCGCCCCCTCTCGCCCCCTCTTCACCGTATCACCATGTCAGGGTCGGTGGCGCTGGAATACGGGTTCCCCTCGACGCACTCAGCGAATGCGGTATCGGTTGTCGTCTACGCGGTGCTGTGTCTGCAGTCCCCCACCAATGACTTCAGCCCGCCGGTCAAGACCGCCCTGCAAGGACTTGCCTACTTCTATGCTGTCAGCATTGTGTTTGGACGCCTTTACTGCGGCATGCACGGATTTCTTGACGTCATCGTGGGATCCATCATGGGAGCCATCATCTCGTTCATCGAGTACTACTACCAGCCAGTACTAGCCGCGTACCTTGCCGAAAACGGCTGGGGTCCTGTCCTGACTCTGCTGGCGCTCATTTTGGTCTTTGTCCGGATTCATCCCGAGCCCGCTGACGACTGCCCCTGTTTCGACGACACGGTCGCCTTTTGTGGAGTTTTACTTGGGCTGGAGCCTGCTTGCTGGCACTACGGCAAATCGGCATATTCTGCTCTCCCCTTCGATCTGAGCGTCCTCGGATGGCCGGCTGTCGTTGCTCGGGTCGTGTTCGGCGTGCTTTGCATCTTTGCGTGGCGCGAAGTCGCCAAGCCGTTCCTCCTCAAGGGGTTGCCTCATCTCTTCCGCCTGCTCGAGAAGACCCGCTTCAGTCTACCACGACGATTCTTTACACCCGCTTCTGAGTACAAGAACATCCCGGCACGACTGAAGGTGGACAACGTGCTTCCCAACGTCAGCGACGTCTCCAACTTTGTCCAATCGATCCGCCACCCTGGTCGCGGCAGGTCCGTTTCCATCGGCCCGCAGAGTGCGGCCGATGCCTATGAGACACTCGCGTACCGTGAGCGGAGGAGGCGCGAGAGCATCGGGAGCAACGGTAGTCTGCGCAGCAAGAAGAGCATACAGGAGCTGAAAAAGGAGACAGATGGCGGGCGGAGCTCGGGAGTCCCCAACAGCCTCAACACATATGAGAGCATGATGGGTGAGGGGACCGTGGTGGCGTCGCCGGTAGAAGGGTCCGAGGAGCCGAACCTCTTTGTGGCCGAGCAGGACGAGCTCAGCGACAAGGAAGTGTTCCTGAAGCTTATCAAGACGCGTGTGCGGTACGATGTCGAGGTTATTACGAAGCTCGTCGTCTATGCAGGTATGGTGTACCTTCCTTCCATCAGAGTCGTCGTCCAAACTCATACTAACCTTTTAATACTGCGACACAGGCATTGGGTACCTTGCTGCAGAGGGCATCCCCGTGATGTTTGAGATCATCCCGGGGTTGGGGGCCGGCCGCTACTACCAGTAGCTTGGATCGTCGACCGCATTATTTGGTCTCAGCGTGCGTGTGTGTCTTATGCTTGACTGCAATGATGGAATGGGGCTGTTACGTTTGGCGATAGGTCAGCCTTCTTAAGTATATATATAATTGGTGTTGTGGGGGGAGGGCGATGCAGACATGAGGACGTGCACACTTGGTCTGTTCAGTCTCACGGCTCCCCTGCTTCGCGGTTTTTCATAAGTATATATTTACTCTACATTTTCGTCTTCTCGCTAAGGTAAACTTTTCCTGGACCTGTCCTTATGTCGCTCCGTTAATGTTCACACGTTTTCCCCCACAAGTGCATATACATATTGTTGGGCCAACACTGCACTCTCGCCCTGAAGTCCGTTGTCTGCTCTCCGAGCCTGTTTTCGTGTTTTGCTGATGGGGAAGACGGTCTCTTTTCCACTCTCGGAGCCTCTTTTCGCGTCTTGCTGACAGGAAAGATGGGATTTCAGACCACGTTGTTGCGACGACAGTCTTGGTTGCCAAGCGGCGAAGAAGGGAGAGAAGGAGACGGCGATGGGGAAGACGTCGACGAGCGGGAGAATGACAACGTCGGCTCTGGACCGGTCACTGGGGTCGCCGGGGACGTGAAAGCTGAAGAGGACTTTCCAGCAGAGTTCAAGCATCGTGGTAGAGACGATGCTGATGGCGACGACGAGGGGAATGGCGATGACGACGACGATGATGATGCAGATACCATTGATGTCGATGCTGCTCTCGCTAGCACGGACGGTGTGTTTGGGGTAAAGGGGCTGTTGGACTTGCTCAAGAAGTAAGCGCGGATGCCCTTGTTGTTGTTATCCGCAGACATTGGCGTGGCTCTTGCTGTTGCTGTTGCTGCTCTTCCTTGGCGTCTAGCACTTCGTGCTACAGCTGCAGCTAGAGCTGGAGCTGGAACTGGAGTTGTGGTTTGCTGGCCTGCGATATGACCATCTCCATCTTCATGATCGGCTGACTCCTGGAGCTTGAATCTGCTCAATCTGGGGGACAGCAGAGCCGCCGCGGCGTCTGGGGAAGGGGCCTCGTGCTTCTTCTTGTTCTTCTTCTTGGGAGTGTTCAAGGCAAGCGTGTCGTGAGGAAGGGGAACAGCTGCGCCGGGCGCGTGTGAGGTCTTCTCCTTCTTCACAAGGGTAGGGCTGGTGGTAGAAGGGTGCTGGTACGGATGATGGCGCCGCGTGATGCCTTGATTGACCAGGGAACCTATCGTCAAACATAATGGAAGGGGTAAGCCTCTGAACAGCTAGAATGGTATGGTCGTGGGCCAAAGACGATTGCTGCCCGAACACCACTTTCCTTCCGTGCAGCTTGAGGAGGCTGTGACAAAGCTGCCAAAAGGCGTTGCGACTGCCCCAAGGTGTAACAGGCAGGATTTTAGAACGACTAGAAGATACATACGTTCAGATCTATACAAAAACTGGACGGTAGCGATAGGTCCCTGGTCGTCGGACAGTGGCTTGAACCGCACTGTTTCGACCCCGGGCACTGGGCTTGGGGCAGAGAAACTGTAGCATAGCATGTCAGACAGTGAGTGATGGCATGTTCGTGAATGGCCATTATTGGCGATGGGTGTGCAACTTACATGCTCCCGTGCGTCACGCTTTTTCCCTTGAAAGTCTTCTCTTTGAACTCCAGTGGTTCTCCGCAAGCTGTAGGTGTTGGAGGGTTACCGCTGTCTGACCCAGATCCTGATCGAAGGCCAGCAGGCGAGGCAAGGATGTGGGGGATGGCACCATCTGAGACTTTGCCGCGCAGAATCTCAACCTTGATGGTACCGATCTCGGCCTGGTTGTGGCGGGCAGCCGCTTTGCTGTTGATTGCGAAGAATGGGTGGATGTCGCAAATCTTGGCTGGCATAGTATCATCTTCGTTCTCCACTGTGAAGCATTTGCAAGGCGATAGGATTAGTTCAGGCGGAACAGCGTCGAGTTGTGACAAGCAAGTGATAATAGACGCCATCGATGCGCTGGGACAGGATACAGCATACCAAGCTTGACGGCAGAAAATTTCATCTCTCGGCACAGCCAATCACCACGAATACCTTGGCGATACGTGAGTTCGCGACAGTCAACGCCGCCTTCTTCGCGACCAAAGATCCAGTTGTCGAGGTACTTGCCATCCAAGTACAGCTTTACCTGCAAAGCATGGTTCTTGTAGTCCCATGCGTATTGGTTGGTGGTGGCCACTTTGACCCAGAATGTGGCGTTGTCACGGCTCTCGACGTAAGTGGTGACGACGTGGCATCCATTTTTCGTTGTTGCAGCAGCCGTATCCGGGTCACGATACTCTACCAGGGCCTTGTTCTCAACGAAAACCGTGACCTTAAGACCAGGGATGGTGTCGAAGACTGCCATGTTTGGTGTCCAGAGTTGTGCGCTAAACAGGCGTGTTGTCTTCGAGATAGATGTAATACGCGTGGTAAGACACGTCGGTTGAGGCACATGCAAATGCCCATTAGCGCAAAGACGGTTGCTGTGGTTATGGCCCGGCACGCGCAAATCGCGCCGACACTTTGTGAAAGGGATATCAGATGTGACGCTGTCCATTCGGTGTCGACTCGGTGTAAATGGGTGTTATTGTTGCGGATCGAAGTACTACCATTGCACGCTCATTGACTGACAAAAAGAAGACTATCATGATTGGATAGAGCGGGCCATGACCGAAGCCGAGTCCACATTGCGAACGATAATCAACGGTCGTCCGCACTTTGAGCAGAACTCCAGACTTCGCCCTTTTAGGTGCGTATTATAAAGAGCCTCAAGCACGAGCTCCCTCAGTGTGCATACGCCCACATCTCATAGATGGCGCACCGGCACACACCTAAGACCCCGTCAAATCAATTGGCGTAAGGCGTCGAGTTCTTTTGGCGTCTTGTGACTCAAACTCGTCCCCCGTAAGATCTATCGTCTCAACACGTTCCCTCTTGAGGGATGGCTCGAGCTTGACTCGAGGCTTTGTCTGCAAGGAAAGTTCAGTGCCTGCATGGTCATGGCGTCCTTGGAGTCTTACCTTCGTATCCAACGGGCTGCGAGCCAGTCTCTGTGAGTTGGAAGTCGATAAGGCATTGAGTGGTTCGGGCGTGATCATTCGTGGGATGATCATTTCAGTCCTGAGTGCATCTGAGACTAGTGTCAGAACGGCGATGGCAGTCACAGATTACCGATGAGTAGACCCACCTCGAGATCTATAGATGAAGCGGAATTTCGCAAAAGGCTTGCCATCTATAAAGATGAGTTTCCTGTCTAAGTTGTACGGGGCTCTGATAGCCTCGCCTTCGGACAACCTGGTCGCAGTCAGTACACCGTAGACCGAAGAGGTCATGCAGATAATCTTACGCCGTGCCGTGGGACACAGATCTTCCTTTGAGCAGCTTCTCTGAGATCTGTAGGGAGGATGTCTTGTATTCCTCAGGCTCATGAGATGTAATCAACTCTCCTTCTATTGTCCGATAGACTTTGACGACGATGGTGCCAAGATCACTGGTAGTACCTCTTCCCGAGTCAATGCGCAAAGGGTCGGAATTGTCAACTACAGCAGTCAGCGGAGCCACGGATCGGATCAAGCTACAACGCCACCAACCTGTTGTTACCGGTGCGAACTTGAATTTCCGCAGTACCCAATCCTCTGCGCCGGGCTGCCTCTCCTTTCGGCCATCGACTTCGTATGGCAACGACACATCCTGCTGCGAAAGCCTCGTGTTCCTCATACATATGCCGTCTACATGGACATAGTGGCTAACATAATGGTTCGGTTGATTCCAATCATACTCTGCTTTGACTTCCGTCACGACCGAGAACTCGGCTCCGTCGACACTCTCAATGTACTTGGTCACAGTGTCAGGCCCGTATGAGTCATTGCCCTCAGGGTCATCGTGCTCGGCTGCAGTTGAGCCCTTGACCTTGACGACGACCTCTATGCCGGGCACTCTGTCGATGACCGCCATGACGATAATACGGTCTATTGGCTAGGTATGGGTTCCGAGTTAAGCGCGATACAGCCGGCCCGGATGAGAGCTTCGCTGATCCCACCCTAAAGCCTGCGGCCGGCGCGGATGATCCCAGTGGACGGTCTTAACAAGAGACACAATAATGGAATCCGCGAATCTATGCAACAGGAATGTTACGAAGATGGCAAGTGACAGAAGCCCGCACGCAATTAATGGCGACGTTGAGATTCAAGGAGGCGGATGCAGAAGTGTGCAGGTGCGGCTGAGCGCCGTCCAAGTCATTCGACCCCTGGCCCTTGCCTGAGACAAAGCAACCAACAATCTGCAGGGAGGAAAGTGCGATCAACAACGACGTCCGATGGTCGCAGGAATACCGGCCACCCTTAAGCGCCGGCTCGGGCCAATGAGAAAGGATCATTTGTCGAGGCAAACTACCTCCTCGTAAATATTGGCATCGACTCCGTGCATGCTCCTCCATACCTGCGCTACCTCAAGTGTTGATCAGGCGAAGACACTCGATGAAACGAAGCGAGAGTCAAATTACATGTCGTTCGTTCCGGTACCGTGAAGCTTGTCTATCTCTTTGCGTGAAGAATATTTCCTATGGCATACATGTCCCCAAGAGAGAGACTTTACCGGAAGACACCACTATCGTCCAGCGAATGTCCCAGTTTGCTCTGATGCCAGTTGGCCTTCCCATTTCTCTGAAATGTTGACCTGCCTCGCCTACAGTCCAAGTCCTGGTAATCTCAATCGTCTGTCAAATCAACAGGAGGCTCGCGACGGGTCCGCTTGGCAGTCTGCAGAAAGGCCTTTTCCTCCGTGAGATCGATAGAATCACTTGGCTCGGCTCGCTCGCGCTTCACTCCGCCTTCGGGCTTGAACTGGAACATGCCTTTCGTCAGACTCCGAGCCTAAAATAAACATTACAAAAAGACTTACAGGCCGACTCATTCCTATTCGCGCGAGCTTCCGCAACTCCTCCATGGACATGCCATCCAGTGGATCTGGGGATGGTGTTCTAGGGATGATCAGCTCATGCTTGAGCGCAGCTGCGATATGTCAGTACAGTGGCGGAGAACAGCATTCTTGTAGTTTACTGACTCCGAGAACGATACAAGAAGTTGAAGACCGCAATCGGGCCATCGTCTGATGCTACAGGCTTGGTGTCGAAGAATGTTGGGTTGACTGTCTCCAGCTTGGATGACACTCTGCGGCAAGTCAGACGTCAGAATCGAGTGCGCTAGGAAGGCCAATGGAGCACTTACGATACGCTATGGGATACAGCTTGGCCCTTGATCTGCTTTTCTGTAACAGAGGCGGGCCGGGTTCCACTGTAGGCAATCGAGGAGGAATTCTTCTTTGTGAGTATAATGCGGCGCTCAATTTCGATGCTAAGGGTCCCAAGCTTCGAGTATATTGACTTTGTCGAATGGGTATTGTTCCTATTCGCAGCATCGACTATTTACGTCAGATAATAGTACTGCAAGAAATGTCGATCGGGTGTGTTACCTATCTGCATCGGGGAAAACTTGAACTTGCGGACCCCCCAACCCGCCTTCCCTGGCTGGTGTTCCAACACGCCTTCACACTTTTGCACTTTGTCCACGTTACGCGGGCCAAATATTTTAGCTCTTGCGGGGACGCCGTCCACATGTATGGTGAAAACCAAAACTTGAGCCTCATCCCACAAGAAGCCATGGCCAATTTTGGTCATCACGGCGAATTCGGCATCGTCGATACACTCAATGTACTTGGTCAGAGACTTCTCCGAGGCTGGGTTCGTCGTGTTGGGGTCATCAAATTCATCTGCGGTGCTTCCGGCGACTTCGATCGTGACCTCAATACCAGGCACGCTCTCGAGGATGGCCATGATGAGTGTCGTGGGAAATAGAGTGAGCTCGGTGTGACGGGGAGGTAAACAGGCGGGGTAACGGAAAGACGTGTGACAAGCTGATCGATGGGATCATGGACACGACGCAAGAGCCAGTGTCAAGAATGGTGTTGCTGCTTGCTCAAGTTTGCGTGCGATAAAGAGCTTACACCAGGTGTGGACACAAGCTATGAGTGTGCTGCTTGAGGGTCACCTTTAATCGAGAGGGACGGACCTGTGAGGAAGGTGATTGAGAGAGGAATCAGAAACATGTGCACAAGGAAGCACACTGGAGCATGCTTCAATTGACATGAACAGCGGTGGACTAGTGTGAGCATTGTTCAGCACCGTTATGCTGGGCAACAATCCGGTGAATGCCAATGTAAGGACTGGAAACTCCGACTAATGCTCACAATCGGAATAGATACGCTGTGAGGACAATGCGTCTAATTGTGCATCTTAATTATCTTATAGCATTGTCGGCATCACTATGCAGCCTTTCTGCCCCCATTCACATCTAGCTAGCCACGAAGTGAATGGCAAAGAAGCCAGGCTCGGCTCGAGATTGTGACTCCTGGGGCTCAGCACCAGAAGCGACGAGACACAAATTGCCAAAGTTGGTCGTCCTGGCTGGCCAAATGTTTTCATCACCCTCCCTCACCCATCTCAATATCCTCCGGTCCTCAAGTCGGGCATAACGTGCCCGGAAAAGGCAGCGACCACACCCTCCGTGGCTGAGCGGTGTAAAAGGCTGACGAAGGAGCCAGCGCGTGGTGCTTGACCTTTCCGCATAAACCAAGGTCTCGATTTTTGTTCCGCGGGTCCCAGAATGGCCCAAACACTTGGACCTTCAAATAGCCCTTTTGCCATCTCATCATTGGCAATTATCTTTGGCTGGGCCTTCGGGTGCAGCGTGGTCGTGCAGGCCATTCGGGACACGTGCTGAATGCTTGTGGGTGGCATATCGCCGTGACCATTATCGACGGCGTCTCTGGGCCTGTGACTGGCTCTTGATCGGCGATTGTGGGCAAGTACCACAGGGCCGGAGAGTGCTTCTCGTACTTGGCACCATCATACAGCCCGTTCAACCCGCTAGTGGATTGGCGTGCATCGTGACCTTTTCAATGACAATCTTCTCCTTTGGCCTGCTCTTCTTATCCACCTCCGTCGTCTCGATCTTGTGCAGAGTAGCCAGGCTCTCGTCGCCAATGAGTTTGCCAAAGACCGTATTCAGCCCGTCCAAGTGCGGCGCCTTGTCGAACAGGATAAAAAACTGCGAGCCGTTCGTCGCCGGTCCTTTGTTGGCCATGGAGACGATGCCCCTGGCATTGTGTTTGAGCGTCGGCCGTAGCTCATCCTCAAAGGTACCACCCCATATGGATCTGCCGCCCTTTGGATTCTCGGGTGGGTTGGGTTCGGCGGGCGCGCCGGTCTGTGTCATGAAGCTGGGGATGAGTCGGTGGAAGGGCGAGCGGTCGTAGTACCCCGAGGCGCAGAGGGCTAAGAAGTTCTGGAAGCCCAGTGTAATCCGTCAGCAAGCGTGTTCAATTCTCGGCGGGTAGCATTGCGTGTCTGTGGCACTTTACCTCGGCTGTCTTAGGCACGCTCTCGCAGAAGATCTCGAGCTTGAGATCGCCCTTTGTGGTGTGTAATGTCACGGACATGGCGCGGCTTGGATGAACGGCAATCTGCTGGGGTAGAGTGGTATGCGGAGACGTGCGGGCGTCGGATCGAAGGGTCGTGAGTGTGGGCGCGGCCGTTGCTGCTTTTCTGCGTGGGATGAAGCTGGGTAAAGTAATTACGGGACGTTGACGATGATGGCCGTGCGTGGACCCGGCCAGCGAAAGCCGACCCGGCGGGCCGTGGTGGAGCATCGCGCCAAGCGGCACACGACCCGGCCGGGGACCGGGACGCTACCTCGCCTGCATCTGCTACAGATGGGGCCAACAGGAGGCCATCCGAGAGGAGCTCAGCTGCTTAAGGGCCCCTGGCTGTGTTGACTAACCAGGTCTGGATGTGCTGGACATCAGTTGGCGTTGCGATGCTTCCAAGTTGAGGGAGGGGGGCATGTTTGGACCAGAACAAGGAGTCTTACATTGCTCCAGAGGAATGTAAACCTCGCAAGTGCAGTCATGCATCATGCAAAAGTTCCCGTCTGCGGCATCACTGCGGCTATCATTGGCGCCGCTCTTCGACCGACTCCTGGAGGCTTCCTGCTTTGGCTTTAACTTTGTGGTATTAAGAGAGATAGATACTTGTGAGTTTCTCTCTGCAGGTTGGCGCTGTTGGCCGTCTCGTTAGCACCATATTTATTTTCGAGGGTCCAGCTAACGTGCGTCATCGAGCAGAAGAGCGCCCAAATTGCATGCGCTTCTAGCTCTGGCCTCGGATCGGGGCATACTGAAGAAAAGCGGTTAACTGCGCTTCCGGAACCTTCGCGGAATCCAGGAGACAGGTTTGTCCATAATTACGATGGGTGCAGGGCATGGAGTCGACCACATCCCTGCAAGAGCTGACACGGAGGTGGCGATCTATGTGTTGGCGGGCTGGCGGTGGCTGTACCGTGCTGGTCGATGGTACGGGCAGTCGCAAGTGCTGACAGACAACACAGCCTTGGAGGGTTCTGTCCTTGTTGCCGCCTCTTGCCGCTTGGCAGCATCTCTGACGTGTGAAAGCACCACACATCCGCCTGGCTGCTTGAGGTTTGACGGCGGATTGACCAGCCGAGCCTCGTGGGGGGCATACAAGACAAAGGCCAACCGCCGCGCCGCCGCCGCCACGCAGCCCGATTTAGGTTGGAAGTGTGAGACCCTGGCCTGGAAAGCAGCGCCCCACGCTAGGCCATGCGAGGATTCTAGGCTCAAGCTTGGCCAGTGGGCGGGGTGCTAGGCGGCTCCCATGTCGGGTTGGGGTTGAACCCAACATTACTGATCGCGGAGGGATTGGCCAAGGGACCGGCCGGTGATGTCTGGGAGATGCGGCGTAGGGCGATTCATTGCCGCGATGCAGAGCGGCATCAAGTCACTGCCGCTGTGCTTCCGGGGGCCGCCCATGTACGTTATTAGTAGCAACCTTGGAACCCTGAAGCCCGCCTGCTTGCTGCACCACGCACTGCCGCCAGCCGTCTTGTCTTGAGCGGCGCCACTCGAGGTCAGCTCCAAGCGCACTCGCGCGCACCCGCCCCGCCCGCAGTCGGGCTGCGTACCCTGCCTCCCGCCCGCCGCACGGCAGAGACAACACAAGCACAACCATCACGCAAGTCCTTGTCAGCATCAGCACAGCTCGGCATACTCTTCAACTCCTCCCCAAACGCTATTCCCAGACCCGCGCCACGCTGCATCCCTCCCAGCTCGACCACGCCGGCCACCGCGACGACTCTGTCTGGCGACGGCCGCCTCGCTGCGCTTCTGTCGCTTCCTCTCCAAGCACCTCCACCGCCGCCCGCCCGCCCGCCCGTCCAACAGTCCCTCGATCCCCGCACAGCGCGGCTGTACCGCCGACAGACCTTCCCTGAGCCCCATGTGATGATTCGAGACCACGACAACCTCGACTGCATCCTGTTGGCGGCACGGCGACGTTGCGCTGGTGCGCTTGCACCTCGCACCACAACCACCACACCCGACGACGGCGACCACTGCTGAGCAGCCAGTGCGGCCACGAGCTGGAGAAGCGCTACATGCTCCTGCCAACAACAATACCCTTCTTCTAGCCGGCGTTTTTGAGCCACGACAATGGCAGACCGAGTGCAGGCCTCCGTTCGGGTCTCGGGGCCACCCAACAGTCATTTTCTGGTTGGCTATCCGGGAATATCGGCCACTTTGGTGAGTTTTGGTGCTTTCCTCTCTCGACCTTGGAGGTGCTGCCGCTGGGACCAGTCCACATGCCACATGCCACCGTAACCGTGCGCCTTTCTCATGCGGCAGCCCTTCAGGCGCTTCAACATGCGCTTGCACAAGAAGAAGCCCCCGCAGCCATATGGAAATGTGCAAGAACCTAGTCTGACTCTCACAATAGCCCCGGATAGAAGGCAAGGTCGAGATCCGGCCCGATGCCGGTTTCAGCGCACCCGTAGCCATCTCTCTTGTACGAATATGTCTGCAACGGCGCGAGACCATCCACCCAGCCGCGGAGAACGTGGCCAAGCGCCACCTTGGAGCTCCTCGACGGGACACGACTGACGTCGTGGGGAAAGAACTGCTCTTGTATCGGTGTGCAACCGGCAAGGAAGCCGAGCACGTGGTTGCGATGGACCTGCCGTTTGTTCTGTTCATACCGTTTGGCCGAGGCGGCGAGGAGACGAATCGGAGGATACCGCCAGCCTCATTACAACTTCCAAGCCGCACGGCAGAGACCTTCTACGAGCTTGTCGTCACTTTGCAGCAAGGTCAGGCCGTACGCCGGTTCGCCTTCCCGGTCCCGTTACAAAGATATGACACGTTGTCAACATTCGGCATGTACAATCGCCCGGAAACGAAGATAGCCACCGCAGACAGCATCGTCACGTTAGGCGTTACATTACCGAGGTGGAGCTACGGACCTATGGACCCGATCACGGTGTATATAAAGGTCGCGCCAAATCTCGACTGGATGAACAAGGCGAGGAAGGTCACGATCCAGAAGATCACGCTCTCGATTGAAGAGGAGATAACGTACAATCCCGAAGGCGACGAGCCCACGAAAAAAATCAACAAGCTCCAGAAGCACGCTCAAGTCGTTGGCACGAAACTGCCAGAGGCTGGTTATGTCACGAACATGGGTATCATTTTCCCCCACAAGGACCTGCGAGATGCCAACGGGATCATGCGGAGACCACAGCCAGGATTTCCAAACTACGAGGTGACGTCCTTCACGACGTCGTCGACGCTCTACAAGATTGAATTCTTCTTGAACATCAAGGTAAGCAGACTCGGGCTCTTGCGGCACACCAGGGTTATACTAACTCCACTCACAGGCGCATCTGACGTCAGCACGGAATATCGAGCTGAGGCAGCCCATTGTGATCTGCCCCATGGATCACCAAGCCTGCAAGGAAGAAATGGCGGCCATCGAACAAGCCGCCAAGGACGCCTCATCTGTTGACCAAAACAACCCAATGCTTCCGGCCAGATCGATCATAACGGCGAGCGATCAAAACGCTCTGGCGACGCTGGGACTGTGCATGGTTGGCGGGCAGAAGAAACCGCTCATACAATGATAGCCAGCAATAGTGCGAGGCTGAGCGCTTACCTACGATGGCGCTCCATGCCAATGACAGTATACGTCAGCATGGGAAGCGCCCAGTTGCAGGGACTCCCAGAGACGCGGTCCGCATCAATTCACGTTTTCTGGTGACACAAACAGTGCAAGTCAGCTCGATGAGACATTGGGGAGCACATTGCGCATCTATTAGTCTCGCAGATGGTGTCTAGCACGGACGCACTGGAGACAGCCGAGCTGTCGGACATTGAGCAGTCTGCTTGCGAGAATGGCTCAGGTCAGACAATCGCGACCTCCTAGATGCCACATATCGCACGGCACTCCATGTCAGAACCACTCACAACGAATGGTGTGTTGGACTTCGGGCGGACCACGCACAGCTGGCTCTCCAAGCCCGACTTGCAAGTGAAGACTGCGCTGAAGCCGACCAGACAGACATCGACCTCGACTGGATCACCATGACGAGGCCCGAGAATGGAATTCGGGCAACCTCTACTTACCGATTGGCATATTGGTCAAGCAGCCTGAGCGATGGCGATACTACGCCAGGCACATTGGACATAGGAAACACATATCAGGCATTTTGTCGCGGGAAGGATCATCAGCGGCAAATGGCGAGGTCCTCATATAGAGAGGCATTGGGTGAACCCATACATATTTGGAAGGAATCACAGGCACCAGCTGCAAATATCGAGGCCAGCTGGCAGCTTAGAGATGCACACGACCACAGGGCGCCATGTATGACACGACTTGACGATGTCTTATTTTTGATACCAAATCTAATACCAATTCCGTGCAAGAGAGCACACAATTATGCAAGCACTTGTTCCAAAGCATGGTAATAATGATTGGCCCGCGGTAACTCTTCGCAATCAAGAAGCAAGGCTGCAGCAGAAAGGCCTGGCAAAAGACAAAAAGAAAATGTTGAGAGCTGCAGGATTCGAACCTGCGCGGTTTCCCATCGCGGAATTGTTTGTGGTTTCACGGGCACGAAGCCCGCAAGACCTAAACACGACGCCTTAACCACTCGGCCAAACTCCCTTGTAGTGCTTATATCCGGGAAGTGCTTATTTGAACTATTATAGACACAAAGACTTGTGGGGACAGGCTTGGACAGCTAGCTAGATGATCACGGCTTGGTTGCTGCATGAACGTCGCTCTGAGAAGAGGCACAAAACCATTCACAACTTTGAAAGGTTAGAGCCCTCAAACTGACAAGTCTTGTTCCCCAGATAAAAACTCGTCGCACCTCAAACCTGGATCGCCGGGAAAGTATTGGCGGGGTTGCGCTATCTTGCTCCCCAGGGAGCTTCTGCCAGGGTCCTACCTCAATTGAGACCTTTCGTGCGGGACCCCTTGCGCACCCACGTTCAGGCACATGCAAGGCTTGTGGGCAGCCTTGTCGACATTTTTTTGTGTTCGGGAAACGACAGGATAGGTACCGGGGATGACTCAATCGGCCAAGTGAGCGACCCTGGGTACTCGACACGGGCTAGCAAGCATTCTCCACGAGCGAATTGTACAGTACCAAGCACTTTGATCTTGACTGCTCAAGAACATACCTTGAGGTACATAAGCTCTTTGCAACGTTTGGGCAGCTTCCTGAGCTCCCAACTTTGGCGGATCGGCTACGCTATCGGGGACAGTACAAGCACCACGAGCCACCCCCCCAGTGCTTCCCCAAAAATCTCCGCGCCAGCACCGATACCCTCCGCCCCCTGCAGCAGTCCAGGACTCTGAGCCTGCTTTCAGCACGGCAGCGACACCGGGCGCACAATGCCCTTCAACGACGATGACGACGATGCCGGCGGCGCTCCCTCCATAGCAGCTGCCCAACAAGCTCCCCTCGCGAGCGGCAGCGGCCCTCTAGACGACGAAGACAGCCCCGCGGTGACCCGCGCCAGGACAACCACGCAAGGCGATCCCGAAGACGATGCCGACGATGACGACGACGAAGAAGGCGACGACAAACAAGCCGACTTCCTGCGCTTCGCAGCCTCCCTGCCCGGTGGCGGCCCGGGGAAAGCCGGCAAGCAGCAGCAGCAGCAGACCAAGAAGCAGGCCGGGGTGGCGGGCAAGAAGACGCTGCGCCGGGGCGAGAAGGACTTCGAGTCGCACGGCACGCGGGCGCAGGCCAGCGTGCTCGAGGACAGCCGCGACGCGATGGGCCAGGTGCTGGGCTACACGCGCACGCACAAGCCGCCTGGGCACAAGGACTATCTGAGGGGGTGGTACTATCCGCGCTGGTGGGCTGATTCCGAGGAGGAGGAGGAAGTGGACGGTGAAGGGGAGAAGCAAGCAGAGGACCAGCAGCAGGAACACCACCACCGTCGGCCAAAGGATCCAGGCATGTTTACTCGCGACAGGGTCGTCGTGCTCGAGTCTGACGGCGGGTCTACGCTGTTTCGCAACACGGGCCGCGTGTTCAGGGGCCTGGACAAGGACACGCCTGCGCGCTCGAGGATGTGGCTGCTCCCCGAGGAGGCGCTGTACCTGGTGGAGAGGGGCGATCTTGATCTGTGGTGGCCGTACCTGTCCCTGCCCGAGATGTTCCCCCCCGAGTCCGGGAATGAGGGGCAGCCGGAAGTGCTCGGGTCTGGCAAGGCGGACTATGACCTGGGATTTCCGCTGAGTCTGCAGGCCGCGTACTCGTTCCTCATTGGCAAAGATGGGCAGCAAGGGAAGGTCACTCTGGAGAAGTATCAGGTCTATACCAATCTGCGGAGGACAGGCTACACGGTACTACGAGCAACCCCGATACCGCTCCCACCGAAGTCTGCCTCGATGACTGACTCTTCTATATGGGAGTGGCTGTTCAGCATGGTGCCCTCCTATCCGAAAACATATGACAAAGCCGACGGACCGCTTGTCAAGCCGGGCTTGTATCGGTCGTACCGGGCAATATTCGAGCAGCAGGCCATTGTCCAGCACCACAAGCCAACGTACGAGACGGATCCCTCTACGACGCCGCAGGACCCGTTCCGGATTCATTATCACGTCTGGAAGAGCAGCAGCACCTTCACAAAAGCCAGGCCGCCACCGCCGAATTTCCAGATCGCCGTTGCAGACACACGGACGTCTTCGGTGCCCACATTGGAAGAACTTACCGCCCTGCTCGAGTCCACGCCGTGGGATCCGCCAGCACCGCCGCAGCCTTCCAAGAATGGAAGCGGCGGTGTGAATGTTGGCTCCATGTACAAACGGCTGAAACACGGCTGGCGAAATACAATCATCGCCGTGGTCGATAGGGGACTGGTCAGTTACGTCAGGCTCACCGAGATGGCGTTTGGAGAAGAGCTGCTGTATGAAGGGTTCGATACCAAGAATAAGGGCGGTGGAAAGAAGGGAGGTCGTGGGGGCGGCGGTGGTAGGGGAGGCCGAGGAGGACGTGGCGGAAGAGGCGGCAAAAGGGGTGGATGAATACTCTACGATGCCCAGAGAGCAAAAAATCACAAGAGACAGAGCGCCACAACTCATGTCGTCATCATCTCGAATCGAGTCGCTGACTGAGTGCTACAGCGCACCGCAGCGTTGCTAATGTCTAGCTCGGCTCTCGTAGTAGGTCTACAACCAGACGGACCAGTGCTAGTGCCGCCTTGTCTGATTCGCATGAAGACTGATCAGACTCAGAACGAGTGCATGCTAGTTCTTGCCGAGAGGTCGCAACAAACTGTTGGCTGGTTGCCGACACAACTTGCTGCGCAAGCGAAACATGCTAAGCGGAGGGGGGCATTCTAAGTTGGGACGTAGCCTCCAATGGTATTGTTGGTTGGCTGCAATTGCCGATGCCATTCCAATTATCAAGACTGAGGGCCCATAAGCGGATGAGCTGAGGGGTTTGCTGCTGCAATTCCTCGAGCCGGCGCTTCAAAGCCCTCTAGGATTCAACATAATTGGAGTTTCACGAAGTTGGGTGAAGAGTGCGATCGGCACCCACGTGTTGCAGCCTCTGATTTGGCTCCGTCTGTGCGGATGGCAGGTGCAACAGCCACTCTTGCCCCACTGCAGCACATTTTCCCGAATGAGACGATCTCTCACCGTCGTGTTGGTCCAACATCAAAAGGCAAACAACAACACCCACTTTGCACCGCCCGACCGTGTTCTCTCCAAGGGGTACGGTGCGCAACCATGTGTGGCGGTTTCGAAACCGACACGGCAACTCACTCAATCCCTCCCTCCCACCATTGAAAGTGATCGGCACATGACATGGATCTTTTGGCTAGGGTGCGTCGAAATGCCGAGCCGGTGGGTTCCTCGATGAAAGATCCCTGCAGCGCCCGTGGCAGTGAGTCAACCTTGACCGTTGACAGACAACGCGACCGGGCGGCCTGTTGGAAAACATGTTGACAAGTATAAAATCGTCGTGGGAGGCCAGATCCTCGTTGCAATTCCGTCATGGCTAGGTAATTGACGGGGGTGAAAACTACATTTCCAAGGATCCTCTGGGACCTCTGCCGCAGCACAACAATAAGCCACAACATATTTTGATCAGGCCAGATCATTATTGTACCAGAGGCGGCCTCGGGCCTCGTTTCTGTTGACTTCCAGAACAGACTCCAAGTCATGTCGCAAATTTTCTGTGCTGCCTTGCTGGACCGCAGGAACATTCCACCGGCGTTGCGCGACGGGCGTAGATTGAAAGACCTGGGCCTGCTGGAATGCGCGTTGGCGCGGGCATCCCACGAATGCCAGCTCTGATTACACCAAAACTATCTTCCATGTTGTGCAGAGCGGATCACGTTGGACACCAGGACAGCAGCGGCCACAACAAGTTGCAGGACGGCGCACAAACACTCCACGTGGGGCCAGCATCTATCGCGCATGCCCCTGGTGGGTTGGGTGTTGTGCCATGATGATGCGATGACTGTAAGATCATCAACAGCAGCTGTGGCTTTTTGTGGAGAACTGCTCGCATGGCTAAGAGGGACGGCCACCACCAGATAAGCAAGCTGCCAGGTCATCGCACGCCCTGGATGTTGCTGACAAGACCACACGTTGCTGTTGTGGGCGAATGGGAAAACTCTGACAGTCGGACCACCGTCGCATGAGGCCTGGCAATCAAAAACCCGCCTGCGTGCGGTGCGACTCGAGGTTCCAATATTGGGTGCCCCGCTCTTTTGAGTTGCTGGAATGTCAGGTTGACCCATGCAAGTCGGCAACAGGACTCACCCTTTCGAGCCTCTGGCCATCCAGCGTCGAGATCCCCAAATAGACATGGGTGCGAAAAGGAAGCCCTTCTTTTTGGGAAGGAGCGCGTCCTGCCACGGTCAGATTGGGAGCAGGAAAACCCAGGCGAGCCCCGGGAGAGGACGCCTGGCGAGGAATGGAGGGGACGATAAAGCGGGCAAATTGGATGCACCCACTTCAGTCGAAAGGGTTTCCACTTGTCTGCAACCCAGCCAATGGCCAGCAACCCTGGGCAGTCGAATTCCTTGGCTCGAGTTAAAAGGTTTCTGCTCAAGCACTGGATCGTGGGCTGCGGCGCCCGGCACGAGACTAGCAGAGTTGCGGCTGCATTGCTGGAGGACCAGATGCCCGCGATCGCCTGCAGGCCCTATCTTCCCATCTGATGATTGCGCACGCCTGTGCCATCGACCCAATCTTGGTCGCACATAACACTCGCTGTACGCCTTCGCAGGATCGGGGACCCTGGTGGTTGGACGAAGTTGTTGTCAAAGACTGTCCAGAACGGACGTGGTTTGCCCTGTCCCGGGGTTTTTTTTTTTTTTTTTTTTCCAAACTTGACACATACGTCGGCACATTCCGGCGAGATGCCCACAGACAACTGCAGCCATCCGGCAAAGTTGGCCAGCTACTTGTGAAGCATCATGCACGCTCCAATGTGGAAAGTGCCCAGGGGCCATGACAAGTTGTCTTGTCTCACTAGGGCCGGATGGCAGGGGTCGCTTCCTGTGGCAGGCAAGCAAGCAAGCAAGCAATGAGTTGCAGCAAGAGGATACCGCGCTGGCTCGCGCATGAGCAATGACTGCACGCTCTCAATCTCCATCTCCATCTCTGGCCTGCCCGGCCGTGCCAGGCATTCGGCCAACGGGAACAAGAGGTGGGTGCTGATGGGCGAGCAGGAAAGACAGCACGACGAGGATGCCTCTTGCGTGCTGTCTCGTGCAATGAGTGAGTGGTGCTTCTCCACTTTGCGCAATCTTGTGCTAGCCCGCCCTTTGGGACATGGACATGGACTAAAAACTAAGATTTACCTCCCGCACGTTCCGCCACGAAACGCCGCCCTCCCTCTCTGCTTCCCTTCTCTCCATTGACCTGCGCCGCGCCTTGAAGCATCACTCCCCTTTGTGACACATGCCCCGGCAAACCTCGCCGAGCCCTCATCGTCCTCACCATCTCCAGTTGCGTCATACGTGTTGCGCAGTCTCTTACTCTGCGGCGAGGAGAGGACAGTGTCTGACAGGTCTGGACAACCACACAACGGCGAGCAGGCACGCAGCCCACCGCTTGATTGCACGCTGTCCAAGACAATAGAGAGACAAGATCGTTATCGTCGGTCCCCAGTGCCCGCCTCGCAGCACCGGCTGGACAGGTTGACCCCTGCGCCCTTAGCCTACTTACGTTTACCTAGCCAGAGTGTCGCGCCGCACCGTGTTATTGCTCGGCTCTAAACACTATAGCCTGGCCAGAGTTCCACAAACCCACCTGACACACCAGGCCGGCCCACAACTTGTGGCAGTTGACTGAAAGTCGGTCGCGCAATCCTCCAACACCCTCCCGGAAACTCTCTCTCAGAAACCTATTTGTCCGTTCTCGTCAGTCCTGCCACTGCACAACTCCCCGGTTGCGACTTGCCACAACCCACGCAGGCCCTGCCCTTCCCTCTGAGCCGTGTCTGCCCTGGACAAGACTCGCACTCTCTTGACACTCGCTCCAGCTCGGAAACCGGCAACCCTGGGCATCTTGGTCCGTTGGGGTTCTCAAAGGTTGTGCTGGCTGCTGTGGTTCATTCTCTCGCCACCCAACCTCGGCTTGTCGCAGAGCACCGACAATTTTTCGCCGGCCACGGAGCAACTATTTCTCATTGCCTGACAACTCGACTGTGCAGGATCCGTTACTGGCTCCGTCGAGAGACCTTTGCGCCCGCAGCCTCTCCTTCAATTTGGTCGCTTGCTGGACGCCATATTTGCCTTGCGCATCGCGGTGACTGCCCAGCTCGTCAAGATGGCTGACCAAGACGCGACAAAGCCTGTCCCAACGGCAGAAATGGACAGCAAACCGACAGATCTTGTCACCAAAAGGTAAGGCAATCTTCACCTATCTTTGCCATTCCGCACTCGAGGCATCGACGCGCTCTGCATCAGTCCTGCCTCTGCTCCCATGCCGCTGCAAGTGCAATGGCTCCCCGTCTCTCCTCGTGAGATTGATCCCCATTTGGCAAGCCCGCGCAACACAACCCCAACTTGGCTGGCTCGCCAGCTGCCACCATTCCGAGTGGTGTCGTCGCGCAACATTGTCATCATGCATGGCGACAACGTCGGACCCCGTTTGCTGTTGGGCTTGCGAGTTCGGGTGACCTGAAATGCGCTGCGTGGCTGTTGCGTGGCGAGTGTTGTGCTGCATCCACGCCGCGTTCTCTTGCTCGCTACGATAAGCAAACCTGGGGCCCCAGGCCGTCTCGCACGTCCAGGCAAGGTGTCGGCGTGTGTTGCCTTGATTGACGCTCTTGCGCTCCTTGCCGGTTCCCAGTGAAGCGCTGGCACGAGTTTCGTCGATGGGACCACGCCTTGCGCCTTCTCAACGAAGCCTTTGTTGCCCTTCTCCCTTTGTCTTTCAAACCCGCGCAACAGCCAGCGCTGCTTGTGCCCTTCCAGCGTCAACCTCGTCGGCGTCTCATCCCACGATACTCCAGATCCTACCCTGCCTGGAGAGCGCCTCATTCTTGGAGATGCCGCGCACCCACTATAGCCTGCGACTCCGGTAAGCTCGGCAGCAATGCTTCTGCTGCTGTCTAGCCAGGCAGCCACAATGGTGACTGCCTCTGGCACAACTCATCACCAATCTCCACTCATTACTCATCACGGACAGCTCACGCCTAATTCCCCAAGCTGCACACTTTTTGCCCAGTATATCACCACACAAACAACCACTTGTCATGTCTTGTTGTGGTGTGGTCAGCCATACTCTGTGATGAGATGGCCAGTCTTCCTCCCACATATAAAGCGCCGTCAATCGCAATCATCTCCCACTTTTTTCATGCTTCTACCAACTAGTCGTTGCGGTTACATTGTGTCATCTCGAGACTAACAGCATCATCACAGCCCCCAAATCACCAACGGGTCCTCACCCGAGCTCTCGCAGACCAAGGCGGAGTTCCCAGCAGACTCAAGCACCACGAGGGCAGTGTCCAAAGAGCTCAGTCGCGAACCTGCTGAGCCCAGCCCTGCGCGGATGTCGAGTTCGGCATCCATCTCGAGTGTAGATCCAGACATGCTTGGCGAAATAGTGGTCGGCACGCATCACAACGGAGACCGGCACTCGCCTCACCGTGGATCTGCGGATCCTGAAGATGAACACATGGCTGACGCCGGCCGTGGTCCGTCGCCTGGCAACACGCCACCCTCACACTACCCAAAGCGTAAACGCTCCGCCGTGTATGCCGACCTTGGCGAGGACAAGATGGAGACGGAATCGCTCAAGCCAGATGACGACGAGGCCGTCGTGAAGCCGGCCCGCCACCCCCTGCCCAAGAGGCAAGGCAACACCAATGTCAAGGGCGTCATTGTCGGATACTGGCGCGACTCGACAGTGCCCAACGACGAGAACAAGCACGCAGTCATCGGATTTATGGACGTCCGTGACCGGCTTAGAACACGCGTCCACATGCAGACCGTCTCTGGCGCATCCATCAACGCGCGTCTGTTCCCGATCCCTCCTGGACCTGGCGGCAGCTGGGTCACGTTTGAGCGCATCGTTTTCTCGGACCACCTCGTCGGCGAGGATCATAATGTGGTCAAGGAGTATGTCAAGCTGAGAGGCAATGCGGAGCCTGGCAAGAAGGGCGACCTCCAGGCGGTCGAGATGGCCCGTGCCTATCTCGAGAAGAACCCGCCGCCCGAGACTCCGCAGCCCTTGCAGATCGCCTGGGGCAAGGAGATCCCCGAGCACGTCCAGAGCACACGCGACCCGCAGTTCAAGCGCCGGCGCACGGGTGAGGGCATCACCACCATCGCCGCAGGCACGAGCCCCGCGCCGGCAACACCACAGCACGCAGCCCAGCACCTGCCGCCGCAGTCACAGCCTCTCACGTCTGCCTCGACGCCCCGGGAGCCCCAGATGATGCAGTTCCAGCAACAGCACCAGCCGCCGCCGCCCCCGCAGCAGCACGCCGTCCAGCATGGCCAGCAGCTGACCCAGCTGCCAACACCTCCCCAGCGCTTTTCGCACGCGCCAGGTCTCGAGTCTCTGCCGGGCACAAGACCCACCCGCATCCTCGTCGGCTGCTGGGCCAAGTCGGATGCTCCGCTGGACAAGGACAAGCATGCCGTGTACGGCATCCTCGGAGCCAACGACATGTTCCGCGTCAAGCTCGTGCGCGAGACCATGGACGGTCGCTTCGTGGAGGGTAACTTCCCTCAGGGCGCTGGTGCTCTGTGGATCGCATACGAGGAGGTGACTTTCCTACCCCATCTCCAGGGGCTGACACGGCCTGAGACCAAGGAGTACGTACGAGTTCGTCAAGCGCAGCTCGACGCCGGTGAGACAGATGCCGAGAGAGTCGCCAACGAGACCAAAGCCGTCTACGAAGCTCAGGCCCGCGTTGCTGCCAATCCGGCCAAGACGGGCTCGTCCCAACTCATCGTACCACGTCATGCCACGGACGCTGACCAGCACATGCTGGACGCTGGCGAGCTGCCGCCGCCGCCGCCGCCCAAGATTGACGGCAGAAGCTCAGAAGCTCGACAGGCCCGTCGCGAGGCACAGCTGGCTCAGCAATTAGCCCAGCAGCAGGCCCAGCAGCAGCAGCAGCAACAGCAGGCCCAACAGCACGCTCGGTACTCTCTCCCCGAGGCCGAGATTCGAGAGATGGGCCGTGGCAACCAGGAGCACTTTGAGCGCCAGCGCAACATTGTCGACAGAGCCATGACTCGCATGGAGAACAATCAGGAACGGGACGACCGCTATGCCGCCAGCCGCGCTGCCATGTCGACCCCGCCACTGCCAAACCCCGAGGCCCGCCGTGATTTCCAGGATAACATCCAGCGGATGCAGAAGGTGTGGATCGCGCAGGAAAACGGCCGCATGCGGCCCGTCCAGGAAGACGAGGCCAAGACGCACGCCGGTGTTAAGTACGAGCGTCGCGCCAATGGCCCCTTTGCTGGGAAGCTCGTCAGCCAGGGCACCATCATCAGCATTGACGGTGAGGACTACGTCGAGTACCGCGTGCTCACCAAACCGACGTTCTTTTGAGCTGTGGGTAGCTCCAATAAGTCCTGATTACAGTTTTTCGGTGGTTGCCTTCTTCTTCTGTTGTGGGATTGCGACTTCTTTTCGTTGCTTTCGACTCTTGGGAGAGGGATGTGCGCTGATACCCATTTTCTACGTTTCTTGCGTTTCTCGACTTTGACAAAGATCAGCGCCTGCGGTGAGCAATTCTTGCGGCTGGTTTCCTTGCAGCAAAGTGGTGGCAACGTGCTGTGCACGACAGACTAATGGTAATGATGGGTCGGGACTCGGACAATATTTACTTTGTATGATTACACTACTGGCAGTGGCCTCAGGGCAACAGGGTGGGATAATGTAGGGCCTTTTCGGCGGCTGCGAGACAGGCAGGCAGGTGAAATACCATAGCCCCAAAATTTTAATGTTGGAGATGTGTAGCTTATGCGTCGATGAGTTATGTTAATAAGAAGTCACCTAAACCAAACTTCATTTTTGAATCCTGGAGGGAGTGGTTGGTGCGCCGCCACACATCTCATGGCGACGGAGAAACAACCACAATTTGAGTAGGTGCTGAAGAACTGGGGCATTGGCACGAACTAAAATTTGGACGTTGTGTAATCTTCCGTTTGCTCTGCGTGGTTGATGCCCACGGACAGCTTGGACATGGCATGTGACTGGGAGGTCAGTGGCCGGGATGGACGGGCAACGGGGCGGAATGAGATATAGCCACCTCGTTGACGGTGGAAGAGAGGCAAAGCTGGGTAAATGAGCATGAGCGATACGTCTGAAATGCACGCTTTGGATGACCCACGAAGATCCGGGGGATAAGCCCGTTGTGCGATAGGATTGTGAGATGTCCTCGTATCCAATCTCACTCCCTTTTTCTTTTCCCTTTTTCTTTTCCCTTTCTCTGTTTTGGCTTATGGTGAAAAAAAAAAAAAAAAAAAAAAAAGATACAAAATATTCCTGCGAGACATAACTATACAGAAAACGTGCAATAATCCCGAGTTTTATTCACCCCAAATGAAAAGGCCCTGCAACCACGACCACGAGCTAAGGAAACGAAGCGTATCTTTCAGTCACAGACGGAGAGCACTGCCTTTCCATTCCCATCGTTCTTGAATTACTTGCAGGTAGTTATCCCTACAAAGGGCGGGGGATACTTGGCAACTTTGTCGCAAAAGGTGTTCTTGGGAATATTATATTTCCCCATGAAGTATCATATACGTGACCTGCTCAATCTCCTTCCCCGCCCTTTGTATGTATCTGCTTATTATGCGTGCCTCCTAGTTTGAATTTTGAAATAATAATCGAAGCTTCGCTTGCTTTCAAAGGTTGTAAAGTGTGGTGATCACGTGCTTTGGCGTCGCGCGAGTGGGGCCACTTCTGTCGCAAGACAGGCCGGGACGCGCTACTGTAGGCTGTGGAGGGGAGGGGTCCCAGACACGCGTACGCCCTTTGGATGTCATCATGTCATGCGACTGGCAAAGGGGATCGGTCCAGGCTTGATGAAGTCTAAGAGCGAGGTCATGCAGAGGTGATCTCACAAGTCTCATAATAACTTGCTGATTCCGCACCCCGCATGAGTCACAGTCCCCGAGAGCGTTCCCTCGCCGCGCGAACTCTAAAAATCGTGAAAAAGGACGTTGGCATACAACCCAGCTCCCTCCTCATCCAGAGATATACAGAGCCCAATCGGTCTTCCCCTTGTTGAAAGGTTGCGACTGTCGACAGAGCGGGACCGAGCCAACTGGGGAAAAATACATATAACCATATCGTGCAAAGTCACTGATATTTCAGCACAATGGCCATAACCACAACCACGACAACCGTCAAGGCGATATCCTCCAAGCCCCGGACAAAACCCCGTCCGCCGCCATCATCATCATCATCACCACCAGCAACCACCACCAGCAAGATCAAGAGCAGCAACTACCAGCCACACAACACCGACATGGCCGCCCAGCTCCAGCGCATCGCCTCCTCCACGCGCACCCCCTACGAGAAGAAGGTGTGGTCCCTGCTCTGCCAGATCCCCGCGGGCCAGGTGTCCACCTACGCCATCCTGTCCGCGCACCTGTCGTCCTCGCCGCGCGCCGTGGGCAACGCGCTCCGCCGCAACCCCTTTGCGCCAGAGGTCCCCTGCCACCGCGTCGTCGCGACGGGAGGGCTGCTGGGCGGGTTCAAGGGCAAGTGGCCCAAGGACGGGGAGGGGATCACGATTGACGAGAAGAAGATGCTGCTGAGGAGGGAGGGGGTCAAGATTGATGATAGGGGACGGGTGCTGGGGACGCCGTGGTCAGCGTTTGTGTGAGGGTTGGGGGGTTCGGGGCTTTGTTGTTTTTTGTTTCATCGCCAAATATCAAGATGTCATGAGAAACGCAGATAAAGACACCATGTTCATGAAAGGAGGTTGACGCTGCTTGTATTGTTTCTCGTCATGCGCAGCACACTCGGGGCGACTTGTGCCTCGGACTGAAGTACTGAAATGAGTTGGGCACGTTAGACCCGGCATATCTCTCGCCCTTGGGCAGTGTTCCCCCTTCCAACGCAACGTCTTCGCACGACGAGTCTTCCGACCCCCCCAAAGCTCCGCCCACCCTTTCAGTCGCCAGTATCGACCTCGAGATCAAGCTGCACACCATTGCTAATCTCATAGTCGGCCAGCGTGAGCATGTCCTTGAACGGGCGCATCCCCTGCCTGCGCAGCATGATCTCGTGCGGCTCGCGCCCGATGCGCGCCGCCACCATGATCTTGAAGTTCTTGATCGAGTCGGACGCCAGGCACGGGATCGCCGCCTTGGTGCCGAGCCGGTCGTTGACGTGCACAATGATCATCTCCTCGCCCATGCCTCCTCCGCCTGCTGATGACGATGTCGAAGGGCCGGGCCGGGTCGGCGGCTTGCTGGTGTCGTTGGCTCCTCCTCCTGAGCGGCCGGGCTTACTGGACTTTCCATCTCGGTCCCGGTCCCGTCTGTCGCGGTCCCGATCCCGTCGCGGCGAGCGGTCTCGGTATCCTCGATGAGAGCTGCCTCCTCCGCGGCGGTCGTTGTCGTCGTCGCCGCCATCGGCCCGGCTCTTGTCCTTGAACTTGAAGCCGCCGCCAAAGTTCTTCTTTCCGGGCCGCGAAGACAGAGGCTCGGGGACACCACCACCATCACCACCACCACCGCCACCGCGGCTGCCACTGCCGTCATTGCCCTCACGCCTGTCTCTCATCCTCCGTTCGTCCCTGTCCCTGTCGCCGTGCCTGTCCCGCCTTCGGTCATCGTGGCCGCCGTCGTGGTCGCGTCTGGAAGATCGGTGGTGATGCCGGCCATCCTCATCCCGGCGACGAGGGTGGTCCGATCGCCTGCTGTTACTGCTGTGCCAATCGCCATCCCGCCGCCGCGGGCGATCGTCATGATCGCGGTGGCTGCCCCGGCCAGGAGATCGGCTGCGATGGTCGCGGCTCTTGTTGTTGCCGTTATTGTCGTCGGCAGCTGCCCGACGAGGCGGCGGCGACCCTGGCAAGGGCGGTGGGGAGACTTCCCCTTCGCTCATTGTTGCATTGTTCTCTTGTTGGCGCGCGATGCAGGAAAGGGATAGTTTGCAACGGAGGTGCAGTGATGGTAAATGTGCTTGTTGGTTGAAGGCTGGACGGTTTGTGCTTGGAGCCTGCTTACGTCACAGGGCTTTTTGTCAGGAAAAGTTGTCCACCGCCCAGGAGTCTGCAGATGTGGAAATCGCGCGTGCAGGTACGTGGTTTATGTGGAGCCAGGCTAGGCTGTGACCTTTTTTTCGTGACTTCCTGGCGGGTTCCTAACATCCATGAAAATCTGGCATGCTCACGTCAGGTTCTACAGTTACGTGTACACATCGGTCGGCATGGCACATTCACTAAGCACATAGCCACTTGATTCAGAATGCAAAGTTAAATGTCTCAAGAATATAATTCTCGTCTACCGAAACGCGTACAACGCCTGGTATGTAAAACCATAAGCCAACCGGAACGCCCCAACCATGAGCTACAGAAAAATGACGGAAAAGCGAATACAAAAGAGCCCAGAACACGCATTTTGGTTCGTATGATACAGAAAATCATGGGCGAGAAAAGTGCGAGATGAACCACATTGTGACGCGAGCTCATTACGCCTTCTCCTTCTTGGACTTCTTCTTGCTCTTCTTTTCCGAGACCTCCTCGTCAGCGTCAGCCTTGCGCTTCTTGCTCGAGGAGTCGTCATCTTCGCCCTTCTGAGCCTTCTTGGCCTCCTTCTTGCTCAGGACGCGGGGGTGCCGTCAGCGTTGACCTCAACGTCGCCGCGCTCGTACTTCCGCTTGAACTTGGAAACAGAAATGCCGGCGGCCTCGGCGAACTTCTCGTAATCGGCCTCGGAGAGCTTGTTGGCCTTGGGGGTGGCAGGCGCCTCAGTCGCAGCCTTCTTGGCCTCCTTCTTAGCCTTCTTCGCGGCCTTCTTGGCTTTCTTGTCTATGTGACTGTTAGCATCCGGTTCGGGTAGAGATTCAACGTGGGTTCGTAACATACCAGAGTCATCCTCACCCTCGCTGCTGGCGCCATCGGCCATGGGAGTGTCCTCGACCTCCTGTATTAAGGGCTTCTTAGGAGTGGCCTTGCCGTTGGTGGCAAGACCGTCGGCATCGGCGTTGTAGTTACGAGTGGGCTTGACCTCAAACTTGGAAGGTGTCACGCCGTTCGGGGCGACCTTGGTACCCTTGGAGATGATGGGGCGGCCCTCAAGCTTGCGGAGCTTGTCCTCGAGGCCGACGCGGAGTCTGACACCCATCTCGGAGCGCTCCTCGTCCTCGACATCCAGCTCGACACCATCGATACCCTCGGAGTTGAGCTCAGAAAGCGCATCGACACGGAGACACAGAGCAGCCTTGGCTGAGAGCATGCGGGCAATCTTGCCCTTGTTCTTGCCGGTGGCCTGACCGACCAAGGAGGAATGGTAGATGAGACCGTACTTGGGTGTATCGTGCTTGGTCTTGAGGGCTCTGAAAAGGGCCTTCTCGGCACCAAGAATCTGGATGGTGCTACCAGGGCTCTTGGCGAGCTTGAGGAGAGAGCCAGTGTGGGCAATCAGACGAGCTCCGACAAGCTCGCCGAGGATCTCGGTCAAGTTGGGCGCAATGGCCTTCATTCTGGAGGAGAGGTACTGGGAGAGCTGCTGGCGGTACTCGGTGAAGCCAATGACCTGCTCGGCAAGGAGCTTGATGTTCTCCAGGTCAATCTCGGAGATTTCGGTACCCATGGAGACTTCGGCACCAGCCTTCAGGCGGGCCTCAATGTCCTCAGGGAGGACCTCGGAGAGGTCGGTGTTGGGTGCGTTCTCGCGCATTCCCATGACGAGAATGATGCGGGCGTACGCAAGGTTGTCGTTCACGATGCGGTCCATCTCGGGGAAGTGCCAGCCGTACCATTCCTTGACACGCATGGCGTAGTTGTTGAGCTCCTTGTCGAGGTCATCGAGCAGCTTGATAGCCTGCACAATCATAACATCGACCTTATCGGGGGAGAACTTGAGCTTGTGGCGGGAGATGGAGTGGGACAGGGCCAGGGCCATGTTTCCGAGGTAGTCGCTCTCGAGGTCGGGGAAGAGTTCGGGAAGGTAGGTCTTGATGGCACGGAACAGCTCCTGTGTCGACGAGTCGGAGACGGGGGTGATGTTGAACTGAGGGAGGACGTTGATGGCGGCACCGAGCTTGGGATCGGCAACGGCGAGCGACGCCTTCCGCTCCTCCTTGATGTCGTCAAGGAGCTGCTGCAGCATCGGCGTGACCTTGCCCTCGCAGAGAGAGCTGTACTCGCCAAGAGCCTGGGCAGAGTCCTCGAACTTGACCATCTTCTTCAGCGAGAGACTGAAATCCAATTGGCATTGTCAGCCTCGAGGGCACTTTTGCGACCAGTCGGATCGCGGCGCCAGGAGCACGGCACTCAAAGAGTTGGGAGTACTTACGCGGAATTGATGGCATCGGCGCCATCGAGCGACTTTGTAATGTCATCGCGGGACAAGAGCTTCTTGTCCTTGGCCTTGAACAGACCGTAGCTGTACCCCGAGAGTCAGTAAATCATCACGGTCTCGTGTGCTGCGACGCGGAGGTCGGGTGCGACCAGGAAACTCACCCCGCAGGCGTCTCGGCCAGGACGAAGAGAGGCATGGCTGAAAGAATCCAAATGCGCAAGAATCCAATTCAATGTCCTGCGCAGCTTCTTCCAACGCGGCAGTAGTCCTGAAAGGGTGGTGGTGGTGGTAAAGGTTGCCGGATAACGCTGTTGGTGATGCTGGCCGCGCAAGTGGTCCCAAGAGGCTGCTTGTATTTGAGACTGGCTCTCTCGCAATCAGAAATAATTTTTTCCCTGCCGGCGGAGCTAGCTCTGGCCTCCCAGTCCAATTGGAACAGAGCTTGGACCAGGCCCACGCAGAAGGCCGCTCTGTTCAATCAGAGTGCAGCACTGCGTCTGGAGGTGGAGCTGTGGCTGGTGAGCCCGCTTGGCTGCATAAAGTCGTGGCTGTCTGCATCAAATGGGGGCGCTTCGTGGCGGATACGCTTTGACAGAGAACCTTGGAATGGCCTAGCGTGAAAGTCCTCCTGTCCGCCAGAATCAGACCGTGTGTGCTATACAGTACTTCAAACGCCCACACTGTGTGGACAATGCCCATCCTGACCTGCAGCAACCTTGGGAGCTTGACGTTGAGTGGGTTCCGGCGGCCTGTGAAGTGTAGGGCGGCTCTGCAAGGTGCTTGCGGTAGGCACCAGGAACTTGCTTTCAACCTCGACCGTGTTTCCGCTCCATCCGTCACAAGCACTTCTTCTATCGCTGTGTCAGCAACTGCTATTCACGATGGAGGGCCTTTTCTTCAACGTAGAGAACGGGTAAGCCGCCCAGGCCGATACCTAGAAGTGCGCCTCCGTACTGACCCCAAGATCATCGTCATAGCTTCATCGAAGGCATCGTTCGCGGCTATCGCAACGGCCTTCTGACGAGCTCCAACTACTCCAACTTGACGCAATGCGAGACGATTGATGGTATGCAAGCCCAACCCTGCGCGACTCCCCTTCCACGACTAGACGAGCCGTTGTGTTGGCGACTTCCCGCTGATGTGCCCTCATACAGATCTCAAGCTCCAGCTCGGCCCTGCATACGGTGACTTCCTCGGCTCGCTGCCGCCGAACCCCTCAACGTCTGCCCTGGCTTCGAAGACGACAGATAAGCTCGTGTCCGAATTCCGTTATGTACGAGCAAACGCCACCGGAACCCTGGCGCAGTTCATGGACTACCTGACTTACGGCTACATGATCGACAACGTTGCTCTACTCATCACTGGCACTCTTCATGAGCGCGACACACGCGAGCTGCTCGAGCGCTGTCACCCTCTGGGCTGGTTTGAGACGATGCCCGTTTTATGCGTGGCGACAAACATCGAAGAGCTCTACAACAGCGTCCTTATCGAGACACCACTTGCGCCGTACTTCAAAGGGAGCCTGACGCATCAAGACCTCGACGAGCTCAACATTGAGATTGTTCGCAACACCCTCTACAAGAACTACCTGGAAGACTTCTACAAGTTTGTCAATACTCATCCCGATATGGCTGGCACACCGACCGCGGAGGTCATGAGTGAGCTGCTTGAATTCGAGGCCGACCGCCGCGCCATCAATATCACACTCAACAGCTTCGGGACAGAGCTGAGCAAGGCCGATCGCAAGAAGCTCTACCCCGAGTTCGGCAAGCTTTGGCCCGAGGGAACCTTCATGTTGTCAAAAGCAGACGACTTTGAGGGTGTCCGCGTGGCCGTGGACGGCGTGGCTGACTACAAAGCCTTCTTTGATGCTGCCGGCCTTGGCGGTGGTCTCTCTGGACCTGGCAACCAGGGCGGCGGTGCCGGTAGCAACGAGCGGAGCCTGGAAGACATGTTCTACCAGAAGGAGATGGAGATCTCCAAGTTAGCCTTCACTCGGCAATTCAGTCTCGCGATTGTATACGCTTGGGTCAGACTCAGAGAGCAGGTATGTGATTTTTTCCACTCTTGAGCTTTTTTTACAACTTTGAATTGGCCCGGAAAACTGACATCCAGTGTACCAGGAAATCCGGAATATCACATGGATCGCAGAGTGCATTGCGCAGAACCAGAAAGAGCGCATCGGCAACTACATCAGTGTGCTTTGATATACCATGGCGATTGCGATTCAAGTTCTGTTCCTGCATTTATCAGTCACATCAATCCAAGCCACAACTCGGCGCTGCTTCACCATGTTTCATCCAGCTAGATGCCTCTTGCCAATGTTCATATGTCTCTTTCCTCCGGCGCATTGGGATTGCGGGGTCTGCAGACCATAGAATGCTCAATCATGGTCCACTACCGAAAACAACAAGTGTGCAGTGTATAGTGTTTGTTGTCTTTGTTGTATTGTACATACATCGCAGAATGTCGTAGTACAATGGGCTTTCCAGCTTCGTGCTTCCGGTGCTGCTTCTAGTATAATACAGTGGAAGCTTTCCTCCCAATAGGTAATGCTCTTCCGCGCTATTGTGTCGTGTTCACAGAGTGATTTGCTCCTTCCAAGATGCTGGCGTCAGACCGAGAGTCTTGAGCATGTGATGCCACCGGTCGCTACCCCGCTCCTTCTTCTCCATATACCGAAGGAGTCTCTGGCGTCTGTGGGCTAGCAGTCGCAGATTCCGCTTGTTCATCTTGTCCTTGTATCCACGGTTTTGCTCCAACTCGGTAGCGAGGGCCTGGATCTTTGTCGTCAAGATGGCGATCTGAACCTCACTGCTGCCGGTATCCAAGCCGCCCCTGATCGGCTTCTCCTCGTCGGGCTGGCCCCTTGAGAGAGCCTTTGGCCTCAGTGTCAGATCTGTGTTGTGGCGCCCGAATGTCTCGATACAGCGGCGGATATTCGCGTGCCGTCTATCCTTGGCGCTCGCGTGCTCGAGACTAGTGATGCGGCGCACCGCCTCCGCGGCGCGTTCATGGTTCTCCTCGTGGTTCTTGTGGTCCTGGTCAACCTTGGCCGGGTCTAGAGACGCGCCGAGGATTGAATCGACGGGCTTCGAAAGAGCGTAGGCGTTCTGTATTGCCGTCTCGACCTCGGATTTGTAGAGCATGTTGTTGAGGATATGCGGGCTGGTAGGCAGGCTTTGTGCTTGTCCAACCACATTGCCTTGGCCATCTGTTGTGGGCGCCGAGGTCGTGGCTTGTCCAGCACTAGGTAGCGACTCGATGAAAGGGGTCGTGACGCCGCGGACGGGGTCGCCCCAGGTAGCTCTCCGAGCGGCGGCGATCTTCTCCTTGATCTCGTTGTGTGCTTGCTTGCGCTCCTGCATCTGTGCCCACCTATGGGGCTCCTGCTTCCTGATGCGTCTCTTCTCCTCGGTCGTCAAACTCGCTGTCTGTGTCCGTGATGGCGTCACCGCGGGTGTGATGGCTGGACGAAGGCATACTGTGGTCCGGGAGGAAGGTATTAGCTATGTGGGCGCGAAGGTGCGAGGACGGCTCAGTCTGGGACGAACATTGTATAGAGGGCAGGCGCTGAACGCAATTTATCCGGGGTGGCATGATGACGAGTTGGTGCCAGCTATCCCACGGCGAGGAGCTTGCTTGCGATCCCTCGTCAAGTCGATATCGGGCGATTCAACAACCTCGACTTTTTCAGACCCCGTCGTCCAGCAAAGCACGCGCTCATGGCCCACTCTCGAAGTTCGACCAATGCATTTGCAGCACCTGCCAAAGCGGGTCGCCGGTGTGTGAGGGACTGAGCCCAGCCACAAAGACTTGTCGAGGCGGGACTCAAGCCTCAGGCTGTGCCTCAGCCCCTCGAAGCGTCCTGACTAAGCCAGCTCTTCTCCGCGCTAGCTCCTCTGGGCCTGGCGCAGCTCAGCGGATGACCAGGGATTTAGCGAGCCCACAACTTTTGCAGGTTGATCAATTTGTGCGGCGCCTGGTCCTGGTTGGTGAACTTTTTTCGAACCTCCCGAAGTCGACGAGCCCGCGCAGTTCAGCACCCATCTCAACACTCCTCACACCACCCGTGATCACCACACACAACAGTCAAGATGGCGCCCTCCAACCTCCCCGCCTGCATGAACGCGACCAGCCAGGACATCGAGATGCTCCTGGCCGCCCAGGCCCACCTCGGTTCCAAGAACTTGCAGGTGCACATGGAGCCCTACCTCTGGAAGACCAGGGCCGACGGTGTCAACGTTATCAACATTGGCAAGACCTGGTAAGGACTCCCCAGACGAAGCAAGAGTCGCAGTCGGCAAGGAAGACATTGGAGCACACTGGACAAAGGAGACAAGGCGGAACGGAACGGATTTGCGCAAATAATTCTTTGGACTAACGCAAGTTTGCGCACAACAGGGAGAAGATTGTCCTTGCTGCCCGCATCATCGCCGCCATTGACAACCCGGCCGACATCTGTGTCATCTCTGCCCGTCCCTACGGTCAGCGTGCCGTCCTCAAGTTCGCCGCCCACACTGGCGCTGTCGCCATTGCCGGTCGCTTCACCCCCGGTTCCTTCACCAACTACATCACCCGTTCGTTCAAGGAGCCCCGCCTGATCATCGTCACCGACCCTCGCACCGACGCCCAGGCCATCAAGGAGGCTTCCTACGTCAACATCCCCGTCATTGCCCTCTGCGACACTGACTCCCCCACCGAGTTCGTCGACGTTGCCATCCCCACCAACAACAAGGGTCGTAACGCCATCGGTGCCGTCTGGTGGATGCTTGCCCGTGAGGTCCTCCGCATCCGTGGCACCATTGCCAGCCGTGAGGTTCCCTGGGACGTCATGGTCGATCTCTACTTCTGTACGTGCTTCTCCTGTCTTTTGAAAAACGACTCTTTTAAAACCGGCTGTTCTAACATGCGCTTCACAGACCGTGACCCTGAGGCCGAGGCCGAGGAGAAGGTTGAGGAGGAGAAGGTCCCCGGTGCTGACGAGGTCGGCCCCGCCGCCATCGAGTCCGGCTTCGCTGGTGCCCCTGGTGGTGACTGGGAGGCTGCCGCCCCTGGCTTCGCTGGCGCCCAGCCCGGCAACTGGGACGGCCAGGCCACCGATGAGTGGGCTGGCGCTGCCGGTGCTGCTGCTACTGGCGCTCCTGCTCCTACTGCCGAGTGGGGTGCTGCTGATGCCAAGGAGAGCCAGTGGTAGGAACCTCTTGCCCAACAAGGCGACGGCGCACAAGATGTCCGCGAGCCCCAGTCAGAGCAGCGTGAGCAGGAGTGGTCCGCTTCGTCTAACCTGGCCACTGCCTGGTAGAGCACGATCACAGACTGCACACGCTGTCATGGCGATCGCATCAAGGATCATCTGAAGCAAAATTCAAAAAGCAGTAAAAATATCAAAATACGGCGGCCTCCCGCTGGGATAGCGACTCCCAGCGCACGACACAAAAGACAAAAGGAGGGAGGGGTTTTGCAGGTCGACTTTTTGAACCCATACTAATGAGGGAAAGATATCCGAACTAGTCTTCAAAGGATTCCACTGCCGTGTATTCACCATTTTCTTTTGTTGCCATATTCTCTTCCCACCCACCATCGGTAGTGAATTCAACGAAACAGACTGGGGAGGGGGAATGCCCTGTATGATCAAAAAGACACAAAGGGATGGACTTGACCGTCGTCCCGCCTGGTCCCCTATTCAAGCTAGTTCTTGTTGCTTGACCGTCACAAAAAGATGAGAATGTCGCAAACAATTGTGCACGCGCCCCCCCTGTGATGTGTTTAATGCCGTGAGGTGACCTTGATACGGTGAAGCGCAAAGACGACAGCTTGTGAAATTCTGGGAGGCCTACGGCGTCGAATTTGCCAAAATCCATGAGGCAAGTCGTTTTCATGAGCAGGTGTACTAAGTTGCGGTCGGCGCGGGGCCGTGGTATTGTGAGGGATCGCAATCAACCGTCGTTGTCGCAATGGCGACATCTAGGTTGAGTTGGCGGGTTGGACTGCCCAGGACTCCCATCGCCAGAGTCACAATTTGCGCCTTCACAATACCACCTTTCGCGCGTAGTGTGGCGGATTGACCACGATCCGAAGAGCGTTACTACATCATGGCCGCCGCAGCAGGGCGACTGACTTCTTGCACGGAACGAGAATCTCATGCGCGCACGCGCAGACGCGTGTCTCTACAGAGACATTACGCTATGTATTCATATGCCTGGGCTAAGGAGGAGGTATCGCGCTCACTTTGGCAGATGAAGTGATTGTGAGGGCATGGTGAATGAGGTGAGGAGAACCACGTCGAACGCAAGTGAGGGCGAACTTGGTCGGGTACCAAATGTCAATCATTGACCACGTCAATGCATCGTGGTGGTCAAATCTCCACGAGAATAATCCCTTGGAGCGTGTCGTAGCGTGCCAGACTGTGCGAGGAGGATGCGTCGCGTCGTCGATCCATCATCGGCGATACTAGGGCCGAACATATGGTCTCGCAGCTCTTCTTCATCAAGGTCCTCTGCATGTAGCGCGTCACGAGCGAACAGATCGTTGGCAGGAACTATGGGCACATCTTCCTCACGGCGATGCACAAGGCAGATCGCAGACGCAATGAAAATGGGTGTTTTGAGTGGTAGCAAAAATTGCGAAACTGACGATCCCGAAGGATAATCAAGACCAGTCGGCTCCGCGCTGTGCAATGCAGGCCTCCTGGGCTCCAAGCAGGGATTCATGAGCTCCCGCTTGGGCTTCAAGGTAAGTATGAAGAGGAAAGGAAGAAAAAGGTTGAAAGGGAGAGGGTGACGAGCCGTACTTATACTGATGGCTGGCAGGCAGCAGGACGGTGGGTGCCGGCAGAACAGCCACTGGGGCTGCTGGGCGGCGGAAACTGGCAGTTTCCTGGGAAAGGCAGGCAGGTGCAGAAGGGCAGGTAGGACCCACTATGGCTGAGTGTGTGTCTCTTGGTGGGGGAGAAGAGATCCAGCGTGAGGGTGGAGGCTGCCATCCAATCCATGGGAAATGCGGCGCAGCAGACCTGGGCGCACTTATTGCACTTTGTGAGCAAGTTTCTGGCCCTGAATTCCCGTTTCGAGACATCGAGGTGCTGAACGAGGCACGCTGTGAGTAAGCTACTCGACAGGCTCGTGGCTTATTCCTCACTAGCTTGGCTTGTCGCATAGTGCTGACCCGGGACAGACTTTCCGAAAGATGCTGCCACCATGGGCCCTGCCACAGCGGCAGCGTGGCCGGCAAAAACGACCAAGATACCCCTGCTGCACGAGGAGGTTGCAGCGCATCGATCTTTTTGGCCCGGCCGGCAGCGGAGAACAAAGGCTTTGTGCTGCGGGGACGAGCCAGGGCATGGCCATGCCCAAGAACCCCCCTGCGTCGTGAGAGGAGGGAAACATGCACATTGGACGCCAGCGGGTGACAGCAGAGCTGTTGGACACAGCAACCCCCCTCTGCCTATCCGAGCAGCTCGCATTCCCAGCTCGTAAGCATGCAGGCGGCGTGCATGTGTGCTGGGCTGGGCATCCCGCTGCAGAAGCCAGCCTCGACCAATCCGACGCCTCGCTATGCGGCGACCACCCCTTGCAAGATTCGACCCCAGCGTGTTCAAGCGGCACGACGGAAACATCTCGTCGCGAGACTAGTCTGGCGCCCATTGGTCCTCTGATCGGCCTGCTCATCGCGGCCTACCAAAGACAGCAGAGGGGCAGAGACTCTTTGACACGACCCATCCATGCTGCCGCCGCGTGACAGCCCGCCAGTGTCGCAAGCACCTCCGGCATCTTGGACAGCCGGGAGATCCACGCTCGAAACAGCCTAGCCTGCGGGCGGTAGCTCACACCGTAACATGCCAGCAGCCAAGGAGAGGTACAGGAGAATGAGCCTCTGCTCGCTGGCGTCCACAAGCTGCCATCCTGCTGAGCAGCCACTGAAGTTAAGCAGGCCCGCCCCGGCTGAGCGCTTCTCACAGCGGTGCTGAGACGGCGACTCTAAGGGGTCCTTTGCCCGATTAGCACCGTGCCACATCTGTTGCACATGCTCCACCACGTTACGCCTTCCTAGCTGGGGCAATGATTGGGCAAAGTTACGCCAGTCTGAGATTTAGCCCTGAGCGTTCCTCTCCCACGTCCATCTGCAGCTATCAGTGGTGACCTCAGGACTTTTCTCCGTGGCAACGGGGGGTCCCTCCCCGTCCCCAAGCCCAGCCCTAGAGCCTGGGTATATAGTCGCCAGCACCCTACCACGCACTTGCGTTTCAGACCTGCCCACTCGTCACTTTGTTGCTTCGAGATTCGGCCCTGTAGTGTCATGCAGCCGTCTGTACGATTGTGACGATTCCTTCACTTCTCGTGCCTGCTTTCGGTCTCTTGCTTCACAGCTCGCCACTGAGGCTCCCCCGCGCCGCGATGGCTCTCGTGGACAAGCTTGTGCTCAATGCACGCGACCTGCCAACCAGTCTGTGGCTGCTCCTCGCAACGGCATCGGCGGCCACTTTGATCAAGGTGTTCTGGCGACCCAGCATACCCAAGAATGCTCCAAAATGGTGGAAAAAAGGTGACTGGCCGGTGCTCGGCGCGATCCGTTTCTACTCGGCCCGCGCAGACTTCATGTTGGAGGCGATGAAGCACACACCAGGTGGCAACTTCACCTTCTACATCGGCAAAAAGCAGATTGTGGCCGTCACGGGCGAGGAGGGGCGCAAGACATATTTCGACAATAGAGAGCTGGGCTTTGCCGAAGGGTGAGTCTGCACTGATCTCGGCGCCAACAAACGCCGTGCCCCCCTCTCAGCAGAACGCCATGAATATTTCCTCAATCACCAGGGCCACTGCTGACGCCCTCCAACTTAGGTTCGCCGAGCTCCTGACCGGCCAGCCCCAAGCCCCCGCCGAGATGGATCACTTCAACCAGTGGTTTGGGAAGACCCTCAACGCCATGCTCAAGAAGGGCCAGCTGTACAAGAACCTCGGCTCTCTCACCGGCGACACCAGGACCATGTTTGAATCCCTCGGCCGGGCACAGCCCTGTGCGGCGAACCCAGAGTGGAGGACGATGGATCCATTCTACCACCTCTACCGCACCGTCTACCGGTTGACCATGCGGACAGTCGGAGCAGAGGAAATCGCCGAGGACCCCAATCTGTTTGAGGCGACGCTTGAAAATTTCGAGAAGTTCGAAAGCCTCGCTTCCACCACCAGAGTCATCTTCCCGTGGCTGCCCACACCCAACCACGTCCGCCGTATGTACAAGGGCGCGCGCCTGGCCATGGTCTTCCGAAGCATCATCGACAAGCGGGTAGCCACCGGCAAGACCCGTGACGATGCCATTCAGTATCTGATAGAACAGGGCACCAGTTTCAGGAACACCATTGCTGTAAGTCGGGATCTGAGGCCGGTCATGATGTGATGGTACTTGGGCGTTCAGAACCAACATCGTGCCATCCGTGCTGACCATCTCCTCGTGATACGCAGTTTGTCATTGGCGCCTTATTCGCCGGCCTGCTCAACAGCGGCATCAACGCGGGCTGGATCCCCATCTTCCTTGCGCAGAACCCGGAATGGAAGGAGCGCGTGCGCAAGGAAGTCGACGGCGTGGTCGCCAAGAAGCGCAAGACGCCCGACCAGTCCCCCGCCGATGTGCTGGACACTTTGACCATCGATGACTGGGAGTCCGAGTTCCCCCTCGCGGACCTGTGCCTGCGGGAGTCCATCCGCTTCGCCATGCCCGGCGCCTCGTTCCGCAAGAACACCTCTGGCCATGACATCGAGATCGGCTCCACGGGACAGGTCATCCCGCCCAACGCGTTTGCGACGTACCTGCTCGACGACACGCACTTCAACGACGAAATCTACAGTGATGCGCTCAGGTTCGATCCCGGGCGGTTCCTCGAAGGCCGCGCGGAGGACAAGAAGACCACGCACGGGTACTTGGGCTGGGGCGTTGGCCGCCACCCTTGCCGTAAGTCTTTTTTTGTGTTTTCCCTTTTGCTGCAAATGAGAGATTCCAAAACACGCCGATCGAACTAGCATGACTGTTCCGTGGCACACTCCCACCTACCGCCCATAATCCTCTTCCCCGCCCTATATGATCGCTCGGCTCTCCCATGTTGGCGCGAAAGTAAAAAAGGAAACCGAAGGATGTAAAGCTAACCCGTAAACCCCACCCGCAAACAGTGGGAATGCGCTTCGCCAAGCTCGAAAACGCATTCATCCTCGCTTACCTCGTCGCCATGTACGACTACGAGCTGGCAGCCGACCAGGAGGGCAACCCAGCCACGAAACCCGCGCCCATGCCCGATCGGCAGCTGAACGCGGCCCAGAAGCCGCGGGAGGCGATCTGGCTGCGGTATCGGCCAAGGACCGACATTGTTGGTGCCAAGGCGTGAATGTGGAGCGGAGCAAACAGACGAGGCGGAACAATAGAGAGAGAGAGAGGGAGAGAAGTGTGAGGGACGAGACTAGGAATTATGGGACGAGATACACACGCGTGGTAGTAGAGGCTTTGGGGGGTCCCTTTGATCCGGGAGATGAGAGAGCCAGGTATGAATAAAGTCGACACCACCACCACATAGGACGGGCCCTTGGATTACTTTGTCAGGTGTATGGGCCTGTTGCTGTCAGGTACAACCAGCATCAAGATCATGATTACTCCATATGTTTCCATATATGCGTGCGCGCCAATCCCGCTTGTTATTCTCCAAACCCAGGCAGCCGAGTGCCGTTCACGATTATACACACACACACTCCATTTCAATCCAGTATGCAAAGATGAGCGAGTCATTATATTTCTTGAATTTGAACCCTTTTCTTTTCCCTTGTTTCCCTACCAAAGGACCGACCGTAAAAGAGCGATATGATGAAAAGTGCTTCGATGTTGGGGGTATCTGATGAGTTGCCATGTCCTTTTGCAGGAGGAAGATATATGATAAAGACTTAAAGACAAACGACCGCAGGGAAAGCAACGTGGCGGGCAAAGCATGTCTCGTGTGTTTGGGCACAAATGTAATCGTCCTCTTGTACGTTTCTTGCTCGCGCAACATGAGCGTGCCTCGCTTGCTGCAACAAGTAGAATCGCTGCTGGAGACGCAGCGTGTCCGAGAAGGCGAGCTTCTTCAGGTGTTGTAAATGGTTCCAGGAGTCATCGAACAGTATGCGATATGCTGATAGATGCTGCCCCTAGTACGCGCATAGGTGACTCGTGAAAAAGATGTGTTCGCTAAATAAAGCGGCCGTCAAGTCGTAAATCTCAGTGTCTTTCGCTAAGAAGGCATAGAATAAAGGGGGTGTCATGCTATGCTCGCTGTGCGTGTGAATTTCTAAGAAGCCTTCTGAGTGGAAGGCCGGAGTAATGCTAATGTCGCTGGCGGAAGATGAAATGATGATCGCAAGTTGACACGCATACTGATACAATTATTCGAAAGGTTGTGAAGGCGGGAATGTTGATGGCAATCTGGTGAGAGCCATGCCGCATACACCCCTTGCGATTACTCCAGGAGCTCCGAGTTTTTCCGGATCTGCTCGTCGCTCAGTGCACTCATCCAGAGGCAACGCTCGATAATGCCTTCGACAGGCTGAAAGTAATACTGCGTGCTCGCCTCCAGTAGTCGAAGCAATGTCTTGACAATCGATGCAGCGATGCGACATCTCTCGAAGTTAACAAGTGGCGGGGTTAACGGCGAGCTGGCCACTTCGGATGGACGCTGAGCATTGAAGAGCAGATCGTGTGTGTAGATGCCGACGAATGGAATGCAGCCAAGTTCGGGAGTGTTGCCACCTCCCTCCATTTCCGCACGGAGATTGTAGAAGTTCTTCGTAGGCGAGACAAGCATTTCGAGCTCGGCCATAGTCCTGAGGTCAGCCTGCGGGACCATGCTCCAAGTTCGAGCCAGCCTGGCGATCTCATTCGAGGTGAGTGCAATCGCAATCTGGCTCATGGTGGCGAAGTTGCGGTATTTGCGACAATGAGACGCAATGTGCAAATATTTCTGGATGCACCGAGATCGCTCGTTGACATCTTGGGTCAGCACAATCTCGGAAATGACCCACTTCACCATAATGTTGAAGCGAGCAATGACGACCTCAACGCCGTGGGTGTCGGGATTGCGCAAGAACTCAACCCATGATCGAGGGTCGGTGTTGTCATTCTTCCAGCGCATGTCGATAAGCTCCCGCCAGTCAATCTCATTGAGGGCATCCTTCTCAATGAGCGTGAATTGCTGGGCCAGAATCTCCGAGTCGAACGCCAGGATGAACGGCAGATGTATGGAGAATCTCTGTGCGGAGGCCGCATTAAAGGCCATCGTATCGTGTGGGCCATCACCAACACCGAGCTGGCCTCGCTCGAGCGAATTGTGGTACATGGCCAAGTCTGAGACATTGTTGGCAGATGCGGTACCCTGTTTCTGGCTCCAGATCTGGTGGTCTTGAAGAGCAGGCACCAAAGCCGCTTCAGGGTCCAAGGCTAGTGCTTCACGGAGGCTGATTGGTGGTGATGGAAGGTCGACAAGATTGGTAGTAGATGTCTCCACGGCATGTCCGTCCGTTGTCGGGCTGTTTTCGCTGAGGGAGGATTGCATAGTGCTGGGCTTGAGCTCCCGTTCATCATCCCTTTCAAGAAACTCCTCAGTGGACAATTCCGAGGAAATGTCTGAAGCGCCATCCGTGTCGCAATCGAGGAAGGAATGAACCTCCTTGGTTTCGGCATCGTTGCGATTACGACGACTTGGCTGCCCAGCTACTGGTGCTGGCAACGATTCAAAGGTATCCGGGTGCTCGTCCTGCGGTGTGTCTGGCATCAGGATAGACTTGTTTGTCCACTCTCGCGACTCGTGAATGCGGCGGCCTTCCGGAGTGGAGTCGCGTTCAAGCAGGGGGATGGAGTTGTAAGAGTCCTTCGACGCTTCAGACAGAAATGATACGATGCCGCTCCTGCCGGGAACCAGTAGACTCGACTGTGCTGTGGGCCCACCAGTCGCGTCGACCATGCCGACAGTCTCTTCGCCAACATGCTGGTGGCGGTGCTGTTCCTTGTCGGCATCCTCATTCGCAAGCCCATCAGGCTGAGCTGCCAAGGAGCCGGCAGTATGGTCGATTGACAGCCGTGGCGGCTTCTTCTCGTATCTGCCTTCGAGTTTGAGAAGGGCTGACTCTACACCACCATCGTCATCAATGTCGTCAGGAATCTGCGCCAGCTTCTGGGCTTCAGCCTCAAACGAGGGACGCATGATGGGCTTGGACGAATGCGTGCTGAAATGGGTATTGCGGTTCTTGGGGCCTTGGTCAGCCATGGCTCCGAGCGAGAACACCTCGCTGCGGTAGTGTGAGTAATCGCCGCTCACAATGTCGACGAATCCGCTCGAGTTTCGCCGTTGAAGCTGCAGGCTGGGACTGCGACAAGACTCAGAATAAGTCGTGAGGGACCCGTCCGAATGAGATCTATGTAAGGCTGGCCCGTCAAGGTCGGTAACATGGGCAACCCCGCGGAGATCGCCGCCAGGACGCCTGCGCAGAACTCGGAGGGGGGGCGGCATGACTTCAGAGATGATTGAGGCTCCTGAAATGGTTGTGGCATCGAAACTTCTGACTGACGCAGCTCCGATTGCACTCTGGATCGATGCGAAACGTCGATGGGCCAAGGAACCCCTCGAGCGATAGCTTCTACTGGACATCTGCCGTCTGTGATGCCTGACGAAGCTTGACGGCGGCTTTCTGGTAGACTGCCGGTTGCTTGAAGTCGCGGGCCTAGGCTGCTGCGATTGAGGACTCTGCGCCGCAGTCGCCAGGGGTCCAGCTTCTGTCAAAACACCCGAGGCCGCCCGCTGATCCAAAGTCGCGAGATCGGGTATGAAAGGGGGCAGCGGATTGGTGTCCAATGAGGGCTGATGCACATGCTGGCTCAGAATGAACGAGGACCGGCGAGGGGTATTGCCTCTTGCGCCATTGCCCGGTGGTGTCGTTGGTGGCGTCAGGTTTAATTCACTGGCAGCCATATGGCCATCCGTAAAACCATCAACGGAATTGTTGAAGCCTGGCACAGTCCCTGGCAGAGCGCCTGCCATGGCAGAGAAGTCCAGTGCCATGGTGCCATCGACAATGACGATAGATTTGCTGCCCGTCGTGATGCCACCATCGCTGAAGGGTCGAAAATCCATGCCGTGAGAGTCTTCCATGGCGACCGGAGAGTATTTCATCGCCCCTGGCCCACCCTGCGAAGTCCGAGCCGCACCTTGAGAGTCACGGGAAAGTGTCGAGTTCTCCTCCTTGACGGCCTCCTTGAAGTGGTCCGCTACTGTCGCACCCAGTAGATCTACGCGTAGAGGATGTTGCAGACCAGTGACTCGATCGTATGAGCGAGGAATCACGGCCGTTCCTGGAATCCTGTTTGTCGTGACCCCGTGAGAGCCATTCGAGTTGAGCAGAATGAAGTCGGAAGGCCCAGGAGTGGTGTTTGACCCTCGTGCTCTCAAAACTCTGCGAACACTGCCCATGAGCCGCCGCATTCCCTGGCTGGACATCGCGGAACCTGTCGGCTTCTCCTTCAGCGCACCATGCAACGACGCTTGCAAAATAGTCTGACGGCTGTCACGAATGGTGCTTGGCGGGCCCATGTCCACAAAGGCTTGCCCGGGAGGAAGGAGATTTCCCCGGACGAGGCTGCCAGCATATGGCATAGCGATAACGAATTCGGAATTCTTGTGCATGACCCTCTCTCCTCTGGTTCCGTGCTCGTGCAGAGAGTCGCTCTGGCTCACGTTGCGCCGGTGAGGCTGTTGTGGCCGGACTCGTTTCCCAGTCAGAGCCCGTGGGGTAGAGGCGACCGGGTCTGGCGATGTGTAAACAGAGCTCGGGTCGACAGGGTGTGCGCCAAGCGCATGAGCTGCCCCAGACTGGTCTGGTGCAGTCTTGATGGCCCGCGCAGGGAAAGAACATGACATGACGTCAAGGCTTGCCACGCTCGTTGGCGATGTCTCTAAGCGCTGTAGACGATCTGTTGGCCGGTGCTCGGGGGTACCTGGTCTTCGGCCTTCCAGAACAATCGAGTCCATGTGCCCAGCTCTGGCAACGTCCGTGTAGAAGCTCGTGCTGGGACCCTTTGCTTCATCCGAAAGCTCAAGCTCCTGCAATTGGGGAGCCTTGTCGTCGTCATTCGAGTCCCAAAATGTCGGGTCCAGTTTCGGATCCCGATGTCCAGCGATCCCACCGGGTGTGATAAGAGCTTCGGGTTCTTGCATAGCGTCGAATTCGGGGCCGTCCCAGTACTGTGCACAAATACGCCTCCAGCACTTCTTTAGTTCAGTGACGATTTTCATCTGGGGCCGGTTGAGGTGGCCATCTTCGATAAGATCCTCGACAAAGTTGTTGATCAAAAGACAGAAGGACAGTCGGAGCTGGTAGTCTACAACGAAATCGTCGATGAAGTAGTTGAGTAGCCAATGGCGGATTGCAACAAAAGTGCGCACCCTTACCACGGTGCCAACCTCGTCCTCCCTTGCTAATGCCCATCGAAAACGTGCGACCAACATCTGCAGCAAGACTGACGGCTCAAGGAACGAACGAAACGACAGGAAGAAGTCTGAAATGAGCTCGTAGTCCAAAAAGGTAGGCGATGTTATCTCAGCCACCAGGCGTGCTGGCGTGGCTGCAGTCACTGCGCCGCTAGTCGGGGATAATCGCACGATTGAGCGGTCGTTGCAGGACGGCCGGAAAGTGAGTGCGTCAAACATCGATGGCCTGATCTCTATACTTGAAGGGATAAAAGTTGTGCGGGATGGTGCAGGCAGACGAGGCTGTTGTATTGATGCCGAGAAGGGGCTCAAGAGGGTCGAGGATTGGAATTGGGCGTTGGATTCCGAGGGAGATACCATGCCGGGCGCTATGGAGTCAGGATATAGAGAATTGCGATCTAACGGGGTTCGTCGATAGAAGGAATTGCTGCTGAGCCGATATTCTTCGGTGGGAGCGTATGAAGAGCCACGAATGAACGGCGTGCCCCGCGTACTGAAGCGTGGAGTCCCCAGCTTCCAAGAAGGGATCGAGACCTGCAGGAAGCCGTTGCTATCGACATCTTCTGCAGTTTTCGCCTTGAGGTCTTCTTGCGGCTTCGAAATGATCACCTTGAAGGCCCCAGTGTCGCCCTCGTGAGCCACACTCGATTCCTGAATTGTGGAATCAGACATAGCCCGTCGATGCATTGGTCGCACGGATGACCGGTGTTCAAAATATGCCTTGCGCAAAGGCACTCCCGGCGACGGGGTCTCCGAGAAGGTGGTCAGCTGACTGCCCTCGACTGCACTCTTCTCATCCTTCAGATTCTTAGACATGGCCGCCGGTTCCAACCCTGCCGTGCGCGGTGGTGACATGGGGAACACAAAGTTTGGCTGCGGATATCTCTGGTTTGCTGGTCGGATAGTCGGCCTGTGGCATTGTCAGTACGCAGTTCAATCGTAGCAGGGGCAGGCAGGGCCCATAATTTTCCGTACCGCAAGAAGATGCGGCCATTGTTCCCAACGTTGGCGACGGTGAACTTGCGACCCTCCCGGCCTGCAGATCCTCCGTCGGGTACGATGCTGTTCTTTTCCCCGTCACCATCTTTCTTGCCAATGGCGGCAGAAAGCCCCGGCTTGTGCCGTTCGGCAGCAGGGAGCAGGGGCTTGATTGTGGTGACTGGTGATAGATGTGTTTTCGTGGTGGGTAGTTTGAATGTGTCTTTTGTCGTCGGGCGTGGCGGGGAGCGGTTTCGTTTTGTGTCGCGGATGCCGGTCTTGGGTGCCCGCTGGCTCTTGACGGAGAGGTTCCTTCGAGGAGCGCGACCGAGGTTGACGGTCAGGCGCGCGGGTGGCGGCAGCTGTGCCGTGGGAGGATCGACTTCCATGTTGTGATGTTTCTGGCCTACATGCATGCATGCAAGTGCCTATTACACGCGCGGGAGATGCATCGAGGAGAGGCGACTGGTGGACGGCATGAAGGCTCAGTGGTTTGGAGTGTCGTCTAGGCGCGCATGTGGTGGCCGTCGGCCTCTGAAAGCGAGTGGTGTGTGGTTGCAAGGCGGACGAAAGTGGCCCGGTGTGGATGGCAGAGTCGTGCCCCCGGATTTTGTCCCAGGATCTTCCAGGTTGAGAGCGAGTGCGCGCACGAGTACGCGGTCCGTGGTGCTGGAGTCGGGGACCAGAGAGCAGAATGACACGGAAGCGAGCGGTCACCGGCGCGGCGGCGTTGGTGTCGTGCTGGCGATGAAGCAGGCAGCCAAGGCAGGCCACGGCACAGCTTCTCTGAGCGGACGGCAGGTCACGATGAGGCTGCAACGAGGGTCTCCAGTCAAGAACGGAGGAGGCAGACAGGACGGGCTGGGCAGCAGCTCAAGAGAGGAGCGAGATCAGCGAGTGGGCAGGCCTGGCCGGCACCAAGACTAGCGGAGGTAGCGTACGGTGCAGGGAAGGGGGGCGGCTCCGTCGCCCGACCAGTCGGCAGTGGACGCGGTGTGCAGAACCAAGACGAGGGAAAAGCAGACAATGGCAGGCGGCGGCTGGGAGTCGACCAACGTCGGCGCGGAAGCTTTGGGCCAGGACCAGGGGGCCCAGGCAAGAGGCACCAAGGGACAGGGGCAGGGGCAGGGGCAGGTTATGCAATGCATGGACGCCGCGAGAACCAGGCCTGGTCCAGATCAAGCTGGAGTCCCAGCTCAGGGCTGAACATTAATTATGAGCAATCCTTTTCAAATGTGGCCGTGGCAGGCACGTGTCTACCTACCACTACCTCTGCTTTACCAGAGGCGGCAGTGAGGTCTCGAGGATGCAGAAACCGGCCTTCAGGGCCGAAGATGGCCAGCACCGCAAGGCTCGCCGTGACTCGCCAGAAACCTGGACCTGCATTGTTGCAATGAGCGGGAACCGGGGGTCCCGATGCCGTCACGTTGTCAAGGGCCCTCTGTGGACCGAGCACCTCCGCGACACACAAACTGCATCCTGGAATAAAGCTAACACAAACGGCCAGAGGGTCCGCTGGCCGCGGGGCTTGCACCGGCGCCTGGACACGAATTGCACTCTGGCGATGCTGGAGGCTGGCCCAAGTTTGTGATGGCCCAGCGCGCAGGACGAGGCCATGAGGCGCATGGCCCGGCCCGCTTGCCTCGGCTGGGCAAGGTCCCACGATGGCGTGTCGCCGCTCGCCCCCTATAGACCTGTTACAATACCTTATGGTATTAATGCTTCCGCCTGCTTCTGCCTGCGCAATGCCAATTGCCCTTTGCCGTCACAGCAACCAGTCCCTCGCTGACCACCTCGTCAACCGCCAGCCCGTGGAGGGAACGAGTATGCAAATGTTGCGACAGGTCGACGAGCGGGAGCAGAGACCCAGCAGCAGTGCACGGCCTGCAGACGACAAGGGCATGCAGCAGCCTGCAGGCTGGGGTCACATTGGACGCTCTGTCGAATCGCCAGCCAGCATCACGAGTCGACACGGCCGCGGACAGACACCCTCGTGCATGTGCGCGTGCATGTGCATAACCATGGCACTCAGTTCACTCGCACCCTGGCCCGCTATACTCCGCAGAGACTACGGCAAGGATGATGCGCTCTCCCCAGTGCCTCTGCGGCATGCCGTTGCGAATGAAAAGCCGTCGCGCACCACGGTGACGGGCAGCAGTCCGGCCACGCTCTGCGGGGATTGCCGACCATGCACACCGGCGCTCTGGCGCCCTCTACTAATTAACACCTGCATGCATGGTGATCGAGCAGGCATTCGCCCGCACCCGCGACTGCCGCGTTGCTAATGCCGCAAGTCAGCCGACACCAGACTCAGCAACGACGATGCAAGCAGATTCCAGAGTGTAGAGCGCTCGCTGTATTGGGCAGCCCACAAATGCGGCAACGTGTAATATTTCGAGCCCCTCAAGTCAAGCCGGCGAGTCAGGCATCGACTGGCCCAACGCTTCTAGAATGACTGGTCGAATATTCTGGGTCCAGCGCCCGAGACGACTAGCTCTAGCGTGTATCCAGCATCGCCAAGGCAGATTGCAGACTGCCCGCCCTCTGCAACCTTCACAGCGTCCTGTGACTTGGCTGCACTGCATCGACGAGGCGAGTCGAGCGCCCGAGCGCATTTCATCCAGCTACTCTCTGAGAGATACTTGACGATGACGGCGCATCAGCATACGGCTGGGACCACATCCGTGACAGGCGGGCGCATCTCGGCAGTGTGTTGCGCTACTAGAGAGAGCCTCCCGCACCATCGTGATCAGAGGCCGCGATGCCACGAATGATATCATCAACAAGCATGAAGCGAAGGATTGTTCCAAGTGCATGCTCAATGCAGTCGCGATGGATCCGCATGACATCAGTTCAGGGGTTTCCCCTTTTTCGTCATGGCGCACCACCCCACGGCCCATCCGACGCCGCCATGCCAGCCACGTTGAGAACAATTCTGATTGCTGCGACGGAGACTAATCGCCGGTTCCCCGGGTTCTGGGTCTCTACTCCTGACACAGCAGGAACCGGGATCATCGTCCTGGATCAGACTGACAGGTTCACCATTATGTCCAACTACAGGATCCCCTAGACCAGAGGCGCGACAAAACAATGACATAATGTCGAGCTAGTGCGGCTCCGTGGAACCCAATCGCAAACTCACCACAGGACCCCGACAAGTTCGCCCACAACTCTGATTCAGGATAGACGATGATTTGCGAGTCCCGTTTTACCCCCTGAAACCGCGCAAACTTTCTTCTTTGTACCTGCGCGGCTTAGCCACCAATGACTCACGTCCACAATGTTCCACCTGCACCGTGGTACAGTACCTGTCGCATGCGACCACCTGTGGCATAAATGCGACATATGCGCGCAAGAGAGCAAACTTGGGTCCCCTCCGAGGACTATTCTCGTGGCTCCCAAATAACAAGAGAATCTCCAATTCGCTGGTCGTGTCGTAGACATGGACCGTGTAAGACGCCACGAGCACACACGATTGCGCGGGATGTCGTCATGCCTGAAACATGTTATCTCCACACGGAAGAGCGGCTCAGACAGCGACATTGCGCTAACGGTCGGGGGTCACTCCATCTTTCAGGTTGATATGAGCATCACTACACTAAAATTGGACCTGCTCCTGCAGCTTCTTACAGACGGCGTGCGATAATGGCGTCGTGGCACCACCGCACGGCTGACTTGTGCCGCCAACATGCGGCATTACGCGCGTTCAATGACTGAACAATCTCAGGGCGAACCGTCGACTCTCCCGTTGCTTCGCTGGCCCACCACTTTCTCACACATTGAGATGCGCAAAACCGAGGGGGGTGATCTGAGCAAGCAATTGGCACAGGCATCAGGCTGGTAGCACAAGATCCGGAACACGGCCCGGTTCAGGGATGCGCAGCACGTTCGCGGAGACTTTGCGTGCCAAAGAGGTTCATTCCCTCTGCCTGGGCCCATGTGCCTGACCTGACGATCGATCGGCGCGCTGGTGGATGGCTCCAGGGAACTCTGACGACCCGGACAGGGGCTCGACGATGACAAAGATGTGCATCATACCGTACCCAAGCGGGTTTGTAGTGGGCCAACGTGCAGACCATTGATCAGGCGAACGCTCACAACAAGACTTCTGTCAAATATGGACCGAATATCCGGGGAATCGTTGTTGAAACTGGGTATGCACTCTTGCACCCCGTTGCACGCGCCGCCTTGATGCCCGCCTGGGTTCCGAGCCGGCCGGGCATATTCTGATGTATTTTACGGCAAGACCGTCATCGAACAGGTCGTGAATAGGAGCAGAGCAGAAAGCCACACTGCATCATGCTTTCAGGACTTCTTTCAGTTGATCTTTGGCCCATGAGTGTATCAATTTGCTGGCGAGTAGGGCAAGAGGGTTCCAAAAGCTAAAGACCCATGGAGTGGGCATGGTGAGTCGTCCAGAATGTCAGACCATGAGCAACAAAATCCGCCAAGTGCTGAGCTCGAGAGATCGCCGTTCATGCAAAGAAGTGACGCCGCCCATGGGATTGCGCCCTCTGTTAGTGCGAGAAGCGCAACATGGCAGTTGCGTGACTGTAAGAACATGTTGGGGTGGATTATCGCGAGCATGTGACGATGCTCGCCCACACTATGGTATTGCCTGGAGTTGAGGACCGCAAGAGCCACGGGCGGAGAGGGCGATCAGGCTTGTGAACCAAGATGATGGCCCTCGAGTTCCAGCAGAGCGAGAACCATCACAATCTCATTGTCTGCAAATACCACATCGAGCCTCATCAAAGTCGAAATCACCTGGCACAATTGCTTGCCGCTCAACGTTCGTGCAGGGCGAAACCCCACCACCAAAGAGCGGGCTTGGCGCTGGTCGACCTGGCAACGCGCCCACAATACCGACCGCCCCAGCCTGTAAACACACTCTTGACCGACATTGGTGTGCACCACACCATTTCTGGACCACCCTTGAAGCGTGGTACCACATCGTCCTCTGTTGCTATAGTCGAGAAGCGACATTTTGCTTTCTTTGCAAGCATCACCTTGGCATACGGCGTAACGATATCCGTCACGCACACTTACCCCAAGCCCTCCAACTGGCCGCGTCGCACCCAAGCTTCTCTGCTACTGATTGCCCCTTTGCAGCCCGCATTCACGCCCTACAAATCACGCACCGACACGGCAACTGCACACCGAAGCGATATCCATCGTCATGGAAGAGAGTTGCAGCCCGCCGGGCTCGCCGGGCTCTCCGTCACCACTGATGGCAATGTCTCCGGAACGCTTCAACCAGCAGCAGCAGCAGCTCCCAGAGTCGCCCCTCTTCGCGTCCATCCGGTCCTCTGAGAACCACAGGAGCCTGCGGGACAGCGAGGTACACGATAAGATCCGCCAGTTCAACAACCTCGCGACTGGCTCCGTCGGACACATGGCCATGAGCAAGCAGCTCGAGCGCAAGACGGCCGACGCCGCGCTGCGCCGCGCCATGCTCGGCCGCGAGGAGGCCGAGACCGAGATGCGCAGGTATCGCGAGGAGGCGCGCGCCCTGAGGGCTGCCGTCGAGGAGGGCCGCGAGCGCGAGCGCAAGGTCGGCGAGAGGCTCGAGACCGTCATGGTGAGTTCGTGTGTTTGCAGTCCCCCGCGCCCCCCTCCCCCCCCCCCCTTTCCCCCTGGGCTGCCAGGGGAGTGATTGTCTTAGCAAGAAAGAGCGTCCGGGCTGACGGAGCATCACCTACTCCCTGCAGGAAAACTATGGCCGGGCCAAGGAGACATTTTCACACACACAATCTCTCTGGGAAAAGGAGATCCGACGAGCACGGAAAGAGACGTTCAAGTCGCAATCCTCAATAGTGAAGCTCCAGGAGGAGCTCAAGTCCGCACGGGCCGTCACCAAGAGTGCTGAAGAAGCACTCGAGCGGGAAAAGGAGCGCAGCAAGGCCCGCGAGCAAGAGGCCTTCTCGGCCAGATATCAGATCGTCGGAGTCCAGGAGCAGCTCGACAAGGCCCTGGAGCAGATCAAGGTCGTTGAGCAGGAGCGCGACGCGTTCAAGACTCTGGCCAAGAACGAGGAGGTCGCGCGCATCGCCGCCGAGGGCCGCCTGCCGCTGCCTGCGCCCGCTGGCGAGGACGACGAGTTTGGTTCACCTAAGCGCAAGGCGGTGCCACGGGTCTCGCTCTCCACAATGGACATTGTCTCCTCGGCCGCCAGCGAGGCTGAGATTGACGACTTGACCCGCCTGTGGCAGTGGGAGAAGAAGCGGGCGGACCGCGCAGTGGAGCAGATCGAGTTCCTTGAGGCCGAGTGCCAGCTGAAAGTCTGCTCATGTGCCTCTGCGCGCAAGCGGAGAAGCCTCCCCGGTTCTGTCCGCAAGGAGCGGTCCGGCCCAGTCGCCATCGTTGACCCTGCGGACCATATGATTCTTGGAAGGAAGAAGACTCCATCGACACAGTCGCCCAGCCCTGCCAGACATGCTGAAGTCCCGAGCATCGCCACGACGGAAGCGCCCACGTCTCCTGTTGCCGACAAGCAGCCGAGCCCTGTACAGCAGAAGCTGCCCAAGGAGCCAAGGCGTAGCACGATCTTTGTGCCTGCTGAGGGCATCTTCCGCACGCTTTCACAGCAGGACCTCACAGCTCTGAACGATGATTCTGAGCAGAAGCAGGAGATCCCGTCGGAGGAAGTTCAGGAGAGTCCACACTCCGTGCCAGCTTCCCCCGCGCCTACAACAGAAGCTGAGGACGAAGAAATGTCTCGGGCTTACGCTCGGACACCATCAGTAGAACCGCCCTCGTTCGCGATGATGGTCAAGGAGCGAACCTCGCTGTTGTCTCTGCTCAATGCCCCGCGAGAGAGCGAAGCTCACTGTGAGCCTATGACTATCAACATCCCCACGACCTCGGGCGATGCGCCAATGACCGACGCGGAGGCTGAGGAGCTCTCTGATGCCGAGACTGTCTCGCCAGACTCGCCAGTCAAGGTCAAGGAGGAGGAGGAAGTCATCGACGAGACAGCCGACCTCGAAGAGCGCCCTCACACATCTGCGGCTTTCTACACTGTCACAACCACGACAACTGTGGCCGTGCGACAGGACAACGAGGAGAGCGCCGGTCCACGGAAAGTGTTCAGCTTTGCGCGTGCAGAGCCGTCCTTCGATGTCAACAACCCGGCTCTCACGCCTACCATGACTCGCGAGGAGGCGCTAGCTCAGATCAAGGCCCGCCGGGGCCGGGCCAGGAGCGCGATGCAGGGTGCCATGACACCTCGCAAACAGATGATTACTGGGCTGGGAGAGAGGCGGGACATCAGCGCGCCTGCTGGGCGTGTGACCAAGGCCAGAACTTGAGCGACGCCGACGAGCTGTCGCAAACTGTATGATGCTTCTCTAATGACCGGCGACTGGCTCCGAACGGGGTTGGTCTGAGTTTGGAGTTCCTTGTCTGTCCTGCATGAGCATTTGCACCGGCGCCTTGGAGGACATTTTGGGGTTATGCATGCGCGCTACAGGTGTTTTTGTTTCTTGCTTGGTTTCCTGGGTCCGGAGCCTATTGTGTTTGATGGCTTTTGCGCTTGATATTGTCACGCCTCACTTGGGAGTTTTGTCAAGGGAGCGTTCTTGTTCTTGAAATTGAATAGCCACACTTTATTGACTGACTGCGAACAGAAAGAATGTGAAGAAAGTAGTTGGTCTCTATCTACGTGAAAAGACCCTGGTGTGTCGACCCAAATCTTGTCCAGGGTTGAAGCTGGGCCAGGGACGGGACAGACAGGGTCCTCCTGTAGCTTCGACCAGCCACCGCCCCCCACTCTAGCAAGACTCTCGCGCCCAGCGGACCAACCAACCACGTGCTTTCGCATCAAGTCAGGGCCACTCGCCTCCAGCTTCGATTTGTAACTTCAGCTCTTGAGCTCTTGCTCGGCACCTGACATCAGTCTGGGACTGGAAGCCTGAACACCGCAACCTCGAGGGCTTTACGGGAGCCTGGAGTCCTGATAGACGGTCGTGTGCTGCCTCTGGTGTTTTAGCATCACGCCTGCGTCTCCCAGCACTATCCAGCATTCGCAAAAGCTGCACGTGTCCCAGATCCAGAGCCATTCCGCCTACTAGCGCTGTCAGTTGCTCAATCTTGCGCCTCGCGCACGCTTCAAGGCGTCGAGAAATCCCAACTGCACAAAGCACATGGTCTGTCTCTGATGACACTTTGTCGGGTTGCAGCATAGGTGGCTGCCTCAAAGCCTGGGCTGGGCTCGCGTACCGCGCGCTTTGCATGCCTCATCGGGCTTCATCCAGCGACACTTACAGACGACGAATGAGATCAAACGTCACGACTCACGCATTTCCGATTTACTCATCATGAACCACCCGTCGCGCAATGGGACCCCCAATGGGGGTCCCAAGACGTTCAGTCTCCCACCCTCGGGGCCGAAGCTTATCGGCGCCATCCCGCGCATCCTGCCGCACGAGCGCGTCTTTCCTATTCAGATTGGATGCGACTTGTTCAAGCTCTCTGGAGCGTCGCTATCTTCGGATGGTATGTAGTTGTTGAGTCACGGGCGCCTCGACCTGGGGCAATTCAGCACTCAAATTCGCGAGTCGCGCCGTGCTTGGTTGCAGTTACAAGCAAGGCACAGGAATGCTGACCATACCTATAGCGCCATCCTACTTTTCACAATATTTCCTGAGCCAGATCAAGCAGGCCGAGGAGCACGGCCAGGATGTGTCCACGGCCATCCGCACGCTCTATATCGACCGAGACCCTGTGACCTTCAAGGACATCTCGCTGCATCTACAGGGATACCACATCAAGCCCAAGGACGGCCAGCACTTTGTCCGGCTGTTTGCGGACGCCCAGTTCTACACGCTGCCAAAGCTCATGTCACAACTCTACGAGGAGTCCATATTCGTCGCAATTGGCGGTCAGGAGTTCCAACTCGGGCGCGAGCTCATGCAGGATGCCGGGAACTCGCCCAACTTCTTCTCCCTGGGGTTCGCCGCATTCTTCACAACCCCGGACCAGATCTTTCCTGGCCTCAACCGGGAGAACCTGATACGCCCGCCGTCGATCGCGCCGCCGATCGTGGCCAACCGCTCCGCCGAGGTCTTTGGCGAGATCATGCAGCTCCTGCGCGGCTACCCCGTGCACATCCGGAACGAGGAACACCGGGCATCGCTGCTGCGTGACTGCCGCTATTTCAATTTCAAAAAGGTCGAGCAGAAGCTCATTCCGCATGCCATTAGCTACAACCAGGCTCGCCGGCGCGAGGAGATTGTCCTGCGTGTCGAGGACATTCTCAAGTCTGGCATATCCATATTCCACGAGGGCTTCTCGGCCGCCAACCTCGGCGCCCGGAGGTCGTCGACCCCAACCTCGAGCACGGGCTCCACGCTGGGCAGCTCGATGCCGGGCAGCGCGAACCCGCACCACCACCACCGGTCGTCCTTCTCAGACCCCGGCCTCGCAGCCTGGGTGCACTACGCCCGGCCTTTTGAAGACGACAAGCCGTACGAGCTGATTCTCGAGATCGGCGGCGAGAGCACCAAGCTGCACACGAGCATCATGCGCGCCGAGTTCTTTGGCAGCGTCAAGGCCCGCGTCGCCAAGCTCTTCGAGGTCGTGGCCACCAAGCTCAACCTCCCGCCCACGACACAACCACTGGGCTTGCTGATGGCCTCGGGCGGCGCGAGCAGCCAGCCCGCCACGCCGGGCAACACGCCGCTCAGCGAGGACCTCGTGCGCGTGGTGATTGAGCCTGATGCACACGTCATACTGGATGGCAGGGTGTTCGAAGGCTTTTCCTCCCTCATGGCTGCTGGGACGGGATCGGCGACGGCAGACGTCGAAGAGATGACACACGCCATGTCTACCGCATCATCGATAGGGAACAACAACAATAACAACAACAACATTACCGGCAGTAGTGGAGGCCAGGGTTACGGAGACTCACCAATGTCCGCCACGGCAACTGTCGAGAACAACAACAACAATGACTACCCTGGGACCGTTGCCAACTTCCCGTCGTCGGCGCCCGCCTCGCGAAAGAGGAAACGGCTCGACATGGCCAGCGCCTGGACGACGGCGGGCGGCGTGCCCGTGCCGGACGAGTGGATCGTGCGGACGGGCCAGTGGCGCCTGCGCATCCAGGGGACAAAAGGCGGCAAGAGCGCGGTCGAGTGTGTGCTCGTGGCGGTCAAGATTGACGCGTATAGCTGCGAGAGGGCGCGCAATGCACAGAGAGGTTTCCTCGCGGCGCCGAAAGGCACATGAGAACAGCCGGTGAAGGAAAGAGGGGGGGGGGGGGGGGGGGGGAGGCCTGGCATCTGGTTAGCGAAAAAAGAATATGGTGGTGGGCAACACTTTGCGATGAGGATTTCTTGTTGAGGAAAGTCTTGCTTGGTGTCGGCAATACCGCATGTTTTCTTGATCTAAGGACCGTGTACCAGGTGCGCTTCGAGGGTTTTCCTTAGGTATATACTGTATTTTGAAATAAACCATACGAAGTTTTGGACTTGCGAATAATGGAGAGCCGTGACGGTACACTCCTTGGATCAGTAGTCTAGGCTTGCTAGCTGCGCGGAACGGGAGCGACAGCGACAGCGAGCTATCGTTTAGCCGCCGAGAATTGTCACCGCATGCCGTTGGCTTATTGCACAGCTGCAACTACATATAACTCAACCCGGTCTTGTGGCTCACTGGCGAATGGTGGGAAAACAAATCCAGCATCTCTTTGAACCACCATGCTCCAGCCCTTCCGGAGCGCTACGGTAGATTAGCAAGGAGCTTTCAATGGAATAATAGGGCACTCAATGGAACAGAGCTCCTGACCAGCCACAAAAACGTCAAGCTCTACATAATGGTGACGTCGTGAGGGCCGTTCCGACCGGGCACTGGCCGGGCGCGGGTGGCTCACTCCGCTCCGCACACTGCGCGCTTGTGCCCGCCTCCGCACCGACGACCGGCTTCTCCATATCTCTCTCTCCACACGAACGTTAATGTCAACGTCACCAAACTCGGAGTGTGCTGTCACCGGCGGTTTTTTGTTTCATGTCAACGATGACCCCCGACTTTTCGCGGATGTTGGGTTTCATACATATACTCACACATAAGACCTAGGCCACCTGCTGCTTCTTGTCCGAGTTAAAATCCACTGTGAAGCACTGGGTGTAAGTGTGATCCTTGTGAAAATACCCTCGTGTGCTTTGCAGCTCTTTTTGAAAAAGCCCGAAACGAACGGGGACTTGCGGCTGTGGAGATGCAACAAGTGTCGAGCGACACTGGGTTTTTGACTAAACGTGACGAAGCAACAGACAAATCTTGCCATCATCTGGACAAAAGCGCTACTCCGCCGTCCTCCCTTCAGCCACTCTCGCTGGGACAAGCATTGACATAGCAATCCCACAGAGGTCCTGGGGAACACTTCTTTTGTGTTTATCAAAAGCAGTCATACGGCAAAGTCACAATCACAATAAGCGCTTACTTACCAGCTGCCAAGAAGAATATATCGGGCCCATTGAAACACGGAACACACAGCAGCAGCAGCAGCAGCAGCAAAAGATGTCGTCGTCGTCGTCGTCGTCGTCGTTGCCGCCGCCACCGCGAGAAATCCCAAAGACCATGAAGGCCGTCCAGGTGACGGCCTTCCACGAGCCGTACAGGCTCAACCCGTCGGCGCCTGCGCCGGACCCGGACGCCCTGGGGCCCGACGACCTGATTGTCAAGATTGCCGCCGCCTCGCACTGCCACACGGACGAGATGGTGCGCGAGGGCGTGTTCGGCACCAGGCTGCCCTGCACGGGGTCTCACGAGGGCGCGGGCACCGTCGTGGCGGTGGGCAAGTCTTCCCGGTCCCGAAGAGGAGGAGGAGGTGGTGGAGGAGCAGTAGCAGGAGGAGGCTCATCCGGAGCCGGGACCGGGGCCGGGGCCGAGACCACCGCCGCGGGAGGTCTCTCATACTCCGCAGGAGGCGTAGGCACGCTCAACATCTCCGACTCGGTCAACAACATTGCCGCCATCGACCCCAATGCCCCCGGGGGTTCCTCGTTTGGCTGCAACAAGACCCTCGACAGCGGGAGCAACACGGCCTGCACCAACATCTCCCACTCGCTCGGCGGCGGCGGCGGCGGCGGTGCGGCACACTCGGCTCCAGCACAACATCACCACCACTCATACACCGACGACACCTGGCAACAACAAGGGCCCAGCTTCCGCGTCGGCGACCGCGTCATGTGCGGCCTCCCCTACCAGCCCTGCTCGGCGTGCCCGGACTGCACGGGCCCCGGGTCCGGCCGGCGGGACCAGTACTGCCCCAACATCCGGGGCCACGTCGGGGTGCACCTGCCGGGCAACTTTGCCGAGTACGTCGTCGTGGACCGGCGCTCGACCACGCATCTCCCGGACGCGATCCGGTTCCAGACGGCCGCGCCGCTGGCCTGCGCGGGCCGCACGGTGTGGCGCGGCGTGAACGGCTGCGGGCTCACGCCGGGCTCGGGCGAGTGGCTCGCGATCGTGGGGTCCGGGGGCGGGCTGGGCCACTTGGCCGTGCAGTTTGCGCGCAAGCTCGGGTATAACGTCATCGGGGTGGACGCGCGGGATGAAGGCCTCGCCATGACGAGGCGGTTCCGCGAGGACCATCGCCCCCAGGGGGGTGGGCACGCGACGAAGCTGGTCGTGCTGGACGCGCGCGAGGGCAAAGAAGAGGTCGTCAAGCAGGTCCAGACCGTGACGGGCGGGCGGCGTGGTAGCAGCGGCGGCGGCGGCGGCAGCGGTGCTGGTGGCGCGGACGCGACGCTCGTGCTGTCCGACAGTCCCGGCGCGGCGGCGCTGGGGGCCGCCATGACAAGGATGCACGGCACCATGGTGCAGATTGCGCAGCCCGAGCAGGTCTGCGTGCCGTTCCAGGAGCTCGTGTTCCGCGACGTCCGCATCCGCGGCAGCCTGCTGTGCTCGGCCGAGGAGAGCCGCGAGATGCTCGAGTTCGTTGCCGAGCACGGCATCGACGTCAGGGTCAACCTGTTTGAGGGCGGGCTCGGCGAGTACGAAAAGGTCATGGAGCTCGTCAAGGGCGGCAATATGCAGGGCAAGGCCGTCATCATTGTCGATCCTCAGCAGGTCAAGGACGAGGAGAAGCTGGGGGCAAAGTACTAGCTCGAGAGGGGAGGCCGCACAGCTGGTTGATGCAGTAGTCGTTTGATTCCTTCGAGAACAAAGTGACACTCGGCTTGTAGAAACAAGACAGCTTGAGTTTCAAAATGTAGTTATACCCAAAATGTAGTTATACACATACAGAAAAAATGCCTACTTAAATACATGCCAGTGATACAGAAAAAATGCCTACTTAAATACATGCCAGTGATAATAAGGCAATGCTTTCAAGTTGCTTCTTTCCACGAGGGAGCTCTGTAATCTATGTTGTCCGCCTATGCGCAATGTCTACAAGGCATCGAATAGCATGCCTGTCAAAACATCCGCAAATGGGCCAATCAATTCCATGGTCGATATGCCTGGTCATCTGCCTCCATCTGGACAATACGCCTACTTCACTCCCATTCGCATTTCCCTCCTGCACAGTCTGACGGGGTCAGGACTACCATAAGCACCAAGTGCCCGCATATCTAGATCACAACCATGGTGTAGAGCACTTGCCAAACACCAAAGCTGCCACACCGCTAATATGCGGCAGCCGCAACCAGGTTGTCAAGATGGCCCATGTGCAGCCGTGGTACCTTATTGATAAAGAGAGTTTGCACTCCAGCCAACCTTATGCACACGCTACGGGCCGCTTCTCGCTCGCTAGTCCTGCCCTCCTGCCTCGGGTCCGCCATTGGCGCTGACTTTTGGACCGGGAGGGCTCTCACACAAACAGCTACGACAACGATCGCTTGCCTCACCTGCTGTTATACAACTCCGTTGTGGTCCTCGTGTCCTGTCCCGCGGTCCAGGGGCAGAATGACAACATTCCCGAGACTGTGTTCGACTGACGTTGCCGGTGTCGGAGAATTGGTGCGAGTAATTTGACGAGTGGCAGGGCAGGGGTGGGCGCCGTGGTGGATCGCCGTCGATCATCGATCCTGCGCAGCCGGCACGCCCAAATAGGCAGGGTTTGACGAGCGACCATGTTGAAACAAAAACTTGCAAATGCCTCGGAGGAACAACATCTCGGAATCAGAAACAACACAGATCGGGCCGATGGTTGTGGATATTGTTGGTTCTATTATTCCCATACGACAGCGTGTCAATACACTGCTATGGTCGTGTTCCTGATTGGGCCAAGAGCCACCTGGCGCGTGTCGCAATCCGGCTCCATCTCGATGCTGCAGGCTGGAATGTGCCCAGACCCCAACGGGAGCCGTTCTGGTATATAACAAAAATGTCTAAAGCATGAAACAAAAGGAAATCAAAGGAAAAAACCCCGTCAGACGTCAAAGACGGCAAAGGAGGCGAGTAGAGTTTTTGAGCCAGAAGTGGTATATCCTCCCGTCGACGAACCGCCCAGTGGTCATGGCCCTGCGCATCCATGCCCCAAGCTCGGCAATTGAATTGGCTAGTCAATGAAGCAAAGACTTTTCCCCGTGGTGAAGCGCAAAGTGCGAAGACGTGCTGAAAACATGTCGAAAAGCGTCTACTGGAGGGCCTGGGCAGCGTTGTTGCCGGCTTCCTTGGACTTGGCCTGGCCAGCACGGAGGAGGTCGCCAATCCAGGTAAGCGTCTCGGTGGTGATGACGAGACCGGTGGAGACGAGGGCCTTGCCGTTCACGACGACACCCTCGCCGCCGATCTTCTTGAGCTCCGAGCTGTAAACGCTGAGGACGTGGTCGCGGGTCTCCGAGCCCTTGCGGACGGGGAGGTAGATGAGGCTCTGGGTGTCGGCCCAGAGCTGGTCGGTGGGCTTCTTGAGCACGGGGAGGCGGTCGTCAATCTTGGAAAGCGTCTGCTCGCCCAGGTCGTCGGCCCGCTTGACGTAAGGCGAGACGTACTCGTAGGGCTTGGCAAAGTAGGGCAGCACGGGCTTGGCAAACTTCTCGTAGGCAGAGCCGCCAAGCTCGAGGGAGCGCTGGCCGTAAGGGTTCTTCTTGATGTAGGTCAGGCTGTCGCTGACGACGGGGTAGCCAGTGATGTGCTTTGGAAGTCGAGATTAGCGGTGCTTAATGGCGTGGAAGGACACTGCTGCAGGGGCAAGGGCTTACAGAGAGGGTGGCAGAGGAGGGGTGGACCTCGCCGTTGACCTGGTGGCTCGACATTGTTTGGAAGGGTTGGAAGCTGGGTGGGGGAATTAATGCAAGTGTCGTCCCAGTGGGTTGAGATGAGGGTGAGGTCGTGGATTGACAACTAGCAGACCGACAGGATATGGAGCAAGAAGGAGAGAAAGACTAGAAGGTCGGAGAGAGGAGGCGGTAGTTGATGAGGCAGGCAGGAGAGCTTTAAGAGACGTGCGGGAAGGTGCAGGGCCGGACCCTCAGGGCCGGGGAGCGGACGGGAAGCTACAGAGATGACGAGGCAGGCCAAGGCGAGGCACCCAGAGATAGGATTTGCATTTGCATGTGCTTGCCACTAGGATGGGACCAGCCGATAAGTGCAGTGCAGTGCAGCGCAGCGCAGCGCAGCACCGCTTGCCTTTCGAGCTTGGAACCTTGCAAGGGAGGGAGAGGAGCAGCCCAAGAGATTAGCGGTGCCCAAATGGTGGTGGTGGTGGTGGTGGTGGTCCGTCATCCGGGCCTGGTATGAGGTATGCCGGGCTATCTCGCGGGCGGTACGTACCCGCGGGGGGCCGCCTGTGGACCAACCAATAGGGCCATTTGCAGGCAGGACACCCAGCGCCGACTCCTGGCGGGCACCCAAGGCAAGCAAGACACCGGGTGGATGCCAGCAGGGTTCCTGACAGGCAGGCAACTGCACACTGCGCGCTAGCGAGCTAAGTGCAACTGTGCAGCTCCTGCGGGGCCTCGCGTCACCACCACCAACAACAACACCACCACCACCTCACCAGCTCCCGCCACCACCTTGTTCTCAGAATGCTCCGACGACACGAGCACCGTCGCCAGACCGCTCGCGGGCATGACCAGCATCTCTTGTCGACATCCAGGCACCACCCTGCCCCACCGCACCGCACCACACACCTCGGTCACCTCGAGGTTCTCGTGCCCAGATCCCGGCTCTCTTTTTTTATTTCTATTTCCATCGGTCGGTCCACGTCTCATGCCTGTCAGGCTGCCCTTGGCTCCGCTCTTCCCGTCGGCCGAGCTTGTTACAAACCTCGCCATTTGCATGTGCCACCGCGGCCGGCCCAATGCTCTGCACAGGCCATTGTTTTGCTTGTTCCTCTCCGCATGCTCATCAGACCACGCGTGCCATGCTGGCCCCCCCTGCGCTTCTCTGGACGATGGCGGAAACACGACAGTCTCAACTAGCGCGTCAGGCACAGCAGCCAAAAAAGTCCTGGGTGCCCTTCCCAGCCAGGCATGTGTCTTGGACGGCGAGCCGTGTTGTCGCCCGCCACTCTGCCGACCCTGGATCCACCACCCTTCAGTTAGCACAACCTTGTCTGCCGCCGTCTGCCCAGGGGTCTGGTCCTGACATGTGAAAGCCTTTCGCTGGCGGACCCGCTCTTCGACACCAGCCTCGACTCAATGAACGCATTGCACGCACCACTTCCGCGCCACACCAGCAGCTCTGGGATCCTCGCGGGTCTTTGCTGGGCCCCTCGGCAGTCATCTCCTAGCTGCCAAGACGACTCAGCGACAAGACAGCCACAGACCCTTGCCCGTTCTAAAAGTCTTGCCCCGGCACAGAGCCTCAAAGAATGGGTCTGTCAGATGTCGAAGACTCGTCCGAGCCGAGCAGCTTCGATTGAGGCATCTCTCGATTGGGAGGAGCCGCACGACAGCACGCGACGAGGCGGCAAGTCGGGTCCGAAGAGGCACAGCTGCCACCGCCCTCGAGATGCCTCACGTCTTGCCAGACCGTGCCGAGCACCGCTGAGCGACCCCCCTTCGCCACGTGCGCCACACTCGACCTCTGCCTCTTATCTGTCGGTCGCACACCCTCAGTGAATCCTGCACGTTTCAGATGTCGTGCCCAGGGTCTGCTCTGCGGCTGCAGGCAATCGCAGCTACGCTCCAGGGGTCGTCACAATTCCTCTAGGGCTGGGTCATTGATCAGACAAAGAGCTGCCATTCGCCCGTGATTCAACCAGCACCAAGATTTCTGGAGGTCCATCAACAACGACTTCGCTGCCTTGGTCTTCTGCATGCTGTCATCCAAGAAAGTGTGCACAAGGTCTCGATCCGGATTCTTTTTCTGCGAGGTCGGCCGGCCGGACACGGCATGCAGGGCAATCAATCTGGCTGCGAGGACCTTGGATGTGTTGAGAGAAAATGCAAAAGATTTGCGTGCCAGCTAGCAAGTGAGCACAACACGGCACGGGCGCCCAAATGACGGACCATGCCAGACCGGTCGCGCATGGCTTTGCTCTCCACGACTTCTAGCGTGGTTGACCTGAACCAGCGTATCCCCCCGCCTCTCATGCAATGCACGCTCGCAACGCTCCAGTATCCGATTCGTCCATCTCGCATAGATAACGCCTGCGGAGCCGACACACTTTCTTCCAAACACGAACCTGGTTCCCGCCAACTTTTGTGCGACATGACCGTCATCGGACGTTTGTCGAATCGAGCCTAGTGGCGTCGAAGAACTACTGACGCTCAATTTGTGATGACACCCATGCGTAGGCTGGTCGCGAGGTGGTCACCGCTTGCGTGCAACGTGCTGTTCCATACATCTAAGGAAAGCGTCAATCCATTGCTATGAGATGGGCAGTCTTCGAGCTAGTGCCATTAGGGCAATCGTAGCTGCACGTCATGCCCGCGTCATGGCGTAGACACAAGAGAATCCGTTTTCGGCGACCTCGATACTGCAATCTTTTATTACATCTGTGATTTCGGCCGAGCAGGGAACATCAGTCTACGTCTGAGTTGATAGGCTCGGATGACTTTTGCGTAGCACCAATGCGCAATGAGTTCGGTTTGGCATTGATGGCTACACAAGAGCTTCCGATGAGTGACCTTCATCCTTCATCAGAAGACCGCTGCGCTGTGGGTTCGAGGGCTCCAGTCCGGGGTCGAGCTTGATCAAAGATCACGATAACAAAGTATGGCTCCCCCCCTCCGACCAGGTGTTGGTGTGCTCGAAGCTTATGGAAGGATTACGTCGCACGAGCGCCTCTAATACATAGCGAATGCAAAAGGAACTGGCTCCCACAATGCTGATCGCTCGCCAAGCATTCAAGCAACCAAAGCTGTTGTCTTGCCAGTACGATTCAGTCTTTGACCTCAATGATCGTACCATGCGCGACCCTACGCGCATGTAATCAGGCAAAGTGGACTGAGGCCCCCATAATGGGTCTTGCCTTTGACATGTGATGCATAGTCCTTGGACAGAGGTCCCAAGCCGTGATTTAGTTCGGCGATGTGACCACTTTCTATATCAATCCCTCTAGGATTTGTGGGAGCATGGCTGTTGTCTTGGGCAGACCCGCTGCTCGGCGAGTCTCCAGATGGCTGGTCAAGTGGCAGGCTTCTACTGATTGATCTATACGAGCCCGCTTTATGGATGGCGTGACTGCCACCTGCAGTGCTGAGGGAGAATCTAGCTTCATGATGAGCAGGGCCGGCCCAGCGCCGTATGGCTTAGACTTCAATATCATGATCACGGGGCGGCTGACAGTGCATGTCTGATAACGACCATCATGGTGTTGACAAGTGCTCATTGGTTGTTTTGTGCGACTGGTTGCACCTCAACACATTTGATGTTACGAAATCGCGGCACGAGGGTGCGCAATAAAGGTCAGCTTGATATGTAAATTCGGTTAGAGGAGTAGAGCCTGGGCTCTGGGGTGTTTTATGTCTGGCGTATGTTGCAGTCTGATCCAGGGGAACTGCCGTCCTTTCTTTCGTATTACTTTAGCCCAGCTTCTCTGGCGCAGATTACTGGTACATTTGAACGAACATCACTCTACCTTCTCGGTGGCTCGACCTTCGTTTGCAAGATGTTATTCGTTCCCGGGTGGTGTTCTTTGGCACCTGGACCGGAAGGGCATTGCAGTAACTGTCCGTGCGATAGCTCTATCCCAGATTTAACTACAACGTCATCGAGGAAAAGAAGAAAGGGGAGGAAAATGAAAGAAAACTTGAAAGAACAAAACGGCGAACCAACATACTGGACAATACGACATATCCCCTGCACGAGATGGACAGGCAAATGGCTTAATGTCGCACAGGGAGGAGGGGACGCAAGCACAAGCATAAAAACCTATAAGAAAAGTAATCATCACCTCCAAGCACGAAATGTAATGAAGCAAGCACCACCACTTCCCTTTTCACCAGGTCAATTTGGGAAATAAATCCGTAGGAGACCGTGGGTGGTGACGGCCCCTGAGAGCCGTCCGCCCGTCCATATGCTCGTTCACCCCCCCCCCCCCTCTCCCAGGGGAAATGTAGAACAGACTTGTTGGCGCTGGGAGAGGAGGAAGGAATGATATCATGATGAATAGTGGTAGTAGCGCGACAGAGACTTGACAAATGACGATGGGTTGTGTACTTATAATGTCAGAGTGTAGATCAACTGTGCGCTCTGGGGCCCAGGAGGAGAAACACGAATACCGCAAGATATTCTGTGGAATGAAAATGTTGCAGAGAGCTACGCTGAGAAACATCTCCCTTGGCTATCCCGAGCAAGCTGATGGGAACCTTTTCATACTGTCTGTCTGTCTGTCTGTCTGTCTGTCTGTCTGTCTGTCTGTCTGTCTGTCTGTCTGTCTGCCCATAGGACTAGCTGGAGCAGGGAGATACGAACTTGACGAAGGTGGTGAACGTCATCCAGCCTCCGATGTTTTCGCCCCCCAGCGTGTGGACGGGGTCGGATATGGCGAGATGCCTAGTCACACGATACAGGACACTGATAAGACGAGTAACAAGGCATTTATCCATGCAACAGCCACAAATTGATCGATCACCCTACTTGGATTCTTTACTGCCTGCGGGTTTCTGGGAAGAGAAAACTCCGAGTATATCTGACGGACGATGACATGTACGTTTTCGACGTAAGATCGATGAAAATCTTGCGCCGAGGACGGTGTGCTCCTGTGAATAGTTAGAACACTTTGACCAGGTGGATAGTTGACGACTTGATTTGTCTAGCCAAATGGGCAGAAAGATAGAATTATGAAGCACAAGATAAGTACCACAGAAGAAGTGTTTCGGATTGCTCCTTACATAACAGTTCACAACCTTTGGAGTCCGGGTGTGTCCAGTCACGCGAGAAGAAAAAAGGTGGGCGATCAGATGTCAGAAAGGGAGTTGGTGTCCTAAATTTTCGCTTTTTCTAGCTGACCAGGACATGGTCGAACAGATGAGGCTCCCCAAGGCAACCCCCGTTATGAACAACACGTGCTCGTTTCCTTCCCCTTTCCCCCGTACACCACCACATTGTGGAACATATCTGTCCCTACACAACCCATCCAACGGGGAGTTGAGAATATATTTCAAGATAACAAGGAAAATAATTACTGTGGCAGTAGGATGAGATGACGGGGTCATCGTGTGATGAAACCAGGGGCGTAGTGCCTGGCACGAGGAGAGCCGAAAAGAACAAAGCCAACAGCGCCGAAGATTCAGACAAGGAGGATCGCAAAGAGTCAAAATCAGAACGCCAGGGTGAGGTTGACGCGGCGATTAATCTCGTCAACCTCAGGTATAAACAGGACCGCATGCATATTTTGCACAAGAAAGAAGAGAGTCAAACATCCCACGTGACGAGCTAAGAGCAAGGCGCCTTTGTGAGTTCCTTAGCGAGAACTACCAAGGGCGCTGATGCGAGCACCGGACGGGCGGTGCATCAGGTTGGCGTGCTTGCCAACAAGGCCAGGCTCGTGGTGAGCAATGGCCTCGTTCTCACTACGGTCAACGTAGTTGTCCTCGTCATCCTCCACAATCTTTGTGGGGATTTCGCTGTGAACATTGTACTGCTGGCTGGCGCGCTCAGGGGTGGTCATCGTCGACGCGATGGACATGGATGTGCTACTCCGGTTGGGAATCAGATCTGGTGTAGGGGGAATGCTGGAGAAGCGTCCTGACGGGCGCAAGTGGCTGTCGTCACCGACGTCAGAGTTGGTCGCAGAGCGGTCGTGGCTGTCCTCGCTGTGGGCGGCGGAGAGGGCGCTGTCGCGACGGGGCGACCTTGTGAGCTCGGCGTCGTGTGCCAGCTGCAGGCCCTCAACGGCGGCCTGGCACTGCTCGGCAATGTTGCGAACGATGTGTGCAATCGCGTCCGTCTTGTCCTTAAGATGACGGTCGGCCACATCGGAGAAACTGCTGGTCGAAAGGCGCTTGCTGGCACGCGTAGGGCTCAGACGGTCTGCTTGGGTCTGGTTAGTATGATTCCGTGCCGGAGAAAGACATACTCGAGAGATGAGAAACGAACCTGATGCTTCAACAACTTCCTCCTCGTAAGCTCCCTCCATCTCGAAATCGTCTGGCTTGGTAAGAGACTGGACAAGGTGTTCCATGTGGTGAGCCTGGCCACCAATCAAGCTGCGGAGATGCAAGACAACGCGACGAGCCTCGTCACGCTGTCGAAGGATGGTGCTGTTGGTGTTCTGGAGAGCGGCAAGCTCCTTCTTGTTGCGCTTGCGCTCGCGCTCCAGCTCCTCGGCAATCTCTTGCTGGAGAACCAGAGCTTCCAAAGCATCATCGCGCTGCTTCTCGGTGCCAGTGAGGCGGACAGACAGGCGCGCGTTGTCATCCTTCTGCTGGTCAATAAGGCCAGCAAGCCTGCGGTTCTCACGCTTGTGGTTCTCAATCTTGACCTTGAGATCAGAGGTCTCCTTTGTGAGCTGCTCGGCAAAGGCCTGGAACTTGAGGAATTGCTGCTTCCAGTTCTCGAGCTCCTCAACCAGATAGTTGTTGCGCTTCGTAACCTTCTGCAGTTCTGTGTCCATGCGACCCTTGAGATTGATAAAGTCTTGCCAAGCTTCCATGGCATCACGCGAGTACTGGTTGCGCTCTCTGACAATCTCGTTGAGGTGTCGCATCGAGACCTTGGTCATCAGAGGCTTCTTCACAGAGCCACCAAAAACGGCCTTGATGCCAGAGTTACGGCCCATCTTCTCGCAGACGTGGTCCATGACGGCCATGATGGCATCCTGGTCCCACCACTCGGGATCCTGAATCGACTCAACCTCGCCACGCATGACAATGATCTGACCAGCGGGGACGAGCTTGCCACCGCCATAGGCAGAGCGCAGGTGCTGAGGAACACCAGACGGGGTGACGTCGCCATTCAGAGCCTGTGTCAAGCGGTTGACAAACTTGTTGCGTTGACCAGGCGAAAGAGCCGTGGGCGGGTCAGATGTCAGGACAAAGTTGCGGTCCAAGTCAACGACGAGGGCGTCGGTGGGGGCGGTAAAGAGCGAGCGGCACTCGGCAGTTACGCCGAGAATGTACGGGCCAGGCTCCTGGACGAGCTCCTTGGCATGGCGGGCATGAACCACTGGGACGTAGAGACCGCTCCACTCATAAACACGAACGCAGAATCGGATCGTTTCGGCAGCCATGGTCAGCATGGCAGGGTAGTGGCTGGTGAAGATGATGCGGCGAGTAGGCGACATGGCGGCCTCGATCACTCCGACAATGTTGGGAACGGAGAGACAAGACCACAGTGGCCACATGGCGAAGTTCTGGAAGCCCGTTGGCGAAGAGGGAAACTGGTAGCACAAAGCATAGTCCTTCATGTCGATGCGAACCAGATCGTTCAGGCGAGGTGCTGGGAAGCTCAATATTCTCGAGACCTCTTCGGCGTGGAAGAGGTTGGTCGCCTTGTTCCAGTGAATCCACATGCCACGGAGGTAGTCTCCGAGCAAGTTGTAGAGCGGATAGCGAGAAAGGAACGACAGGCAGTACGGGATCCAGTAAGTCTCATCCGGGTTGTCATAGAAGTCGGACTCAGTCCTCTTGCGGAGGTCGCGGATCGTCTCGGCGCGCTTGTCGTCGGCCCTGGACCAAACACGCAGACAGATACCATACAAGGTGTGCGAAGAATCCTGCTGAAGGACGAAAGAGTGATGGACGCAGTGAGGCTGGCTGCGGCCTGTGCAGATCTCGACGTCGTGGGGGAAGCAAGCCTGTGACAGTCAGAATATTGGCAAAACGTAATTAGAGGTATTGGTGCAAACTACTACTCACCCGCATGGCGGCGTGCAGAGACCGCGCAATATCATTGTCCTGTTCGAGCCTGGGGCTGCTACCCAGAATCTCAGGCAGCCAGAATTGGCCAACAGCACCCTTCATGTGGCCAATCTTGCCCTGCGCGGGTGTCGGGGCCTTGACCCATTGGGAAGGCTCGCGACCGACACCGCAGACCATGTATGCATGGGTCAGGGTCTTGGGCGTGCGCTGCTGAGGCTTGCCGGAGAGGGTCGAAGGAATCGGCTGAGTGATGCGCGAGTGCAGCGACGAGGTGCGGCTGGGAATGATCAGGTTGGTGTCATTGTGGTCGCGGGTTACAGGACGAGCATCGCGGTCGCTGGTCCGCGGCCTCGTGAAAGAGGTGTGGGTTGTGAGGGAGGGCGCCATGGCGGCGGCGTTGTGGTGGAAGAGGAGGATGCTCTATAGTGAATGGCGAGTTGGACGCAAGGACAGAAGCCGTTCGGCGGGCGGGTCGAAGGAGAGGCGGCTGCGCAGTCGAGGCAGAAAGACGATTCGATGACGCTGGGTCGGGAGGTTACGAATGGAGTACTGCCCAGCAGGCGAGTGGCGGCAGCTCTGGCGGAGAGAGGGAACTTGAAGGCGCTCAGTGACCAGCAGGCGATGGGAGGCCGGGAGGAGCAAAGGACGACGTCTTTGAGGAGACGAGCCAGGCCGTGCTTGCGTGCTTGCGACGGCAGCAAGAAGTCCAGTCCAGATGAAGCTGGGCAACACACGGACGCGAGGCGAAGCTGAGCTGGTGGAGGGAAAATAAGGAAAGAGACAGAAGGAAGGACTGGAGCGCGGGTCGCGGCAGATGTTGATAGGGGCACACTGACAGAACGCCGGCGGCGGGCTGGGGCCATGTGGTGGGTGCTTAGCTGCGGGTGTGGGTACGCGAAATCGGGGAGGGGGGGCCCTGGAGAGGCTAGGCTAGGGGCAGGAGAAGGGCGTGCTCTCCCGTCTGGTGGGTGCCGTTCAGGGGAGCTGCTGGGAGGAGGGTTCGTTCAGATCCTGGGCCGGCCACTGCTCCCTCCTTCGACTCCTCCTCCTCCTCCTTCCCAGTCGTCCGCCTCGCAAGCGCAACGGGACAATACAGCCCAGAGGCATTTCTGAGCCATGTCACGTAATTTGGTCGCAAGGCTTAATTACTGCTTCGCCCACAAAGGTCTGTCGCCCTCTTTCTGAGTCCCTCTACCCATCTCATTGCTCATCACAACGGCAGGGCAGGGCAGACACCACGAGTATGCACTCACTCCCCGCGACCGTTTCAAGCCAGGGGTGGGCCAACAGGTCGAGAACCCCTGCTGGCCATTTGCCTGATCCTGGCCTGCTGCAACTGTACCACACCGTTTAGGCGGAGGTTGCAACGGCACGCAGTTATGCAAGGTACCGCACACGCTTTACATGGTCCGCCCGCCCGCGCAAGCGATTGTGATCACGCACTTCGTCACAGTCACATCAATCCCGCCCATTCACCAGTCAACTGGGTGTAGAGATGATAAGGATGGTTTTGTGCCTGCGAGTGCCAAGACGCTCCGCCCGGCCCATTAAACGCCCACGTACTATGGTACATCTGTAACGACCGGGCCATCCGCTGGTGGCGCGCTAGCATCGTCCCCCAAAGTGCGTCGGTCGCCAAGTCTGATGGTTTTCATCCCACACCCTACGTTGCGCAGTCTCGCAAAGATGAAGGGCCCCCCATCCAGCACAGAGCCTATGTACTCCAGTCCACGGCTTTGTCAAGCACGCTCATGGTCAGAGCAATAATATTCTGGCAGGCCCCTTGGCTCCAGACCGTTGCTGGCGTGTCATGTCTTGGGAACATGCCTCGTGTCGGCCTGGGCAACTTGCGACTGCATTTCAACACCGACAGGGGCGTCCCTGCACCACCAAATCTCAGCACATCCACATCTGTGCTTGTTCCAGCCGTCAGCCCAATGGCTGGCCTCTAAGCCGCCGGGGGCCCACCGAGTCGTCGCCCCGTCCAATCAACGATGGCAAAGGGTGCCAGGGCAACTCCCTTGGCTGCTTTCATCCAGCAGGCCCCGGACTGGCCGTCGCTCTCTGCGGCACAACCTTGGGGCGGCTGGGCCGACACCCAAGATGAGCCTCGGAAGCGAAAGATCAAGCCTGACAGAAACTGACCAAGCCAGCATAGGTAAATCATGCGGTCACTCGGCGCCAGCTCCTATGAGGGACCACTCCGCCCTGGGGAGTCAAGCTTGGGCTGTAGCGGGTCCCTAGCGTCCCATTGTTCGCAATCCAAGCCTGTACTACGGAGTAATGGAGATGCTTAGCTAGCCATCGGAAGATTTGGCTGGCGGCGTTTGGATTCCAGACGGAGATAAACGACCATGAAAACTCTGCGAAGCCACACGCGGCCAGATGCGCATGTCTCAATGCCAGCAGTGTGGCAGGCGAGCCGCGGGCGACGCAGTGTCTCTGCTCGGCGACAAAACCATCATGGTTGCCTTCTTCATTCTTTGCGTCGCACTCAGCTGGGATCATTCTTCGAAGTGCAGGACCTTCAGTTGCCAAACTCGGCACGCCATGTCTTGACCAGATCTGAGACGGAAGTTTGTCCCCTGGCTTTCTTCAACGCAACACGGTAGTGCGTGACGAAGGTGTTCCTGGGCATGACACGCCAAAAGCTATTCAATCGCCATTTTTTGGGGTCTTCGCCACCCCGGGCTTGGAGTTTTACAGAGACCTGGAACGGACAGGGAAAACGCTTGGGGTCATTTGCTGTTTTCGTTGACTCGAGGCGTTGCGGCTGGTAAACCCGGCTTGGAGGCGTTGAACCCGGATGCATGGGGTGAGTGAGCCGTGCTTCGCATTGCAGGCAACGCTTCAAGCATTGAACAACGGCAGAAGAACATGCACAAAAAGTGTGTGTGCATGTGTGTGTGGCCTTGCCCCGCGCGGGTTGCACCCTTTGGTCAGGTCAACGAGCGACAGACAGAGTGGCCTTTGGCTCGGCTCACTGCCGAGTTGGGGGCAGTGGCGCGCATTCTGCAGCTGATACGGAGTAATACTTCGTGTGGGCTTGCTTGGAAATCCGCCTGGTGGCCCATCATCATCTCCCGCCCCGTCGTTTGATGGCAAGGATCTGCACCCGACCCGTGGTTATGGTTCGACAGGGGATCGAGGTGCACATCCACCGAGGCTGGCAGCGCCCCACGCACTCACAACTGGCTTTGCCGTGCATGCCCGGCCTTGGGCTAACGATGCAGGTACGCGGCCTCGACCACCGACACGCCCGCCCAACGAGCCCCCGGAATTATGCAGGCCAGCAACTGGTGCCCGCGGGCGCTCCCATAGGCCGCGCTAGCCGTGGTAGCTTGCGAGAGACGAGCTGAAGCTGCAGAGATGGCACGACACAGACAGTACATTCGTACATACACATGAGATGGCGCCGACTGCCACTGGGCCGGACGATCAACTCTGCAGGCTGTCTGCGTGAGGGGCGCAGCTAGCATTGATGCGGCCGACGCAAGAGGCAAGGATCACTGGAGCAAGAGTCTATTGCGCCGCATGCCGGCAGCAGAACCACGCGTGGGCCAGAGGAGACGGGCCCTAGGTAAGACAGGCGAAACACTGTCGGAAAGGCCCGCATGGTCCAACCCTGCTGCTGCTTGCTCCTGAGGTCTAAAGATGGCAGAGGAGGGGACGGGAGCTCGGCGTCACGCCATCGTCTAACTATGCCCTGCCCTGCCCTGTCTTGACGGATGCGGAAGCAGCCATCATCCCAGGGCGACACCTGGTCAGCAGTCCGGATGCATGTTTCGACCAGTGGGGTTCCAGACTCGCAACGTATCAAGGAACCCCCAGCACTACTCGGTAGCTTGCTCCCAATCATGCACGCCACCACCCTAATCGTGCCTCTCTGGTCACTGCCAGTGCCGGGCAATTTCGCAAAGACTCCGGCAAAGATGCTATCTAATGCAGGAACAGCGTCTGTCGAAAGCGACAACCTGCACGTGGGAGGAGCCCATGACTCCATCCAGTTCAGGCCGTCTCGAGTTGCGTCGGCGGTGGACTTTTGACCCCCACCGCCATAAGCAGCCGGGAGTTGTCCTCACTGCCGTAGCTGCATCCTGAACAATATCAGTCACCCCCGCCAATATAGGCTCTCTCCAAAGTTGCTCCGTCTCCCCCTCGAGCGATAGCTTGCGCCGGCGCAATGCAGCAGCGAGCCGGACCAGATCAGTGACTCCGAGCGCTCAACACTGCGTGGGCAATTCGACCATAATCTTCACCCGCAGCAACGGCCCAGTGGCGATCAGTGTCCCATGGGTGAAGACTGCCTCTCGGCCCGGGTTTCATGCGTAGGCTAGGTGTTTGCTGGTCTGGTCAACGTTGCAGATCATGCAGGTCTCTGGGTTGTTGCAGGGGGCGGCCACGCCCACGGAGGCTGGGCCTCGTTCGTTGGCTGCATGCACGGCGATCATGCAAGCATATATTGGCTTATAAGTGCGGTGTATTACAAGGGATGGATTATTCATCCGCCAGCTATTGCCCATATTATGAGAAGTGATCAATATCAAGTCACAAAAAAACGAAAAACAAAAAGACTATCGCGTGGCACGTGCTCCTCTTGTCCGTGAGTTAAGACTCGCAGATATTGAATGCGCAACGGCGGGTGCGTGGCATTCCCCTCTGGACTGTCTCACCCGGAATGGACTCCGGGCCACGGCTGTCACCGTGGCACGTCGTAAGATTAACACGACCGCGTTTCAATATTCACCACACAAAGTTGAGTTTCGCCCAATGGAACGCCAGCGTGCCATGTGTCTTTTGTAGTTCATTCATCAATGTCCCACCTACTGCTGCTTCTGGGGGTGGGGGGGGGGGACATTGCGTGCTTGTGACTTTTGCAACGGAGGGTCAGTTGAGCTATCACGCGCGCGGGGGATCCTCGCCGCTCAGGATGAGAGGAGAGGAGAGGAGTGGTGTAGTGGGTCCAGTAACAACTATAGGAATGAAGAAAGAAATAACGTGGTTGTGATGTAACAACACGTCTTGGGAATTCTTCCGCTTGCGACTAACCTAACATGGTGGCACACCGGTGCCCATCGTAAACATGAGGCAGGTCAACAACTACTATTCAACAAACCTGGTAACAATCATCCAGGCACGGGACAAAAGAACAACTCACAAATGATATGGTGCGAGTCAGCTGGGCGAAAGAGAGAAAAAAAGGGTAGTAAGAAAATAAAACAAAACAAAACAAGAAACCCCACAAGACGGCCGTCTTTTACAGGCGGGTTTGCGCAATGTCAGTCCTTTCGACAGCGGTCGTGTACAGGGGACCTCTGGCTGTCACATTGTTGGCATGTCATTTTTGTTGTTTTCTTCTCTCAGCTGACAGCGCCCCCCCCCTCATTCTTCCCACTTCCACCCCGGGCAAGCCTGACCGCAACGGGAAAGCTCCGCCAGGGCTGAGCTAGATGCGAGGGTAGCTTGACCATGAATGACTGGGCGTCGGATGACAGGGCTCTGACCATGACCCACGGAGGGAAGAGAGTGCGAGAGAGAGGATGTGGCAGCAGCATCAGGATCTTGACGGGGGCCAGCAGTAAATGAATGACTGCAAGACTAGGTACTCGCCGTGACCGTATTGCTTCGTTGTAGATGCACAAGGGCGCAACAAGGCGATGCGCCTCTTCGGGGGTTACTTCGTGTCCGGTGGCCGACCCGACAGATATCTGAAGGTTCTATGTATGCTGGCGGTCCTCCATACTGGGGTCACTTCATTCTGCGTCAAAACTCCACACGAATACAACGCAGGGTGCTTTTTCCCAGTGAACCTTCAGCACCGCGATGTGTCTGGCGGTCCGACCTTTTGTCGCCTAATGATTAAGACGGGGTTGGTATTTGACCCAGGAGTCCCAAATGCGTTGGTCGTTCTGGGTTGCTTTTCTCGAGTGGCCCGGAACACGGCTTCCTTGGGGTAACACGTAGGGCGTCTCCGTCTTCCCCGTCTGTGAGTATCATTCAGAAGTCGTGCCAGGAAGCCGGGATCCTTTCGGTGTCATGACACCCGACGTTTGGCAAGAATAAAAAAGAAACGCCCTTGACAGAGAGGATCCCCGCCAGAGGATGCCCACGGGATTCTCGGGGCAGATGCCATATTTCCACACATATTCGTTTGAGCGCAAATCCCAATATATTTGCCACAGAAGGAGTAACGCGGAAGTATGTAAGGATTGCAAGGACTTCCAAAGGTTTGGTTTTGTCGCTGAGTTCGACTCGTTTCGGCGAAGCCTCCGGCGACGAGCTAATTTGTGCAATTTCCACCCAGAATCCCACCCCATCAGCCGGTTCCGTCTGCCAGGCCATCGCTGTTACTGATGAAAACCACTAACACCGCGGCATACCTGCATGAGATTATCGGTCAGCCACATAGCTAAACCATGTATTGAATCATAAGCCCCGGGGAAAAAGGGCTTTCTTGGAGGACCCGCTTACGTTGCTGTCCCAAGAAAGACCTCTGCCCTCCTCGCGCCTGTGACGAGCCAAACACTTCCGGAGAAGCTGGCCGTAAACACTGCCACGAGCGCTAGTTTCGCGGGCCTGCTCTGAGTAAAGTACAGGGCGAGGACTGGGCCGACGAGGAACACGATCGCGACCAGCACGGTGATCAGAGTGACCCAGAGCTCGATCCGATATTCCTCGAACCGGCCGACACCGGTGTGGCTTCCCTTTTCCTGAAAGAAGCCATTCAGTATTTAGTCATTCTCCCACGAGGAAAAGCGAGGGAGGGACTGTTTGCCCACTCACCTCCCGGGCACTTTGTTTGCGCAGGAAGTTCGATATCGGCTCTTGCGTCGAGCCCTTGAGCGCGACTAGGTCGCCCGCCTGTAGATAGTCCCGCGCTTTCCCCTGAATGGCTGGCCATCCGTCCTGCAAGAACATCTGCTTCGTGGCCTGTAGCACGCGGTTACTCGGTGCTGGTAGCCTCGCGATCTGGCTTTGCAGGAGGAGTGCTTCCTCTTAGAGCATGGTATCACATTCTCAGAATCTGAACGGGACAGATGAAAATCTCCAAGTGCAAGGGGTCAAACCCTGGGAGAGCGTATGACCTACGGTATTCCTTCATTTTCGTCCTCAGTGACGCGATGAGCTCTAGTCTTTGCTTAGACCTTATAACAGCGGCAGATTGTGGACTCGCTGTATGTGTCGAACCGGGCGGCGAGCGTGTAAGTTGTGAGCCACCTTGTGCCTGCAAAACGTCCCAATCTCTAAGCGCACGAACTGACTCGATGTCAGGCTGCCTCTCGTCCAGAAAGTCCAGAAAGTCCAGTTGGTCTTCCAGGTCTAGTAACTCGCACTGCAGATACAGCAGGTTCAGCGCCCCGAGAGAGTCGAATTTGCGAAAGATCAAGGGCTCGTTGTCTCTGTCGGAGGCGAGGCGCGACGCCCACAAGCTGTAGCCTGTCCTGGCTGGGGTCACGGGCTTGTAGGGATCCCGACCGAGCTCTATGTCTTCCGGCATACTTTGCTGGAGAGGTCTTGCCGTCGCATGAGATGCTAGAGATGCTCGAGTGATAGGTTCATGAATGTCGAGCGTGGCCATTGCGGGCCAACCGCCCTTGTTGACGTTTCGACAAATAGCGCTGTGAGCCAATGAAGCGCTCGCGACGTGGCTGTGCGGGCGACGTGCATGTCGAATTTTGCACCCTCATGCTGACGCCCAATTACAGTTATGAGCCGTAGCGATTAGGAGGAGATGGCTCACGCGCATTCTGCGGCTGTGCAAGGTAGCCTTGCTGCTATAAGTCAAGCATACGCAGCCCTGGGTCCTGCCAAAGACTTGTGCTCTGGAACCGCCGTCAGCCACAATTTTCCCGTCTAATGTGCTCATCACAGGACTTCGCCGCGCGCCGGAAGTGCTCCAGATTTAAACGGGCAACAACTTTTCATGGCAACAACAGTACTTGGCCGCTTGGCCGCCACAACGATGACGGAAACATGGATCGCCCCTCCGATCCGTATTATCGCCGACCTGACCGTTACGATACGAAGCCGCAGCCTTATGGGCTATGCCAGCTTCCCAGTGGCTGTCCGCAGCGGGCACGCTTAGCCGACGAATGCCTTTCGGACTGTAAGTAACCCCTCCTTCCTAGCCGAGGTTTCGCGAGCCCGGTTGCGAGGATTACTCTGTTGCTAGTCAGTCATTTCGGATCTGATGTCCTGTACCAGTGAACACGGACAATCCATTCACCATTGCCATGGTGGTGCGGGAAGATGAACGTCGAATTCAGATTCAGTCACAAATCGCTGGTCTACATCCCCACGAACAGACTGAACAACGCCATAATGAGGAGATCAGGATTCAAGCATGGAACCGCATCAAGGCCCTACATGATCGCCAGGATAGCGGCTGGAAGCGCCTCAGAGACGAGTACGTTGCAGCTGACCACAAAGGGGACAGCCACGGCTCTGCCAGGGAAAATTATAGGTGAAGGTGGAGCAAGGACAAGATCACCAAAACGCAGCATCGCAGACAGGCTTGACACAGAGGTCAAGTGAAACAACGTGGCGTGGCGTTCAATATCCGTTCTAGCGGATGAGACTTCAAGAAAGGACGCATGATCAAGATGGGTTAATGTCTTGGCTGATGATGAAGGAGCATTGGGTGATAAATTAGATAGGGGGCTTTCCGATTGCTTGAGTTTCCTCGTGTGGGCCTGCTTCGAACTTAGAGACATCAGATAACCTCAAGGAATAGATCACGCTGCGATATCTTTCCCCCTTATGACCTCAAACGTAACAGCAAAGCCAAATTCTGACGCGGACGGGAATAAACGGAAGCACGCTTTGCACATGGTTGCAATTACCTAGCATCCGGAACCTTCACCGGGGCAACGGAAACTTTCCCTCAGAGCTCACAGCACGCCGCCGTCCCTCACGACGCCCCACGACCTGGGGAACTCCATGCCCCATTTCGTCATCAGCCCCCGCAGTTCCTGCTCCGTGCCGGGCACGACGTTGACAAAGATGCGGTCCTGGTCGCCCTGGGCAGGCTCCGAGTGCACGGCCCCGATGTCGGGACCGAGTCGGAAGAAGCAGCACATCCGCGCGCTGGCAGCGGCAGTTTGAGTATCGTTCCTCGCGTTGTCTTCCTTGTCCTCCACTGTTGAAGCACACAGTTCCTCTCCTCCTCCTCCTCCTCCTCCCCCTGTTTCTTCTTCATTACCGGTAGTGGTGGTGGGGCTGAGAGTCATCTCCTCGGCCTGGCAGGACCCCAGCCGCGCCAGATCCTGTGCGAGCTTGACCCGCACGGCCTCGGCTGTGGCCGCACACCCGACGCAGCGTATGTCGACGCAGGTGTGGTCGACAGCGAGCTGGGCCTTTGCAGTGGCCTGCAAGGCCCGGGCTTCGGCCTGGTGGGCGTGCGGGATGAACTTTGTCGAAGGGCCCAGCAGGGTGGTGCAGAGCTTGAAGTCTGTTTCTGTCGATGCTGGCGTTGATGATGACGGTGATGACGATGACGATGCAGCCTCGGGGAAAGCATTGGATAGGGCGGAAGGCAGTTTGGTGGACAAACGGATCTTGCTTAGCAGCCCGCGGCCAGTGCTATGGGCGACCTCCTGGCTTCGCTGTACAGTGCATGCCAGCCCACCGCCGTCGACCATATCATTTGGCTTCATCCGCTCGCGGGCGAAGAACAGGTCGTCGGTGTGCCATCTTGGCATGTCAAACTCTGGGTTCGCTCGGGTCGCACGCACAGAGATCCAGTAGTGGTCAAGGCCAAACTGCTCAAGAACGAGTCTCGCGTAGACCAGAAACGGCCAGAGCACGTCTGACAACGGGCTGGACAGAGTTGTGGAAGCCCATTGGTCGAGGCTAGAAGGGATCACGCGGGCGTTTGTGCCGATGAGGACAGGACCGGAGTAGCACCAAAAGCCATCTTTGCGGACTTGTAAGCTGTTGTCGTTGTCGTTGTTGTTCTTGGTGGTGGTGGTGGTAGGAAGATGTACGAAGTCAGGGGCTGTGGCGTTGCTGCTATTGTTGTTGTTGTTGTCTGTATCGTTGCCAGACGTGCTGACAGACTTGGCAATTGGGGAACTGGAGCACCAGTCGTCGTACCGGCGGAACTCGAAGCACGGAACCTGAGCGGCTGCTGGCAACTGCATGCTGCACAAGGCAACCTTTCGGCAAGTTAGGTGGGACCCTTTGAGGCAAAGCCAAGCGCGGAACAGCAGAAAGCCTAATCTTCAGTGGCGTCTTCTGCATGTGTGACACTGTGTGTGATGGCTCAGACGCACGGGTACACAATGAGGCAATATCTCTGAGTAGTCATCCAGAGCCGACCAGGAATGATGTGGAGATAGTCCGAGCAGGCGATGACGAGACGAATAGAGACGTTGCGGAAGGATACAGGAGAGGCGACTTGGTACCTGATCGCTCCCACCCATCAGCTCGGAATCGCCCCACAGCCAGCCAGCATGTCAGCGCGGCAGCTAGGCTTGATGGTGCAGAATAAGGGCTGACTGAAAGTTGTACGGTGTTCTTGATTGGTGGCCAGGCCGCGCGATACTGGGAAGGCTGCCCCCATGTCCGGGGAGCCTGAGCCGATTTAGGAACGACCCCTGAGCTGCGATTAGCCCCTCCACAGTACTCGCCCGCCCAAATTGACAGTGACTTGCCCGCTCCATCATGTGAAGAGCAGCTAGGAGATATCAGGGCTTCACGCTGCGTGCAAAGCTGAGTAGATTTGTGGGCATCAGTTTCAATATGTCCTGTACCTAGGCTGTTCTGTCGAGACATGGTGTTTATGAATTCTTGTGCTCTGGTCGCATACCTTATGCTACCACAAACGACCTCGCGTGTACCACACAGCGACTGCAGCCGCCGGCAAGGCGGCATATCGCACCACCACGTTTGCCGCCTTCTTGAGCAGCTTGAACTGCTGTTCCATGATCTTTTTGCGCATCGCCGCCGCCTCGTTGACGTGGGGGAACTCTCCTTCCCGGCCAACCCACTCCTTGGGGATGTCCTTGCCCAGAAATTCGCACAGAGGTCTCCAGCCGTCCTTGGGGTCAAACTCGAGCAGCCTCTCGGGAGGGGTCATTTCTCGGATAGTCTTGTAGTGCCGCTCATATGTCTCACGGGCGTGGTCGCGGGCCTCGTCGACGGTAGAAGCACGGAAGAGGCCAAGTATCATTTTGCGATTGGCAGGACCAGTGACAGAGCCAATGATCGGCTCGACTGTCTCGATGAAGAAGTCGGCCAGGCGGCCCCAGAGAGCGTGAAAGACCTGCTCGTCCATGCTCTTGTACCAGCGTTCGTAGTCGCGCTGCACAAGAACGACCTTTGCGTCCGGGTATGCTTCGATGAGCTGTGGACCAAAGATGGAACCGATGTCTGTGACGGCCTCACACTCGCCAAACACCTCGTCCCATTCTTCGGTTGTAAAGGGCTTGCCGGTGTACGTGGGCAGGTTTGGAAAGGTGGCGTCGGCGGCACGAGAGAAGACGGCCCAGTCTGTCGGGGAGTCGATGGACTTGATGCCATGGTAGACATCCTTGTATGAGAGGAGCGTGAGGGCCTCACACATGGACGAGGTACCAGTGCGGGGCAGGCCTAGGGAGAGGACCTGCGTCTTACGCAGAGGTTTCGAGGCCGTCATGACTGTGCTGTGTGGTGCTTGGGAGCGCTGTCACGGAAGTTGTCTGGAACAAGGTGGTGCGGGCAAGCAAACCTTTGAGAAGGCAATTAGAAAGATGACTTATATGTAGACAGCGCCACAGTGGGCGTGTGGTAGCTAGCATCCGGGCACTGGGTGGCTTGATACCCGGGCAGAGCCCTGCAAGCATCACGGGTGGGCACCGGCTCGAATTGCAGACAGGACCCGGGGAACAAGAGCGCCACGGATGCAATTAGAAAGTCCTCCTGCTTGGCTTCCGCCTCCTTGCGGGAGAAAGATGCCCACTTGAAAAGCCTTTATCGAGTCGCTTGGATGTCTGTGTGTTCTGACCCTGACCTTGTCGGGCCATGTATCCACGAAGGGACAAGACCAGAACATGAACTGTTGCTGGTGTCCCGCTCGATGACATCGAGGCCAGATACCTCGGCCTCAAGAGCATTAGAAAACGACAACGAACGTGACTAGAGGCAGGCTCGGCCGACTGCACCTGGAAAAAAGGACGCGGTGTAGGGCTGACCTTCTCCAGCCAGCAGGGTGGGGCCGGCAGCAGATGGCCCAAAAACCACCAACCACGAAGATCTTCCCATCTGTTGCTTTAATTAGCATGCCTTCCGTCCAGCATCGCCGCCTGCCTTGCCCACCAGAGATGCTCAATCAGCCGAACATCAACAGGAGAGGCTTCTAAGCTCCAGGCAAAGGACGTCCCAGTGGAACAGCAGTCTCTTTGATGCGACAGCATAACCTGCCCCAGGATGCCTTGTTCCCAGCATTGCATCCTGACGACAGCGCGCAGTAGGGGCTGGGCAGTGCAACAAGAATCGGGTGGTTGTCGCGGCCCCGCGTCTTTGACTGCTACATATCAGCATCTGCGTACACGCGCGCTTGGGCTAGCTCCCGCCTCGCCCTGCTCAGCTTCATCGCCACCAACGCCTCATGTTTGAAAACGCCCTAGATGAGAGCCCCAGAGTGGTGTTGTCTGCTGCTAGCGCTTACGGAAGCGCCAACGGCGCGGCGGCCTTGCAGCATCTGCCGCGCCTCCAAAGTCTCAGAGGACACCGGGCCAGCCAGTTGACTCGCCAGGCTCGCCATTCATCCGCCCGCCGACGCGGCCGTTCCGTCCGCTGTGGACCATGACGGGCCAGTGACAGGCACAAGGGTCGTGCCATACTCGCCATGGTTGCGCAGTGAAACGCGACCCGCTGGGAGCAGCCACAACAGCCAACCACCATTCCCGCCCCACGACCTACGACAGGGATTTCGCGTCTATCATCCCATTACTAAGAGCTAGGCGTCTCTCCTTGCCTTTCTGGGCAGTTGCTAGTGACACAGTTAACTGAGTGGACAATATTACGAGCAAGACCAGGCCACGAGCAACAAGAAGTTTGGAGCACGGAAAGGGAACACCGGAACATGTTGTTTCCATGACGCCCTCTATTTTCCCGCACGTCTCTTGCAGAATTACCTCCGAGGGATGACGGAGAAAGGCTGCTCGACACGTCTCATGGACGACAAGGGGCCTTGAGCCGTCATTGCCGACCACCCCCCATCTTCCAGGGGTAAGCGACATTGTAGCAGTCGACCCCTGCTCGCCTGCACTACTGCGTACAGCCAAGGAGAATCCGATGGTAACGCGTTTGGAGACGACCCCAACCTGCCTGGCTTGCTGATAGCCCACTTGCCTGCCGGGCCAGGCTGAACGGGAGCGATTGTACTCGGCCGATCTCTTGTGGTTTCCGTCGAGCGACCTTTTGTGTTCTTTTCCCCTCATTCGGAAACACAACCGCCTGTGTCAAAGCTACCACCTGTGCACGGCGTGGCCGCAATCCATTGTCGGCACCATGGCACACCAGCAGGACTACAGCACGCTGGAGGTCAACAACTCCCACCAAGCTCCAGAGGTCTACTACAACCCTGACCAATACCAGAAGGAAGCGCTTGCCACAGGGCACGGGCTACCCAGCCAGCAATACCCAGAAGTTGCGTACAATCAATACGGCTCGCCGCAAAGCTCCTATCCCTATGGCACTCCCACGACAGCATATAATTCTGCGTCTCCTGGTACCATTGCACACACTTCACTGGCTAAGGATGGCACTCCATACCAGGCGTATGCAGATGCACCTGAGGTAGCCCCAAACCAGGACGGCACGCCTCCGAAGAAGAGGATATGCGGTTTGGCAGCTCGCACATTCTACATTGTATTGGCCGTCATCGTCGTCATCGTAATTGCCGCAATCGGCGGAGGTGTTGGTGGCGCCCTGGCATCAAGAGGGAGCAGCTCGTCATCAGCCAACAACGGAGACTCGACGGGTGGCGGCGCAGGCAGCGGCACTGGCAACAGCACCTCGACATCTCCTCCCGGCCCAAAACCTCTCGGGATCACAAAGATTGCTGCCACCAATTGGACAGATGGGAACAATGTCGGCCACCGCAACGTGTATTTCCAGGACGAGTACAACTACATCATCGAGCGCAGATGGGACTCGGACAGTAACAACTGGTCCACAAGCAACATCAGCAAGCTCTTCGAGACATCGACCACATTCGGCCCGCAGTTTGGGACATCATTGACCGTGGCGGTGATGGACAAGGGCGGCTCGGCCGGCTACGAGATCCAGCTCTACTTTCTGGACGCCTTCAACTTTATTCGCTCGGTGCATACGGTAAAGCCCGACATCCAGCCCGATGCCTGGACCAACAACACATTGGACGGTGCATACCTGGAGGTGCGCAAGGGATCGCACCTGTCTGCCATGTACCAAGACTGCTGGAACAACAATTGCGCGGGAAGTTGGTGTGTCGCCTACCAGCGGCCATCAGACGGCTCGGTCAAGACGGCAAACTCGAGTCACTGGACCGTGTCTGATGTCGCGGTCGTCGGTACCGACCTCTCCAACAACTCGAGCTTGGCCCTGATTCCACGGCTGGTGAACCAGCGATTGTCCGGGGCCATGCTGGGCTCATCAGGAGTGGCCACAGCGTCCTCGGCGCCGCTACAAATCTCCGTCTTTGACGACGCGTGGGTAAATGGTCAGTCTTGTGCAGAGAAACTCTTGAAGCAGTCACAGGGATGAAGCATAACTGACAATTCTCGCAGCTACACAAAGCGTGGCCATACAATCTGCCGCTCTCCCATCAGAACAGAACAACTTTGCTGCGACACAATACAACAACTGGAGGGATGCGTTGTTCTTGTCGCTCTCCGACGACGGCTCCTTGAAGGGAGTCTGGACCAACGACGGGACGAACAAGATGAGCCTGCTTGGTGCTCCGGCCGGCACCAAGTTCACGGCGATAGCATTCACTTTGGATGCACACTTTTACGGCATCTCTGGCGAACAGATCCAAGAGTACGAGCTGGACAAGGTGGACCCGTCGATATTGCACTATGTCGGAAATATTTGGCCTGCGCAGTAGATGCCGTGGTCGCCTGGGCAGTCATTATTCTTTCATGTACCTTTTTTTTTGTCCCAAGATACCACTTTATGATCACACCATTTTTCGTTGGTCAAGGTCACTGGGCAACCCTTGTGATCAGCACGAGATGCAAGAAACGCTCCAATGCGACTGGCTTGTACGTTCTGGCCGCCATGTTTGTAGTGCCTCGTCGGGGCTAGAAATCGTCAGGCCTTTAGGATCCTCGCGGGAAGAGATGCGGGATCGGCTTTTGCCCGAGTGGGTCGGAACTGGGGCTCAATGTTGTGGCTGTGGGGTAGCCTTTGTCGACTTGGGGTACACACTCCGTCGGGATTGCCCCGGTCTCGGCCGCGAACTCGCGTGCTGGACTGGCTGGCTCGATGCGATATATAAGGAACGATTTTGGATCCATCGACTGGAAACTGAGAGAGCATCAACTATAGGAATTACTCGGCTGCTCCAGTGGTTGCCCGCATTGTGCGATTCCCTAGCTCAACACCACAACTGGAACCAGTGATCTGCGACTCCACAACCAACTACCGGCCAAGTCCACCTTCACCAACTTCATATATCAAGAGAGGCGCCCCAATCTATACAGAAAAGAAACTATTTACAGGGCCAATCACACGCACACAGCCATGGCAGACCCCAACACCAACACTCCCACCGCTCCCGAAGAGCAGGAGCCACAGCAGCAGCAGCAGCAACAGAAGAAGCGCTTCGTCACAGCCGCCTCGGCAAAGGCCTACGTGACCTCTGTCCTCGCCGCGGCGGGGACATCCCCCGGGGACGCGGCCGTCGTCGCGCACGGGCTCGTGGCCGCGGACCTGCGCGGCATCGACACGCACGGGGTCAACCGCATCCCGTCGTACATGGCGCGCGTGTCGCAGGGCGTGCTCGACCCCCGGGCCACCCCGGTGCTGAGCGAGGTGACGCCCGTCGTGGCGGCCGTGGACGGGCGCAACGGTTTCGGCTTCCTGGCGGCCGAGATGGCCATCGCGAGGGCCGTCGAGATGGCGAGGGCGTTTGGGATCGGGATGGTCAGCGTGAAAGGGTCGAATCATTTCGGTATGAGCGCGTGGATCGTGCAGAGGGCGATCGATGAGGGGATGATGAGTCTGTAAGCAAATATTTCCCCCCTTTTATTCCTGTTAAGGATATATGTATCCAGGCACCGGCAGACTGTTGTGGCTCTGGAGTTGCATGCTCTTTCTTTCTTTCTTTCTTTCTCTCTCTGTCTCATTTCTAAGCCGAGGCATTCCTTTTGCTGACCAAAACCAAAAATCTAGGGTCTTTACAAATTCCTCTCCGGCTCTGCCCGTCTACGGAGGTCAGAGCAAGCTCCTCGGGGTGTCGCCGATCGCGTGCGGCGCGCCCGCGGGCAAGGAGAAGCCGTTCATCCTGGACATGGCGCCCTCGATCGCGGCCAGGGGCAAGATATACAAGGCGAAGCGGCGAGGGGAGAAGATCCCGCTCGACTGGGCGCTGGATGGAGAGGGTAAGGTCTTTTGTCTTTTGTTCTTTTGTCGTTTTTTTGTTGTTGTTGTCTTTGTTTCCTGGAACGCCCGCACTTTGTTGACGAGAACCATGGGGGGTACAAGTGATATACATTGTCTCTCATTAAACTTGTGCTAACGGCATTTTGAACACAGGCAAGCCTACGGATGATCCGAGCAAGGCCCTCGAGGGTGTCATGCTGCCAATGGGAGGACCCAAGGGGTCTGGTCTGGCCATCATGATGGATGTGTTCTCTGGTGTGCTCTCAGGTAAATGTCTCCCTTTGCTTGCCGGATTTAGTGATTTTACACTTCTGCTCTTTGGCGGCAACGGAATTCGAGGCTCCGTCTCAACAAGCCCTTCGAAAACCAAGACTACACCATCAGCGTGCAATGAGAGAGTTTCTGAAATAGAAAAGCTGACGTGAAAGGACAACAACAGGCTCCGCGTTCGCCGGCCACGTAACCGGCCCTTATGACCCGTCCAAGCCCGCCGACGTGGGCCACTTCATCGTCGCGATCAAGCCGGACCTCTTCATGCCGCTCGAGGACTTCAAGGCCCGCATGGACTACCTGTACCAGCGGGTGGTCGGGTCCGACAAGGCCAGCGGCGTCGAGCGCATCTACTTCCCCGGCGAGATTGAGCAGATCACCCAGGAGGAGCGGGAGAGGACGGGGATTCCGTACGTGCAGGCCGAGATTGACGCGCTGAATGAGGTCGCGAGGGGGCTGGGGGTGGGCGATATTGTTGTTGAAGAATGAGGCGTAGGCAGCCTTTTTGGTTGGGTGTAGAGGAAAAAACAAAAGCTGGCGAGCACGACGGAACCGATTGAATGTTTCTGAATATTTGAAGAAGCTTGAAGAAGAGTTTGGATATATATAAAAAAATGATATCTAGCTGTAATGACATGACAATCCCAATGCATAAACTCCGATTCTATGTACATTCGACATCGCTCGTACTCCCTTTTTCAAGCCGAGTCACTGTATCTTTAGATTTGCATAAATCAAGCCATCATCGACTTGCCAATCTCGCTCGCCCAGTTCTTGGCCCTCTCAAACCCATTGCTGTGGGTCTGGTAGTCGAAGAACGCTTGGCGGACCTCGGCCTGGCTCGTCACGACAAACGGGCCATACTGCACGATCGGCTGGTCGTGCACCTGGCCCGCGATGAGCACCAGGTGCACGCCCTCCTTGGCCTCCGCGGGGACCTCGATGTTGACGACGTCGCCCTCCCGCTCAAACACGACGTTGTGAAACTGCTTGACCTCCCTCTTCTGCACGCCCTCGCCAAACGACGCGGACCCGGAGATGACGTACGCAAACGTGTTCCACCCCTTGGGCACCGGCTGGGCCAGCTTACCCCCCGGAGCGACCGAGATGTCGAGCCACCACACGGGCGTGTAGGCGAGGTCCTTGAGGCTCTCGACGCCGCCGGCCTGGCCCGAGATGACCTTGATCCGGACTTTCCCGTCGTCCAGCTCGACCTTGGGGATCTCGGAGGCCCGCAGGTCGCGGTAGCGGGCGTCGCAGTTCTTGAGCTCCTTGGGCAGGTCGACCCAGAGCTGCAGGCCCGCGTTGGGGCTCCCGTCGGCGTTGGCCCGCGGCATCTCGGCGTGCACGATGCCCTTGCCCGCCGTCATGAACTGCAGGTCCCCTTCCTCAATGGTGCCCCGGTTGCCCGCAAAGTCCTCGTGGTCGATCGCCCCCTTGAGCACGTACGTGATGGTCTCCATGCCCCGGTGCGGGTGGTCTGGAAAGCCGGCCCCGGGGGATATGTTGACGTGGTCGAGCATCAGGAACGGCGACAGGTTGCGCAGCTGCGGCGTGCCGATGGAGCGCCGCACCACGGCGCCGGCGCCCTCGGGCTGCTCATTGGCGTACAGGACCTTGGCGATGCCGCGCGGGTTGGTCGTCATGGTGGAAGATGTGGTCAGGTCTTGCTTGTGGGAGGAGGGGTCGTAGAAGTGTGATGAGGACGAGGAGGTGGTGGGGTTTGCTTCTGTGACTGGGTTGTTGTGGTTGCTGCTAGGATAAATGTCCTTGAGCCTGGTGATCAGCAGATCTAGGCTGGTGAGGTGTGGTGACAAGTGCTGTGCGATCTGGTCTCTGTACAAGATTGTTGAGACAATAGCCACGAGGATGGAGAGGATGATTGTGAAAAGCTTCATCGGGACAGATAGGGCGGGGTAGAGGACCCTTCATATACTGAGGCCGCAAGCTTGACAGATGAATGAGGGGGAAGCAAGAATTGGAACTGTCGTGAAGCTTCGCCAGGGTTGCGCTTTAGAAGCAGCCTCGAACTCTGTCCACCTCAGCGTTCGGCAGGTACGGTGCTTGTCAAGCTCAATCCCTAAGTGATCAGTCAGTGCTTGACAAGCAGCTCTTGATTGGGCTGTCTGGGTGGCACCCGCGCTCACTGCCCCACAGATTACCAAGATTTACATCAGCAGCTGAGGCACCAAGGCGGTGCCCCACTCTTTAAAGGCCTGGCTTCGCCTTGTTCTTTATTCAGCACGACGAACAACATGATTCGTCAATGGGTTCAACCCCGTCAACTGGTAGGCTTCACTTTGAGTTGTCCTTCACAACGTCTCGCACACGAACAAAGGGCTGAGACCGCGATTAGAGCCAACTTGACGCGTTTACACTTGATTTTGCGCTCTGTGATAACGATGATACCTGCGACAGTCGATCAACGGCATATTAACTCCGCCCCGCTTCCCCTCCAGTCAGCAAACCCCAGTGACCAAGCAATGACACCAGACCCTTCACCTGCACTCTTCTCGTCCTTCCCGCCTACGACTTGAATCCTCCTAGCCGTGCGGCCTTGGCGAGCCAGCCATCTCCCCCATCGCCGCCGCGCAGATTCTGGGAGGCGCGACGGACAGAGACCCGCCACGACCACTCAATCTGGTGGCCCTTTGGCATGAATGCGGTAGGTCCAGACGTGGTACCCGCTGGCGACCGAGGCATCTCTTCCATCTGGGAGGCGCCTGGCTTGTCGTGGCGGTCCTTGAGGAAGGCGTTCATCATCTGTCCCAAGTGCAGGCCTTTGCTCTTGCGTGGATCAGGCGGGGCGGTGCCGTTAATGGCGCTTGCCGCCACCGCCGCCTCGTACTGACGTTGCTTCTCCTCCAGGATGGACGAGTTGTCGGTGTGCCATGAAGCTCGGCGCTCGGCGTACCTTCCGTACACTCCAGCGTTGCCCTGCTCGGCCTCGTAGGCGGCCGCCATGACCTGGTCCATGATCTTATCACCTGGGCGGACGTGCGCCATGTCGGGCGCGGCAGGGCCGTTGCCGCGGACTGCCGAGCTGGGCTTCTCCCAGAACTTGCGACCTGGAACGAAAGCACCAAACACTGATGATGGCGGCCGCCCTTTGCTGACCCGCGGCCAGCAACACTTGTAGAACACAAACGCAGTGGTAGCTATAGATGCCAGAGCAACTGATATGACGCGTTAGCATATCTTGCAGACTCCAACGGGCAGATTCATCCCAATCTGCACTTACTAACGATACTGAGAGCTGCTACTCCGCCAGCCCCAATACTCCAGGGCACAGTGTCGAACGAGGCGTCGTTGTGGTCCGCACTAGGGCCAGCTGGCGTACTCGACGGAAGGATAATAGGAGCAGCACTCTCAATAGGCATGAAACCGAGACCCGTGGTGATCGATTCTCTTCGTGTCGTTGCGGAAGGACTGGCTCTAGTCGACAGAGTAGTTGCAGGCACTCCATTGCCGAGCCCACTCGACGAGAGAGTGAGACTCGTCGTCACCTGGGTTAATGTAAGAGTCGGCTGGGTTGTGGTTGGAGACTCGGTAGTTGTGGTCGACTGCTCATCTGAAGATGTAGTATCGAGGCTAGTTGTCGCTGTGGTCCGGGGCGGTGCTATTGGCGTCAGGGTCGTAAAGGGTGACGCCAGAGGCACGGTGGTTGCGATTGACGGCGCTGCCGTTGTTGCCGGTACATCAGTGGTGCTGTTGTCGTTAGTCTCCCTCGCCGGATCCTTAACCAGATTGGGCTGTGACTGAGATGTCACAACTGGAGGCGGGGGAGGGGCCGGCGGCGCAACAGTCGTCACAGGTGGCTCAATGGTTGTCACAGGCGGCGCAATAGTCGTCACAGGCAAATTGATGACGGGAGGCGAGATGATGCTTGTAGCAGGACTGGTTGTTGTGACAGGACTGGCTGTTGTGACAGGATTGGCTGTTGTGACAGCTGGTGGTGGCGGCGGCGGTGGAGGCTGTACAGTAGTCGTCGCGGGCAGCGTGCTTGTAGTCACAGCTGGAGCAGGAGGAGGAGGAGGCGCGATGCTGGTTGCCGCAGGAGGCGGAGTCTGTGGCGAGGGCGGAGAGGTTGGCGAGGGCAGTGAAGCTGGCGAGGAAGGTGAAGCCGGTGAAGCAGGCGAGGGTGTGTCGACTTCTTTCAAATCATCGCCGCTCTCGCTTTCTGCGCCACTATCGCCATCGCTATCGTCCCTGACACGATTCCGAAATTGCCGGCGTGGATGAATCTCGACGTTGGCCAGAGCCCTGCGAAACCGTCAGCACCTTGGGGATTTTCTAGTCTGTGGATTCCAATCAGTACCTCCTGCTGGAGCGTCGCAACGCAATGTTGGACATTTCGAGTGTGATCGCCAAGGATGAAAATGGCGGATTCGTCCCTGTCTCTTCCCACCAGGCCTGTCAAAGGACTAGATGTTGCAGTCTGACGAGAAGGAAAAATAACAAAAAACGACAGCGAACAAACAAAAAGGACCAGCCTCGAACGAATGAAGAAGCGACCTAGAAGATGGGCAAAATACGGTCGCAAAGACGCCGGCGTCCAGAAAAGAACAAGGAGAAACAGGAAGAAGAGGGCGACGGCAAGGCTTGACGATCAACGCTAGGGAGGAAGGAAGAAGGAAAGAAGAAGGAAACAAGAGCGGGCCACGGCGCGAGCTGGCATGTAGGACCACGAAGGCGTTCTAAGTATGGTATATTCCCGAGGTCTGATGATCCATCCAGGGCGAAACAGCACGGGGCCCCATGTCCGGCAGCCGAGTTGAACTGGTCGAGGCGGCAGTGGAACGAGCTGAGACGTGGAGCAGCGTGCCGGGGTGGGCAACTCAAACTGAAGGTGTTTCGAGCCCTGGACGGCGAGTCTTGCAGGACCCCACAGCTGCCGAGTTTGCCACCAGAAAGCAGGTGCGCGCCGGTCTGTCATCGGCGGCCATTATACTAAGGACTCGGCTTTGACCTGGAAGGGACAGTTGCGAGGCAAGGCTGTGGGCAGGAAAGGCCATGATGCGCTGGTCTGATTGTGTTGTCTGGGTGGGAGGTAGTTCTGGGGTCTCTTGAGCAAGTGCAGGCGGGCGCAGGTGCCGGTGCAGGCGTTGATCCAGGCCCCACTGTTTAAAGACACAGGGTCACACCTTCCGTGCCTGGTTCTGCGCGGCTGGGCCTGCCTCTTGGCGGCTTTAGCGTCATACTACCAGAGCACGCTTGCACCACTTGATCCTGGCCTCGGCTGCCCCTTGGAGTTTCGTCCATTTGATACTGCGCCTTGTTGGGTACGTACTTTAATATCCCAAAGTCCAATTCCAGGCTGTCTCTCGAGCGACGAGAATCCTTTATTTGTCTGCCCACTACTCTGGGTTGGTGTTGATGTCAATTTGTACACGTGTGTACCAAGTGCCCGCTGGAAGGGCGGCCTCCAGCTCCAGAGCCATGCGCACAGACGGCGCGCTCCTGATCCAGTGCAACCTATATTGCACACTGCCTGCCTACATAGTTCTTCCCTCTCTGCACTTGTCCATCCTGCAATCCGAGGGCCTTGCGCTAACTAACCCGGCGGCTCCAATGATCCGTGCCTCTGCTGGATTACGTGTCGTGTCGATCGTTGCTCCAGGAACCGGGGTGATTCGCACTCGGCGCCCAGGACAGTCGTTGTCAATATCACATGCCATTAAGGACAGTGTCCCAGATCATGGACAGCATCCCACACCAGACCGATTCCGAATAATATTCCTTTGCCCCTGCTGTCTTTACCACTAACCGCTAAACCAAATACAGAAAAAGTACCAGCTAAAATCCAATCCGGGAGTGCATCATTCCTCGTCCCTCACCTCGTGCCAGCCTCCACCACCGTGCTTGTCTGTGGCATTACATACAACCGCGGTTGACAGTGCGGACAGCGGCCATGCTTGGTGCCCGCTGATGCCCGGTGGTCCCCGTTCACGCCCGTCTCCTCTACGTCCACAGCTCCACTGGCGTCGCTCCCGTGGCTTTCATCGCCGAGCGCCAGCTCTTCGTCCACGGCCCACGTCTTCTTCATCGAGATGCGCCCCAGCTCGAAAGAGCCCGTCCTCTCAGAGCCCGCGTGAGGCGTCGCCCTCCCAGCTCCGACCTCGTAGTCACCTTGCTCCGGCCGCAGCTGCGTCTCAGAGCCAGTGTCATCTTTGAGCTGGTTGAAGGACCGCTTGGACACTTTCGAGCCCTTCGAATTCTCCGAGCTATTATGTTCGCTTGTCGATCGAGGACCGAGCTTGGCTGTCCCTGTAGCCGAGTATCTGCCACCAAACAGAGGCCGAAGCAGCGGCACACAGCCGAGGATGATACCCAGAGCCGGCTCCATTACACTGAGTAGTGCCGTTGGGATCGTCGTGCCTGTTGAGTCGGACTGCTCGTACCCGACGAGTGCTTTGAGGCGGATCGAGCTCACAATGCAGACACTGTCATGCCGTACGGTCAGCTCGGGGAGCAACACTCGTCGCAGATGGCGAAAGATTGAGCCGAGGACAACTTACATGAAACCAATTCCAAAGGTCGCGATCAGAACCAGCTTTCTGTACAAGGCGATCTCCAAGCCGTACAAGTAAGGCATCGGCAAGACAAGAATAGTCAGGTCGGTCACAATGTTGAGAGTGCCGGTGAAAATCCAGAATGCAAGCAGGTTGCCACATTCTCCCGGGAGGGTGGGATCCCAGTATAAGGCGAATGGTCGGCAGATGAAAATGGAGCCAGCACCCATGATTATCATCCTGCATGATCGATGACAGTTAGTGACACATGGCGGACCAGTTGCAAAGCCGCCGAGAGACTTACCAAGTGACGCACAAGGCCATAGTAACCTTGGCGGCGATGATGAATGCGCGCATGGTGAAGATGCGAAGATACAAGGTTAGGATGGAAATCTTGACAATGGTGATGTCTGTCGTCCACATGACTTGCATTGCCAAAAGATGCTGCAAACAAATCTCAGTCAGTTGGCTATCCCGCAATATGGGCCGCTGGTCATCGTGTGTTTCTTTACCTTGATGAACATCTCTTGACTTGGTCTGATGCCAAATTCATTCTCAATCTGTTCTCCTGGGATTCCTAAACCACCAACAAGTACCGCTGAGGGCGCTTCGTTAGTGCGCAAGCGCATCATTCGGCACGAGTTCTCGAAAACATACCTGATATGTTGACGCCTTGGTAAATGACCAGAAGGACCTGAACCACGGTGCTTGTCAGCCTCTAGGCCAGCCAGTTGTGAGAACGATGGGAAGCTTACGCATGCGCCGATCATGATCTTGTCGCTGAGGTCGAGCTTCCTGTTCGACATCCGCCTCGCGATGACTCTGAGGACGACGGCCACGACAGGCAGGACCGCAAAGATCACGCAGAGGGATATGAACATCCGCTGACTGGGATAGAGGACTGGAAATGTGTGAACCATCTTGGCGTTTGGCTCAGAGAGCGCTAGATCGTCTGAAGATGAGTCGGAGGATTAACACGGCCGTTGGAAATATCTCGGACCAGAAGATGGTCAAGCGCGCCGGCCACACAATCTTTATAGAATGTCTTCCATCACGATCGCAATTCAGCACGACAACTTGGAGAGAAATCAGGTTTTGACTTGCTGCAACGCTGCTGAAGAGAACAAAGAAATATAGGGCAAGGTTGTCATATTGACGACTGATCTATCATGATTTCATGCTCGTTAGAGGGGTTCTCGATCGAGCGCGGCAATTTGTCGACTGGCATCACCCTGAAACCTCAAACGGCGAAGGCAACGCACCAATAGACAGGACTCGGAGGATTGCCGGGGGAACCTGCCGGCTTGCTTATTGCCGCACAGCGAATGCAGTTGCTTTTGTTCAGCTGTTTTTGGCCATCCAGCGCCTCATTGGCCCCGGACCCTGAGCGGCTCAATCGAGAATGCCATGCAGAATCAAGGCGACGCCGGTAGCCAACCTTGCCGGGCCCGTCATCCTGGTCCTGGCTGCTGCGTTGACAACCCTGGCTGCAGTTACTGGGGGAATGACCTACACAAAGGGCCAAGAACTTTGCAGCTTGAGAATCTTTGGATGCATTCACTACTGGAATAGGGGGCATGCCTGGGAGAATGGCACGAGCAGCTCCATTACATTGGCCACGGACAGGAATGCCCAAGGCCATAGTATGAGCCGCTTGAAGAAACGACTATTTAACGCCACGGACTTCACTGAGGGGCACGGCTTCGACAGACTTGACCCCAGAATCTGCAAACAGGACTGCAGATCTTCAGTTGAAAGCGGGTGGCTTAAAATGATGGAACACTAGTTACACGTAACCGCGGAATAAACGTCCGGCACAATGGAGCAAGTCCCATTTTTTGCGGCAGTGGCTTGGTCGATCTAGGTAGCCGCACCAACAACGTCCCGACTGGCAATCGAAACCGAGAAGAAACGTCTGGCTGGCCCCTCGCTCATCGCGGCTATTTAGTTGGCCCGCTCTGCCTGGCCGGAGATGGCACACAAGGCATATGATGGCTCATGAAATTTGGCAAAGAATTGCGACAGGTCAATTCGGGGGCACAGGGCTTTGCATGGCCCGGCCCACAGCCTCCAACCGGGTGCATCGTCGACTGGGAAGTCCTGGCACCAGATGTGTTATCTCAAAGCCATTGATTGGCTGTGCTGAACCAGTCCCTGTTATAGTCCCCGGTCTCTTTCTGCTGCATGCACCTGGGTATTGCGTGCAGCTTGAAGCGTCCAGCACTCCATTCTCGGAGGCTCGATCCTTGACTCTGCTGCAAAGGTGGGGGAAAATAGGACTGGCCCCCAGAAGCTGAGATGTAAATCTGCACCTGTGCACCAGGGTTCTTTCGGGTAGGTCGATTCAAGTGTTCCGGCGCCGCGAGGACAAGGGGGCTTGTTTTGCCGTGCCTGGGAGATGATCGAGGCACGTCAGCTGCAATGCATGGGACGTTGTACGGCATCAGGGACGTTTATCTTGAACCTCTAACCCCTCCTCCCATGCATTCTGACACCACTCTTCTCACGGCCTATGGTTCATTTGTGCCGCATCTGGAGTCAGACGTCGGCAAGCCAAGGATATAAGAGACGGGGAAAAAGAAAAGTAAGTATTCACTTGCCGCGTTGCAGTATCATCTATCGCCTGCCGGGACCTTGGCCCTTGTGCCGATACTTCCTTCTTCAACGTTGGCTCCGCACCACGGCTGCCACAATGAGCCCCATTGGAGAGTCGGAAATGTTGCCGGCCTGTTGTTGCTCACTGACCGTTTCCGTGCAGGTATTGGCCTTTTGCATTGGACCGCCCTCCCTTTTACACCTGATCTGCAGGCACTCCTCATTTTAAGCAGCCAGAAAAAAACCCCTCGCGCCCCTCGACTTCCGTCTTGGGCAATCCTGTTCCTCATAATGGGTCGTCCGGACACGATCCTCGGCAAATTCGAAGCTCTCGCCAGCCACCTCAGTCAGCCCCTCAAGACCGCCATGGACGAGCTGCAGAATATCCACTGGCCGCGAAAGACGGCATTGGTTGCAGTCATAGGCCTGCTTGTCGGCCTTGTCGCGCTGTACGTGTCACATTTTTGTGTGAACTTTCTTTGCTCGTATCCCCAGACGCCCACATGAGCTGAAAGGCCTGTTTACTTTGCCACACTATACGCCGGCCGTGGGGGGCTCCTCTGGTCCTTGACTATGTGTTCGGCATGGCTACTGCTGCTCGCGGAGAGGGAAGAAAGCAAGCAGCCGCCGATCTGCACCGTGCTGAAGTATGGGCGTTCTGTGGCTAATCTGCAACTCCCAGCCGGCGGCGATACTTGACCCCCATCAGCCATGTTCCGGGCCCGTTCTGGGCCTCCATCACACGGCTTTGGCATGTGTCCAAGATCATTGGTGGCAAGCAGAACTACACGCTCCTCGAGCTGCACGAGAAGCATGGCCACTTTGTGCGTGTTGCGCATAACGAGGTCAGCGTCTGCCATCCGGATGCGGTGAAGGCGCTATACCTGGCGCCGACGAGGAAGGTTTGTACCACTTTACTACCTTGCATCCTGAGATGCTGTCACCCCTCCTAAACCAAGGCAGTTCGCACGTCGGCTGACACTATCATCCTCACAAAAACAGGGCAAGTGGTACAGAATCTTTGTCTTTCCGGACTGGCGGTACCCTGCTGCCATCTCCATCCTCGATCCCAGGGAGAAGGCCGAGTTTATGAAATACATGTCCAACGCCGGCTTCCTTCTTCACAATGTCCTGCAGTATGAGGGCACCATTGACGAGAACATTGCCAAGCTCAAGCGATGGATGGACAGGTAAGAGACGCATCCTTGTGCATTGCATTGCCTACCTGGTGTGAATCTGAGTAAACTGAGAGAGATAAACCAACTGACATTTTGCTTCGTCCCCCGCCCCCCTCAGACACGCGGTAGAAGGCCGCCAGATGGACCTGGACAAGTTCTTCACGTACATGGCGTTTGACATAACCGGGGAGATCACCTTCTCGAAGCCCTTTGGCTTCCTCGACGAGGGCAAGGACGTCGGCGGCGCCATCGCGACCAACGTCGCCCTCCAGATCTTCCTGTGCACCTTTGGCTTCTACCGCTGGGCGTCTTGGGCGCTGTGCAACCCGCTCGTGACCTGGACCCAGCTCGCGCCCGTGGGCCACATTGTCAACACGTCGATGCGGGCCATTGCCGAGCGCCAGAAGAACCCGGACGCCAAGTTCGACATGTGCAGCCACTGGTTCCGCGGCATCCAGAAGGCCAAGAAGGAAGGGTTCGGCAACTTTGACGAGAGGCATCTCCTCTCTGCCGCGGTGTCGAACCTCGGTGCCGGGTCCGGTGAGTATAGTAGTAGCCTGGCCACTCTCATTCTTTATTCATTTCCCTTTATCACTCACCGTGTACTTCCTGCTTGACATGGAGAACGGCGAGGGACTAACATTCTCGTGATCCAAACGGCAGACACGGTGTCCTGCGGCTTACAGACGTTTGTGTACCAATCTCTTCGCAAGCCCGCGGTCTGGCAGCGCGTCCGCGACGAGATTGACGCCGCGCGCAAGCAGGGCCGCTGCGAGGGCGAGGTCGTCAGCTGGGAAGACGTGCAGCAGCTGCCATACCTGGACGCGGCCTGCAAGGAGGCGCTGCGCCTGCTCGCCCCCGTGTCGAGTAAGTCGTGCCCACTCACTCACTCCCTTCCCTGAGATCGATGGCAGTGTTTGTTATTGTTCGTTTGATCCGGTTGCTCACATGAGAACCTCACGGGATGCTGCCACACACAAGGATGTATCGAGCCACGCTCCGTGGCTGTGCTGTTGGAGAGCAGCGTCGACTGACCGTTTGTTTGTGTCGTGCTTTGTGCGCTATAGAGGGCCTGCCACGTATAGTCGGCAAGGATGGTGTCACCATCGCCGGCCAGCACTTCCCCGAGGGCACGCAGATGTCAATCAACCCTGGTGTAAGTTTTCCCGCTCACTGTCTTGTTCTTCCCATCTGCCGCAATAATATCCCTGCGCTGTGCGTGGTTTTGTGTCGGCTGACAGCAAAAACACATCTTCTCCAGGTCATCCAATTGTCCAAGGAGATCTGGGGCCCCGACGCCCAAGAGTTTGTCCCCGAGCGGTGGTTCAGCCCGGATATCGAGAGACAGTCAAAGTGTTTCATGCCTGTAAGTGCGCTCCTCCTCACACACACACACATCCCAAACTGCAGCTGTCCCCGGAAGCCATCAGAAATGATGGGTTCGGGACCGCGCAAAAAGAATGATTTTACTGACCTAGGCGTCTTACCGGACTATAACAGTGGGGACTAGGCTGGGGCTCTTGCCCAGGACAGAACCTGGCCAAAGTGCAGATCTACAAGACCATTGCGACGTGAGTAGTCCTTCCTTTGACGATTTTCCTTCTGGCACTCTTTGCTTCTCTTGAAACCCCCCTGCCTGGCATGCCAAATCGCGGTACTTGCGTTGCAATGTGCTGACGTCCCGCTCCTCCTCTCCTGTCCATAGTATTGTCCGAGACTACGACATCAAGCTAGTCGACCCGAGCAAGGAGTGGAAATGGGCCGCATACTTCACGCTGAACCCGCGCGACTGGCCCGTCTACGTGACCCAGCGCAAATACTAAGGACCTCTCATTGGTCTGGGATGGGTCAATCGAAGGGTAGAACCAATTCTTTTAGCTAGCAATGGGGTCCCAGGAACACGCCAGCGAGATGTGCCTCGCCTCTACCAGGAGCGCGCGTAGTGCCTTGGGCGTTAGGCGGAGGTAAGGAGACTCCCTGGACGGTCTTCGCTGTCAGAAGGGCGTGATGGCATTTGAGCATGATTATTGTTCGAGATATTTTATGAGGATACCACAAGTCAGTATAGTTATGAAAGTTCACCGCCGACCAGAGTTGCGAGCGTCCATCAGAGACTTTTTCAAGTGGGAACAATTACCACCTAATGATCATACTGAAATGAAACGACAGATCTAGCGACTGCGAAAGTCTATTAGGCTCTAGCAACGATAAAATACGTATCATCAATATTTTTGGCAGCCAAATAGCCCATCAATGAACCTGATCCATGTGTGGTATGCTTGCGAATAGACCAAGTAAAGTTAAACTTTCGTTCCTCTAGTTAGGTGTGAATCTGGTGCAAAGCATGACGCGCTCATGAGTGGTGCCACAAAATCTAGGTCATTCTTGCCTGCTGCCATAGACGGTCTACTTCATTCATAAACTCCACTTAGGACTGATTGGCCTTGGAAGGGTATAAAGCCCCCGTCACTTGCTGGTTCTCCACGTGATAGAGAATGGTGTACGTGAGTGATGAACGATAGAAGACAGTTATCCTCTCAAACCCCGCCCTGCGTAGTCGAGCAGTGACTGCTAGCCGAGCCAAAACTCGCAACGCTCGCTCGGCGACTGCGCCGGTTGTCCATCCACTCGCGAGCTTGCGTCATCGTTTGCTCATACAAGATCTTCCCATGAGCCTCCCAAGTCTTGTTTTTATGAAGTTTCTCGTCCGGTTTGTCCATCCACTCGCGAGCTTGCGTCATCTCATCCAACATCTTGCCATGAGCCTCCCAAGTCTTGTTTTTTGTAAGCTTCTCGTTCGTTCTGTCCGACCGCGCTGCATACTCCCGTACCCATATAGACCATGAACGGAGACCATGGTGATCAAAGTAAGCACATTGGAGATCAATGGGTTCGAGTGCGGGCATGTCTGGGATTTGCTCATCTAGAGCTTGCCAACGCGGCCAATGATGTGAGTCGCAGAACGTTTGGATCACGGCAAAAGGCACCTGATGCGCATCTTGGAGTATCCGAGCGTGGTCCCAGAAGTGCGTGACAATGTAAGGGAGCAAAGCCATATGTGCTCCCATAACTCTTGCCTGAGAACTCTGAACGCTAGAAGCCCTTGATGGAACAGAGCCAGATGACGGCGATGGTGAATCCATGCGCGGTTGTAGGTCTGCGTGATAGTCATCAGGACGTTTCGGAAGACCTCGCAGCCAGGAAACCACAGTTTCGTTGTTGTTGAATCGATGTAGGGGGTGGACGTGCGATGAAGAGCGTACGTTTTTACGGGGGCGCTTCTGCTTCGGGTGTTCGATTGTGTGAAGAATCGACGGGTCACAACTCCGTTTCTTGCTTCTCTGACCTAATCTTTCCGCCCCTTGAGTTACGGGGCGGCGTGTTCTCTGGCGAGAGGCCGTCATCCGCGTCGAAGGCTGGCTCTTTTTCCGTGAGGCCGCTTGTTTCGCAACAATGAAATCGTCGAAGTCCATCAGCGAGACGGAACGCAGGCAATCTTTCAGTATCTGCACATGACCCTGAAGTCTGAAACGGCGAACGTTCGAAGACAGCGCCTTGGAGTGAAGATGGTCTGAGATAGAGCTATGAATGACCTGCACGAGACGACTGCTACCTGTCTCAAGATTGAGAGAGCCAGCGCAGGCCCTGGCTGAATCAGTTTCCGCATGCTCATCGACAGGCCCTGCTCCTATCTCGATGAGACCTTTGGAGATGTCTCGCAACCGTTTCTCGAGCTGTTTGTCATCTCTGTATGTTTCCTTAGAGTTTCGCCACTTAGTGAAACACCGAAGTTCGGGCTCTTCGACGAGTGCCATAACATGGTACCATTCTTCGACACGGAAAGGCTTCCTGCTGAGCAACGCCCAGCTCATGGTCGTGAAGGAGCTGGTTCCATCCTCCAGATTGATCTCCTTGAAAATGTGATTGAAGAGTCGAGCAAGATCTTTGGGAACTGTATCGAGCTGACGAAGTAGGTTTGCTATACTGTGACCATTATCAAAGAACTCGAGAATCTCCTTCAGAACGAGAACGACCCAGAGGAACACGCCGCGAGACTTTGTTGTGATCGTCGATAATAGTTTTGGCAAATCCAAATATGGGTCGTCACCGCTCCGGGACAGTTTGTGATGGATGTAATTCTGGATATCGTGCATACTGTATTGCTCAACGACGATGACCGGGTGTGTGCCAGTAGAAAAGGTTGGAAAGTGGCGGCAAGAGATGACCAGTCGGACCCTGGTTAGGGATGCCATATTCAGCCAGAAATGGGCCTGATCTCGTATCTCTGTGGCGTTGCACTCGTCAAGAGCATCTATGAAAATCGTGGCGGAACTTGTCGACGGGGCGGAGAGCATGACCTCAAGAGTGTTCATCAGCTCTCTCAGATTCCATGATTGCGGTTCAGCTGTGGTTATTGTCAATGCCCTCGATATTTCGGCAGCGTGTGATACTTCCCGCAGATAGGAACGTTTCTGGAGAAGCAGTTGGTGGAGTACCGACCGGAACAGACCGACAGGGCTGCGATCAAGTTCATGGCCTTTCCTACTGAAAAAGTGACAAGCCACTAATCCGTCCTTTTCCTTTTCAGTTGCAGAAACTCGCCGAAATGCCTCTTTCAGCAGGACTGACTTGCCCACTCCCGGATTGCCCTTCAACCAGAGAATATTGTTACCTTTAGCCTCCAAACCTGAGGCTTCCCATAATTTGTACTGTGGGTGTTGAAACAGCCAGCCCGAGGTTTCAGGACTGGGCTTATCGATCTCTACATGCCTGGTGTGCATGCCTACGAATGCTAAAGAGCGCAGATACCACTTCTCCGTGTCGCCGAGAGCAGTGGAGTCGCAAGATCGGTCCAATGGTGCGTTGGGCAAGACGCTCCCCACAGTGGTCTGATGGCGGGCTGACGTTGTTGAGGCTATCTCGTTCTCTATGTGTGCGTGTCAGCGCCATCAATAATCGTCAACAACCTGCCATTCAAGTCTCTACTGACTATACTTACCGAGAGTGCGCGCAGACGTGTATGCCACCCGACGACTGACAGCCTCATCAAGTCGTACCAGAGCATTTTGGCGGCCTTCGCCATAGATCAGCGGCAGGCTCACCTCGAAGAGTCCGAGCATGCAATAGACCATATCTTCTTCAATTTTGGTTGTGCGTCTCTGAACCCAGCGCATACGCTCATGGCGCGAGAAGGTCATTGGCGTGAGCGCAGTCAAGGCTGCAACAGAAATTGTCGTCGCTTTGCTGATGAGCTCGCCAAGCGAGTCTTTGGTACCTAAGAGCTCTCCCTCCACGGAGAAGAACTCGACCGAGAACGGGGCAAGAAGCTCTTGCAGCGTCCAGCCTCGGGTCATCCAGCGGCTGGCACAAAAGATGGCCATAAAATCATTTCTGTTGGATATGGATACATCCTCGAGGTAGACGTAGCACCGGTCAGACTCCCGATACCACCGGAACATGGAGTTGATGGCCTCCGAGAGCTCTGCACTGCTCCTCTTATCGATGCAGCATGTATCGATCCAGAAGTGGTTGAGACCGTCGGCGACTGCTCTTTGTTGGCAGAAGGCAATCCTTTTGTAGCCGGCCATGGACTTGGCGATGCCGGATTGAAAGTCTGTGAAGGACACTTCGTCGCGGTCGGAGCCCCAGGTATGCGACAGGATAGCATAACGTGGAGTTTCTTCCCTGGCGAACGGGCCTACCAGAGAGACTTCGCCGTCGTTGTCAGCTCGAAGCAGCCTCATCGCGTTCCACAGCAACCGTAGATGGGGCCACAGATCCAAGTGGAGAGACTCGCAGCCTTGCTCTGTGACGGTGGTATTATCCGTGCTGATGGCCTCTGCATCCGATTGTGGCAGTGCTGCATATGCAGGACCTCTGGATGCATGGCCTCAGCAGCTCGGCTGCGCCACATGCAGCCGCCCTCAGAAAACAATATAAGTAGTTGAGTCGATCTAAGGGGCGCCAGACCTGTCATCACGGGCGGGCTTGCCCGGCTCAACAGCTCCGGAGCGGCTGCCACCGGTTACAGTGGCAGGCACCTGGTGCGCCCGACGCCCATAAGAGCCCTGTGCCTGGCTCCTGCTCCTGTTGCTGCAATGCCTGCCTGCGGCCTGGCCCCGAGCTTTCTCTCTTTCTGTCTACTGCACTATCATCGGTCCTCCTGCCCAACCGCCACAGACTTACTCTACTATTGGCCACATCGGTAGTCAACTACGCTAGCATCTGATTAACTAACGTACTCCACAAGCTAGTGAACCAACCCCCAGGTACCCATATGCAGCCACAACGCCTCAAATTAATTCAAACTATTAGGAATTCTCTTTCCTAGAGGTAGACTTAACATTCTAACACGTACGGGTGTTATAGCCGGGCTCGCCGTAGACGCTATAGTCTCTCGTACGGGCAAGCATAGTTATGAATTATCACCGCCTGCCAGAGTTGCGAGCGTCCACGAGCTCTTCCGACCGCAAACAATTACCAGGGCCCTAGCGCTAATCGCTTTGACGAATCCCGGGCATGCGAAAGACTCTTTATCGCAGGTAAGTATCACTGATGAATGCGATTACGACTGGGTTGAACACAGCAGGATTTTGTGACACCATGGCAGTCCTATAGGATGAACATCATTGCAGGCCCAGGTCCATTAGCCAATACTAATGCTTGGAGTGGCCAAAAAGGCTAGCTCAAGGCCCAATAGCACGAATTAGCTGAGATGCAACACGACCGTGAATCTCCATACTGTTCTTTCCCCTGATCATCTCCCAAGCCGTTGTATTTATTGCGGGAAATATGAGGAGCGACGCTGTCTAGTCTGAGGTGTTCAGCGTCGGAAGTCGGGCGGCCAATGGCTCGTGCCCTCATCGGCAGTGGCTTGCAATGCTTGTGACATTGCTCTATACTAGATTCACTCTGCATCTAAGTATCAAGATATCCGACAGCGCAACATTGCTCGATATGATGACATGCAAATAAAGGACATACAGAAAGTCTCATGAGCTGTGAGGGTCTGGTAAGGAGCTTTGTGACAGGCCAGCCAAGATAAAGCGCGAAGAAATATGACGAGGGTTAGGGCCATTATAGATCTTGACCATGCCGTGAAGGTCGACTTGTAGCTGGATGTCACAACGTATGCCCCACGGCCTTGGTTGACCATAATATGGGGACAGTAAGACTTTGGAGAAACCTTAACTTTCAAATAGAGGACCGAAACATTGGAGTTCCGCGTCCACCAAGGCCGTCTACTATCCGACCCGCCAGACAGCCATGACTTAGGCCTGCCCGCCACTCCCGGCGATATAGTTGTTTGTCTACGTTGTAGACTTCCAGTGTCTCACGGTAAGTACACCCATGCAGTCCGCTTTGGGCGGGGTATGATCTTGAGCCTATCCTCAACCAGATAGCTCCCTAGCAAAACGATATCGAGTATGACCTCTAAGGTAAGATATCAGGTCATAAAGGACAGACCGGAGGGTAAAGCGACAGATCTACAAGCCTACGCACAAGTATCAATATGAGGCTCGTGTAGGCAGCCTCGTCGACTCGGGCGAGCAAGGGCAGTGCTGTTGAGTGGCGTTTATGTCCTAGATTCTGTGATCTCCGCGAAAACATTGCCTGCTTGGTGGCTTGTGCCATACAGCAAGGCAGATTAGTCGAACGAGCCATCTACAATCGTTGCTTGCGGGGTTTGTAAAAGCACAGCCTCCACGAAGGAGGAAGAGTTGCACTTTGTGTTGCATGGCACTGTTGATCACCCATGGCCAATGGCGGAGCTCGGGATGACGGGCCATTAGGACAGACGAATTCGACACTATCGACCAAAAAGGGCAGATTTCTGGAAAGACTCCACTGTGGACACCGAGGACTCTTTCATGGATGGCACGGTCGCGGCGCAGCAACCGATCGCCACGCTTACTCGAATCACCTGACCGATGGACCCCTTCGGCCAAGAACACAGCCAGGACAGGCAGAATGCTGGTCAGTTGTTGATGAGGTCATGGCCACATCGACTGACTGCAGTTGCTGACTGTGGATCAAGTCAACGCGATTGCCCGGGTCTCATGGTTGCTCAACACGGTCACAAATCGTACGAGCATTCTGGAATTGGAGGTGAGGCATTACCCGCAGCATGCGCGGAAAAAGTGTATGGCGCAAATTGCCAGACTTCCGCGGCGTGAACAGATATTTGAGTTCAGCAAGTAGGGGGCTCAGGGGTTGGAGTAGATCGAGGCTGTCACAGCTCTGTCGCACGCAGCGTTTCCCCGCGCCGCCGTCGGGTTGGAGACTGCTGTCGCAAAACAAGGACCCACATGCGAGAAAGCACTGCCGTTGTCAGTGGCAGCCTGTGCGGCGACTGATCTGTCCGTGCTCACGCCAAGATGGAAATGTCTCTGGGCCTGCCGTATCGGTCGATAATCCCCGATGAGCTAAGCTGTCCCAGCACTGCCAGAGTGTCGCTAGAGAGTGCATAGACTCGCCTCTGGGATGCGACGATGTCTAAGACGCGAGCGCGAGGGCCCGAATGCAGCCCTGGAGCTGCCGGTAGCCGAGCCTAAGGTGGGCTGGGCATTGGCGCGATGACTGGGGCTAAGGCGGGAACACGGCACCTGGGGTCGGTGGGGACGACGTCAGTCCCCGTCGTCACCAGCTCCAGGGGGTTTGGCGATTGGGCGGGTAGGACATGTAGCGGTAATTGCCTGACGGCGCCGTCTCGACCAGCGCACGCGGACCGGCTGGCCACCTGTCCGAGAGCTCGATTGCCATCCTAGGGAATTTGCTGGATGTGGTGGGTGTATGGAACCACGCTGCTCCGCCACAGCTCGGGCTTGGGGGTTGGCCATGCAGAGACGTTCTGCACATTCGGCGAGAGTCTCTGCCTGGACTCTGCGGAGACAAAAGTGCTTGTTTCCCAGCTGGTGCACCCGATGTTTCGTTTTGCGTTTGTCGCCCGTGGCCAGTGCCGAAGCGCGGGCTGGTGGAGGCACTGCGTCGCCATTCCCAGCAGGTGCAGCGAGGTAATTAAATTACCAGGGCCCGTTCAGGGTATCTGCGCGAATTGCGAGGCTGTGTACGTAGTTGGGCGTGAGGCATATTGCGATGGCGGGAGCCTGGAAGTTGCACTTTGTGCCCACTGGAATCAAAGACGGTCACCGGGGCAATCGTATCTCGCGACGACGGGTGGAGGCAAGAGCTCAGGTGGGGAAGCAGCGTCCTGGCACCCCTGCTCCTGCTCCTTCATCCCCAACTCGATCAGCAGCAGCCGGGCGCAGCACGCTAGGGTCTCCGCGTGTGGGCCTGCCCAGAGCTAGAGCTAAGCTCCTCCTCTAGCGTGACCGGGGGCGTCTTGTCAACCGGCGCCCAGGACCCTGTCCCATCATGGCTGCCCGTCACCATCCCATCCCATGCCAGAGCTATAAGAACGCGCGGTCTTGTCCCCTCCCCTCATGGCTGCTACAACAGCTCCAACCGGTCATCGAGGTTCTTCTCCATCGCTCTCACCACAGCAGCAACAACAACAACCAGAAGACATCATCACTCACCACAACCACCATCAATACCCTTCCTCCACCATGAGCTCTCACACCAACCCAGACAGCACGGCCCCTCTGGCCACCAAGACACCCGTCGCCGATGGCCCAGCCTCTGTCAATGGAACCAACAGCACCACCGAGCGCCCTGTCGGCTTCCAGCGCCACGGCGAGATGCGGGTCGAGCCGCCCCGCAAGCAGGACCTCCAGCAGAGCTACGCCTCCATTGTCGGCGACGATGCCAACCCCCCGGGCTGGTACGGCAGCATGAGTATGTCATGTCCGGCTTCTTCGTCTTGTGACTGTCCGGGCATGTGCTGACAGCTGTTTCACTAATCACAGTCAACGCCCTCGGCTCCGTCACCGGAACCCTTGGCGCCATCCCTTGCTGCATCTGCTGCCCCAACCCTTACAAGCAGGTCCACCAGGGTAACGTCGGCCTCGTCACCAAGTTTGGCAAGTTCTACAAGGCTGTCGACCCCGGCCTTACCAAGATCAACCCTCTCAGCGAGCGTCTACTCCAGGTCGACGTCAAGATCCAGATTGTCGAAGTTCCCCGCCAGACCTGCATGACAAGGGACAACGTCACCGTCGACCTCACCTCGGTCATCTACTACCAAATCACGTCTCCGCACAAGGCCGCCTTTGGCATCTCCAACGTGCGCCAGGCTCTGATTGAGCGTACCCAGACCACCCTTCGCCATGTTGTGGGTGCTCGCGTCCTCCAGGATGTCATTGAGCGCCGCGAGGAGATTGCCCAGAGCATTGGCGAGATCATTGAGGATGTCGCCACCGGCTGGGGTGTCCAGGTCGAGAGCATGCTCATCAAGGACATTGTCTTCAGCCAGGAGCTCCAGGGCTCGCTCTCTATGGCCGCCCAGAGCAAGCGTATCGGAGAGTCCAAGATCATTGCGGCCAAGGCCGAGGTCGAGAGCGCCAAGCTCATGCGCCAGGCCGCCGACATCCTCTCGTCTGCCCCCGCCATGCAGATCCGCTACCTCGAGGCCATGCAAGCGATGGCCAAGTCGGCCAACAGCAAGGTCATCTTCCTGCCTGGCGCTAGCTCGTCCATGGCTGCGTCTGGCTCCGGCAACGGCGACTTCAATGCTGCTCTCAACAACATCGTTACCCAGGAGGGTGGCGAGGGCAACATCTTCAGCACTGGAGGCGACAACAACGGTTTCGGCCAGGCTATGAACGCCCGCAACATCGAGAACATTTAATTGATATGTATGTACACTAGCCTGCGAACGAGGTTCGACAGGTTGATCAGTGACAAAGAGTCACATGTTGACTGAGGAGGATTGTTTCTGTGCCCAAATACCCCCGTTTATGGATACCCAATACCATTCGTTTTTGCTTTTGAGGTCGAGAGATACCTTGCCATGGACGAGAGCCAGTAATAATACTCTTGTACTTGCTGTACTACAAATTTAAATTGTTTTCGATATCACATGTCAATATTGTTATGTTGGACTGTTGAGAGATGTATTGTGAGAATAAGCGATGTCTTGCATTAAGCTTGAGGGTATCAACGTCTACAACTTTTTTATGTTCCTTGCCCAATCAACCTCCTCTAATCAAACCCTTCAAACGCATCATCACCACCTCCCCGGCCGCCACCAGCAGCAGCCGCAGCTTTAGCCTCTGCCCTCTCCCGTGCCGCCTTCTCCGCATTCTTGGCCCGCACCTGCGCCAGCAACCTCTGGAGGTCCATCTCCTCGACTTTTTCCTGCTCCGTCATGTTCTCCTTGCGCTCGGCGTCGCGGCGCTTCTGCTTCTTCTCCCTGCGGCCCGTGCGCACGTCCTCGGCGGCGTGCTTGCCGCTCCACGCCTCGGCGTTGCGCTTCCGCTTGGCCCGCTCCTGCGCGGCCTTCTCCTCCCGGGCGGCCACGTGCTCCGGGTCCTTGGCCAGGCGCATCGCCTCGATGCGCTGGGCCTCGCGCTGCTTGTTGGCGTACCCGTAGTTCTCCCAGTCCACGTCGTTGACGCCGAGGAACTTGTCCCCCGCAAAGCCGTGCCGCTTGAGCTCGGGCATCTTGGGCAGCTTGAGCAGGCCCCACCCGTGGCCGAGGCGGGTCCAGTCCAGGTCGGCGACGCGGAAGATGGATGACGCCGTGTGTTTTGAGTAGGACCGCAGCCAGGAGACAAAGGCCTTTTGCGCCTTGTCGTGGAGGGCGCGGTCCGTCTTGACGGTGGCGCGGATGAGGGAGGATATTTGTTCGGGAGATGTGGTGGTGATCGTGGAGGATGTGGGAGGTGTGGAAGAGTCCGGGAGGTCGATTTCTGGATGCTCGAGCGGGACGACGGGGGTCTTGCGCACGTCCAGGAAGGGGATGTAGTCCTCCTCCCTGCCCGGGTGCAGGAAGATGACTGACAAACCTTTCCGGCCGGCGCGCCCGGCGCGCCCGGCGCGATGGATGAATGCCTTTGGGTCCGAGGGAGGGTCGAGCTGGACGACGAGGTCGACCTGGGGGAAGTCGAGCCCCCGCGAGGCGACGTCCGTGGTGAGCAGGATCGTGGGCCGCGTCGACTTCATGAACCGCGCCGTGTTCTTCTCGCGGACGTGCGCGGCGTGCCGGCCGTGCAGGGGCACCAGGTCGAACCCCTCCGGCAGGACCGCGGGCAGGACGTGCTGGAAGTAGTCCACCGCCGAGCACGTGGAGAGGAAGATGATGCTCTTCTGCGGCCGGGGGTCGAGCTTCTCGAGCAGCTGGGCGAGCGCGGGGAGCTTGTGGTCCGGCTGCGTGATGAGGTAGGTCATCTTGAGCGAGGCCGGCGTCTTGCGCTCCTCGATCACGTCGCCCTTCAGCGTCTTGACCTTGACGGCGATCTTGACGGGGTTGCGCAGCCCCACGCGGATGATCTCGCCGACGGCTTCGCTCACGCTGGCCGAGAAGAGGCCCGTCCGCCGCTGCTTCGGGAGGTGGCCGAGGATCTTTTGCAGGTCGGGCTTGAAGCCGAGGTCGAGCAGGCGGTCGGCCTCGTCGAGGACGAGGGCCTCAAAGGTGCTGCTGGGGGTGTGGACATGTGGTGATGACAGGAGCTCGACGAGGCGGCCGGGTGTCGCGACGATGAAATTCGGGCTGTGTCGGAGGAAGAAGCTGATGTCTTGTTGTACGGTATGCGAGCCGCCCACCAGGAGCTGCGGGACGACGACCGGGTCCGTGGTGACTGGCCGCTTGTCCTCCTCGTCGAGGAGAGGCAGGATCTCGGCGGACGCGGCGTGGAACTTTAGCAAGGACGTGAGGACGGTGTGTATCTGTGTCGCGAGTTCTCGTGTCGGGGAGACGACAATGACTGCAATGTGGTGGCGTTTCGTCGGGCCGTCGGCACGGAGGATTCGCTGGATGAGGGGGATCAGGAACGCCAGGGTCTTGCCGCTGCCGGTGACAGCCTCGACCACCACGTCCTTGTGTGAGCCGAAAATGTTGATGACCGAGGCTTGGACAGGCGTCGCCCGGGCGAACCCCCAGCTGGAGAGGGCGTCGAGGATCCAGTCGGCCAGTGGCGGCGTGAGGGCATCCCAGGCCCGAGGATCCTTCTTTGTGGGCTTCGAGTCGGGAGCCATGGCGAGTAATCGTCGCGGTTGTTGTGTGGACGACGACGAGGTGCTCTGGTATGGCCGTCTATTTCTGTTTTTTCTGGTGAGTATGGAGTGGTGATCTGTAAATTCCCGAAGCAGTAATGCGACGTGCGTCTTCGGCCGTGCTCCAAGCCTGGCAGTGGTGAGTGTGAGCCGCAATGCGCCGACCTGGAAATTTTGGGGGAGACAACTTTCGTTATCTTATCGGCCAGCCTGTTTTCCCCAGCTGCACCAGAGCAAGGCCCCGGAGAGCCCCACCCGAATCGGGGCCCACTTGAGCCGAAGCCGATGTGGGGTAAGCCGAGCATCAACCACGGGGCCGGTGGGCAGCGGGACGCAGTCTCGTAGTTCAAATCTCCGCCCAGGACGACTCGCGCAAGATTTTTGTGCCTGTCCTTGTGCTTTAGCCTGTGGTCATAAAAATGTTGGACAGCGTGCACTGTCTTGCAATGCTGCAGCGTGCAGTACATCACTGTGCTGGACCGGGTCTTGGTACGACCCCGGCGTGAGTCACTGGCCGAGCCTGGCCCCATCTGCTCAGAGCCAAAGACTGAGATTCCGACGGAAACGGTCGCATTCGGCGTCTCCATAATCCAGGGGTCCCGACGAGGTCCCCGAGGTCCTGGACCATGTATCGGCAGGTATATCAGTGAGCCTCGAGTCTCCTTCTCGTGCACATCGGACCTTCACCTTTTCCCTCCGTCCATCCACCCTACTCCAGCCCCCCAGCAAGCACATTCTACCAGACGCAAGTAACGCCATCCTCTCCGCCATCCACCCTGCAAAACCAACAATGGCAGCCCCCGACGCCCATACCCACTCCATGTTCTCCTGGCAGGCCAACGCCGAGTGCTGGGACCAGAGCGTCGGCCAGGACGGCAACGCCTACTGGCGGCTCCTCCAGGTGCCCGCCCTGGAGCGCATGATCCCGGTGCCGGGCAAGGACGCTCGCGCTCTGGACCTCGCGGGCGGCAACGGCCTCGTGGGGCGCTGGCTCGCGGGCCGCGGCGGACTGTCGTTGTTGGTGAGCACGGACGGTAGCGAGGAGATGGTGAAGCATGCGCAGAAGAGGTTCAATGGTGGTGAGGGCTTGCAGGCGGTGTTTCGAAAGGTCGACGTCACAAGCGATCAGGAACTAGGGGACCTGGTCACAGAGTACGGGCCGAAAGAGGTAGGTTTTTCGTGTCTTTTGTGTGTCCAGGCTGCACTCTCGTGCATGGAGCAGTGAAGGTCGGGGATCATGAGAGGACTGCGTGGCTTACACGTGGTCTGCCCGTGCGGTACAAAAGGACGACCCTGACTCTGGGTTTGACATCATCACCATCAATATGGCACTCATGGATATTTCGGATCTCAATCCCATGGCCAAAGTGCTACCGAAATTGCTCAAAAAGGACGGCATGTAAGTTTCTTTCAACTGGCTCCCCCTTCAGCCCTCCTCTGTCGATGGGATCAAGTCGTTCTCATCAACATTGCCCTTGCCCCGACACACAGCTTCGTCGCAACCCTCCTGCACCCCGTCTTCTTCACCTCCGGCGCGGACCGGCACGTCCAGATTGTCGAGCAGAACGAGCACATGGGTCCCCACGTCGTGCGCTCCAAGGTCATCACAAAGTACCTGGACGTCCCGCCGTGGCGCGGCGTCTTCGAGTACGGCCAGCCCGAGCAGCAGTACTACTTCCACCGACCCTTGCACGAGCTCTTTGCGGCTTTCTTCAAGGTCGGCCTCGCCATGGACGCCCTGGAGGAGCCGGCCTTCACCAAGGACCAGGGCGTTCCGGACAGGGTCGAGTCGCACCGCAACTTTGACCAGTTGCCTGCCATTCTGGCTTTCCGGATGAGGCGCTTTGCATGAGACATCTCTTGCCTGGGCAGTTTCGCGGCATCGGGTGAGGGAACTGATCCGATGTCGTCAAGACCAGCGGGAATGTGTTTATGAATGATTGATGAGAGAGATGATGATTAGTACTCGTGAGGCTGCTTGGTATGAAGGGGGACGGTCGGGTTGTCAGAATGTGCAAAATAGACCGCGTGAGAGCGATGGAAATTCAAGACGGTGCATTTTGATAGGACACGGAATCGCATTGCTATTGGACTGTCTATCAGACTTCCACAATAACCTTGGCGTCCACAACGGTCGCACGCGCCATCTTCTTCAGCAGCGTCCGCTCGTCCGCTTCCCTGTACCTCTCCCAGCCGTCCAGCCCTTCCTTGGCCTGGATGCTTAGTGACTCGTAGCCCTGCTTGATGACCTCTGCCACTTGCATGCTTGTCAAGTGTCGTTTCGAGGCACCGCCAGAGTCGAGTATGGACTTGTAGTGCGTGTTGACGCTGATGAGCGTCTCGATGGAGTTCGAGGGCCGGCTGGAGAGCCTCCACGTGTCCCGAAACTTGATCAGGACGTCTCCGCTTTCCACAATCTTGTAGAAGAGGTCGTCGTAGGCTGCGGGTGTCGGGAGGAAGCCCTCTCCTGACGATAGTGCAAGCGCTAGTAGGTTGACGACAAGGTCAAGTAAGGTTTCAATGTGGGTGAGATCCTTGAGATCCGAGGCATAGGTGTTGAGAAATCGGATCAAGGACAACAGACACCGGAACAGCTCGGACCAGTGGTACTGCAAGCGTGTCCGCGACCTCGACATGTACGAGACGATACGCAACATGATTCCCACACACTGTGTGTACAGGCTCACGTCGAGGCGTTTTCTTAGGTTGTGGTTGATGCCGTCAATCATCGTGTCCAGAACGCTTGTGGCCAGAACTCGCTCTCCCTTGACCAAGGGCAGATATGGTTGTCGCTGGCGGCACAGCCGCACAGCCACTTTACTGTCCTCGCTGCATATCCTCTTGCACAACACCTGGTCTTCAACGAGCAGTCGGAACACCATCAAGCTAAGATGTGCGTAATGTGTTGCCCTGCTCGAGAGAAAGGCATGCTGGAGGAGATACGAAGTCAAGGACAGCACACTCGATATTGGTTGCTCCTCAGCCTTGTCTCCAGTATAGGAAACCAGGTTGAAGCAAAAGAGCTTGTTGGTATGGCTGAAGTCGTACGTACTCAGTAGTAGGGACGCTTCCTCGCCAGGCCTAAAGGTGCGTTAGTGCAAGTCTCGCAAGGAGCATCAGCGAGCATACATACAGCTTTGTAAACATCTGCTTCGCGGTCTCTGGATCATAAGCAGCTTTTCTTTGCTTGGGTTTTGGCCCGGGCGAGATTGCTCCCAGACCTATCATGTTCAGTGTGCTTGCGATTGTCCAGCCTTCTGGCAAATCCTCGAGAATATCGATGTATTGTGTTCTCAAATCCTTGCAGGTCGCGCCTACGGCGCGAATGATCTTTTGTATCACGGCTTCGTTGACAAAGTCACTTAGTCGTTGTTGGTATGGGTTTTGGAATTCAAACTTGTTGTAGTTGGCCAGAAGTCCTAGCAGGATGAATGGGTGTGTCACGCGTCCTGGATCATCAGAGTCTTGTATGAACTACAGCAGCGTCAGAAAGGAGAGAATGAGAATCATCATGTGGTAAAGATCTCCTACCTTCATAATTGCCGGAAACAAGTCCCTCTGAATGAAATAAGTCAATAGACTTGTCTGGTAGGCGCCCGAGGTGATGGACAGAACCACTTCAATGGCTCTTTGTCGAACGTCCACTACTCATGTATCAGTTGCGGCCAGGATCATGAGTCTAGGAGAAACACCCACGCGATTTGCCATTGCGGATGACATTGTCCAGCGCAGCAACGAACTCTGTGAAGACAGCGTCGATATGATCAAGGCCAGCTAGCACGGCTATTATGTCGGAGCTTGGGTTCGTGTACTTTTTCGGGAGGATCGCAGCGAAGAACGTCGTCAGGGTCTGTAGAGCGGCTCGAAGTCAGCCATGAATGGCGCGTATGCCGTCGAACAATGGTGGAGGGGCGCGAACCTCGAGGGCGTGCAGGTCGACAATGCCGCCGCCCTGCTTCAGAGCGGTCACTGCGCGGCCGAAGATCTGTCGTGTCTGTGGCTGGAGTGCGATCAGGTCGTCGGGGCTGAGGTTGCCCAGGATGTTCTGGAGACTGGGGCGGTCCGGTCGCAGGAGGAAGAACTCCCGCCAGAATCCCTCCGACTGCTCAACGTCTTCCTCGGCATCTTCCTATGCACGCGCGCGATCATGTCAATACAGGGTCGGCGACGGGGCGGCGAAGTCGGTCTCTATGAGCAACATCGACGGACCTTTATCCGAAACAAGTCAGTCAATTGCTTCTAGCGGTGAGAAGTGCACCAGTACAGCGGCGGGGAACGGACCTTGAAGAGCGCAACGTAGAGCTGGACAATCTTGGGTTGGAAGACATCAGGACGAGCCTGCTGCGTTAAAGGGGACGCCTCCATTGAGCGAGCTAGACAGCCAGCGTGGCTGCTCGATGGCGACTAAAGGGGGAGGGGGTTGGACGGGAGAGCAGCTGGTGTGCTGGGAGGAGACTGTTGCCTCTGGTTGCGCGACGAGAATCGCAAGCTTCCAGAAGCAGCAAGATCTCACATGCCACGCCTAATCTAAGCGGGATGGCGGCGGCGGGTTGGCGTGCTGCCAGGCATGGGTGTTTCGGACAGGCGCGCGGTCGCAACGTGGAGCGTGGGCCCGGACGTCAGGCACACACAGTGCGCTGCAAAGTTATCTCGAAGATCCCAACGGTGAAGACCCTTGAGCCGGCGATGCTTAGCTCAGCTTGGGCAGCCAGCTGGGCAGACAAAGGCTTACAAAAGAATGACGCTTGATTGGGTTGGTGCGGGCAGGTGACAGTGGCAAGAGCCTGTCCTCATAGCGGGTCCGCGGCTGCGCTCGGGTCGGCGACTCGGCGGAGGACGGGGCTCTGCAGCTGCGGCTCTCTGGTTCTTTCGGTTGACCAAGCTTTGGCGCAACTGTATGCTCTTGCTTGCTAATCCACGACAACCCCATCCGCCCTTGCACACCACCTCATCACGACCCTGACACATCGTCTGCTTTGGTCGCTTTTCACACCACTCTCAGCTTCTGCCACAGCGTCGCCTCGTTTTCGCCAGGACGCACACAGTTGCTCCGACTGCACCCCGGGCGCCTCGCCACTCTCACTCCCGCCGGCGACATCTTCACCCAAGTTTCTTGCATTCTGAGCACACGGCGCCGCTCCCACACAAGACGATGAGCGCCCCACGAACAGCTCGGGCTGTTCTCAACCGGCTCGCCGCTGTGCAGTCTCAATGTACTCCGAGGCCCTGTGAGCAGATAGTGCGCCGATTTTCTCAGGCGACATCACGCCACGCTGCTCCCGAAAAAGTCCAGACTACGTCATCCTTCCAATCGTATCCGCTGCCCTCTAGGCCACCGACCCAACCGAGAAACGAGCCCATGCAAGAGACTTCCATTGCAGGCCCGAAACCCAGCGTGCCCATAGCCTCCTCGGAAAGCTCATCGACAAGCTCGCAGCCCACGAGATCCACGTCAGCCACAGCCGATGGACCGGTAGCCATCCCCGAGAAAGAGGCACAGAAGTCGAAGCCGGTTCCTCCGAAGCGCAAGCTCAAGCCACGGAAGGCCGCCATCAAGTTGACGCCCACGGCTGTCGACCACCTTCGCGCGCTACTCGACCAGCCCGAGCCACAGCTGATCAAGATTGGTGTGCGCAACCGTGGTTGCAGCGGCCTGGCCTACAACCTCGAATACGTGCAGAAGCCTGGTCCGTTTGATGAAGAGGTTGAGCAGGACGGCGTCAAAGTCTTGATTGACAGCAAGGCGCTATTCAGTATCATCGGCAGCGAGATGGACTGGGTCGAGGACAAGCTCAACCAGCGCTTTGTGTTCCACAATCCGAACATCAGTAAGCCGCTCCGTGCCAGATTTAGATACCTGTGCAACCATGCTAACCATGTGATTGTCTACAGAGGAAGAATGCGGCTGCGGAGAGTCGTTTATGGTGTAGACAGACACGTTCACCCTGCATACTGCAGCGTTACGATATTACGGATACCAGCATCAATCATTTGCATCAGGCGGCGTTCAGGAATACCAGCTAGAGCAGCATATTATACAATATCATCCTTGTTTAGAACAAACACTTCCTCGTAGCATACCCCTGTGTAGCGCCGCGAAGCCGATGTCTCCCATCGAAAGGTAGTCCTTTGGTTCAGTCAAGCATGGACCCAACGTTTCACGAGCTCGTCCTCAACACGACATCGACGTCAAGATGACATCAATTCTCCACTAGTCACGCTCAGGTCGCAACATGTGGTACTGATCAGTTACTCGGCTCAGTCGACATTACGGTTACATTATGATTAGACGGTATCTCCTTATTCTGCCAAAGGTCAACATTATGATAAAGGACGCAGCATATTTATATCTTCACCGCTCTCTAGCATTTGATCTTGACCTGCAAGCCAGCCGCTTTGAACCTTGCAAATGCCACACACGACATGCCGATTGTGGTCATGCATGCGGCCCACACCTGCGCCCCTGTGTAGCTACCGCCGCCAGCAGCCAGAATAGCGCCTCCCAGCGGCGGACCTGTCAGCGCTGCCATCGACGTGACACCAAACGCCATGCCGAGTCTCGTGCCCGTCATGTCGAGCCGCTTGGTGATGCTGGCGATGATGGTGGGGAACATGCTCTGGAAGCCGGCGGAACAGATGCCATAAAAGGTGGTGTAGATGTAGTACCCTTTGACGTCGGGGACGGCGAGCCAGCAGAACGCGACGATGGCCCAGACGGCGGCGACGGGCAGCATGACGTTGATGGTCCCGCAGCGGTCGCTGAGCCAGGGGAACAGGACCCGGAAGGGCATGCCGACGCCGTTGATGATCATGACGAGGGTCGACGCCGCGGCGTAGTCTAGACCGAGCACCTCGCGACCATAGGAAGCGATCTGTATCCAAAGGGTTTCCCATCCCCCACAGTCAGCAAACGTGCCTTTTCCTCGAGCGATCCACAGATAAAGCAGAAGCATACGGGGGGGGACGACTCACATAGTAAAAAGTAAAGTAATTGCCCCACATCAGCGCAAAGAAGGCGACGACAAACGCGACATACACGGGCTCCCTGATGGCGGTCCAGTCGATGATGGGGCCCGACTGGCGCGGCGGGAGGCGCGGCCGCATGAAAGCGAACACCACGGACAGCGCGCCGAGGTTGATGAACGCCAGCACCCGCGCGGTCCAGGGGAACCCGACCTTTGGGATCAGCTCCCTGACCACGACGGGGTAGATGATGCCGCCCGCGCTGTTGCCGACCGTGACGAGGCCGACGGCGAGGCCCCTGCGGGCCTGGAAGTAGGTGGTGACGAGGGCGACGGAGGGCGTGAAGAAGATGCCGCCGCCGATGCCCGTCATGACGCCCTGCGTGAGCATGAGCTGCCAGTAGCTGTCCCCGGAGAGGCTCATCAGGAACATGCCGAGCACCTGGATCACCGCGCCCACAAAGAACGTGGGGATGAACCAGCCCGCGTCCAGCAGGCGTCCGGAGAACACACCGACGATCAGGGTGAGCCAGATCTGCACGGACCCGATCCAGGATATGGTCGACGGCGGGATCCCCTGCGGGGCGAGGGTGGCCGTGTAGTATGTCTGGAAGGCGCCGAAGCTGTTGACGTAGCCCCAGGTGGTGAAGATGACGAGCCAGCCGCAGGCGACCTGGGTCCAGGCCTTGAGGCCGCCGTCCGGCGGGGGCGGGGGCTCCGGCCAGTCGCGGGTGGTGATGCGGGAGAGGGCGGCGGCGAGGGCATTGCTGGTTGTGCGGCGCAGGGTGGACGAGGTGCGAGAGCGGGAGGTCTGGTTGGTCCGAGTCGTCGTCAGAGGGTTGTTGCCGCCGTCAGCAGCGGCGGTGGTGTCATTGGCCGTGGTGGACTTGTCGCCGCTCTGGCGCTGGGATCTTGGGGAGCGGATGGCTGCTGTGCGGACGTCGTCTTCATCGTCACTGCTGCTGCTGTCGTGGTGGGAGTCGTGGGAGCTGGCCTTGGAGGTTGTCGATGTCTGCTGTGCTTCGAGATTGTCGTTCAGGGCCTTCTCGTCAAAGGCGGCCTCAGGCGCCGAAGCACCGATGTTGCGTGATGACATTGTAGGTAGAGAAGGGAGTCCGGGGTCTCGTATGTTAGTTTTGGTTGAAAGAAGAGGTTTGATCCATGACTGTACGTCAGGCAATGTCACACAATGAATCCACTGGCAGACACGGCAGAAGATGAACAGGGAGAGAAAAGTCGTCCTTGATCTGAGAGTCTACATGTACGACACTACACGAGGAGTTCAAGATTGGCAACGAGCTGCAGATGCACGGGTAAGGGATGGGGGCAGCGAAAAGCTTGTCTCGACCTTTGGGGGTTTGATAGATAAGAGCTTTGCTTCAGAATCTGTAAATTTAGTTCGCTGGCTCCGCAGTCGGGGCGCATGCAAAACAAAAGGGCAGTGCCTGATTGTTTCACGGGCAGAGCAGAGGCCAGCAGCAGGGAGCAGAATGCCGTCGGGATGGCGACGCCGGTCCGCGCCGGCCCAACCAGGAAAAGGCAACTCCGCCCGCACAACAACAAGAGGCCCCACTCTCTCGCGGCAATTGGGCCCGACGCCGTGACCGGAGCTCCGATTGTGCACATGACATAATAGTACCTCAGCTCGATCTCGACTGGACGAGGCCAGCGTTTACGTCTAGTCGTTGCGACATGTACTTTAAGCATGCAGGCAATTCGGCTCAGGCTGTAGGCATCATCAACGACCCCAACGCACAATTTGCAACGGTTCTGTCCGCGGGCTCGCCCCTGTGAAAATCTGAGAGACCCGCAAGCGGAGCTCCGCAACTAATGTTAAGCCTCAATCGTGGCCGGCATTAACCGGCGTCAGCCGTGGCGCTCACGCTGGAAATTTTGAGGATGCACAACAGCAAATCAGTAACACGCTCTCCCGTGCCCATTGATATTGAGCAGGAAACTACTCAGCTCAGCGCCCACATCCTTACACGAGACTGCCGACTTACGATCTAGGCGACGCCATCGTGGGCTAGATTGTCAATTAGCTGCACATTGATATCAGTGTCCAATGATACCCCATTCCCGCACTGTTGAGGTAAGCCTCGGTGGAGCCGAACGGACTCTCCGCTGTCGGGCAATAAAAGTCGACCTTGGAGCTGCGGTCCCACTGCCTTGATGCAAAGCAATGTCAATCTGGTGTTAGATATGAACATTCCCAGTCAACTCGGCGTGTAACGCTTGATTTCTAGCAGAGCAGCATAGATTTTGCTCTTTGTCCTCCTGTTAGCACGAAGATCTTACTGTTGGCCAGCCGAGTAAAGATCCCTGGAATTGCTCCAGCGAAATACTTTATATGATCTTCAGACCGTGTCGACGTGGTTCAAGGAGGTCTTGTTAATTCTTGGCATGTGTTTGCTGCTTGGGGGTGTATCGAGTTATCGTGACCAATCATGCGTTTAAGAGTACGGCTCTGAACTTGAGCATAAGTCTCCCTTGTTTTTGGATTTAACATGAAGCGGGAAGGTAAGACATAGATAGCCCTCAATATATAATAACACTGACGCAGCTTTAATCAATCGCAAATATCCAAAGGCAAAAGAAAGTTCTCGTGTGGTATCTAGTGTGCGACTGTGACAGCCTGCCCAGCCTCGCTCTCCAGCCTCTTGTAGGCCTCAGCCCGAGCATTATCCGCGACAAGCTCGGTGCCCTTAGCTTGTTCCCTTTGCGCTCTCTCCAATGGTCCAAAAACGACGCCTCCGGTGGGTGGCCCCGCAAGAGCGAGCCTGCGGGCCTTGATCTGCTCTCGAAACTCATCATACCGTCGGTACCACTTCTCACTGAGCGCTTTCATCTCTGGCAGCCCAAGCCTGCGCGCTTCTGAATTGACCCAATCCAAGACTTCATCGATATACACCGTCTCGCGGCCCATCAAGCTGTGAAAGCTGCGCAAAGACTGCTGCTGTTGCTGATTTGCTGTCACGCTTTCAGCAGCACTATTCCCAGCTGCTGGTCCAGCTGCCGCGAAAGCCGCTGCCTTCCGCGCAATGTACTCGGCTCTCATTATCTCTTTGCTCGGCAGCTCTGCTTCCCCAGCCAAGACCTTCGCCACGACACTGCCCTGGAAGTCAAACATGCTGAACGTGGAGGTGTGAAACACGACGCCGACGAATGCAAGCGACGGGTCCGGGATGTACCATATGTCCCTGTGCAGGTTATGCGTGAGCAGGCCATCTCTGGTGACAACGATCTTGTCGTCGGCTTGTTCAGCCGGGACCTCGGGGTTCTGCAAGCGTGGCCCGAGAAACGGGTACGAGGTGAGATAGCCCGTCGCCAGGATGACGTGGTCGATGTCGTGAAGGACGTTGCCATCTCTGAAGCGGATGATGCCGCGCTTCTTTCCGGTAGGTGCTGCCGAGTCCCCGTGCACCTGGTCATCTGCAGTCGACTCGACGACTTCGAAGCTCTCTATACCACCCACTCGAATGGCTGGCTCTGGCGCGCCAATGTCCCATTGTCCGCCCCTAGAACTGACGTATACCGTCTTTCCCTCCAGGGCGAGTTCCTTGGAGATGTCATGTGACGATGCAGAACTGCCAATTATGAGTACCGTGCTGCCGATGTACTGCTCTGGCGTGCGGTAGCCTTTGGCGTGGGTCACTGTCTCTGGGAAGGCATCTCGATATCCTTTGAGGCCTGGTATGTCTGGGACCCGCGGAACATGATAGTGTCCACTGGCCACGACCACCGCGTCGAACTCGTGTGTAGCGTGTGAGAAGATCGGGTTTACTGCTGATGGTGGCGATGAAGGAGTGGCTGGAGTGTTGGAGCTCTGACGCGTTAACAATGTCTTGGTCTTGACGGACCACTTTCCTCTATACAAGCTCTGCCCACCGTCCGATTCCCTGGTCTCCTCCTTCCAGATACTCTCTACGCTGGTGCCAAGCACCAAGTGCTCTTTCGCCTTCGTGATTTCTGCAAGGTCGCGGATGTAGTTGACAATCAACTCCTGGCCGACAAAATCCTCGGTGCCCTCGGGCCAGGCCAGCAACGTGCTGTGCATGAGCGATGTGGGGACGTTGTTCCTGAGCCCCTTGTACGCCGGTCCTGGTGGCGCGTGACGGAGACGGGCGGACTCGTAGTCCAAGTTCTCCGCAGTCGCATCCTCGACATCGTCGCCTCTTTCCTGTCGTTCCAGTGATGGTTGCCCTCGTGTCACTGGCAGGGAGTTGGCTGCCGGGGGCACGTCGTTGGGATATCCTGGCTCTATAGGTCGCCGGGTATCATATTCCCAGACGCCGCCGACGAACTCGGACCTCTCAAAGATTGTGACGTCGAACAGAGGGTTCCCATGCTTGCGGTTCTGCTGGAGAAGGTGTGCCGCTGTTGCTATACCACTGATGCCAGCACCAATGACAGCTATCCGCCTGGGTTCTGTTGTGATTTTTGTGGACGATGCCGAGATGGTGTTGATCCCTTGGGGTGCTGTAGACGTCGCCGTCAGTGATGAAGACATATTGAGCAGTCTAGTAAGCTTCTAGGTGAAGCTGGTGTATCAAACGTCGTCTATGTGCACAAGACGTGATTTCCTGGTGTATGAATTGCTTGAAGGCAGATCGCCGACTCTAAACAACACAATCGCGAGTCAGGTTCCGTTACCCGCTATAGCACCAATCCACAAGATGATAAAGGCTCCCAAGATATGGGATGGGCATGAGCTGAGAGAGAGGCCGGCCAGTCCATTGCGCTATTGCTAATCTACACCACGCCATGCTGTTCGCCATATGTGCAGTTGAGGGGTTCATGCATGATAGCACGCAACGCCGCCACCCACCCGCGTGTGGTGTCATGTAGCTTGCGGATCACGCAACAGGTCTCGGAACGCGAGCCACTGCCACACCTCCTCACTTGGGCTAGAGTTTCCCCAACCTCGGCGCAGATCGCGCCATGGCATCCTAGCTCCCGCGGACTGTCAGTGGTACGATGAGGGGTTATCCAATGGCCAAGTCGTATCTCTGGTGCATGCGACTCCCTCTTCTGACACGCGGCGCAGTTCAACTACTACTCGGGAATAATACACTATCCACTTCTGCATAATCATGCTGACATGTGTAGACTATCATAGCACATCAAGAACAAAAGTCTCACGGTGATTCCGGACGAGATGCCCTGTCTACAGCATTGAACATTATTACTGGCTTGGACAGAGTCTTGGCTTAGCCATTAGCTCTTACGCTGATGACCGCTGACGAAGCACGGCACTTTGCTCTTACGCGGCAGCCGCGTTGATAGTCTACCCAAGTACTTGTTCGCCAAATAGTCACGTGTGAAATCCACGAGCTAGACGACTAAATACGGAGACGGCTTTGTCACCTCCGCTGACCCATGAAGTCCTGAAAATTTCAGGCCTCGCCCGTCTCCCTCGCCTTCGCCTTCTGCGCCTTCTCCTTGGCATGCAGATATCTAATAAGCATCGCCGTGCCAATCATGCCCGCCGCGAAAATCGTGACCGTGATGAAGCCCTTGCGGTAATAAGGGCCATCGGTCGCCTGCCACACGAGCAGCGGCAGCCAAGCCTGGAAGACATATGCCATCTCGTTCATCGCGCCGGTGACGAGCGCACGCTCCTCGTTGTCTTCGGAGCAGATCTCGTGAGCCCACGCAAACGTCAGTCCACTGATGCCGCCGCTGATGCTGCCGAAAAGGTAGCAGAACCACTTCCAGCCGTCGGGCACGTTCCTGGCTGCAAGACTGGAGAAGAGGATGATGTTGACCGTGCCAGCAAAGACCATTGGCGGCCAGCGGGCGCCCTTGAATATGGTGTCCGAGGTCCACGCGTAGATGAGGGTGAATATCACGGCTATCGCCGCCGCGATGGTCGGGTAGCTGTTGATCGCGGCGATGCTGTAGCCCTTGGACTTGAGCCAGAGCGCAAAGGCGGGCTGTCCGCCGTATCCGGAGCCGTTGTTGAAGAAGATGTACAGGGCGCACAGGGCGTAGATGTGCCACGAGCTGAAGATCTTCTTGAGCTTGGTGCGCGAGTACTTGCCACGAGTGGCACGGCCCTCGGACTGCATCCGCTTCTTGGCCAACTCGATCTCGGCTTCCGTGAGCCACCATGCCTTAGTGATCTCAGGGACATCCGGCATGAAGAAAAAGCTGGCGATAGAGATTGGTAGGGAGATGACTGTGTTGATGATGAAAAGCCACTGCCAGCCGTGGTACCCGTGGACCGAATTCAGGGTATACACTGCGGCCATGAGGTAGCCGCTGAACATGGTGCCGATGGCTCCGCAGGCGTGGAAGATGCAGGATCGCTTTGCCAGCTCGTCCTTGCGATACCACGACCCGATGATGTATTGCATACCTGGGTAGAACGCGCTCTCGGCCAGGCCAACTGGCAATGGAACGGTGGTAGTTAGCAAGCATCCAATTTTCTAACCCTAACCCCAACCTGAACCCTGGGCTGGCTTGAGTAGAAGCACTTACTGAAGAACCGAAGCACATAAATTTGCTGGGCGTTGGTGCATTTGGCGAGCAAGATGGTCAAGACAGACCACACGGTTTCGCAAATTGGAATCCACAGGCCCGGGCGGATCTTGGTGAGCAGCATATTGCTATCCGTATGGGTCAGCAACCGCTTGTCGACAAGAATCTTATGACTAAATGCCAACTGACCTCGGTATCTCACCGATCACGTAACCAACGGTCCACACGGCCACCATAATGTTGAACTCATTGCCATTGAGGCCGAGGTCTTCCTTCATGCCGGACACGTACGCGTTGGCGACATTGACCTGGTCGAGATACTTGATGAAATATCCTAGTGAGGCGAACGTCAAGACGACCGCATCGAGCTTAAAGAGAAAACGGCGCTCCTCTGGGGGCTTATCCCAGGTATCCCAAAGGTTGGAGCGCCATGTCCTCTTTGGCTCCTGGGCGATGATCTCGTTCTGAGAAGATTGGTCCCCGTCAGAGGAAGTTGGGCTTTCGTGCAGCTTGACCTGCTTGTCGTCGTTCGTGCTGATCGCCATGATTGTGCCTATAGGGGATAATAGCACTAGGAACGATGATAAGAATACGAGGGATAATTCCTCAAAAGCTGAAGGACTGCTGAAGAAAGGCAGGTATATCGAGGACCTAGCATGTGTATGCAGCTTCACTCGCCCAGATATATCTTGATACCCGACTCAGGAGCACAGAGCTTGTATTCCTGCCCATGACCGATATTTTTTTGATCTTCAGCTGAATCCACATGGGCCGAGAACCTGGACAGGACCCAAGCCCTTGGCACAATGTCTTGAAAAGCCGCTAGGAAATTTCTTGTCCCTTGCTTGTTTCTTGCCGTCGGATGCCTTGGCCACTGTTCTAAGGGCCTAGGAACCGGGTCGCACAGGTATGGCCAGGGGCGCCACAGTCGGAGCTGATGCTCGAGGCCGGCCTAGGTAGGATCACACCATCACCCATGGCTCTGATGCCACGATAGAACTCGGACACGAGTTCTTTGTATGGGTTCTTGTGAGCACCTATCGCTCATCATGGCCGTTAGGGCCCACGCCGACTGACCAACACGGCGGCGACGCAACGTGGGGAACATGCAGAGTGCCGCATCGACTATACGTAACGGCGCCAATGACACGCAGGCAGTTCGTTATCTCCATGTCCCAGTGGCAGTGGCGACAGAACGTCCCCGCATGGCGAGTTCGCGGGAGACATGGTTCATGTTGGAGATGTGGTGGTTCAGGGGTGGCATCAGCTGCGGGCTCTATCACGCCATGAGGGTCTCCAACCCATCACGGCCACTTAGGCGCATCCTCCCGCGCGTCCCGTCATCGCGGCTAACAATGGCGCCTTGCATATTCCCCGACCCTCTGCATGCCCATTGGTCAATCTCGTGAGACATGGTTTCCCACTAATCGGACCATCTGGGGCAAAGGATGGGCTCAGTGCTACCCCCGGGGCCATCATGGCAGGGATGGCAATGGGGTTTGGATGACTCGCGTGGCCGTGAACCATGCGTGCTTGCGTCTTACAAGGCCTGATGAGGCGATCACGGGAATGTGGAGGGCGCTGAAAGCCCGTCGTTGCGCAATGCGCCATCGAACCCCTCATCTCGCGGTTCTTATCTTCCCACGGGACAGTTGCAATTGGTCATCCGGGATTACTTTCAAACGAACTTGAAGTGCTTGTGATACTTTGGAGCGGAGAGCCGGATATGCTCAATTTCTAAGCCGGAGCCGACGTCGGACGAAACGCTTGCTGTATTTATCTCGTGCCCTTGTCTACTTGGTCTTGTCCTAGTGCAGTGAATACTGGCTCGTGCATTGCTTCTCGACTAGATCAGGGCATATGCGTGTTGGCTTATACCTCCTCGATTCCTACAGATCTTCACTTGCCTAGTCAAGCCCCGTCACTCCATTCTAAGATCTCACCCTCCAACTCAATTTCAACACGATGGCTCCCGCTCCCATTGACGAGTCCATCAAGGACTTTGCCGAGCCGATCAAGGACACGCTTGGTCTCCCAGACCGAACGCTCGCCCGTCTCAAGAAGGGCGGCGTCGACCTTTCACAGGGCTACCCATACCGCCCATCGCGACCTCTCTACTTGCAAGACGTGTACAAGATCCGCGACCAGCCCCGCGAGTACCATGAAGCAGGCGCTCGTGCGGACAAGTCCAAGAGTGCTCTTCTGTCTGCTGCCACAAAGGTCACTGACCTGACAACACACATTGGCACGGAGATCGAAGGTCTCCAGCTCAAGGACTTGACGGACCAGCAGAAAGACGAGCTTGCCCTGCTCATTGCGGAGCGCAGTGTCGTGTTCTTTCGCAACCAGGACATTTCTCCCCAGCAGCAGCTCGACCTGGGCAAGTACTATGGCTTGCCTGAGGTTCATGTAAGTCTCGACTTCCATCGGATAGCTTCTGGAAAACATGCTGATCATTGTGCCCGTGCAAATACAGCCCCAAGTCCCGCAGGTTCCAGGCGAGCTTGGCGTGACGGTCATTTGGCCAGACCTCCAGGCTACTGAGCGCAAAGCGTCCTTCCGCAACCCTGGCGGTGCTTCCAGGTGGCACACTGATCTCGTACACGAGCTCCAGCCCGCTGGGTAAGTACAATCTTAGCTTAATTCACCCTATGACATAAGCCTCGCACTGACACTCTGCACTCATCAGAATCACACATCTGCACAATGACGAAGTCCCGCCCAGTGGTGGCGACACCCTCTGGGCAAGCGGTTACTCAGCCTACGAGAAGCTGTCGCCAGACTTCCGCAAGATTATCGATGGCAAGTACGCCGTATACATCTCGGCGCATAAGTACCTCGACCGCGACCATCCCGAGGAGGGCCCCAAGCACGTCGAGCGTGTGCACCCGCTGGTCCGTGTGCACCCAGCGACGGGCTGGAAGGCGCTGTGGGTGAACCGTGCCATGACGGACCGCATCGTGGGACTCGACCGCGCCGAGAGCGACGTCATCCTCAACTACCTGTACGATGTGTACGAGCAGAACGTGGACATCCAGGTGCGGTTCAAGTGGACGCCGGGCACGAGCGCGCTGTGGGATAACAGGTATGCACTTCCCCTTCTTGAAGACCAGTGGCGGATATGATAAAAGAACAGAGCTGACGAATTTTCTCTCGAACGATAGAATCACGATTCACAATGCCAGTTGGGATTATGGTGGCAAGCACCCGCGCCACGGCACGCGCGTGACTTCTTTGGCCGAGAAGCCCTACTTTGACCCTTCTGCTCCGACGAGGCGCCAAGCCCTGGGACTGTTGGAGAAGGATGAGCTGCCTGAAGACGGACCGGCTTAGGTGTCGAGGAGCAGTTGCTGGTTTTGTTCAAGCTCTCTGCAGTCTTGCTCTAGTCTTAGTCCAGATAGTGTTCTGTTTGAACGTAATGCATCCGATACCAAATTGAAAGTTGCAATTCTAGTATACAAGAGTCAAGACGGCCACGTGTGATCTCAAAAGGCAAGGACTTTTGATCAGCGGATACCTCTCCAGTGAAATGCGTGTGTTATTATATCAGCTCTAGACTGGTCCGTAGGATAGGAAATTCCTAGTATATGAATTGCTTACGTGCCCAGTGAGAACTACCTCCCAGCTACATCTCTCGTTATATCTCAGCGGCGGATGCTCTTGTCTCAGACGCGCGAAAGGAGGTGCAAGTTACTCTACTCAGCACGGTAGAACACCAGGCGAGGCAAGCTTGGGCATATCCGTGCTGGTTGAATTGTACGGTGAGGTCGTGTGATCAGTGTGAGGTGCTATGGTCTGAGCTCAGACCTCGCTGCTCACTTCGCACAGCTCGTTGCGCAAATTGTTCGAGAAACTATGCTTCAGATCCTACAGGGTCCAGCCAGCTTCTCAACTAATATCACTAACACCGCCAAGAACTCCTGCCGGCCGCCTTTTAACCCTCATTACTGAGCGTTACCACCCACGGTCGCCCATTGACAGTATACTCCTTCCCCTTCCAGTCTTTTGGATCGGCACGGACTGATCTTGAACGGCAACCTGGTGTTCAGGTGCTCGGCGCCACCAATTCATCGCTATCCGCCCGCACTTCAGAGAGTGAGAACCTCGATCTTGCAGGTATGCAGCATGTTGTTGCCGCGCTGCAGCGTCATGATGACGTTACGGCCGCCCATGATGCGCATCTCCAAGGGCATGCACACGTGGCAGGCATGTCTTGTTGATAGCATAGTTCAGCAAGATGGCATCACACTAAGCCTGCTGCAACGAAGCAAAGTCAATTTTCAGGACTTGCTAAATTGCAAGGGCTACTAGAGGCATTTCGACCTTGACGATCCGTTCTTGCTCGTCGTGAATGCCGTCAAATCTGATATAGCTTCAACGCCACTCTCATTGGTCCAATTTTGCCAAATCATTTCAATAGAACACACAAGCACAGACCGGATGCAAACTAATAGACTGGTCCATCTCAGGTAGGTTGACGTCAGAGACCCAAGGATTCTGTACACATAGATGCGGAAACACGAGCGGTTTAGTCGAGCCTTCGTCAATGTCTGCCAATCAGGACAAGAATTATCCGATTAAGCATCATGCATGACTGTAAGTATGGCAAAAGTGCATTTTACAGGTGAGATGACATCACACCAGGGGGCCAAGAACATCTCCAGCCCCCACTGACCCCTGATCGACATCACTGAAAGCATACCCCAGATTCTGACAAGAGAGGCTCATTCGACAGATGTAGACTTCGAGTTAAGGCAGGTCACCAGAGCAGGCTACTTCACAATCATTGGTTGTAAGGGCGTCATCATGTCTACAGCCGGTTTGTTTACGGCTCCCGTTTCTTATTTTCAACGTCGCCCCTCTCCGTATGCGCTCAAACGTCGTTCAGTACAGTTCAGCCCGTGCAACATCCGCTCAAACATCATCAATAACTCCACAATCAGCTAACTTTCACCCCAATCAGCCATCATGAGCATCACCACCCCCGTACAGAACCTCACGTCCTCAACCGTCAACCTGACATGCCCGGGCATTGACGCAAATGACAACGGCCTGGGCCAGGACTACCCCCTGACCAACTACGACACAATCCCCGCTGATATGTGGGCATTTGGCATCCGCGCCGGCAACGAGACGGTCACGAAGGCCATGATCGAGTGCTGCTACCCCGGACTGCCGCAGCTCGCGGACCTGTGCACCATGTGGTGCGAGATCCCACAGAGCATGACCAGCGCCACTGACGCGGACTACACCGATGCGGATGTAGAGCGGCTCCTGGGCAGCATGGTGCGCTGTCTAAAGGATAAGGATGTCAGGCTTCCTTTCAGTACAGTTCGCGGGCCTGTCAAGTCTGCTACACCATCTGCGGCAGGAAGATCAACATTGAAAGAGAATGGGTTCGGAGCAATCGTGGTGGCTTTCGGGCTGTGGAGTCTCATTGTGTCGGAAGTGGTATTGGGGCATTAGTGATGATCCGAGCTGGCGTGCCAGGAGAAGAAATCAAGATTCGCTGGCATTTCTTCATGTGTAGTCCCCCACTCAACCAAGTCCATTTCCCTTCGAAGCGCATTCTTATACACGGGCCGTTGAGAGCAAGCATGAAATGAAAGGGATATCTTAAAAATCTTTGAGGCGCTATTCTATTCTAATCATGTCCCACCCTCCACGAGCTGTGCGACCTGCTCCTTCGTTATGGCTTCGGGCCCGTGACACCAGTGGGGACCGCCTGCTCGATCGAACCGTCCGAGTCTGTCCGGCCCTTGGTGCTCACAACGCTGTGGCTGTGTAACACCTGGATACCCGACCCGGACTGCTTCTGATATGCCTGCAGCTCGACCTCGCTGTCGTTGGGGCCCCACACATCCGTCTGCGTGCCGAGCTGCTCGTTGATGCGCACGGCGGTGCGGTGCGTGTAGACCTTGGCGGTCGAGATGCGGCGCGACTCGCCGTTGGTGGACCGGCCGTTCTTGCTGGAGTAGACGGAGCTCCAGATGCGCTTCATCAGTGGCCGCAGCGCCATGGAGGACACGATGATCTGGCTGACGGCAAATTCGGTCGTGGCCCAGACGTCTATAGTTAGGGGGAGCGGGGTCGTGTCAGCAGATGAGTTCCAGGGCCAAGAAAGATCTGGTCTTGGTGTGATGGACTTACAAATACTAATGTCGTTGACAAGCACCATCATGGTGGCAAACCGGCCGGCGGAGACGGCGATCGTGATGATGCCCAGCGCGAAAAGAAATACCAGGCTGACGGTCTCGTGGCGGTTTGCCGTTCGCAAAGTCTTCAACAGAGGAAAAGGCAGGGCCAAGACTATGGTCGCACAATCAGTTACCTGTCGGAACGAGGGGAGAAAGAAGGGGACAGGAACATACGTAGGACTTCGGAGATGAAACAAAAAGACCAGTTGAGGTGGAAGACAAACTCTGAGCTGAACGTCGAGCACGCGGCTGGGTCAGGAGACCTGGGAAGGCGAGAGTAAGTATACGGGACACGACACCGCCGCAACATATCTGGAGACGAGCCACGCACCAATTCACCGGTACATTAAGACCACACCAGAAGGTATCGACAAAGATGGCGATCAAGAACGCGGCAGCGGTGAAGACGGCTGTAAAGTACAAAGCCCAGCGTAGGGGACGGACGTGTCGTGGTAGGAGCTGAAAGTAAATGGTGACCATGCTGAGTTTGGGAAAGTATAGGCCGGCATCGAAGAGATAGTTGGTGGCGAAGCGGAGCTATTAGCAGCGACGGATTAGTGGTGGCACTTGGACGAGCGAGCGTAGAAAGTACTCACCTGCTTGATCTCAACGTCAGTCTGATCCGCAAACTCCGACATGGCTCCTTTACGGTAGGTGATTGTATCGCAAATGACGAGGCCCAGAAGCCATGACGCGCCCATAACCAGCCAAACTTCAGACCAGATGAGATTCTTCTGTCGTTGCGTAATCCTGACATACAGTCGGAGGCCGAGAAAGATCAAGGCCAGTATCGTGACTGTCCATTCCGACGCCTGGTGAGCAGGTGATTAGTATCAAAGCCGCAAGCTGGACCACAATGTTTGTTGGCTTACGATGACGCCTTCGGGAGAAACCATGACGAGGAGGACAATGCCTGCCTGGCTCGGCAAGCGTGGTGCTGGTTCCTGCAGCTCCGAGACAGAACTTTATTATTCCGGCCTGCCGAGCTTGAATGATAGTATCTCTCGTCATGAAGGTCCGGGGAATTATGGTTTTGCTAGGTTCGCAGGGCCGCCCGCCCCTCATATAAAGCCATACATGAATGCCCCGTATCTAGACGGCAGCGCCACTGGCGTGGGACACATGGTGCTGCTTTCACCACCTTAGAGAAGGCGGCCACAATGGACGGCGGGGCTTCCAAGCCGCTTAGCTGCCGGGGCAAAGAAATCTATCAGTCCGGGATTGGCTGAGATCAGCCACACTGGCATGAGACTCTTGGAGTTGGCTCGAGCAATCTCTTAGTTACAGTATCGACCTTCGCGTAACAGGGGTTTCCGTGAAATGCAAGGATAAGGGGTTCCCATGCCAAGTCCCTAGTTGAACTCTAAATCTTCCGTTTTCCGCGCCGATAGTGGGAGCAGGCATGGGAAGAGCTGAGCCCGCTAGCCTTGAATCAAAGCCAGGCCTCGGCGAATCAGCCTTCGAGGGTGCTCAGCTGTGTGGTTACACGTTCTGACTCGCGTGCCCTGTCATGCAGAGATCGTCCCCGCAGGAGTCCTGAGGAGTGCACGAGGTCTGCTTCCCCCGGGGACCCGAGATGGCTGGTTTTGACATCCGCAGTACGGCGCTCCAAATGGCACTAAGACGGAGTTATCCGGGGAGCCTCAATCGGACTAGCAGTCTTGCCAAGGGGGCATTTGTGCCTAGGCCAGGATGAGCAAAGATCTTGTTCACGACGCGCTACTACGGAGGTGAAGAGACACAAAACTTGTCGCTTCTTTAACCCCACCCTGGTTCCTGCAGCATGGCTCTCGTTCAAGGATTGCGGCGACTTGCATCGGCACTTTTGAGGGAAGCCCCTGTGCTGTCATGGTTGGCCCTTGCTCATTGCGAGAAGGTGGATGGCGAGGTTCTTCTTTTGTCGATGGAGCAAGCCAATATGCCTCCGCATCAGCTCCGGAGAAACCTACCCGCAGGCATGTCTACTTGGCTCGATGCAAGAAATTCTCACAACTAGACTAGGGCACACCCCTTGCCGGTCAAATTGTCTTGCCAGCCTTGCCGCTATGGGTAAAAATCCGGTCCCTCTTCCCAGGGCGAGGATTTGCCAGGGTTGAGCATCTGTGGGCCGGCCCAAGACCATGGTACGCAGCTCTGAAGGACGGGGGGCTTTACTGCTACAGAAAGAAGGAAAACCACACGCTTGTCGCACAGACCTCATTCCCATGCTTCTGCCCTGCTCTACGCTGCCAAGCGAATTTGGCCTTCATGTTCACCATGCACGCGCCAAGCATCGTGCCTTGAGACCTTGCTCCATCTCGCCACTTGTCCATAGTCAGCACAGGCGCTTATGAAACTGACACTGAGCCTCCAAGGAAAAGTCTTATCGCGAATTGGCATTCGCTTGGCTGAGCTACCGACTGCATAATGCCCTCCCATTGGAAAGCATAACAACAGCATCTTCTCTCTGACGTCTTGGCCGCACTGCATTGAATGATTGGACGGGCCGGTTTGTTACGTGTCCCAAACGTCCCAGAATCGGTGTGGACCTGCCAGGCGACCTGCTTGACTGGTTGGGAGGAGTCAGGAAACCGGTCCATAAAAGCCATGCTCAGCATCTGAAGCCTAGGCCCTGCCATGGCCCCGCTGGTTGGGATTTCAAGCTTGTTTGCCATTGCGACATCTGGGGGGGGGGGGCACCAGGCTTGGCCATGATCAGTTGGGCTTGCTGATCGGCTTGTGATGTATTGCTCGGCCAATTAGAACGACAACTCAATGGGGGCCGACCAGTTGTTTATAATAAGACACAAGATCGGGAACCACTTGCCATGTAAAGTACCGGCCCAGCTCCCCAGTACCCTGGCCCCTCAATCTCGCCTTGCAGATTACTCACCACGACTCCACGTATGGCCCGCCCGCGGCTGAACGCGGGTGCCGTTTTGACCCCCACCCTTCGTTGCGGAGAGGGTCGTCGCGGAAGCGTCGAGAAGTCTAGTTTCCATCGGTGTTCGATGTGGACTGGCGAGAGCCACTAGGCGAGACACACCTGCTTGCTGTTCACATGATGCAAAAACACAATTGCAAGGGCCGCGGATCCTACGAGGCATAATAAGCGTTGCGCAAGCTAGCTACCAATATACGAGGGTGACTCCCCATGATTGTGGCTCAGCCTTTCTGCCTAAAGGTGCATTACCAGTTGCCGGCCTGCCGAACAGCTTGCTCACCCGAGAGACCTCGATTGAATCGTGGCGATGCCGCCAGGTCAAATAGCCACGCCGGTCCCCAAGCACTTTTCGTCCTGAATGATAATTACAGCAACTTCTCCTCACCAAAGTCCCCGGTTCCTGTTGGGCTGCCAAGTACAACGACCAGCTACCCCCGTGCTGCTGTACCGCACACAGTACTCGGATTCAGCGTCCCCCGCTTTAGCCGACGCCATCCTCGCGACTTGTGCTAGCTCGGCAGCCCAGAGGTCTCCAAGTTCCTAACTAGCGGCTATTCCTCGCCAAGGCTGGTCCACGCTATTGCAGCCCACGCAAGCGGGGGCGCGCTGCCCGAGGCAATGGAACCTTTTCGTGACATTTCCGACAGTGGCAGCCAGGGGCCATATGCTCCAGAGCAAGCATTGGGCAGCACAACACCGTCCTGGACGCAGGCCCAAGGCGGGCCCGGCCGACTCCAAGACCCCGGCGAGCCCCTGCCGATCCCGCTCGACTTCAACGTCTACAGCGAGAGCGCGACGGACGGGACGACGTACTACATCGGTCCGCACCGCAACGCGGTCGTGTGCGCCGTGGTCGACAAGATGTACAGCATCAAGGAGCAGCCGGGCCCGTTCCTCGTCGTGCACGCGGGCCTGGACAAGCGCAGCACGCCCGTGCTCGGCAGCGCGACGAGCAACTTTGTGTCAGCTGCCAGGAGCCAGTGGTCGCGGGAGCCCAACTTTGCCATCAGGTTCGACGACTACATCATCAGGGTGATGAATCGGGGAGGAAGTCCTGACCACACCGGCCTGGGCACTGAAGAGGGCCAGGGCCAGTCTGTCATCACGGAGAGGCTGCTGGCCGTGAACAGGGGTTCCAGGCACCGGCCTGTGATGGTCATGTGCTTCGGCATGGATATGATGATGACGATGCCCACACAAGAGCTGGGCGATGCCTTTGCAGAGACAAACCACCACGACAGCACAAGGCAGGAGTTTGAGTGGCACGAGGCAGAGAGCGCCGAGATCCTGAAGCTCGGTGGCAGGCCATCCGGCTGGAGGCTGGTAGCGGCAGGCGATGCTTCGCAAACGCTCGCGGTGTGTACGCGCATCTCACGCAGCCTGACCAAGTTCTTCCGGTTTGCATTTGTTGGTCGGGGGGTCGCCATGGCTCACGAGGATCATGCGTGGGAGGTCATGGCGGTGCTAACCGGCATGACGGTGTGGCATCGTCGCCTGGAGATTGATCATAGCAGAGGCTGATTGTGTGGTATATTGAGAGCATATCCACGGCGCAAGAAATGTGGAATGTTCTTGGAACGCAATCTCTCCTGCAGCATTTGCGTTGATACACGAAATAAGACAACTATATTATCAAGTAGCGACTGGACTGTCTCACTGCATCTTGTGTCGTGGCGCACAAAGGTTGACCGCCCAAACCCTAACGTAGAGAGTTGTGTGCCGCCTGATGGTCTCCCTGCGTTGTCGCCCTCGGCGTGGGAGCGCCTCTACCAAATGTGTATTTGCACCCATCTATCACGAGCGGTTCGATGGCAGCCGGAAGTGCCGGCATATACAGTGATGCCGCTGCAGAATGATGCTGTGGTGTATCAACGCGCTGTGTATCGACATTCGAAGTCGAAGTTGTCGCCATCGTATATTGTTCACGCGAGTAAGGCGGCAGTGAGCTTGTAGAACTTGCTCTCCTTCTATTAGCCACGGCGAGGTCGTAATATCGACAAAGTGTCGCCATGACTATGCGGAAGCCCGGAGAAGAAGTCGTACCAAATTTGACCATGTTGGAATGAGTCGCCGCGATGCCTGATCGTTCCGTATTATCGTATTCTGGGGCAGCACTATCCTTAGTAACAATGTATTCCTTCTTGTAACGAAGGTCCGTCTTCTCTTCCTCCCAGAAGAAATGAATATGGAAGTACTTGATGAGAGGATCAAAGAAATCTGTGATATTTTGCAGGGTCTCCGACTCGTATTTCAGGGCGTTGACAAGGACCTGTTCATTTTGGATGAATGACCGTGGAAGCGCCAGCGTGGCGAGCTTCTGCAAGGTCAACAACAGGTCGGCGTGTGAGGAACCCCGATGTGGTGTACCAAAGAAGAGCATCCCAAAGGTATTTTTGAAGATGCTGTACGTCGTTTCATTGTCTTCGCGAGACTTCGAGTATGAAAGAGCCTAAGGAATGATGATATTATTGGACCCTGAACATTTGAATCAAGATTAGATGTGTTCACGAGAGACGAACGTACTCGCTTCACGACCAAACCACCCAGTGAATGACAAAGAAAGATTATGGGACTGTCATTTTGGCTCTCCAGCTGCATTTGGTTAATATGAATCAAGCTATTCGTAGATTCGTGCTTACTCACTATCCTGTCTGCAGCTAGTTGAGCCACCAGCGTTTGTGCATGGTGGTGAATAAGGTTGTTAGATGGTAAGGCGCCAGAAATAGAGCTAAAACTGGAGTTATAGCCCCAGCTCAGGACCCTCGCACTTTTGATATGGAGTGGCAAGAAGTCTCCGTGAGAAAGCCAGCAGGCTCTGGTTTCCGGGTTGGTCCATGTACGGCGGGCATCGCCATTTAAACCGTGCACGGCAATGATGCTGAGTTAAAAATGTCAATACTGCTTCGCGGTTGCGAGGTGGAAAGGCAATATATAATGACTTACTCGATGTCAGGCGTCCCATTGGCTGGCCGGTAAAGCTCTACCAATCCGCATGGCTTCTGGAGGGCTTCCATCACAATTTGCAGAGCCGCAAACAATGCGCGAGGCGAATGATATGAACGAAACTGGGATGGGAGAGCTGCGCGTTGAGCCGTTACACGCCCTGCTTATGTATGCTCAGCCCCATGCATGTGCAACCCCCTTGGGCTCTAGCCGCCGTCATGCAAGCTGCCACACCTGCACAATAATTGGCTGATATTCCCGGCAACGGCACCTTCCACCTTGGTTGGAGAGCCTTGCGTTGCGGTCCTTGAACACCACGACAAATGGATGACAGTTTACGGCACTACACAAGAAGCCCCGCTGAATCAATGGGCACGGCGGCTGCACGAGATCATTTGTAAACCAAACAATTGATTTTTGCATGGAATCATGACTATTCTCAGTTCTTTACACTACCCAAACTGACACGGCAGCCATTCTCGCTCGCAAGAACCAACGTCAAGCGCTGGCGTTCCGTCCCCAACACTTCGTTCGGTTCGTCTGCGGGCAATTGTATCAATGGAAACGCCTTCAGAAGTCGTATAATCGTGTAGTAGACCTCTGCCAGGGCAAAATCTTCGCCGAGACATCTGCGGGGACCGCTATTGAATGCAAAGAAAGCATCCTCGATCTCGCTCGTCTTGTCAGCCAGCCATCTTTCTGGCCTAAATTCTTCAGCATCATCGCCGAAAATGTTCCGCCGTCTGGAGGTGATGTATTGGGAGAAAACGACGACCTCGCCCTTTCTGACCAATATCGGGTTCTTCCCATCAACCCCGCCGCCAACAGGTAGTATTGTTGAGGTTACAGCTTCGCGAATGTTCAGAGGAACCGGCGGATAAAGTCGTAAGGCTGTCGGAGAAGAGTTCAGCAGACTGTTTCATGAGGTGAGCCGGGGCATCCGAACTTATACTTACACTCCTTCACTACGCTTGCAAGGTACGGCATGCGCGCGATTTGCTCTCGAGTGGGATGCTCCGAATCGGGCATCACGAGCTCAATCTCCTTCCTGAGGTGGGACATGACCTTCTCATGCCTCACCAGCAAGCGACTAGAATGATCGTCAATATTGGAAGTCCGGCAGGATTATTTTTGGGTTGCTCACAACGTCCATGAGAGGCAACAAGCTGTTGTGTCTCGACCTGCAAGCAGTATATTCAGCAGCTGACTGCGCGCAGCAGTTTTGCTGCTTGATTCTCGAAGGATTTGATCCATGAACCAGGTCGGACCCTCTGTATCATCTCGCCCAAGGCCATTTTCGCGCTCCGAAATATACCTATCGACGAATGCGTGCACATTGTGGCATGCGTTGCGGAAAGAAGGAGGATTATAAAGAGAATGGAATGGTGTTAAGCGAAATCGCTTCGCTAGTCCCGCCTGGGCAGTGGTGAAGTCTTGTGCAAAGCTTTGGCTGGTCACATCCTGACTCATCGGCCCCCGAAGGCTGTGAACAGAGCGCCCAAAGAGCAGCGCGGTCGCTGTGTCAAGAGTAAGACTAAAGAAGAGTGGTTGGAGATCAATGATACCGGTGCTCGGAATGCATGAGATCAAGTTGTCCAGGTGTTCCTGGAAGTGATCGAGGTTGCGATACTGGGCTTTCACAAATTGTTTGCGAAGGAGGTCGCGCGAATGTTTCCAAGCCGGACCTTCCTGTGTGAAGATGCCTTCGCCAATCAGGGGCGCGAAGACGCTTGCTCGTGAGCCGAAACTATAGTCTGGATCGGCCTTAAGGATCAGTAATGGCGAACTAGATCGAGGCCATCTAGACGGTACACTTGCCGGTGAAGTTGGACGATAATATGGTCGAAACGTTTCTGGGATCGAGTATGTGGAATGTACGCGGACCGACGAGAAAAAACTGGTAGCTGTTGTTCAAAGGCTCAAAGTCCCTGGCGATGTCGCAGAAGAACTTCAGCAGACGCCCATCGCTATTGGCATCCCAGATCTGCTTCAACCGATCGATACCAAGCGGCCACTTCTTTTCCAGCTCTCGAGGCAGCTGGCACCCATGCTCTCGATTGAGGCGTGCATCGCTCTTCGGCAGCGTCAGCGCTGCCATGTCTCTGAGGGACAGAGATCTGCTTACCTTTCGGGTTCGCCTCAGATTGGCAAGGAAAGCGAGGGCTTGAGAAAGTGATATGAGCAATATCCCTGTGCAAAGAGCTGTGACTAAGGGAAACTTTGCAAGTTCCATGTTGTTGAATGAAGACATCAAAAAGAACGGTGCCCGTTATCTGGTTTTCGCGGGGTCCTGAGCCTGTTGGACAAAGAGGTGAGTGGACGTTTGGATGCCCTACTAAACTCGCTCGCGGTGAGACGGTAGGAGCTTCGCACGATCGCGACCTCTGGCCAGGAGGAATGGCTCGCGCGTTTCAAGCCTTGGAAGTGGGCAGGCACGCGGGAGGAGGAGCGGGCCGTCCCTTAAGCGCCGTGACTGCATAAACCCCTGTCAGGACAAGTCTGCGGCTCGCCATGATTGGTTTCTGGGCCGGGCCCACGGGTGGTCAATTCAATATTCCAATTGCGTTGCGTCGTTCCTGCAGGGGGTTCTCCAAGATTTGCAGCCAGCATAGCGACCAACAACCAACATGCATGAAGGCTGTGTTTGGGGCTGGCAGTCGCCTCAGGGCATGAGTCCCAACAGGCCGAGGTCCCCTGTAAGGGGGTCGGGGAGTCACCAGTGCGCTCTGTGCGCAGCTCAATCACCCTCCCATTTCGAAATCAAGACTCAAGAGCAAAGCCTCAAGGAAGGCGAGCCTTCGTCGGCGAGGACCCAAACATGACTGCCACGACTATCTGTGCTTGAATGCCGCCCGCACAAGATGCCCCCAGGGTTGATTTGCCTCTATGATGCGGGCGGGGAAGTGACTGGGGCAGCACAGGATGAGGGCCTCCCAGAGTAAGCACGGCTGTTCATTTGAGCTCTATGGTTCGTCAGCGTTACTTGAATCTTACTGACTCTATTCCAACTATACAGCATTGTCGCAGTTCACGGGCTGAATGAAGACTCTGCCAGTGCTTGGACCGATGCTGATACTGGCACCAATTGGTTGCGAGACTTCCTTCCAAAGCACGTCCGAGTCGCCAGGGTGCTTCTGTACGGATATGAAGGCACTGCATCCTCCTTCCTCTGCGATGGGCTAGACGCAATCGTACAGAAAGCCGCGGAATGGCTTGTGACGGAGCTCTATGCCGACAGAGTCATTTGTGCAAGGCAAGGAACGCCCATCATTTTCATCTGTCACGGCTTTGGTGGCATCATTGTTAAGAAAAGCTTGACGTATGCCTCGACAAGGACAGCGCCGAAGGTATCACATCTTCGGGATCACTTCTTGTGCACGCATGCGATCCTCTTCTTTGGAACTCCGCACGACAGCACAACCAGGTCAAACTGGACTGCCTTCCAGAGGCGCGGAGAGTCAAAGTCGTTGCGCAAGCGCATCAAGGGAGAAAGAACATCTCGTCAACACAAGCAAGACCATGTTGATCTGCGTCCATTGACCGCCGACTTCCAGCCACTGATGCAGTCATTTTCACTCTTCTGTTTCTGGGAACAGCTTCCGACAAGCATCGGCGAGCACGCAACCTATCTTGTGCCTCGCTCTTCCGCCGTTCTGGATGCAGATGGCATCGAGGTCGCTGGGATACATGCCGGGCACTATGAAATGACCAAGTTCAGCTCACAGAGCGCTTCCAGTTTTCGGACAGTCATTGCAGCTTTGGCAAGATACAGCACTGCCGCCACGCTAGCGAGTCGCGCAGAGCGAGGACGATCACTAACAGAGAACAGTCATATCACAGTACATGGTAGCTACAATGCCAACGACATAAGACGTCACAGCTCTTCCAGCCACATCTCGGCCAACTCTGTGCCGCTGAGTGGAAATATCAATTATTATCCCCCTGAAGAGGCTGCAATCGACTTTGTGGGTCGTGAGGAAATGCTCGAGCGATTGCAGAAGGCGTTCTTCCCATCAGGATACGTAGGACAAAGCGATTTTCGCAAATCATTCGTCATTTATGGTATGGGAGGCTCTGGCAAAACACAACTTTCATCAACTTTTGCACAGCGGAACAAGCACAGGTTTGCAGCTCCTGCACAGCTGTTCTTTGTGGGACAACAGACCATCTAACTAGGATACAGATATTCGAGTGTGTTTACGATACATGCTGCATCGAAAGAGACTATCGTCGAGTCGTACTGCTCCATTGCCACTGTCGGTCAATTGGAAGCCACTGAGCGTGCAGGCCGCCACTATCTGGCTCAGATATCCCAGCCTTGGCTACTAATTATCGACAACGCAGACAATCCATCCATCGACCTAAAGTCTCTGTTCCCTCAGAGCAGTTGGGTGCATATCATCATCACAACAAGAAACCCGGATTTTCGCCAGGAAGGCTCACTTGGCGCGCTTGAGTCCAGTGGTATGACTGAGATCGAGGCACTTCAGCTCCTTCTCATAAAGGCCGATATCCCCAAACCCTGGGATCCAAATACGGTCGAGTCGGCCAACGCAATCGCAAAAACTCTCGGTTATCTCGCTCTTGCACTCATACACGCCGGTAATTGCATATACCGCAAGATTTGCAAGATTGGTGACTACTTGAGCCTTCACGCGGTATCGCGAGATCAAGTGCGGTATCGAGTATCAAACGAGCTGCCTGAAGGCGAGGTAGACACTGTGGGCCGGGTGTACTCTACCTTCGACGTCTCCATGAGGTATCTGCAAAAGTATTATCCACTGTCGTCTCATGACATCGATGCACTTTTGCGGATGGCCAGTTTCTATCATTTCGACCACATCCCGGTAGAGATCTTCACACGAGCTGTTCAGCATCGGCGCCGGGAGCAGGAGCAGCAAGAAACTGGCAACTGGACCACAAGGTTGTCGCAAGCTATCATTTCACGACTGGAGCCACCAAAAGTCCTCCCTGATTTTCTCAAAGGCGACTTCAGGCGCATGAACCACTATCGGGTCACGCAGGCAGTGAGCGCACTCCACTCCTTCTCTCTCGTCACGTTCGACGGTCGCTTCTTCTCTCTTCACCCTTTGGTGCATGCCTGGATCAAAGACTCCATGTCTGATTCTGAGCAATCATTCTGGAGGGCGATGGCGACGAACACCCTCTTTGAATCGGTGCAGCTTCCACCACTTGGCGACGCTGAGATGGATCGTGCCTTTCACCGCTCAATCCTCCCGCACATGGATAGCTGCATCAAGCAGGCGACCAAGGCGCCCGGCATCCACACACTAAGCAACACACAAGTCACACTCGCAAAACTATTCCAGCCGACCTTGGTCATGCTGCTTCGACAAGAGATACTGCGAAGTGCCAAAAGCGGGTACGTATTTGCCACCCTTGGCCACTTCCAGCAGGCCGTAGAGCACCTCGCGGATGTGAAGAATGCGCTTGTATCCCTTGTAGGCACGCAACATGACAAGACTCTCACAGCCATGCTGGCGCTTGCCGGTATCTTGTGGGGTCTTGGGCGAATCGACGAGGCGATTGTCCTACAGAAGCACGTGGTGGAGACCCGAACGAAGGCTCGAGGTACTGGTCACCAAGAAACTTTGCAAGCCATGGACCACCTCGGGAAGTCTTACTGGCTGCATGGACAGTACGGCGAAGCCCTGGCACTGCAGCGAGCCACGGTTGAACAGGCTCGCCTGACTCTCGGCAACAAGCATCCTTTGTATCTCTCAGCGCTCGACAACCTCGGAGCTACCCTTGGGTCTTGGCACAGGTTTGAGGAGAGTGAAGGCGCCCATCGCGAGGTGTATGACGCTCGACGGCAAGATCTTGGCGAATCACATCTCGAGACAATCGCTTCCCTGGGCTACATGGCCATGGCAGTAATGGACCAAGGGCGGCTGGAAGAGGCCAGTGAGATGATCGCGAGAGTACATTTTCAGCGGCAGGAACAACTCGGCAAGGAGCACCCTTGGACTCTCTGGTCCTTGTGCAACCTGGCCAAGGTCTACTCGAAGAGGGGACACTATGACGAAGCTGAGAGAATGCTGGTTTGGGGAATTGGTGCAGCCGAGCGAAGTCTTGGAAAAGGTCACGTGGGTGTCCTCATGGGACTTGGGGAACTTGCTCGTCTTTACTCTCGGCAGCAGCGGCCACAGGAAGCAGTCGATCTTGCGCAGCACATAGTGGAGCAGCTTGAGAGAGGGCCCGGCGGCCCGAATCATCCGGATTGCGTATATGGGCTTTACAAGCTTGCACGACTTCATGAGATTCAACAAAGGCCAGCGGACGGAGTCGACGTGTGCAAGTTGGCTTTGGGAAGGTCAATGGAAAGACTGCCGAGAGATCTTCCTCTCGTCAGGAAGTTGGAAACGCTGTTGGGTAAGCTGGAAGTTAGAGCTGAATCAGCGGATGGGAACTGAAGCGGACGTGAACGGTCAGGCTTGTCGTTTGTGTAGGTTAGTCCTGCCGACCAGTGTGAGGGTACAATATGACCATAGTGGTCCTTTTTGATTTGGGTTTGCGGATACAGGGAATTTGTAACAATGATGTCATGTCCTTTGGCTTAACGCCATCACTACTGGGTCTGGTGCAGTGGGTAATGAATCATGTGCTGGGGAGTGTTGACAAAATTCTAGAACCCGAGCCCTCTCTATTCAACACTATTCAGCAGAGGACATTTCACGCAAAGCATATAACTAGCAGCTGAGATCGCGAATCATATGATTCGCGCGATCGGGTTCCTTTTTGAATGTGGTGACAGCTGCCGTGCGGCTGGCGGAATGAGGCGCCGAATCGGAGGCAGGAGTGGACCCCTGTGCGGCTCAGCAGGAACAGGCAAGGGGGCCCCCCACCCAAGCTTGCCCGCCCCGCTTCCGAGGCTCGCTCAATCTGATTGAGGAATGTGAAATGGCCACACCAAGGCCAGAGAATGGGCTGACGTCTCGCGATTTCATCTTACGACCAACGACGCACCTCACGACAGGACACACAACAAGCCCACGCACACAGCACACATTGCAGAGCAGCAGGAGCAGGGGCACCTTGCCGGTTCGGATAAGAAGCTCGCAGCCATGGCCTCCAGGCACAGAGTCGCACAGCAGCTGCTGCGCTCACGACCACGGCTCCAACACACCACAAGGCACACATCGCGCCTCTTCTCGTCACGCGGCCCTTCAGCAAGCACACCGCGCCCGACCCTGCTCTCAGCTGCCGCAATCGGCGCAGTCTCCCTCGCCTCAGTCGCGGCCTACAACATGGTGAGTACTCTCTCGCGCCGTCCAAATTGGACCTCTCGACCACCCAACTGACAGCTCCCTCACTGGACCCCCAGGCCGTCGCCGATCCCATACATATGGAGGCCCGGAGCGTGGCCGACGCCGACGAACGCCGGAAGCGCGAGCAAGGCGTCGACGACCAGTCCCCGATGCGGTTACGAATGGAGAAGTTCATCCGCGAACAGCAAGAACACATTGTCTCTGAGCTCGAAATGATTGACGGCAAGCGCTTCAAGCGCGACGAGTGGCAACGGCCACACGGCGGCGGCGGGCTCTCGTGCGTCCTGCAGGAGGGCAACGTCTTTGAAAAGGCCGGCGTCAACATCAGCGTCGTCTACGGCACCCTCAACCCGCAGGCGATCAAGGCCATGAAGGCCAACCACAAGACCATGGACGACGACGAGGCCCTCGACTTCTACGCCCTCGGCCTCAGCATGGTCCTCCACCCCAAGAACCCCATGGCCCCGACGGTGCACCTCAACTACCGCTACTTTGAGACGATGAGGGCCGACGGCACCTCGCAGGCCTGGTGGTTTGGCGGCGGCGCCGACCTGACGCCCAGCTACCTCTTCGACGAGGACGCCGTGCACTTCCACAAGACCCTCAAGGAGGCCTGCGACAAGCACGACAAGACATACTACCCGCGGTTCAAGAAGTGGTGCGACGAGTACTTCTCCAACAAGCACCGCGGCGAGACCCGCGGCGTCGGCGGCATCTTCTTTGACGACCTTGACGCCGCCGAGGCCGACGCCGAGAACACGTTTGCCTTTATCCAGGACTGCCTCAAGAGCTTCCTCCCGTCCTACGTGCCCATCATCAACCGGCGAAAGGACATGCCCTTTACCGAAAAGGAAAAGGAGTGGCAGCAGGTCCGCCGCGGGCGGTACGTCGAGTTCAACCTGGTCCACGACCGGGGCACGGCGTTTGGCCTCAACGTGCCCGGGTCAAGGGTGGAGAGCATCCTCATGACTCTGCCGCTGACGGCCCAATGGCGGTACATGTACGAGCCGGACCCCAAGAGCAGGGAGCAGCGGCTCCTGGACGTCTTGAGGGATCCCAAGGAGTGGGTTTGAGTTTCTGATTGTGGCATGCATCTTGGTTAGGGCGGAGGGGCGTTCTTGGCATGTACAAAGCATAAAACAAAACGGGAGCATTAGACGGGGAGCGGGATCTGTAAAACTATCATGTAAACAGAGGCAAGCATCTAGATGGAGACACCAGCGCCGAGCATAGCGCGCACACAAGAGTGCTCGACACAGCCGAGCGACACTACTACAGCAAAAGTTTCAAAATGTTTGAGCATCACCAGAGCAATACACGTTTGACAAGCCTGGGTCTGACAATGTCCTTTGTCCCTGGACAATAAGTCCAGCTTGGTCCGCATGAAGTTTCCCAATTCCAACCTGCCCAGGTGGTCTTTCCATGCAAAGGTACCAGGATAAGCACAGTGCCATTCATCAAACAACCTCAAGCACTATCTACAGTGTTTACAACAGGAGGCTTCGTGGCCCAATGGCAAGGCGTCTGACTACGACTTCCCATGATCTACATGGGGAACAACACACCCGCTGGAATTCGGCATCAGGAGATTCTGGGTTCGATCCCCAGCGAAGTCAAAATCACCATCTTTTTGGTTCTTTGTGCCGGGCGTTGTTTGCGGAATGGGCCGACAAAGCGAAAGTTTTTTTTTTGGCGTCGAGAAAGTGAGGTGGATCGTGAGGCTCCAGTTTCGGAGGGTCTGGTGTGGGGCCGCCGCAGCGGCCTCAAAAATGGGCAAATGCCCTCCTTGCAGACAAGAGAGGTACATCATGAGCTAACGACTTGACGTTTGAGATGCCATTTTGAGTTAACAGAACAAACAAATGGAGTCAAATTAACTCCGGACACGCCAGACTTCATCTCTCTGTGTACAAGACGGCGTTCACTACTGACCACGTTGGGTTGCGGCTTTCGCCCCAAACCCCCGGGACAGGTAATGGCTTTCGCCGAACACCATGCTCGCTTGATAAAACAAATGTACTGCCCCCCCCCCCTCTGTCAATGAGAGTAATGGCCAGTACCGACTCTGCTTTCAACACCAAAAGCGTCTCAGTTTGCCCGAGCTGCGTCGAGAGCGTCCTTGACATCCGGTTGAGTGAGCTTGCCTTGGTAGTTCCTGCGAAGCTCCTCATCGGAGAAGAAAGGTAGGTGCTGTGACATGTTAGCAGGCTGCCCGGGTGAGAACTGGGGACGAGCAATAACTTACCATAATCCACTTCAAGTCGATGGCAGTAACAGTATTGAGATACTGTTTACTGGTGAAGGTGAAGTCGCTGTACACGACCCACTTGTGAGTTGCACTAACCAACACACTCTCGGGGTGAATGAGAGCATGCTGGTTTGTCCGGACGGTCTTGTAGCTGTGGCCGCCAGTCTTCTCAAGCATGGCCGTGTTTTGATGCAGGCCACGAGCCAATGCCATGCGGATCTTGTCGTGGTAGTCCGGTGCAGCAAAGGCTGTGTTGCCGAGCTCCAGCTTTTTCTCGTTAAAACGGTGCACCAGCTGGCGACGGACCCTGTCCATCTCCTCGAGATCGCGCTGCGACAAGAAGTGGTTCCGACACCACAGATTCATGTCCACAAGGTCGGCCTCCTTCTCCCGCAGGTACGCATAGAATGCGTTGAGCTCGGTGATGTGGTCAGACTGAGGGTGTCCCTAACCCCTCTTAGCCTCAAATGCCACGCGTCGGAACTTGACCGGGCTGGTGAACATGCTGTGCTGCGAAGCAGCAATTGCGGCCAATGTGACCATGTCCATGCCGCAACCAAGGTCCTTGCCCTGTTTTATGGTGTAGGCCCAGCGAGGGGAAATGGGCAGCCCAGCAACAATCTTCCCGAGGCCAGTCACGGTCCCGTTCTCATCGAGCATGCCCCTATGACCCACCAAAGTTAGCGACATAATAAAGATGCAATCAAGGGGACATGACACCAGAGATTGAAGCATAGAGGGCATGCCGTGCCGCTGTGCACACGCGACAGAAGCTGAAAGAGGACTTACATGAACTTGAGATCGTATGTGTTCAAGAACATTGTCTCCCAGTGCGGCCTGTCGATCACCCCTGTCTCAAGCACCGTTTTGCCCCGAGCGTATATATTGAGCAGTACCTCGCTCACGTCGCTGCTGAGGATGCCTGGGACGGACGAGGGGCGCATGTCATCGAAGTCCTCGCGCGTGTAGAGGCGAAAGACTTCCCCAGCCTGGGTCCTGCCCGCGCGACCAGACCGTTGCATGGCCGATGCTTTTGAAATTGGCCGGGTAATGAGCATATTGAGATTGTTCCGTGGGTTATATGTCATTTGTTTCGAAAGGCCGGAATCCACAACATAGACGATGCCGTCGATGGTGAGGCTCGTCTCGGCGACGTTGGTCGAAACTACACACTTGCGTGTGGGCATGTGTGCGAGCACGTCGTGCTGCTCAGCCGAGGACATTGATGCGTAGAGCGACATCACCTCCAGCCCCTTTGTGTGTTGGCGTACGCGGCTCGAAACCATCTCGATGTCGCTCTCCCCAGGCAAGAAGACGAGAATATCGCCGGCGGGCTTCTTCTTGTGTATGCCCACCACAGTCTGCACGCAGGCGTCGAGCACTTTGGGTGTCGCATGCTCCAAGTGGTTGATTTTCACAGGGTAGGATCGTCCCTCAAGACTAAGGGTCGCTGCGCCTGGGAAATATTGCTGAAACTTTTCGGCATCAAGAGTAGCTGACATGATGATGACCTTAAGGTCATCTCTAGTTGAAGTAATCTCTTTCAGGATGGCGAGCAGCTGATCAGTGCTGATGGTGCGCTCGTGCGCCTCGTCGATGATGATACATTTGTACCGCGAGAGTGACGGGTCGGGCCAGCTCTCGACAAGGAGCAGGCCATCTGTGACATACCGAATCCGAGTTTTCTCGCTGGTGCAGTCCTCGAAACGGTAACTGTAGCTGACCTCGTCGCCTAGGGCTACATCCATCTCCGTGGCCACTCGTTCAGCTACCGAGGAGGCAGCAAACCGACGGGGTTGTGTGCATGCTATCATGCCCCCCTGTTGTACTCGGCCCAGAACACGAATTGGGGGATCTGTGTCGTCTTGCCGAAGCCGGTACCAGAGCTCAGTATCATGACCTGGTGCTTCTGGTAAAAGTCAAGAAATTCTTGACGCTGCTTGTAGACAGGGAGGCCCTTGCGGGACTGCCGGGTCTCCCAGTAAACAGCCGAGTATGGCCGAGTCTCTTTGTCGTTGACAGTATGAGGATTCACCTCGGGGTTCTCCTCAATGGCGTCGATTTGCTCAGCCGTGATGCCGTCAACTGCCAGTGCCGAGAGTTGACTGCGGACGCGCTCGACCTCCAATGATTTCGCCATCTTGAACGTGCTCATGCGATTGGTTTTGTTCCGTGGTGGTCGTTGTGAGGTGGCGGTGGCAGCTGCAGTTGTGGTTGTGGTTGTCGGGTGGTCGTGGTCGGGTGGTCGTGGTTACCATAAGGTAGTCACAAGTTTTGTGGGAGGACGCGCCGCACAAAAACGCAGAGTCAGGCCAAACTCCGGACCAGGCATCAACTCTCTCGCACAAAATTGCATCAGGCACCTAATGAATTCATCTCACATTACATAATTATTAACGATCCCCAAGTTCATGCCTTGCTGCATCTCTGGGTGCCACCGCTCCACCAAAGCTCAAGAAGTTACTGGCATCCATGATCTTCCATGCCATATTAGTTGACATCACACAGCAACCACAACACTTACTACAAGTTTGACATCACGTCCTCAAATACTTCTTCTTTTAACCCCTCGGCCGTCCCGTTCAAGCCCGCGTTTGCTCCGGTCAAGCCTGCGCCCGCTGCAGCCAGACCTTCAGTCATGCAACCTGCGCCCCCACAGCCGCAACCAAAGGCAGACCCCGGCTCCCGGAAGGCGCTTGAAGCTGCGATGCTTCATAAGGTACCACCAAAGTGGGCATATCTGGCTGGCGAGGGAGAGCCGGAGACGGCAGCGTACTACGAGCACCGTCGATCCATCGACCCGCTCTACGAGCATGCCGGGGTGCTCAACAAGACCGTGCTCGTGAACCAACACGATCGGTTCCTCATGAGACAGGTTCCTAGTCCTGCTCCTGTCAATCAGGCGAAAGCCTCCACAGTCTCCGTCGCTGTTCAAAGGCCTGGTGCTGGCGGTATGCCGTCGTACAAGATTGTAGATGCGACAGCACTGGAGGCTGAAGCTCGCGACGGGTGGGAGCCGTGTGTCTATCCCGATAGCGCCTACGACGAGCAGAATGACGACAAGGATATGCGTCACGTTGAGCGCATCCAGGACGTCAGCTGCATCGATGAGCCATGGAAGGACCAGCAATGGCGTTTCCAGAAGGAAATTGCCTTCTGGAACAAAATTGAGGGAGTAAACTGGCAACCTGGAGATGTACATGACGAGACAACTGTCAAAGAACAGTCACTGTCCTTTGCGCCCTCTTTTCGGCCTCGGAGCGGCCTCTCAACTTTCGCCTCCGCGACCTCGAATGGTCACTTTCACCTCCACAGGCGCCCAGCGCGAGTTGGCCTCGGCTGGGGAGGTTATGACAGATTCGACGACTGGCAGTCGTACGGGAGACAAATCAAGCCAGAAATGGTGCCTCAGTATCCCAAGAATGCACCGGCCGAGCTCTGCTTCGTGGGTGAGGATGGCACTCGTCAAGTTTTCGAGCCTCTGGAAAATGACGTCTCAGCTGAGCGTGAGCTTCCAGACACGCTTTACGAGAAGCTCCACGCAAAGAAAGCCGCAGCAACACGTGGTGGTGCCGTTGGTCGTGGTGGTGGACGCAGAACACCAAACCGGGGCGGACAGCGCGGACGCGGCTTCAGCCGTGATGGCTGGGGAGGTACGTTTCGTGGGAAGGATTGGTGATCTGGCGAAAGCTATTACTTGTTGGTTGAGATCGGCGCTAGCCGTCAACTTTTGATTGTATTCGGCGAAAGCTGACACTCCTTCCTGGTCGTGTCTGGCGAAAGCTGGTACAATAATCCTTCATGTATGCGGTCTGTTTGAGCCAAAAGCTGCCACAGTCCGGAAACTTTAGCGCAAGCCAAACCATGAATTTGCTGACTTTGCTTCCCTTTTGCAATGTGTTCCCAATGGTTCTCTCAGTCCTCTCCTTGAGATCAGTCGCTATTCATCACGCGACCGCGTAACCTTCAGATGGCCCACTCTTACACATGTACTAGTAACCCAAATACATACTGAGCTGCTGCTGCTTGTTTGCCACTCTCCCTCAAGTTCCGTCCATTGAGGTCGTGGAGTATCCCGAAGGCCTTAGTTCCTCGGCCACTAGCGCGTAGTTGTCAACCAGGATCCATGCCTGAACCACTTTCATAATACACCAGATATCTCACTGCTGATTGGGCCGAGACAGGCTCCCTATCATGCATCCAGACACCTTTTTCCCGTGCACTGCTGCAAGCACACATTCCATTGGTTGCTGGAGTTGAGGTACTATTCACAAGCTGGGCATCACCTCATTGCCTACACGCTTGGCGACGAGGAGCTGTACAACGCCATGCTTAAGACACTGATTCTGGGCCTCAGCCGCGACTCAGATGGCGACCTTGTTATCAAAGCAGGTGTTAGGTTGATGGAGACGGCGCTCCCCGCAGCACTTCTTGATAAGAAGCTCCATCAGATTAGTGTTCTGCGTGGCGATAAAACACTGACATGTGGAGCAGATATTATCTGCGAGACCAGAATGGTGTTGCTCGACACGCTTCTCACTAGCATCTCGAAGGACATCAACCCAGACTCCACTTTCGAGCTCTGCCGTTTTCACAAGGATGAAGACCAATGTGAAGCCATGCAGTCACGAAGCAGCTCAGGCCAGCGTCACCCGCCTACCTGCACACTACTTGCCCGAGAACCAAAACTAGGGAGAGGTCTCAGACGCAAGCTGACACTAGGGAGAAATCACTACTCGTTCCACCACAGCCGATGGTCCCAACCCGCGCTTCATGCATCGAGATTCCACCTCTGCCAACGTTCGAGCCCAGAGATTGCCTCATTCCCGCCCAAACCTTGGAAGCTACAACCGTACTCTGCTCAGCATAGCCAAAAGTACTATCGACAACCCCAGATGACACGTGAAAGGTGGGGACGAATCGCTACACGAGATTCGAGAGACTCGGGCTTGGCATTATACAAGCAGATTGGTCTGCAGCGGAGGGCAGGTGCGTAAGCCTCAGCCTGAGTCCTCTCGCCACGAACCGAGCTAATTCTTGCTATTGACCTACCACTTCAACAGACCGAACCACAGCATTGTCTGCTCAGCCGTCCGCATTCTATCGGTGGCGCATGACCCGCCAGTGGCTGCTGCTCCTTTCGATTCCTTTACAGTTCATTAATGTCTCCCAGCATTCAAGGGTTGTCTGTCTTCGTCTTTCAAAACGCTATCGCTACCCCCATTGTATTCTCGTGTTCATGGCTACTTGCAACAACAACGTCCTACGCTTCTCATCCAGCATTCACCAGGGGTCGCCTTGCGTGACAGAGTCTGTCGCCCAAAAATACAATGGCGGGCGCTCAAAGCCAACAAAGCTGCGAGTAAGAACAAATCCGGTCACATTGAGCCGTCTCCCCCGGGGTTTCGTTCTCCATTCTCTCTGTCAAGCTAGAATTCATACTCAGGCAGCCCATTCAACACAGGCAGATGATGCGAACTCGTCGGCACCTTGCGGTAATGAACTGTCTTAGAATTCAAGAGACATGGTTAATGTTCTCGTTGGTGGAGCAGAGATCGCGGCTTCCAGCTCTGCTATGATACTGGCCTTGCCTGTCTGGGGCGCGATGCTTCGTGGTAGCCTCAAGCTTACAAAGAAGTAGACTAGATTAATAATCATCGAGCTCGATGGGGACGCTGAGGTAATAGTATCACTTCTCGATAATATCTACTATCGCTTTATAAAGGTCTCTAGTGCCATAAGTTTGTTAGAGCTCTGTTAGCTCTCTCTTACGATAGTTTTATATAAGTGCGAACTATTAATCCACCTATGGGCTCGTACTTAGCTGAGGCTTCTTAACCTGAAATCGGCGAGTTCCGTATTTGAGAAGGACTACTATAAGGCTCTATGGATTACCTGCACACTTGGTGATCAGGATCTGTACAAGGCCATGCGACCTCTGTCTGAGTGGCGGCGTTCTTGGAGGGCTGCCGCTTGTCTTACCGAACAGCACCAGGAGTATTTGGACTTGCTGGGACAAAAGTATGCCATTGCAACATCAGCCCAAAGCCGGACCCAAACCCTCACTCCAGCAACAGAGGGAGAATAAAGAATTGTCCCCCTCATTTCAAAGCCACGAGGGTCTGAGCGTGAGACTTCTCTATCGCAGTCGGCGGAGAGCGTCGAGGATGCGTCCGTCGTCCGGTCGGCAGTCGAGAACGATGACGCTGGGGCAGACACTGGCAAGACAAGTGGGATTCCCGCTTGGTAAGCCGTATCGCATATGTCTCCGTGCACTCCAAAGGCGTTTAGTGGCAGCATTCACATTGCACAATGGGAGCATAGGCTAGTGGGAGAAAGTCTGTATTGAGTGTAAGAAGGCGTCCGTCGTTCGGTCGCTGGTCGAGAACAATGACATCGGGGCGGACACTGACAAGACAAGCAGGCTTTCCGCCTGGTGAGCCAAACCGCCCGGGATGTCTCTGCGCTGGTCAGCCAATCAGGTTCTGGAGCGTGTGTGCGAATCAGCAGACAAGTCCCGTTTTCCCCGTCTTAAAAGCCCAAACCAACCATTTCTGCTCCATAAGTAAGCAAGCGTAAGCAAACCCTTACCTCTAACCTTGTCTGCCAGGGCCACGATCAGCGCTACCGGCGAAGAGCTCGACCAGCTAGCCGCGCCACCAAGTGATGGCGCAAATGGGTTCAAATGGTACAACCAAGGACCAAGGCCAAGTCTGGGTGTAAGACCTGCAAGTAAGTGTATCAATCTATGGGAGCCTCGCACTGATCCACAAAACTGACTTGTGACTACTAGAGCACGCAAGGTCAAATGCGATGAGTCTTTCCCGGAGTGCAATCGCTGCGTCTCGGGTGGTCGCTTGTGCGGCGGGTATGGCATCTGGGGAGGCGGCAGCCGGGCCAGGCCTGGCATCAAACATGAAAGGCCTGCCACACCTGGCAGTTTAGATGCCTCCAGCAATGTCTCAGCACGCGGCAGTCTCGTTCGGCCCGGAGGCGGCAGGCCTATTTGTCCAAAGATCGGGACAATCCCTGCGTTCGTCTCATCAGCCATAAGCTCAGCCCACGACAGAGAGCTGTTTGACTGGTACCTATCACGGGCATCCATCAAACTGCCTGGCTCCTTCAGCCACGACTTCTGGGCCAATGTTGTCATCCCCTCGACGCTTTCCGAACCCGCCGTTCTCCATGCTGTATTGGCAATCAGCTGCACGCACAAGCGTGGAGTGATGGAGCAGCCTCGCATGGAGGTTGCGAGCAATGACACGGCTGAACGACTTAACATGCTATCCCTACAGCACTACGTCAAGGCCATTGGACACATGAAGTCTCACTTCTCCGCTCAGGACGAAACTTCAGTGCAGGTCGCGCTCGTTGCCTGTGTGGTTTTTGTATCACTCGACCTGCTGCGTGGGCATTGTTCTACAGCGATGATGCATCTCGGGAACGGTTTGAAGCTGATGGCGCAGCGCTGTGCTTTTACCGCTGGTGACGCCGTGGGGGAGAATTTGCTCCAGCCTCGGCTGGTAGTGTTGAAACCGCCCCAGAAGCTTGTCGATACGTGGCTGATTGATGTGTTCACAAGCATGCAGATTCAGTTTGCATTATTTACACCACGGACCGATGCATTCCTGGTCTCCGGAGAGTCTTTGGAGGCCGTGGCCGTCTTCAACTCGGTAAACGAAGCATGGCGCGCTCTTCAGCGGCTTCTTATTCGAGCATTGCATCTGTCAGCGGTCTCGTTGGCGATCTCAGCGGCACCACTTTGCCAGAGCGTTACACAGGCAGGGTTGGCGCAAGAGCTCCGTAGCAGGCTATTGTGGAACATTGAGAAATGGCGTGCCATATTCGAGAATTCACAGGCCATCCTCGGCGAAGAATGTAGCAAGTCCTTTGAAGTTGCAAAGGCTCACTACGTCGTTCGAGCCTACTACTGCATGGTGGCCATCCAAGCGGCAACGTGCCTGCGCCACATTGAAACGGGAGTGTGTAAGTGGCAGCCCGCTGATACCATTCCGTGTGGCGATCACGAAACAACCAGTAACGATCCCCTGTCAAAAGCCATCGACAGCGAGATGGTCTACGACGCACATACACCGCTCTTCATCGAAATGTTGACCCCTCTGGCAGAGCTATGGGGCATCGCACACCCACCAGAGCATTTTCGCGTTCCGCAGGACAACCTGTCTGTGATTGACATGGCGAGATCGATGATGGATTTTGGATGGCTGCCCTTGCTGTTCTTCCTCGCCAGCAAGTGCCGTGTGCCACGGGTTCGGGAGCATGCCGTGCGACTCATGGAGAAGAGTTTTCATAGAGAAGGGATCTGGGACTCGAGGCTCGTCGCGAGGGCGACAAGGAAGATAATCGAGTTGGAAGAATCTGGAGCCGTGGGGCCCGGGTTCGGAGGGAAGAGAGAGTTGGTCTTCGAGCTTTGGCACCCTCCCAGGGCTGAACAGACGACTTGTGTTCCGTTTGTTCCTGCTGCAGGGAGACTGCGGGATGTTGAGATGGTGCTCAAGGGAGAACCTGTGGAGACAATGGAGCTGGTAGCCCTGTCATCGACTCAAGGGACAACGCTGGCCAAGTCTTTTGTCGCCAGTTACTCGCTCCAGGCTCAAAAGTGGACAAACTCATAACGAGGACTTTGGAAAGGACCGCAGTGACTAGACATACCTCGGTAGTTTTACGTGAGGCCAGGGTCGTCTTCGTGCCAGCTGTTCTGAAACTCGAAAACAAGCTGGTTCTAAGCGCAACCAAGGGCATATTTCGAAGCGGGGAAGGCGACGCTGTTTTTTTGCCTCTACAGAACTCCAAGGCGGACCAGGCGAGGCATTTTCCCAAACGGCGGGTGGTCTGCGACCTGCGGAATCCCCTCTGGCCTAAACTCGAAGGTCGACGCGATTAATCAAGATCCGAGGGGGGACCCTGGGCTGTGATGCGAAAGGGCTAACGATCTACGCGGTTGTGTGGAAGGCACCAAGGTTCAAAAGGCAGCTGCCATTCACATTGCTGGCGGTTGCTACTTGAGAGGCGGAAACTTGATCCTTCCGCACACGCCAGAAGAGGAACCGGCTAGCAAGCTAATGTCTTGTCACCCGAGCGACTTGCGGTGCACCCGTCTTGACAAAGACTTCACTTCTCAGAATCAGCTACCGGTCAGCCATCGCCCATTACTATTGCATACCCACAGCCAAACAGTATCCAGAAAAGTATCAACCATTAGCGGCGACTACCCTAACAGACGACCACAGCGAGCAGCCGACCGCCCGTCCATAGTCAACAGAACAATGGAGCCCCAAATTCTCGACGAGCACGGCGATCTTGTGCTAGTCATCACCAGTCGCTGGCCCGTGGGCCCAGACGCCTCGCAGTTTCGAGTGTCGTCAAAGGCACTCATCAGCGCCTCGCCCACCTTCGAAGCCATCCTCACCGTCATTCCGGCTCCTCATCCCGGGGCGGACGGTCCTCCTGCCACTACCCAGAGGACTGTCCAGTTGCCCACGCAGCTCCCAGGCTCGTTCGGCTACCTCCTCAGTCTTTTGCACGGCCAGGCCATCTCTCTTCGACCCACCGATGATTCCAAGGCAGCAGCCACTGAGAGTGTTCGTCTGATGCTCGAGTTGGTTATCCTAGCCACCTTGTACTCCTGCATTCACCTTACCGCTTCTTATGCCAAGGACTGGGAAAGCCATTGTAACGCCACCGGCAGGATGTGTGAGAACGACAATGACCCAGGCACGTACATCAGCATTGCAGCCATCGCATACCAGATTGGCGCGCCACGCCTGTATCGTACGGCAGTCTCACACTTAATCCGGGCCATGGAACCGGCACCGACTGCAACATGGAACATTGGGTGGAAGTATCTGCCACCAGATCTCATAGGTAAGTGTGGCCATCATTTGACGATTCCTGAGTCGGTGTAAAGAGCGCTGATGCCATTCGCACATGTGACGCGTCAGCGACCATCAATGGCCAGCGCGTTCAAATGCTGGAACAGTTTCTGCGCCCCGTGGTGGCCGCCCTCAAGGCACTTCAAAATGCATTCCCGTACGCATTCACCCCAGATCCGCCGAAGCACGTCTGCAGTACCGAAGCCGAGAAAAGGCACTGTGCCGAGTTGAATCTCAAACACCTGGTCTGGCAACTCAACCAGGTCGGGCTGTGGCCACTGCCGACCTCACCTCACGTAGCCCCGAAGCGTGTCCAGGCGAGTCTTCGCCGTGTGCTGCATGCCAGTGTTTCGAAGGATTACGAAGTCTGGCGGCCACGGTGCGCTTCCGTGAGGTCAGAGGATCAGAGGATACGCAACTCGCCCTCCCAACCCTGGTCGCACCGACCCATTTCGATGAATCCTTACAAGGAATCGCACATTTATGAGCCCCGAGCGGCCGAATCTCATTTCATGATGGCCCGCAGGTGCGCCATTGTCGTTCCCTCTCATCGGCCTCCGAAGGAGGATGCCTGCTAAAGCCTACTCGTGCTGGTGTACCGCTCCTGGAACGGATAGAGGCAAATCAACTGGGGAAAAAGAGTGTGAGATGAGCGGGTAAGACTGCTGTTGATTGAGGATGTAGATCGGCGAGAAGGAACGTTCTCTTGTGGCGGAAAGAGTCGCGCTGGATGCCGTCTTTTGTTATAACAATAATGCATATGTGCCTCGATTTTTGATAACCACACCGCCTGATTTATCGTGTTCTTGTAAAGCAGTGGTCTTGAAAATGCAACGTTGTCAGTAATTCAGCACGTGTTGAGTGACCAACCAACAGCTCAGGCCCTTGGAGGCACTCGACTTCGTTCGATCATCTTTCCAACCTTGCTACGACACTTTAGACTGGGTAATGTTGTCTCCAACCGACATCAGCCCTCTTTCAATCTGGTTGCTTCTCATTTCGGCTCCATTCACTCCATAGGGTCAGAGGTCGCAACGGAATGTGCCCAACTCCGTGGGGGCTTGAACGCCACCAATTCTTGCCGTTTGTTCTTGGGGCAAGGATATGAGAACAAGAATTGATGGCAAGGGCACTGAGGCACATGCAGCAAAGCTTTTCTTTGCAATGCGAAGCCGTGCTCCCTCGCCGATGGCATGCTTTTACCGGGGGGGGGGGGGTACACCGTCCATCTTTGAGCAGTTCGACTACGAGGTGTTTTTTTCTTTTCTTTTTGATACCCGACCGCGGAACGCCCTCGGCCGCCGCTACGAAGCCAGGCTACGGGGCAAGCTTAGTATCAAGGCCCTCACTCACTCTGCTTTTGGCAGTCGCGGCAGTGCACTGCTGCGGAGTGGTGGTTTTGCTGGCTGGCGGTTGTGGCATCTTTCGTGTATCCCCGCATCGCCGGCCCAAATGGAATGGGAGCCGCCGCGTTTGTCGACACTTTCTGGCTTTCCAGGAGATCCTTGAAAACTTCGGGCTCAAAGATGACATGATATTGCCAAAGCCCCGCGCGTCAGGTACTTTGATGATCATCGCCCGAGAGAGAGAGAGAGAGAGAGAGATCCGTCGGAAGCATGAAGGGCGAGAGGGGAGGAGGGGTGAGAGGGGTGAGAGAGGGGGAGAGGGGGGGGGGGGGGGGGTTGCCTGTTCTGGACGTTCTGCCTGGCTCTGCGCCAATCAGCGGGCGGTCCCCCTGCTCGGAACAGTGTGGCTGGCGGGCTGACTTGTGAGTGGTGCCGCCCACTCCAAATGGCAAAGGTGTTCTGGGGAGCATTCTGCACCAGACCCTCCCCCAAAAACAGGGAATACGACAAATGGACAAAAGGGCGCAGCGGATTCGATACCTGGGAGTAAGATTCTCTTGATATGGTCATATTGTCAAATAGTCAAGTAAGGGACGTTATCTCATAATGCACACCCGCAAATGTGCTCATTCCATTCTTGTTTTGTTCTTTCTCCTGTCTTCCCAGAGCCCCTCTCAGGCTTCCGCAGATCCACACAGCTGCAAAGTGTCAACCCCCTTACACACGTATGCATGCATAGCACACTCCCAGCGCTGTGTTTTCAACAGCCACCAGGCTTTCCTGGACTGTTACCAGGAAAAAACAACAAAAGGGGGGTTTTTTCCCTTTCCATGAAATGGTCTTTTCGTGGTCTACTACTACCACAAACCACTCTACTGCTGCTGCGGCTTCTGCACGGCGATGGCCTCCTCCTCCTTCTCGGCGTGCTCGGCGCCGCCGTTCTTGCCCTCGCCCCGGGCAAACTCCTGGGGCATGGCTATGGGCCGCTTGCGCGCGAGCCGGACCGTCTGCCAGATGCTCTCGCTGTCGCGGAACAGCAGGTCAATCTCCTCGAGGTTGCGGCCCATGGTCTCGGGGAAGAACAGGAACACCGCGATGGGCACGGTGCCCGCGATGACGGCGAAGACGATGTAGTACTGCCACTTGATGGTGCTGATGGCGACGGGGGTGACCATGATGACGACAAAGTTCCTGTTACACGATGCAGGGTCAGTCAAAACTGTTCATGACATGCATGGGAAAAGTTGGGAATGTGAAGGGGGATGGCCGGGCAGCGCCGTGGGCGAGAAGAGAGAGTGGGGTGGATGTGGGGACCGTGTGGGGACAGTGCGGGTGGGGCCGTGCGAATGGGTTAAAAGCACATACCAGAGCCAGTGGTTCGCAGTACTCAAGCTGCTCATCGTCATGCGCAACCTCAACGGCGCAACCTCCGTGCAATACAGGAAGTTCGCTCCCAAAAAGCCTATTGGAACGAAGAAATTAAACAAATAAATGAAGCATCCAGCGGCAATCTGCGCGGCGGTGTTGTCCTTGGGCATGGAGGTGGTGATCGCGAGGGCCACCATGCAGGCGCACATGCCGGCACCGGAGGTGATGAAGAGCGCGCGCCGGCCGAATCGGTCGATGGTGAAGAACGCCACAAACGACGACAGGAACTTGAAGGTCATGGCGCCCGCGGCGAGGACCTTGGACAGCTGGGGGGACATTCCCAGGTTCTGCTCAAAGAGGATGGGCACGTAGACGGAGATGAGGTTGCTGCCGCTCATCTGCTGGTAGAACTGAAGGAGCATGCACAGCAGGAAGCGGTACAGGAGCTTGTCCTCGCCCATGGTGAACATGTCGGCAAACTTCATGCCCGACTTGGCCGAGTCCTCGAGGGAGAGCTCGATGCCGCCAATCTCGGCCTGGACCTCCATCGAGTCCTCGGGGAGGCCCCGCAGGATGGCGATGGCGTGGGCCGCCTCGCTGCGGCGGCTCTTGAGCAGCAGCCAGCGGGGGGACTCGGGGAACAGGTAGACGGAGCAGATGAGGACGACGGAGAAGATGATGCCAATGGCGATGCTGGGCCGCCAGGTGACGGGCCCGTCGTGGAACTGGTAGAAGCCAAAGTTGATCCAGCTCTCGAGGACGTAGCCGACGCAGATGAAGAGGCCGTCGAGCACGACGTGGCGGCCGCGGTTGCTCGAGCCAGCCGTCTCGCTCTGCCAGACGGGGACAATGGAGCTGAGCGTGCCGATGGCGATGCCGACAAGCACGCGGCCCACAATGAACTGGGCCAGGCCGAAGCTGGCAGCCTCGAGGACGGCGCCGATCAGGCAGCAGATGCCCGCGGCGAAGATGCACTTGCGGCGGCCGAAGCGCTCACCGGCCCAGGAGCAGAGGAGGGAGCCGACAATGGCGCCCACGACAAAGGTGGCGACAATGAAGCCCTGCAGGGTCGACTTTGCGCTCTTGTCGGCCCCGGTGGCATGGACCGTGTCGATCTCGGGGAAGGTCTTGACCCAATCACTGAGGGTGAGAAGGCCACCGATACCAGCCTGGTTGTAGCCAAACAGGATGAAGGCAGGAGCGACGATGAGGGCAACCTGCAGCGTGCTGAGGGCCTTGCCGGTGAGGCCGGCAATGGGGTTGAGACCCATGATTGCGGGTTGCGGCTGTGGTTGTGGCCGGCGAACGCGATCTGATCTACGGCAAGAGGCGCGAAGAAGAGGGTTGCTGTCTCCGGGCGGCGAGTGACCACAAAGAGATTCTGAGGAGGAGGACGACGACCGACACTTGACACAAATCAAGCATGAGTGAGGAGGGAAAGAGTCTCGAGGGAAAGGAGGGAACGTCTGGCAGAGCCGTCTATTTATTTTCTACGAAGACGGCCGGCGGCCCCGGTCGAGTTCGCGAGCAGGACCGGCGCACCCCACGAGGGAGGGCTCGATACCCCGTGGTGTCTCCAGCCGGCATGCTGGTTCGCCCCATGGGACAAATTTGTACCGTGCTTTCGCGGTCGGGGTGGGTTGTTGAGAGCCGCGACGCGAGGGGATGGATGGGACTGGAGGGACCCTGGCAGAAAGGGTCCCTTGTGGTTCGTGCTGCGTAATAGACTAGACGTATGGGGAAACACGAGTATCCTGGCCGCGGAGGAGCAGGAGAGCAGGAAGCGTGTCAGGACCGCCCGCTCCTCACTCAGTCAGGAGTCAGTCATCGAATCCGGTCTCTGTTGAGGAGCGAGGGCCACAAAAAGCCCAGACGGGGCCAGTAGGAGGCGGGAGGGGGGCCAGCACAGATGGGGACCGCGAGACGAGACCGAGACAAGATAAGGCGAGCTTGAGTTGCAGCCGGACGGCCGGGCGATAAGGCAAGAAACAGTACATCAATACATCACAGGCGGCGGCGGCGGCGGCATTGGTGGTGGTGTGGTTGTCTGTCGGCCGGCCGGCCGCTTCACCTTGAGTTGAGGTGCCTGTGTGCGTCAAGGTGTGCAGGGACCTCGCGCGACTCCACCGGCCGTGTTCATGGCCACGGGCCGACTCGAGCACGCAGCGCCCCGTTTTTGCATCACTGGTGAGCCGCCTTGACTCGGTCACCGGCACGCTCTGATACGTCGTGCTCCGTCCAAATGTCACGAGAATGGACCGCGCAGTGGGGCGGCCTCCCTGCTCCTCCCACGCAAGACGGCTGCGGCAGCACCGAAAGGCCCGATCCTGCTCCTCCTGCTGCTGCTGCTGTTGCTGCGGGAGGTATGCAGACGGTCAAGTTCCTCTGTCCACTCGAGGCATTTTTGCAGATGCAAATGCCACTAAAGGAAAAAGAGCGTCAACCCGCGACGACTATTACATGCAGGCGCGCCCGGCCAAACCCAGAGCTGTCGTTCAAAAGGACCCCTGGCAGGTCACACAAGGCAAGCCACGCACATGGGCCAAGCCGGGACAAGCGCTGGGCGTAAAAGCTTGGTAGCGCGCGCGGTCCCCTTCTCGAATCCGTCCGTGATCGGCAGCTATCTCCTGCAAAAGAAAAAAAACCGAAAATTCTATTCCACCGCCTGCCCTGACTGAAGGGAGACACAAATTGACACAATGATGGATAAAGAATTACCCGCCGACTCAGAAACAGAGGCTACTTGCGTCTTTCTATCTTTGGCACAACCCAATTGATTGTCTTGCTACCATTGTCCCCCCCCGGGCTTGCTGTTCCATTCCCTCATGTTTCGTGGCTTTCCCCAGACACGAACCGTGACATTTACTCAAACAGCAACTCGCCATGGGATGATACCTCACCAGTCGCCATTGAATAAACTGCAACTCTGCAAACCAGGGGCGACATGCTTTATCGCCATTCCCACCCAGAGTAACCTTGAAAAGGCCTCACTCCCAGCCAGCTAGCCAGCCAGGCCATGCTCGGGCACTTTCCGCGAGCAAAGCCCTGGAGTGTCCCATAAAAGCCCCTGCTCGTGGCCCCACAGGTTCTCTGCTCGGTGCTCCACCAGGACCAGCCCTGGAGCCCTTTAGTGTGCAGTGACGCACGCTAATGTGCCGAAGGTTCCTGGCTCTGGTATTATGTGATGATGTTATGCACGTCACAAAAGAAGACTAGGACAGCCTTGCAGCCAGAGATGGAATTCCGCATTCGCGCAATAACACCGACCTTTACCTAGGTCGGTAGGTGCAGTGACACCGCCAGTCAGGGCTGCCCCATTAGGGACCGCCGCCTTATCGTGTCCTATCACTGTGGCAGGTCGCACCCAATGCAGCAGCAGAGCGAATGTCACATTGGGGGGAGACGGTGTCTGGCCTGACCTCTTTCTCTTGTACATGGAAAGTCGATATATGGATTACGGTGAGCTGGCAGAAAACGACAATGTATACAACGCGCTGATAATGCATCCCTCCCTGCCACCTCAGCTCACATGCCTTGCCCTCTAGGGTCCCGTGGTAAACGGGTCGCAAGTCTACATGGACGCCGCCTCAAGCTCCCCAATCCTCCTCTCGATCTCGGGCACCTGTCTCAGCAGCACCTCGAGGTCCTCCTTCTCGTCCTCCAGTTTCAGCCGCTTGTCCGCGTCAAGCTTGGTAAACACATAGTGGCCCTGGCCATCAAACTGCAGGATCCGACTGTGGTACTTCCACAGACTTCGCCGGTGGCTCACCGTCATCAACGTGATGCCCAGCGCCTTGGCATTGTCATACATGATTTTTTCCGTCTCCAAGGTCACACTGCTTGTGCACTCATCCAGGATCGCGTACCGCGGCTTGTGGTAGAACAGGCGCGCCATCGCGACTCGCTGCTGCAGACCGCCAGACAGCACATCTCTCCACTCGGCCTCCGCGTCCCACCCTTCTGGGTACAGATCCACCAGGTGCTCGAGATTGAGAATCTTGAGGATGTCAAACAGCTGCGCGTCCGTGACCCCACGAGCGCGCACAGTCCGCAGACTGTCCGGGTATGTAATCTGCTGTCGCAGGCTGCCTCGGGACAGATATGGCCGCTGAGGAATGTAAAAGATGTCCGTGAAGGGTGGCTTGTAGACTGTGCCACCATAGACTGGCCAGAGGCCACCGAGGATGCGGAACAGACTTGACTTGCCGCAGCCGTTGGGCCCCACAACAAGGAGGTGGTCGCCTTGCTTCAGCGAGAACGACAATGCCTTGACGAGCACATCACCATTGGGCGAGATGATGGGCACGTCGATGAACTGGATATCCTTGCTCTCCACCACCTTGCCTCTACCTTTCAGAACGGCCTCGTGGCTCTCGGTGCCAGAGCTGGAAACCAGTTTCTTCTCAAAATGACCAGCCTGGATGTCGTCCATGACCTCCAGCAGTGATGCGACTCGAGACGTGTAACCTGCCAGCTCCATGATTTCTCGGTACGAGAACATGACACGGCCAAATGCGTCCGAGGCACTCAGTAGCATGCGTCTGTTGGTAACGAAAGCCTCGGTCCTGTCTCCCATGTTGGCTACATCAATGCTACCGGCCAGCTGTCCTGGCAGCTTGAAAAAAACCGGGACGCTGCACAACATCAGGCCAAGGGCACCCCAGAGGTACTTGATGACAAAGTCTTCCATGACTCCGTGGTAAAACCGGCGGCGCAGGATATAGTTGACATGCTTGATGAGCGTGAAGTAGCCCTTGTCGAGCGTGTCCTTTTCGGCTTCATGCCCGTGGTACAAGGCGACCTCCTCGCTGTGGTCAATGAGTCTGGAGTGCTGGAATCTGAACTCGCCCTCTAGTCTAGCCTCGTCAGCTACAAACTTGCCAAATGGCGGCGTAAGAGCGCGCATGACGTGTGCAGACAGCTGAACCAGGAGAGACATGGAGATGACTCCCTCGCCGCCCACACTCTTCGATAATGACCAGGTATATATTGTCTGTGGTCACGTTAGCACGAAGCGGGCCATAGTCCGACAACTTCATTCATGTCAAACATACCATGTCGAGAATAGGCTTGGCCAGATTGCTGTAAAGCTCAGCCAAGCTGTTGGAAAACTTAGATACATCAACCGCGATGAGCTGGTCGGGATTCTTGATCCGGTCGTCGAGGGAAGAGATGCCATAGAACGTGAGTTGCGACAGGTATTTGTCGTGGATGTATTGTGTAAGACGGGTGCGGTACTTCAGGGAGAGTTCGGCCTGGTGGTAGGAAAGCTGGAGGGAATCATGTCAGATGTTGTCATCGACGGCAAGAAATGGCCTTGATGGACTTACCATGGAGTTTGTGAAGGTGGCCGGCACAGCAATCACCATCCACCACACGATCCGCATGAGGAACTCCCGGCCACTGCCTTTGACGAGTGCCTTGACAATCGCGCCGTCCATCTCGGCAACCTTCAGACTGATGAGAGTTCGGACTACGAGGAAGAAGCTGTGGCTGATCAGGAGCCGGGCCTCTTGGCTGCGCCAGCCTGGGATGACAATCCTGAGCAGCCGCAGCAGAGAACGGAAGAACTCGCGATTCAGCTCGACCTTCTTCTTCTTCTTTGCCGCATCTTCAGGTGCATCGAGAGCAGAGGATGTTGTGCCCGATGCGCGGCGGGCCTCGTCACGGGCCGAAGCAGCCTTCTGCTCGGCGACGGCATGGCGCACGCGATTGACGAGGGTGACGAACAAGGCGAGATAGACACCGCGTGAGATGCGGGTGCGGTTTTGGATGTACAAGGTCGTGAGTTGAGAGACGGCGCTTCGCAAGGACCGGTCCGAGACGGCGAGCTTCGACTGGGCGGCCATCGTGGCGGCAGGAGGCCAGCAGAGGCGGCGCTGATGATGGACCTCGGTGCCAGTGACGATGGCGGAATCGCAGTGGCGTCAGCAGGTGCTAGCGCGGGTCTGGGGTAGTGTTGGCTGTCTGAGATGCGGTGACAACACTGTCAATCACAGGATGCACAGGAGGAAACAAGAACGAGGCACTGCATAGGCCATCGCCGGGAGGGACTCAGAGGACGTGCTTGGCCCGGATCGCAGTCAGAGGCGTTGCGACTATCACAGAGTCATGGGGCGCCGCAGCCGTGAGCTTGGTCTCCATATTGGGGTCGAGAGCCGGCATTCCTCGGCGCAGCTCCTGCCAAAAGCATGGGGAAGGCGCGCTTTCCCCGTCCGTGCTCGTGCTTCCCGCGCATGTGATTCTGGAGTCGCTGCTGTGGCTGATCTGTGGCGCAGAGTCTTCACTGTGGCACAGCCCGGCCTTGGAGGCTCTGAGGGCAGGACCCAGTGTAGTGGCTGGCGGGCAAAGTCTTTTGCGGGAGGCTTACACATGCCAATTTGCTAGGCGGGTTTTGGGGGCCAAGCTAGAGGGGCAACTTCGCCGTCGCCGGGCACCAAGAACTTTTTACTGGGCAGTTTTTCCCAAAGCGGTTGAAGGTCACGAACCATTTCTGCACTTTCAGCCTCTCAGTGTCGGCTTCATCGAGGCTTACCACTGTCTCCTTCACAGCAAATTCAGCTTGCACCTTTTACTGCTCCAACGATAGACGACACCAGCCACCATGTCTGACGAAGAGATCGCCGTGTACGACGAGGTCGAGATCGAGGACATGACCTACGATGAAGACCGCCAGATCTATCACTACCCGTGCCCCTGCGGCGACAGATTCGAGATTGCCCTGCTCGATCTCCAGGATGATTCAAACGACATTGCCGTCTGCCCAAGCTGCAGTCTCATGATCCGAGTCATCTATGATCAGGTCGGTGGCCACTATGCCTTTACCTCGATCGCCTTTTCAACTGCTGACCTGTTGTGGTTTCGCCTGTAGGACAACCTACCGAAGCCTGATCCCGAGCCTCCAGCAGAGGCCGCCGCAGAGCCTGTGCCTGCGGCCGCGTGAACGACGACTACCAGCTTGCATCAGATCGCAGCATGACGCCTCCCGACGAACCACACTCACGAGATGCCGAAGCCGGACAACGCTACCGCATGATGGCTTGAATACCAACGAAGCACGCATCGCCCGGCCCCGAGTCCAAATCTGCTATCCTCCGCCGTGATGGCGCCTGTGTCCCCTTGCCGAAAGAGACCACTTGCCGATCCAACATCTCGCTCCGCCGCAGCTGCACAACCAGCGAGCCGTGCGGATTACCTGTGGCGGCTGTGGCAGTCGCCATGATGGCGACATGGTGTTGCGAACATTCTCACCGAGCTGCCGACCAGCACAAGCCACCGGCAATCACATAAGCCATCTTCACGCGGAAGAGCACCAAACACGGAGTCTTAAGTTTTCGACGGAAATTCATTGTACTCTGCCGCCATATGGGGGGGGGGGGGGGGGTATCCTAAGAACAAGACCAGAACCAAACCAGAAACTCCAAGCGCCCTATCCGTCGTGGATCATGAATGTCGCATGAGTCGCCAACTCATTACATTATGGCTGTCGCAGCAAGCCGGCTCTAAGATGAGAAGAAGTGGTGCCGAGAAGAGAAGAAGGGGCCTGCCGAAATGAAGATGTATCGCTTGCGTGGATGCAGAAAGAAATGGTTGTTGTGTGGAGGCCAGCCAGCCGCTCACAAGAGGAAGAGGCCGGCTGCCGAGAAGACGATGAGGCCCATGAATGACGCATCCATGGCGTGCTTGTCTGTTGGTGTGCCGGGGGAGCCCAGCGAGAAGTCTGATATCGCGGCTGTATGTGCAGAGGAACGACTTTTGTCAGTCTACGTTCGGAACAACAAGGAGACCTGAGACATTTCCACGGGGCGGGCGGGCTTGTCTTACACATGGCGCCGGCGGAACCCTGAGCGGCGATCGTTACGGGTAGCACGAAACCGAGAGCAATCTTTGCGACCTTCATCTTGTCCTCTGGGTGATGGTGTTGTGACTACAGGACCTGCCGAAGGATATCTGTGTATGTGCTGGTGGCTTGTGGAAACTTGACGACTAGTCTGTGATCGGGTACGAGCTTCTCGTCTGCGCGCGTTTCCGGAAACGTTCTGACTATTAGGCAGCTGGTGAAGAGGTAGCGAGCGATGGACGGCGGCTTGTCTTTGCTTGTTGAGTCTAGCAACAATGAAGCGAGGAGAAAGAAGCCGAGCGTGGGGAGGAAGTGGATGCCGGATGGTTAAAAGAATCCGGCAGGAGATCGCTGTAATGGCGATCGGGAGAGGCAGAAGAACGGCAGCTGGTGCATGGCGCGGCTCTAGGCCAGGCCTGCTGCTGCAACGGTGCACAAATCTGGTTTTTGGCGGCAGAAGCCATGCCATCGAGGCTAAGGCGGCGCAATTGTGGAGCCCGCGAGGAGCCGGCGGCCCCTTTCCCCTGTCCCTGGCGCTCTCTGGCGCTCCAGTGGTGCTCCACGCCGCGACACCTCAGAGTTTTTGAGCCATGGCGCAAAAGCGGGCACCATTGGCTGGCCAGCCCAGACCTTCCTGCAGATCGCTCTCGATCTCTGGAGATGGAACTTGTTTTCCTCATTGCAAAGCCCCTCGGGCCATCAAATGCCGCCATGGCTTGCACGGCAGCTGGGGCTTTGGCGTTTAGCAGTGGTGCGCTCGGGCAAGGCTGGACGCGAGACAGCAAGCAGACCGATGCGCAATCAAGCATGGCAATCAATCCCTGGACTACGCGCGCTACGGCCAGCACACCTGGATTGGGACGTGATGGGGGCGGCCAGCCATGATGTCTACAGGTTGCATTGCAGCCCGTGGATAGCCCACCCCTGCCCGACTATTACCACGCTCGGCGCAAGTGGTGGTGTCTGCCAATCTCACCACCCCTGTCTGCATCGACATCATAGGTGTGTCGGAAAAGAGGGCAGCACCCCTGCCAAGGTGGATCACAAGCAAGAGAGACGACGTTGCGCGCTGTGTGTGTGTGATGTGATGCTCGCTCGACCACGGGCGCGAGTCGAGAGACCGATATGCCAAGACTTTTGCTGGTTCCCGTCAGGTTTTGGGTCCATTGGCTGGCTGTCTGCCTCCTTCCTCTACCCATGCACGCGCGCGGGGGTTTTTTCCTTTAGAGATCATGCTGGAAAGGACAAGACGTGCACACGTGCGTGTATGTGTGTGTGTGTGACCCATCAAACCCACCCCGTCGAGGGCTCGTGTCTGCACCCGGAACTGTGTGTGGTGATGTACGCGTCCTCTTGTGGGTGGGCAGTATTATTATTAGCGACTGGTGGTGGTGGCCGACAGGCCCGGAAGATGCCATGGCTTTCCCCCCCAACGAGACTGGAGCGCCTGAGCTGAGCTGACAACACAAACGACGACTTTTCAACGTGGCATTGCCTCAACGCCGGTCAGCTGCGTACGTATGTGCGCTGCGTACAATCGACTGATCCGCACATGGCGACGCGGGGGCGGGAAAACCTTCTTTTCACTCAAGAACGCGGGGGAACGTGTCTGTAGGTGTGTGTCGCTGGGTGCGTGGTGGTTGTGGTGGTGGGTGGCCATGCCTTGTTTCACCAAGCAAAAAAATACGCGTCCGCAGCATAAAAGCAAGCTTAAGAAGTTTAAAAGGTTGTCCCCATCCTGCTTCGTGCCGAATCGCGCATCCAGAACAGTATCGAACTGTCTAGGCTGGTTCCCCCGACACCCCTGACGGGGCGTCGATTGCATTACATCAAGTACGCAATCGTGCACAATGCAGGTGACAATGAAGGTAAGCATCGCATCTGTAACATTAATTAGCAGCAGCATGGAGCGAGAGACAGAGAGTCACGAGTCACGGTTGCCAGGCAGGGGTGTCTCTCTCTCATGTGTGTGTGTGTCAAGGTACATGGTGCTTGTGCCTTGGCAGTGCCGCGCCTTTTTTGCATGGCCCGTCGATCTGCTCTCGTTCGGGGGGAGGGGGACGGGGGATGGGGACCCCCACTCTACCGTAACGCCCCCAGGGCCACTCAGATTTGTCGCACCGATAAAAGACCACCATTATGGTGTCCTGTGATGCAAGGACAGACAGCCGGAGGCACGGGAGAGGCTTCAATTACGGCGCTTAGTCCGGGCGGTCTTTGATCTGGGGACCATATGGAGACGACGACGGGGAGTTTCACTGCTGCTGCTGTTATGGGTTTTGCAGGCAAGAGCAGAGGCTGGAGACACGCGTCGTCATCGCGACCCGTACTGCCTGGGCCGGGCTCTCATATGGTCAAATATATGCGCGCCTTCATTTATTCTGCATGCGCATAATTAAGAACCTGGCAGATTGAGTTGTCTCGACTCTGCGGGGCGCTATTGCTACGTCCGTGCTGACCTGGCCGCATGGCTCCTAGGGTCCGGAGCTTGTCGAGCTTGATTGACATGGAAGAGTTGGAGCTCGCCTCGGCCATGGCGACTAGCTGGCAAGACGATGTGGTTCTTGGAGAGAGGAGGCAGCCCAGTGGCAATATCTGGATGCTGTCAGGTTACAGGCAGGATACGGAGGCGCAAGAGGGATCCGACTCGAATACGCGACACAAACAGGCCGTGTGAACCCTCGTGGTCGAGCTCCCCCTCCCACACGAGCCCTGAGCAGCGGGAACAGCACAATGAATCACCTGAATGAACCGGTCCATCTGTACCTTATCTGAGCCACGGCACGGCAGCAAGCAGGTGAACGTGGCGGCCACAACCTGCAGGTTTTCCCGCGGCGCTAGAACAGAGAGGCGTTCCGACGGTCCAAAGGGCTTGATCCTTTTCGGGCTTGGTGAGCGAGAGTGGCGTCCGTCTCACCCCTGCTGGTGCAGTGCGACCCAGGCGAGGATAGGCTAATCGCAGCCCAGGAAAAGGAGGCTTCGTTCCTGATTGTCAGGTCGGTCTGGTCTCCGTGCTGCTCTAGCGCCGCCGTGGCTGGTGCGTTCGTGCGGTGCGTGGAATGGGACTTGCGGTTTGTGCATGTTGCATAGCCGGCGCCGGCGTACGCGTACGTACACTAGGTGCATTTGGAGGGTCGGGTGTGTAGCGGCTTGTGCGGTGTCATGGAGCTTTCTCAAGTTGTGCCTGATCTGGCATAAGGGTTGCAAAAATCACGCATCCCGCCTTGCACAAACCTGGTACCAGCAATCAGGGGGCGCTGTGCATCTGCACTGCGGGCACCCGCCCCTCCACGACGGCAACTGCACTTTGTAAGGCACGTTCATACCGAGTGCGCACTCGGTATGAACGTGCCTTACAGCGATGACACAGTCACCACCACCTCCTTCGATACGGCTTATCAAGGACTTTGCCGCCGACGAAATAGAGCTCTGGCACGAGATGGCATGTCGAGGAGATGCTAGAGAAGCAAGGATGGCTGTTTTTGGGGCATGCATGCGTGCGTTGTGCACGTAAACGCCAGCTCACTTTCTGGCAAGCAGTCGTTCGCGCGTCGACTTGGCTTCCCACGGGCTGGTGTTCTCTCCATACAACCATTTTCACTTGCCCTTGGACCACGACCTTGCATGATGCAGCTTTGACAGACCATCCTGTCTCCACAGCCGGACTGTTCCATCTCTCTCTTGATCCCAGAACCTGGAGCAGCAAAAGTCGAAAGGTGTGCCCCGCGTCTGACGTAGTGATCCGCCCAGACCTGGCACACACACACACACACACACACACACACACACACACACACACTTGAGCCTGATCTGCAATCAGCCCGCACATGTTCAAGGCAGTCCCGACGGATCCTGGGGTTTGTGCAGTATGTGAAAGGCCGTAAAACCCGTGCTGGAGACCTGCCCGCCTACATGCACGAGGAGAAGAATTTTTGTAGGGCTGTCAAGCTCCGAAGCTCCATCAAACATGAGGTGTGCCGCCTTCACCATGCAGAGCCCCGGCAGACTGGTGCCGTGCCGTGCCCGAGCCAAGCCCACATATCTGTAGACCTACATGGCGGAGATGCTGGATAACGACCGCACTCGACCAAGAAGCACTGCTTGAGAGTGTGGAAAGCTGTGCTTCACCGCCAAGCACAATAAAGACCGAGAGCAGTAATCGGGGTGGTTCTACGGCTGGGTGTGTTGACGTCATTATCATGACACAGCTTTACAGGACGTCAGGGCCTGTCTGGCTGAGGCCATCACGGAAAGCCCTGGTACACCCTTGGGCCCTGGATCACACTCGGCGTGGTTTTCTACACAAGATGAGCAGGTTGCTTACAGACAGGCCCTTTACAATTGTTGGGCCAGTTCATGTTCTATCCCACATGCGATTCGCCGAAGCGCCTAAAAGTTTGGCACCTACCCAGAGCCTGACTTCCAGTCATACATATCAACTCTTTTGAGTTGTTGGGTTTTCCTTCACACATCAACTGTCTGATGCGTTTTACCAGCGAGATTATGCCACTCTAGCAGCTACATGTGAGGATCGTCCGCAGGCCGTCATCGCGATTAGCACCAAGGCGTTTATTCTCACCCGTGAAGCAGAAACTGCACCTGTATCAGGACCTGGAGCCCTTTCGCAGCTGACTTTGTGAAGCCGGCTCCATCTCGGCCAGTGCGGAAGCTTGGTGAGCAATAAACTCAAGTACGCGGAGCCGGTGTACGATGCGTGCCATTGATGACCGGCCCGGGCTGGAGAAGCAAGTCGACCCCGTGCTTCTTGAACAACGCCTGGCGCTTTGGTGTCGCGCAGCGTGACAACCACTTCCTCTGTATCTTGGCGGGATCACCTTTGGCCTGGGCAACTTCGGCCTCGCTCATCCAGACACCCTTAAGAGCGCGAACCTGCTCGTCGGTCTGGGTCAGGCAATTATCGAAGGTACTACTGAAATACCAACGGTATGCAGGCCTCGCAGGACTTCTGACGCTGTCGCTGCCGCTGTTGAACCCTTCCGCCATGGCCGCACACATGCGATATGCCCAGTCAACCAGGTCGGCCGCCCACGCCGCATACTGTTCCGGCTCGAGGGACTTCAGAACCTGCTGCGCCGAGCCGTGGCGCTGGGCGTGCTTGCTGTGCCGGCCGAGCGCCGCGTGGACCAGGCCAACCAGGCACGCAGCCATGAGCTGCCGAGCATACTCGCGAGGCCGGTCGACAGGCCTCACCATCGCGGCAGCCATGCGGTCGTACTGGTCCATGTTGGCATGGAACGGCACGACATTGGACACGTGGATGCTCCTCTGCGCCATGTACGCCCCCCACGGCGCCACCAGCTCCTGCCAGCCAAACTGGGCAGCCGTGATGTCGACGGCCAGGACCTCGCTCGTGGCGACAAGAGTGACCTGCAGGACTGCGTGTGTCACAAACATGAGGTACGAACGCTCGCCGCGGTACCTGGGGGCCTCGTCAATGTGGCACAAGGGGTTGTCGGCGTTGCGCGGCTCAAATACGAATTGCCTGATGTCTTTGCAAAGTGCTATTTGTTCATCCATTCACCTTGTGTTAGTCACTGACCAGAACCCCGGGGATGAAGTAGAAAAAGGTTCGTTGCATAGCCCCGTCGTGAGACTTACGAGTGAACAGCAGCATGAAGAGGTGCCGATACAGAAGCATGAGGAGGTTGCACTTGTACATCCCCAGGGCAGCGTGGTAGGCCAGCGTGGAAGGAGGGTCCTCGCACTCGAGGCGCTGCAGCATCAGCGTCCCGAGAAAGCCCGCCTCGTCCGAGGGCCGATCCTCAAAGTTGGTGATGCCGTCCTCGATCCACAGCTTTCTGAGCGGCTGGAGGGCCGCGTGCGCCTCGAGGGCGAACACCAGGTCTCGCAGCAGTGTCGCTGCCCGTAGGACACCCTGTCTCGCAATGCAGTGTGGCTTGTGGCGCGGCCAGTCTGCTTTCTGGCACTGCTTGCCGCAGTAATAGGTGCATGCGAGTCTGTGGCCGTTTCCAGACGGGAGTGCGCAGCCGGTGCAGGTCATGAGTTGGTGGCCGTGCTTCTGCTTGCGTGTGCCGGAGCTGGTGTCCTCGGTCTTGTGGCAGTGAGCACATGCGTGGTGTTGAATGTCATGATCGGCCAGGCTTGACGTGGAGCTCTTGGGCAACGCCGGGTGGCCGTTGTACTGCTCCACTGGCTTGGTCGATGTTCCGTAGACGACCTGCTCTCTTTCGACGTCCTTTCGGCCCTGGGCTATCCAGCGGAAATAGCGCAGCTGGCGCGCGGTCGCAGTGTCGCTGCTGATCTCGGCGGGAGTCTTGGTGAGGGCCAGGTGCCCAATGACGCTCCAGTACCACGACACATCATCCTTCATGACGAAGCGCACGGCACCTGTCGGGAGTTGCGAGGGGAGCCGCTTGACGAGGAACTGGAAGTCAGAGTCGCTGCTGGATCTAATGAACCGTTTCGCTGCATCGCTGCTGGTCCTCGCCTTGAAGAGGACGCCGAGAGCCTTGAGGAGACTGTCCAAATCCAGCTGTCCCTGACGTTTCAAGAAAGCCTCGTGGTCGATGGGGCTTGGCAGCGTGGCGAAGAAGGCTTCGACATGGTCCATGATGGCGATCTCGTGTTGTTTTGTTGCGGACCTGAGGTTCACGGCGTGAGTTGGGAGTGATGGAAATCTGATTGCCGGTCAGCCAATGTCCTGGACATGTGTCGTGGACGGGTCTAACGCGAAGGTGCTGCTGAAGTGTGATTGTAGCACTGTTATGCAACAAAAGGAAGCACAGGAAAAGTAAAGGCGAGATCCTTGCGGACGTCGAGCAAGTCAAAGGAATGATCCTCGTGGGAGAAAGTGGTTATTGCAGCCAAGGTTGGGTATGAGCCTTGTTGTTCGCTCTGTGTGGGTGCCTTAGACAGTCGTAGCTACCCAAGCTGAGGCAGCGAAAAGGGAACAACCTTTCCCCATCAGACTACACTATGAACCTCCGGACACATGACAAACACTTTCGTTTGCAGAGATCGAATTTTCTGTCCGGGCGAGTTGGTGGACATCCCATTCATGGTGGCAACACGACACATGAGCATATGCGAGAAAGCAGAGTTATCTTTTCCATTATCCGCGTCTATTCTGCCTCTACCGGGCTTCGGGAGGTCTTCCTTCCTCTCAATCACTCTGTACACGAGCTATTACACAGGCCAATCCATTCGTGACCAGCAATCCTTTCCGCGCCCTCTTGCGAATTTCTACGATCCGTCCCAGATCCGGTACCATCCCGCCACCAAAGGCTCCAACGTAACATGGCCAGGAAGCTTCCTGCAGCATGTGAGGTCGGGTCTTAAAGAAGTCTCAGAACAAATACATATTCATCTCGAGCCTGTCGAAAGCTGCCTGTCTGCCTGGGGCGTAGCATCTATTGCCCCACATGCTTCGCAGAACCAAAATATCACGGTTCGCAGCTGCAATCTCTGCCTGAGCTGAGCCACCCACGCTCCCTGCGTTACATTCACCTCAGCCAACGACTGAGTGAAGTGTCCCACTCCAGTGCGGTCAAAGTGTCACAGACCGCGGCGAGATGTGCGCCCTGACTGGGAGATCTGCAAGCACGCCTGTTGGGCAGCCTGGACGACGTGCTGTTCAAAAACATTATAGCTTATGCCTGGAAGCCCGAGAAGAGCAAGCACGGATGGCAGCTTTCGTTGAGCTGCCTCTGTGCTGAGAAGACTTTGGATTCTCTGGGCCATCTGCCGGCGCAGGCGCTCTCCACGAATCTGCTCATAGCTCGCAAGCATCCTCTGCTTGTTCTCGATGGTATCAGACACATGCACCGCATTGGCGTGGTTGACATGAGCCGCCCTGTGGCGGCACCACTTATCCCACGGCGCCACGGGTTCCCGCCAGCCATACTGAGCTCCAGAGATGTCGAGCAGGAGAGTCTCTCCTGAGGCGAGGTGAAGCCGGATGACTTTGTGTGCTCCAATCATCATGTAACACTCCTTATTCAATTTGCTGGAAGCATTGAGGATGCCCAACGGGTTGACGGCGTTTCGAGGCACAATCGTGATCACCTCCATGTGTCGGCAATACGCTGTGTCAAATCAGGGCCAGTCAGTCATCGTACTCAAGTATCAAGTGAAGCTAGGACAGGCTTACGGTCGATGAGAAGATTGAGCAGCTGCCGACCAACGATGACGATCTCGTTGCATGTTTGGCCGGTGAGAGCCGCGTGATATGCCTCTTGCGAAGCATTTCCCTGAGCAACAGGGTTCAGGATTGGCCCGCCTCGGAGTACGAGCTCTTCCTGCGGCACTTCGTGCAGGTGAGTCACACCGTCTCGAACTTCCAGGCTCTCTACCTGGCGTTGAGCACCTGCTGCCTCGATGGCATACATGAGCTTCTGGATCAGGTGTGCGGCACGGACAACCTTCTTGCGGGTAGTGCAGAACGTCTTGTGGGTGGGCCAGTGATCCTCTTGACACTTCCTGCTGCAGTAGTACATGCATGAGATTCTGCGACCTTGGCTCTCGATGACACAGCCTGCGCAGTAAGAGTAGACTTCCTTTTGGGCAGGCGCCCATCCACAGTGACCGCAGCCACGTTTCTCCTCCCCCGGCAGAAGGGATGCAGCCTGGCGAGCCGCGTCTGTTCCACCATGACCAGTGAGCTGCATGCCCATGTCGGCATCGTTGCGTCCGCGGACGATCCACTTGTAGAATCGTAGCTGGCGTGCGGTGGCAGTCTGGCCCATAAGCTCGGCCGGAGTCTTTTGCATTGCCAGATCGGCGATGCTGCGCCAGAAGTAGACGCAGGAGGTAGGGTCGAATCCAATCAATGTGACGTTCCGGATTCCCATGGCGTGCATTCTTTGGATATCCGGAGGGAGGCGTGAGACGAGGAAGGCATAGTCGGCGCCGGACCGGTAGTCGGGGTTCAGCAGCGACATTGCATCCAGGAGGCTTTCATGGTTCTCTTGTCCATGAGCTCTAACGAACTGCTCGTGAGCTGCCGGCCGAGGAAGCCGGGGGAAGAAGGCCTCTAGGGGATTCATCTTCGTGCAAAGTCCGGATTCACTGTGCGCGCCAGTGAGTTGTTGTGTAGAACGAACGAAGCTCAATCCTGTGATACTTGCCTGTGAGATGACGTATCAGAACCGTCACGCTGGACATGCACGAGAAGAGGTCAATGTGTGACAATGATATCGTGATCAGCCTTTCAGCTGATTGCACTGAGAATGAGACTAAGAACAATTGCTTGAGCGGTATTCGCTTTCATATTTATAATGATCACATGGGCCTGGTGAGGTCTCGCACCTGCGACTGACTTCTGAGTTACTTTGTTCCGCTTCGCGTGTTCCAGCCAGGCCCTGTCCTAGATCTGCTGTTGATACTCCGTCTGCACCGATTGCGGCCGGACAAATGTTGTCTGGAGACCCACATCACAAACATCATCACAATATATGTCGACCATACTAACGTCCAGAAGAATCAAGAGTCTGCGGGGAACTCTTACGTTGTTGCAGGTTCCGATTGTCCTCCGGTGGAACTAACCAGTGACATGAATGTCGTCTCAAACTCAGTGCGCGCCTCAGTCTGTAAACCTCAGGAATTCGCAAACGTACTGGCCTCGAACCAGTCGCAATCGACCTACACCATTTGAGGATGGAAAATAAATGTTCGCCTGCGTACAAGTGACCTGGCACATGCCTGGCTTGGAACTACCACAAGATGGTACCATTACTGGGGAGCAAATATGACATTGAGAACCAACGCAGGCATTCGCCTTACACTTCTCAACTCTGGCGCATGATAGTTCCTACGGACTGCGCTCCCTTTCGGTCAGCTTCCCAGGCAACGTCGCAGCTGAGATAAGAAGGCAATTCTTGCGTTGCTCCGTGCTGTAGCAATGCTGTGACGGGCGACAGAAAAGTAGCAGATGGAGAGCTTTATCCAAACTGCGTCCAGATCATTGCGGAAGTATGAGGGATGAGAGTCCCATACACTTTTTGGCACCTTGCTTGGCCAGATGCTTTGCTCTTGGTGTAAGCTCGAGTCGGCCCAACTTCCATCCGTGTTGTGTTGTTCGACCCGCATGGCCAGCCAATCATTGCGCCGTGCCTGGCTGTCGAAGCTCGCATTCGCGGTGCCGGAGTTAGGCGCCTTTACGAGGCTTGGCGGAGCTGGAGAACTGCCTAAAGGAGATAGCGGGCCATTGCTGATTCGCTGCGATCGTGGCAGAGTTGAAGCACCTCGCGATCAGTACAGCGCTGACGAGCTCGTGGCGATCCTGCTTGGAAGTCGCAATCGAATGGTCTGATCAAACCAAGCATTCCTTGGATTCATCATGATGTTTTCAGGTCGCTAGGGGCCGAGGTCCATAAGAGGGAGCCCGCCCGGCATCCTTTCGTCACTTCCTTCACAGTCCAACCTGCGACAAGGACAACCTAGCCTTGAGCACTGGACCCCAAGACAACGAAGTCGCCAGACTTGCCAACCCGTAATAAGAATATCGAACAATATGTCAGCCACCCAGCAAGACAAGCAGCATCCCAAGAACAGTGCCGCATGGCTCAAAGGCGTCAAAGTGCGGGCCCTTGAAGTGAGGGATGCACCCTACACTGAGCCTGCAGCAGACGAGATTGTCCTACGCGTGCACGCTGTTGCGCTCAATCCAATCGACTATATGACACAGCACCAAGGCAGCCTCATGTTTCCCTGGATCAAGTACCCCTTCATCCTAGGGACCGATGTCGCAGGCGAAGTGGTGCAAGTTGGCACGGATGTGGACGCTGACGGAAACTCCCCTCTGGCGGCTGTGGGGAAGGTTAGAGTCGGAGACAGAGTGGTCGGCTTCGCAGCAGGTACGGATGAGAAGCGCAACCGTGCCGCCGAGGGAGGGTTTCAGCATTACACTGTCCTCGCAGCCCGAATGGCAACCAGAATCCCCGACGGCATGACCTGGGAGCAGGCAGCTGTGCTGCCAATGGGTGTCACGACAGCTGCCGCAGCGCTTTTCAAAAAGGACCAGTTGGGGTTGCAGTGGCCTCAAGGACCAGCCAAGACCACGCCACAAAGCACAGGCAAGGACAATGAAATCGTCGTGATCTGGGGCGGCTCTACGAGTGTTGGAAGCAACGCGATCCAGCTTGCGGTAGCTGCCGGCTACGAAGTCCTCACCACCTGCTCGCCGAAGAACAACAACGCCCTTCACAGCCTTGGAGCAGCGCGGTGCTTCGACTACCGCTCCTCCGCGGTGGTGGCGGACATTGTTGCGGCCTGCTACGGGCGCAAGGTCGCTGGCGCCGTGGCGATTGGTCACGGGTCGGGCTTCTGCTGCATGGATGTCCTCGCGCAATGCAGTACGCCCGGCAAGAGGAAGTATGTGGCCATGGTCTCCTATCCGATGCCAGACGTTGTCGACCCCAGTATGGCACGAATGGGAGCCTCGTACATGGTCGGCAGCGCGCGGCTGCGGCTCAAAGGTCTGAGTTCGGGGTGCGACTACAAGGCTGTATTCAGCTCGAACATTATCCACGACGAGGTGTCGGTCAAGGTATGGAATGAGTTTCTCGGTGCTGCCCTGGAGTCAGGCGAGTACAAGGCGGTTCCCGAAGCCGAGGTGGTGGGCAGCGGGCTCGAAAGCGTCCAGGGTGGCCTCGACAAGCTCAAGAAGGGAGTCTCGTACAAGAAGCTGGTTGTGAAGCTGGGTTGAGCAGTCCTGCTGTACCGTCCCATAGTGGTAGACACAGTCTCTCAATAATTTTTATGATACGGCCCTTTTGCAAAAGTCCAGTACGTGGGAATGGATACAGGCTAGAGGAAGCGCTGTTGCTCAGAGGGCAGGTGGCAACCTTGGAAAGCACCAAAGTGAGGCCGATGTGAGTCCTGGAGTACCAAGGCGTGCATGCGTGCCACATCCCCCCGTTTGTCACCGGCTAAGCACTTTAGCACGCCCTTTATTCAGGCAGTCACGACGCCTGGATGGAATCTGCACCTGCCTTGGGTTCAACACAACACGGTCCCTTCTGACCCCCTTCTGTTCTCTGCCTGACGTGGCACTGTTGACCTGTTCTTTTCTCCTCCAGGCACCACCCGATGCTATTCTGAGATCAACCCACGTCAAGGCCAGCAGCGACCAATATCAGTCGACCATCGACAAAAATCCTGGCACCCCATTCATGGAGTCGGTCGTGTCCTTCCGTGCCTGAGTCTGAAACAGTGAGCCACCCACCACAAATTTCTGCCCCAGTCCTCAAAGCTGACTATGAATACATTTGGACCAGAGCCGTCACCATGCTGGATGGCGTCGAGACCCTGTTTGCTCTGCTACCCAAGCCCGAAGCCCACGAGATTTGGTGCAGACTCTGGGAGCGGCTTGATTCAGGTGCCCTGTGGGATTCTCTTACTGCGGCAAAGCTCAATAAGAGCCATGTCAACCGGGACCACCGGCTACTCGCATCCCGCAAGCCAAGTTGCATCGAAGACGTCGACCGCTTCTGGCACACCATAGCCGAGTTCGCCATCTCCAAAATCCCAGCCGATATTCTGGGCGATAGTCCACAGGCCCGCCAGCTACGATACTACAAGTGGTGGGCTCGAGGCAAAAGTGATGCGGAGAAGACGTTGATGCTGACTGACAACCCAAATCTTGGTGACGTGGTACGCACCGCCGCTGCAGGTCTGACGTCGCAAGCGGACCGCGCATGTGCGTCTTGCCACAAAACGCCCCCCGACACATACGAATTCCCATGCTGTCCAAACTGTCTCATTCTAGACGGTACTGGCAAGCGGAAGCTATTGTGCACCTACTACTGCAGCAAAGCATGCGCAGCAAGGGATTCAGAAGCTCACAAAGTCCACTGCTTTCCACGGAGACGCGTCATTCGTGCCGTGAAGCTGGTGGCGAAGCTTTTGCAAACCATTGATGCCGCGGCGTCTCATACGCAGTGGAAGACGCTGGCCGTACGTGATGGCATTACGTACCTTGAAGAGGTGCCACGGACACAACTTGCGTACCTTGGAGAGTTCGCTCTCCAAACCATCGTCCGTGACGATCAACAGCCGGAGGCGACCTACCTCGCTGCCCTAACGTCGGATCACTGCAGGGAAATGCTCCTGATGGGCGACCGCCTCGTCCGTTTGCTCCTCGCACGTAAGTTTCTAATGTTCATACCAGTCCAACACCATGCCTACAAGAGGTTTCTCATTCCCCCCGAACGTAGAAACAACTACATCACTAACTCAAGATCTCTTTTGTCTTTAGCACTCTGTCAGAGCATCGAAGTTGTCAATATCAGCCCTCGCAATGGTTTCAACCCAGTCTGCCTTCTCAATTCAGATCACACAGATAGGCCACAGCGCTTCATGATGATTGGAATCCACACAGTCCTACGCCTTACGCTCCATTCGGGTGAGAAGCTGGCTGCGGATATATACGGCGCGCAATTTGGGTGGCCAGAAGTCGTTGCACCTTGGGACTCCTGGCGAGAGAAACGAACTTTGGAGGCGACATGTGACCGACCAGGTGCACTAACCTTCGACAAGGAGATCCTCTTAACGTTGACTGAGGGTATGCTTCATCGTGATCCTTCATACTTCGTCGGCGACGAGATCCGTGCCGAAATGGCCAGAGACATCGCAGCACTCGTCCTTAGGAAGTCAGAGTCGTTCAAAAAGTCGCTTGGGCTGGCTGCCTTCAGGAAGAACGGCGCCGATTACCGCGCCTGGGAGACAGACATTCAGGAAGCAGCACGGCAGAAATGCAACGAAGTCATGCAGCTCAGGCGCGCGAGCAACCAAAAACGTTTGTACTTTGATCAATATGACCGAGTACAGGCCACGAGATCACCGGAGGAAGTAGAGGCACTGCGCGGAGTTTGGTTGACGCCGCAGGACATCAACAAGCACGGCACCAACCCATCGAAGTTGAAAGCTCTATGGAAGAAGCGGTGCATGCGGTCATCCAAGCAGGCCGTCTTCAAGAAACTCGGTATGCATATGCAGTTCAAGTGAGTAGATGGAAGAGCGTATGCTTGGTGGCGCCCGACTTCCACAACGACAAGAATATTGCTCAAGGCGGGATAGAAGGACGCAATAACAACAAACTAGCTTCCCACGGCAGATTATGGCAAAAATGTATTGATATCTGCAAGACTCTGATTCAGATGAACTCACCCAGAAGGTTACATGTAGGAGCTATTGTAGAGTTTCGAATCCAAGAAAACCAACTGTTTCATTCCTCCAGTTTTCCCACGCTCTCCACCGAGAGCATTGCGTTGAGACTGTACCGCAAGCACAAGCACAGGCACGAAAGATGAATCATGAATAGAGCACCCGGCTCATAGCCGAGTGGCGTAAATGAAGCGCTTTCTTCTCAGGAAATACCTCTGTTGGGACTAAATCAAGATGGCTCACGCCCCCAGGACCTTACATCCCTTTGCTTTTGTTCTGACAGGAACTTTGATGAAGACTAAGCGCCTTCGGACAGGGGACGACGATCTGGGCAGCGAAATGATGCCTGACGGTTAGGACCCCCTCTCTTCCCGAGCTGTAATATCGCTGTTCGGCCCTGGAAGGCCAGGTTTGGCCTTGAAACGTCCAGTCGGCCGCGGGAGTTGCAACTCCTGCTCACTAGGTGCCTTGGAATTGAATGATGTATTCGTCAGCGACCTGGGCATTGCGAGACGCGAACCAGCTGCACCGCTTCCGGGTCCGGGTAGTCCCTAATCACATCCGTGGCTTGCAACTGGCGTCTGCGGGAAGGTTGTTGAGGGACACCAATGACCGCGCCTAGGCATCGAACAGCTGGCACCACCAGTCCCGGAAGAAGACATTCCTTGTGACTCCAAAAAACTAGGTTTCAGATGCCATGTCAAACGAAGTCCCCGTCATTTGGTGTGCCGTCTTTTCCCCCTCGCCAGCGGTCCCGCCTGCCTTTTGTCATGCGAGGGGCTGGTCTGGCCGTGGTGCATGTGTTTATATACGCCGAGGCCATACAGCTCCGCAATGACCTGATGGCCTGGTATTTCCTTTCAGTCATGGCCAGTTCGCCAAGGATACGGTCGGGTGGATTTTCAAGATCTTTGCAAGGCTCGTGCCAATGCTTGACTCAATCAGCGCGCGCATAGAGTAGTGCTTCAAAAGCCTGTCACTTTTCATGCCCAAGCAATGAGATGATCTTCGGCTCGAGACCCAACAATGGTGACTTCAATGTATGTCTTGGCCGCCATCTGAGTCAAAGAGTCTCACGAGGTGGCCTCACGATTCTTGAGGATGACCCGAGGCCGAGATATTGAGGTAGCCTTGCTCCAGATGTGCATATTCAGTCATCATCATCGCCGGCAAAGACTCTGCGGGGCCAGTCGCGGGCGATGGGGATCTCGTCTCTGGGCCAGATGGACTCGCAAAAGACAAAGATCAAGTAGTCAATCACGACACAGAGGCAGAAGAGCTTGCCTGCCCACTCGCCGCACCCGTAGTATCGCTTGAGGCGGTCGATGAGGGCGAAGTTGCGACCCCGTGTAGCGCTCCACTGGGCCTTGCTTGCGACCTCGTACCCGTAGAACTCGGCATCGCTCACGTCCCCCATGATGCCTTGGTAGACGCGCTCCGTGCGCTTGGCCACGTTCGTCCACGAATACATCGCCTGGACTTGCTCGTGGAACCGCTCGGTGCGGACCTTGTTGGCGCGGATGGTCTGGATGGCTCTGCCCGTCGCGAGCACCAGGTCGTCTTCCTCTGGCTTGGCGAACTCCGTCATGTGCGACGGGAGAACCTCGGGGACTCCGCCGACTGCCGTGCAGACGACGTAGAGCCCGCAACTGGCAGCCTCGACAATGACGGTGCCGAATGCCTCCGTCAGACTCGGGTGTAGGTAGATGTGTCCTCTGACCATGACGTCCCGGACATCCTCGTGTCGCACGGGGCCCAGCATCTCCACTTTATCCTGGAGAACATTCTGCTCAATCATCTGTTCGAGGTCGATGGCTTTGGGGCCAGAACCCGCGATGATGAACCGCGTGTTGGGATGTGCCTCCAAGATGCGAGGGATAGCAGCAGTGAGTAGATCTGTGCCCTTGTTGTAGAACAGCCGGCTGATGACGACGATCGTGACGGGTTCGTGGGGACCCAGAGGATGCGCTGGCAGCGGATGTTGGTGGAAATGATAGTTTGTCGTGGCGGGATCCGGCCGGGGAAGAGGCTTGAAGTTGTCCGACACGACAGCGTTCGGGATGACGGAGACCATCAAAGGGTCCAGGGCGGCTCGGAGGACTGTGTTTTCTTTCCTGTGAAGGAGAACTAGGGTTACATTCTTTGGCTCTTGAGACAGGCACGCAGTAGAGTTGTGGGTGTAAGAACCTACGACGTATGGCTGACACAAATGGCATGATCGACGTCACTCAAGATGAACTTGAGCAGCTTGTTGGTGAGGATGCTTCCGGCGTCTGCAAATCCGAAGAGAGAATGGTCTGTGAAGACGGTCCGCAGTCCCATGGTGCGTGCGTGCAGAAGAGCTTCTTGGCCCAGACAGCTCAGACTGGCATGGCCGTGGACAATCTCGATCTGCTCGCGGAGAATGATGTTGCGGAAGAGGGGGAAGAACGAGAAGACGGTCGGGAAACTGGACGAGCGGTAGATGACGGCGAAGGGCACGTGAAAGACCTTGATGCCGTTTGTGAGGTAGCGAACGCCCTTGCGGTCGTCGTAGGCGTGTGTAATGACGATGACCTTGTGGCCGCGGTCGACGAGCTTGCTCGAGAGCTGGTAGATGTGACTTTCGATTCCTCCGGGCTGTGGAAAGAAGAAGTCGCAGACCATGGCAATGTTGTATGTCCGCTGCTTTCGATTGGCCATCGTGCCAGCCTTGCGGGCTTTGTCAGAGCCCGGCATCATTATTGCCAAGGGACGATATGCTGCGCCTTTGGTGGCGTGTACTGGGCTAGACGAGCTGGATCAAGGCCGCCAGATCTTGTGTCGAGGACGGTAATCGACAGCGTAGGCATGATCATGTGAAGGTCGCCGAGGATGCGCGTGCGGCGCTCGAGAGCCTACGGAATGGCAATAAAGAAGCGGTATCGATGGTGATTAATGGGTGAGCATCTTGGCCTGGCTCTCGCTAGCTTCGTGTGGCCATGTGCGACCCCAAGACAGGAGGTCCTGAAGTCCAGTCCGAGGCACACTGCCCGCCCGCACCTGTCTGCATGTTTCGAGCTACGTAAGCGCCTGTTCCTGGCGCGGCCCCCACGATCGGCGGCTGATAAGCGTCGATTGCGCGGGCGGTCAAAAAGTTACAGACCGGCAAAATCCCAGCTCGGCCCTGCAGCTGTGGGGGTGCCTCTATTCGAGAGTCGCCCGGCTGGTAGCATTAAAAAATGTTGCTGCGAGCAACACCGTCACCGGCAAGGCACACGCGATAGCCAGATCGACGCAGCCAGCGCCTCGGCCTCGCGGTACCATGTACGCCCGCTACGTGCCTCAATCGGCGGGCGCCGCGCCCGTCGACCTGTCAAACCAGACATCCGCTCCAGCCAGCACTCCCGCAACTGTCGCCGCTGCGACCATGGCTACTCCGACAGCTTATGCTCGGTACGTCCCGGGCGCCGTTCCCGAAGACATCAGCGACAGGCCAGCCAAGAAGGCCCGCTTATCGCCGCAGCCCGAGCCAGCAACAAAATCGTCGAGCAAGAAGCGCAAATCCAAACGTCGCACAAGTGCAGTTGACAGCGACACGGATGAAAGCTCTGCCACGGACACAGAGCCACCAACTCACAAGGCTGAGACTGCCGATAGCAGCTCGGAGGAGGACGAGGCTACGGATGCCATCGCTGAGCCGGCTGAGGAACTTGCAGATGTTCCTCCTGAAGTCCAGCAAGCCCCCAAAAAGCCTAAGCGGGAGAAAAAGTCGAAAAAGACCACGAGCGCAGAGGCGCAATCGGAAAGCGATGACGAAATCCAAAAGCGACATAAAGCCGTTTTTGAGCGCAAAAGGAAATCGATGCTGGCTCCCCCTACGCCCAGCGATCAGCCGGCGGACGGCGAGGATGCGACGATGGAAGACGCGCCCTCCCCTGAGCAGGCGCATGGGCTTGAGCCTCTCCCACAACCCAAACCTGCAGAGATTGACGACACCATACCAACGTTCGAGACCCTGCCTGCCTGGCTCGCCGAGCCGATTCGTGTCTCACCACAAGCACTAGCAGACTTTGACAAGCTGGGAGCAACGCGCGAGCTCGGGATCTCAGCTGAGGTTGCGACCAAGCTAGCTTCCGTCGGCTACAAGAGTGCTTTCGCGATTCAAACGGCCGTGATACCGCTGCTGCTGCCGCATCACTGCAAATCACGACAGGGCGACGTCTTGGTGTCGGCCGCGACTGGATCCGGCAAGACGCTCTCGTACGCACTACCGATGATTCGTGATCTTAGTCATGGCAGCCGGAGATTGACACGGTTGAGGGCTCTGATTGTGCTGCCCACACGCGAACTGGTCAAGCAGGCGCAGCAAGTATGCGAAGAGATTGCTGGTGTGTTTGCGTCGGAAGGTGCGAAGCGACGAGTACGGATTGGTGTTTCCATGGGCAGCCAAAATCTCGAAAAGGAACAGGCCTCTTTTGTTGAAAGAGAAGAGGTGTACGATCCGATCGCGTACTCCGCGCGCCAGAAGCGTCTTGCTCTCGGCGACTACGATCAGGGCTCGGACGCCACCGACGACGAAGAAAAGACGGAACGATCCCGGCGGGAGGACCGCATCCCGACATTACCTGAGCATGTCATCCAATACAAGTCAAAGATCGATGTGCTTATCTGCACCCCTGGTCGCCTGGTCGAGCACATCAAGTACACACCAGGCTTCACGCTCGACTATGTTCGGTGGTTGGTGGTCGATGAGGCGGACAAACTCCTTGGCCAGGACTTCCAGCAGTGGCTTGATGTGGTCATCCCGCCATTACAGAAAGACCGTAGGTCTCGGAAGCGTAATCATCATCACAGCAATTTGACTGGTGTACGCAAAGTTATCCTCAGTGCCACAATGACCAGGGATCTGGAGCGCCTGGGAGGGCTCAAACTCCGGCGGCCCAGCCTAGTTGTGCTTGAGGGTGCAGGAGGCACTGACAATGATGCGGACCAGGCGCACGCCGAGCATGCCCTGCCCGAACTTCTCGAGGAAGCGGCACTGAAGGTCAGCGACCCCAACGTGAAGCCAGTCTTCCTGGTCGATCTCTTGAGAAGCAAAAAGGTACTTGGCGATGCGGCAGGCCAGGCGCCCACACTATCGAAAAACGATGCCGACACTTCATCATCCGAGTCGAATGCCGACACCTCATCGTCTGAGTCCGAGTCCGACGCCGACACATCCTCATCAGAAGACGAGACAAGCTCGGAGGAATCCGACAACGGGTCTGCCAGCTCGTCCCGACGCGCCGCATCCAAGACAAGCGCGACACCCAGCGTTCTCATCTTCACAAAGTCCAACGAGACAGCCATGCGCCTCTCGCGGCTGCTGTCCCTCATCTCACCAAAGCTCACACCCTTGCTCGGCACGCTCACCTCCACGACCGCGTACTCGGCCCGCCGGCAGACACTCCGCGACTTCACGGCCGGCAAGCTGCGGGTCCTCGTGGCGTCCGACCTGGTCGCCCGCGGTATCGACCTGCCGTCGCTGGACCACGTCATCAACTACGACATGCCGACTAGCGTCGCCTCGTACGTCCACCGCGTCGGACGGACGGCCAGAGCCGGCAAGAGCGGCCGGGCGTGGACGCTGTTCACGAAGCCCGAGGCGCGCTGGTTCTGGACCGAGATTGCGGGAGGCAAGACGGTCACGAGGGCCAGGGAAGTGCAGCGGATTAGGATCACCGAGGAGAAGGAGGATCTGTTCGATGAGAAGGTCAAGGTGTACGAGACGGCGCTCGAGGCGCTGGGGCAGGAAGCAGGGGAGATGAGGAAACGCGGCCGCAACTAGAGAGAGTGGCATTCGGCTTTTGTGTCTTACATAGCGATACCAAGCATTTATTTCGAAAAAGGCAGTCTATATGTCTAATCTTTGGCCAATGTTGACTTCGCCGTCGTTTGTTGATGCTTGCATCGTCTAGTATGCCTGCCGGAAACAACGTGCCATGGCCTAAACCTTGACCCAGCCTTCTATCGCAACAGCGCCTCTAGAACATTTTGTCTTTGATGGTGCTGATCGTTCGTAGCAGGGTCCTTCTCACATCGCTGGGAGCTGCTGCTCCGCCTTGACCCTCCGCTCCTCGCGCTCGCTGAACCGATCCCCGAACAAGTCGAAATGCGGCCTCATGACAATCGTGTACTTGACCAGCTCCTCCATGCAGTCGACCAGACGCTCGCGGTTCGAGCTAGGCATCATCCTGCTCCCTTCGGCCGCAGGCGTGAACTGCGTGTACGCCTTGGGCACGGAGCTCTGGTTCGGGATGGCGAACATGCGCATCCACCGCCCCAGGACGCGCAGCGTGTTGACCGTGTTGAAGGACTGCGAGCCGCCGCTGACCTGGGCGATGGCGAGGGTGCGGCCCTGCGTCGGGCGCACGGAGCCCGTGGATAAAGGGATCCAGTCGATCTGTTGCTTGAAGATGCTTGACTGGAAATTCCCAGCAGAGGTTAGAGTGATTCGGGCCGCCGCGTGGGGTTTAGGTTTAGCTTAGGGGAGGGAGTGCTAAGGATGAAAAGAAAGAAAAAATGGACTGACGAGTTGACCGTGCTGCTCTGGGCTCACCCAGACGTGGCCGTCGCTCCACTTGCTCAGCTCCCGCAGCTCTTGCACCTTGGGGTGGTCATGCTGCACGTCGTCCTTCTGGGGCAGGCCTGTCGGGTCATACACGCGGACGTCACAGCCCAGTCTGAAGAGGATGCGGGCTGCTTCGTAGGCCAGGAGGCGGGAGAATGATCTATACGTTATGAAGTGTCAGCATGGGTCAATATCGGTCAGTATCGGCCAGGCTGGCTATGTTACTTGCGACGAGACGAGACGGCTCCAACTCGAGCACAAGCACAAGAAAAACAGGCCAAGCAGAAAGAATTCTCTAGTCCGTCTTCACCAAGGGGAGAATGAATGTGACCTACCTGCTCCTCAGGCTGCCATATAGAACCAAGATCCGTAGCCGGTCCTGCTTCTTGTCGAGAATCTCCTCCTGGACCATCTTGAGCACGGTGCTAAGCTCGAGCTTCGCCACCCAGTCACCATCTGCGGCTTCGGTTCCCTGGCCATCAGAGGAGGACCCGGCCGAGCCAGCGTCTAACAAGAAGGGCCTGTACTGCGTCCGGACGCTGGGATCGTCCTCTGCCTCCGCTATGGCCAGAGAGACATGGCTGAACGCCGGGTCGACGTCGAGGACGACCCGCTGGCGGATGGCCTGCGAGTTGTTCAGGTCGCCGTGGCCGTCTGCCGTCATATTTCTCTGGACGGCCTGGGACCTGTGGCTGCTGTAGTGGCGAGGATAAGTATCCTTGAGGGTTGGTGCTGCACGTGATGGGGAGCTGCAACCCAATGCAGTAGAAGGATGATTGTCGAGGGCGGTGCGGGACAGTGTATGAGGCTGGGGTCTAGTCAAGTACACACGGCTGACTTGTCTTGTAACCAGGTGCCGAAGAATGGGAAGGTTCATTTCTGTCCTCAGTGACGAGTGAGTGTGCTGCAGAGAGGAAGTCAATTTCTGTCCTTGAGTGAGCTGCAAAGATGAAGTCGACGTCGGGCGGTTGTAGTGCCCGAGCCGGGCTCATACGAATGTGTACCCCCATAGTGCGGGACCGGCACAGTATCTGCTGCACTGTCTGGTTTCAGCAAAATGTGACAGGAATTATAGTGACCGTGGAGACTTGGTATTGACACCATGGCAGTGCGATGGGACGGGCCGCATGAATGCACGCTTCTGCTAGAAGGAGGGCCTCGTTCCATGTCAGAATCCAGCAGATTCACTCTACAAGCGTCCCATGGCGGATAGGCTTTCTCTGACGTATACAAGCAATGGAATCTTTGGCTTTGCAGGCTTTCATCACAATCTCTGAAGAAGCGTGCCCCTACGCCGCCTCAACAAGGCCATCCATAATATCCCCGTGTTCTAGCAACTTGGGAAAATACTGCAAGTTGTGGCCTAGTCAACCAGGCTCACGGACTTTGCGTGTCGCTGCACAGTGTGATGGCGGCAAGATATGTCATGCCCCTCCCTTCATTGGCTGCTGGAAACAGCCACTCCCCTGCTCTGATTGGTCTCTCGCACGAGGCGACCCCGAACTTGGTCGGGACGTCCCTGCCTCTTCCGATCGGAGACGGCGCCGCATCTCGGCCCAGGCCCGCCCAGAGTAGCCGCAGCACCGCGGGCCACTACACAGAACAGATCTTGGCTTCACCGCATCATCGCCTCAATGAAGTTACTTGCGCACGTGTAATGTCGTCGAGAATACTCACAAGCCAGGAATGGACAGCTGTGATAAGTATTGAGTAGTAAGCATTATGAGGAAACCAGGTTTGGAAGCACTAAACTCGCCACCCATGTAATCCTTTAACGTCACAAAGTCGTTACGAGGCGACGCAGTAACCATTAGCTTGCGGCCGTATTTCCAGACCAGTCGATTTTGTCCACAACATTGGAGCAGGCACTCAATCTCCACGTCTTGCAGCTACTCCCGCCGAGGTCGCCACGCCTGACCCACTCGCCATTATTACTGCAAAACTCGTGGTGGAACAATACTTAGCTAGGCTCGACTTCGTTGAGCTCGCAGCAAGATGCTTCGATAGACGAGGCCTTGGCCTCTATTAGAGGGAGATGTGCGATCTCGTGCCACGAACCGCTATCACCATTGAAGAATGGCTCGGGGTTATCCTCGATTTACTTCGTATTCCGATGGGCCAAAACGAAAGGAAACTCACAGAAGAGCCGGACGGTAAAAGGCGTAAAGGTAACGTAGATATTATCGTTCTTGAGCTCTTCCTAAGTGGGTGGTTCTCTTCAGAGCTTGCCATTCGGGGCAATGCCTATGACCAGTAGTTAGAAGTCATACCTGGAATTTGAACGAAATAAGCAGGCTTTCCATGAGCTTTCCATAACTTCCTGTTTGGAAACAGTCCAATGACGTAATGCTAGACCGCCAGCGGTTAACTCGTTCTGTGGGACTTCTCATTCGCTGTGTCCAGCCTGCGCTCTCGTTATACCTGCCTCCAGCTTCCTCCATGTCTAGTGGACTATTCCATACGAGGTGGCCCCGCCACGGCTGGCAACACCCCTGCCCTGGACGGAAATTGCCATATAACACCGATGCTGCCCTGCATCCCTTTGTCGGCGTTTGTCCTAAAGCCTATCTGATTGCTGCCGAGTTGACTCCGGTACATGAGTACTGGGGATTTTGCAAGGTTGATAGCTCTAGAAGAAAAGACGCACGCAGTGCTGGCCGTCATATTGTAGTAATCCCCTTCGATTCGACCGCGGCGACGGACAAATGGACCGGGCGTGGGAAAAGGCTATGCACTGCAGCTCCCCAGTCGTCCGACCCAAATCGTCGTGTCGGCAATCTCTAAAGCAATGGCGGGCGGTGGCCATGCAGCATGTCCGTCACGTTTTGGCTCGTTCACACCGTGGTTCTCTGTTTGGCAAGTTCCGAACAGTGCTTACCAATTCCGGAGCAATCGAGCTCCGAGTGTTGAAACACCAGTACTCGCGATCGTGAACCATACGAGCCTCACGTTTCACCAAGTGAATATATATAGAAGCACTTATTTCGTCGAAGAGGCGAGATCTTGCAAATGTACAAAATAATCTCGTGATCAACTAGAGCCAGACGCTGACTTGACTTCCGGTGCTATTCTTTCATCCACTACCAACTCCCAATCATCGCAAACATGGCACCAAGATACAACCACACAACCAAGGGATCCGATCTCGTGGCCGAGCTCGCCGACAACATCAAGGGCAAGACGATCCTCATCACCGGCGCTTCCCCTGGCGGCATCGGTGCCTTGTACGCCGCTGCCGTTGCCCGGGCTTCGCCAGCTTTCATGATTCTCACCGGCCGGACCATTGCGTCCATCGAGGCCACCGCCCAGGCTGTGGCCCAAGCCAACCCAGCTGTCAAGACCAAGATGGTCGCCATGGACCTTGGCTCGCTGACCAGCGTCCGCACCGCGGCACGCGAGATCATGTCAGATGACATATCTCATATTGACGTCCTTGTCCTCAACGCGGGCATCATGGCGCCGCCGTACAGCAAGACGGCAGACGGTTTCGAGTCGCAGTTTGGCGTCAACCACCTTGGCCACTTTGTCTTTGCCAACTCGGTCATGCCAAAGGTTCTGAATGCAAAGTCGCCGCGGGTCGTGGTTGTAAGCAGCAACGGGCACAGGCTGAGTCCCATTCGGTGGGGAGATATTGGTTTCCAGGTGAGAAAGTCATCGCCAGCATGTCCCCTGTTTGTGTAACATGCCGAGCAACGGCATCGTCACGCAATCCCAATCGCGCGGAGTCCTATACCATCCCGTCAAGTACAGCAACCAAATAAAAGCGTGCTGACATTATCTCCGCGATAATACAACCAGGACGGCAAGGTTTACGACAAGTGGTCTGCCTACGGTCAGTCCAAGACCGGCAACAACCTCTTTGCGCTGTCCCTCGCAACCAAGCTCGGCAGCAGAGGCCTACAGGCCTTTTCCCTGTGCCCGGGCGCGTATATGAGCAACCTGATCCGGCATCTCGACCTTTCGGAGAACGGTGATGCCCTCCCCTCACTACGTAAGTGCGGTCCCTCTCAGCCACTATGATTTTTAACGTTTCCCTCCTCAATTCTACCATGAACACGTGAGTCATCGTTGTGGGATTGGATGAATATTCTGACTGGGACCCGACACCAGGCGCCGCCGATGAGAGACTCGGCACCCCGGCCTCCATACCAAACCTGAATATCCCCTTCCGCGACGAGGAGACCGTCATAGCGACCCACGTCCTTGTCTCCTTCAGCGACGATATCCGACGTAAGTTTGGTGTACCCTTCTCCCGGCCCAGGCCCAGGCCCACCCACCTACTTTTTGGCTTCATTCGTTTCCAATGCTGACAGAGACGGTGTTTTCCCACTGCCCTTGGCGACCAGCGTTCAACGGGCAGCACTTTACCACATGCGCTGTGGCGCAGCAGGACCGCGACGAGGTCTTGCCTTGGGCCAACAACGCTATTGAGGCGGAGCGGCTATGGCGCCTTAGCGAGGACTTGGTCGGCGAGAAGTTTGCGTACTGAGCGTATCCGCTAGTCTGATGAGGGATGCATTGATCAGAAGACACGTCAAGGGAGCCTCCAGGCTAGCTGTTCCTCTCAGTTGGTCATGCAGGGTTTTAGCCTTGCTGCTGAAGAAAGAACAGCAGCGAGCCGTCGGGGGTCGTGTCCGGTAAGTAGAGTTATATTCAAGAAAATGTCAGTTCCCACTAGGAACAGGTAAGGGGAGTAAGCGATTCAACACGCATGATGTAGAGCCTTGGAAGAAAGCGTCTAGTGTTCGAGTAGCAGGCAAACTGGTCGTTTTTCTGCACAAAGATTAGTGTTTCGAACACAGTTCTCCTGTGAACAGAGCATCGTGAATATGCTGCCCCCCACTTTTGGTGTTTACATGATGCTGGTGTACAACGTCGGCGATCTGCCACTCTCTAAACGTTATCCCCAACAGGCTCTTGTTATCTCTTCTTGCTATCACGAAGGCTGCCTGGGCAACCGTGACCTCGTAAGGACTAGAATTTGTCAGCAGTGCGCTTGATAGTCCATTCCGGTCAAGTGGGCTCCACTCAATAACAAGGATCGCGGTGACTACTGAGGAGTCGCTTGGCATCGTTCTTGGGCGCCGTGAATGCTTCTCTCTTCTGCCGCAGGCAGACCGCGACGGACGGTCATCTTAAAGCCTTGAAGACCCATCGCCCGGCCTCCTCGCGGACACTGATATTTCAAGTCGCAGTGGTTGCAACAAACCACCGCCATGGCAACAACAGACCTCCGCTCCGTGCTCACGGCCGAGCTCTTCCAAGGCATGGTTGACTCCTCGATTCCCTACAGCACAACCGAGCCGATAGATTTCAGCGATGTGATCGCAGGCATGTTCGGCGGCGCCAGTGGGGGTGCTGAGACGTGGGAGAGCCTCAAAGACTCGGCCTGGGCCGCCCTCAAGGCACTGAGCGAGCTGGGAGTGGACAAGGCGGAGGACTTTGACTTCCAGCGCTACCTGCCACCTCCAGAGGACGCCAGCTTCCTGGCCCAGTCCCTGGGCTTCATCCTCCTCCTGGACCAGGCACCCCGCCGCCTGTGCCACGGTCTCGACTCGCGATACACGGACGCATATTTCGCCGTCTACGCGCTCCGCCTGTTCCGCTATCTCCACGAAGACCCAGCGCTGCCGACGGAGCTGCGGCCTACGTCCTGGACGCGCTGGGAGGCGGCGGTCGGCGCGGCATCGTTTGACTACTTCATCGCCGCGCGGCTGTCCTTCAACGCCGTCCTCGCGCACAACGAGAGCACGGCCAAGGAGTGCCTCGCCTTCACAGAGGAGGCGCGTGTGCTGGTGGAACAGCGCTTCGGCGTGCGTGATCCGCACCGCGACGAGCCGGACAAGCGTTGGGACTTGTACGGGTTCCCCAAGATCATCGCCAGCGCGGCTTCTGCTGGTGGCGGCAGCGGCCTGCCCAAGGGGCCCATGGGTGTGGTCGAGGGTTGGTTCTGGCTCGCGTGGCTGGTTGACGTGCATTACCCGATCCTCGAGCGGTACGGCCGGTACCCGTATCGCAACGGCGCCATGGGCAGGACGAGCACCGTGGAGGAAGAGGCGTGGGTGGAGAAGGCGGCGGTCTTCCCCCAGCTACCGGCTGACGTGAGGGACCATATGAGGATGGATGCCGAGAATGGTCGATGGTCGCCTCTGGGTGCAGAGATCAAGAAGACGGTCTCGGAGTAAACCCATCGGTGGTGGTATGACATCTGGAGTCGTCAATACTGGCGGAAGCTAACATCGTATAGCTGTCAAATCATAAGCTGAACCTCATGGTATTGGGTCATCTAATTTGTACTAGTCTTTTGTGACCCCCAAGCTTGTTAAAGTGACTAGCTTGTGGGCTTATGGCTGGGAATAAGCAGAGAGGAGACTACTAGTGACCTTCGCCTTCTGCGCAAGAAGAGATTCTTGATTCTGGTTGCTGACGCTCCCTTGACGTAGCCGCGACTGAGCCCGTCAATACAGGGTCACAAAGTGGAAGGCCCTGCGTGGAGCATATTCAGAGATAAGTATGAATCGCGAGGTCTGGGGAGCAGGATTCTCTATAGTTGGCGCGATTGCAATAGGACAGGTGAACCCGAGCTCCGGGCATCGCGAAGCGCAGCGTATTATAAAGCCTTACACGGATGGGCACGTGATTCTCGTGTACATGGCCCGGCGACGAGAAAATGCTGCAGAACTCCGGAATCCGTTGTCATGTGAATAAGTTCGGGGTCTGTCTAGTTGTGTGAGTGAGGGGGTTAGCCAATGGCAGTGCGCCTACTTGACCCCTGCACCTCAAAGGCGTCCAACGGCATCTGGGCATTTTTGAAACCTCACATCCGGATCATGAGAATCAGCAATCTTGAGAAGCTTCGTGGCAAATATTGATCCAAGGATTCAGCTCGTTGGTACTCGCTGAGCAGCCTGGGCATATGAGGGATAGTCTGCGGGACGGCCCGTATCTTGGCTGTGGACCCCTAAACTCGGACCATCCGGACCATCTGGTCCGACTGACTTGAGGGTCAACCAGTCAGTCACGTTGGCTTCACGATAGGAAAGAACAAATGTCACTTCACGTCTTTGCGTTAGCGAGGGACAGTGCATGTTGATGGACACACTTGACAAAGATTAGGCACAAAGCCATATTTCACGGAACCGTTCTGGGTGAATTTGAAGCACGAAGATAAGTCTCTGTAGCCAACGGTGATTTGATAAGGGAGGGGTGTAAAAAGCTGATGGAATACTATGCACCTGGTTCGAAGACAGGATGACGCGCGATATTTCCTCCACAACAGGCCTGGATGGTGAAGCCGACCCCACGCACAGTGAAAATGTTTCCCTGGGCTTGCAGTGTTCGAGCCCTGAGCAGACTTCGCCCCATCGTACTATCTTTAACCATGAAAGGGTCTCCAGTCGCCGTCAGACCAACTTTATGCGCATGGCGGATGGATTGCATTACACGATAACACTCGTATGACCCAATCATGATCCTGCGTTTCCGAGCTGACAATCCATCTTGTCGGCTAGCCAGGCCAGGAACCCCTGCTTCTGCTGACAGACCAGGCTCCCCTGCTCAGGCCTAGGACAGTGCGTACGCTATCTAGCCGGGAGACGAACATCTCGGGTGGTTCCGATTCGCGAGGGTTCAAATCAGCAAGAGACCGGGAAGAAAGGGGCCAGACACTGAAGAATTTATCCAAGCATACTCCCCTGAGGCTAAGGTCACAGCCTTAATGCAGATGCTGGGATTACTGAGGTTCCGTGCAGCCACTATTGCTGAGGTTCCATCGCAGGGGTCCTTGGACCCTGCAGCCCTAATTAAATCACGTCGAGTGAACACACTTCTTCGATAACAGGTTCAAGCACAGTTCCTCTTAACGCTGATCTATCCACCTGCGGATCCCAAGGCCGTCGTCTCCCTCGCCTGTTGACTCAGCCCGCCTGACCAATCAACAGAGTGACCCGAATACTTGCCTCTAGATATTCATCGCTGCTCGCTCGATCTACAATGTCCGCTGCAGTTTCGCCAACATCACCACCGGACCCAGTTACCAAGACAACACCGGCGCCGAGTCCATCACGAGCGCCAGATGCCGTAACTCGACTCGTTCTAGGGCCTTTGACCGAGACAGCATGGTCGCCACCTGCATCCTGCACGCAGATATACGCCGCATGCGACACCTGTAATGTCGGTTGGCAGGGACAGATATGCGTCGACAAGGGCATCAATACGGACGACCAGGCATGTTGGCCGCCGACAACACAAGGCTTACCAAAGACCAGTGAAGGGCTGAACGGATGGGGGATATACTCGCCGGGCCTGGCATGTCCTAGTGGCTACACGTCTGCTGCAGAGTCCACGTACGGCATCAATAATAACAACAAGTTCCAGTTTCCGCTCACAGCCGGGGAGACAGCTATGGGCTGTTGCCCGGAGGTCCTCAGTGGAGGTGAGCACAAACGCATCAAAACACATACGGCATTACATAACTGACAGTCGCCACCCAAGAACCCACGTATTTCATGACCTCAGCCTACGGCTTCCAAACCTGCCTCCAATTAGCCACGGGTGGCGTTCTGACGACGGTCAGCTGCCAAGCCAGAAGCTCGATGACTACAGGAACGGCTGCGTTTCCTTTCATAGTCGGACAAAGCCCTAAAGAGACAACTAAATCAACATATGGCGTCTGGGCACCATTGTTCCAAGTCGTCCGCCACAGCTCAGACATGCCGGGATATGCATCTCCACTCACTACAGACACAATCTCGGGTCACGGCGGCAGCAACCCGCTCTCCCCAACGGAGGCCGCTGGGCAGACAAATAATGGAAGCCCTAACACCGGATTGTCCCCAGCCGCACAAGCAGGCATTGGCATCGCCGTTGCGTTGATCGCGATCCTACTTGGCTTGGGCATATTCGCCCTCTGGCGGCGCCGGCAGCGCTCACAAGGTGGCGGTCTTGCCTCTTCTTCGCCGTCTTCAGCGATGCTCGGCGCGTCCGATCCTAGCATCGAGAAGGAGTTATACCGTGGCGGCGAGGGTGGGGATACAGCACTTAAGAAACAGCCGCAGGTCATGGTATGGCAGGGTCATGGGAACGGGGCTGGGTACTACAGTGAATTATCGAGCATCATGGACCCGTCAGAGCTGCATACACAGAGCCGGCCCATCGAGCTGGGTGCCGGCAATTTTTACGATACGTTGGCGTATGATCGCCCGCCACGCAGTCAGCGATGATTTCCTGTCAGAACGAAGGGGAAGTGACACTCTCGTGTTGGCGGTTCCTATACGAAAACTATCCCTAGGTTGCTGAGGGTTTGAATATTTGACGTAATGATTCAAGGACAAAAATGACACAAATCGGAAGCATACTTGATCGTGTAGCAGCTGCCATGACTTTAAGGACAAGAGTCAGACCTGTCTATCTATCTTGATCCTTAGTACCTTCTTGTGTAAACTTTGTTCCTTCCCATACTGGCTTAGCTTTTGGAGTATATATGAAGGTCCTGGGCTAAAGCCTGCCAAAGCCGCGCGGACAAACTTAACCAAGGGGAGGTCCTCAGGAGATAATCTGGTTAAGAAAGTGGCGTGCACAGACGAATGTCTAGGTGGTTTCACCAACATTGGTATACTCTCACTGGGCCAGTGCTGGTCTGATTGTTTTCAGATCTAAAATCGGGTGTTCGGGACTTTCAACAAAGGCGCTCGTTCTTTCGGCTATAGTCTAAGATCTCAGTCTCTATGTGCTGCAAGGACGGCGAAAAGCTGGTGTCACTTACGCTACTACTGTCCAGCTCATACTGACGAGAGACTCCTATATTGTACTTTACTTTCCTTTCAGACTAGCACCCAAAATGGCCATGCCCACATGACTAATAAAGAGACTGGAAGAGTCGAGACATTTGGAGATGGAGAAAGCTCTATTCAGCAACAGTTCTTCACAGCTATCAGCAGACCATGGCGCGCATTAATTTGAAATATTGGGCACACTAGGAGTTAAATGAATTTCCAAAAAGCTCTTTTCGCTACGAGGCATAGCGGGAAGTAGCGAGCTCTCCGAAACATGGATTTCTTATGTTGAATGAACCGTTCATCTGGGGATCCAGTTGTCAACCTTGCCGTCCCATTCGTACATTCCTAAACTGAAAAGCTCTAGTAAAGCTCTGGCTGAGACTCTGCGCAGTCGGGAAGACTCCGCTTTATGTACTTCGCGGCCCACTACTTGCCTTCGGGGGAAATTTGACCGGTTCTATGAGAAGGTCTAAAGGTTTTGGTGAGTTAAAAAGGCCGTTCGGCCATTGTTTGAACAGCAGTGGAGAGCTGTTTCCGTAATTAATCACGCCACTGCTTCATTGACATCTCCCGAAGTTTCAAGATCAAAAGTCTTGACTGACAGGCAAATGCACAGCCTCCATATTATGAGAATTTTTGATTCTGCTAAATGCCTAGCAGAATTGTCAGTTGAGATTGGCCTGTCCCAACAACAAAAGAGCAGATTATGCAACCTATTAAATGAGATATAACCATAACTGGGTAGATTCAAGGCATAATATCAAGATGCGTGAGAGATTCGATATTCGTGTCGTATCTTTCGACGGCGTAGACACTTGCCGTATTGGTCGGAAGCAGCCGTTGATGCTCCCAGCGAAAACCGCCACCATGCTGACACTTCGCCTCACATTTCAGCTCATAATGCACGGATCTCGTGCCGTCTCGAGGCCTGCACCGGTATCCACAGCATGTTGGACGCCGTTGCATCAGCGTGCATGCACGTAGCCGCCGGACCCCTGAACCAAGTTCACCTGGTCGTGCGTGATTGGGTGATACGGCGCGCGCCAACCAACAAAGAACAACCCTGTCTGGCTGCGCCATGTTGCCTGCAACCGAGTGCAGTAGAGTGGTGGTGGCACGGTCCGGGCGGGTGTTACCACACCCATGCATGATCATTGAAGATACTCAGGGGCTGTGCTGGGTTGTTGGTTGGTTGAGCACGACTTCACTGCCACATTGTCCACGCAAGACGCCTTCGCAGGCTGCCATTCTATCTGCCATCTTCCAGGCCATCCAAGCAAGATTTCCCTGCACTATCATCGACAGACTGTTCAATTAAGGCCGGTGAAGCTAGCGGTAAGCAACACGCAACAGCACGAGCCCTAGCGGCATCAGGGAGATGCGCCTGCTCAACACCACGACCATAACATTCGAGGAGTGGGAGGTCACAGAAGTTCCTCCTTACACAATTCTCTCACATGTTTGGGGCGAGGAGGAAGTCTTGTACCAAGACATCATCGACAAGACAGCCGAGAAAAAGAAAGGATACGGCAAGGTGTTTTACACCTGCCAACAAGCCAGCAACGATGGCTACGACTGGGCGTGGATCGATTCGTGTTGCATCAACAAAACAGATGGCGTGGAGCTTTCTGAAGGTGAGTCTCATAACCCGAAATTGCGAACACACTGGGGCAAACTGTGGTTTTCTCTCTGACATGGTCCCTTAGCAATCAACTCCATGTACAAGTGGTACCAAAGCGCGGACGTCTGCTACGCTTATCTCATAGATGTAGAGTTGCTGAATCCGCTCGCTCTAGAGCCGAACCCCGTTTGGCTGGGCGCAGCAGAAGCTCGGCGAAAAGAGCCGAGGTGGTCGTTCTACGAGGTCAACTTCACTTATTCTGCCTGGGAGCTTGACGGAGACCCTGTGACCGAGATCGCCCCACGATGGCAGTGGACAAGCGCCAGCGGATCAGGAAACCGGGCTCGGGATGCTCACGACTTCCTGCAGGAGTTTTCACGGAGCACATGGTTCACTCGGGGATGGACGTTACAAGAGCTAATTGCACCACGACAAGTTGTGTTCTACAACAAAGGATGGACCGAAATCGGAACACGGAAGAGCCTCAAAGAGCATATTGCCAAGGTCACAGGGATTGAAGTCAGTGCCTTGCTGGGTGGTACGCAGATACTCAGGATGCTTCCCGCGGCACTGAAGATGTCTTGGGCATCAAATCGCTACACGACGAAAGTGGAGGACATCGCGTACTGTCTGTTAGGCATCTTTGACATCACGATGCCGCTCTTGTACGGCGAAGGCCTGACGGCAATGACGCGTCTCCAGGAGCTCATTTTCCTGCAGACGGAGGACTACAGCTTGTTCCTTTGCGAAAAGGACTATCGAGACCTGCATTCCACGTTCGCACTCACACCGCATTCGTTCCATCGCAATATCCAGGCAAGCGTCCCGCAGTGGGCAGGTCTTAGTGGCAACCGGACACGCGTCATCGACTTCAGAAACATCTACATGCACACCAGCAGCCTCGCCAACTTCGAGCCACCAAGTCTCAGCCATGCGCGTGGCATGAAAGTCACGATCGCGAAGAAAATAGTCACGAAGGATGAGAAGTGGACCTGGGACGGTGCAAATGCGGTAGTTTGGACCTACTGGTGCCTTCGCCATGAGAGCGAAGAGTATCTATTGTGCCTCGACTTGAACACGAAAGGTACCCTGCGAGAAAAATACGAGATCGGCCATCGACTCGACACAATTGCTCTACGAAATCAAGGAGCCGATGACCTGTCGAGACCACAGCAGATCGATATGCAGGCAACTGCAACAGACACATGGTCTCGAGCTTGGTACACGCCCATTCTTGTACCAAGGGACTACTACAACAAGTTTGTCGAAGCCAAGATGTTCCTGCGGACACGTCCCATTGACCAGAAGCGGCTTGGACTTAGTCCGGATAAGTACGATCCAGAAAATACCTGGGCGCTGGTAATCCACATGACTCCAGGCAGGCTTCCACGGAAGACCCCTTATCTGGGTAAGAATATCGCAAACCCACGAACTGTTCTCATCGACTTTCACTCAGACGAGTTCGCATTGGAGACTTCTCGGACCATACAGCGCGTCAAAGGGATCTATCAGAACTCGTGTAGTTTCTCCCTCATGATCCCTGATGGAATCAAGCTTCATCCATATGATTACTACATGGAACGTGGTAACACATGGCCGATCGCCACAGCATGCATCTACCTTCCTGCAAGGTGCTATTTCAAGTGCATCACAATCGCAATTGGCGTTGTGGTCAACCATGACGATGAGTTCTGGTGCTCACTTGGCGAGGCTCACCATAACCTACCTCGGCCGCATCATCTGCGTGATGAGCTGAAAAACTGGCGCAAGAAAGGCCTGCTACTTCGCGATTTGACGGATAGGCTCAAGGTTGTCGTTGCAAACGAGGAAGTTCTCACAGTCGTGTGCAAGACGGTGGGTTACCGTCGAGTCGATTTATTTGGCTGGGTTGGCAGGTTAGAGGAGGGGGACTGTAGCTACACTGATCCTCTCCTGCTTTGTAGCATTGACTGAGGGTTTGCAATAAAACAGCCCTTACATCATTGCTACGAATATTGAAGTTTGACTCTACTTGATCTACATAACATCGCGGTCAATGTCCATGCGATTCTGTCTCGGCACCCTCTGGTCATATACTCGCTTGGGGTTTCTCTGGTCAATGATCTCGCTGAGCTCAGAGGCGAGGCAGGACGCCAGAGGAAGATCTTTCCTGACCATGGCAGTCTCCAACGCGGAGAAGATGGCTTTGACACCAACACCAACTTCTTCATCTCCTCTGTTTTCCCGTAGTTCATTAAGGGTCTCAGTGATGTCTTGTTCTTCGAGCTTTTCCGTCGCTGTCAGTAGCTGGTGCAGTTCTCGGAGGTTCTGGATGGTTGGGACCGTAATTTCGCGGTCGAACTCGAGTGACTCATGCATATCAAGCATGTTGCGCCGACTGGTGGTTGCAACGATCAGCAGCCGACGACCTTTCGGCGGGCTCGTCTGCAGCAAAGCGCTGATATACTGCACAACAGCATTGGAGAATCGCTGACCGATCGGGTTCCAGTCGATGATGGCTTCGATACGATCAAGGATGACCATGCTCAACGTCGACTTGTAGGCATCCGCGAACACCCGCCGCAGATATTCGAGTTTTGCGCTCTCGTTCGAACCAACGTCTATAGGTCTCACGAGCTTCACAAAAGGAAACTTGGACTTGAGTCCGATTTCAGCAGCCAGTGCCGTCTTGCCTGCACCCCGTGCACCATGGATCAGTACAGACAGGAGAGGGGCGTTCTGCTCAGCCCGCAGTTGCTCGACAAAGTTCATCCCGTTCGAAAGAATGGTGCGGATGTGTGGGCTGTAGTGCACGATGCCGTTAGGAGCCGAGCTCTCTAGCTCTTCTTCAGAGACACCATAGGCAGGCTTTACGTCTTCAAGAGCCCTCATGAAATCATCTCGTGTCAACATGACATCCTCAGGCCGGCCCTCGACACCCGTGACGTCACCGATCTTCGTGTGGCGTGTGAAGGCATATGACAGAGCCGCCTTGACCAGACCATTCAGCTCAGCGCCGGAGAAGTTCTTTGTCATTTTGCCAAGCTCATTGATGTCGACATCATCCCCTAACTTGTTCATTGCCCGAACCTTGGCAGTGTGGATGTTCAAGATCTGGATGCGTCCGTTCTCGTCAGGCAACGAAATCTCCATATGGACTTCGAGACGTCCTGGTCGCAGCAGAGCCTCATCTATCATGTCCTTTCGGTTGGTCATACCGATAAGGAGAATGTTGTTGAGTGAGTCCACGCCGTCGAGCTTGGTCAAAAGCTGGTTCACAATACTGTCGCCAACTCCAGTACCGCCGCCAGTGCTGCCACGCTGCTTGCACACAGCATCCAGCTCATCGAAAATGATAATGTGCAGATCGCTGGCGTCACCCTTCTCCTTGTATTCATCCTCGGCATCCTTGAAGACCTTGCGAACATTCTCCTCAGACTGACCGACATATTTGTTCAAGATCTCGGGGCCGTTGATAATCTTTGGTGGTTTGGCATTGAGCATCTTTCCAATTTGCCGAGCAATAAGGGTTTTGCCTGTGCCAGGAGGCCCATACAACAGGAGTCCTTTGACGTGGGAGATACCCATCTGCTGTACCAATCCTGGGGGGAAGACGCGAGACGCAAAGGCACGTCGGAATATCGTACTGAACTCTTCGTCCAGGCCGCCAATCCCCATATCAGCGAACTTGAAATCAGGCCGGATGATGGCGTTCTTTGCCGGTGCGCGATGGTCGAGTTGAACATTGATCGGCGAACTTGAAGCCTTATTGAAGACGAGCTCAGTACTTTCTGTGAGGATGCCTCGCTCATCGTCGTTCGTGATTGGTGCTTCTAAATTCCCAGTGTATGGGTCAAGGAATTGTATGGAGTCGACCTCGAACTTGAGCTTGGGGTCCTTCTTGTCATTCATGCCATACAGCAGAAGACCTCCTTGTCCAGGTGCGTAGAAGTCACCAATTGTCTTCCGCATCAGAGAGTCGCTGAGTTCATTCTGCATGTACATCACTGATGACTCTGGCGTCCCTCCCTTTCGTGCTGTAGGAGATGCAAAGTCTATGGTGATCGTCAACCTTCCAAGTGCCGGGCGGGGACCGTCGTAAGGTTGCACCTCACACATCTCTCCTTTCGGTGCGAATTCGGGGAAGTCAAGCCAAGGTCTCTGAAACTTATTGACTGTAAAGGCGGGGTCACCCGCATCAAAGGTGTCTTTCGGCTTGGCTGTGAGAACTCGGGATTTGTCGAGGATCCAAAGATAGTATTCTCCCTCCCCGGATTTATACTGGTGACCAGCCGGACCATTCGCAGCTCCAGGAAAGAGGTGGTGGGGAACAGCGCTCTTGTTTGCATATAGCCACTCCGGATCTCCGACCTTGTCGACAAGCGCGCGCTTGGCACTGGCGCCAGACGCCTGGTAAGGCATCGGTTGCGCGGGTCTCTTCTCGTTCGAAAAGTTCTGCTGGCTGGGACGCTGCGTAGGCGGCATAGGAGACCGACCAGGATTCTGCGGGTTGTAATTATCGAACTGCGGACTGTCACGATACTGAGAGTTGTTGCTCTGCTGAGGCTGGTAAGGCTGCTGGGAATAGTTGCCCTGGGGGGGTTCTTGCCATTGGCTGGGAGGGGCTTGCTGCCGCTGAGGTGCTGGAGACGGTCGATAGGGATCTTGGGGCTGGGGTGGTCGAGGGAGGGAGTAGTTGCCGCCCTGTGGTTGTTGGTCGGGCTCTCGCCTGACAGGGCGCGCGGGGAGGCCGGCCGGAGCTGGACTCTGGCCCTTATTGCTCCTGGTGAACAGCGCGTTTCGGGCGTCCATGGCTAATGGACTGTGTGTCGTGTCCTGTCGGTGTGCAAGACCTGTGTCAGTATGGTGATAGCAGCCGTTTGCTTCTCAGGGGCTGGCATCGCTCTTACCGGGAGCTCAGCTGGGTGGAGGGGCCTGGCGATGTTACCAGATGTCGATTTCAGTTGGAGTCCTTCGAGCGAACGGGTGGTAAGGTTGCGTTTGGAAGGCACTGCCAGGTTGCGAGAGGCGAATTAAGAGAGAAGCCCAGCTTTCTCACAGATCTGTCTCGGGGGTGGAGTGTGCTGTTGATGGAGAGAAGAGCCCCGAACCTTTCCGTGTCCGTCTGACGCAACTGAGATAGCTGCTTGGGATGGTTTCAAGGTGCGGCAGCCCCGCAATCTGGCCCCTTTGCCGCCCCTTCCTGATCGCGCCTGCCTGCTAGCGCTTACCTAATGCACGGCAGCCTGACGTGGCCCTCGATTGCCAGTCACCGCCCGCCTGCGACCCTACAGCCGCCTGGCTGGGCTTGATGTCGCTGTCTGGTTCATGGGCTGTGCCAAGTGTCTAAACACCTAAACGAGTGAATGCGCCACCACTACGTGGCCAGCGACGCAGTCCAGCTCGGTGGCTGAAGCGATTGCAGAGCTGCTGGCAGCCGCTGCGAAAACCTGGAGGCCGGTGTCGTGAATGCGAGGATGCCCATGGTGTCTTCCCACGCTGAAATATTTGGAAAGTGACAAAAGGTAGGGTGTGCTCTGGTCAGTCGTGGGAACAAAGACCATCTCCCATTCCAGTGCAACAACACAAATGCGATCCGTGACACTTGGCCAACGCAGCAAACAAACGCGTGCTGACGGCATTTATGCCTGGCACACTCGCAAACATTCTTCGTGCTGGAATCAATTCCGCGAGACTCGAAGCGCGCATGCCGAAGCTAGCCAGCCCGACCCGCGCAAATGGTCTCGACCGACGTCACTGCACGATACCTTGTCCATGCATCTCCGTGGCGGTCCACGCGATCGCATGCGGACTGTAATGTCCGGTACCAGGAACCGTCGTCCCTGAGACGTGAGCATGCTCATAAAATTTCCATGTGCTATGGAGTGGCTCAACCTGGCACAGTCGACGGGTCTGAAATGGGGCCGCCGTGGGCAGACATCGGAGGCACTGCCTTCATCGGGAAACGGATAACATCCACTAACACAGGCTTTCCTCCCGCCAGCTGCAGGTCGATGCGGAAGACATGCCAAGTGCGCCTAGTGTAGTTCCCGAGTGATCTTACGTCTGAAAACCCTTCGGCTGCGGATGCTTCACTCGGCGTGTTCAGCAGCCAGATCATGCAGCTGAGCGGAAGTGACACCACAAGTGCCCTGCCGCATAGCAGCCGACTTGGAGCCGCGCGTGAATTTGGACGTCGTGGCGCATTTCTGCATGGTTGCTTTCCTCTGTGGGGATGGTGGAGAGGATCTCGACCCAACATTATGAAGTCGGAGCCAGATTTCCCGCAACGTGTCTCTGCTTGTCACTGCCATTGGTTGCCGTCGGAGCTCTCATACTCCCCAGCGAGAGAATCTCCAGAGACAGGGTCCCAGCAATCGACAGGACCAACACTGTGCAATGCGTCGTCACGTTGCAAGCTGCAAGGCTCTTTAAGCCACATGTCAGAGAATGCAGCTGTTATCATCACGCTATGTCCTTGAAAGAAGAACTGGGGACCAAGTGGCTCTCCATCACCTCACTTGCAACAAGGAACCAAAGATGAAGCTGGGCGTGGGACAGCAATCAGCCATGACGAAGACGATCACGACAAGGAAACCCTAAATTCACGTTTCTGGTGGCACTTCAAGCCTGCCGGAAACATGGAAGCGTCCCTGTCGACAGCTTGCCAACTGTGTAACAGTGCATGTCGGCTCGCGAACAAGCAACTCTCTGACCTCATTGGTGATTACGACAACCAACGAAAGCTTGAAGCAACCATTGCACGACTAGAGGCCCTGGCAACTTCCCTTTCAGAGTTAAAACATTTCCTCGGCACCTCTGGCCTGGCTCACCGACAAGAGAGCACTCCCAAACTATCCGCACTCTGCCTAGATCTACAACAATGCATTTCGGCCTTCCAGCCGACCGTCTCACCAAGTCTAGCGCGCGATCCTTCTCGCTTTCAAGCCATCATTGACATCCAAACGGGCATTGAAATGAATCACGACCTGCTGAAGCAAAGGGTAGCGACAGTCTTTGCTTTGGAGATCGAAAGCCTTCACAACCTGTTAGTACACGGCAGGGCTCCTCAAGAATCTCCTTTTTCCGTTCTGCTAATCTTCGTCTGTGCAGCATGTCGAGAAGCATGACGCTCAGCACGACTTCAGATGATGCATACGATCCAATGGAGCTGAACTCGCCACCTCACCAATTGCTTCAACGTCACACGAGTGAAAGCCAAATGAGCGAAATTCCTGATCTGCCTTCTCCATCACAGCCGGCACAGAACTCGTCGGCCCTTCTCGACACCCTGCAGCCACCTTTGCCACATTTCAGCGAGCTTCCCGTCAACTTTTCCGAAAATCCTTACGAACCGAAAGAATACTCCCCAGATCCCCTGAGACACGACCGCCTATCGATGCCGGGTCCAATAATGCAGCTGATTCGGAGCCGAAGTAACCAAAGTCTGCATCGCCAAACGACGCAAAGGTGAAGACTACCGTCAACATTGACAGAGGAGTTCGGAACTAATAAAAGCACGCGGTTCGCCTTTTTGAGCTACTGCTCGTGTTCGGCCTTGCTGACCCAGGGGCTATACGTCATCATTGAACACAACATTTCTTCACAGTCACGAGATCCGACCCGCTCTTCCACAGCGCAGTGCATTTGATATGATTCTGCCTGCCAATAGTTATGTCGCCCGACTATTGTACTTTTCCTCTCGAGTCGACAGACCAAATCTCTTCAATGATTCCCTGGCGATGCGCGTAATAGACGTCATGCAGATTGATGGTCGGGTCAATATGGCTTGGCACCATCTCGACCCGGTCGCCCACATTCAGAGCCGGAGCATCCGAGTCCTCCTCCCAAGTCAACGAGCCGTGCTCGTCACCCAGGTTGGCATGCTTGTACCTGGTGTCCTTGCACTCAGCCAAGCCGCTGTCTGTCGTGAGCGACTTCAACCCGGTGTCGATGGTGACCTGGTTGGACGCCTGTTTGCTGACGACTGTAGAGAGGAGAGTAAGGCTGTTGGAGTAGAATGTGCCGACGGCATTGCGGTAGTCTGTGTCCATGAAAATGAACGACCCGGGCTGCAGCTCGGTGACTCCCGGAACTGAAGCACAGAACTCTGCCGTGCCCGTGCCGCCCGTCGTCACGACATCAATCTGAAACCCGGCCTCGCGTAGTTGGTCGGCGGTCGAGGTCAGAATCCGCATCGACTCGAGGCACTGCTGCTTGCGGTCTTCCTTGTCGTGCAGGTGCTGCAGGTGTCCCTCGTAGCCTTGCACTCCAATCAACCGCAGATGCGGCAGCGTCGCGATATGCCTCGCCAGATCGAGCGCCGGCTGCCCGGGATCAACACCGGTCCGGTGCAGCCCGACATCAAGATCGATCAGCGTGGTGATCGGCTCCTTGATGTCCGCCCCTTCCTTTTCTAGGGCCTCGTTGATCGCTGACGCCCCAGCCTCGCTGTCCACCACGATCCTAATCGTCCTGTGCTTCCGGAACAGCTCGACGAGCCTGCGCACCTTGACGGGGCCGACAATCTCGCAGGTGATCAGGATCCCGTGATCCCCGCCGTCGAACCCCGCGGCGGTGATGGCCTCGGCCTCGGAGACCTTGGCGACGCAGCAGCCCTTTGCGCCGGCTGCGACGAGCTTGTGCGCCAGGGCGGCGGACTTGGTGGTCTTCAAGTGGGGGCGGATGTTGCGGCCCGTGGGGAGGAGCGTGGAGAAGAGCTTCTGGATGTTGGACTCCATGAGGTCGAGGTCGACTATCATGGACGGCGTGTCCAGGGTGTCGAGGCCGGAGCCGATGGTTGGAGAGTACGGCATCTTGGCGGCCTTGTTGTGTCCGGGTGTTTGTGCTTGTGGGAACTTCAAAGCTGGGTTGACATGCAGAGATCAGCTCATGCGGCTTCTGAAGGTGTCTCAAAGAATGGCTGAAATGTCAAGAACAAGCCGCCTCGAGAGAGTGTCGCGACGACAGACTGGGTAGAACTGACTGTGCCGTCCCGGTGTAACGTGTTATTGACCAGCGGCGGGAGCGGGTTTACTTAAAGCGCCGGGGACCAGCACTGTCATGGGCGGGGCTTTTCCCACGGATCGACGGCAGGAACGGCGCCGTTGGGGAGAGGTGCGGGGGCTCCTCCGGTCCCGGCGGCTGTCCGTGGTCCTGGGACAGGGGCCGGGGATTGCCGACACAGATAAGAGCTTCTTAATGGTCACGGGTGAGAATAAACTTATTCATTCGAATCATGACTACATTGCGCCGATTACTCTGGAAAGGAAAGGACCCAATGCCAACTAACTAGTGCAGTCTCGTTGAATGCGTGCATCCCGTCCAGTCAAGCGTACAGATGTGCGACCAGTCGGTGCACCACCACCAGTATTTTTCACAACTTCACCCAAACGCAAACGCACTTCACTAGTCACAAATTCAAACAGGAATGACACGCCAGAAGAAGCCATCCAACGTAAGAAAATGACCACATGACACCCAAGCACGAGCTGCGTGCTGCGGGCTTAGTGCCCACCGGCCAGCACGTTCTTGAGGTCCTGCCTGCCGTGTACTTCTTCCACCAGGTCAATGAAGTCCTGGTGCCCCTCGGCCGCAAGGTTTTTGAACTGGCCCAGGTTGCCCTTGAGCCATTCGACGTCTCCTCCGGCCTGTTGGGAGAAGTGATTGTCAATAAGGAGGTGATGCCCCGGACGACAGGGGCCAGACGCAGCTCAGGAAAGCGAGCGCTTCATGATAATGAAAAGCATGGCAAATGATGTATCTCATCTTGGGAATGTCAGAGATGGACGTACACTTGGTATCGTGAAGCCAGCCTCGACGCCAGCCACAATTTCCCCCTGGATGAAAACGGCTCTGAGCTCCCTCTCGTCGCCGCGGGGGATTTTGGTGCTGGCGCCGTTGGCGCCGTTGGCTCCTTTGAGATTTTGACTGGCACCACCGAGAACTTTGTCCCATGCAGCATGGACTTCCTGGGCGAGTTCGTTGAAGCTGTCATTCGTCCTGCCGCCACCGGTGCGGACTAGGGCGTTGATGCGGTTCGTCGCGTGCTAGGGCGTGGCATGTCAACATTTTCACATGACAATCGGCTCGCGCAGGAGCTCTCTATTGCAGAATCCAGATTGCCTTCAGGCAACGTTTTCTCATTTAATAACGGACTGCGCAAAATGCACATTTCCGTTTTGACTTGCGGGCTTTGTCCCCACACATGTAATGGACAGGACTTCAACTTACTCGCTTGCCGCCCACATAATAGCTCTCGTTCTGCACATCGATGAACCTGACGTTGACGAAAAGACTTGGCGTGGTGAATCGGCTGGTGTGGACTTTTGTGATTGCTTGGGCCAGCTCGTCTTTCTCGGTGTCGCTCAGAGGCGTGACATGGGAGATCTCGTACAGAGGCATGTTTGCGTTGCCGTGAATGAAGTTTGATGTGTGGAGTAATTCTTGTGTCCTTTTGAGCCCCAGATAGGCATTAAAGTCGTATTTCTACGGAGAGGAGAACTGAGGTCTGATTTCTCAGACGTGCTGGTGGGCAAGACACGCTTATGTATGAGGATGTTCGGAACCCCGCATCGAGGAGGTGACGAAATGTTGGAGATCTTGTTTGTCAGCACTGTCCCTTCAGAATCATAAACCCTTTCGTGCTAACTTGGCGCGTAATCTTATTTACGCATCCAATGCAGCGTTCCCGTGAGATCAAGTCCGTCCGACCAGGCCGAGGTTGCGGAAGGTATGATTGGCCTGACAGCTTGGGAGAGCGATCAAGATTGGAGGCAGAACAAACCTTTGATGCTGTCTGACCTGATATTCGTTGATGCGTACGCGTATCAGACGATGTACGCGCGGAACAAGCTCAGGAGAGCCAGCTTCCTACAACCTCACCAAGACGTACCGCCGCCAGACATGGCACAACACTGGGCATGATCCAGATGGCCCAAGTTCATCGGCGGGTCTGTGTTCCAGGCAGGACGCACATGCTGACCCTTTAGTGCTGGGAGGCAACCGTGGGAGCCATGAATCCTCACATGTATGAGGAGGCGAGGCTTGAAGGGCAGGGCGTTGCGAAGGCTGCCTTGCCGGCGCGTGGGAGGGCGAGATCACGGTGTTTGTGGGTGTTGGCCGTGTTAGAGACCTGCATCCAGCCACAGCCTCCTCTGTTGGTTGGCCTCCTGCACCAACAATGATACCCCATGGATTCTGCCTAACGACGAACTGACCTGCACACGGTATCGCTGTGGTGGTCTGCGTCCTTGCCAGCCTTCCATCTTTTAAATATACCAGTCGACATACCGCTTGCACTTTCTCGCTCTTACCACACCACATTACCCGACCTCCAGCCAGCAAACGCTCAACCTCCTCCTCCTCGTCAGCTCTCATCCATCGAACAAACGGCCTCGCCCGAGCTTGAAATGGCAGGGCCTGGCCGTCGTCGAGACGCGCCTGCCGGCCAAAAACAAGGCGTCTGCTACCACTTCCGCAGCGGGAAGTGCAGCTACGGTGCGAGGTGCAAGTATTCTCACGAAACCCTCACCAACGGATCACCAGAGGGGTCGGGGGCAGTTCGATCCCGTGCACCTCCCAAGGATCCTGCCTACAGGCAGGCTCAGGACGATTTGCACCGTTTCAAGCAGCTTCTCCAGCAATCCCCCTCTACCCACGGCCGCCTCGCCTCAGACATTGGCCCAGACTTCTTCCAGACAGCTCGCAAAATTCTCGATGGAGATCTTGGTGCAGCTCAGGAGATTGTCAAGCTCCTCGCCCAAGACGATGGCCTTGCCTTCGTCAGATATCTCGCCAAGAATATCATCCCAAATTCTCGAGCACACGGCACGCATCTGCAACTATGGCAGACGCAGCTGAAGCCCTTCTTCGAGACCGTCACTCACGAGCGGATTGTCGAGTCGGCCGTGCTGGAACAACAGCTGGCTACCATCTACAACTTCATGATGGGCGTCAATGGCGACCGTGCCCGCCTGCTGCTGGGCTTTGCCACCGACTTGCTTTCCCAAGTCTCAGCAGAGCAACAGATCGAGATCACAAAACTGTCGCTGGCAGTGGTATACAGAATGATCGACTGCAACACCAATAACATCGTTGCCGGAGTCTTTGACCCAGTCGTGAAAGTCCTCGCGGCAACGATCCACACCCTAATAGACATCTCGCAACACGACAGGCTCCAGATGGGCCATCATCTCGAGTATCTCAATCGCCGCCTCGAGATAGGCGCGGCACTGCCTTTCACAGCATCCCAGAAGCAAGCCACTACGCAGCAGGCTACTTTTCAGCTGGACCAAGATCTCCCTGGTCAACTGTCGAAAGATGGTCCACGTCATGACAACGATCATGCCGACATTGGCGATATCAACATTCTTCCGACCTATGACGAGATCATGTCTGTTCGCCCTGAGTATCTGCCTACCAATGACACTTCCTTGTTCCATAAGCCTGGCATCATGGGCCGAATCGACCGAGAGTTTCGACTTCTCCGCGAGGACACTGTGGGACAGCTCCGCGATGCTGTAAGAAGGCAGATCGATGCTATGAAAACGCCACAGCATCAACGCCGTCAGGCTCAGAGAGACAACACATTACGCACATATGTTTATGATGGCGCGCAAGTGATGAGCCTGCAAATCGAGCGGCCTCATGGGCTTTCGATTGACGTGCGCTTCAAACAACCAGCTCCAGGCGCTGAGCGGAAGCATCGTCAAGAATGGTGGGAAAATTCAAGACGGCTACAACCAGGCGGTCTAGTCTGTGTCACATCCAGCAGAAACACGGCATTCTTCGCAGTGGTTTCTGAGCAGCCCAACAAACCCGCAACCCAGCAAGGTCAAACGGCCAGCGGCCAGCGCGAAGAAGACAAGCCAACACTGTTTGGTGAAAGAGATCATGCATTCGTTAGCCTCAATCTCGCCGAAGAGAGTCGCGATGCTGTATATCAGCTGTTGAGGTGGTCTTCGCGCCCCGAAGCGATCACGAACCGAGCCGACTGGTTTCTGGTCGAGTTCCCAGGCGTCTTGCTGCCATCTTTCCGATACACGCTCGAGGCTTTGCAGTTGCTCTCAGCCAAGCCGAATCTGCCCTTTGCGGAGCTGCTGGCCCCTGCCAAGCCAGGATCGCAACCTGACACCACTACAGGCCTCACTACAGTCCAGCCCCCGAGGTACGCAACGAAGCCAGGTTTCGTCTTTGACTTAGCCTGCCTGTCCCAGGATTTCACCCCTCTGCAGACTTCTTTACAGAATCCTCTGGACCCCGCGAAGCTATCTGAGCATTCTGCGCTCGACCCAACGCAAGCATCTGCTCTTCTGTCAGCTCTCAGCAGGAGCTTGGCATTGATACAAGGCCCCCCAGGTACGGGCAAAAGCTATACTGGAGAAAAGATTATCAAAGTCCTGCTGGCCAATAAGGGGGCAGCTAAGCTTGGGCCAATATTGTGTGTGTGCTACACCAACCATGCACTTGATCAATTGCTGGAGCATCTGTTGGACAGCGGCGTTGAGCGTATCATTCGCATCGGCTCAAGGTCCAAATCAGAGCGACTTGAACAGCTCAACCTGAGGGTCGTTGTACAAATACAGAACCGCACTAAAGCTGAGAAAAGCGCTCTCTACAATTTCCACAGTGATCTCGACTCACAGGCTGAGTTTCTCAATCAGACTCTGGCACAGCTCGCCGCCCTCGACCGCAATTCAGCTTTGGAGGAATATCTCGCCGTCCACCATGTGGAACACCATTCGCACCTGTTTGGTAAGATCATTGACGAGGAGGGATTCCAAAAGGTTGTCAATGACCCAACGCAACGCTTCAAGCGTTGGATCCGGGGTGGGCATCCAGCCTCAGATATGCTTCGCTCTCCAAGTCAGTTAGAGTCAGCTCCATTGGAAACCATGTCAGCCGGCGAAAGACAGCGCCTCTATCAACACTGGAACCGCCAGATGCGCGCGCCTCTGGTTACACAAATCCAAAAGTCGTATGCAAAGTTCTTGAGCACTTCCCAAGAGCGGAGCAAGACCATGAAGGACGTGGACCTGCGTTGCCTCAACAAAGCAGACGTTGTTGGCATCACGACGACAGGTCTTGCCCGAAACATTTCCTTGTTGCAACGCCTTCATTCGAAAGTACTGATGTGCGAGGAAGCTGGCGAAGTGCTTGAAGCGCACACCATCACTGCCCTGCTACCGACCGTGGAACATGCGATTCTCATCGGCGATCACCTGCAACTACCTCCTCAGACTCAGAACTATGAGCTGCAAAGCACGCACCCACGCGGTGCTCGATATTCTTTGGATGTGTCGTTATTCGAGCGGCTCATCAAACCTCCGTTCCATGACGATCCCCGCTTGCCTTTCTGCACTTTAGAGACACAGAGAAGAATGCACCCATCAGTCTCACAACTTATCCGCTCGACGTTGTATCCAAGACTTGTTGACGGTGGAGCTGTCACCGAGTACCCAGAAGTGGTCGGTATGCGAAAGCGTCTGTTCTGGTTTGACCACTGCCAGCCAGAAGACCAAGCTAGGGACAGCGCAGTACTTGCAACCTCACGCACAAATCAATTCGAGATTGAGATGACGATCAGGCTTGTCCAACACCTTGTCCGGCAGGGCGAATATGGTCCAGAGGACATCGCTGTCATAACGCCATACCTCGGTCAGCTGCAGCGACTCCGGAAGCAAATGTCGAAAATCTTCGAAATCGCTGTCGGCGATCGTGATTTGGAGGAGCTGACGGCCATGGATGCAGATCATTCAGAGAATGGTACTGTTGTCAAGCGCTCGGCTCTTCCAGCACCGGTCAGCAAAACGACAGTCCTCAAAAGCATCCGTCTGGCAACCGTCGACAATTTTCAGGGCGAAGAGGCCAAGATTGTTGTCATATCACTTGTTCGCAGCAATGCTGAAAACAGATGCGGTTTCCTCAAGACCTCAAATCGCATCAACGTCCTGCTGTCAAGAGCCAAACATGGCATGTATGTCATCGGGAACTCATCCACCTATGGCGGTGTACAGATGTGGTCAGAAGTTCTTGACATCTTGCGAGGAGGCGGCAATTTCGGGCAAAGCCTCGATCTTTGTTGCCCGCGCCACCCAGAGACTCCTATTGTTGTTTCAGAGCCTGATCATTTCCTCCAATTCGCGCCTGAGGGTGGATGTCTGATACCTTGCGACCGCCGCCTCGCTTGTGGCCACGCATGTATCGCGCGTTGCCATGCTCAAGTGCTACACGATGCTGTCAAGTGCTTGGAGCCTTGCCCGCGACCCAGGAAGGACTGTACCCACGCTTGTCCTCTGGTGTGTGGTAACCAATGTCCAGCCAAGTGCTCAGTCAGACTGATAGGCACAACTCTCACGCTTCCGTGCGGCCACAACTTCAGCTCGCCACTATGCTGGCAGATTCGCGAGGTTGAGTCGATTCGATGTAACGAGCCCGTCAGACACACCATCTCTGGATGCGAACACGAGATAGTCGAGCCTTGTCACGTCAATGTTCTATCGCCAAAGTTTCAGTGTCCCAAGAGTTGCGGTGGTCTTCTGGCTTGCGGGCATAGCTGCAAGAAGCCGTGTTCTCAGTGCAGAACACGCGCAGAAGGTGTGGCATCTGACGCCAACCACGGAGAATGCCTACAACGATGCGGTCGAGACTTTACAACTTGTCGACATAGATGCTCTGTCAGATGCCATGGCGACCTGCCCTGTCCGCCGTGCGAATCGCCATGCGACGTCAAATGCAGTCACTCCCGATGCGACAAGAAATGCCATGAGCCATGTGCTCCTTGTGCGGAGCAAAGGTGTGCATCTCATTGCCCACACGTGAGTTGCTCTATGCCGTAAGTCCCCGTCCACGCTGCTCAAAATACCTGGCAAGCAATGTTGAAACTGACCATGACTTCACTTCATTTCAGTTGCGCCGCTCCATGCGATTGGGTACCCTGCACGAAACGCTGCACTTCCTTGCTCGAATGTGGTCATCAATGTGAGTTTTTGCTTGCCCTTCTGCCCACTTGCTGATGCTAACATGTTACAGGTCCCTCACTTTGCGGCGAGATCTGTCCAGACTCGAAATTTTGCCAAGAGTGCGGCAACGATGATGTCAAGCAAACCATTGTCGATTTCATCATGGGATTGCGATACGAGGAGATCTCTCTCGATGAAGACCCCTGCATCTTCCCGGATTGTGGACATTTTATCACAAGCAGCAACATGGACGGGGTAATGGATATGGGCGACCACTATCAACTCGATTCTAATGGCATCCCTATTGCTTTGGCTGGACAATCGGTCCCATTCACCATGGATGGGACTAAGGTCAAGGTGTGCCCTCATTGCCGTGGGAGTCTCCGCAACATTGCTCGCTATGGTCGCATCGTACGACGTGCCCTTCTAGACGAGTCCACAAAGAAGTTCATTCTCTGGTCGAACAGCCGATGCACGGAGCTGGGACACGAACTCGTCAACAAACTGGAAGACTTGTCACGTGCTACTGAGCCTTGGAAAGCCGCCCAGAGTCTGCCTCAAGCGCCATCTAACAGACCTTCATTGCCCAAGGATCGCTTGGAGCTATTTTGCAAGATGAACGCGCTGGTCGGTGGCGGTCGTTATACACAGCTGATCCGTCTTTGGCAAGAGATCCAGCGGTTCGCGGATCTTGCATCTATTGGCGAGCAGCCATTCTCCAAGGTTGCCAATTTTGTCCGCTTTGCGTCCCGGTCAAGGGCTCTAGATTTTGACGAATCTGTTCTGCAGGTCAAGAGCATTTTGCAAGCGACATGCTTACAGCTGAAGTGCGAGCTGGCCATACTCCTCGACTTCGTTCGCTTGCGCAAAGATTTGGCTCATCTTCATTCTTGCCGAATTTCGGACGTCTCGAGGCAGTTGCAAGAATGCAGTGGCTTGATCGCCGTTGCTGAAGAACGCGGTTATTCCAGGGAGCTTCTGGAAGGCCACTTGTTCTGCGCCAAGTTCTGCATTGTCCAGAGAGGCATCTTGGCGCAAATGTCAGATCACGATGATGGCCCAGTGGTGCAAGCCACAAGCGTGGAAGAACAAGTGCATGCCATGGGAGACAAAGCTCGAGAGCACATCACTCAGGCTGATGCTCTAGTCAAGAAGCTACCATCCCTGGCAGTCTTCAAATCAGAGGTCGATGCAACTCTCCTCATGCTCAACAATGGCACATTTTACTCTGTTGTCAGCAAGGACGAGTTGCGTGCAGTCTATGCCGCCATGGCAACTGAATTTCGTGGCACCGGGCACTGGTATAACTGCGTCAACGGCCACCCCTTCACTGTCGGGGAATGCGGCATGCCGATGGAGGAAGCCAGATGCCCAGAGTGCGGCCAAGGTGTTGGCGGCAGGAACCACGTCCCGACCGCAGGCGTGGCAGCGGCCGCGCAGATGGATGAGCTCGCACGCGATCTTGGTGGAGTCGCCTTGTGATGGAATGGCTGATGTCAGAGAATACTCTTCTTCTCGCAATTGTCAATGTATGGCACTAGCTTGCTGAGTTTGGTTGTGGGGTCACCAGATACTTCGCGTACTGGTGCCGGCAGTTTCTGACGGTGTGTGGAGTGAGAGTGGCAAGGTATGAAGGCCATTGTCCATTGTGGAGAGGTCTCAAGTCCGCGAGATCAAGATTCGGCCTCCTCCCACTGTTGCGCCTGTCGACCTCAACATGCTCAAGTTTCTGGGGGGATGCTTACAGCATCCACTGGATGATGAGGAAGTTCGCCTCCAAATTTGTGTCAGGCCATCCATGAGACGGCATCGAGACTGAACGCGGAATTGTTGGCGAAGGGGTGTTCTTCGCATCTATGTCGGATTTTCTTTGTTCTCTTGTAGTTTCACTTGCTTCTCGTTGATTCCACCTCTCTTGTAGCATCCTTCTCAATAGACCTCCTCGGATGAAGTTAGAGAAATAAAAACCACCTCCAGAAATTTCATGGGCACTCGCACCACCGCTTGTCTCCCCAACTGCGTCACGGCGTGAACGTCACTCTATTTCTGGTTGCAGCTCCAAGATCGAGTGATATGCAACGGGCGATATTGCAACATGACTGAGGCGACATCGAGGAGGCTCCGATATTCCTGCCCGCAAAGACCAAATGCCGTTCCATAACAGCGTCATCTTGATTAGGGTATCATAAATAGAAGATGTAATCCTTCAGTGATACTGAGTCATTCTGCTCCTGTCACTGTCCGAGCAGGCGCTGACGATGTTTATTTCGGAAGATTGAGCTCTCCTTACTCAATGCCTGTGGTCGTGCTTGTGGCTATCTGAATGCCTGTGGTGACGACGCTCGTCTCGGTGATGTCTGTCTCGACTTCTTGTCCTGTCGCTTTCACGATGAGTCCGCGAATGGTGAGCTTTGTCGCGCGAGTGGTCAGGCTTGTCCAACGAGAACCCGTCGAGCGAGTCTGCGCTGCCACCACGGTGCCTCCGACTTCGTTTTTCCCTCCTCCTTCTCTCTTCCTTGCGCAGCGCCCTTAGCTCAAGTTCCCTCTCCTCGTTAGCTTTCTGTCTCTCCTTCTCCACTTCCCGTACCTTGGCGGCTCCGCGCTTCATCATTGCCAAGGGATCGCTCGCGTCGATGCGCATCTCGTCACGGGCCTTTCTGCCGGGGTCTTCCCTCCCAAATGCATCTCTCCGCGGAGTCTCGGAGCTCGTGGCTTCTTCCAGCAGCGATCCATGCCCGGCGTACCACGGGCCTTTGCCGCCGGTGAGCTGGCCAGCAGCGTCCCGCCCAGCGGCATTGGAGAATCTCATTGTGTACTGATCCTCAACCTCGCGCTGCTTGTTGGCCTTTTCGCGCTCTGCGTCCGGATTCTTGTGCTTGTTGTTGCTGCTGTCGCGAAGCCGCTTGTCGTTCTCTTTCATTGCACGGTCCCGCTCCTCGGGAAACAGGTCGATGTGTCCTGAATGGTCCACGATGGGCGCGTCATTCCTGGGACGATGTTCATGGGGGCCATGCCGTGACCTGGTCTCTTCATTCCCGTCACCACCTTTATCGGCATCATCATCGCCACGGCGAGCGCCTACCCGGTCTCGAGCAATGCGCATCTCAAAGTCGGTGTCATCTCCCCCCCAGCGCTTGCGTTTCCGCCGGCCGCCGCGATCATCTCCAGGGTTCGGCCTCTCGTACTTCACACGGGAGCCATCGCCGTCATGCTGCTGATCACCACCATGAGAAGGAGGCCGCCTCCTGGAGGAGGAGGAACTGTCTGCCAGGCCTTCCGAAGCCGCCGGCAGCAGCAACGGCGGAGGCTCTTCCCCGCGCAAGATGGCGAGCCGGCGCGCGGCATCGTTCTCCTGCTGGCGCTGCTCCTCTGCCTCTTCCCGCGCGGCGGCCTCGGCCTCGTCCCGCCGCACGCGGTCGATGTTGGCCTGGTTGTAGACGTTCCATGACTTCTTGCCTAGCAAGTGGCTAACATTCCGAATCGGGGGTGCATTAGTTTTGGGTGATTGGCTTAAAGGGTGTAGAGGATAGTCTGGCTGCAGCAAGATGAGAATCACTTACAGAGGCATTTTAGCAGCTAGTCATACATGAATTTCCGCAACACTGATGAGGTCTGGATGTTGTATGCTGATGAAATGTAAGATGGAAGTCGTGGGCCCAGCCTGGCGCAGGCATGCCACCACACCGTGTCGTGACCAATATGCACAGTTGCCGCACTGTGGTTGCCAGAGGACCAGCCAGACATACTTGGACAGCAAGTGAGCTCGTGGACTGGTCTTTCTCTTTGATATTCAATTCTGGCTTGCAAGCTGCATCGTTGATAGACTCGTCATGTCCTATCATTAATCACAAGCGCCAGAATATTGCAGACTGAATGTCCGGGTGATCATCATCAGGCCAACTCTGCAGACATTGAATCGGCGGAGCATGAGAAGATGCCGCTCGCTTCGCCTGAGAGGAGAGATTCATTGTCTGGGGACTTCTATTAGGGCCGAAAAGCTGTCGAAACCCCTACGTCTCCTTCCAGGGCAGGCTGATCAGAACCTCCTCCATGCCCTCCTCCACGAGGCCCGCCACCCGCGGAGCACTTTCCTTTAACCCCTTGAAGGCAGTCATGATCTCGTCTACCGTGGCCTTGGACAGTCCCTCCTTGCGATCGGTGTAGATGTCGAGGCCTTCCTTTGTGAACAGCGTCGCCGCAAACCAGGTGACGGCCCAGCGCTCGACCTCGCCCTCGGCGCCGCCCTCGCGCGGGCGCTCGCCCCAGCCCAGGACCTCCCAGTGCGACGAGGCAATCATGAGCCAGCCCTTGCCGCGCCAGTCCCAGGCGGCGACGTGGTTTGGGTCCATGGTGTCGATGCCGGCGACGCTCTTGAGCCCCCCGCTGCCGCCCTTCTTCTCGTACTCGACGAGGTCGTCGATCTTTGTGACGGGGGCCTCGCTCTGGATGGGCTTGTAGGTGATGCGGACGTTCTGAGCGTCGCGCCACATGGAGAGCGTCGAGTGGGTGACGGACCAGGTGCGCATCAGCCAGTCCAGGGGCGGCGATGTGAAGCTGGCCGGCGGCTCGGAGACATACTGGGAAGGAGCACGCAGCGAGATGGTGGTGGGCGGCACTGCCGACGAGGGAGTCTCTGTAGCCATGGTGCCGCTGATCTTTCTGCAAGGCAGGTTTCCGGGGAACTCTAGATGTTGCGATCAAAAGCGCGCGGAAAGAGGTGAAGGCAGGTGTTGTTATTATTATCGAGGTGTGCTGTTGTTGTTCGTTGCGACGACGATGACCGGGGGAAATGACGAAACCCAATGATCGACGCCCGGAACGACCCCTGCCCGGGGAGCTATAATAGCCCGAGACATGTCAAAGTCATAGCTGCATCAGTCAATCGAGCCATCATTGGCAGCTCTGCGGTGACCTGCGCAGTGGGTTGCAGAATGGCTTGCTTGACTCGTCCTGGCCTGAGCAGGGTCACTCAGTCTCCAAGCTCCGTTTAGCAGCCCTCCCTCCTCGTGGCATGCGCGAGTCTTTGGCGGACGCGATGGCAGGAGCCTGGTCGTTTGTAGGCCTGGCCCGACTTTCTCTGGCTTGGGTCCCCACCTCCACTTTCGCACATGCAGCTGCTCTCCAGCCATTCGACACTTGCCCATGCAAGGTCCAAATTGTTTTAGCCGTCTTTTTCTCCTCTGTACATATTACAGCGCACCTCCCAGCATAAACGTGCCCAAGGCACTCCTTTGCGCCTAATCGCAGCCACTCTTCCGACCAACCGCCTGCCCCGCGTCATCCCTGTTGAACAATCCGCAAACCACCAGGGCCCTCGACCCAGGCCGCCTTGCCAGCGACAACGACAGCACCCCGTGTCCGGCTCTGCCTGCTGCACGTCACCTTCAGCTTCCCTCCAACATCATCAACTCCCCGCATCCTCAGTCCTCGAACCTCTGCCCGACGTTCGGTCGTCGCTTCACGTGGGACCCTCCCCACCTCCCACCTCGGCGCATCATGGACGACTTCGACAACGACGCCATGGCTCAGGCCATGGGCTTTGCCTCATTTGGCGCACAGAAACCCCCCTCCTCGAAACGCCGCAAGTTCAACCCCGCCGCCGATGCCGTCGTCGCGGCCCCAGAACTCAGCATACCTGCCCACAAACCACCGCCGTCGTCGGCTGCCAACGCTGTACCTCTGGGCATCCGACCTCGTGCTACCAATGCGGACGAGATAGACCTCGGCGATGATGACGATGATGAGCACAACGACGAGACATCGGCGCCCACCACCACCACCACCACCACCAACACAACGTCTGAGAACGCGAGCGAGGCTGCAACGGCAGTTAGTGGGACTGGCCTGGACAGCACTGGACACAGCCACAGCACGTGGGCCCGTCGCGGTGGTGGCGGCACTCGGGGTCGCACCGGTCAACCAGCGAAACCCAACTGGTGGGCCGACTACTACGATCCGAGCTCAAACATCAACCCTTGGGAACGCCTCGAGCGGGAGCGTGGACTACAACCGAGGGGTCCATGGATGACCTGGGAGGAGGCCAAGTCGAAGGCGTGAGCTGAGCAAGACGAGCCTTCTACCGAGAGCGGTCAGCTTAGTCCCTAGTTCGACAGCGATGGTCCTCGGATCGAGCTTTACGCTACAACCTGAGGTCCAGCGTGAAGGATCGGGACATCTGCTCTGTGCCTAGACAGTTCTTCTTATGGACGGACACGTTGCTGGCCTGCTCAGACAAGTGCTCTGAGCCCTCACCCACCATGCCTGCGCGGCTCTGTACTAGGCTCGGCATCGACAATGTTCACAGGCTTCTGTCGCCACTGCCGCCTGCTTCCAGCCCAGCCGACACTTTCAGGGCTGTTGGCTTGGTAGCTGTCACTATAGTGGGGACCTACTCACTGCCATCAGCAACTCACACTTGGTACGATCTACCGCAACATGACCATCACGACCAATGGCTCTGCGATAGGCCCGGCCGCCCACCGCGGGCCAAGGTCATACCGTCTGAGACATGCATCCTACGTCCACGGCACAAGGCCGGTCAATCGAAACAGATGTTTATTCCCCGCCTCGCCTTATAGGAACTGCCTACGGAGAGCATACAGAATGTATCAACGAGACCACAGGCTGGCAACACGGGTCGAGGTACCTCATGGTCACCTGGGACCCCGGCCACTACGACTCCCATCACCGATCAGGCAATATCCACCTCCCCCAACAGGCAAAGTGCCATACTCGGCATCGACGACACGCCCTCGACTGTGTCAGCAAGACTGTCTGACGCGTGGCTTGGTCCATGCTGTCCACGACGCGACCCCGAGTGTGGCTCTAGTAGCTATGGCGGCTCAGCTGGCTACCGTCTGCTTGGCCCATCGCCCAGGATAGGGGACTGCCTCTCAAGGGTGCTCCCTCTCGGCATGTCAAATCCAACTATGGTGTGCGTTTAGCCTAGCAGGAAATCAAGAACACCTCAACGCCACCCAATCATAAGTCATAAAGCCGCCGTGAAGACGATATCCCTGTCAACTCCTTTCCACCCTCAACCGCCCGGTCCGTCCTAGCTCCCCTCGACGGGGTAGAATCCGCTGGCCACCAATGCAGGAACCATCGCCCCTCCCCGGCACGTCCCGCCGCACCCACCGCTAGCGAGTTGACGTGCATCGGGCGGCTACCTCGCAGCATCGCAGCCCAACCATGATCAAAATCCTCCGCAGTCGCCCAGGGATGTATCTGCAGTATGGCGAGAAAACCAAGATTCCAGGGATGGAGATTTTTCGTGATGGAGGGGAGTGTGCCTTGCGGCTCCCAGAACTCGATCTTGCTTCTGCAGCAGATCTCGTTCCTGCTTGTCGGGGCTTACATGCGCCTGCATCCGCAACCCTCTTCCTCGAGCACAAGCATGTCTCAGGGGTCAGCCTCTCCACCCCACACTGCCCCCTTAGGCTTGAAAAGCTTAAATAAACGACATTGAGCGAAGATGGCCCAGCGGCTTCCCTGGGTCGAAATATTGTGACGCATGCTGAAATGAAAAAAGATGTTGCTTTTCGAATCATGGCTTCAGTAGCCGCCTCTGCGTTTGGCTGTGCCGTGGGCATGCCAAGCGCAGGGTTGTGGAGAGTCGCTCGCTTAGTATTCGGGAGAAGGATACCGCTCGCGAGCTTTCCGGTACTCCTTGGAGTGCTTCTTCTCGGCTTTCTTCTTGAGAGATCTGCATCTTGTTGTTAGAACATGAATTTCTAAAGCATTTGTGGTCCGTTGCGGCGCAATTCGTTGCGACCATAGCAGAGCTTTTCAATTGATACTTACGTGACTTTCTTGCTCGTCCACTCGAGATCGGCGCGGACCTCCTCTGCGTCCTGAAGACCTTGCTGGAAGCGCGCCCGTGATTTTGCCAGCCGCGCCTGTGCCTTGGCTTGAAGTTCGAGCAGCTCGCGGTGCTTGGCATTCAAAGCTCCGGAACTGTTAAGGTTTGTCAGCGCCAACGGTCGTTGCAAAATGGTTAGAGGGGTGCAAGGGCATCACTTACGCTTGGGCCTGCTTCACCAGGGACCGATCCAACGGCGTAGGGTCAAAGGACTCCGTGAAGCGGTCCTGGATGTACTCGTTGAAGTCGACGCCGCTGGCACTCACGTCTGAGTAGTCGCCATTGACGCTGTTGGCATACGAGTACGAGTCGTTGGTGTTCGTGCCATAGTAGTAGCTACTGCTGCTGCCATTGGTGCTGCTGCCATGGTGATAGCGGTAGTCTCCATACGATGGCACGCCCGAGGTGACTGAGGCGTCACGCTCTTCGTCGGGTGGGGAAGAAGAGTATGTGGAGCCAGACGAATTATAGTTGTAGGACAACTCCTTCGAGGGGATTGGCACGGCCGAGGAGCTGTAGTAGCTGCTGTACGATGCCATGGCTTGCGTGTGGGTGGGCAGGTGTGGGTGGACTGGCGGTGTGCTAGTGTAGGATGATGATTGGACTCCGCAAACTCAACTGACAGGCCAGTGTTGAGGTAAGGCAGGCTAGCTCGAGGCTTTCTGTGTATGGATGGGTATGGGGGGTGCTAGAGGAGTGTGCTAGGCAGGGAGGGTATGTTGAATCTTGAAGACGTCTCAGACCAAGTAGGCTGCTCACGATGGTGTGTTGATGATGTTGAGGAGGAGTCTGAAAGTTGAGATGATGAAGAGAAAAGGAGGAAGAACAAAATCCTCCAGCTCGTCGACAACGAGCCTTTTTATACCCGTGGATCCGACCATCATCATGACCTCCGAGACTAGACAAGCTGGCCCTCCCCATCGCCGGCACGCTTAGCTCGCTCATGGATGGACAAAGTCCATCTGACACGATTCGTCCGGGACGGACTGACCCCGCCCGATGATGGGATCATGGCCGATATCGAGGTAAGACTAGAGCAGGCAAGTGCATAAAGGGGTTGAGCCGGCAGCAAGGGTGCGTCCATTTGCCCAGGCTCGGCGAATGGGAATGGATGAGCTACAAATCTAGATTTGAACTTGACGTGCGACTACGTTCGGGGAGCCTGGGTGATATGCTGGCAGCAGGGTTGTTGGCTGCGAGATTGGGCCAATGCTCCGAGACTGACACCATAATGAGATAGCATGGCGTCCGCGGGCCCAAACGGCTCCGGAAGGCCTGAAATTCGAGTTCCCAGGTCTGTCTAGATTCGAATCGGGTCGATCGGCTCGCTCCAGAGTCAGGCATTGTGTAGCTCGCCCTCTGTGTGGCCATCCGGGCTCGGGACTCGCTTGCTCTACTGATCGGGGTGGATCCTGCACTCTTTTGGGACTTTACAATTAAAAATCCCCTAGGTCCATCTGCAGACTGGAATTGTCCAGCACGGCAACTGTGTCTGCCTTTGACATATGCCGACAGGCTCATGGTCTTGGCCTCTCGACATGCATAAGTGGGATGCAGAAGTGGATTTAACAAGGCCAGGGGGGCATGTCATGGAGGGGCGTGTGGAGAGGAAGTTGCGAGAATGTCTAAATCGATAAATTGAATAAATCAAATCTTGGTTGGAGCAGGTGGGCCTGACGTCGAAGGTCAATTGTCTTCAGAAGCACTTACCGTCATCGTTGGCCGACCACACAGGCACACGAGAGTGCTCTGCGCATCCACAAGTCGGGCGATTCAACGTGATTGCGAAGTGCTGACCATACGCCGTCGAATGCTGCACATTGCTGCCGCCATATGATGTAGTGAACGCGGATATCGATAGGATTTCCGTCCAGGGGATTAGAGTCAGTGTCAATGAAGCAAGGAGTTCGCGCGGTTGTCGCGTGTTGAGGCGGTGGAAGCGATTGAGCGTGGACAAATTCTGCTAGGTTTCTCGGAGACGTCCCGGAGCTCATACAGCCCAATGATAGTGATTCCGGTGCTTAAGGCTGGCCTCATGTCCTGGGCCCGGCCTCTTGAGACCACTCTTGTTTGCAAACGTCTATGTCCTCGAGACAACAATGGCGAGCTTTGTGCTCACACGGCTGCAGTTGTCCACCGTTCGTAAGCACACCCCGCTCGGAGAGCACAGTGAGGTCAGAGGGTTCCAAGCGGTACGGTGGTGATTTCGTGATGAAAAGGATACCTCGCGGCTTGTGAGTGTGGTCGGGCAGAAATGCAGCAGGTAGGCATGGTTGCGGCCGTGATGCGTTGTCCGGCGGGCAGGGGTGATATCCCAGCCAGTCAGCCAATCTCGTGCCAGGCAGTGAGCATGAATTGGTGAATGAGAGTGCGTCAGGACGAACGGCGAAACATGCCCGATGACATCCTGGCGATGGCGACGTTTGTCGAGACCGCGCGGCAGAGGCAGAGCGAGCAGCTTGGCAGATGGCCGGTCGAGAATACCACTCTGGCTCAGTAGCAAAAAGCATGTCGCCATGGCGTAATGGCAGACGAGCTTTCCAGGCCGACGCCCGGCGGACCCGATGGCTGGGGCTAAAGCACGCAGCTAGAACCGGACCGGTCAAGACTGCCCACTAAAGCTGCAAGACATGGCCTCACGGTTGATTTCGAGTCAGCGATCAAGTCTTGGGGGTAGCGTAGCCCGGCCTGCGATGGAGGGGCATCTGCGCGGAGGGGCTGACGAGCGGCCGCGCTGTGGTCGGGAGGTCGAGAGGGTTGAAGTCGGGCAGAGGCTGTCTGGATCCGTCAGGCTGGCTGACCCTGGTCGAGCGACAAGGGCCCTTCACGGGGCAATGGCCGCGAGGGGTGGCCTTCGTACCCAGAGAAGACGAGAAGCAAGGGAGAAAAAGGAAAAGGCGACATTGCAGCAAGCAGGCCTCGCAGAAAAGACTTCTCTGAATTTCGATTGGCTGGAAAGTCGAGCCCCCCGCGGCCTGGTAGGGAGGAGCAGACACCCAGACAGGCAACAGGTCGCTGGGGTTTGGCGTTTGGTGGTGGCAAGGATGGGCAAGAGCGCCCCACGAGGCATCATGTGCTCTCCAGGCTGGACCAGGCCAGGCAGGAACAGCCCCGTCGTGTCTGGAGAGTCAAGTTGACTACTTTCTCTCGCTTCCACGCTCAATTTTTTTCAGCTCGAGACGCGTCATGGACTGTCCGCGGCACAGTTCACCAGTGCAGCCGTGGATGCTCAGCTTCAACATCCTCCCCAAGGTTTGGCTTCCTCGCCGTCAACGTCCGGGAGCCCCGCCGAGGTTTGCGGCTTACACCACCACCGCTGGGGTGCCCAACAATGGCATTGTCATGGCATGCCCTGTGCCCACTTGGCTGCTTGCTTGCTTGCTTGCTCAACCCACGCCAGCTGCGTGCTTGCTTCAGATTTGCAGCATCCTTTCTTGAGCTCACCCCCCCCCCTCCTCCTCATCGCCCCTCCCCATGGCACCCCACAACACCATCTTCTCGAGTTTGCCCGTCCTCCGATGTCACTGGCTACGGGCTCCGCCTCTGCCTCTGGCTCCTCGGCTCAAGCACGTTGCTCGGGGCGTTTCTGCCTAGCCGGGACCTGCTCCAAGTCCGGCTTTGACGTTGTGCACACATGCCGTCCCTGTGCGACTCCGGACGATAATGGACGGCACCTGGGTCCGCCTGGGCAGGCAGACAAGCAGGCAGGCCGGGTTCTTGTGCTACACTGAAGCTGGATGATGGGACGGACGGACAGCTGTGTATCTCAAGGCAATCTCGCGTGCGTCCGAAGCTGGCATTTTCTGCAGCAGGGTATGAACCAAGTGTGGCTCGGTGCATGCAATGATGTGTTGGCCAGGCGGTCCCTGGCAAATCCTGGGGCCTACGTTGCAGCTCCCCTTCTCGGCAGTGAGTCTCTCCTCCGACCGGAGCTCAATGACTGCGTGCTGCGCCGACAAAGGGCCTCATCTTTATGCGGTTTCCCATCCTGCAGTGCTTCGATGCTCTTGTAATAATAGGGGAAGGCTGGCTGGCTGGTTGTCCTAGCTATCGACCCAAATTTCCAATGGGTGAGTTTTCTTTCCGACAGCAGGGAAATACTGGCCAGGTCTAGCCTGAAATCGTGTAATGACGACTCTGCATTAGGTCTCTGCGGCACTTGATCGGGACTGATGATCGAGCCGGCCTTTCCTGATTGCGACAACGACATCTGGAGAGCCACCGCACCTCCGACGTAGCGGGTTGAGTAGTCCCGGTTGGATGGCCAGATAATGGGATGTGTACCTTAAGGTATGCACGCAAAGTCTCTCTCCACACGCCTGTTAGTCAGGCCAGTGCTATACATGCATGAACAGGCCTGACTTTTCGGTCAAAGACATGGATCCTATTTGCCCGAATCGTTAATGGCCACGTCCTCTTACCCCCGCCAGGAGCACATTCACCAGGCTTTTTTGTCAGAATACGCATGTTGCCTTCGTTAAGAAGACCCCGATTCAACCTTGGTATAACAATTTGAACAGAATACCGTTACAGTTGTCGAACAGCATGAACAGCTCGAAAGCCTTCCAATAACGTGCTCGTAAGAATCGAATCCACCGTGCCAATCGTCAAATGCAAGCTGGCAGAGTCTGCCTCGCCACTTCTGCAAGGACGGGCAGAAAGGAACCAGAAGGATCTTCTGCCGCAACCGCAGATAGAGCAGGACCTGGTCCAGCGTGCCATCCATGGTGCGCTGGCCGTACAGCTCAGGGGGGTGTGGGCATTGACTTGCATATTTTATGCAGCATGAACACAGATGGTCATGAATGACCGACGTGAAGAGCCTCGTGGTCGTCAACCTCGTTTGTGGCAAAAACGGCCAATCACGCCGTGATCGTCCCGCAAGTGGCAACAGAGCCTGGGATAAGTTTGCTGGGAGAACTCGATCGTGAGTCCAGAAGTACCCGCGGTGCTGCTGCTTACAGTTTGAACTGTGAAGTGACATTTCTTCAAGCATGAACAGGTCTTTTGACTAAACCTGGAGTCATGCACGAAGGATCCCCAATCCGTCGAAATTTCTGACTGGGCCGAAATCGTGTCAAGAACAGCGGTAGATCTTTCCCCCTCTTTACGTCCAGTCAGGTGCCTTGACTGGCCCGGCTAATTCCAGTAAGCAAACAGCCATGGTAGCCTCCAAGCCAAGGTGTATGCCCTCGGCAACTCAGAAGGACAACTTGGTTTGCCATCTCATATTTCACCTTTCACCTTTCGCCTTTCACCTTTGCCTTCTAGTTGCCGCATCAGTCCAGTGGGCTTGGCAGGGAAACCGAGAAGTCCTCGTCCTGATGATGATCCCAAAGCCAATCCTGTATTCAAATCTGATCAAAGTGCCGTTTGGACTTGTCTCTGTTCTGAGCACTACAGCCGGAGCCAGAGCTCGAGAAACCCAAGTCCACGATGTAGCTCTGCACGCCTAACGAATGTCCACTCCTGCGTTCTCGTGACGGGAAATTGCCAAACGGAAAGATGAGAGCAGGCAGGTCATTGCCCGCCTGTCTGTTTCTGGTGTACCTGATGCTGTGTGCTGTGCGAGGAGGAGGAGTAGTTGTGCATGCCCGATTATCGTTCTTGAAAACACTAGGCTGGACTCCAGTCACTTTCCGTGCGAGTAGACACACACACACACACACACACACACACACACACACATACACACATACAATCTTGACACTGCGACCATGTCCGTACATGGCCAGCTAGAGCCTATGCAGACGCACGCCATCTTGATGCTGCTGCTGCTGCTGAGCGCCAAGCTAAATTCCAGCAGCATCTTGGCCCTGAGACCGGTTCATCCTGAGATATCGCTGCCCTTTCATGTCCTCAGCGGGCGGCGTGCCACCAGCACAACCTCCGGTCCAAAAGTCGCCCGACAAAGTTCCATCGTTGATTTCTCTCTCTAACGTCTTGGTATTGTTCTGGTATCTGTGTATCTTGGTTTATTTTAAACCCCCCCCCCCTTTTCTCTCCCACTTTATTAGTCTGGCCCCCCCGGGTCCTTGACTTCCCCCCCCTCTTGACCAGTATTCCATCCTGACTCTCCAAGGGGAATATATGCTCACATATGCCGCTAACAACGGTTTGCATGCCTCATTTCCCAAATCCCGTAATCATGACCACCTCAATGGAGAAGCAAAGCCAGAACGCATGAGAGCACCTCACATACCAGGAAAATAGAAGAATTCACAGAATGCCTCGCCCCAGTCCAACCCAATCCATTCCTACCATTGCAACTAACCCAATCTGACCAAAAGTTTCCCAATCACCAGCTATGCTCGATAGTGTAACAGAGAGAACGGGCTTGAGAAGAAGAAGAAGTAAAATATTGAAGTTTCTCAAAACAGAGAGAGAAGAAGAGAATAAAAAAAAGAAGCAGAAAAAGTCTAGCCAAAGACCTTTAGGAACCCCCACATGCCAACCCCGCTGAGCACGGGTATCGTCAAGTTGTCGTCCCAACCAAACAGGTCCACGACCTCGCTCGCCGCAGCCACCAGGCCAGACCACACGCTCATTACACCGAGCGCGAGCGGGCCAGTGATGGTGGCCTGCGCGGGGGACAGGTGCAACAGGCTGCTGACGGACTCGGGCAGCGACAGAACACCGCGGAACATGAACGGGTGGGCGTCGTCCCCGGGAAAGGGGCCCGTGACCGGCGCCAGCAGGCCCCAGAACCAGCCCGCGGTGGCGACGCCGACGAGGAAGGCGGCAAACGAGCCGGCGAGGGACTTGCCCTTGCGGAGGCGCGGCGTGTAGCAGCCGTAGAGCCTGCCGAACGTGCTGGCGGCCGTGTCGCACCACGAGAGCAGCATGACGGCGACGACGCCCACGTCCTTGGGGAAGAAGTGCAGGACGGTCCAGGTGCCCAGGAGGTAGAAGATGACGCCGTTGTAGCCGGCGTACTCGGACTCGCGCATGAGTGCGCCGAGGCAGCGCACATAGAGCCGGTTCAGCGAGGCGTAGCGGTGCCGCAGGAAGTCGGTCGTCGCGATCGGGATCAGGCAGCCCATCAGCCAAGGGGTGACGGCCGACGTCTGCGTCCCCGACACGTACAGCCAGTAGACGAGGAAGCCTATCGAGACGTGCAGGACCTTGCGGGGCACCTCGTGCTTGTGGACGAATTTCCGGAAGTGCCGGTGCACGGGGATCAGCCCGAGCGGGCTCGGGCTCCTGCTGAAGTCGCGCCAGCTCCAGGAGGTCGGCTTGTTGGTGGTCGACACGCCGCCTATGCTGCTAGGCGGCGCGAGGTGGCCGTTGGACGTGACGATGGCGCCATTGGCGAGGAGTTCGGCGGGTGTCTCTTCGGGTATGACCGCCTTGTCCTGCTTCTTGGACTTGCCTGACCGCAACGTCGGGGTGGTAGTCGATGTCGACGCCGTGAGACCGTTGCGGGCCGCCCTGGCTCTCTTGGGACTCCTCGACCGCGTGCGGGCTCGGCGCAGTTCGGGGTCCGACTCGGTGTCGGGCGACTCTGGGATCGGCGGCGTTATGCCCGGGGCCGCGCGCCGCCGGGCTGCTGATCTGGTGGTCGGGCCGAAATAAGTGTCCTGCGCGGCGAGCTCGGACGGCGTGGGGCTGGGCGAGATGACGCGCGGGGTGGCCGGCACGTCCGGAGTGCCGGCGCTGGAGGAGCCCCGCGGCATGGTGTCGTGCGGGAAGAGCGGCAGTGCCGGGCAGAGGACGGCGCCGGTAAAGAGGTGTCGCAAGTCGTAGAAGCGCAAGGGCCAGTACTGGTCGTGTAGCAGGGCGTCACGGCGTGACTGGCGGGGGCGGTGGGCGTCGCGGAGGAGGGTGGCGAGAGAGGAGGTCACGGTCGAGGCGAGGGACGCGAGAGAATCCAGCGTGAAGATTGTGGTTGGCGATACAGCAGAGGGACCCTCCGCCGCATTGTCGTCGGAGGCGTCGTCGTTGGGCGAGGGCGCGTAATCGCGGTCTGCGGCGCGGGCGAGGCTGTGCTGACCGTGGGGGGCAGGCACCGCAGGCGTTGCAGAGCTGGTCGAGGCGTGGCGAGACACGGTGGGCGGGCGCTTTTGTGGTTATGATTGCGAGTTGCAGTGTGTGTCGTCGGTGACACGTGCTTGGGGAGGCAGCTTGACTTGTACAAAGAAGGCGGTCACAAGACCGGTTGTCAAGTGGTGGTGCACTCGCAGTGGCGCTATTATGTCTTAGCAGCAGTACCACGTCTGACGTCGCGGGGCACACGACAAGGCGGTGTTGGCGGGCAGCCACTAGCGCTCGAACACTCGGTGCAGTATTCTAGCGGCCTTTGCTAGAAGGGGGGGCTACAACTGCAGAGACTGTAGCCAGGTTGATGGCAAATAATGGGAGTAATGCGACAGAGACATGCATGTGCGGCCAAGTCATGACAGCAAGACTGCCCAAAAAAAAGACAGATAGACTTTCTGGGTGGAGCTGTCATCAGAAATCGTCCCTGAACCCTGCCTTAAAAGATCGGCCCTTTCCGGAAAGTGGACCATAGCACCCTGGAATGAATCGACCAGGAGATTTCGGGGCAGTCAGTCCTTTTTGCTACAAGTTGACTACGACACTGCGTTAACCATCTTGAGCCTGGAGACATTGAATTATTTTGTGCCAAGATGCATTTTAGTACACGGTCCAATCTTGGATATCATCTGGTGGCATTGCGCTAGGGGGACTCTAAGACGGGCACAGCGATACGCACAGACTTCCACAGCGGGACACAACCCCCCAATTTCACATGACAGCACACCCGCCCCTGCTCTCGAGGGCGTTGATCCGCTCCGTCAGCCGCCGGATGTCCTGCTCGTTCATCCGCCGCTCGTCCTGCAGCGTCTGCTGTAGCGCGTCGACCTGCCGCTGGTACTCCTCGTGCAGGGCCTCGATGACTGTCTTGCTCTCCTGCGCCGAGCTCTTGATCAGGTTGTCCATCTCGGCGAGCTCGCGCTGGTGCTCTGCCTTCATCTGCAGGATGTGCTCCATGACTTTGCCGCCAGCCTTCGTGTCCTTGAGCGGCAGGTTGTGCTTGCCCATCTCCTCCTGCAGCTGCAGATAGAAGGGCTCGTTCTTGAGCAGCAGCTTGGCCACATCGACGGCCGACTCGGGCGTGCCATTGTGCCGCACGTTCTTGGCGCCAAACGTGAGCAGCAGCTTCCAGAACTTGTCCTTGAGCTCTTGCTCGCGCTGTGTCCCCTCTGCCTCGGTGACCTTGTCCCACATGCTCGTCGCGAGCACCACGTTCTTCAGGTTCTTCTCGCCCGTCAGGTACCGGAACATCTCGAGGTTCTTTGTCGAGTGGTGCGTCACGCGGTTGTCCGAGATGGGATGCAGGTAGATGATGCCCGAGAGCTTCATCTTCTGCTTGTACGCCGCCGCCAGGTAGTCGGCAATCATCTGCAGGACTTCAGTGTCGGACAGGTGCGTGTCCGAGAATCCTGGCGTGTCGACGAAGCGCACGGTCTGGCCATTGATCTTGGTTTCGACAACCTCGATGTCGCGGGTGCCTTACAGCAAGTCAATTTTCAGTCCTCAAAGTTCCTTGAGTAGTATGGATACTTACAAGACGTGAGGTTGTGGCCAATCTTGAGATCCTTTCGTCCAGTGACCTTGGAGATGAACGTGGTCTTGCCAGACCCAGTCATTCTACCTCCGAGAGTCAGCAAGTACGTTCTTTTACACACACACGGGGGTTTCCCGACTTAAAAGAAATCGCATAAACTCACCCCATAACGGCAATAAGCACATCCTCATTCCACATCTTCTTGTACATCGACTGCGTGTACTTGAGCCCGCGGTCCATCATGCTCGGTCCGCGCTGCAAGTCAGACTGGGTCTGCGACTGCGGCGCATCCTCGTCCTCGTAGGCCAGTGCGGCCGCCTCGGCCGACATGTACGAGTCCTCGAGGGAGCCGGGGAACACCCGCGCACTGGTAGTGCCACTGGCACCATGGCCACCGCCGCCGCCACCAGTGGCGGCGGCTCGCAGAGCAGGAGGTTGCTCGTCGAGCGGCCACACCGTGTACGGTGGTATCTGCTGCTGCTTATGCTGTGATGCTCCTGTGGCGGCGTGGGTCCCCGCTTGCAGTGGCTTCCCAGTGCCCGACGTGGAGCCCAACGGGCCGGGCGACGAGGACATGTCGGACACTGCTGCGTCGTCGTCGTTGTTGAGCATTGTAATCACGTCAAACTCCTCGTCTTCGTCTGAGACGTAGTCTGGTTTTTTGAGCTGCGTCATAGTGGTGGTGGTTGTCCTCCTGTCCAGCTCCGATACTGAAGTGTGTGACACTCGAGGAAAGTGAGATGTCTGTTTCTGGCTTGTCGGCTTCCTGGTGCGGATGGGCGAGAAATATCGATATCCAGAGGCACGCACGGTACCAAGATATGTCTGTCCTCGGGAGGGGACCAAAAGAGGACGATCGAGAAAACGCAAGCGTGTGCCCTGCGCCACAGATTGGTTTCTGACTAAAGTGAGCTCTAGAGCGGAAACACAAGTGTTTTAAAGAGCGCTAGTGCACGCTGGTTTTTGTCGTCTACCGAGCTTCACCGAGTGTTGGTAGCTGCAAAGTGGAACAAGTGCACCACCCATGGCGCTTCGCTTATCTGCCAGTTCTCTCGTCCCAAGCAAGCGCCTTTGCCTGACCGAGGCAGTAGCAAACAAGTTGCACCGGGTCTCTCCCTTTTGAGGGGCAAAATAGCTTACGTCATTTGGGGGTGGGCGTTGTGCTGTGGGTGTGTGTATGTGCATTGGGACAGGTTTGTGAACCGACTGCACGTGCTCATGCTCCGTGTCTGCCTGTTGGCTGCCTCTCTCCTTCTGTCCCCTCACTGGGCTTCAGCGCTATCAGCCTGCCAAGACTTGGGGTGGTGGTGGTGGTTGTTGTCTCGAATGGGGTAACAGGTGGCGAACTTGACTGGTGTCAAAAGAAAAGTGGGACTGTGGCAGGGATTGGTGCGGCCGTCCTTCCGAGCAACAGCAGGAGTCCTCGTGGGTTGACACATTGTCAGATGGCATTGGCAAGATTCTAGAATTCCCTCTGAATATCTAATGTGTGTGCATGTCATTCCACGGCCGGCTGAGGAGGATACAACTCAACTAGCTGTAGTAGGGTCCCTAAGTTCATAGCATTGCGATATCCAGAGCTTACTAGGCACCCGGGAGAATCCAGCATTTGGCCGGCCGCGCTCCTCACCTATCTCAAATCCCAGTCATCCAACAAAGATCAGCGACTTCAGAATGACAGGTCCGCATTTGCATCTATGCAAGGGCGTGATCAAGCACGCGAGAACGCTGACTGATGATTCCAATTCCAACCTCCCACAATATTTCAGACACAAATTTATACAATGCCCTCCTCTTTCACAAACTTTCATACATACTCAGAACTTTGCATGGCACCTTCCTGGTAACCTTCAGCCTGCCCTTCAACGCCACCAGGCACGGCCTCCAGCTCCGGGTCGACCTCGGTCCCAAGATCTCTATCCTCAAGGAAGCGCCTGCCGAGGAGGGCATCAGGCAGGTAGTCCTGCTTGACCCGCCCGTCCACGTAATTGGGGTTGTACTTGTACTCCTTGCCGTAGCCCAGCTCCCGCATGAGCCGCGTCGGCGCGTTGCGCAGGTGTATCGGGACGGGGAGGCCAGCGACCCCGGGCTCCCGCAGCGCCGCCATGGCGTTGCTCAGACCTCGGTACGCGCGTGTGCTCTTGGGGGCCAGGCAGAGCGCGACCGCGCAGTGCGCGAGCGGTATTCGCGCCTCGGGCATGCCGATCTGCTGGGTCGCCGTGTACGTCGAGGTCGCCAGTGTCAGGAGGGAGGAGTCTGCGAGGCCGACGTCCTCGGAGGCGATGACAACCATGCGCCGGGCGACAAATAGAGGGTCCTCGCCGGACTGAAGCATCCGGGCGAGGTAGTAGAGTGCCGCGTCAGGGTCGGAACCCCGCACGGACTTATGGAATGCGGAAATAGTATCGTAATGCTGGTCGCCGGCCCTATCGTAGACTAGCGTCTTTGTCAGACTCGACTTGATGTCGGCCTTTGTCATGTTTGGTTGATATGCGAGTGATAGAGCAAGCTCAAGCAGGTTCAGTGCTGTCCTTGCGTCGCCATCTGCAAAGTTGCAGAGGTATGTAATCAGCTCCTCGTCTAGCAGCGGCGACGGCTGCAAGCCGCTCGTCGATATCTCCTCGTCCAGCGCCCGAAGCAATATTCGCTTGACATCCTCGACCGTGAGTTTCTGCAGCGTAAAGGTCCGGCACCGCGACAGCAACGCGCTGACGACCTTGAAACTTGGGTTCTCCGTCGTCGCACCGATAAGTGTTATCGTGCCCGCTTCCACGGGCTTCAGAAACACGTCCTGCTGCGCCTTGTTGAAACGATGTATCTCGTCGCAGAATATTATTGTCTTCCTCCCCGTCAGGCTTTGCTCGTTGGCCGCCTCGTTGAACAACTTCTTGCACTCGTTTACTCCCGAGCTCGTTGCGTTCATCTCGATAAACCTCGCTCCAGACATGTGCGCTATACACCTTGCGATCGTCGTCTTGCCAGTCCCCGAGCCTCCCCATAATATCATCGAGGGCACGCGGTCCGTCTCGATCAGCGACCGCAGCACTCCGTTTGGTCCGACAAGCTCCTGCCCAAACACATCGTCAAAGTTGTGGGGCCGCATACGCTCGGCGAGAGGGGCGGATTTGTTCGTCTTCGTCTTTTTCGTGCTCCGGCCTGTCGGTGGCGGGCTACCAGTGTCAGCCGGACCCCGATTTGAATGGAGGCCACTGGCATCAGGCATGGGAGAGTCCTCGATCGCACCAGGCCCTTCGTCAAAGGATCGCTTTGTGCCCAGTGTTGACTTCGCGCCGGCGGTGCCACTCGGTGTGCTGTGCTTCACGGCCGGCGACAGGATGCCGTTTCCGCCGCCCGTTCCGTTTGTGGGTGCTGCATGTCTCTTGGCTGAGGGCGTCTGAAAAAACGACGACGCGGGGCGTTTCTGAGAGGCTGCCACGAGGCCGTTGCTCTGGGTCTGAGTCGGTGTCGGCGACGGGGCGGAAGGATCAATTATGAAGGTCTGGCAGCCTGAGTCGAGGTGGTCGTTGATCTTGACCGGCTGCACAGGCTTGCCACAAGCCGGGCACTCGACCATGGTCGCATTTGACGTTTCTGCTGTGGTGAAAGGGGTCGTCTGCGGCCGGTAAGGAAGATAGTCGCGGTCGGGCTGGCCCCAGCGTGAGCAGCGGCTTCTCTTGAGAGGTCAAAGGTGTCAAGGCGTGATCTTGTCAAGAATGGAATCGGCGACTTGAGTGAGGATGAACAGAACGTTTGACCCTTGATCCGTGAGAGTGCCGAGCTCGGCTCCACTGTAAATTAATGACGGCCCGGGGCACTTAGGAGCCGGACGCGTTCTGAAGCGCGACATGCCCGTGCAACTGTGCTTATCGATTACGGCGCACTTCGTCAACTTGACTTGACTCGGCGCTGATCAATGGCGAGGAACATTCAGTGCCTCAAGATAGGTTTCTGGACATGATGCCGCCATGAAACTAGTGAATGTTGGTCATGTGTGCGTACATTCGATTGTCCTTGTTCCCATTTATGAAGGAACCTTTAGGCGCTGTAATTTCTTGCTGGGCCTTTGCGACGGCAAACACGAGAGGCACGCGCTTCTACACAAGTGTGCGGATGATGCCTCAGTCTATGGCGGTGACAGTCCCGTTTTCCACGGTCTCCTGAATCACAGCCTCGTGGCTTGCCCAACTTTGAGGGCACAGATTAGGATAACGCTTCCATTGCAAATGCCGATTCTATTCAATCGTGGATAATGAACTTCGATTACTTCCGCTCCTCAATGCATGCATCATCTCCTCTTGCTCGCCGCGCCGACTCTGCTGCGCTTCGCTGGCGGCGCAGGCTCACCCTCCCCTTCACTGTCCTCCTCATCTGATGATATGTCATCATGGTCGACCTCGTTCTCGTCAAGGTCCTCCTCGCCCTCGAGCTCTTCCTCGTCGTCTTCCTCGTCATCCTCGAGGTCGCTCGCGCCCTCGTCGCCTTCCGAGTCATCGTCCGCGAAGCCGTTGGTGACGGGCAGTCCGTCGTCATCATCCTCAACATCGAATCCGGCGCCAGAGGCCTCCTCCTCGCCCTCGACGTACACGACGCCTTGCTCATCGTCGTCATCGTCAGAATCGTCAGAGTCGGCAGCATTGCGCATGCCGCGGCGCAGCTGCATCTGAGACTCGAGCAGGTCAAGCTTGCCCTTGAGCGACAGCAGCGAGGTCAGACCTCTGGATCGCTCCTCCAGAACCCTGTGGAGCTCTCCGAGCTTCTTGGCAAGACCGGGCTGCGTCGCGAGCGCGCCGCCGTGGGCGACCAATGTCCACTGCACCCAGGTCATGAGGCTGCCTGCTCGGCCTGGGCGCCTGTGCATCCTCGAGGCAAGCTTCGTCAGAAGAGTGCCGGCCAGCGAGGAGTCCAGCCTTTGGATCGTGTTCGCTACTGTGTTGAGGTCGGTCGTGTGCAGACAGGACTCGAGCAGGTCATTGTCGTCGGTTCGCAGGGCTTGTGTGAGGACCGTGCCGAGCGATGCTGAGCTGGGCGGTGCGAGGACACGGCCAGTGTTTGCGAGGGCGTTTGTGGGCGGGAGGAGCAGGGCGGAGGGGACGTCTATCGTCTCCTCGACGCGTGCGAGCTCGCCGAAGGTGGGCTGGGCGGGCTCCTGGTCTGACTCGGCATCGTCGGCCGAAGCCATCTCGGTGTCCTGGTCGGCGCCAGCTTTTGATGATTCGGCGGCTGTCTGGGCGGAACCGTTTGTCGCGGGTGCTTCCGAGGCATCGCCTACTTCCTTCTCAGCTCCTTCGTCATCGGAGCCCTCGTACTCGCTGCTGGCAGAGTCACTTGAGATCTCAATCGCATCCTGCTTGTCCGTCGCAACGTCCGTCGAGATGCCTGGCGCTGTGACAGCGGTCTCGGACTCATTGATGTTGGCCTTGGTGGCCTTCTTGGCACTCTGCTTCACCACCGGCTGAGCAATCTTGCTCGGTGCTTTCCGCTTTGTCGACATGGCAGTATGGGAATTGGAGTCTTTAGCGAACGCGAGATTACGCAGGAAACGACGATCGCGATGTGGTGGCAATCTGCCTGGCTTGATGTCTGGGTCGCTTTTGTCCTGGGGAGCGCCGTGGCAAGTAGCACAGACTTGTCGTCGAAGGTGTGCCAGTCTTTGATCCACCAAAGAAATCGTCGGCCTGCAAGTCTGGATTCTCAGGGCCGGAACTCTTGCGTTGACTGGGCACGCGCGAGGTCCCGGGCTGGTCGTCAACTTTTTTCTGCCGATAAGACGCTGGGCCACTCTTATCGACAGCGATAAGCGGCCTGTTTTTCCGAGAAGGGGCCGCCTCTGCACCTTGGACGGACGCGGACCAGACACGCTTGCAGCATCCAACAGTGGGGCTCGACCTGTTACTGCATGCTTTCTCGCAGCCAAGCCCAGCTTAGATGTCAATCAAGCTGGAGGCCTGGGTAACAGGCACAGCCATCACCATTTTCGTACCAGAGCTTGGTCCTACGCGAGTGCCCACTCCGCAATGGAAAGGATGGGAAGTCCGCGCGGACGGCAGAGGACACCTCTAGTATCTAGAACAATACAAGCAAGCCTGCATGTGGACAGCAGAGGTTGAGCCCCGTACTGGGCGAGATTCGCACGCGGCAGGGGCTTGTGCAGCGCGGCCAGCAGGGACACACCGCAACACTGACTGTGGTGCAGCCAGGTCTCCGGGCTCAGAAATCTGCTGCAGCCGACTGACTTGCACGAGGGGACAGTTGAGCCACATCTTAGCATTCATGACCATGGCAGAAGGTTCAAGCCAGTTCCTCAGGAAGTCGGAGCCGCTTCCGTCGAGCGCCACGACTCGCGTAGATCGTGCAGGTCGGCACAGCACCACTAGGTAAGTGGACTACCGAGGGGCAGAGCAAGTTCGTCTTGCCGTGGACGCCGCCCGTCTGCACTCCTTGGGCAGAGATGTTTTTGGGCGTGATGTGTCAAAACCCACAAGGCTCCAGAACGCGTCATGATGGCCCGTTCGTTGTCACTTCTTTGCCCACATATGTTCCCGTGCCTAAGCTTGGGAGACTGCCGCGTGCCGATGCTGCGCCCAAGAAAACGAGAATGCGCTCGGCCTCTGATTGGCTCGCCGGCAGTCCCCGGGCTCCACCCTGCATCCTTCGCGCCCCCGGCTCTCTCGCCCAGGTGTGTGGCCGGAAGGATGCTTTCCAGATTGCTTTTGGCCTCCCGGCGTGAATGCCTGGTGCCGGCCGTGCGGGTGGGAAAAGGCCTGCTGCGTGAGAGTTCCATCCTCCTGTAAAAAGTCGGCGACAAATGTATTCGGGCTTCTTGCTGGTACCAGACTGACGAGAGACCATCAAGTGGACACTGGGATTTGACGGTGAAGGGGAACCTGGGCACTCGTGATGAAGTGGCCTTAAGTCCAGAGCAAAGTAGCGGGACTCCCAGGACCCTGCACTGGAGGTCTTGGCAGCGGAGCTGACCCGTCAACGCAAATGCGACAAGTGCTGATTCGTCAGGCGCCCCCAATGCTGGCTTGTTTGGGCTGCGAGGGTGGAGACGGGCCTCGCGACCCACGAGCTGCAAAGTATCGCGACTTGTGGTGCTGCGACCTTGTGGCTACCCGTGAGAGCTCGCGCTAGGCAGGGGAGGGCCCCCCCTTCCAGGACGAGCGCGACGGGTCCACCAGGCGCTCGAGGCAGGAGCAGGCCAGGCCAGGCACACCTGGGGAGCAGGCAGGCAGGCAGGCAGGCAGCCCTGGAGGCGGGCAGGGACTCGAGTCTGGTCGCGCACCCTGAGGCCGCGGGCGCGCGAGTGCTGTTTGCTGGGCAGATGAGCACGGTCCAGGATAAAGATGCGCCGGCCGATTTTTTTTATTTTCGATCCTTTCCTCTTGTTTCTCCCTCTTGCCCTCCCATCCGACCAACCACAACCGCGAGCGCGCACCCAGCCCTCGCACCCCCCTCCCCCCCTCCTTCCTCGCCGCCCTCGCCGCCCTCGCCCAGCACCGCCGCCTGTGCGCCTGCTCCGGGTGCCCGACCTCCCCGTCCCGCGCGTGCCATCACCTCGCTGTCACTGGCCGGCCATCATACATAATCGAGGAGCCCCCCTTCACCCCCCCATCCGACACCCAACACACCCGAGCCCATCCGCCTCCGCCGCACGCCTGCACGCCCGTCCTGCCCGCTGCGCGCCATCACCACCCACTTCGAGGTACATCACAACCAAACGTCCAGCTTCTTTTCCGAGCTGCACCGCCGACCACCGTCCGCCATCATCGCATTTTGGGGCTTTTTTCTCGTTGTTCTAATTCCCCCGTCACTGCTTCCTGTGCCCTTGTCTGGGTCTCTCCCCCGGTCTCTCCCCACCACTCGTCACAGCCGCCACGTTACCGCGTGCAGCCGACCTTCCCAAAGCGGTCAGTTTTGAGGCTATCGCCAAACCGTCTCCACACAGCAACCGCCCACAACTGCGCGGTGTACTCGTTCGTGTGTTGTCGCAAACAGCCACCAACCTGCACGCCTCAATTTTGAGACCAACTAGTTGAAGGTAATTATTTTCTTTGTTCATCTACGCAACACTGTCGATTTTCTTGCAATGCACTCCCTTATTCCCATCAATACCCATTCTCGGCCAGTGAGACGCGGTTCTGCGACGCGCTCAGCGAAACCCATGCACTGCGACCCGTAGGACCTCCAATAGCATCCTTCGTGCAGCACCACTTTAAGACCATCTCACGTCTGTCTTGGCGCGCCATCGCCGTTGTGTGGTACTCATCCCAATTATCGCACGGCTATCCATTCTCATTCAAATCGGCCGGCAACGTCGCCTTTCGCGCTTTGTTTCTGTAATGCGACATTGCCAATCTTTGGCAAAACTGCCCCACCGCTGTGGCTTTCGAGCAATCTCGACTTTCGGATCACGCGATGTATCATGCATCGTTTTCGCATTTCCTGGCCATCTCTGCGCCCATTCCTGAGCGACACGGCACAAGAACGCGAAGCTGGTTCGAGCGTTCCTCTGGCCAGCCGTTATGTCTGAGCCCAGACCCTTTCAGTGCCACACTTTGTTCACTCATTGCGTGTTCACTACGCGACCATGTCAATTTCATGTTGCACATCCACCACAGGCTCAAGTCCTTTCTTGCTAACTCGATTTCCAGTATCAGGTATCGTCCGCCTTGATGGTTCACGCATTTCAGTCGCATTAAGCTCTCGAGCCTTCTCAAACACGCGCGGCTTCTGTGTCTGGTTGCTGCGGATGGCCGTCATGGCAACTGAACAACCTCAGACTGTGCCTGCAGAGCCCAAGTCGACTGTCATTGGCACCGCAGAGGACAAGATGGTTGTCGACTCAGCGGCGCCCACTTCCGTGAACGGGTGAGTCCAACTTCCACAGTGCCTCATTGCGAAGTGGCTTTTTTTTTTCTTTTAGCTAAGCCCTCACTTCCACAGGCACAGTACACCCGTCGCATCTGATTCTGCGCACAAGGCATCTGCTACCAATGGCGATGCTTCCGAGCCTGCCGAGGACGCTGCCAAGGCGCATAACGCGGCATCCTTCAAAGCCAACTCGGATTTGTCCGCTCGAACAGACAAGGATGCCCAAGACCCACAGCCGACTGTCAATGGTGCTGAAGACAGTGACATGCCCGATGTCGACGGACAAGCTTCAGACAAGAAGGACGCGCCATCCACAGATGCCGCTGTGTCAAAAGACTCGGGACTCCCCAAGTCGCCGTCCTCTCCCAAGCCTCGGGAAACGGCCGCTGCAGCTGACTCGATGGATGTTGATTCTTCGACGGACCGCGCAGATGTCGCTACCAGCGCAGAGCATGCGGAAAGCACGCAGGACACGTCCGCAATGAGCGATGTGCCGTTGGTAGAGTCGCCTCGTGAAGTGCCACAGGACAAGACTGATGACGTCAAGCCCACGGCAGATACTCCAAAGGAGTCTGAACAAAGCAAGGTCGATGTGAGCATGAAGGACAGCTCTGTTTCTCCGGGTGCAAAGGTGGCGCGCGAGCGTGAGGAGGATTCCGCCGATGAACCAGCGGCCAAGCGAGCGAGAACTGAGGAACCCACCGAGATCACTGCCGACTCGCTAACGGTCGCTACGGGCACGCCGGGCGCATCGCACGAACGGACAGAGCCTGCTGACGACGGGGAGACCGACGCCCGCGAGATCACCTCGTTCCAGAACAAGCAGATTCGCGGGATTATCGCGGGAATCAAAAAGACCAAGAACGGAGGCAACTTCCGCAAGTCGGTCCGTGACCTCTGGCCTGGCTTATGGAATGACTACTCTCAAAAGGTCGAAAATCCCGTGGACCTGTCGCTGTTTGAGTCGAAGCTGCGTGACAACAGCTACGCGAATTACGGCGAGTTGAAGCAAGATGTGCGACTGCTCTACCAGAACTGTGTGCTTTTCAATGGCGAGAACCACATCGTGACCAACGCCGCCGCCATTGTTAGAGATCAGATTTTTTCGAAACTTCCAGAGATCTCATTGCTATCAGAACCTGTACGAGCCGAGAAGAGCAAAGCCCAGCCATCGCGCCTCGCAGAATCCCGCGCCGCCACCCAGCCACGGCGTCAATCTCAGCCTCAATCGCGAGTTGCTACGAGCCCGAAGCCCAAAGCGGACGTTGCCTCACATGCGACGCCCTCCAGCGCGACATCGACCAGTGCACCTGCCTTCGCTATCCCGCCGAATGGCGTTCCCCAAATTCGGCGCGACTCGACAAGAGACGATGGAGACCGGCCGAAGCGGCCGATTCACCCTCCGAAGAACCGCGATCTTGATTACGCTGGCAAGGGTGCGCGCAAGAAGAAGCTTGACCCTGAGCAGAAGTTCTTCGCGGAGGTCTTGGCTGAGATCAAGAAGGGCAAGCACTTTGCGCTGAATCAGTGGTTCATGGAACCAGTAGATCCTGTCGCGTTCAATATCCCCACCTATTTCAGCATTGTTAAGAAGCCGATGGACCTCAGAACAATGACTGAGCGCAACGAGGACGGCCAATACAAGACCGCCAAGGATGTTGAGAAGGACATGCGTCAGATCATCACGAATTCCGAGCTGTTCAATGGTCCTGACCATGACGTTACAAAGATTGGAAAACAGCTGGAGACGCTGCTCAAGTCCGAGCTCGCCAAGAAGGATTCTTGGATGGCCAAGAACTACCCGCCTGAGCCGGCAAACTCCCATGGTAACGGCAGTCCCGATCGCAGTGCCGATGAGTCCGAGGATGAGAGTGAGGCCGAGCCGGAGGAAGAGGACAACGAAACGATCCGGAACCTGCAGAGCCGGCTCAAGGAGGAGCAGGATAAGCTCAACACCCTCATTGGGTCAAAACGACCAGACCTATCAATGATAGAGATCCAACAGTCCATGGTCTCGATGATTCAACGCAAGCTCGTCGAGGAGAAGACCAAGTTCCACAGCGAGAAGAAGCCGACCAAGAAGAAGGGTGGCGCCAGCAAGAGTAAGGCCAAGGCCAGTGCTGGAGGTTCGTCCAACAAGAAGGGCGCCGCGGGTGGTGCTGCATCGAAGAAGGCCGGGGCCGCCAAGAAGGCGGCTCCCCGGAAGAGGTCGATTGGGCCGCTCGAGAAAGCTATTATCGCCGAGGGCATCAACGAGCTTGACGGCAACACCCTGACCAGAGCTGTCGAGATTATCAAGCGCGACACTGGTCAAAACGTGGGTTTTTGACCTCCCTATGAGGATCTGCCTCTTGCCACATGAAGTGTAACTGACAATGATACAACAGGAAAATGACGATGGTGAGATGGAGCTTGATATCGACGCTCTGTCGATCGACGCTCTAGGCCGGCTCTACGACCTCATCCACCGGGCACACCCGCACATTCGTGCCAACCTTGAGAAGAAGCCTGAATTTGCGAAGCAGCAGGAGTCTCCGGAACCGGAGGGCTTCATGAAGTCCGGTGGCACCAAGAGCAAGAAGAACAAGCCCATGAACAAGCATGAGCAAGAACGCAAGATCGAGCAGCTCCGGGAGCTCAAAGCGCAGCTTGCACGCCACGGCAGCGGGAGCCAGGAGCCCTTCCCTGTGGAGGGAGATGAGCAGCACGACAACGAGTCGAGCGAGGAGAGTGATTCAGAGGAGGAATAAATTACCCGGGATTTGGACCGTGTCGAGCAAACACCATGAATTGCTCTGGACTTTTGCCGGGAGGCGAACATTCCTAGTCGTCGCTCGGCACCGCCTATTTGTGCCCTGGAAATGAGCTTTGTCCCTTTAGCGAAGGCGCAAGAGGTTCACGACATTACGATGTCGTGGCAATGTTGAATTGAGAAGTTGGGGTGCGAGGTGGTTAGGCATATTACCTCTGGTCGGTTTCGGGAGCGAAGCACAGATATACCTTGACTGTACAAAATATATCCTCTCCACGACTCGGGCTGCGTTGTGGACAGCATCGCGTCTGGATCGTGGGAATCACAACCACGCAAAGCACCTCCTGGGCCGAACATGTGGCCGCTTGAGATTGTGCAGTTTTGTCTCTTGTTCAAGAAAAGGCGATGACGATGCTTCCGCCGTGAAATGTCAGGCCGGAAGGTCACAGTGGCTCAGTGCTGACGCTCTTCTGTCTTGTGGAAGATGGCGCGGCGATGCAATGAGCTTGGTCCCCACCACCACCTCCGTCTTCGGAGCTGAATGCATGCACGCTTCTCACCTGTATTATTGCCCCGATTTGTTTTATCTTGATGGTTGAGTTTTGAGCTGTCCGGCAGGATGATGGCATATGTGTGTGCCAACCACAAAGACCGTGTAACGAATATATATATATATATAAAGAGGGCTCTGACGTAGCTCTCTCTCTCTCGCCTGTGTTGTCTGCCAGGCTCCGCCCCGCCAGCCCACGAATTGTGTTGTTTGGCTTGTTTCAACATTTGACGTTGGTTTGGCCCATCTGCGTCAGCCAGCAAGGTCCGGGTCAGGCCAGGTCAGGCCAGGATAGGCTCGGAGGGTTCGGCTTGCAAGCAGAGGCAACACGGATGTGATGATGATGATGATGATGATGTTGGGGATGATCTGTCTGTATGACATGGTGTCAGGGTTTTTTTCTTTGGGCATGTTCTGATTGGCGAGAGAGGGTGGCAGGCAGCCTGGGAACAGAAGGGAAAAGTGAGGAAACAAAACCGGATCTTGGAGGGGGTGGGGGGGGGGGGGGGCATATGATTAGCGGTAGTGGCAAAATGCCAACGAAGGGAAAGACGATGCGGTGGTGGTGGCAAAAGCCTGAGACTGCTGGCTACAAGCCTTCGTCAAGAATGTCAAGTATGTCAAGTTACACATATACACCCTAGTGTGTGCGTGTGTGTAGTGGCTAGCGGTCCGCACGCCGAGCTGTCGAGTGAAATAAGACGTGGCCGAAAGATATATACTCGGCGAAGAAGAAGAAGAAGAAGAGGGTCCTCTTGATCCGCACCGGGCACGGACACAAGCAGGAAGAAAATACATGTCATATGCCATGTTATAGCAGCATTTTGCAATGCTTCTTGCCCTCGGAGGGGTTGAGCAAGAAGAACTGCAACCTACATGGCTACCTTCTTTTCTGATAGACAGACAGACAGACAGACACGAACGACTGCCCTCGCGGCCAAAAAGGGAGAAAAAAAAAGGTTTCCCCGCGAATACTCACAAGCGGATCCTGCAGCGGTGGAAGCTTACTTTGGCGTTAGGCCACTTAGATATCAAAGAGGTCCCTTTCTGAAACGTCCCCGTTGGGTTGTGTCAGGGTCGAGCGGTCGAATCGGCCGAACCGGCCGCTCGAGCGAAGGGGGGAAGTGGTGCCAGTATAATACGGGACTGCTGCCGGACGAACAGGAGCTCGACCAGGGGGGGCAGAGGAGAAGAAGGATGGTAAGCAAGAGTCTCTCTCTCTCTCTCTCTCTCTCTCCCAAGTGCAGGCAAGGATGAAGAACCGGCCCGTGGCCTGTGTACCCTGCTTCTCCAGCTTATTCTGCATTGCGACGGACATTGCACTACCACCGCACATTTTTTAAGGGGCGTGCTCTGGCAGAGGAGAGACTGTTGTCCCTAAATCAGGCTGCATGGGATTGGGGAACGGGAACGGGTCGTGTGATTGGACGGCCTGATGTACGATGTCTATTTGTAAGTGAGACCCTGGAACCTGGAAGCGTGATAGGCTATCTGAGACGAGTAGTAGTAGCCGCGGAAGAACCGGGACCCCCATGAGGAACAAGTAATGGCGAACTCTTGACAACGGGCACGGGTAGGGGTTCCGGATCCATGAGCATAAATCAAGGACACGGGCTGACTGTATCGAATCGAGGGTCTAGTGAATTAGACTTGGCACTCGCCCACGCGCTTCTCTTTGCCCCGACGGCCTTGGCATTTCCAGCCGGTCGAGGTGGGTTCGGCCGAGTGGGCATGGAGCGATTCTGGCCCGCGGTCGGCCGTTGTGCTGCCGACTCCGCCCTGCGACGGGCATAGTCGTGTCCTACATGCCACACACCTGTCGATTTTTGTCAGATTATAGCTTGCAGCAACTGACTCGGTCTCTGAATGAGCTGGCGCTTGCCATGCTGGCCGGTCGGATCCGCCGCGGTGCTGAGCCAGTCGTATGACGCCATGGCCATTGCCAGGCTTGATGTGGCAGGTCTTCCTCTTTTGGTCATCTCGCTCGCCAGCACAGCAGAGGCGCTGTGAGTCTCAGGCTGTGGGGCAGAGTCATGGCAGAGACGGTGCTGGCGTGAGCAGGACCGAGGGCAGTGCTGGCGACAGCCGCCAAGGCCTCGCAAGGCCAGTCCATACAGGCACGATGGAGCAGGGCTGACCGGGGCTGGCCAGGGACAGGGGACATGGGGCAGGGGACAAGGGGGATGGCTCGATCGAGTCTGTATTACTGCGTAGGTAAGCATGCATGCAGGTCACGATGGCCCAAGTATACGGCACTGCTGGGCGGACAGCGGGTTGCGCGTATGTGACAATGTCTCCGGCCCCATCGACTTGCTGATGGCGCGCGCACGCTGCAATCAAAGACATGCACAGCTCAAGTCGCGCGGCCCGCACGTTGTCCCGGCCGCGGCGCCGACCCTGCGAGGCGTCGGACTCTCGGTCTACTGCTAGTCTAGCGCCCTTGTCCTCCCTTCCCCCAACGACCCCTTCTCAATACCCGCGCCCACGGATAGGCTACAAGTTTTACGCATGTGGCTCCCGGGAACCAGGGTCAGCCACTGCGCAGGGAACATCCCATCTTCTTTCCTGGGCCCAAAAAGGTAAAACGTATCTTTCCTGCCACACAACTTGCTTTGTTGCCCTTCCCGGCGTCCGGCAGCCCTTGTCCCAGCGCTCTATTTCTGGCCATGAACCTGGAGACGGTCGCCTGGTTGCGCACGGCGGCTGTGCCAACGCTCCACCCCTTCCACCGGAGACCTCCCAGATCAGGGGTCCCAATATCCGGTCCCTCAACCGCAGCCTTGAACTGGCCCCCAGTATGGGCACCTCTCGCCCTGGGCAGGGGGTCTTTGCGGCCCATCTCCATCGTGGGTTAGTATATAGAAGAGCCCGCCCACAAGGTCAAGCCTGACCCTGCTTCCTGGCTGTCTATCCTGTCAGTGATCTGAACCAGTGCTTGACATTACGTACGACGTCCAAAGTCACTTCCCCAGTGCCAACAATTCCCACGCACAATGATGGCTCTGTCCACAGAGTTCAAGGTCATCATCGTCGGTGGCGGGCCTGTCGGTCTGCTGGCCGCCCATGCATTTTTCAAGGCCGGAATCGACTTTGTCGTCCTGGAGCGCAGAGACACAGTCAGGTCACACCAAGGCAGCAGCATCGCCATCGGTCCTTCAACAACCCGCCTGTTCGACCAGCTTGGTCTTTTTGACGCAACGCGCAGACTCAACCACAAGCTGGGGCGCCGGTGCGCCGTCACAGGCAAGGGCATGATGTTCAGCGACGTCGAGTTTTCCACGTGGCTGACGGAATTGTAGGTTGCATATGAGCTTGCCTGCCCGATCCGTAATCCCGCTGACCCTTGAGTACTCTCCCATAGCTTTGGCCATGAGCTCAACTTCATCCATCGCAGCGAGTTGCTCGACATGCTGTACACAACCTTGCCTGAGGAGGCCAAGGCTAAGGTCCTGACCAACAAGCGCATCTCTGACATCACTTCGGACGAAGCCAAGGCTGTCGTGACATGCGAGGACGACACAAGCTACCAAGGCAGCGTTGTTTTGGGTGCTGACGGCGTACACAGCCAGGTCCGTGAGTACATGCGGACACTTGCGCTCCAGCAAGATCCCAAGGCCAAGGTGGACGAGGAGAAGCCGTTTCTGTCGACGTATCGTTGCATGTTTGGCTATGGCCCGACGCCCGAGGGCCCCAAAGAGGCTGAACAGTGGGAGTGCCACACCAACGACAAGTGCACACAGCTTTTCGTCGGCCGCGACAAGACGTGGTTCTTTGTATACGAGAAGATGGCGAAGCCGACGCGAGAACGGACAACATACTCTGTCAAGGACAAAGAGCAGTATGCGGAGCGGCTGGGCGACCTGCTCCTGCATGAGAAGGTCCGCGTGCGCGACGTCTACAAGACGGCGCAGGAAACCATCCTCGTCGATCTCGAGGAGGGGACTGTAAAGAACTTTACCTGGGGCCGTCTCCTGCTCGCAGGCGACGCAGCGAACAAGCAGACACCCAATGCGGGTAACGGCTTCAACAACGGCGCGCAGGACATTGCCATGCTGGTCAACCTGTTGCACGGACTTGTCAGCCAACAGAACCGGGAGAAGAGTGAGGGTGTGAGCATGGCGGCACTGAGCAAAGCGCTTGGAGAGTACCAGGCGAAACGACGCAAGCTGGGCAAGGAACTCTTTGAGAGATCTGCGCTCATGACGCGCATGTCGACATTCGACAGCTGGGGGTTGAAGATGCTCGACCGCTACATTGTGCCCGGGCTCAAGCTCGACAGGTTCCTGTTTGAGAAGATGGTGGCGCCTATAGTGGCCGCGAGCGACATCTTCACCTTCCTGCCGGAGAACAACCTCAAGCAGGGCAAGTTCCCGTGGAAGAACACGTCGGCGGTCCAAGCCGCAGCGGCGTGAGGAGCAGCCGAGGGAGTCGCTGTCGATTCTTGTTCCCTAATGATGGGGAGCAGGGCAAACATTTGGAAGAACGAGTGAGCAGAGATTTTAGAGGCGTCTGATCCAATCTGCCTTCTATATGCTGGCCGTTGAGGGGGGCAGGAACGGGCGGAGCTGTCAGCTTACATGAAAGCACTCAAACGGAAGGAGCACGGACGGTAGGAAACATCTCAAGTCCACCTGCACCACCAACAACCGGACCCCACACAGTCACAGAGTCACACATGTACATGGATGGTGTACACACATACAGGCCCGGCGCGGCGGACTTCTTTTAGATATATATCCTGTGTTTTCGGAGCGTCCATTACAAACCAAACAATAAATAGAATAATCTCAATTAAGGGCATCATCTTCTGGTGCTGCACAAGCTGCGGCATAGTCTCTCAGAAGTGCGTACTTTAAGGGGCAGAAGTGTTAAGCAGTAGCTGCTTCTTCCATGTTGACGCGGAGCGATTTTGAAGCCCAGAAGCGTCCCTCGGGCACAAATTAGATACCGGGCCAGTGCGTGAAAGTAAAGGACTTACGGTGGAGCCTTGGAAGGAATTGTGACGCATTTAGTCAAGCATGACGGACGTATGAGAGAGACCCTGACAAGCATTGTGAGGCTAAGCTGAATTGTCTCTTGAGCTACGATCATGGAATATCAAGAACACCACGGTGACGAACATGGAAAGCCGCAGACTTTCACCCAGAGGCGGAACCAGGTCTCGGGAGTACCGGACTTAAATGCAGGAAGACCGAACCACGGAACTCCCCATGCAAGGTATGGAACCCAGTCTGGGGACTCAGGAGGGCCCGAGCTCGTGAAACATACCGAAACACGTGGTAGTTGTTATATCTTTGGTACCAGGCAGAGCTTAACCATAGAGATATTGACTTTGGGCAATGTGGTCCTGGAGAACCTTCCATTCAGCCTCAGAGATCTGCAATCACATTAAATAGCCCCTCTACGCCACCATCTTCTCTTTTTAAGGTTTCCCAATCTCCCGAAGCATTCTGGACCCTTTACACACTCAATCACCCCAAACGCGACGTATCACCATGCTCGGCCGCATTCTACTCACCGTTGATGCCGTGGGCCTCATACTCGGCGCCGCCATAGCCGACATGAGCGAGACGCACATGTACAACCCCAACTGGCGCCCTCATGCCAAGTACGTTTTTCTCCCTCCCTCCCCGCTCTCACCTTCAGACCAAGCCAGCGCAAAGAATCCTTGGCAACATGAAAGGCCCTTCTTTCTAACCTTTGCTCGCGAAAATGATAATAATAATAATAATAATAAAACAGATTCCATAATGCCCAGACGATCCAGCTCTCCGTGCTCCTCGGCCTCGTGACGCTCTACTACACCTGGCGGCCACGGCCACCTACGCCCCAGCAGCGTCGCGAATATACCAAGATCCGCGCGTTCGCGGGATCCGTGTACTGGCTCACGGGCCTGACGGCCCTCTTGTTCCCCGGCACGATGGGGCTCGATCCGGAGTTCGGAGGGCCCGGGTTCCCGCAGGGGGGATCTTTGTGGGATTCATGACTGCTGGGCTCTTGGGCACTTGGCTGGACGCGTGATAGGACGGGGTCCTTCTCGGAATGAAGAGAGCGAAAAGGTGCTTGGTAGACAGGGATGGGGAGGGGGGGCTTTGTGCAAAAGCGGTGACGCGATGTAAAGCTCACCATTGTGTAAGATAGAAATATGCACATGCCTGCAGAGGTACAGTAAGGTACTGTACAGGCTGGGGCGAATGACCCTTGGAAGCAATGTCCCGTGTTTTCAATAATCCGTGTCATCATGTCTTTAAATTTACCCCACCACGTCGGCAGAAGGGGCGCTGATAAGACTCGCGCAGAATTTAGCCAGGTACTTGGCAAGACCGTGTGAGACCACCGCTTCCAGATATATGCTCGTCCTGATCTTCGCGAGAAAGTTGAGGGTGCGGGACCCAACAGCCTGGGACAAGCACACCCAAGAAACGCCACCCGCATCCTCTGCCCTAATTGTGGAGAAAAGGTCAGCAGGGGACCGAGGCAGTGCATCGGCAGGGAGCTCGCGTATACGGAGATGAAGCTCGTCGCGGCGCTCGTGCTCAGGAAGTTTGATCTGCACGAGGCGTGGGATGAATGGGACAAGTCGAGGTAAAGTGTTTTTTGGTTTCTTCTCCCCCCTCCTCTCCTCCTCCTCAATTTCGTCCCTCGTTTGTCTTATTCCGGGGGCCTCGTCGCTGACGTGGGCTTACCCAAGCTATGTAGGATCACGGTACCCAATGTTGGAGATGACTGATTCTGGGCGCCGTGACAGCCTCCAAACGAATGGATAAATTGATCGAGTTGCCGATCTCCTCATTCTTCATATAAGATCTCGGGCTTCACGTAATTGTATCTTGTCACTTGTCATTTTTGCAGTTTGGACTTTCTGCGCCCAAATTCGTGATACGCTAACACGCTCGGTCACACTATCCTCGGATCGACAGACTATAATCGCGGAATTCCCACTGATCTTTCGGTAATCCCTTACTCGGCGGCAATTCATATGTCAAAAGTACATAAGAGACATGGCCCCAGCTACGACACTACACCGCGCCACACGCGGCTTGCAAAGCCTCAACCCCCCGCCAGTATCAGACAACACCGTCCGAGTTCGCATGGTCGACACCGAGTCGTCGCTATCCCTGCACGCGTACTCCTTTGTCGACCCGGTGATGCCGGGCCACGAGATCATGAGCATGCCCACGATGGCATTCCTCATCGAAAACGAGCGGCTCGGCAAGAAGGCCATGTTCGATCTCGGTATGCGCAAGGACTACTGGAACCTGCCGCCCGCCACGCGGCAGGCGATTCAGCGGGCTGTTCCGGGCTTGAGGAGCGACCGAGACACGACGGATATTCTAAATGATGGCGGGATAAGACTGGATGAGATCAGTACGCAGGGATTTCCCAATGCCGGCTTGCTGGTCGCAAGATTTGACTAACTCGTCCTCCAGACGACATCATCTGGTCGCATAGCCACTGCGACCACACTGGCTCGACCCATCTCTTCCCACACTCCACAAACCTTTGTTATGGTAGAGACACGGTTGGGTTTCCTCCATACCCCGAGTCGCCAACCTCGAACCTCAACGCAGATGCCTTTGAAGGTCGGAAGTGTCGCGCCATAGACTGCAATCAGCTAAAGATCGGGCCGTTTGATGCGCACGACTTCTACGGCGATGACTCACTGTACCTGCTCGACACACACCCGGGCACTGGCCTGGTCATCTCTGCGCGCTCGCCAGAACCACGCCTGATACTTTCGTGTTTCTGGGCGGAGACATCTGCCACTTCGCGGGGGAATTTCGTCCAACGCAGGAGATCCCTCTCCCAGACAGTATCCCTGAAACGGCCCTGTGTCGAGGAGGTGGCCGCAGACCAAGAGATGACTACCCGTCACCTTGTCCGTGTGCCATTTTCACCAACCATCACCCTCAAATTACACGAGCGGCGGAAGGCGACCCAACGGTCGACCCGCGGACGACGCCGTTCTACAAGCTCTCTACGCATGAGAAGTCTGCGTACGAAGAGCCGGGTGTCGCGACTGCCACGATGAAGGGCATGCAGGACTACTTTGACTCGGATGACCACGTGCTGGTGCTCTTGACCCACGATGCGATTCTGCCTGAAGTCTTGCCTACGATTAACGAGCGCCCAGCAGAGGATCTCAATGACTGGAAGGCCAGGGGATGGAAAGAACGTTGCCACTGGGGCTGGCTAGGTGAGCTGCCGCGCTACAACGACGACGGCTCTGTGCGTGGTCCTGGTCCGCGGGCGACCCCCATCGTGGAAGGCCTGTGCAAAGATGGGGAAAGGATAGAGTCGCTCGTTTGATCGTGAGCAGTGGTGGTGGACGGTGGTGGATGGGGTGCACGGGTGTACTCGAGAGCGATCCGTAGCCGAGTCCAAAACTCATTCTCAAAAGACTGTGTGAGCGAGCGTACTCTGATGCATGGCGATAACCTGCACCGCATCGGATGCCTGTGGTACAATCAGCATGCCAGCCAATTAAGGCTGCAGACGTTCAGCCGCGCAGAAGCAACCCGCCTTTCACATGCCAAACAAAGATGGCAATTTGGAAGGCAGTCACCATGCTTTTTCCGTCTCAGGTGCTGAGGTTGGCGGATGTGCCGGGAGACAGAATGACGTTTCCAAGGTTTCTTTGAAGTCTCGTGCCCACGGTCGTGGTCCCAGTCAGTATGAATGCCGTATGGTATTGTAGACGGAGGGTAGGATTCAGCTACTGTTAAATCAGCTGGAAAGGTGGTCGTGCCTGCCTATGACGGGCCTTTGCGTCGACATGCAGGGCTTATCTGATGCACTCCCATGCGCGAGGAGGAGCGATACCCAGTAGCCTCCCACTTCGAAACGTGGGGGGCTGATATCTATGGATCCAACGCAGAGCTGGCGGAGGCGAATTGGGCTGCACTGCGAAACCATGAACGCACTTTGACGAACTCTGTCCAGGCAGTTTCCGCCGTGCTGTTTCCCCTCCATCTACACAGATCCCCAGACGGCCCTCCCACACGGCTCCCTGGCTGGTGACCGACAACGACGACGACACTTGTACCACACCGAGTCAACGCAGGGCAAAGCGAGACCCTGCATCAGTCACAGAGGCCGCATCTGGGCTGCAAATACAACCACGAGACGGCTTCGCTATTCTCGGAGGGAGGACTCGAGATCCAAGGCACCGATCACTCACCTCCACGTACACGGCCTCGTCCGAGCCAGGACGCAACACCAAGATGCGGGGCGTGGTTGCCAATAGCGAGCGGCAGAGGCGAAGCCGGCATGCTTCAAGCTTCTCGAGGGTGAGTGAGATGATTTCCCTTCTCGTCTGCCGCGCGGCGCCGTTCCCGGCATCAGAAGCACTGCTGGCATGCGTCCCATCTGCGCATCCACCACCCCGTCCACACGCCTGCGCATAAAAGCACGGAACGCGAGCCGAGGTCGACGTTGCCGTGATGGCGTCTGCGAGCCCTGCTGCAATTCGTTCCACGTATCGGCCCACCACCCACATACCTTAGTCACGCGGCCCTTTTCCACGCAAATCAGACTGGCGGTGAACAGCATTTCAGACACATCCTCCAGAGCAGAGTCCGTTCTAGCCAGCGCGGCAGGCATAGCCGCGAGCCCCGGCATCGCCAGCCGTTTCTGCGCAACCCGATGCCAGAATGGGACGAGTTATTTTCGTGGAGGGATGGGCAAAAGGAGCGCGAGTGCCTCCTTTTAGCGTCCAGGGTCTTGCCTGCCTGGTCCGACGGTCTCCCCATCGATCAAGCCAGCAAGGGATCGCCAATCCTGGCTCTCGCTTGGCGACGGTTCAGCAGTTGGAGCGGCTTGTACAACCTGTGGTTAGTGGCCACATGCCGCACCAGGCCTTCGGTGGAACGGCTGTCCCACCCGCGGACTCGGATCTGCTGCCCAACGGCAGGAATGCGGCAGAGCCAGGACACGAGCTAGGCCACGTTCCGAAAAGCCTATTCCAGGAGTCCAGGGCCACGATCAAGTTGGTCGAGGGGTCCTTGGTGCCTGTAGTCTTTCCCTGACCCTGTCCTGTCTGTTCCTTTGCGACGTGCCGGCCACCAAGCCGTGTGCTGCTTGGCGGTGCATGCACCTGAGGCTGCGCGCGTGACCACCACTGGGCAAGAAAGAGACAAGCCGGAGCGGCTCCGGGGGAAAGGAGCCAGTCCGCCCAGCTCCGGGCCGGGAGAAAGCCGTGCCTAGGGCGGCGACAGGGCTGGCTGCTGTGTCTTGTGCTCGGTGCATCGCGCTCTGCGCCCGTCGATGGCGGGGCACCCCGCACTGGAAGACACAGCGACAGCTGCAGGTGGGCTGCGTGTCTGGCAGGGCCTGCCTCGCTCGCTGCAATTACCGCCGGCATCCCCCCCAGGGGTGCCCACCCTCCTTCTTCCCAGGCGCCACTTGCCCCGTTCCTGACTTTCCCGGTCGGGCGGCTTGGTGACGAAATCCCTTGGCCCCAAGGGCGAATGCGGCAGATGCAGAGCTTTTTACATCCCAGCTGTGCACTGAACAGGGCCCTCGCTGCACGGACGGAAAGGCCAGTGGCTACCAGAAGGTCCATCTTTCAGTCGTCTCGCTCCCTCTGACCCTCCAGGATATCCACTGCACTGTCATTGCTGGTCGTGCCAGCTACACCTGGGTATTCCCGCGCAAGGACCTTGATGCACCGCCAGAGGCTCCACTTGAGCAGCTAAACCTACGGCTCTGCCCATGACGGTTGCTGCATCCAGCACAGACTCCTACACACCTCTCTGACCGAATTCTCTGCTCGAGCGGATTCTTTCGAGCTTCCACCTCCCTTGCCAAACCAGATTCTCACACCACTACCTGTTCCTGTCCTCCCCGCCTTACTTTTTGCGCTTCTACATCGGGCTGTATCACTATCAATCACGCATCGGCGAATCGTGCAACACGTTGCACACCTTCTGCCAAGATGGCACCCCGACGAAACACCACTAACGGCCGCGGTGTCCAGGCCGAGGACACAAAGATCTGTGTCGTCATGGTCGGCCTCCCTGCGCGGGGAAAAAGCTATATTGCACAGAAAGGTATGCAACAATTCTGATGGGCTCTTCCTCCCTCGCCCTATCGAGAGCAGGCTCCTGACACTCTTTGGATGAACATAGCCCAGCGATACCTGCAATGGCTATCGATTGACGCCAAAGTGTTCAATGTTGGCAACTATCGCCGCACCAACGCGCCCCAGCCATCAGCCGACTTCTTCGACACCGGCAATGCGGAGGGCGAGCGTAGCCGGCGAGCCGCTGCCGAGGCAGCCATATCCGACATGATTGGGTGGTATCGGCAGGGCGGCACGGTGGGCATTCTGGATGCGACCAACTCAACCAAGGACAGGCGGAAATGGGTCTGGGACAAGTGCGCCGCCGAGGGCATCGAAGTTCTCTTTGTCGAGTCGAAATGCGACGACGAGGACCTCATCATGGCGAACGTCCGCGACGTTAAGACGACAAGCCCAGACTACGTCGGCCAGGACCCGGACGAGGCCATGCTCGACTTCCGGAACCGTATCAAGATGTACGAGAAGGTCTACAAGACCATCGACGGCGACGGCGACGAGAGCCACTACACATACCTCAAGATCCTCGATGTCGGCAGCCAGGTCGTCATCAACCGTATCCAGGACTACCTGCAGAGCCGCGTGGTGTACTATCTCATGAACCTGCACATTCGTCCGCGCTCCGTTTGGCTGTCCAGACACGGAGAGTCCATGTACAACCTTGACGGACGTATCGGCGGTGATGCGCAGTTGTCACCCAGAGGAGAGCAGTATGCACGGAAACTGCCTGAGCTTGTGCGCCAATCAGTAGGAGTAAGTTGACCACCGTCACCTGCTCAGTGGATGAGATGAATACTGACGTTCAATTCCCCGACAGGGCGACCGGCCACTCACGGTGTGGACATCGACACTGAAGCGCACAATCGCCACGGCGCGGTTCTTGCCGGACGACTACAACCAACTCCAATGGAAGGCGCTTGATGAGCTTGATGCTGGACTCTGCGACGGCATGACGTATCAGGAGATAAAAGACATATACCCCGAAGACTTTGTTGCGCGAGACGAAGACAAGTACAACTATCGGTATCGCGGAGGCGAGTCATATCGGGATGTTGTGATCCGACTGGAGCCTATCATCATGGAGCTGGAACGATCCGAGGACATCCTGATCGTGACCCACCAGGCGATCCTCCGCTGCATCTACGCATACTTCATGAAGAAGGATCACACCAAGAGCCCGTGGATGAACGTGCCGCTGCACTGTCTGATCAAGCTGACGCCTCGGGCTTATGGAACCGACGAGGAGCGTTACGTCGCAGACATTCCTGCAGTCAGCACCTGGCGCGGCAAGGGCAGTACAGCAAAGCACGAAGACCCTGTGGCCGCCGCCTAGGCGCAAAGCGCGTGGCTGGGGGAGAGCTTTACATAACTGATACAGGACATCAGCATTTTTGGCAGTTGTGGCGTTGGGACTTGGGACTTGGGATTTGGGCATTACATCAAATATGTATAACTGGGGCACCTGTAGTGCCTCCTGTATGCTTTCGGTGATTATGGCACGGAAAAGGACCAATTCATCTCATTTCTGGACTTTTGGCTGCCTTAGTCGAACAGGCGAATTGCGAGCTTGTGATGTTTCGTATTCTTTCGTGAAAGCTGGCCACATGCTACGGGGTATACTTCTTCAATGAAATTCATCACAAGCACAGGATGATAAGGATGTGCTCGCCCTTACAGTGACTCGTGATCATGGGTGGTAGACCTGCTCCAGATTGACTTTGTGCTGGCCGAGGCCTAAAAGTGGGGCGTCTGAGTACCCGCCAGCGCCCGTCTTATCGTGCCCCAACCCTGGACGATAAGAAAAAAAAGTTCCCAGCCCAACAGCAACCTTGGAATCGTGCAGCGCATCCAAGGGCAGAGTAGCCCACCTGCGCAGCAAGTAGCACAGCAAGAAGACCAGGTGCATCCTCCTTGCGCCGTTCGCACCACGACTGCACTTCAATCTTGTAGCAACACCAACAGGACTGCACTCACAGCACCGCAATCCCCCGTCACAAAGAAAGGCACCATGGACGCGGCAAAGCTCAGCAAGAAGCGGAAGTACAAGGACGGCTCGTCCAGCGCGAAGGCTGCCGCCGCCGCCCCAGCCAAGGCGACAGCACCCGTCCCCAAGTCGAAGAAGCTCAAGCGCGCGGAACCCGTGGTCGAGCCCGAGGAGTCTGACAGCGACGACGACGACGACGACGATGATGAGGAGGAGCAAGGGGAGGATGCCAGCGCCAGTGGATCCGACAACGACAACGAGGACGAGGCTGAGAACGAGCAGGATGGCGAGGATGCCGCCGAGCTGGACAGAAGAGTCGAGGCTGCGGACAAGGACGACGACGGTGAAGCAGACGCCGGCGCCGACCTGCCCGACGGCAGCGCCCTGACCCTGCCGCCGACGGCAGCCACCGACGCGCAGAACTTTGCAGACCTCAAGCTCTCGGACAAGTCGGCCAAGGCCATCGAGGAGATGGGCTTCACCAAGATGACCGAGATCCAGCGGCGTGCGGTGCCACCGGGTCTGGCGGGCAAGGATATCCTCGGCGCCGCCAAGACGGGCTCGGGCAAGACGCTCGCGTTCCTGATCCCAGCCGTCGAGATGCTGTGCTCACTGCGCTTCAAGCCGCGCAACGGCACCGGCGTGATTGTCGTCTCGCCCACGCGCGAGCTGGCGCTGCAGATCTTCGGCGTCGCCCGCGAGCTCATGGCGCACCACTCGCAGACGTACGGCATCGTGATTGGCGGCGCGAACCGCAAGGCCGAGGCCGACAAGCTGTCCAAGGGCGTCAACCTGATCATTGCCACGCCCGGTCGCCTGCTCGACCACCTGCAGAACACGCCGTTTGTCTTCAAGAACCTCAAGTCACTCATCATCGACGAGGCCGACCGGATCCTCGAGATTGGTTTCGAGGACGAGATGCGGCAGATCATCAAGATCCTGCCGTCGCAGGAGCGCCAGACCATGCTCTTCTCCGCCACACAGACGACCAAGGTCGAAGACCTCGCCAGGATATCGCTGCGGCCTGGCCCGCTATACATCAACGTCGATGAGGAGAAGCAGCACAGCACCGTCGAGGGTCTGGAGCAGGGATACGTCGTGTGCGAGGCCGACAAGCGGTTCCTGCTGCTCTTCTCGTTCCTGAAGCGCAACCTTAGCAAGAAGGTTATTGGTAGGTCATTCGTGCGCAAATGTCGTTTCTTGGTTAGCAGTACTGACCTCTCTTGTCCTCTCAGTCTTCTTCAGCAGTTGTGCCTGCGTTGACTACCACTCTGAGTTGCTCAACTACATTGACCTTCCTGTCCTCGCTCTGCACGGCAAGCAGAAGCAGCAGAAGCGGACAAACACCTTCTTCGAGTTTGTGAATGGTAAGTCCTGCGGAAACGTCCCACATCACCCGATACGGCCATCATCATACTGACAGCGGCATCTCCCTCTCTCCAGCCAAGCAAGGAATCCTCATCTGCACAGACGTCGCCGCGCGAGGTCTCGACATCCCCGCGGTCGACTGGATCGTGCAGTTCGACCCCCCGGACGATCCGCGCGACTACATCCACCGCGTGGGCCGGACGGCGCGTGGTTCTGGCAAGAAGGGCAAGTCGCTCATGTTCCTGCAGCCGTCGGAGGTCGGGTTCCTGTCGCACCTCAAGTCGGCGCGCGTGCCCGTCGTCGAGTTCGACTTCCCCGCCAAGAAGATCATCAACGTGCAGAGCCAGCTCGAGAAGCTCATCTCGCAGAACTACTACCTCAACAAGTCGGCCAAGGACGGCCTGCGGAGCTACCTGCACGCCTACGCCAGCCACTCCCTCCGCACCGTGTTCGACGTCAACAAGCTCGACCTCACCCGGGTCGCCAAGAGCTTCGGGTTCAGCACCCCGCCGCGGATCGACATCACCCTAGGCGCGGGGATGCACGGAAACAAGAATGGCGGTGGAAAGGGGGGCCAACAGGGGAGGAGGCCGTATGGCAGCCAGCCGCAGCAGCAGAGAAGCCGTGGGCAGCAGAGGAGGTAATGGTCCGTAAAGAAGTTGGGGAAGGAGTGTAGGGAGAGTTATGTGGTACAACGGAGGAGTGGGGAAGAGATGTGGACCAAAGCATTGGCGAGCATTGTACTTGTGGTTTTCAAACAAAGACGGACCAAAAATTGGCAGTAGAGACGTTATACAAAGCGATTGACTTACTTTCCGAAACATTCGGATTCGGACCGAACTTTTCTCAGCACCGAAAACGCGCAGGGCAGGCCTTTTCACTTCTGCTTTGAAAGTGTGATGACACTCCTTCAGTGGAATGGCCATGTGCCTGGACAGCTCACATAGAGAGGCAACCGCGCCATCACCGAACGCGAAGTTTCGTATTCTTTGACCACATTTGTTTCGTAACTTTGTCATTTGACTGTTCCTTAACCTCCCAGCGACTCCTTGGCCGGGGGCCTGAGTACTCGTCAACACTGACACATCCGGGAGCAGTGGAACTTACACGCCAGCCGGCTCCGCCCTCAAGGGTCCAGCCAACACTTACAGGGGCAACGCTCCTCAACAGCCCTAGACCTGGACTTGGATTGGCTTGACATACCAGAGTTTCACTTGAACAACACAAGAGATGCCGCCAAATCCAACATTGCTCGGCTATCGTTCGTTTGACAGTCTTCACAGCACGTTCAGGTTCCGTGTCCAAACCGTGGCCGAGATCTCGTGGTGCAATACAGTGACGGGTCAAGCGCAACACCTGGGGCACTGTGGTAAGCAGAACACGCATTCACTTACGCTACTTGCCGTAAGGTAGCATACGCGTGCCTTCTGCAGGACTGTTCATCGACCCACCCTTCCGCCCACGATTGCTCTACCTTCCACGAATTCGCAGGCTTTTATGCCCTCTGTTTCATCGTTCTTTCGTGCTGTCACATCAAGTGTCTCCCAAAGGTGCGATCGGGTCATGCATTCTCTACCTTATCTCCCACTACGCCTGTACTCCCCTCCACAACTGCCCTATTCCCCCCTAGAACTGCCACCTCCTGATCGTCCTTGAAATTGAGTTCATCGCAGAAACTTGGCCAGATCTCCAGGACCTCCTCGTTTCGGATCTGTGCCAACAGATCACAGCTCGAAGTCAATCCGACTTCCTCCTGGTACTGACTCCGACGCATGGCGCATTGCCAAGTCGTTCGCCCGGCTCTCCCCACGTTGCCTTTGATGATGCGTCGGCACCAGAAACCGCAATTGCAAAGTGGATTGTATTGCTTGATGCCACCCGGCTGCATCGCTTGCACGTATGGGTGGAGCGTCCCATGCCCCAGGCCTCTGGACCTTTGTTAACCTTGTGCCGCATCTCACGTCCACAGCTAGGACAAACAGGCGGTTGCTCCAGGTATTCCATCGCTCCTCAGGTTAACAGTGCCTTTCACCCCCTTTCTCTCTTTTTTCCCCCCGGTCCCTCTCCCGCTCTTCCTCACACACTCTCTCTGCTTCCACCTGTGGAAGCCCACTCCTTCAGGACCTTCCAGTTCTAACCTAGGCCTAGGTTGTAGTGGTATGTAGGGAGTGAAGAAAGGAAGGACGGATTCCCTGGGGCGGGACAAGCGTTGGTTCATAATGATATCCTGACCACAGCCACAAAAGATGCCCAAATCACGTGTCACACAATAAGGCAGCAACGAGTTCGGTGGATGGAATCCATTCGAAACCCATGGAACGCTTCCTATCGAGTGTGTGGGAGGTCTTTCACGCATGGGCAAGTTTTGGGCAACCAACATGTATGACTGTAACCTAGGACTTAAACCAGCGCCCAATCAAGCGTTGACACGCACGTCTCATGCTTAGAGCACTAAAGGGGGGCCAGATTCTACAGTTGATGGGCGACATAGACATGGATGTAAATCTAGTTCATCAAAGTGACATTATCAACATGTATGGTGGGTTTATGGTTATTCCGCACACGGCTTATTCATGGCTCCCTGGCAGATGTATGAGGACGCTAACATATGCTTGCGCCAGCGCAAGGACCCGCCGCGGTAGTCACCACGTTAGCGTCCGCATACGCTTCCGCTTAGGCGCGCTCCTCCCTTTTCCCGCAGACTACCACCACCACCTCGCGGCGACCCCAGAGATCGAAATGGCAGTCCTGTTTGGCATCTCCATGGAACTCCTCCTCGCCATAGCGTCCCATATCCTGGCCCCCAGGAACGAGAAAGGTGACTGGGACTCAGCTCGGACTTTCTCCTACATTGAAACAACACGGTGGGGGAGGTGAAGCCGTTTGATCATGTCTGGATTAAGGCTGTCCTCAAGGAGGGAGGGTGCATTGGCTTCGGGCGGCTCAGGTAAATGGTAAGTATGAGTTTACAAGTACCTAGACGTGTGTCTTGGACCACGACGAGCTCAGAGCTCTTCACGCTGACTGTGTCTGGGAATCCTCCAGCGCGTGCTTTAGTGTACGCTGGTGAGCTCTGGGAGCAATCAAAGAGTGGAACCGGGCGGGCGCTCGCTTCGGCGGAGGGGGGCCCACCTCAGGGGTTAACTACAGGCAGGCGCGGCTTGCAAGTTGTCAACCTGATATGCACGCAAGGCAGCAGCGGCTGTTGGTTGTTGTTGTTGTTGTTGGCAGATAACACAAGACCTTTGCACACTACCTTGGCCTGAGACTGAAGTCTACAAAACCAGCTCGGGGCCAACACAAACTCAACACAACACAAATGCCCGCCCGGTTCGTGCAGCAGCCAAAAGGATCACATGTCCGCAAGCTGAGGTTCTGTTGACATTCGTCTGCGACAACAATATCGGACTGCAAGCTTGCGTGAAACCCGGCACTTTCGGCTTCTCAGAGTCTCGTGCGGCGGCCAACAGCAGCAACAGGGACAAGTAGTCCAGAGTACACAAGCACGCTCCCAATCTTCAACTTTAACCAAGGCCAGGCAAAAGACCCGTGCAGGTTGGAACCGTAGTACAACCACCACGGGGAACCCCACAACAGCAAAGTCCCCCAACATCTTTCTTTACTGGACCTCCCTGGGGAAACAGAGAGAGAGAAAATGGCATTCCTGCTTGCCCTGCCCACGGAACTCCTCCTCGCCATAGCGTCCCACCTCCTGGCCGCCAAGAACGGGAAAGGCGACGACGACGACGGCCAGGCATCCCTCAGCTGCCTCACGCGGACCTGCAAGACCCTACGCAGCCAGCTCGTCGGCACGCTCTTCGCCCACAACGCACGGCACGGATACGCCTCGGCGCTCCGGTACGGGGCCATCGTCGGGGACCTGGACATCATCAACCTCGCGCTGAGCCATGCCGGCCAGACCACAGCGGGAGGGACCAGCAGCAGCGGAGGCGGCAGCCGGCGAGAGCTACCGCCAGACCCGACAAGAGCGGTAGAGGCAGTCGTCGACCAGTGCCGGTTCCTCCCACCCCGGGCGCTACGGCGGGCCGACGCGTTCCGGGACAAGATCCGGGAGGAGACGACGCGGCAGTGCGTCACCCCGCTGGGCTGCGCGGCGCTGTACGGGCATGCGGACGCGGTGTGCGCGCTGGTCGACCGGGGAGGGGCGGATCTCGAGGCGATAGATACCCACAGGCGGACGCCGCTGTTCAAGGCCGTGCGGTACGGGCATGTGGACGTGATCAAGGCGCTGCTGGAGCGCGGGGCGAACAGAAAAGCGAGGAACGCGGACGGGCACAGCGTGCTGTGCGTGGCGGTGGAGGATCAGAGCCCGGAGCTGGTCGAGTGGATGCTGAGCGATGAGGACGAGGGCGGCGGGGGGTTTGGCGAGCTGGTGAACGAGCAGATGGGCGGCTACGGGAACGTGTCGGCGCTGGCCGTGGCGGTGACGGCCCGCGTTGAGAAGGTGCGGATGATTGAGGTGCTGCTCAAGCACGGGGCGGATGTAGCCAGTCGGGACACAGGCGGGTCGAAGGCGCTGAGGCTGGCGGCGGGGTGTGGGACGGTGGCGAGTGCTCGTGTGCTGCTCGAGCACGGCGCACCGGTCGACAGCAGAGAGTCGAGGGGACGGACGGGGCTGGCGGCGGCCGCCGCCGGCGCGCGGGCGGATATGGTCGAGCTGCTGCTGGAGTACGGGGCCGATGTCGAGGCAAGGCACGACGACATGGCCGGCGAGACACCGCTCATGGCTGCGGCCCAGCGGAGCGCAACGGAGGTGGTCCGGCTGCTGGTGGAAAAAGGCCGGGCCCGGGTGGACAACGTCGACGACCAAGGCCGGACCGCGCTGACGCATGCCGTACTCGCCGACCACTCCGACACTGCACGGTACCTGCTCGAGCAGGCCGGCGCCGACGTCGACCCGCAGGACCACAACGGCATGACGCCGCTCATGCTGCTCCTGCGCGACACTTATCCCAACGACGCGGCTGTCGAGAAGGCCAAGCTGCTCCTCGCCCACGGGGCGCGCGTCGACAGGGGATCTGGGCAACAAGGGAACGGGCCGACGCCGCTCGCGTGGGCGGTCGAGAAGGCTATGGTGTACCGTGACGAGCCGCTACCGGCGTCGCTGGAGCTGATGCGGATGTTGGTGCTGGCAGGTGCCGACCCCCGCGCCCCGGACGACCGTGGGCAGACGCCGCTGTCGCTGGCGGGCTCTTCTAGCCTGGCGGAGCATCTGTTGCGCGTCTCTGCCGAGGCTGGTTCCGCCAGGTAGTCAATGCTGTCAGTGAAGAAGTTGAGCGCTCTGGTGGGCGATCAGCATGAGGACTGCGTGCTTACAACACTGCGTACATATACCCTTAGAATGTCACGATGGGTGAAACGGAGGCTGGCAGGGCGTATCACCAGCTCCTCCTTTTCATCACTACACAATACAAGTTTATTGTCTGAGCTTTTGTTCATTGTGACTGATTTGTACCAGTGGCAGTTCCGCTCCATCCCTGTTGCCCAGAGAATAGACATACAGTCACGGATTCTGATGGATGTAGAAATATTGGATCTCGTGCTCGGAGACATTCTCGCCGCTTGCAGTCTGTCGAAGACAGCTTTATGTATGCGCACTAAGTAGGTATGCGCAGTCCGTGGTTGTGTGTCGCTGGTGTCGGGGGGATCTTTCCCGATTCGGCACATTAAACCCACCGCTGCGGCACCGCCCGCCCCCTTGTCCCTCCTAAATTTAGTCGGCTCCTCCGCTCTCGGTCGGCGGTCCGGGCCAGGGTCCTCCCGGGGCACCGGCCCCTCTTTGGGCCGTCCTGCCGACCTCCTCTTTATATACGTACGCATACCTGGGTGCCCTGCCGGCATCTTACATCCTACACCTCTTCCCCCCGACCTCAGTCCACAGTCACTGTTCCAGGCAGGTAGGATTGCCAGGGCTGCGAGGACAGCCAGCAGCACCATGGCGTCCAGCCCCTTTGCCGCCATGACCAGGCTCTCCCCGCAAGTCTGGCTGCACGAGCACTCATCCTCAGCAGCAGCAGCAGCACCGTCACCCGCGAACGCACCCATTCCCATCCCTCCTCCTCCTCCAAAGGTCATCCTCCTGGCGTCCTGGATGGGCGCCCGCGACCTGCACATCGCAAAGTACACGGCCCGCTACGCGGCCCTGTACCCCTCCGCCAGCATCCTCGTCGTAAAGTTCGACCCGGCACAGCTCTGGTTCTCCGCCGCGGGACGCAGAGCCGTCGGCCCGGCCGTGGCATATCTCCAGTCCATGGTGGCCTCGGGGGAGCTCCACACCGGCACTGGTAGTGGAAGTGGAAGTGCCCGTGATGGCGACGACGGCGGCGACGACGACGACGACGACGACAAGAAACACAAGCCGCAACTGCTCATCCACCTCTTCTCCAACGGCGGCGCCACGACAATGCAGAACATCTACCTCCACTGGCACAAGCAGCAGCAGTCGCCACCAATGCCATTCCCGGCATCAGTCGCCATCTACGACTCCGCCCCGGGCCTGCCCACGCTGGCGAGCACGTACCGCGCCTTCTCCATCTCCCTGCTGCCCAAGCAGGCCATCCTGCGCGCCATCTTCACTCCGGTCCTCGCGGCATTTTGCTTGGGGGTCTGGTTCCACGTCCGGTTCGTGCTCAAGGCTTTGCTCGCCCCGCTGGGCCTGGCGGAGCTCGACCCGCTGTCGCGCAACTTCATCGTGCTCAACGACTCTGGCCCAAGCATCAGCAGCAGCAGCACTGATGATGCTGATGCTGATGCCGCCGGGGAGCAGGAGGGCGCCGCCGGGGAAGCAGTAGCAGGCAGCAGAGGGGGCATGATTGGCAGACAGACCCTCCGGACCTACATATACAGCAAGGAGGACGACCTGATTGACTACCGCGACTGCGAGAAGCACGCCGCAGACGCGGTCACCGGCAGCGGCGGCGGCGTCGGTACCCGGGGGAAGAAGAATAGCCACCACCCCGGCGGCGGGAGGGTCAAGATCCCCTGCCGGCTTGAAATGTTCCACGGCAGCGGCCACGTCGCGCACATGCGCCACGACCCGGACCGGTACTGGCGCGTCGTCGGCGAGACCTGGGCGCAAGGCACGCGGTAGCGCATAGGGGGGTTAGCTGAACCTATGTTTGACCTTGAGATACCCCTCCCACACTCAGTAGAATCTTTGAGTTTGGACTCGGAAAGGCATTGAAAACGATGTTTGCGATTGCCTGTTTCTGACTGCTTTATATAGACCCTGGCATCAGGGTGCCGAGTGTGTATAGCGTGAATACCGTCCGCCTGCCAAGCCGAACGGTGCAGAGCTCCTTGTTGGGACAAAAGCATCCCAGTCACGCATAAAGGCACAAAGACGAAAACCAACCTCCCTGGTGAGCACATATAAAGTCTTTCTATTGACTCTGGTGAGATAGTGTATGCTCTGAAATATGCAATCGTGTATGATTCTTCCGACCCAGTCACCCCCGATGACTGATGTTGTGCCGTGCCGTTCCCGATCACCATTGAAGCAAACAATAAACGAACACGGGAAAGCCATGGCACATTGCTGAAAAGACAGCATTGGCAACCGCCAAACCATACGCAAAACGCCCGCTTCTGTACCGACCATGCAAGAAACAATGATGACAAACAACAATGACGAGAACTAGGCAAAACAAAAAATGCAGAAGTCGTGCGAAGCAATTATGCAACGCTGCCAAAACGAGCTTGGGACCTGTCCGCATGCTCGTGTAGTGTATCTTCAATTCCAAGCTCATCGTGAGCAAGTCTGTCGAGCTCTTCATGATGTCATGTGCGATAGCATGTAGCAATGCAACCCCCCCTCCCCCCTCCCTCAATGCCGGCACCGGCTGTGCCGCAACGTATCATGGACGTATCAGATCGCCCAGCTGCCTCTGCGAGCTCTCACGCCCCAGGCAAGCGGGTTCTCGTCGTCCCCGAGACTTGGGTGCTGTCTCGCCCATTCCCGAATATAGAGTTTGAGTGCTCTCCACCGCGGTGGCTTATCTGCGGTGCGAGCCTCATCCTCCTCTGGTGAAACCATGGTCTCGTCGCTATCGGGGCTGCCCACAGTCTCCTGTCGCTTCGCGCCGATCCTGATGTCAAGCATAAACCCCTTGCCAATCTCGACGTGGTCATTCTTTCGAAGCTCCTCCATGCTGATGCCGCTGATCTTGCTCAGCTCCTCGTCGTAGTCCCGTGCTGTGGCGGGGTACCCCAGACTAATGTAGTTGTATACCTGCGTAACAAAGGCCTCATCAAACTCGGCCATGATGCGCTCCTCAAACTCTTTCCTGACCTTCTCCCTCTTCAGCCGCTCATCAAGGCTGGGCAGCAGCTGCATGCCTTTCGTTTGAGCCGTCCGCGTGGGCGATGAGGGCGTCGGTGGCGCTTGACCATTCATGTGGGCGCCAAAGGAGCTGGCAAAGAGGTCGACAGGAGTACCCGTCTCGCCAGGCGTAGCCAGCAACGGAGCAGGATGGAAATCATTGGGAGTGCAGGTCTCGTTCGCCTTCGTCGAGCAATAGCCACGCCACAAGCCCGATTCCTCGCTCACATCTCGCTGTTTGCCCTCTGTTTTACCCAGGGGGTCCCAGGGATGGTCAGACTCGATCCGTGTTTGCTTCGGACTCGGACAGCGACGAAACTTGAGGTCTGTGCCGAGCATTGGCGGAGATGCGGCCTGCCGCATTCTTCGCATCTCTGCACTCTCTTCGTCTCCCTCGGTCGGCAGAGCCGGAAACCTCATGAAAGGGCTAACCTTCAACCCGGTTGGCGGTGTCTGTGCCGGAGGAGCGACAGAATATGGTTTCAGCGGCACCGGCGATCGCGAGTTCTGCCGTGCTTTTGCGGCGGGTGACACCGCCGCGAGCGCTGGGCTGTTGGACCACGCCATCTGCTTGTTTTCTGAGTCTGCTGAAGGAGTGATGGCCGTCCAGAGGGGATCTTCTGGTGCCGGGGCCATGTCTGGCAAGTCCATGAGAGAATCAGTAGAGGCCTGGGGACGGGTGGCTCGCGTCTTGGCCAGCTGCTCGGCATGCGCACGCATCTCGCGGACGGCCCAACCGGGATCAGTCGACTTGCGCCGCATAAGCAGCTGTGACACGCCATGACGCTGAGGCGGCTCCGGCAGCTCCAGAAGCTCGTCCGAATTCTCCCTCGCGAAAAAGTGCTCCACACCTGACATGGGAAGCCCATTGGGAAACGCAGACATAACCTCCTCCAGCTCCCGTTGGCGGTGGGCTTCTTGGGCGGCCACCGCCAGTAGGTAGACAGAGAACTCCTCGTCACACGACTCTCTCCTCGTCCGGGGGTCATCCTTGGTGATCCGGGGGATATCCTTCTTGCGCAAAGGCGGGTGTGCCGGAGGGCCAATTGTAAGTGCTGGAACCGATGATATCGGGACATCATCGTTCTCGTTCTCGTTCTCGTCCGAGGAGCTTCCCGATTCGGATGAGGCGATTGTCTCGAGTCCCGGGTGGAATGAGATATTCCTGGTACCCCGACGGGTGTTGGGGTGTGGCTTCATCGATTGCTGGCGCCGCGGGGGCAGGAAGCGAGGTGACATGGACACATCTTCGTCGCCCTTGGTGGAGGATGCATTGTTGCCGCCATTGCTGCTAGTACTTGGCCGCGCGGAAGTCGAGGGCGCCCGCTTGGGCTTCTGCACATAAATGTGGTTTGTGCCCGGGGTGATGTCGGTCTTGTCTGTGTGTTTTGTTGCCGGGCCTTCCTGACCTGCCTTTTTGGTCCGCCGCGAGGTCTCGATGAGCTGGGGAGCGAAGCGGCGTTTGGGCTTTGGCTTTGGCTCCTCGGGAGTGTTCTGGGAAGCACTGTGGTCGACGCCGAACGCGATGCCGGGCGGCTGCGGGGTTGTCGGCGAGGGGTCAGGGGTGAGCTCCGCCGTTGGGCCGTGAGGGTTTCGGCCGACTCTGTACGAGTCGAAGGTTGTCTCAATCGGGACGGGAGCGAACCGCCGTGCAGGTTTTGTCGGCTTCGGGGAAGTCGTCGGCGGGTGGGCGGTGGGCATCTCTGTGTCGGTCACCTGCGTGGAGGCGTCCCGCATCGTCTTTGTGGTGTCCATCGAGTCGGTTGTGTGTTTCGAGTCGCTGTTCTGCTGATGCTGCTGGGACTCTTGCTGTTTCCTCTTCGTGGCCGAGGACGATTTGACCGTCTCTTCGACGAGCTGGGGGGCGAAGCGGCGCTTGGGCTTGGCCACGGGCTGTTCCGCGGGAGAAGCCATCACGCAGCACGTGGAGGCTCGGCAACCTCAATGACCCTCGGGCGAGGAGTCTGGGTTTATGGTGGAGTGAAGCTCAACGGGGAACCATGAGGGGTGCCAGTGTAGCAAAGTAGCAGCGAGAATGTGTTGTGTGAGGCAGGTGCAAGAGTATAAGCCCGGGGCCGATAAGGCTTGACGTCACGGGAAAGAACCGGAAGCAACAACGAGGAGCCGGGGGCAAGCGCAATTGAAGCAGGCAGAAAGGTCGAGCGAGGATGTGCTGATGTGTGTGGACAGTCGCAGTACCAGTAACAGCAACAGCAGAAAAAAAAAAACAAGGGGCGAAGAAGGATGAGATGTGAGAAGGCGACACGGGCAGCAGGAGCAGTAATTAGAGAACGAGCCAGTGAGCCGGTGACGCGATGCGGCAAGCGTGGGATAAGGACCTCAGGAGGAGAGGCAGGCCTGGAGAGCCAGGTCAGGCCCAGGAGCGATAACTATTCCAGGTTATTATGGAGAAGGCGGCCCCGCCTCGATGCTTTGGCGGCGGCGGTCGGATCGTCGAGACCAGACGCAAGTCGCTGGGCGAGCGGGTGCGTGTGTGGGGACTGCGGGCATTGACAAAGTGGGCGTGGTGGAGCACCACCGCGTCTCTCCCAATCTGGCTGGGCCTGCCTGTCCACGATTGGCCTGGCTGCACGAAAACCACATGTCGACGATGTCCTCTGGCCCAGGCCGTCCAGAGACAGAGAGAGCACGCAGCTCAATGCATGGTTCCGAGACAGGCCGCTCTCAAAGGCTGCAGCAGAAACCCCCCAAAGCGGACAGGGCAAGGCGGGGGGTGCGAGACCGGAGCCCTCCTCGATCTGGCCAGGGAGCGAGCTCGACCGGGCATGCCAGACCAGAGCACATGCCTGGCGGGCAGCGAAGGAAGGCATTCGCAGTGGTGGCCTGGCTGGTCATCCATGGTGGCGCGCTCCACCTCCAGGGCTGGCTCAATCTCAGCAGCTCAGCTCAGCTCACTCAGCCAGCCAGCCCTCTGGGTCGCAGGCTGATTGCCCTCCGTCGACATCCCCCAGTTCAGCAACACCTGCGCCTCCCGTCGCCGCCAGCTCTGGGACTGCACGGTCGGGTTCGTGAGATTATGAACGCGCCCCCCAAAGGTTTCCCAGCAGTGGGCCGGCCACTCTCTCAGCCAGCCTTCTATTGATGGAGTTGTACGTAATGCGGCAACCCCCCCCAAACCCCCCCCCCCCCCCAACGCCCGCAAAATACGAGCACATGACCGCAGTGGCATGCCGGGCGACTGCCACGTTGTCCACATCCTGGGGCCTCAGAAATGCTTGGTTCGTGCCATGCCTTCGTGTCTTGCCGCATGGGTGCTGAGTGTGGACAATCTTTGATGTACCGTTAGCTGTCTCGAGGCACCTACCTTTTTTTTACTGAAATGCTTTTGGAGCGGTGACCTGGCCATGCGATAGATATGGTCTTCACCGCCGTCCTGCAGCTAGCTGCAAGTGCCAAACCTTGCGCTGGCCCGGAGGGCTGCCAAGTGCATGCAGGACGGGCTGCCAGGCAGGGGTCGAGCTCGGTACGGGTATCGTGAATTCGTGTGTGCCTGGCAAGCGAGCGGGGAGAAGCGGCCGTGGAAAACGAATCAGATGGCCAAAACTGCATCACGATCCGGTTGCCATGGCCCCTGACTCGTCATCCGACCAGAGGTTACGTACTGTACTCTTGTTCCAGATTCCCCAGGTCCCAGGTCAAGTCAGGGACACCAGCAAAGGGGGCGGAGGACGCTACGAGTCTTCCATTGTTCGTTCGTGGTGGGGAGACCCACGAGGCCGGCTCCGGACTGCATTCCGACTTGTCTAGACTTACATAATAAGGAGGCGATGTGTCGCCTAGGTACGCACGCTGGCAGTCACGAGACGCCAAAAGCCCAGCACAGGCGACGCTTTCATCGCTTGCTGGATACATTTGCATTCCACAACCACCAGATTTCGAGTGCTGGGTTGGTCGAGAACCTCTGGGTCGTGGACAATGGCAGTCAGTGACATCATCTGCCGGCTGGGTCGCGTGTCCTCCTCTCTTGGCCAACCAGCTGTGCCGCAATGCAACAACCATGATCCCAGCTCATCGTTGTTATGCTCAGACATTCATTCCACAGGATATCCTGGCCAAGCACTTACTGCAAGTCCATCACAGCCTGCACTTGCTTATTCGAGCCTCAGCACATGCCCGGTTGTGTTTTGCTTTCCTCATGCCTGGATTAAATAAAGGGCGACTTATCAGCAAGCGTCGCGCGCCGTTAGACTTTCGATGGCTGTTGGCAATCGCACACGCCTCCAAAGTTCTGCGGCAGTACCCGTCGCCTCACTCCTTTTTCTTTTCCCTCTTTTCTCCAGAAACTCTGCATCGAGCTGCCGCTTCAGGAAATGCCGCTTATCGGCAGCCCCTCTGCCTGCGAGACGTGAAAACCTGGGGTTGCAATCAATTCGCATCCCGCTCTGCAAGCGTGCCTTTCCAGCGAGGAATGGTCCGCCCTCTGCCCGGTCAAGTTCCGTCAATGCTGGTGGTGTGTAAATGCTACACTGGTGTGCCGCCGCAATCCGGGTCCTCCCGACTGGCCTGCCACTGTCAACTTAGGTACGCGTACTTACACTTACGTTATGTCCACAGGTGGGCTTCCGTACCTAAGGTAGTAACCGTATCTCCCCCTGAATGCGCTGAGGCAGCGCCCCCCGTGGAGGTGGCGCCGCCAGCGCCGATAGGCGGCACCACTTCCCAGGACGCTGCACGCCCGCGGACAACAAAACCTTCGCCGCGGCAGCTCTCCGTGCCCTCCCCGTGTTTTGCACCACAACCCCCCACTCGCCCCGGTCGCCGCATCTGTTCTGGCTTGTGTTGCTGTTCTAGATGCGTGGGTTCTGGAATTTGTCTCTCAACCACCCGTGGGCTGCATCAATCCAGTCCCTGGCCGACCCCCACAGGCCAACCAACAGACGCCGGCTTCAGCAACCTTTGCGGTGTTTCTAGTGTCTTGGATCCTGGGGTCTAGTTCGATTTTTTGCTCAGGGCCGGCATTTAGGGGACAAAACATGAGGCGATAATGCTTATTTTCATTTTGCTCTTGCATGAGCTCTGAAACTCTGATTCCTAGACAACTCTCTCCACGACGAAAAAATCTCAAAAGTCAGCCCACGTCCCTTTTTTCCCCGCCATATCGAAAACGCATGTCAGGACCAAAGACACCCAGTATCTAGCTCTTGGTCAGAAGAGCCGGTCCTTGATAGCGCATCATCCACAGCCAACCAGGATTTGCTGCTGGCCTCCATTCCCAAGTCTTGACCGCTTATCCACCTCACACAGGCCCAGCCAGGAACCACTTACAGTCCACTTTAACCCCGGTAAAACACGCAGGTTTGCATGCAAAGACGTGGATACAAGGCGGGCTCCTTCGTCATGGGCTGACTACGTACACTACACTGCACTATCCCAACTGGCTGCTGCTGCTGCAAGGTGTGCTCGCGCTCGCTCGTGTCATTGACTTGGCTTGCTGCGACGCGCGTTGCAAAATACCTACCAGCAGGGTGGTGGGTTCGCAAAGTCTTATCATGTCCCGGATGAAGGAAAACTGACAGCCCGGTCAAGAGTCCTAGTATCAGCCACTGAATATTCAGTCACGAAGCTGCAGTTGGTTCCTGGGCATGCTCGCCAGCTTGATATGTGCATGGCAGATCGGCGCAATGTGCAAGTCAATCGTGAAAGAAACATTTTGGTCTGCTCTCTGCTTACAGAGACCTTTTACGTCTTATTAATCGTCTGAATGTTTTCCCAAGCCTAAGGCAGCGGCATGGACCATGGGTTTCTGGTCAATACACAACCACAAACTCGCAGTTCAAAGCTTGATGCAAGGGCCAGCGTACGTCTCGATACACACAGATGTAAACAACAGCCCAAGAGTTAACCAACCGCAAAAAAGTTCTGTAGTGCGGAAGATGAATTCCCTCACCTCCCCAACATGTCTATATCTAGACTTTGTTTCGTCCCTGGCCCCTAAACCTGTACAAGCTCGCCCCCCGCTGCCTGACCCATCCTGTCTCCTCGGCGGTCACCGCTTCTACCCGCCTCCCCTCCCCTGGCTCTACACCTTGCGGATACGGCCCCCCAATTCCTCCTCTCGGCACGCATCCCGCGTGGCATGGCATGGGTCATCCCCCTGGGAATAGACCGGGGGGAGGTACCTTCCCCGGATTTTCTTCTGATCTGGTGATCACCGTGATCCCAGCTGGCTGGCTTAGGGGAAGGGGTGGGCCGAAGAGGACGCCACGCCACGTTTGTGCCTGACAGGTTTCATGGGTGGTGTTTTCTTGTTCTCATTGAGGAAGCTGCCTAAGCTACCTAGGGAGCATTGCCCTTCTTGTCTCCACCCAGCTGTTGATTGGTGCCCAAGGAACCGGCGAGAGAAAGGAATATTGTTCCCGATGGGGGAGAAGAGCGGTCGGTGATGGCCGTGGGTTGCTGTTGTTCTTGTCAGGGTCTCGAGAAAGGCTTGCCCATCTTCCGCCAATGAGACATAGATGTAAAGTTTTTTTTTTTCTAGCAGTGCTGCAAACTCACATGTGTCGGATCCTTACGGATGGGGTCGGCTTGACATACATCACGAAGACTGGGGCGTCGTGGCTCCTTTTGTGAAATATGCAAGTGATCGTAACAGCAACTCACGTCTGGCTGTCGCCTTTTCTTTTTCCAGCTGCCGCTTGGGTAGACTTTCTCGATTCCGATGATACATGGTGAGCCGCGGT